AGTTAGTCGTTCGTATAGCTAGAATCGCTTATACTAACGAGCGTATCGTCGTATAGGTAGGTATACTAGTTACTTATATATAGTTTACTAACTAGAACGAGTATTAGTAGTATCTTATAGCTACTAGTAGATATAGCTTTAATTATAGTAAGTAACTTACGATTTATACTATTTAGTAGGAATACCTAGTATTTTAGTGTCTCTATAAGTATATACTACTCTCGTATAATACCTACTCGGAAGCTAGATTCGCCTATATTCTATATATTAGACGGTTATATACTATACTCTTTATAAATAGCTCTTAGCTTTATAAACTACTCTTTAATAACCTCTATCTCTTTAGTAGTAGCTCGTTCTAGCTCTTTTAGCTTCTATTTAACCCTAAACTAAGAGGGATTACGTTCCTTCTACCTACTAGCCTAGTAAGGGCCTATAATAGGTAGTAAACGCGAGGAATCTATATAATAACGCCGTAAAATCGTATTAGTAGTAGCGGCGACTATTCGTAGCTAAGGGCTTATTCCGGTAGCGTCTAAACGACGTAGATACTAGATAAGAATAGCCTCTTATATATCGTTAAGTTTATAGTTAGTTAGAGCTTATATAGTCTTCGAATTATAGCCTTAATTACGGTAGTAGAGCTTAAAGTAATCTACTTTAAAAACGAAGGTAGTATACGTAATTAGAGGCGGTGGATTACGCTCTAAATACTACTTCTTAGCCTCTATAACACGGTCTTTATCTTTAATATATATAGAAGCTATATTAGATTTATAGTAGTAGTAATACGCTATAGGAAAGAGGATTAAGACGCGTATACGCGGTGATTTACGTTGAGCACGTGATTTACGTTAAGCCGGCTGCTACCGCCTACGGCGGTAGAGGCACTGCTACGAGTAGTGGCGTTCTCACTGGCCGGAGGATTTTCGCACAGGGAATGGAACTCCAGAGCGGTGTACTGTACAGACTACAGAGTCGGTCCGCTGCGAGTCATGCAGCACCCCAGCCAGCCTGCAAGAACCTCCCGGGAGGACAACGAGAGAGTGTGCCTCTCTCCCGGTTCAGCGTCTGTCTGTTGCCTCTCCAACCTCCGTGAGATTATCATTATTGGGGGTTCCGATTTCACACTGCACACTGCACTGTGTGCTGCGCATCGCATCCTTGCAAGCAGGCGCTTGTTTCAGGTCAGGAACGGCCATGCCGTCGCATGCAGGGTCCCCACAGCTCCGTGAACTTAACGCACCTGCGCAGGGTCTAACCACCTTACTGCGAGCGAGCGGTTCGTTGGACTTTGGTCTTCATCAACGTTTCTTTTCCCATCATCAAACTCCCGCTCGGTAAAGCAATGAGATGAAGAAGCCAACCGATTCTGGATCCGAGGGACAAGATTTCACGGGACCAGTGCTTTGTTGTGCGCACGGATCGAGATGGGGTCGAAGTCGAGGGAGCTGTAGCCGTGCGTTGTTGGGAACATGAGGACTGAGCGTCGACGCGAAGCCCGGTCGCGTCGCGGCTTGATTGAAGCTCAGTGTTATTGTTGTTGAAAATAGATCGGAAGGACATGTGAGGCTGCGTTGTGAGGGGAAGCTTGGTTCGTACTTGAAACATTCCATGCCTTCGCAGGCTGGCTACACAGCTGATACAAAGATCCAAATGTCCGTCCGGCTCCATGCAAATGCACTCACAAAGCCACCGAACTCCGCTCGCTCTATGCCTGAAGAACCCATTGCCGCAGATCATCATCATCATCCCTCCCTGGGAAACTCATCGGCAAGCTGCAAGCTCGCCTTCACATTCATGCTCATCAGCTCCTGAATCAGCAACTTGGCCGCATAGGGCATCGTCATTCGCACGACGCTCCGACTGCTCGAGCAGCTCTGGCACCAGCTGTTGTAGCCCATCATCCCGCAGACCTGGCACACGTCGACCTCGTGCGCGTCGGAAGATATCATCAGACGCTCCAGCAGCAATTGACTGGCGCCATACGCGATCAGACAATCACGTTCCATCTCTCCGAGACGCAGACCACCCTGTCTTGAACGACCTTCGGTCGGCTGTCGAGTCAGGATCGCGCGCGGTCCGGTGGATCGAGAGTGCATCTTGTCTTGCACCATGTGCTTGAGCTTTTGGTAGTAGATGGGTCCGAAAAAGACGTACATCGGAAGACTCTCGCCCGTTATGCCAGAGGTGAGACAGTCCTTTCCGGAATAGCTGAACCCGTGCTTGACGAGCGTGGCGCCCATGTCTTCGACTTTGCTGCCGCCAAAGGCTGTGCCGTATTCTTGTTTACCAGCCAGAACACCTGCTTTGCCGGAGACGAGTTCGAGCATCTTGCCGACTGTCATACGCGATGGGAAACCATGGGGATTCATGATGATATCGGGGACCACGCCCGAGTCAGAGAAGGGCATGTCGGCTTGTTCAGCCAGCAGGCCGACGACACCTTTCTGTCCGTGGCGAGAGGAGAATTTGTCGCCAATCTCCGGTCGCCTTGTCTGGCGCGTCTGGATTTTGATAATCGTGCTGTTGGACTCGTTTGTCGTGACCATAACCTTATCCGCATAGCAAGGATCCGGAAGCTTGTACGACATGGACATCGGAGACCACCTTTGATCCCTCTGTGGGATCGCCGAAGCTTGGTTGAGCGGAGTCTCCTTGAGCATGTAAATGTCGGAATTCTCCAATTCCGAACCTACTTCGACCAGTCCATCCTTACCTATCTTTCGGTGTCTGGGATTATTGGGATCTCGGTCTCCCATTCGGTCTTGGTATCCGTTGCCGTATGCTTTGAGCGGCATGCTGATTTTCTTGAAGACTTGGCATCTTCCGAAGCCTCTGTCGCAGGATGCTTTGTTCAGTACCAGCGCGTCCTCGATATCGTATCCAGAATACGACATGACAGCGACCACAGCATTCTGACCGGCTGGTAGCTTGTCGTACTTGACCAATTCGATTGTTCGCGTTGTCACCATCGGCTTCTGGGGATATACCATGAGGTACAGCAGAGTGTCGATACGCGTGAACTGGTTATACGCAATGGCGCCAATCGCTTGCTTACCCATAGCACATTGGTAACTATCATTTGGTCAATACTCTTTGTCCATGTTCAAGGAAAAATTGGGGCTTCTCTTACGTATTACGGGGCGATTGGTTGTGGTGTGGATATGGAATGAGACCTGCGACAGCTCCGAGAATCGTGAACGGCTCAATCTCCAGATGTGTCGTGTATTCATTGATGTCTTTCTCGTAGACCGCAATGTTGGAGTCGTTCTCTTCGTTAACATCGAGATACTCAACGATACCTCGGGAGAGTGCGTCATCGAAGTCCATGGTTCCTTTGCGAAGAGATTCCAGAAAGCGAGTTGTGACCTTGGACTTGCCCTTCTCGACGACAATCAGCGGCCGGCAAACACGACCTTCGTCTGTTGCAATGTGAACACCGTTGTGATGATGGTTGATGAAGATGCTAACGAACTCGGAGATGCGTCCCATGCGTCTGAATTTGCGGAAGCCATTGAGGAACTGCTTTGGTTGCCGGGTCAAGGCAGCAGGCGTTCCGTTGACGAAGATGATGTAGGCTCCTGTACCGTATATCTCCGTTCCAGAGCCGGAAGTCACGTCTTCCGCTCCTAGAACATACATCATCTTTCGCACTGGGCCTTCGTCGTCTGCAGTCGTTATGTGTGTCATGAGCGCCAAGTTCTTCACGAGACCACAGGCCTCTCCTTCAGGGGTATCTGAAGTGCAGAGCATGCCAAATTGAGAAGGCTGCAAAGCACGAGGACCGGACACCTTTCTAGTCTTCTCGAATTGACTGGTGATTCTCGTCATCATACCGAGTGCGCTGATGTAGCTCAGCCGACTGAGGACGTGAGTGACGCCGGCTCGATCCATACGGAAACGCTTCAGAGTCCAGTTGCCGGTAGAGATTGCGCGCTCCATCCCACTTGTTATGCGGGATTCGCACTGCTCGACGATCCGAATTGGATCGAATTCTCCGACCGGATTGGGTTTCTTCAAGATCTTGTCCATGTTCGTTCCGATCATGTTGACGCAGTCTTTGAATAAGTCCTCGAACAGAAGCGCCAGCATTTGACCCGCAAGCTCGAGTCGCTTGTTACCCACGTAATCTCTGTCATCCACAAGCTTCGGGTCGTGTAACGCCATCAGGACACGTCGAGTCATAAAGGCAACGTAGAGCGCCTTTGGTCGGAAATTCATGCCCTCGATTCCAACATGAGGGATGATCGTGACTGCAAGCTTTTCAAGCGCCAACTGTTTTGGAGTCTTGAAGTCTTTCTTGCTGCTGGCGAATCTGTCGGGTTTCAAGCGTACAGCAATATACTCGAGAGCTTGTTCCTGAGTGAAAACGCCTTCCAGAGCCGCCTTCTCTAAGTTGGGCGCAAACATGTCTTGATAGGTGGCATCGTTGCCGGCGGCAAGCAAAAGGATCTCATGGTCCGACTGAATGCCCATTGCACGTAGGACAATGGCCACAGGAATGTCCTCGTTCAATGAATTGTGCTTCAGGTAGAGATATTGCTTCTTGACAAGAACATAGGTCTTCGTCTTGACATTTGCGGTGTGACTGGTGACGGAAGCCTGGATCACACCCTTGAAGGCTTCTACGATGATTCGATTCTTGCTGAGCTGTTCCTGGACCAAAATGACCTTTTCCTGTCCACGCACAATGAAGTAGCCTCCCGGATCGACGGCGCATTCGTTTAGCCACGCCATCTCCGACTCGGAACGGCCGTTCAGGACACACCTCGAGCTACGAAGCATCATGGGCAAGCGACCTATCATGACGTCGGTCTTTCGGACTGGGCCGCTTTGTCTTGGGAACACAAAGTCAACGTAGATCGGTGCGGCGTAAGTCATATCCCGAAGGCGACATTCGTTGGGAGTGACTTCGGTCTGGACCCAGCCTGCTCGAGCATCTTCAATACGGCAGGGCTTCCCGACTCGGATGTCTGTGAAGCGAACCCATTTCTTGTCGTCGGACTTGGAGATTATTATGCTGTTGGCTTGCACGATCTTCTTCAGCTCGACGTCAACAAAGTAATCGAACGAGTCTGTGTGTTGCTTGATCAACCCTTTGACGCGCAGAAAAGCTGGCAGCAGATTCCATTTGTCTCTTGCCGTATTGATCGGGTCCGTGAGGTTCTTGTTGTAGTAAAAGGGTTGGAGTAATGCATCGATGTCATCACCCGCCACTGTTGTCTTCTTCTTGGAATGAGCATTTCGATTTGATAATTGCTCACGTTGTGCTTCTTCTTTTGCTGCTTTTTCAGCTGCGGCTGCTTGGGCTTCATCTTGTTCCTTTGGCTTCGGAGCAGCCGTGGTCTTGCGAGCAGCCCGGGGCGGGGCTTTAGGCGCAGTCGCCTTACATGTGATTTAGTTTTGTTGCCCGCTTTGCTCAGAGTTCGACGGCTTACCTTGGGAGCGCTATCTCCGACCTCAAGTGGTCCGGAAGTTCTCTTTGCGCGAGGCGGCATCTTGCGCAGTCTGTATGTGACTGGCAAGCCTGCCAAAGTATTATGGTTTTGTAGTGGAAGATGAATTTGATGTGGTTGAGTCCTTCATAAGTCAATTCCGCGGTTACTTTTGTCCTCGACACGACTTGTGTCCAGCGCGCGGAGCAGCCCGTCTCGAATCTCAAGAACCGCGCTGCTTCACACGACTTCACCTACTCGCAACTTACTCGCGCCCACCACCGAATCCCGCTCCCTCCTCTACCGCGCACACTCGACCGTCACTCAACGCGGTGTGGTACCTTGAGAAGGACCTCGTGACAGAACAGCAGGAATTGGGTGTTGGTAGGTGGCCAATATGCCTGGCGTGATCGCCGAGAGCCAACCGCCTAAGGCGAGAAAGCCAACCAAGAATGAGCAGCGTCGTGCGAAGAAGAAGCAGCAGAAGCGAGAGGTAACCATGGAATTCCTCAGCCTGATGTAGTCCGCCCTTGCTAATCAGCCAAAGTTGTCGGTAGCGCCCACCGAGGCAGAGACCCAGAACGACTCGGAGCCCGTGCAGCCTGTCCCACCAGCTGCCGACGATCCGGTGCAGGATGTGCCCGATGTCGACGATTTCTCCAACGACCTCCCTACAGACGATCCACTCTTCTCTCAGTTCGCCGATGTCTTCTCGAAATTCCAGGAGCCGGATAAGGAGGATCCTGCGCTGAAGGAGCCGGAGAAGCCCGAGGTCTTCTATGATGACGACGATAACATTCAAGGTGAGGATGAAGAAGAAGAGACGCAGCAGAAGTTGTCGAAAAAAGCACGCAAAGCAGCAACTAAGTTGAGCATCGCCGAGTTGAAGGCGATTGTGCGAAGGCCAGAGCTGGTGGAGTGGACGGACACATCGGCGCAAGATCCCAAATTGCTTGTGGACATCAGGAGCGAGCCGAATGTCGTTCCTGTGCCAACACACTGGAATTTGAAGAGGGAGTATCTCAGCAGCAAGAGGGGTATCGAGAAGCCGGGTTTCGCGCTTCCAAAATTCATTGCTGAGACTGGTATTTCGGATATGCGAGATGCAGTCCTGGAGAAGCAAGCAGAGGCAAGTTTGAAGCAGCGACAGCGCGAGCGGGTGCAGGGCAAAACAGGCAAGTTGGACATCGACTATCAGAAGCTCTACGAGGCCTTCTTCCGACGCCAGACGAAACCGTCACTCACGCGGTATGGCGAGGTGTACTACGAAGGTAAAGAGTTCGAGACCAACTTGAGACATCTGCGACCCGGTGAGTTGAGCGAGGAATTAAAAGAAGCGCTTAACATGCCCCCAGGTGCACCACCACCATGGCTCATTACGCAGCAAAAGATCGGCGCACCGCCATCGTATCCAGCACTTAAGATTGCAGGACTCAACGCACCTCCTCCACCTGGTGCGCAGTGGGGTTTCCATCCTGGCGGGTACGGAAAGCCTCCTGTGGATGATCAGAACCGACCGCTCTTCGGTGGAGACGTGTTCGGATTGTCAGATGCGAAGGACGCCGAAGATGACAACAACGCAATAGCAGCACCGGTTGACAAGAGGCTCTGGGCTGAGCTCCAGCCGCCGCAGGATGACGAGGAAGAGGAGGACGAGGACGAGGACGAGGACGAGGAAGAAGATGAAGACGAGGATGGAGACGATGGCGGCAGACGAACGGGCATGGAGACTGCTTATCCTGGCACTGAGACCCCGGGTGGCATCACGAGCACCGTCCCCACTGACTTCATGGGCACGCGCTCCAACGAACCAACTCTACGCAAGCCGCGATTTGGAACGGAAACGGAGGCGAGCAATCATCCACGGTCTGCTGGACAAGTGATCAATGAACGCTCCATCCGAAACGAAGGCTTCTTCGGTGGAGAGCGTGCTTACGATCTTTCTGGATCCTCCAATCTGCCTACGCTCGGCCAGGAAGACCGCAGAAGGAAGCGAAAGGCCGGGGATTTGGACGTCTCGATGGACCCAGATGCGCTGGCGAGAGATGATAAGATGTCAAAAGATGAGTTGAAGAAGAGATACGAGGCAGAGAGTGCTCGTCAGAACACGCGTGGATGGCAGGGTGGCGTGGATTCGCAGGACATGAGTGATTTGGTGGCTGCTGAGAGCGCGAAGAGGCAGAAGAGGGAGCAAGAGCGGGCCAAAGGAGGTCGTGGAGGCAGGAGATAGGCGGGTTGTAGAAGTGACCAGAAGGAAACAGAACAGTGAAGCGTCGACGAAACCACGAGGAATTTGTACGATGAATGCAACTGGACAGTAAAAAGGCAAAAGGATTGGGGTACGATAGGGTGCAGGCGAGGGCCGAAGGGTAGCTTGACGTACGTGAAGATATCGAAGCGTAGAAAATGGTGGCAATCCACGTCTTCCCAGGTGGTCTTTGGAAGGACTGAACGTGGTCCATCATTCTCTCCATGCATATGAGAGGTGCGGCAGATGGAGTGGGAGGGATGAGGTTGAAGTGCAAGGGGTATCTCGAGGGCACGTGATAATGCCAAGACTTTCGCGACCAGACTCTCGGACCTCAACTTCGCTCCGAGTTACGATCTGCAGAAACAGCGACAGAGCTAGCAGCTCTCCGCCAACAGCACATTTCGCGCGGTATTTTCATCATGGACAGAGATGGAGGAAGAAGGTAAGATACTACAGTAGCCGACCTCACGGTGCTTATACTCAACGTCGCCGCCATGCCTTACCCCGATCAGACTCTCCTGAAGAAGTCAACGCAGCGCGCCCTTGAGCTTCGCCTCGCTTGACGATCTGATCACAGTCGGGGAGAAAGCGAATTACAAAGTCCACCATGCGCAGCATAAAGGGCGCAACGGTTCTTGACTAACTGACAATGCGCAGACGAGATATTCCACCGGAGGACCAATATGGCACTGGACGCGGCCAAAGCTATCGGCCTGGCAACGTGCGAGAACGAACGCCTCCACGCATGGATAGCTACCGTGCGAGATCCCCTCCGCGACGATCAGACTACCAGGACATATACAAAGCAGATACCTATCGAGCACCACGAGCACGAAGCCGCAGCCCTCCACGTCGCGATGATTTCCGCCGTCGTTCGCCTTCACCCCCACGATATCGCGAACGAGAGGTGCTAAGAGGTGGAGACAGCTACAGAGCGCGGCCGAGGTCCCCGCTACCACCGAGAAGAGAAGATCTGCCAAGAGATGATCTGTTCCGGAGAGAGCCTCCGCGAGATGATAGGGACTATCGCGATACCAGAGATTACAGGGACGACAGGGACAGAGGATATTCTGCAGTAGGTGCTGGCCGCTCTCCGTTTCCTCGGTATAGGGATCGTAGTCCGGTCCCGCTGAAGAGAGGCAGAGAGCCGTCACCCATTTCGAGTCGAGGGCGCAGGACTCCACCGCCGGCGAAGCGGGAGAGACTGGCGAGCCCGCCCCGTGCTAGTCGATATGACGACTATCCGCCGTCTAGAGGCGTCAGCCCGCCACGACGCAGATACTCTCCAGATCAGAGAGATCGGCGTCCGTCGCCCCGTGGTGTCACTCGCGACTACAGCCTGCAATCGAGGTCACCACTTGCTAGAAATGATAGGATTGACCCCCGAGCGGTTGACGATTGGAGACGACCTCGCTCGCCTATACGAGATTCGAGGCATGACCATCTCAGTCTCGAGGAGTCTGCGGCCAACTCAGCAGCAACATCACGCCGGTCTTCGCCTCCAGTCCATCCCAGCCGCATGGCCTTGCAGACCCCAACGCTCGACGAACCGCCACGCAGCGCTAGGATGTCTCCGCGTGACCCATATGACACTCGAGAGCCGTACCGCGCTGGAGACGAGCCGAGATCGCGTAACCCGCCTCCAGTTCTTGACGAGAGGAGTCATGGCAATGGACGAGAATCAATACCTCCACCCCGTGAAGCCCGCCGCGAGGACGACTTACCACGTGCTCCGCCGACAGGTCCTAGCTCGCAACGCGCTCCTGCAACCTCGATGGCTCCTCCTACTGGTCCTGCGGCAGTAACTGCGCCTTCGGGGCCACGCGGTACTGCTGCTCCTCCAGCCGGTCCTCGTGGCGCTCCAACTCCACGTGGAGACTTTGCTCCGCGTGGAAGGGGCGGCTTCGGTGGCGATTTTGCTGCTCGAGGCAGAGGAGGTTTCGGGGTTGCGCCCTTCCGGGGTGGCAGGGGTGGAGCACCTCCCACGGGACCAGGTTTTGGACGTGGTGCAGACGCTGGCTATGGCCGAGGAGAATCGTACAACCAAGATCCGGCATTTGGATCTCGTCCACCACCTTCAGGGCCGAGAAGCTCTTTCTCACAAGCACCACCACCAACTCTCCGTCAGAACAGCGTCACCACCACTGTGACGCCTACTCAGCCACGAGCTCAACGCTTTGCGAATGGCGAAAGCGCTGTTCCAGATGCACCGACCGGACCAAAGGCAGCACGTCCTCCTACAGGTCCAGCTACACTCGCTCCCGTCAATCGCCCTCACCCCGCCATCGCCGAGCTTCCTAAAATCGTAGACGGTGGCCTGAAAGCCGAGCCATTGGTCGATCGTTCCCGGCTGAATGAATTGGAAGACCAAGCGGAAAAGCTGAAGAAGCAGATTGAGGAGCGGGAGACGCGAAAGAGAAAGAGTCTGAGAGAATGGGATCGGATGACAAGAGAGACTGAGGTGGCTGCTCTGCGGAGTGAGCTGGCTGAGGAAGCTTTAAGACAGCTGAATGGCGAAGCGGAGAGTCAGGCTGCTTTCTAGTAGGAAGTATGGGCTTGATTACTCTACGTCGAGACACCTGCCGGCTGTGCTGCGAGAGATATCAGAAGCAATGCTTCTCCGGTGCACTTTACGAAGGCCGTCGACGCTGCGTGGCGTGAATTTCTTGGTCTTTGAAGCGGATTTGGCATTTGGCGAGGGTGCGTTGGGTAGGGGGCATATGTGAGCGAGCATCGTCTTACACGACAGCAAATTTACGGAAACTTCCTCGAACACCGTCAATGGACGTTTTTTGTTATTTTGTCAGTCTGGTCGTCCTGGCATCTCAAATCTTACGTCATTTTCACTTCTGAATTACTGCTGGACCTGCCGTGCTTCCGTGTCTATCAAAATCATACATCGTAACATTGCTGTGGTTTTGGTCAGACTCCCTTGGATTATGCCGACTTCTCCGCAAGGATGGATGATAGGGTCGTTGGCCTGGTCATGTTCCTTGGTGACCTGCTCGCTGGTCTGTTAAACGCTCTCATTCGCCATCTCTCTACTCTCGGTCTCCTCTACCTTTGTTATGATGGCAGCTCCTACACTTGCCTCATCGGCGAAGCACGCTGCACATTCATCGAGGAGCGCCGTGAGCGGGCCGTTCAGTCTCGCTTTGGTCCCACGGACAGCATGATACAACTGGTCCCGAAAGCACTGGTCCCTGGGATCGCTGCATCTGGCGTCCTGCAGGCAATTCTCAATATCTTTCACGATCCGCGTCAAAGTTCCGTCAAGAACCTCACGCGTGGTGTTGGACTCCCATTGGGCGAGCGCTTTTGCAAACGCTTCCTTCGCTCTGTCGCCGCATGCCAGATAGATGTTCTCGTCGACTTTCTCGTGGAAGATTCTGCTGCGCTCCTTGTGGGCTCCAGTACCTACGATTTGAGCACACCTTTCGTAGACGCCGTTGAGGCATTTTCGGACGTAGCCTGAGCCGGAAGAAGCGGTCACGTCGCTTCGGATGTCAATCAGGCTCTGGCGTAGCTTTTGGAACGTTCCCTTGACCTCGCTCGCGATATTCCTGCGGCGAATGTCGAACGACTCGAAGAGGGGTTGGAGGTCGAGACTGACAAACGCACCAGTCTGCAGCTTCCGTGTCAGATTGACCATGATACCATCGATCCGTTCGACGAAGAGCTTTTCATGCTTCCCTAGAGTAAGCTCGAGAGGATCGAAGCGGGTCTGCAGCTCCTCTTGCATGACCTGTACGAGCTCTGCATTCCAGTTGAAATGCTCTCTTCCGTAGACGCGGTTCTTCTTCCTCACCCACTGCCCGTTGTGCTTGCAGATTGCCCGGAAAGTCGCTTGATTGTGCCTGGTCCATTCATTGCAAAGCTTTTGAGCCTGGAGCTGCCAATTTGGTCCATGGGATAAGATGAAACCATGGACGAGTTTGTGGAATTCTGCCGCAAGCTGTTGGCGGGCCTCTGATATGCTAGTGACACAGTCTTGCTTTGGCTGTGCGATAGCTTTCTCGACAATGGCTATCTGGTATGAGAGAGGCTTTCCGCAACATAATTCAAGCGAATTCAGAGTCAGTGGAAGGTCTGCTCGGCAGATGTTACTCAAGACCTCCATCTTCGGCTCGGCAGGAAAGCGATAGAGCATTCGGCGAAGTGATGGGATACCACAAGCTTTCACGTCCAAGGTAGGAGGTTCCATTAAGTCGTATCCTCTCAAATGCGCCTGGTAGTTCTTGTTCGACACACAAAAGACCGGGATTGGAGGGTCGAACTCATATCTGCTCTGAAGCTCCCTTATAGCCTCCCGGTTTCGCATTTCGATGTGCTTTTGTTCAACTCGAGCCTTAGCGTTCTCGATCTCTTGAGCAATTTCTTGCTGACGGTCTTCAAAAGCAGTAGTGGGTTTCTTGCGTCCGTCGTCAAGTTCCTCCTCAAGCTCATCGTCACCAGCCTCCAAGTCTTTGACTTTTTCTCGTAGCTCCTTGAGCTCTTTCAGATCTTGTGTTGGCCAGCCACGCTGTTCGTCTTCCTCGGCGGCCTCATCTTCGTCCTCAAACTCCTTGGTCGTAATGATGTCTGTCATTGTTGCAACCACAATTGTGTCTTCGATCTTTCCCAACCGTTTGCACTCCTTGATGCATTCTTCTACCTGTAATTGATCTGCGATTCGCTTGACACTTGTTGTGATGACTATCGCACTGCAACGTTTGAGGTAGTCCATCGTGGCGTCGACTCTTGCGCGGTTGGTGTCGGCTATGCCGGGAAGATCAACCAACATGGTGCCTTCATCAAGCAAGCGGCTTCGCAGTCGAATCTGGATTCGACTGATCAAAGGCCAAGACGTCAATTCGCGCCCCTTTGGACGACAAAGCTTGAGGATTTCTCCATGAATTTCGGGAAGCCTGTTGGAAGAGAAGGTCTTGATGCCGCGTCCTTCTTCACAGCCCAGTGTGTCCAGGTATGCAATGACCATTCTTAACAGCTCTGCTTTCACGGCCGCATGTTGGTCCTCTGCGATCGCCGACTGGAAGTAAGTCCTAGCGGCTTCCTTCGAGCGGAAGTCTGATTGATCACCGAGGAGTGACATGAAGAATTCCAAGGCAGTATCGCGCCTTGACTCGTACTCGTCCATGTCCTCGATTGTGTGCTCGTCTCTTGATGCCACCAGCTCTTCATAGATATCCTGAAAGTATTCTTGGACGAATTTCTCGATCTGCTCCGCATTGTGGAAATAAATGGTTGCTTCATATGCCTTGGGCTGATTCGTGCGTGCCTTGACAAATTCTTGGATGACAAGAGTTCCCGTCTTTGTGCCGTCGCTCTCCTTGGTCACATTGACACCAAGCAGTGAATTGATGAGTGACGACTTGCCCGCTCCCATGTCACCGAGAAATCCTATTCGCTTCGGTGGCGGATATTTCTTTTCGAGGAAGCGGCATTCATTGAGACTGTCTGCAAATTTGTCGATCTTGTCGTCTTGAAATCCCCGCTCCTTGAGATCCCTGATGGTTTCCAGCATTACGTCGCAAGTTTCAATTACCATGTTCTCTGTTTTCTTAAAGCTCGGATGGTAGACCGGTAGAGGTGGATACCCTTCTTCACCGTCATTGTACGGCACCGACTTGGGCCTTTCCTTTTTGAGCCTCTTGAATGCTTTTTGCTTGCTCATGGTCTGATTCACAGCCTCAGACGCTTCTCGCTTCGGCGGCATGATGGAGATAGCTTTCCGGTTCAACCGGTCCGGCTTCGACTAATGGATGGGATGCTGTGGTTCTTGGGATCAGCCACGCCCAGATGTCGTCTGGAGGTTTAGTGTGTTGGGTGCAATTCGGTCTTGTTGATGTTGATGTAGAGAATATGGTTTCGAAGAACTTGAAAGCAGCTAGCTATAAGCACAGAATACTGTAAAGCATGTGAAGTTGAGTTCCCAAGCAAATGATCTGGGAAGTGAGGCAGTAGCTCCTGAACATAAAGGTCATCAGCGTCAATCAATCGTACCAGTTGATGGCAAGCCATGGCGGTGAAGCTTTCAAGTGAGGCTTCGAACCAGGCGAATCGCCCATACACATCTGCGGTCCGCAGCCCAACTTCCATGCGCGTTCGGCCCTGCCCTACCGTCTGCTGCTCCATCGCAGGTACCGAGATGAAGACTACGAGACCAGGCGTCCAGTATAGTTCCATATAGATATGGCCAGCAATATTCAGCTGTAGAACTTGAACAGACGCAGCGTATGGAGTACGCGGATTGATGCGAGAGGTGTACATGTAGTTGGCAAAGGTGATGCCTGATGAGCACGCGAAGGGAGGAAGGGTTGACGTGCCCTGTCTTGGCAGCGGCAGACCCCCCATGGAACCTTGATGGGCCAAACATCTCCCGTCCAGCATGGTGATCGCACTCTTCGTAAGAACAAATCATTCGAGATCTCGCGATTCTTTCCTCTTGTCGTTTCTCCACTTTTTGTTTCTTCATTCACACTTCCTTCCAGGTCTCTTGCCAAAGCATTACCCCTCCGGTCGCCCGCTCACAACTTCACGATTAACGATTCCAAAAAGGGGTGATGTGATCTTTCAGCAGATTGCTTAGCTCTGGAGAAGGCGTATGCCATGCTATCATACGTCGTGCTACTCTCATTACTCGCTGACCTCTCGTCTTGCAGAACCAATCCTCGCTACATCCGCCCAGATTGCCGTGGATTAAAGGAGGATATAACGCAAGAGGACCGTGCTGCTGGCAAGCGGTATAACGCTCGTAATGCCTTCGTAATGCCGACCTGGATGACCTCGAATGACCCTCCCGCACATCCGATCCCACCTCGATTCCTTTGCTGCATCAACTTCGATCGTCCCAATGTCGGTCAGGGTCGTCAATCCAGTGAGGCCGTGCTGTCGATATATGCAAAAGTGCGGGCCGTTGGGGTCGTGAGTCTCGTAACTTAAGCGTTCGGGCACATGGCCTGAACATGACCGGGCTGCTTGCAGCGGTAGCACACACGCTCGGAGCTGGTCTCAGATGGGCACTCGCGCGAGAGATGGCCAACCTCGCCGCCTGGGAAATGTTAGCTGAAGGCTTCAAAGGTGGAGGGTACGACTCACAGTTGTAGCACTTCTGGCCCTGGTTGCAATCGCGGCTCATGTGGCCGTAGCCGCCGCAGGTGTAGCAGCTCTGCTGGCTGCGACCACCGCCGAAGCCGCCACCAAACCCTCCGCCGTACGATCCGCCGCCATATCCGCCCTGGGTGCAGTTGCGGGCAATGTGGCCGACCTTGCCGCACTAGAGGAATTTAGCAAGCATCAAATAAGCTGCGAACAGTAGGACGAACCTTGTAGCACTCCTGGCCACCGGAGGCACCACCGCCGAAGCCGCCACGGGCAGAAGAGCCACCGCTTGGGCACTCGCGAGACATGTGTCCCACCTCGCCGCAAGAGTAGCACGACTGAGCATCAATTAGCACGTTGAGCCTGGCCAGCATGCTGGAAGACGATGTATACCTTCTCCTTGGGTGGCTCAGTGCATTCGCGAGAGAGATGACCCTGGCCGCCGCAGTTGTAACATGTCTGCGTACCTATTAGCGATGGTTTCGGTCGCGTCACGAATCACGAAGTACCAACCGGAGTGCCCTTCTGTGGGCAATCTTTCGCCTGATGGCTCGCATCGCCACCTGTGCTCGGATTAGCAGCTGAGATTTCATGTCTTGGCGCGCGAGCCCAAGCCGAAATCGCAAATTTGAGGAATTGATGATCAATCAATACGACGTGAAAGCTGCCATCGGGGGATGCAACGTGATTCAGGCTGCAAATGAAGGAATATGATGGTGGGGAGCAGGAGTGCTCACTCACAGTTGTAGCACGCGCGGCCACCGGTGGCAGCGCCAGCACCGAATGAGTCCATATCGTCGTGGGTCGCTGGTGTCGAGTGATGTGACTGGTTGCTGTTGGTGTGTAGGAGATGGGGTATTCCTTAGCGGTCACGAGCTTTTGAGTTTTGGAGAGTCGTAAAATTTGTCGTTGAAGTGTGTGAGAAGAGAATGCTACCGGCAGCTGCTGATGAGAAAGGTCAAGGCCAAACGCCAATTTTCGCCCCGCAGTGCACGAACTTTCGTCAACGGAACGCGGGACCGGAGGCGAGTGTGACGGCGGGCCACTTAGATTGGCTCGCGTGCGCCCTGCTAAGACTGGGTTGTTGGTGACTGGGGCCCTCGATGTTGCGGCGGATGGAGATTATGTCGTGTTGGCGTCGAGTGTCCTTCTCAAATTGCACGTCTTGTCAATGTCAATATCAAACCTCGATGCAGCCGGTGAAGTCTCGTACGTTGTTTACCAGTGTGAGTCTGGCCACAGAAGCGATCGCTACAGATTGAGTGTGCTCCCACGAGACTAGCGCCGGTCCGGGCCGTTGCACGTGGCTCAAGCTTGCACTCAAACCTTGAACCGAACAGGAAGGAAGGGATCAAGCAGGAAACATGTGACATGCGCGGCTGTACGAGAAGCGCAGGCGCTGTACTATGGATATATGTCTGCCGGTCTAGGTGCATTGATCGCCTGTATCTCATGTAAAGTCGTAAATCACAAGGGCCTGTTTCCCTTGACTCTGTTCCTTCAATACCACCACGTTTTCATCATCAAAGCCGATCCACCCGCGCGTGAGTGTCAGTTCAGAAGGCTCATCCACCGCGTCTTCGCACGGGCCATATCCGTCAGGCAGAGCGACCTGCTTGTCTTTGGCAACCAAGTCAAACCCAGACTGCGCTAACGTGGCCTTTCTTTCTGGCTTAATCTGAACGCTGAGATCGCCGCCAGCGAGTCGCTTTCGAGCTGCAGTCGAAGAGAATCCGCCTTCGAGCTCCCAGACTCGTAGTTCGTCTCCTCGTCGGCTGACTGAAACGGCCTTACCGCGTCTGCAGACCTGTGCTCCCGACACAGAAGAGGTGTGACCCCAGAGCCGGCTACCCGCGCTAACAGACAACGAGTCTGTCGTAGAAGTCACCAGGTAGAGGGTCAGTGTGTTGTCAGGATGAGATACCAAGAGATACGGATGAGTGTAGGAGAGAGAGGTCGGCTTCGAGTGGATGTGCCGGAGCTCAAGTGCTGTCGACGTCCCTGTCCCTGGGATAAACGGTGTGAGGTGATGCATCACTGGCCTACTAGTGAATGCCAGAGGTCGATAGTGCTGATCGATGGCCGAAGCCAATCGCGAATCGAGTAGCTTGCCCTCAGGAGATACAGTGACTTCTTGGATCCCGACGGTCCACCCTGAAAGATATGTAGGGAGCGCGTAAGCTACGCATATAAAGACGGCGGACGACGAAGTTCTTAGACTTGTGGAAAGGGGAGACCAGACAGTATGGGATTTCAGCGAGTGAAGCAGCCGCGGTGGGGCAGTAACGTTCCCTTCGACATCTCTCGCGGCTCCATCATCAAAGCGATACAACGAGAGGAGTTGAGTTGCTGTCATAGTTACAGCATATGGCCATGCTAGTGCAACAGATGACACAACGCCATTCGAGGAAGCTTCGTGGAAGTATCCATGGCAGAACTTTCGCTCCGACTTGTTGAGCAGATACAGGCCAAACGATCCGTCTTCAAACCCTACAACGACTTTTGCATTATCGTCTTCAAGAGTTGTAGCATCAACTGCTAACGCGGTCGGGGGGCGGGTCCTTGAGGCCGGAAAGGCCAGCTGGGCAATCATATCTCGTGGCCCTTTCGCTGACCATGCTCGGAGCCCATCTGCGTGGTCAACCGTATATATGATTCCGCCGTGCATTTGCACAAGGATGGGTGGTATAGCAGCTTCCTCTGAGACCGGTATTGCATTGACCGCACTGGGACTCCCTTTTGTCCAATTATGTCGGAGTTTGTACTGCTTTTTGAAGTCCGTTTGGCCGGCGCTCTTGACAAGATGGTCCTCGTCCAACCATCTCGATGCCTTGGACGCAAAGTTCAGGCTGTCATTGAATGCTCCCAGCTCTTTCAGTCCCGGTAGTCGGCTGGCTCGCGGCCTCACGAAGCGGTTGTAGTAATGCGACTTCCATAGCTGGCCGTCTCCCGCGAGTTTGTGGTATTTGTGAGATATTCTGCAGATTTAAAGTTATTATGCGTCACGGGTATGTGAGGGCGAGAAGTATAGAAAAGTAGACATACCTTTGACATACTATCAGTTCGGATACTGGGAGGAAGGAGAGCACCTTCAGCAACAGCTCGTTGCTCAGTCGTGACATGTGGTCGACCGACGCCGGTCTGATGCGCTTTGCGTCCCGGGTCGACTCCGCATGCTCATCGCCTTCCTCCCTTCCTCGCTTGCCCATCGTCGCAGTTGTTGTTCCGTTCGAGATGTCCGACGGAAGGAAGGACAAAGCTGTCGCAACTCGAGGGCCTCATGGAGTGGCATGATGCCTGAGGCACGCAAAGTGCTTGGCGCAGATCGTCCGTACCTCTTCCCCGCGCGTCCACTTCGAAGTCGCGTCCACACGTCTGTCAATCGCAGTTGCAGCCTGGGAACAGCATGTAACTCGCTATCAATCGCGATTGGAAAGGATTACAGTATTATCACAACTACGACAAAGTACTCTGCTTGCGCACAAAGGTCACTTTCAACGCACCTACCGCAGGCCCAGACAAGGACGCGCAGATGAAGGCTCTTGCGCCGGGATCACAATGGCTGGTCACATATATCATGACCACGAGCCGACGTTGCAGGATGCCATGAGCACGATCGCCCGACAAGCGATCCGCATCTCTCAACTCGAAGCAAACAATGCAGCTCTTCGCGCGCAATTGGAGTCAACAGCACAAGCCTATGGATCCTCAAGATCGCAGGTCAATGATCCGCCTGCTTATACGCCTGCTCCTGGATCTGCCTCGAGGAATATGACAGATGACAACCAGGGACAAGAAATATCCGGAAAGACTGGAGGATCGGCAGACTTGATGGCCCAGCACGAAGAATTGAAGGCAAGACATAGTCGGCTGGAATCCGAGCACGCAGAGTGCGGGCCAAGGATCGAAAAGTATCGCGAGAAGGCACGGGAGGCGAAACGACGTTGCCAAGAGTGGAAGGACTGGCGAGAGAAGAGAATAAAGGAAGGGAAGATCCAAGACGAAAATGGTCTTCATCTAACGCCACAGGAAGGCTCTAGGATCGACACTCCTGGACGTGTGGCTGCTCATGCAGTCGCTCCTGCAGCAGGGATGGAAGAGACCGCGGCTGGGACTGATATAGTCTCGAGTAGAGCAGCGACGGCTGCCATCTCGTCCGATCTACCTTCGAGTCCACCTAAATCGTCCTCTGTTGCTGCTCTACCGAGGGTGACATCAAGCCAGACGACTGCAGACGATGTTTCAGAACCCAATCGGAGCTTCGCGGGCCCTAAGAGCTTCCAGAGTAGTGATCCTGTGGTCGTTTCTGCTCGAGCCGTGAAACGCAAAGCTGCTGCTGCTCCCACCAGCGAACTATCAGCGCAGCGTGTCAAAATTAAGGAGGAGCCAAATTCGCCAGGAACAGCAATTGAATTGAGATCTGATGATTACAGTAGCCCAAGGAGAAATTCTCGACGGCTTTTCAGTACAGAAACCACAGATCTAGATGCTAGCGGACCCCATATGATCACACCTCGCCGACGAGACTTCCCCATCAATCGGGGTCCGAGGGCCACTTCTGAGGAAGCTGTACGAGCTGCTCCGCGCCTGACAAGGGCGGTGTCTTCTTACTCCGATGGCGATCTGGCTTCTGAGATAGGTGTACAATCAGATCTCAAGATGGAGTTACCTTCCACTTCCCGACAGATTGATATCGGACGGAGTGAACTTGAGCCTGTTAAACGTTTACAAGGGCAACAAAACAGATGGTCTGACAGCGCTCTACAGCCTCTTGAAATCAATGTTCCGAATCGGCCGCGCAGACATAATCATTGGTCCGCCAGCAAATCAAAAAGAAGGCGAACAGGCTCTAAGGGACACATTGCATTACTTTCTGAAGGCGGAGATGAAGAAAGCCAAAGCGCACCTAATCACGACGAGAGACACGAGACAGCGACTGAGGATGCAACGGATGGCCGGCGTCTCGACGATCTGCTTAACAAGCGTTCGCCGGAAAAGACGCCTACGTTCGTTCGCCAGCCTTTAGAGAAAAGGATAGACGGAGCAAAACTTGGGAAGTTTCCGCACCTACCCACTCCCATCTCGGCTGTGAAGCAACCTCCAAACAGCGCAAAGCCGAAGGTCAAAGCGATGCTGCCCTGGATCCTGGCGACACCTGTATCTGCAGCGAAGCGGCCTTCTCCTGTCAAAAGAAAAAGCCTGGCCAAGCAACCTGTTGACCAAGGGGAGCACCCGCCTGGTGTTGAGCCCGATCATGAGCCTCTCCGAATCCGCGGGCTCGATCGCTTAGGTCTCGATGATTTCAAAATCAATCCCAGGTACATGGGGACAGACTTTGCGTTTGCTGACACGCTCCGTAAAAGAGATGAGCGGAGGCATCTGATTGCTTCCAACCAGCCTGAACTTGACAAAGCCATAGCGATGGGCGATGCTGCCTCGATGTCGGGCAAGACGGATGCTCAAGCGCTGGCTACCTTTCTTGGATCGGGTTGGGAGGATGTAATGGGAGGCTACGGGCCCGCTCAACGCAAGGACATTGTTGCGCAGGCGCATGTGCATTGCTTCACAATGCAACATGGCAAGCAGCGTCAGGCATTTCAGCGCCGAAGTACACCGCCTGGTTTTTGGGAGACGGGATTTCCGACGACTCAAGAATCGGCACAGAATCGTGCCAGAGCTCACGAGATGGAACGGCAACAAGTGGCCGAGAGATGGAGAGAAGCCATGCGCGAGAATGGGAGATGGATGTTTCGAGACGAGTAGCTTTGGATGGGATCGCGGGAGGACGACGTGCACGAGAATGCCATGATGTGGTGCGCTGGCGGCGACACTTGATGAGGGCAAATACTATGATGGGAATGAAGACACACGGAAAGTAACAACAGCTAGAACATTGCTATCATAGACTTTGTTCCATACAAGTCCATGCATTATAGGGTATCCTGTTCCGTGAAAAGATTCACCAGATATCGCAACGCCAGTGGTGCCCACAATGGGCATTCCAGAAAACGAAGTGGATAAAAACGCCTTCGATATCTCGTCGTGAAGTCATGTCCCAAGCCGCAGCAATATCGCGCACACGCTCGTATAACGCACTGGAAGTAGCGCTCCGATTCCAGTTCAACCGAAGATTACCATCTCGACAGACAACAGCAATTTGGTGCCGCCAACGCCCTTACACATACATCATCGACAAACCACACCCATCTCCGCGACCGACTACTTCCCAAAGGCCTGCGCAGGAGCACCGGTGCACCACCTCTCGAGATCCTCAAGTCTGGACCGCAAGGCCTGCACTTCCGTCTTGAGCGCCGAGTTCTCCTTGCCCAGCGCACCGATGTGTTCGATGGCTCCATTCAGAATCTCACACTTGCTGGGCTTGACGCCCTCTCCCATGCCATCGCCGGGCTTCGACGCACCGGCAGAGCGCTTCGATGCCAGCGAGGGCACGGTCTGTCTCAACTTGTCCAGGTGCGCATTGAGGTTCTCGCGATATCGACGTTCGACGGCGGTGTGGGGGATACGCTGGCGCTTCCTGCCACGTGGCTTGGTATCTTCACTGGGGATGTATTCGTCATCTTCGTCCTCGCTGCCGGATCGCTTGATGGAAGGAGTTCCAGAGGTAGCGAGGACAGCGCCCCTGCGTGGCCGCTGTTCCGGTGCGGCCGGAGCAGTGATGGAGCGGATAAGATTCGGTCTTTCTTCCTTGACTGCTATATCAGGAACCTTGGCACATGGTTGATGAGGGCTGATGTTCCCGTGGGAGCTTCGTGGGCTTTGAGCGGACGAGTCGACGCGTTCGTGTCTGGCTGAAGATGGGAGATCAAGATGGTGGCTGGGATTGCTGGTATGCCTCATGTTGTGGTACCCATCCACCACGTCGCTGGGGAAACCGGCCGTCGAAGGAGTGCCAATGTCCATGTCCGAGCCCCAATTCGTGTCTGGCACATAGCCCATATGCGGCGAAATGAGCGAGCTTGCATCGCCGTTGAACGAGGTGTGGTAGTCCGCCGAGTCCGTGTGGAACATCCTAAGATCCGTATCGTGCATACCACTCATCGGTGCACCATGGGATTCTGTCCAGTAATGGTCAATGGGCAGAGACATCTGATGGTAATGTTGTCGACGCCATACGTCGTTAACGCCTTCGGCCATGGGGTCAAGAGGTGGATGTGGTAGCAGAAAGAAATGCATGCCCACTGGAAGTATGGCAGTCATGGAGCAGAATTCTCAGAATTGGCTTCCGCAAGGTCAAGGATCAATGAAGCTGCAAAAGGGTTGAAGTGCGGCTCAAGCTCTCAAACTCTCCAGAGTACCGGCGTTGTTTGTTCAGAAAGGGAAGGGCAAGAGGTATAGTAATTTGAAGATTCACAACATCTGAGAGTGCGCACGCACCTCTTGTTTGTTAAAGACCTTCGGCTGCCAAAGACTCTTTCCCACACTCAGTTACCTCTGGCCCAAGGACGAGGCACCCGCACGCCGCATTTCTCAACCAGGCTGCAGAGCCCTGGCCATAGCTAAGCCTAGCAAGAACTCTAACCCGGACACACCGGTAGGCTTAAGGCTACACAGCCAGCAAGCCTCGGGGAGGCCTCCGTCTGTCACAAGTGGTCGACGGCATCGCTCGGAACAGCGAGCGAAGATAGTGGCTGTCGCAGCCATGCAGGCAAGGACTTGGCAAGAAGCCCAAGAATGTCAAGCTGTAGATGCTGTGCCTGCAAGTCGGACTGTTTGCTTCGGGTCCAGAACAATCTTCAGCGCACTCGTACGCCAGAACGTCGACTACAAAGTGACACCGCAACGCCTTGTTGGAATGAGCTTGGTGGCTTTCATTTCTGCGCAAGTGATTGGGCGGGTGTGCTTCGGTATGCCAGGCTGCACTATAGACACGTGGGCTAGCCGAGAAGCACAATCAGCCTTAACGATTAGGTGGCTGTCCATAGCAGAGCTGAAGTCCTCGTGCGGAGCGAACCGTGAAAGCCAAATGCATCCAGTGTCGTGCGGGCCATGCGAAACCCGTGCTATTATCCCCACGGCGCGCTCTTCTCACCGTATGCTCCCTCATCGACTTTGTGGCTGCGAAGCGGGTCCTCCATGCCACGCGCGGGATATCATTCTTTTCCAGACTCTGGACTCCGTTTCCCGATTGCCGATTTGGGACTTAGTTCAAGCCCCCGAAGCACAACTTCGCAGTGCGAGAATAATGCGGGGCTGCTTCGAGAAGCAATCAGCGACGTCGATGGCATCTTGCGGCTTTCCAGTCTGGCGACATCCAATGTCGATACTTTCGCTCTCATTCGGTGTTGTCCAATCCAGCTGAAAAAGGAGATTCATGGCACGTGACGATTTGGGAGGACGCCTCGCTGCGGAATCCAAGCCTGCAATGCCAGGGCGTAGCACGCAGGTTGCGGCCGTATGATTGTCTGCATCTTCGCAAATGAGTCTGCTCGATTGAGCGCTTTGGGAGCCAACAAACAAGGATCAACCACTGCGTGAGGGCTGGGATCGCGAACTGAAGATTAGCGCGGCTGTCAAAGGTTTAGTACTTTGCCTACTTCGTCCATACAAAGGTGCGGCCTCAAATCTCAGCCCCGGTATGAAGCAAATCGTGCACCCCTAGCTCCAAATGCGCCCTTCCCGATGACCACCTGGGCTGATCGGGACGCCTACGACTTGTTGATGCTCACGGTCTTATCCTCTTCAATGAGAACGTTGCTCTTCGCACCCATTGCTTGCACACTCTGCATGACACTTTCGGAGGTCTTCGCAGCGAAGCCTTTGATGAGGTTGTATTCGTGGCTGGTCGTTGGGTTAGCTCATGACAGGCGTCGATCAAAGGGGCAGGCTGCCTACAGAATCACTCCGCCCTGGACGCGCAGTGAGCTTTACATCGGCAACTAAAGTGGCGGCGCGAGACCTACTGCCTTCCTCACGGCTTCCTTCGCCTCCTCAAGGACGTACTCAGGAGTATCCTTTGGGTACGACACGATCACCTGCTTCGAGGGTTGTTCCGCCGCGAATGCGAGCACCACCAAACAAAGGATAAAGAGAAAGCTGATTGAGAGTTTCATACTGGCTGTTGGTGCTTGTTTTGAGGAGATTCGTCAATTGATATCGGTGTTAGTTGTGTGCGCATGTTTCGCGCGTGGTCTCGTAGCGGGTGAATGCGGGCAGTAACAAAGATCGAGACAAACGTCATGGAGATCGATCGGCCGGGACTGCTGCCAAGGCTTACATAAATCCAGCGAAATGCGCGCTAGGCTTCATTACGTTAGGCGCCGTTGCCTGCCTCTACCTTCCACGGCTGACAAGCACTTCACCATCCATCTGCAACAACACTTCTCATCCACACCAAACCCTCCTCTTCAGCCCAATACGCCTGAGCAAGCTTCAATACTGAATAACAGTGGTTCCTGTCAAGCGCGCCACCCATCTCACGGTCAACGAGGCGCCAAGGCCTCCGCCGTGGTGAATTCTAGCAACCTCCGGAGCATCCTCACCATCTTTCCACTGGTCTAGCCCACGGCACGCAAGACTCAAGCGCTGGAGCACGAAGATTTGGGATCAAGGTCATCGTGGGCGTGAGCTGGCTGTGGTCAGCGGGCAGAAAGAGCTTCGGGAGCTGTAATATCGACGTGGAGGCCGCATTCAGGCCACGGTGCTGAACATTAGCTAGCAACCAGTCACTACACCTGTTGCCCACTTCGTCATCTCCACGGGCTCTTCATTTTGCCGCTGTTCACTTGAGTGGAACCTCTGCTGCAGGACCCCCTGAAGCACGTGAAGCACGTGCCAATTTTTGGCGGCACTCTGTTCCTATTGTCCTCATTGAGGCCCCTCAGGAACAAACGCCAAACGCCAGAGTAGATAGCGAATTTCTGCATTTTGAAGTGTCTCGTCTCCTTCGCGTGAAGTCGTCATGTCTTCCAGGTCGCCGAGAGGCTCGCTCTCGGGTGCGTCAACCTCAGCTGAAGTCGCTGCCGACTTTGCGGAGTCACTGAGAGATCTTCAAAACAACAACCGCTATGAGATCAGTAACCTCACCATCATCGCCAAGGAGAACACCGAGCACGCTCAAGAGATCTCGAAAGCACTCGAGAATCACATCAAGACGGTAAGGAAGATTGGGTACCTTAGGTCACATGACCTAGTGCTCCTTTCTGTCGTGCGATGATTGCTGACTCTCCAACAGACTGCGGCGACGCGAAAACTCCCTGCACTTTTTGTGCTTGACAGCATTGTCAAGAACGTCGGAACTCCGTATACCGTGTATCTCGGCCGCAACCTCTTCAGCACGTTCATGGACGCCTATACCCTCGTCGACGCTGCCACTAGGAGACACATGGACCAGATGCTCAAGACGTGGAAGGAGCCGGTACCGGGCTCGATAGACCCTCGATCGGTCTTCCCGGTGGACACTGTGAGGCCCATCGAGAATGCGCTCATCAAAGCGAAGACTGCAGCACTTCAAAGCTCGAGACCGCCGAACGCTGCCTACAGAGGTACCGCGACACCACCCCAGCATTACGGACAATTTGCGACTCCACCGCAACAGCTTACTCCACAACCATATGGTAGATACCCAAGTCATCAGGTAAGTTGCTCTCGCTTCTACGTGTGACTACCCATCGCTGACAGAATCCTAGTCCACGCCGCAACCGTATGCATCAAATCCGTACACTGCGCCGGGGCAGCCACCACTCCATGACGTCGAATCGATCAAGCATGAAATTTCACTTCTCATTCCACGGTTTCACCAAAAGATAGCCATGACACCTCACGACTCGCAGCTGCGTAGTCAATTGTCAGCACTGGAGACGTTGAATAGCATGCTTGATTCTCGGCCGTTCAGTCCGCAAGAACTTCAGCAGATCCGCACCCAGGTATCCGGCCTTTCTGCAGCTCTTCCGCCGCACCATTATGCACCACCAGCGCCCAAGCCTGTACCTACACCGCAGTGGCAGCAGCCTGTGTCCTTCCCACCGCCACACCAGCCGCCTCCACAAGCATTCCCAGCAGCAATACCGTTGCCTCTTCATAACCCAACTGCTGCGGCCCCACCTCTACCACCAACAGCGATCAACAACTTACAGGCACTTCTGGCGAGCGTGCCAAAACCAAGCACACCGCAGATGCGCGCCGCGATGCCCGAAATTCGTGATGCGAGCCACTCGCAGCTCCATACGCTACAGAACAACGTAGCGGCGCCAACTACTAATGGAGCATCGGACCTCCTCTCTTCTCTGGCTCAAGCTGGCTTGATGAAGCCGCCGACAACCTCGATGCCAATGCCTTTCAGTGCTCCTCCGGCGACCGCGACACCGGCAGTGGATACAACTGCGTCGCTGCTCAAGTCCTTGCAAGGCATACTCCCGATGCCGGCGGCCAATACACCGACACAAATGCAACCTGCTTTACCATTAGGTCTGGCCCCTGGACCGGTGACAGCTAAGAATTTGAAGGTCTTCCGACCCGAGCTTGTCCACGCGCTGTACGATGCGCAATCGAACCAGTGTAATATGTGTGGCCGGCGGTTTGCAACTACAGAGGAGGGGCGAGAGAAGAAGAGCCGTCACCTGGACTGGCATTTCCGAACCAACCAGCGCATTGCGGACCCGAATGCGAATCGTGGACATCATCGGAATTGGTACGTGGATGAGATGCAGTGGGCGCAACAAGTGGAGTTCGACCCCTCCACGACGACGGCAAGCGCAGCAGATGCGGCAGCCTCGGCGGCGAAGCCGAAGAAGGGACCGCAGGATCAGACGATTCGCGCGCCGCCTGGCATGACGAAGAACACATGCAACATCTGCTTCGAGGAGATGAGGATATCGCGCTCGGAGGACCAACAGGACTGGGTGTTCACGAACGCGACGAAGCAGGGCAACAAGATTGTACACGCCACGTGTCTGACGGAGATGATGAAGGGAGCTGGTGGCAGTGGTGCAGGAGGATCGCTGGCGGCGGCATTGGCCAGCGTGGGTGGGGGTCAGCGGGAGCGTAGCGCAACGCCCGACTCGCTGCTGGGGAAGAGGAAGGCCGAGTCGTCGATGGGAGGAGGATCCGTACGCTTGAAGACAGAGTGAGTGAGGGACTTTTGGGGTGGAAGAGTACATTTTGCTTTGCTTCAGCGAGGCGCTGGTGGGTCAAGTGCTTTGTTGCTCTCACAGAGGCCCGTCATTACTGCATTGCATTTGGGCATGGCCCAGGTATGGAGGGCATTGTAACCGTAGCGTAGATAAGGGGAGATAAGATAAGAGATCCAGCGGTCCATCCATCCATGTCACCTCTGTGCTTGCCAGTCTGGAGATGATCCTTTCGCCGCTGTGCACACACATGCATTGGTCTTGGCGTGTTCGGTGAATGCAAGCCGAGCACGGGATCTCGGTCGGGCCGCAAGCACGGGGTGGAGCTGGAAAGTTCCTCGCTTTGCGGCCTACATACTGTAGATTGTGTAACATCCTGCGACACAGCATGTGAAGAGACGACGTCGCACGCGAATATCGACGGTATCTGCATCGGCATCGGCATCGGCATCTGCATCTGCATCTGCATCCGCATCCGCATCGGCATTGGCATCCGCATCCGCATCCCACGCCGCGACGCCCACGACGAATAGACAAGGCGCGCCCGTCCGCGTGACCTGACTGGATTGGACTGGAGTGAGTGAGAGTGGTTTCACACACCCGTAAGACGCACACCCACGTCTTGTCTTGTCTCGTCTCGTCTCGTCTCGTCTCGTCTCGTCCGGCAGGCAGTTCTGCATCCCACCATCTCGGATACCGATTCGCTCACACACACAACACTCCCAGGATCGTGACTCGCACTGCCGACAGGACGGCAACGGCCCATCACACCGTGGGAGCCGTGCTCCTCGCATCCGCATCCGCATCCGCATCCGCATCCGCATCCGCATCCGCCGCATCTTGGGGGCTTGTCTTTGGGCAGCATCCGCACCTCTCACGCTCGCTGCCACCGCCCCTCCGCGATCGCGACTGGCGGTGTATGCACCGGAATCTGCGCTCCGCCACGGCAGCAAGGAAGCTCCCTGGACTTGCGCCATAGCGCTACCGTACTCTCTTGTTCTGGCCGTCATCATGGAGGTAAGGCACTTGGCGGCACTCGCCCTTCCTGCTTCCCTCATACCCATAATCATCACAAGACGGCGTACTGGCGGGCCACCTCCAGTCCTCCTTCACATGCCACGTCATGCCGTGCTACCACCACCACCCCTCCCTCGCCTTGGCCCTTCCGGCGCGGGCCCGGCCATTTGACTGAGATGTGATCTATCATCAAACGACTCCGGCGACCTCAACGACGGCTGGCCACGTCCGTCCGCACTGTGTAAGTCTTTCGAAACTGCAACGTCAAACGCACCCAGTCATCCAGTGCGACCTCCCAGTCAAGACCAGTAGCATTCCAGTCGAATACTGCTCGGGGCACTCGATCCAACTCTCCAGTCACCTTCTATAAGTCGACAAGACAGACAGCTCATCCATTCAACTCTTCTGACGTTCATCTTCCACAGTCCCCTCTCCCAACATGCGCACTCTCTTTTCCGAGAACATCCTCAGTCCTCCGCCCAAGCCTGCGCCCCCCAACAAGCCGAATCCATTTGAGCTTTCGTTTCAGTCTAGCGTGACCAGCATTCCGCCCAGTTCGACGACTTCGTCGCATAGCTCTCCTCCTCAGAACGATTGGTTGACCGATTACTACCAGAGCCAACAACGAGACGGCAATCACCAGACGAGCCACGATGCGAGCGCCAGATATGGCCTCGCACGGCGGAAAGGCAACCCTAAGTTGCTCTTCATGGGCATGAGAAGGCAAGCTCACCCATCTGTCAGCCCTGAAGTCATGATGGCTAACGACGCACTACCAGGAGTGGAAAGTCTTCAATCCAGAAGGTCATTTTCGAAAAGTTCTCTCCAGCGGAGACGCTCTATCTCGACCCTACAACGCGAACAGAAACGGCGACCCTAGAGTATGTCCGTCCAATCGACTTCCCTAGCCACCGCACTCCCGTTGACCTCTCCCCCAGATCGTTCATGAAGTTCGAAAGTGCCGAACTCCCCTTCAACCTCCCCATCCTCTCGCCAGACTTCGACCACCACTCCGTCTTCAGCACCGCAGGCGCCATCATCTGGGTCATCGACATGCAGGACGAATACTTCCAATCAATTAACCAACTCATCCAAACCTCCACCATCCTCCTCGAGCACTACCCACACCTCCACTTCGAAGTCTTCATCCACAAATCCGACGGGCTCAGCGAGGAATACAAATACGACACTTTCCGCGACGTCCGACAACGGGTCCAGGACGAATTATCCGATAATGGATTCGCCGCCCGCGGAGTTTCGTTCTATTCCACTTCCATCTTCGATCATTCCGTCTACGAAGCCATGAGTAAAGTCATCCAGAAACTCCTCCCGCAGCTGCCGGCGATGGAACAACTCCTCAACAAACTCTGTTCCGCCTGTCGAATCCAGAAGGCCTATCTCTTCGATACCATCTCAAAGCTCTACCTGGCCACAGACGCTAGTCCGACGTTTCTGAAAGATTACGAAGTCTGCTCCGATTACGTAGACGTGATTGTCGACATCAAGCAAATCTACGGCTGGCAGACCCGTGGCCAGGACGGCGTACTCGTAACAGACAAGAGCAACGAAAGCGGTGCTGTTGGCGAGAGTCTCATAACATACGACAAGAACGGGAACACTTATATCTACGCCAGGGAGATCAACGAGTTGAGTTTCCCCCTTTCTTCTTTTCTTCTCCTTACCCCTCCCTGTTTGCTTTTCAATTTTCATCATGCTGACTGGCATGCTGCTGCTGCTGCTGCTGCTGCAGCTATCTCTCCCTCATCTGTGTCATGGGCCAAGGCAGCACGGCCGACAAACGAGTGCTCATCGACTACAACGTCAGCGTCCTGCACGACGCCTTGACGCAGATGTTCAAGCTCTGAATCTGACGGATCCCTGCACAAGCTGACGGTGAGAAAGAGAGACACAAGCTTGTTGGGGACAGCGCAGCACAGTACAGCGCAGCACTCGCAAAACCAAAAAGAAAAGCAGGATATGACTGTGCCGCAGCAGGAGGAATGTCGGCAACGCACGTGCAACAACGACAACGACGACGACGACAACAATAACAACAACAACAACAACAACAACAACAACACCAACAACATCAAACACCAACAACACCAACAGTGCAACACATGCATGGAACGCATGTATGTATGTATGTATGTATGTATGTACAGATGTACGTAGTGTATCTACGTCCAATGCCAACCAACCAACCAACCAACCCATTGTTACTCAAAACTTGACACCATGTATGTATGCCATGCCATGTAAGCACAATTCGTCATCATTCACTCACTCACTCACTCACTCACTCACTCACTCCCTCCCTCCCTCCCTCCCTCACCCAAATCACGTGCACGCTCTGCATCAGCAAGGAAGAAAAAAAAAAAAAAGGAAGACACACAGCTTCGAGAGAAAAGGCCGAAACAAGCCAAAGAGAGAGAGAGAGAGAGAAAGATCGACAGATAATGAGAGAAACAGTATAAGAAAGCTACAACGTACGTATTGAGGAGGAAAAAAAAACCCCCCCGGGGCGGGGGGTTACTACAAGATATTTCTTCCACATGATGATGATGATACTATCCGATCCTGGCACAGCTGGATTACGCTTTCCGAACTTCCGCTCCAGAGCTAAATGGTGGTAAAAAGGAGGGCCCGTCTTTTCGCGCTGCTGCTTCTTCTTCTTCTTCTTCTTCTTCCCCTACGTCTTCTCCTCCACTACAACAACGGCGTGTCCGCAATATGTAGATATACGTAACCTTCGCAGAACATTTCAAACTCCCAATGTCCAGCTGGCCACGCCAAGAACGGGCCCCGGGATTCGATGTATGGGGTGTGTTTTGGAAATTACCAGGTGCTGCTCATCAAATCGCTCAGAGTGGGGTGGGTATCCGCGACTTCGGGGAGGGAATTATCATGCTTTCGTCGTCGACCATCCATGTGCACAGTTTCCATACCGACAAGAGCGGACCTTGCTCGCGTCACTTCTTCCTTCTTCCATTTTTGTCTATATCCAAGACCTCTCAATTACGCCCCGTCGTCTTGCCCATCTACATTATCATCAGCCATCAGCATGGCAGCTGCTCTCAGCCGCTCTCAACCCCGGGCGGGAGGGCATGTTGACGCGCATCTCGTGAACCGCGCGTGTCGCCGGTCCTGAGCAGCCTCTCTATCTGAATCTTGCGGAGCAGCGACCCATGACTTCTCCTTGGCAGACGAGCTCGGCGTTGAATTCCGAACCGTCTAGGGTGAGATAGATATCGAAGTAGACACGGTAGAAGGTTCCTTGAGGTGTGTCCATGCGTTCGAAGTCCTTTTCGAGGTTCTTTCGGCTGAGATCGGATGTTAAAGTGACGATTTCCTTGATACCTAGAGAATGTCAGTGCTTGCGTGCGTGTGGGTCGTGATCGTAGTGACTTACGTGGGTCCTTGGTATATTCAGGGCAAACGTCCTCGTCGCAGGCATACAGCACGTCCTCGTACATGAGGGTAGCACCCGGAGCCACTTGTCGGAAGAAAGAGACTTTGACTGGTTCGCCAATCTTGACCCTTTGACCCTTCTGCACGAAGATCTGCCTGGTGTATTTGCAGCGGTCTTTGCCATCCAGAGATGGAACGCGGTATTGCTCTGGATGGTGACCCTCCTTGAACGGCTGCAAGGTCGCCATGAGGTAGTGTCTTCGCGCAACACGCGAGGTGATGACACGCTCGGTAATACCGGCAGTGACAGCGCCCTTGACAATCGCAGCGACGGAATCCATGGGGCGTACAACCTTGTTCTGGAATTGCGGCGGCACATGTAGTTTGATCTGCTGGAAGAGGTATTCGGACGCACCGAAACCACCGACAACGAGGACGTTCTGCGAATGGTCAGTGTCTGTTTCTGGCGCACAGCAACGCGTTTGAGACTCACTTGCAAGGCTCTGTTCTGTGCCTGGATTGCAATGATCTGGTTCCTAACCAGCTCCAGAATCCGGTTGACCACAGGCTCGAAGCACTGCAGAATCTCTTCGTTTGTGAAGGTCATGTATCCTTCCTCAATGCCAGCTTCGGGGAACTCGGCCTCAATTCCAACGTCAACCGCCCACTTCTGCCCATTGTTTCGGAAATCAGCCTTGATTCTGTTCTCAAAGTCCATGATACACTTCGCGTAGACCTTGCCTGCTGTTTTTGAGCCATCCGGGAGCTTCATCTTTCTAATCTTCGCTCGCAGAATGTTGGAGAAGTTACGGTTCAGCGCCGTAGAACCGCAAGAGTCACCGGAACCAGCTGTACATTCGGCGACGGTGAAAGGAGATTCCTCTTCGACTTCGTAGGCGATCAAATCAACAGTACCACCACCGCAATCGACAATCAACACGGCATCGTGGACTTTGAGGCTCAGGAGACCAGTCTTGGAGCAGAACATGGCTGCCGCTTCAGGCTCGGTGATCAGCGTCAATCGATTGTCGTTCTCATCGCGGAGGAATCCGGCTTGGATTGCAGCTGCTCTTGTCGCGGCCTTTCCAGCGTCGTTCCAAATGGCTGGTACCGTCAAGAAATATCTAATGTTCCGCTCTTCTCGGTTGAACACCTCACCCAGAGTCTTTTGCAGCTGGTTTCGCATGGCTTGTCGGAGCTTGAACAGGTAGTCGGCCGCAACATCGATCTCAGACTTGCCTGGTGGAAGCGGTGGGAGGTTGATGGGATCTATGTAAGTGTTGCCGCTGAGCATGAGCTGCAGCTTGAACCACTCCACCTTTTGCACACCAGGCTTGGGATAACCTGTAGGTGCGAGGGCTTCGGCAATATCTGGACCCCAGCCGACGACTTGTTGATGCTGGTCGTAGTAGAGGACTGTTGGGATCTAGTGTAGGGGGTCAGTAAGCTGCGAGGTTGCGAGGCTGCGAGGCTGAGCGATGCCGTATGCTTACCTTTTGCTTCGTCTGCGTACCAGCACCTGGCCATTCGACGATGATATCCTCTTTGGCCTCGGTGTTGGTCGCAAAGGCGAAGGCGACACCAGAGAAGGTAGTGCCCTGTGAGGTGGAACATATAGTCAGCATGTGTGCCGAGACGTCGAGTACGGGTTCATACGTACGAAATCAATGCCCACGATCAGCTGTGCCTTGCTGCGCGCGTTGCCCTCCATCTCCTGTCGTGGGTAGCCTCCGTGTTGTTGGACTGCTTGTGGTGCATAACCGCCGTAGCCTTGCTGTTGCTGCATCGGATAGCCTGGTGGGTTGGGCTGCTGATACATCTGCTGCTGATGTTGCGGCGCGTAGGCGTGGCCACCGGCACCACCATTACCACCACCACCACCAGCAGCACCGGTGTTGATGGGCGGCGGAGGCATTGGACTCGTGGGCCTACCCGCGTTAGGATGCGCACCAGGAGGACCTAGATTTGTATTGCCGGAGCTGGCATACTGATATGACGGTGGGCGACCCAATGGCTGCTGCCCTCCCTGCGGCTGGTTATTGTTCATCGCCAGCGAGGTCGACGAAGCGTTTGCTGACTGGTTGACGGAGGTCTGAGAAGCGTTGGGAGGCGGCGGTGAGGGCGAGGCGGCGGTGCTTGCGGCAGCGGAGGAGGGGTTGGGCGCGGCGGAACCGTTGGTGGTCGCCGGCGGGCCCGGGGAGGAGGTGGGCGGGGCGAGGTTGGTGTTGGAGGAGAGACCAGAGGACTGGGTGGTGAGGGAGTTGTTGCTGGAGGACCTGCGAGTTGAGCCGACTAGCTTGCGGAAGCGCTGGTTCATAGACGACATGGAAGGAGGAGCGGTCGGGCAGGCTCTACATGGGCCTCCGCTGGCACCTGAAAGTTTTCAGGCTGACGGGAAGGGGAGCGGGAATATGGGGAGAGCGGGAGCGATAGCGATAGCGCTTTGGACAAGCACAGCACTGGACACTCTCGGATAGGTGGTGTCTGCACTTGCGTGCGCTGGAGTTGGCTCGGAGGCTGAATTGGGCCTTGGGCTGGGCTAGGCTAGGCAGGCGCGCGCGCGCGAGGTTGCAGTGCTGCGTCCGGTGCGCTGGGCAGACAAGTCAGGCAGGAGCAAGTGTGTGAGCTAGGCCGGGTGAGCGACAGGGCAGCTGGTAGGTAAGGTAGCTGGCAGGTGCGGGCGGCAGGTAGATTGGCAGGCGCGAGGCTCTCAGTGTGCAGGTCCGAGACGGCGGGTCGGATGGGATGGGATGGGATGGATTTGGCGGCAGGTGCACTCGGTCGGACGGTCTACTCTGACCGTCTACTCTTATGGTCTGTGGGGGAGAGTGTCTGGGTCTGAGTCGGAGTCGAGACGTTGCGGGCGTGAAGGTTGATGGGGCGGATCGGGGATCGGATGGGCGATGGCGGTGCAGTGAAGCAGGGTAAGGTAGACGCCCGAGCGAGCAGCGGCGGCGGATGCGGATGCGGGTGCGGGTGCGGGAGACGAGGGAATTGCAATTGCTGACACCGGACGAGGGCAGCGACTCTCGGGGCAGCGACTGCCTGGCCTGGGGCAGCAGGCTGTGAGAGCTGCGGTCGTGGTGCGTTGCAACTTGCTGTGCGCACAGGACTGCCTTCTGGGGCGAAGCGCGGCGCGGTGCGATGCGATTGGCAGCAGCGAGGTGAGTAGAGCAGGGATGCGTCCGATCGCGGTTGGGAGGTTCGCAGCTTCCGTCGCGGTCGTGCTGGTGCTGATGCTGGTGCTGATGCTGGTGCTGTCGCTGGCGCTGGCGATAGGGCGGAGGTGAGGTGCGCGAGTAGGGGTAGGCAGGTCAGGCGCGGGAAGGAGGTGGGGAAGAGAGCAGACAGCAGCAGTAGCAGCAGCAGCAAACGACGCGGAGGAAACAGGCAACAGGACAGGACAGGTGCGGTGCAGTGCAGTGCGGGAGCGGTGGTCGCCGCTGTTGCTGCTCCAGAGCTACTATGTGCACCGTCCGCAAGATCAGATTTCCTCCTCCAACATCCCCCCCCGCAACACTCATCAGGTAGGGAGCCTCTAATACAGGGTCACGCCCGCAGTCGAACAGAACAAGACCAGGGCAGCGCAGCGCAGGCGGTGCAACCAACTCTCGCCCACCTCACCCTTGGCACGCCCGAACACCTTCCCAAGCATCCTCTCATTCGATCCCGCAGTGGGGACCCATCAATTAGTGCCATCTCGGCCGCATCAAATCCTCGTCCGATCTCGCCCCTCGCCCATCACCCACTGCCAATATTATCGTGTATTACTTTTCTCCCTTCGTCAGCAATACCGCCAACTCGGTAGGCGAGCCTCGAATAACTTGGAAAGTTGCTGTACAACTTCCAACTCGTCGGAACGCTCAACAACGGTGCAGCAGAAAGCTTCATCACATTCACAGGACGATTACCAACCCAATCATCCCCGGTCTCATGCTAAGCTAAGGCCGTCACGTGAAGAGTCCCTCATCAATTTGAATGAACAAACTTCGATTGATGAATGAATGAATGAAATCGTTCAGCCTCGGATGCAAGCACTTAGTCCTATTAAACACTTTAGCTAAGCTACAGAAGCAACCGCAAATCCGGCAAACGCTACACATATCCCCTTGCGCCAATCGCAAGGCGCAGCTCACGCTTTGGGCAATACTGAGGCTGGCGCCAAAGACCATGTGCGAGCCGTCCGATCCCACGAGGGCAACGAAACCATGATGATGCTCGGCGCTATGGGCAAACAACAAGCCATGCAACACCTCAGGATCATCGGCTTGGTTGTACAGAGGTGGAGGAGAAAGCTTCTTCTTACTCGTGCACCTGCAGAACCTTTCACATTTGACCCAGCTCCGGAGCAGACTTTCGGCTCTGCGAGCTACGCGTCAACAGTGCACGCACACACGCGTATTGACGTTGCTGTGCGCCATACCAACCACTGCAAGCCTCAGAGTCGAGGCAGACATGTTCCATCGCAAAGTCATTTCTTAGTGCCTCCTCTGCTTGACACGAGTTCTGTCGACAAAATGACCAACGTGGGCAACATTGGGCATCAGGAACGCCACGCCGATGTCATGGTACCGGTTTCACGCCCACACAATTCGATTCATGGTCCTCCAAGAACTCGTCATCGAGCACATCCCCGTTCCCTCTCCCGGCCATAGTCCCATGTCGAGACTTCCAGTGACATGAACTCTCCGACTCGCAGAACCAGTGGAAATTGCCCACAGCAATGATGTAATTGTTGAGGTCCGTAGACCTCGATGAACGATTGCCATTGTCAATCTACAGACGTGAGTAAAACGCATCAGAGGTCACATGTCGGTTAACTTCACCAAACCCACTGCGCTCCTGCTGCTGCTGCTGCAGCTGCTGCGGTTCCTTTTCACGTCCGGTGCGATGGAACCTTCTTCTGGTCCCGGCGCCATGTCAGATTCAACCTTCACAAGCTATTGTTTTGTAGGTTTTCATTCTTTTCCATCCCTTGCTGCGTTTTTTTGTATATTTTCATCTCAAAGTGATTGAGTACTTACCGCATGGTAGCACACTTCGATGCGGTCTCACGTGGCGGCCGCCGTCGATCGGTCGTCGAATCGTGTCGTCGATGGTCGGAGTCGAAATCAGCCAAATCGGACCACATCGAACACGGCGCGTCATCCGTTGCTCAGCACCGTCGACTGCTGCAGTCGATGCTACTGCTTGAGCCCTTGTCTTCGGTCCTGTCTTCGGTCTGGTCGTTCTCCTGGAATGCCAAAGGCTAGACAAGTATGTTAGAGGGAAATGCGGCCTGCGTGAGAGCCAAGAAGCTGGGGCACCAGCAGGCTCCTGCTCTCGTTCAACCCGCGACACCATTCATGGTCATTGCGCCGTTGATCTCTGCTTTCGGGCCTGGAGCGTGACCAGACTGTCGGCGCTTAGCGGGATCCTGGTTCTCCTGTGATGCGGCAGTGAGTGGTTAGTAATGTTAGTGATGGTACTGGGGTGTATGGAGCAGTGAAGGTAAGATGCATGCTGAGGACTCACGTCTAGGCCAGCGTTGTTGAGACTGCGCTTCTTAGGTAGAGCTTCTTGAGCTGGAGTCGACTCCTTGGCCTTCTTCGTCTTCTTCTTCTTGGTCGGTCTGGTTTCGCCCTCGACGAAAACGTCGTTAGGAAGATCGTAACTGTATTCGTCAGCTTCTGTTTGCTGAATGGATCATCATTGCATACTTTCGAACGTGCTTGATGCGAATGGTGTGCATATCCTCCCTGTACCCATCCCATTCCCGGCAATTATGCTGGAATTCTGCGATGGGTCGCGAGATGTCGAGATTGGTCTTGCCTGGTTGAAGTTCAATACCCAGATAATACCGAGTCGTCCAGATTTTGGTTGGTCCATTTCCGGTCAACGCGGTCGCATTATCCGATGACGCTACAGCAAGAGCGTCGCCGTCGCTCTGTGCAGCAACCGCTGCCTTCACGTCTGCAGACTCGTCCGTAGTCTTCGTCGCGGCCACCTGGTACTGCAAGCTACCATTGAAAGTCTGCTCAAGTTCGGTGTCGTCCTTGCATTCATGCTCGCCGTTGAAGCCCTTGTTGAATGGGTGCACAAGCTTGACACAATCTGCGTCAGAGTATTCAATGCCGGTGATAAGTCGTCTTAGTCTGGCCTGAACCAAGCCTGCCCACGCGTGTTGCGAGTCCTTTGCTTTCGATGCAGTGATGACGCAGATGTAGTGCTTGTAGGCTTCCAAGAAGAATGTGTGCCGACCAAATAGATCCTTCCAACTCTTCTTACCGGCGTAGATGTCCTCAGTGATTTGCCTCCCGCGCGCAAGTTCCTGAAGAATTACCGTCCTCTGCGACCTACCGACAGAGACTGTGGAGTTCATGCAGGGGAACGCCGGAGTGATGACAGGCATGAGGTGGAACGAATCGCCTTTGTAGAGGCTGGGGTCCCACTCCTTTTCCTGGAGGTGCGGCACGTGTTCTCTTGACTGAAGGAAGATAGGCTTGGGCCAATTCCAGTTACTGATGACGAAGAAGAACTTGTTCACAATGTGTGAGGCAGCTGCTTTGGGATAAAGCTGGCAGACTCGAGCAACGAGCATGCCCCAGGCCACTCCTCCTGGAAAGCCGACGACATTGCCATAGATGGCACGTTTCTGAGCCCAAAGCTTGATGGCTCGCAGCGCAAATCGGAAGATCTTGCTCTGGGGAACGAGCTGCAGGATCCGGTCCGTAACACGCGTTCCGTTCACGCATCGCATGTCTGTAGAGTCCAGGCCGCGAAGCAGGTTGTTGTCGCTCAACTCCAAAGTTTTGGGAACCGATGCAATTTGCAGAGCGGAGAATATCAGGTCGACCGAAACACCCGACATCTCAAGCTTGATGATGGGCACGTTGGCATCCGGCACAGGTGTCAGCTCCGGAAGCTCTTCCGGCGGGACGGACTTTCGAATGAGGTCAGGCATGTACTTGAAGAAGTCTTCTCGAGTCACATGTTTGGGCGCGACCATCAGAGAATCAATATCTGAGCCTGGCCCATAGACACCAAGACGGTAACTGCCATATGTGAAGACCTTGCCTCCAGCCTCTTTCAGCAGCTCTTGTGGTATGCCCTTCTTCTTGCCAACGATCTGGACCAACGATGAGAGTAGTTTCTGGAGCTTTTTAAGCACATCATCCCTGCCGCCACATCAGTATCCAGTATATCTCAAACCGTAAGGCATCGCCTCACCTCTTCATCGTTTCCTCTCGCGACTCGAAGTTGTTCTGCGCCTTGAGCTCATTCATCAGAGCCTCGCTGAGTCTCAGGTCTTGCTCGCTAGGAGGGTCCAGAGACAGCGGATCCGTGACGCCCGGCCACTCGCCATTCTGTGCCATATTTGCGGCGCGACGTAGCGATGGTGGTAGGATGGAGTCGTTGTCGGTGGGCTTCGAAGTCGCGCTGTTGGCCGGTCACCAGCGGGCCACGGGTCAAAGCACTCGCACCACGTCGATGAGTGGCGGCTGCCGATGAAGAAATATGCTGCTTGCTAGAACTGCATCGTGTTGCGCCCGATGAGCGCATTTGAGAACAGGAGTAGCAGCAGCAGCAATTGCGAAGGGAAGGCACAGAAGTTGACGAGGTGGAAGTGATTGAAGAAGTCGGATAGCTCGACGGCGATCGGCCTGTAGTCGGCCCCATTCTGGCTTAGGGCTAGTCAGCCGTCGGGCCGAGCTCCGCAGACGCCTCGCCCCATGAGATAACTTGTGTCTTTGCAAAAGACACTTGAGCTTCTACATGAGCGAAGCAGCCCAAAACACACAATCACGTGAAGCGCCTCTCCAGATCAGTGTTCCGCGAAGAAATCACGCAGCTTCTCATCCAGCCATTTGACATCCTCCGTGGATTGGCCGGGCCCTCCAGCCCAGTGTCCCCAAATGGACTGTCCAATGCGACGAATGCCATCAGCAAGATAACCGACGAAGGGATTCTAAACCTTGGTTGATGCGACAAGAACAAGACTTACCGGAAACGCCTGGCACTCTCCTATTCCGGCCTTCATATGCGCTACTTCATTCTCAGAATCTTCAGGAGCTGCAGAGTTTGTCAGCTGGTTGTAGCTTGTCCACACCGAGACCGCCTTACGGAAATATAAGTCTGTCTTAGACGGCAGTACCAAGGCTTTCGCCTTGATGCCCTTCATTGCTGCGTCGAAGTCGCCTAGAAAGGGTTAGCGAGTGTTCCTCGGCACAAGTTACGACAACTACCGTTGTATGGCTCCTGATTGGAACAATCGCCTGCCTGCCAGGTGTACAGCATTGCGACCATGTTGTCGGGATCTAATAGTATCAGCAGACATCGAGATCCCGGTGGAAAGGCTTTGTATTACCCTTGGAGAGCGCCCAGGCCTCCCAGAAGTTCACCATGAAGTCCTCCATATCCCTGAAGCCGAGCGCTGATTGATATAGCTTCTCCCTATAGAAGGCCTGACTAAATCCCCAACCAGAGTACACGCGGCCTAGAGCTTTCAGACCTATGGCACGCTCTTCTTCCGACCACGCACGGTATGCCTGCGGCTTGGCCTCCCCCTTTGCAACACCGGCAGACGATGCACCTCTCGCGCCCAGGACGGCAGTCTTGACACCTTCCAGCATGGCATTATTGTGGTCCGCTGTCTTTGCGGCGCCACAGAACGGCACAACCAAGTCCATAAAATCCGGATACTGCGTTGCCCATTGAAACGTTTGACCCGCTCCCATGCTCCATCCAAGGACAGCGCGGGCATGCTTGACGCCTAGTTTCTTCGTCACCAATTCATGCTGTGCCCGAACGTTGTCGTAGAACAGCACCTCTGGCCACGGTCTTACGTCTGGCCGGTTGCTGGGAGACGATGACTGGCTGTTCCCGAACAGTGCCGTGATGATGATAAAGTACTTGTCAGGATTCAGAGTCTTGTCTTTGCCGATCAACCATTCATTGTCGCCAATGAGTCCACTGTACCAGGAAGGATATATGATGGCCGGGTTCGAAGGATCTCCAAAAGTCTTGTAGGCGATTTTCGCATCCGGAATCGTCCCTCCATTCTTCAGTTTGAAATCCCCTAGCGGGTAGGTGTCGTAATCGGAAGACATCTTCTACGAGGTTGTTTGCAACGCTCCTGACAACCTCGCGCCTTGGATAATGTAGGACTGTGCGACGTTGCCTTCGACTTCCTTATCTCATTATCTACTCCACAGGCAAGACTTGTCTACTTTCCTCGAAGCCTGTCCGCAATGGCAGAGATAGGCCTGGATCTGTTCGAAAGCCCCGCGTACGTAATTTTGTACCGCAGCGGGGTCGAATCCAGCTAGGTACCTTTGCTGACCAAAACAACAACCCCGTTGCTATCATGCCGCATGTCCGCGAATGGATCTTTCAATCCATTTGTGGACTTTTACCTGATATCTAGATATAGCTCTTAGTAATAGGAGTGTTGGAAGTGTGAAAGTCTTTGGCAATTCCGTCCTCGCGCCATTCTTTCCGCCCTACCCCAGACACCTCATGTGCATTCATTGGCACCAATAAATCTTGAGCAATCATCTCGACATCTGCCCTAGAGTCGCCTCACTCCCTCACTGTTGTTATTAGGCGCTCGTCCCAACTGCTTCCATCCCATCCTCTACCGCTACCTTCCAGGCGATACCATCCACCATGTCTTCCGACCAAGAGCAACGCCAAGAGGACCCCAAACCTCACCTCAAGAACAACCCTCACGGAGACTTCAAAGAGGCCGAGGCTTCACGTGAACCATTCGATCGGAGTGTCCAGTGGCGAATGACCCAGGCTCCCAACCCGAACTGGAAGCCAGGAGACGGCGCCAATGACGGCGGAGCCTGCCTGAAGAAAGAACACATTGCCATTGACCCCTACGAAGACGGCAGACCGGCGAGATTCAATTACAAACTGCTGATCAGTGCCATCATCCCTCGACCGGTGGGATTCATCAGCACACGCAGCAAAGACGGCAGCTCGACGAACCTGGCTCCATTCTCGTACATGCAGGTCATCAATCACGATCCTCCGATCTTCATCGTGGGACACGCGGGTGGCCTGGAGCAGGCGAAGGATAGCCTGAGGAATCTGGTGGATTCGGGAGAGTGCACGATCAACATCATCAGCGAGCATTATGTGGAGGCCGCGAATGCGACGTCGGTGAACGCGCCTTATGGAATCTCCGAATGGGCCTTGACGGGATTGACCCCGGCGGAGTGTAAGCAGGTCAAGGCGAGCAGGGTGAAGGAGGCCGTCTTCAGCGTCGAGGGCAAGTTGATGGAAACGAAGGAGTTTGAGAGTCGCGCTACGCCCGGGAAGAAGACGGGTGTGTTGGCCATCATTGAAGGTGTGCAATTCTGGGCGAGAGAGGATGCTATTAATGAGGACAAGAACTTGATCGACCCGGCGGTGAGTTGATGGAATCTCTATGTCACTGATCAGTGAATCCATGCTAACAAAGAATATAGATCTTGCGGCCAGTAGCTCGTCTTGGTGGAATTACATACGCTCGCACACTCGAAGGGATGGAACTGCCCAGACCCGACTGGGAGGAGTACAAGAACGAGGCAGAAGCCAGGGGTATTGTCAAACCCAAAGCCGACGGACAGTAACTGCCATGTGAACGGTGTAGTATCGCAGAATGCTAGAGCATAGATTTCTCATAGCCACTGCCGGAGTTCAAGAAAGCCTGTAGATAAGCCAACTCTTCCTGATCATCGACTGGATTGACAACTCGATCCAGATTGCCGTCATCCCATGCAATGCCATGCCACAGGAAAATGCCAACCTCTCGAGCCAACAGCATCGCCCGCCAGATCCGTCGCTCTCCCAGCTCTGGAATTTCACATCGCAGAGCACTCCAAAAGTATTCTCGCAGCTCAGACACCTCCCCACGGTACTCGAATCGCCACTCTCCTTCTTCCGACTGGCTCATCTTCCCAAGCAAATGCTCAACACCATACAACCCCATCCCGAACGGCAAATACTCTGCCTCCGCCCAATCCACCAGTCCAAGCAATTCCAAACTCTCCGGATCGATCATGACATTGCTCGGGATCAAATCTCCATGCGTCAGAACCACAGGCAAACACTCCAGTCCCCCGTTCTCAACATCTCTCTTGGTGCGGCTCGCTCTCTGTCGAAGCCACGGAAATGGCAACCCCTTTTCCAAGCATCCAAGTCTCGCCAGAATCGACCTGCCCACCCTCCCCTTCTTCTCCTTCTCCTTCGAACCCCTCCACCCAAGCGCAAAGAACCTCGCAAACCCCCTCAAAACCCTCCTCACCTTCCACCCCATCTCCAGCCACACACCGTCATCGGAAAGACTAGACCCGGAAATCATACTCATACCAAACCCCTGCATCCTCCTCCTCCCCCTCCTCCCACCACCACCACCATCATCATCATCATCATCATCATCATCCCCACCACCAACATCGAAACTCTCACACCAAAACCCCCTCGGAGCGAACCCCCCATAAATCTCCCGCGCATCACATACCATCTCCCAACACAGCGCATGTCGCAGCATACGGAACTGCACAATCACCCCGTTCTGCTGCTTCTCCCTCTGCTGCCCGTTGTGAGATGCGAGTAGAAGAAGAAGGGTGAAAGAACAACCGCCCTGCTTCGCGATGGCTTCGATGGGAAAAGGCAAAGGAGAAGGGAAGCGTGTGCGTGCGAAAGCGAGACACGCGTGCAAGTCCTGCGCAGAGAGTCCATTCCTGGCGAAGAAGTTTGGTAATTCGTCAGGGGCCATGAGCGGCGACGATGGGGGATATGTGTTTCGAACGAGCTGTCTGTTTATCATTTGCCTTGCTTCGAGTGCTTTGGACGGATCGTGCTGCGGTCGAGCACCACACCATACCACACCCAAGGCCGAGCTACGACATAGCAGTAGCGAACCTGCATGCATGCATGTCAATAGGTCTTGAGGGGTAAACGAAAGAGAGGCGGTTACAGCTGTCCTGAGCACAACCGATCGAATCAGGAGCAGTCTCTGTCTCTACAGGTCGAGCTCCTACACCCTCGTCCCATCACACCTTGCATGCTCCACCCCACGTCAACAAGCACAGCAGAGGCTGCAGAGCAGCTCAACCAAGAGAAACCGCCCTCTCATCCAGCTCGCCGATTCGTAAAAATGCGGTACAATAATAGCAAGAGTATATATCCCTTCACAACGTATTTACCACACATCCAGTCTTCGCTAAATATCAGCGCCTTTTTTGGGGGGGGGCACCATCCTGCAGCAGTAGATAGATAGATAGATAGTTTCAAGAAGATGCAAGCCGTTTCTTCGCAAGTGGTGTGTGGTGAATAATGTGTGACATCTCACGCGCGCGAGTGAGCTCTCTCCAATGTGCCAGCCGTTCCAAATAATCCACAAACTAGTAACCTCTGGGTATCACCTGCTTCGCTTCCTTGTGGCCAAAGGTTTTCCTCATCGTCCATGCTTCCCGGGAGATGATGTGCCATGATAGCTTTGCTTTGATCAAAGATATAAAAAGTCGTATCCAAACACCGCCAGCAGAGTCCGTCGAGTCGTGTCTCTATACAATCCCTTCTTGGTCTGACTACAATCGACGGAACGCTGTAAGCCATCCCAAATCTACATCCCAAGAAGGTAACCGGAGTAAGACATGCTAAAAATAACCGCCGCTGCGGTGGTCAGCTTTTCAAGTGCTGAACACCGGCGCTTTGACCAGGATAGATCGTCCTCGCACTGAAACGCCAATGCCAGCCGCCATGCGCACGCGCGGTGGCAATTCCTCCTTGTGCGAGCTCTCGGGCCGATTGAGGCTACTGCTGCTACCGCCCGCGGCGGCATGCTTGCCTTGCGCCTTTGGTTTACCGGTGCTGCCCGTCAATGCACTCAGCATGCTCCTCTTCTTTGGCTGGTCAGCGTTACTGCTCTCGGCCATGTCTGTCACATCGCTGGTGGCGCTCTTCATGGATGCCCTCTCCGCTGCATCGTCGGCGACAGATGTGGTGAGGGGCGGAATGCCGGATTCGATCTTCATCTGCTCGTTCATGATGCTGTATCCAGGCATGAAGTATTCGATGACGACATCTCTGCTCTCCAAGGGCAGATGTATCGCGATACTCACGACGAGCTCGACGATCATGTGAACTCCGCCTTCGAGATCTGATGGAGGCGGGGCTTGTAGATGTACAGCGAGCGCGTTGACCAGGCTGTCCTTGAGGGTGTCTGTAAGCTTCTGTCGGTTCTCGGGGCATGATGGAGATCTGAGTGATTCTTGTAGTCCCTCCAACGTGGCCAATCTCCAGTTGACCACTTTCGAGATGAGGTAGTCTTCCTCCTCCGCAGTCTGCGAGATGGGAGCGAACTTGCGGATGTTCTTCTGAATGCTCTTAAGCTGTGCCGACAGAGACGGGTCCAGGTCGGGATGGAAATACTTGTCAAAGACTTCCTCCACGAGCCAGCATGAGATGAAAGCTCGGCCTGCTGCAGTCATCTCCTGTTTGCCGGTAGCGACGGCATCTCTGTTGACCGAGTTTACTAGCCATTGCGGGATGCTCTTCCAACTCTTCCGAATGCTAAAAGCCAACTGGGCTATCAGTCCGTCAAGACGGTTGAAGCGGGTGGTGTATTCGCTGTCGTCGAGCGATGTCTTCGACTGCGACAGCCGTTGGTGTGCGAGGCTGTTCTGAAGCTGCTTCACTTGGTCCTCCTTCTCAAAGTAGTACTTCTTTACTTTGGTGTACTTCTCGCCTGTAGCCGTGATCACCAGTTGGTTAGGTACGAGTTTGCCATGCTTGAGATGTGGAGATGAACTTACGGAGCTCCTTGTGGTCCTTCACGAGCTGCGTTAGCTCTTCTTCTGTCATGTCATCGCTGCCGACTTGCAAGGGTTGAGGCGTTCCTCGTCCAACTCCACTCTGGCTCGGTCCCTGCTGCTGTGGTTGTTGGCCCTTGCTGTAAGGCTGGCCCTGGCCTCCCGGCGGGACGACTGATGCATTGAAGGCGGGGACCTGTCCTCCCTGCGCGGAGTGGGATCCTTCTCTCGACATCAAGCCAGTGTGGATGCTCTGGCGGTTGTTTCCGTTGCCGTTTCGGCTTTTGCTGGCGGCGGTCAGGCCGCCATTGTTCGACATGGACGAGTCGTCGGTTTGCTGGGAGAAGCTGCGTGACTGGAGGAGGGGGCGGGAGGAATCCTGAGCGTACTCGGGCGGATTGTATTGCTGCTGCGTGTCGTGCTGGTGATGATGCAGTCTGGAGTTGGCGCTGGAGGTTGCCAGACCCACGTTCGGCTGCTGCTGCGTTGCAGGGCCCGTGCGTGATTGCTGATGACTGGCCTGTTGTGCAGAATGCGGCTGAGCCGAGTGGTGCGCAAATTGTGGCGCAGCGTCCGAGCTATTTCCAGCGTACTGTTGCGAGTGGGCACCGGACGAGGGGTTATAACCCGTCGCCAGCTGCTGTTCAGGTGCTGCCGCCGTGGAATTTATCGGGCCTGGGTTTGGCTGCGGGCTGCTGAGCATGCCATGTCCTGCCTGTCGCTGCTCGCGGAAGCCCTGCTCAGTGTTCAGCCTCTGCAGCCGACGCTGGCTCCATCGATCCAGGGCTGCTTGTGTATGTCCGGAGTCGGACGACGTCTTGCCAGGCGTGTTTGCTGCGTGCGCGGTCATGGAGGACGCGCTGTCGTCGCCGGCGATGTACCACGAAGTCTCGTCGACACGGCGGTCGCCTTGGTAGTGTAGGTGGTCAAGCTCCTGCTCCTGCGGGGTGGGTAGCTGCTCGTAATTCGGGGTCCAGGCAGGCAGAGGACTGATGTCGGGGCTCGGACTTGGGAGTGAGTAGGAGTCGTATAGATAGGGATGGCTTCGGGCGGGGATTGCTGGTCGGGTAGCGGACGTGGGGGTGGTGGAGGTGGAGGTGGAGGAGGAGTGATGGTAGTAGTCGGCCGAGTTGCTGTAGCTGCGTCCGCCGCCGCCGTGTCGCTGTCGCAAAGTATGGGGATGCGAAAGTGCAGCGCCGGTGAGGATGAGCGCCGGCTGCTGAGAAGAAGGGTGGGCGTTGGGCGGCGTGGAGTGGTCGTGCGCGGACAGCGAGGAGGTGAAGTCGCCGCCGCTTGGGATGACAGCTATTGAACGACGGTCTGCTGTGGTGTTGGGTCACGTTAAAGTCGTGTGATCCCTGGCAGCGCCTTTGCATGCCGAGCGGGCAACAGTAGAGGGTAAAGGTAGGGTAGGGTAGGGGACGAACCTGGGTGGGAAGGGAGGTTGGCGCGCTCCTTGACAGTTGCGCTGCGTGCGAGACGGGTGGTCGCCCTGGCGGTGGTGGTGGGTGGTGTCTGAGATTGGGACTGGGATGGGGGCGGAGGGGGATGGGAGGGCGAGAGCGGGAGATCGATGGGCAAGTCAGCAGGGAATGGATCAACACGAATGGATCAACCATCAATAGTCCATCGACGAGTCCATCAACCTGGGATCCATCACGTTTCATGCGACTGGATCAGGAGCCGGGGCGGAGGGAGAGTGGAGTGGAGGGGGGGACGGTGCAGGGATGGCAACGCTGGGACGGTTCCAGTCCCGACCACTTTGGGGTCGCGCGGTCGTGTGCAGTAGTTTTGAATTGGGTTGGCGGTGATGCTATGGGGCCAGGCCGCAGTGAGGAGACGGACCCGACGGCTCCAGGCTGCTGCGCGTCCCCTAGAACGACGATGATCATGCCGTGCTGTCTCGTCTCCAGCGCGACGGGCATTATTGGGCGCCACGGCACGGGACAGATGTAGAGACTGGACAAGAGCGACTCACCGGGATGCGGATGCTCGAAGCGGGCGATGTGTTGCGACTTGGTGCGGCCCGACTTTGACAGACCTGGCAGCCGCATTGATTGATGACAGTGATGATGTATGGAGACTTGGAAGTGAGTCAAAACGGGATTGGAGACGGTTGCGGCTACGGGTATATGTGTCTGGGTGCGGGTGCGGATGCGGATGCGGAGGGGTCTAAGCAAGTCGAAGCTGCCACTGCCTCGTGCGTGTCCGGAGGGCAGCAGCACACAGTCAGTTACGCGGGAGCTCTCCTAGCGCTCTGCGACCCGACTCGGCGGCGACGGACGTGTGTTGTGTGTGCATAGGCTATGCTGTGCTGTGCTGTGTTGTGCTGTGCATGCTGTGCAGTGCGGTGATGAGCGGCAACCGCGGGACCGTCGAAACAGCAGCAAGCAGCGAGCAGAGGGACAAGGGCTTTCGAAGTCACAGCAACGACGACCACATATGAGATGAGAGTGCCACAGCAGTCAATGTGTCGTCGCATACGAGTGCAGAGGGCGACGACAGCGTCAGACCATCACACCTCCGCCCGCGGTGCTCTACCTTAGCCGGGGCTGGGCGCCAGCTGCTGCGTGTGGGCCGAGTCAGCACATTACACATGTACCTACTTAAGATCTGTGATCGACTCCGCTTTCCGGTCCAAGCACAAGCACACGCACACGCACACGCACACCAGCACTGTGCCAGGGAGCGAGAACGGTGCCAAAGCGCGTGCCCCGTCATGTGATCGGGGTGGAGGTGGACGGCTGTCATAGATACTCGTGGCGGAGGCCCAGACAGTTCGGCTCGTGCATGCTGCACAAGTAGGTACCTATCTAGTGCACATCGATGCATGCACAGTGATGGAGCGTATAGGTATGTGGTACTAGTAGCCGGTGGAGTTCGGAAGATCCCGGCCCGATTCGAGGAGACCCACAGTCTCAAATTTGGGTCTCTGTGTGTCTGTGCCTTCTTCGGAAATTTCTCGACGTCGCTCCTACCCTACAGCGACGATCACGATCGTGCCTGCTCCCACTGGAGTCCCTGCCAAGACAACAACTCGATACTTCCAATCTCCCCTCGAGTCGGGAGAAGCCTGCAATACCTCGAATCTCGTCCGTCCAATGTCTCCCCGCGCTGCCATTCGCCCAATCCATCACCAGCCACGCAGCGTCGCAGAAACTACGTCAGTTCCTCGCGGTTACTGAAAGAGGGATCGTCGCTCCTGTTACACTGGACCAGATCAGGCCTTGTCCACTCGAAGCCGATTCGCAACTTCATCCTTGCCCTTCTTGGCACTCCCCCCGGCTTACCGCTGCCTACATTCCCGTGCCTGAGGTTTCACGCCCGCGACAGGTGCAAGACCATGAGCAACTTTACGAGAACGCAATCCCTTCTCCCCCACTGCTCGTGTTGGCTCAGGTCAAGTAATCCCTTTTGTATTTCCTTTCCTATCCCTCCCAACCCCTTTTCGTCGTTTCAACACAGGAAACCTTCGAACCTGACCGCCTTGCAATCCTGCCCTTATTACCGCCGCATCGTGACCGAAGCCGCGCAGCACGTGGCTCCTCACCTTGAATAATCCCTTACACCTCTGAGACGTGTTACCAACCTGCGGTCCCCGCCTCGCTGGATCGATTAAAAAGAACGACTCCCCAAATTGGACCTCTCTGGACCCAGCAAACACCTCTCCGTCGAATCTTGTGATGCATATGATTTCTGTCATCACTGGCCTTGCCGGACTCGCCGCCACGGCCTATGCCGCCCTGTTGGTCGAACGCGCTGCGCTTGCATCGGATCAGCCATTACAGATCACCAACTTGACTCTCTACCATCCACATGCAGGCAACACCACCGTCGAATTCAATGTTTACGACCCAGAGCCGTTGACCAAGAACGCCCCGAGCGCAACCTGCACTGCCTCATGGGCCGCAGACAACTACCCCAAAGACACCTACGTGAGTTCGAGTCCAACATCTTTCCGGAAAGGCTTGACTAGTAGCTGACGTTTCCGGAAAAGATCCTGTGCAACAATACGGCCTTCGCTTGGAACTTCGCGGAATGGAACGGCTATCAGGATTTCACTATTGGACTTGAACATCAATTCACCGATCCAGCGTAGGTGTTATCGACGTCTACTATTGCTACGAACGCTAGCGCTAACATCCAACAGCGTTGGCAAACCACCGTATGATCAGCTAACTGTCTTTGGCCATGGGCCCTACAACAAGAATGTCCTCTTCTGCGAGGGTGCCGGCAGCCAGATGGTTTGCAACCAGAAGAAGGGCACCATTGTCGAAGCACACATCTATGCCACGACCGCATAGAAAGGCAGCACACCCAGTGTGGTCTGGGCACACAAAGCATGACAGCATTTCATACCTGCATGTGCTTGTCGTCGATCCGATTCACACAACGATTACACGTGTGTTTGCGCGCGCTGTGACATCACAAAAAGACACGACGGTCATCGATAGACGCCAAAGCGACCAAGAGCAAATCATGGCAGGCAAAATAATGTGTAATGAGCGTTCATGTTGTCTGCTTGCGAAGGAACAGAAAAGTGTACATAGACATAGACATGACCACAAACAGCTTCCGCTCATCACGTGTATCTGAAAGCAAGTAGTCTTGCGTGCGTATACTTTCTCGATATCTGTCGCCTTTACGCTACCGCATAATGGTTCCTGTATCAGATCCTGCCGCCTATCGAATCTGAATGGTTAGTCGTGGTCCTAGTAGTGTGGCGTCGCCGCAACGCCACCGCCTGGATGGGTCACATGCGCTGGCGAAATTTTCGTGTGACTCAACTCCAAGCCCAGCGAAACCACGCAATCTTTCACATCCATCACCTTATTCTTCTTCTTTCTCGAATCTTCATTCATTCATTCGGGCATCCATGACCCCATGATGAGCCATCGCACAGAAACCGGAAAACCGGAATCCCGGATAATGAGTCTTTTAGATGTCGTGAGATATATATCTCCAGGTCAGGCAAGCTCTCATACACTCACTCCACTCCTTTTTTCATATATAAACATTCGCCGGAATACAATGAAAGATACATTCCCCTCATACAACATCTCACCTTCTTCTTCTTCTTCTTCTTCTCCCTCTTCTTCTTCTTCTTCTTTCCCTACAACTATGGGACAAAAGCACAACAACAACAACAACAACAACAACAACAACAACAACAAGAACAACAACAACAGAAAACGAAGCCGGCATCGACCCATGTCTCGCGCCCGCTGCCTCGCCACTACAACTTCTCCCCCAAAAATGGAATCATCAAATTCTCCACCACGATATCAGTATCAACTTCCTGCATTACTACCATCATTAAGACCTATCATCATGGCTGGGAGCAAGCCGACTTTTCCTGGACGGCAGCAGGAAAGTGCCAATTCGCGGGATCGACGCATTTTCGGGGGCGTGGAGGGGGATGAGGATTCGGAATCGGCGAGGGAGTTGTGTGGGCCCATGTTGGATGTGGTGCTTGGGTTGTTTGATGGGGTGGATTATGATGATGCGCTGCTGGCCTGAGGAGGTGCTGCTGCTTCATCGAAACGACGGGAGGGAGGCATTCTTTACGATTAGACGACCCTGATCCCTCACGGGATGACGAGAAACGACGCTCAATTTCGCAAGAAGATTTTCACATTGGATGACTTTTTCGATGTCTCCGCTCATAATTGATCATGCTTAACAGTTTCTCCCCCCTTCTGCTTCCTCGCTTTCCTTGCCCTTCGAAAAGCCCTCGCTCCCTTCTCATACTTTTCCTTCTCATCAAACTTGCTCTTCGGCCTCTTCTTCTCCGCATTCGCGCACAGCGTCCTCGATGGCATCTTCTCCAACCACCCTGCTTCTCTCTTCACATACCCCACCTCGAAATAGTCCTTCCCCTTCTCCCCCCGGAACATCTTCGCCCAGTGCTCGAGACCTTTATCCACCTCTTCCAACGCATTCTCCGCCATCTCGTATCGGTAGTACTTTCTCATCTCGGACAATTCGGAATCAGGCGTCTCTTCGAAGCGAGGAACGTCCTGCGGGATGAATGTCCACTCGATGCCCCTCACGTCGGGGACGTTATCTTCGGCAAAACAACCCGTGATGTATGCCCTCGAAGCATCTCGGCCGGCGAAGACGTTATAGGGACCTCCCGGACCGTAGATGCGTCGACCGGCGGTTACGTCGTAGATGGTGCCGTTGAGAGCGAGGTAGATGGGTTTGGAGTCGTCTTGGCCGGCGAATTCGAGCAGTTGGGAGTCGGTGAGGATGACGGGTTTTCTCTGCGAGTGCGTTTCAGCGGTTTGTCGCGTTAAGGAAATGAAATGGGTTGGACGACGTACCAGCTTTGCGATGAGAGCGTTGGGTCTGGTCCACCAGGCTCTGTGGCCCCAGAAGAAACTGTCGCCTGTGATGAAGTAGCTCAGGAGGACATTTAGGAGGAGCAGCCCGACCAGTATCCTCAAGCCATCCAGCAGAGTGATGCCAGTGCTCTGCTGATGATCGTCCTTCTTACTGGCATCCGCTCCCGGTGAGTCTGGCTTGTGTGGAGTCTCGCTGTCTTTTGCCATATCGCTTGCGCTGGTATCGCGTTGCTTGTCGGAAAATGTAACAAAAAGCGGAAGCTGACGGGGATCTTCGAAAAATACTTAGCCTGAGGCGCACACGTGTCTCTTCATCAGATCAACATCTTCCTGAAACGACCGTACCTCTCTCGGAGGAGATCGATTTCAAGCGACTGTCTCTCGATTGATCTGTCCACCACTGGAGAGATGGACATCACATGGAGGCATGTAGATTTGAAATGCGCGTAATGTCGTTGCAGCGCTAACGGCATCAAGCTAGACCCAAACAGCCGATTAACTCTATGTCGCGCTTTCACTTCACCTCATTGTGAATCCTGACTCGATCACTTTGACCTGCTCCCAAGAAGCACTCGCATTTCCACGCTATCTGGTATCCTCCTTCTACCACCACGAAAGCAGTCTATCTCAGAATCTCGGATTGCTTCTAATGAAGCTAGGAACGGCCATGCACCCACCCCGAGGTCCTTCATCCTCTGCCTTGCAGCTCTCTGCTGCGTACTTGCTGAGCAAATCGCAAACCTGCGCCGAGCGTGCCCAGAAGTAGGCATGACATTCGTGTGTCTCGCTTGGTCCCGATGTCATCTTGGTCCCTCTTGGCTTGCTCCTGGTAATGCTCCGCAACCTCGCACCGATGCTGGAGGCTGGAGGCTGTAGGCAGGCAAAATGATCGAGCACAAACGGAGGCACCTGGATCCACTCGAACAGCGCCGGGTTCAGGATCGCGCAGATCCGAGTGACGAGGCCACCAACCGTGTCGCTCCGCCCGTAGTCCTCATCCCGCATCACCTCCTTCGCGTGCTCGTCAATCCAGTCCTCCACCAGCTCGTCGTGGGCTTTGTATGGGAACACGAGCCCTCCCACTTTCCGGGCAATGGCAATGCGCGCGAGAGATCTCTGACGAGCGACTCCTTCGATTCTGTTGCGTCTTTGGCGGGCAAGCTGTGGTTGAATCGTCACGCGGTAACTGACCGATTCAGCGCAGTGATGAAATTAGGGCCATTGATGGCATGGCTCTGTTGCTGGACTAGATGTGCGACTGACTGGTTTTCCAAGCACTTCTGTGCATTCCATCCACGCATTTGACCATCGAACGTAACCATGTGGTGGGTTCTATCAATGTCCTCGTCCGTTGGGTCCCCGAGAGCGGCGCACATTGCTGCGGTAGGTCAAGGCCCTTAGACCTCTTACGCCTCAGTTCCTGGTGCTGTTGGCAAGTCTTCGGCGAAGATCATCTCAAGATTGTTGTGCAGTGAGCGCACCGTCCCTCTGGAGCAGCAGCATGACCCAGAAGCTAAAATTCCAGGCTGGGCCTTCATGTGAAAGAGCGTCCAAGTTCTTCTTTTCGCCATCTGATACAAGACAGTCTGGGACTCGTAAGTCTGCAGTAGTTCCTCGCAAACAGGATCGACGAGCTTCAAGCGACCACTTGGACCTCTGAGAGCATCCAGAGTAAGCGTGTAATCTCTGCTTGAGACATGCATCGAAGCGTTTACAGACAATGCCCTGGCTCCACCATTCTAGATACGTCTCTACGCGACCACGAATCCGCTCAAAGCAAAGACATACAAAGCTTTTCTTCACAACGTCTCACGCTCGACGCCCTGCCAGAACATTCGTGACCACCGCGAGAAACCAATATCCCCCGTTCACGGCGTTTTAGAATCCAAAATGTCAATTCTTCATCCGACCCAAGAAGGCATGCCCTACACCCTCCTCCAACACCTCAGCTATCTAGTCCACAACGGAAAAGACATCTGGAACACCGCTCCTGCCTGCTATACCGAACGGACCCACCCGTGCCGGTCTAAAACGGAGTCGACTCCTGCGAAGCAATCCCCACCAACCCCAAGATATCCCTCCGCCTGCCACCTTCGCGTCTCAAAAGTCAAAGCCGTGAAGAAATCTCCCTCTCGCAAAAGGAGAAGCTCCGGGATGTTGATATTCAAACGAACAGGACCGAGGAGGACGTTCAATTGGAACGATGAGAATAGGCCCTGTGGAGATAATAGCAAGTGTAAGACGTGTGGCACATTTAGAGAGAGAGAGAGAGAGAGAGAGTCAGATGAGGTAGATGGCGGTATTGCTAACTTCTAGCCCAGATATGTGGATCACAGATATGGAAAGGTCAACACCAGGGCTAGCTACAAAGGAAAGGGTAATGAGATAGCTGAAAAGTGAACACAACGAAACCACAAAATGTGCACAGGGGTATCATGGATTCTCGTTTCAAAGCATCGCTTTTTTTGACTAATGTACATTCATCCCTTGACGCAGTAGCATACAGCGAAGCGGTGACACCAACCGGAATTCCGTGGCGACGGGGGACGCCTAGAAGGCCACTCTTGTCCGCATCTCTTGCACCTTCTTTTCAATCTCCTTGACCTCACGATCCACCTCTGCAGCAATCTTCTGCTTGCTGTCATAGCCGAGAGCCATGAATCGCTCGCAGAGATCACCGTCGATGACGCCCTTGACTGGGACGTAGTATGATCGATACATCAGGTGATCGCGTCCAGCGAGTGGAGGATCTTCGGCGCGCATCTGCTGCTCCAGCGCCGTGAAGAACTCCACATCCTCGCGTGTGACGAACGGCACGAACATGCCCAGGGTGCCCTGGATGCCCGCCCAGAAGAGTACCTCTTGGCCTCCAGCCACCAGAGATGTCCGCTGCATGCTCATGGGGATGTCGCTCGCGAAGAAGTGAGCGCGTAGGTCGAATCGGTACGGTGTACCTCCGAGGTAGCTTCGCTCATTGATAATGTAGCCGTTAGCACCCTCTTCGTCGGCCTCCTTGCTCGCCTGCTCGGGACACCTCACGATCCAGATGTTACCCCACTTATCACCGCCAGCTGCCGTTTCGTAGTCGAGCGCAGTAGTCGACGTAGTCCATCTGTTGACCACATCGTCCACGAATGGAATCATACGGTTGTGCTTGGGCTTGTAAACAACGAAGGTGACCCCCTTCTGGATATCGCCGCAAGCAATTCGATTGCCGCCCATTGACTGCAGGGTGACAATGACGTTCTTCACAGCAGCTGCACGAGCTTTCCGAAGCAGAGCCTTCATTCCGATATCGTAGATGAAGAGCTCGTTACCAACACCAATCGCTAGTCTGCCATTGAATGACTCCAAGGCGTAGACTGGCTGGTCGAACTTGGTCTTGTGCACAAACTCCATCTTCGCGCCTTCATCGACCAGCTTGTAAATGTGTACATATCCGGCGCTGGGAATTCCTGTGCCAGGCTGCATGTGTTGGCCTGTACCGACAGCTAGGTAGAGAGTTTCCCAGCCCCGCGACTCGAAAAGCACGCAGCAACAACACAGCGCGGCCTCATTTTCAGTCAATTCCACTGTCGAAGTCACCTCGTTCCGGTAGGCGGGATCGATGGCCTGAATGCAGGATGCCCAGTGGCCAGGTCCCTTGGGCAGTCCTAGATGTCGCTCCAAGGCCAATGCCTGCTCGTCATCGTCAATAGACTTGCCACGAGTCTGGTCACGAATTGCCTTGGAAAGCGTATTGCCATCCTTCTGCACCGTATACCAGATCGGGTACCACGGGTTTCGGACCATTGCAGTGGGCGTGTAGTTGAGGTCGATGGAGGTGCGGGACAGGCGACCTTCGACGGATGGAATTGAGAAGATCAGTAAAGACTGACCATGAATAGCACATAGTCCTTGCAGTTCCGGGCTTATAAACGACGTTCCAGCTAGCACTGGTTCTGCTATGAGAGGGGTGAGCGTGTACACCCGACTCTGAGGATGGTTGTAGCCTAGCCAGGGCCGAGTGGAACAAGCGAGGACGCAGTCTTCGCCGTTGACTTCGACTGGGCAGAGGACCGGCGGTTTGATTCCGAGGAATTTAGAGCGAACGTCGCCCAGTTCGCCAGTCGTCTCATCGATGACGGCTCGCAGGTACAAGCCAGATTCCAAGCCAATGTGAACAACATTGACAGTCGTGTTCGATTGGGGATCCAGCATCTCGACAACCTCTAGCGACGTCGGTACCGCGGTGAGGAGCTGCATGCTTCGAGTTTCCAAAGGCGAATCGAGCTCAATACTTAAGACTTTGATGGTCTGGTCGTCACATCCAACAACTGCATACTTGGCTTGCTGTCGGCCTTTTGGTGTGCGGCCAACGGCAAGGGCTGTGATCTTACCCTGCATCTCTGGCATATCCTCCAGTTGTTGCAGGTCGCCATTGTCATCCATGAAGAAGAAGACAAGCTCGGCCGAGCTCAATCCCAGGAGCAACTGGCGGTCATTCGCAGAAGCACAGGATACGGTACGATGCTGTGGCGTCTGCCACTCATTGACGGTGCCGCGTCCAAGAATGCTGCGGATGCCCCGCGCATGAACTTGCACCAATGTGTCTTCTCCCATCTGTTGTGCATGGATCGTAGCACGATTCTCCAAGAACGCTGAGCCCTCCAGCTGCTCGACCGATTCCGTGATCGAACAAGCTACAGTAAGATCTCCGTAGCTGCTGGACAGCAGCAGGTATCGGTGCTGATTGTCACTGGCGCGGTGCTTGAAGGTCCAGATGTTGTCGTACGGCACACTACCCATGGAAGTGTTGATAATAACTTCCACATCGAGGCCATGTCTAATGGTTTGGAACTTGCTGCGGTTGCCTGCACCCTGGATCGAATAGATCTGCGATGTATCTTCTGAGGTGAGATTGTCGACTTTGGCCTTCATGAGCGGGTGCAAGCCTGGTATGTCTACCGCTAAAGTCACCATGGTGAGGCCGCGGGGCTCGAAATATGTGGGCTCATAGCTGTCCGTGTGATCGACCGGTACACCATCGGACGTGAAGGTGTTGTGGGGCTCAAACTCTGGATCATCTGCCAGGTCGTCGATGTGGTACAACTGGTTGTTGCCATTCTCAGCAGCTATATACACAAATCCCTTTTTGTGCAGAAGCATGTGCTTGGCCGCAGGGAGAGTGTCGTAGTATTTCAGAATGATGCGTTCCGGGATCAAGGTCGGGTTTCCTCGTTCGTCTGTCTCCATTCCCATGTCGAGTTTGAAGACATCGCCATCATCGGTCTGCAGGAAGAAGAAGAACTCATGTCGGGCTTTGGAGAGATGTAGGCAGCCAGCAACAATTATCCGCTTCCTGGATGTGTCTTCATTTGAACCTTTTCGTCGTGGAATGGGAATAGACAAGGGAGGGTGCTTGTCATGCCGATAGTAGATCCGGTCTTCGGCACAGACCAGAACTCCAGAGGGTCCATCTTGGCCACCAGGAACACCAAACAAAATGTTGGCTGTGTAGTCCACGGTCTCGCTCCAGCTCTTCACGACATGGTTCAGGCCCATGTCCACAGTATAATAGACCAGCTGCTTTTCTCGATTCTCATACTGCTCGCCTGAAGGGTCGCCCTCCGCTTCTGAGTACTCCACCTCCAAAGCTGCAAAAACGGGAGGCTCCCATCCTGTGTCCAAAGCACAGATTGCAAAACACAAGGTCGCCCAGGTATTGGCCTCATGCGGACTCGATATGATGATCTGCCCGTCCGCATGCCGATTCAACATGTACACTACCTTGTTTTTCTCCGGACTCGCTATCATCATGCATCGCCCGCGACCGTCGCTCGCCAAATACTGTGCTGGTATTGTTCGTCGTACACCCGACTTACCGTATGTTTCTAGGTGGATTCGATTGAATCGATTCTTCTCGGCATCGTATGTGAGCATGGCCACTCGGCCAGAGTCGGAGACAACTACAAGTTGATCTGCAGAAGAGTCAGCGATGTCTTAGAAAGCATTTTGAAGTCTGTTCAAACATGATAGTCGCGAGAGTCGATCGACAGCTACCCGAGGCAGATCAAGTGCTGAACTTCTCGCTGGCTGTGGCGTAGTCGGGTCGCTGCAGCAGCTGCTCATCACTATGCGGGTCTTCAGACTTGGGGGACTATTCGAACTCACCTGTCGGGGTTCCGGGAATTCTGAAGGCAGCCAGGCCCTTGACGATACCAAAGACATCTTGATCGAGGACTGTCGAGATCTTGCGATCAGTGCCGTCGGCATTCTGAGATATGCGGTGCAGCGAGATGTGCTGGCCACGGGCTTCGAAGATTTGCTGGTCGCTGGCCTTGAGCCCAGGAATCACGCTGCAGAGGACGGCGGAGGTGATGGAGGATGGCGGCTCGAGGGTGAGTGAGTAGAAGGCCTGGGTCTGCTGGATGTTGGCCATTCTGGCCGCCGTCGAGTCGGATCGCGCGCAGTGTGTTGGAGTCGCCTAGAGGCAAAAGACTGAAAGTTGCTGAAGGTCGTTGGTTCAACTTCGCGATCAGCTCCAAGCTCGAGTCAGTGTGCATACATCCATGCGCGGTAGCGAGTCATGCCCGGTCTGTATCGGCATCGGCACGGGCATCGGGCCGCGGCGAGCGTCTCCGACGGCAGCTTGACATCTTCGAGCTCGATGATACTGAGACCTGGAGAAGAAAGTGCTGGCGCAGAGGGATAATTTCCTTCGATACTACCGCGCAAGATGGCATCCAAAACGATATGTAATCGCTGCCTGAGGCTGGCCGCATCCACGCTGCCGTCAAGAGCCGCCCCGACAACTACCAGACGAGCCTTCGCATCCTCAGCGTCTAAACAACCGTCCAATGCCCGCAAACTACACCAGTCGTCCAAGCAGAGAGCAGCACCGGCCGTCGAATCATCGAAGCAGCCAACACAAGAAGTCCCATCTTACGCCGGGCAAAATGCGAATCAGCATAACGAGGGCTCAAGACTACTGCTGCAACCCAACAACCTCTTCCACTCCTTCACCAACTCTCCATCGCCAGCAATCCGAAAGAGAGCAGCCTTCATGAAACAGAATGCATACTGTCCGCATCCTGATCACCAGGCAACCCGAACGCCTCTCTCTCCACACGATCTAGAAGCGAGAAAGACGGGCTCCAAGCCACCTGCACATGTTCGACATGAATGCCCCGATTGCGGCATTCCGGTTTCATGTTGTGAAGAGCACTTTGTCGATGACTACGAGAGCCATCTGGAAGTATGCGATGTGCTGCGGGAGATCAATGAGGACGACCATGATTTGCACAGTGGACGTTTCTTCCCCGAATTTGAGTATCCTGGGATGCAGATTGAGGAGGCACAGGTCAACATGACGAATTGGGATACCTTGCTCTTCAGCAGAGAGTTTAACGCGGTCAACGACGAGCGGAGTATGCGGCAGGTCACACGATTGTTGACATATCCCATGACAGTTGGAAGCGTGCTGCACGAGCTCAGTCCTTACAACCTTAACAACAGATTATTGCCGGAAGGCCTGAGATCATTAAGCGGTAAGTTCCACATGCGCTTCGCCCTTGGATTCCCGTACTGACATTCTCAGCTCTCCGCTACACTCTCCACCCACCTCGAACAGGAGGTGGAATTGATATCAAAGGCTTGCGCGCCCAATCTCCTCCCGTCCGCCTCTTCATCCTTGGGGCCCGCGCAGAATCCTCTCTCCCAAGAGAAGTCTGGATTCAACTCTCGTACCTCTTCCCTCGAGCAACCTTCCACCTAATCTTCATCGGCCCGGAATCCATGACAAACCGTGACGCAGAATACCCTCTCCCCGAACGAACCCCTTCGAACCCCTTCGGCGCCATCATCGAAGACCGTCTCGGCGGCCAGGTAAAGATTTCCACCTACGTCGAATACTTCCAGACTTTGCACCAGGCACAACACTTCTACCCCTACGATCCTTACTTCGATGCTTTCATCCTGTTCCATCCTGGTCTAGGGCATCCAGCTTCTTCGCATGAGTGGACAGACGCACTGCCACAACTTCTGGAGACTAAAGTTCCCATCATCTGCACGGGTTATACGGAGTACGACATGCAGCGAGATATTGAATGGGTGACAAAACAGGCTGCAGGCGAGATGGATATGTTGCTCACGCCTGGGGAGAATCGCTTCAGGAGTCTGAGATGGGATTTGAATGATCTGGATCCGGGCGATGTGAGCTGCGGCAATTGGGGTATTTGGGGTTTCAGAGGGAAGAGATATGAGACTGATGAGTATCGCGGAGAGCCGCAACAGTAATTACCCATCAGGACTGTATGTACACTATGAGTATAGAACCACTTTTCAAGACCGCCCTGGAGCGTCTGGGCTCTAGTCTGCTTGGTCTCTGTGCCGGGGCTGCACGTCTATCTGGCCAACGCGAGCGGAAAGTAACAACATCATCCAGCCGGCCTCTTCAACCGTACTTCTTCACATTCGCCTCTTTCAACACCTCCGACAGATCTCTGCCAAAACAGTCCTTCTTTCTCAACAAGGCCGGACCCTCAAGCATATGCTCCTTAAACTTCTCGCCCTTCCATCGCTCCTGGCCCTCCTTATCGTCCCATCTGTACCCCTTCATTCCAAAGCTCAGGTCCTCCTTCACACGTCCACTATGGTAGTCGTTCAAGCACTTCATCTTGCGGAGGTGGAGCTCCCATACCAGCTGCTCGTGACTCGCGTACTTCCAGAGCTCGATGACCGCTGCGTCCAGCACACTGAGGCTTGGGCTGGGTTTGACGCAGAAGGCGATGTGCTGGAATCGCGTTGGTGGATGGCGCCATTCGCGCGTGGAGGTGCGCGAGCTGGGAGAGGACCAGTCCTGGTCAGACGGGCTTTCCGCTGCCGGTGTCGAAGAGCTATCGGCTGGTGCGCGAAGCGGTGCAGGTGGTTCTGCTACTGTCTGCATCTCCGCGTCTGGGTCAGCATGTCTGGACTTGAAGATCTCGTTGCTTCGGCTCAAAGGCTTTTCGCCTCCTTCTTCGCCTCCTCCTTCGGCTCGCATGGGCATCGCCGGTGGCTTCGGCGGTGGCATCGACAGAGGCATCGACAGTGGCGTCGACAGTGGCATCGACGCTGGCTTCGACATTGGCATGGCAAATGCAGAATCCCTCCGCTCTTCTGGCGCTTCCCCTGGCTGGGACAATCCCGGTGGATCATTGACCCCTTCCGTCAACTTCAGACTCCAAAGCTGCTCGAAGCATCGCAGACAGAAAGTCGTCTCGTAGTCAGTCGTTTCGGAGGCCAGGTTGAGGTAGTACGTGTTCCCCGGCATGTCCTGGGGAGCTTTGAAAGGACATCCAAGCCGGAAACATGCTATGGTATCGCCGAAATCAACGAAGCTGGTACGCTGGAGGACGAGAGGGGCTCCTGCCTCAAGGTGCATGCGAGCTGCTTGGAGAAGTTCGGCGGATCTTCTCAGTCTCTCCGGCTGCATTTCAGTCAGCATAACGTCTCCGTTGCGAGGACCATAAACGTACCCTCTCTCGCTTCTCGGCGATCGCTCTGGCCATTTCGGTGGCCTGCGGCAGGATGTCATTCGGATCATCGTGCCCAAAGACACCAGAGTAGGTCTCGCCAAGCTGCTCGAATGTCAGTCATCTGGGTCTCCACGAAGGCATTACGATACTCACACCGTGGCCGAGATGCCACGTGCGTCCGTCATTCTTGTTGACATGTAGCGTCTCCGTAACCCGCAACTCTCGCACATGCACACCCTCTCGCCTACCTTGTGGCAAAGGAGGATGGTAGGCGTCGATCTCATTGAAGTTCACCTCGAAGTTGCTCGGGACGGTAAAGCCGCGAATGTCAAAGACCTGGTGTCCGATGGGCTGTTTGTATAGAGGATAAGGCCACGAGAAATGGTTGCCCGTGTGTGGAGAGCTGGCGGGCGTGAAAGGGCGGTAGGCACTGATATGACTCGGCGCTGGCGGGTGCTGATTGATGGGCGTGAAGGAGTGCTCGCGATTGTGGCCAGTACCACCGACCAGGCCGGGCGGCGACGGAGGATAGCGGCGACTCTGTCGTGGCGATGTCGCTGGCGGATACCTCGGCGGGTTCTGATTCTGATTCTGGCTCTGTTGCTCATCCTGGTACAGGTACAGGTACTGGTGGTACGCGTTCTGACCCTCGCGGAGCTCCGCTTCGTGGTATTGGGCGCTTCCGGGAACATATAGAGTCGAGCGAAGCGCAGATTCCGGTGGCTGCACCTGCGAAGGATACCGCGGTGGAGTCATGTTCGCTCTCACCAAGCTGCTGTTGACGAATCCTTGCGATGGACGAGTCTCCCGCTGGTCAGTCTCTCTGCCAGGAGCAGATGGGTACCTCGACGAGCTCATGTCGTATGGAAGCCGAGGAATCTGTCTGGCCGAAGAAGGATGTAAGGTGGTTGTTTCGGCCAGGGCTGTGGGTTTGTGAAAAGGAGCACGGGAGGCAGAAGTCTTGGCGTTGTCTCCCCAACAACCATCCGACACTGGCGAAGGCGGCACTGCTGGTTGCCCGACGGGACGCGTTCGAGCAGAGGGTAGCTGAGCGAATTCAAGTCGTGTTTCTAGCGCACTCTTCAATCGTCACTTTGCTTCTGGTGCATTTTCGCTCGAGCTCCTGCCCACTTGGAGGACAAAGATTGCCCCTGGTCGTGACTGCCCGCTTTCCGCACCGCTCCTACCTGATCGGGAAGGAGCGACAAGTAGGAAGGAGCGATGCATAGCGCACACTTCACAAAGGACCTGCTTGACGTTTGGAGCAAATGCGAGAGCTCATTTGAACGCTACCAATGCCGTTGTAAAGTACAGTCCCTAATCGTTGCCCTCCACCACGCTGGCGGCTGGTCGCTTGATGATCGTACCCGTCATGAGGGATAACGGCACGCAGACCCAGCACATTGCCGCAATGAAAATCAACCCATTAAACAAAGAGCCTACAGGCTGTCCTTCTTGCGGTTTCTTGAGCGCCAACGAATCCCCAGCAACAATGATGAAGATGGCTCCGATTACCTTCGCCCCACACCATCCAATAACACTCGAGAATTCCGGCGAGACCGGATGCGTCCACGCCGCTTGGAATTCCAGCACACACGGCTCGATAGAGAGCGAGCCTGCACCGATGAGAGCGAAGATGATGTACAGTCCCGCCACGGAGCGAGTCTGGGGGATGAATGGAAGCGCTGTGTATGCCGCCGCGGTGAAGATCACGATGACCTTGAGGGCGATCAAGTGAGCCTGAGTGCGGTCGAGGATGGGAGAGATGACCATTGCCGTAGCAATGCCAACGAAAACCAGGGCAGCGATGGCGTAGCCGGCGTCTTGCTGCGGGTATCCATAAGGGTGTATTGCCTGGTTTGAGATGGTGATGACCGCATCGATGGCGCCAGCAAAGACGGCGAAGGAGATAAACTGGACATAGAAAGTTGGGTTCCGGAGAAGTAGCTTCATGCTTTCGAGGCCGCCCAGTCGTCTGACGTCCGCGACAGCTGACGGGGGATGCGGTGGTGCTCTGGGTAGGAACGGAGCGGGAATCGCGGCTACGGTGAATACGATTGCAATAATGAGAGCTTGCTCATCGTAGTCTGGTCCTTCGTCAGCCAAGTTGTATAACATGCCAGTGTGGAGAAATACGTACTGAATGGACCCAGTGGTTTCACCATATACGGCCCACTGAGAGCTCCTACTCCTGATCCCAGCGCATATGCCAAGGATGGTAGCGCTGTCGCCAGGGTTCGCCCTCGGTCCCCGAACCACTGCCTGCTGTATCTGGTCGGCATTGCCAGTATGAAAGGCAGAGCGAGAGAATGTACGATCGTGCCGAAGATGTTGACCGGGAAGTTGTGCGCGCGAGCTCCACCATATATTATCCAATTGCCGATTACGGTAAAAATGCAGGCAACGATGATTGAGAATTTGGGTCCCCATCGATTGAGGATCCAGATGGTGAAGGGCGCAGGTACTATGAACACCAGCGAGCTTGCGACGCTCAAGTAGTTGCTCTCCGCGAAGCTGATGCCGTACCATGCGGTTGCAGTACTCGAGACGACGCCGGGTGCTGCATAACCCCTTCCGACGGCGAAGTTGAGCAGAGTCAATTCTGCCAGTCCGAACCAGCGTCGTTTGTACAGTCGATACTTTCGTTCCTTGACCAGACCTTCGCTTTCGATGTCCGGGAGATTGTTATACCGGTAGTTGTTATATTCGCCGTCATCATGTGGAGTTGTCTCTCGCGAGAGGTTCGATTGCTCAGAATTGTCAAAGTCCGATCGATCGATCGCTTGTGACCGTGTCTCCTCTGGCTCGCGATGGCTGAAGTCTGAGCAGCTCTTGATAAGTTGCCATGTCTAAGTCGAGAATCAAAGCGGAAAGTAGCTGCAAGTGTGGGATGAAGTTGTCTTGGTCAATTCCATGGCTGGCCAAGGTTTGCCTTCTATTTGGACCTCCATCACAGCGTTCAGCGTGTGTTGATCGGTTGTAGTGTACGTCACTTGGAGCTGAGATCCAATGCCATTGTCGCAATCCGGATCTGCAAGCTGATTATGGTAGCAGCGCAACAGCTCCTCAATGAGGAATGCTTAGTCGGCGCATCCTTCAGCTGCCCTGGAATTTCATGATGCCCCGAAGGATCGCGTCCATTGTGCATGGCTGATTGGAGGCAAGAAAGGAAAGTGAATGATTATCACAGGCAGGCTGTGCTTTGGACACCGACCAACATGAAACATCAGCTCCCAGCTTGGTCGATGTCTTTACGAAAGTCTGCGCTGGGGTGATGAGTGGGTGGGTGCTTGCAGATGATTGGTCGCGGCTTTGAGGCTTCCCACCTTCCGATGTTTAACCACTGCTCGCGTCGTTCATCACGTCTCCCCTCCCACACGATGTGCACGATACACTTGCACAGTCTTTGATCCACCGGCCTCCCGAATGTATGCGAGCAGCCGGGTATCTCTTCACGCTGCTTGCCCTATACATGCTCATTGCACGAATCTCGGGACCAGGATCGCGCCTGCCCTCCTTCTGCTGCCTCCAGTTCGCCCATCCCCCTCGCCATCGCCTCTCGACTTCACGATATACGAGTCGGAACTTTGCGGCGCGCGCAAATCCACCCCCGTCCGCATCCACGATGCTGCAAAGTGCTGTCCACAAGCACGCGCAGAAACACGGCCAGCAGCAACGCGCATCCCAATCTAGTCTTGCTACAGTCCAGGGAGCAGCTTTCCAGAAACCGTCGTCTCAATCCACGAACCCGGGATATCGAAACCCACTCCACCCGACATCCGACTCTACATTGAACGGCTTGAAGAGCGATCAGCCATACCCCAGCAGAGGAGGTGTAAAACGCACAGCGAGCGGGCTCGCCAAAGCATTCGATGGATCATTTGAAGACGCAACAGGATCCCAGAACCAGTCCATCATGATTGGTGCACGGTCGCCGTCCAAGAGCAAGGTGCCTCAGGTCACACAGACAGATCTGTTTGATGAGGATGATTTCGACAGTGATATTGAACTGGATGTCGAGGAGCCTGTTCCGCAGAAGGCCGTGAGCTACCCGAAGCTGCCAGGACAATCCTCGAATTTCGCAGTCCCCACAAAGCCAACTGCGAACAGCACGGTGTCATATCCAGAACTACCGGGAACAGCACAGGCAAGCACCTACCGGCCTACCTATCAATCCCGAGAAGCTAGCACTGCCGCCGACTCTGGCTATGGTACTGCAAATCCACCGGCGTCGCAGCAAGCACCGGGAAGTAGTGCTCCGTTGCCCTGGTCGTCTTCGCCGGTCACGCATTACAGCCCTAAAAGGCCCATCCCCTCTCTCCAGCACTTTGCACTCGACCCCTACAGTTCGACACATATTGAGCAAGATACCTCTCCTAGACCAGGGCCGGCGAAGCGGAGGACGATCCCCTGGATGGATAAGAACTCGGAAGATGACGCCTCCGAACCGGCAGCATCTTCGACCTCCACCGCCAGGACCACGTCAGCCTCCACCGCACGAAGTATGGCGACTCCGAGAGACAGGACCAAAAAGGACAAGCCCAGCCACCTTTGGAATACTACTGCTAGCGCGGTGAAGGAGCAGCAAAAGAAACATCGCGAGGAGGCAAGGAAGGTTCGCAACCAGGAAGGTACCGAGGAGTCGCTCCGCAAAGCCAAAGGCACGCACAAGCGCCCAGCGAGGGTCTTCCTGAGTGAGGAGCAGCAACATGTTCTGGAGTTGGTGATTGAGAAGAAAAAGAGCGTCTTCTTCACGGGTTCCGCTGGTACAGGCAAGTCGGTGCTCATGCGCGAGATCATTGCCTCTCTGCGGAAGAAGTACTCGAGAGAACCCGATCGGGTGGCGGTGACTGCGTCCACTGGCCTCGCTGCATGTAACGTTGGGGGCGTGACAGTGCATAGCTTTGCGGGTATTGGCCTTGGCAAGGAGGAAGTGCCGGAGCTAGTGAAGAAGATCAAGAGAAACCAGAAAGCGAAGCATCGCTGGATGCGAACCAAGGTGTTGGTTGTTGACGAGGTATCTATGGTGGATGGTGACTTGTTCGACAAACTGGAATCCATCGCCCGCCAGATCCGGAACAACGCACGGCCGTTTGGTGGCATTCAACTTGTGATTACCGGCGATTTCTTCCAGCTACCACCCGTTCCCGAGAACAATCGCGCCGCCAAGTTCGCCTTCGATGCAGCGACTTGGACCACGAGTGTTGAGCACACAATCGGTCTCCACCATGTGTTCCGTCAGAAAGATCCCGGTAGGTTCAGACGCAGTGCAATGAGAGATTTTTCGCAACTGACATAGTGGCAGTATTTGCGGGCATGCTCAATGAAATGCGCGAAGGCCGCCTATCGCAGTCTTCCATCAACGTGTTCAAAACCCTCAACCGCGATCTGAACTTTGAGGATTCGCTGGACGCTACTGAGCTCTTCCCCACGCGGCAGGAAGTCGACCGAGCGAACAGTCAACGTCTCGCTATACTCCAAGGCGACACTTTACCATTCCCCGCAAGAGACGGTGGCTCGATCACGGACAAGGCCATGCGCGACAAGCTTTTATCGAATTGTCTTGCACCTGAGTTGATCACGCTCAAGAAGGGCGCTCAGGTTATGTTGATCAAGAACATTGACGAAACACTTGTCAACGGCTCCCTGGGCCGCGTGATAGGATTCATGGACGAGCGCAAATTCGACAGCTACAACAACAACGAAGCGGCATTCTCCCAGTCGCCAGGAGGGACCATCGAAAGCGAAGAGGGCGGTGGGAGCAAGCTGCGACTGATGGCCGGTGTTTCGACGTCTATGCAGTGGCCCTTGGTGCGGTTCGCGATCGCGGATGGCACATGGCGAGACCTGCTGTGTGAACCGGAGACGTGGAAGGTTGAGCTTCCGAACGGCGAAGTGCAAGCATCGCGCGTGCAGGTGCCTCTGATCTTGGCGTGGGCGCTCTCGATCCACAAAGCCCAGGGACAGACGCTGGAGCGGGTCAAAGTTGACCTGGGCAAGGTGTTTGAAAAGGGGCAGGCGTACGTTGCGCTGAGTCGTGCCACGAGCATGGCGGGATTGCAAGTGCTGCGCTTCGACCCGAGGAAGGTCAACGCACATGAGCGCGTGAGGACGTTCTACTCGCAGCTGGCACGCGTGGAGCTTGCGGAGAAGAACAAGGAACGGATGGAGAAGATTGACAAGCCCCAGACGACGACTACTGCTGATGACTACGAGAAGCGCTTCATTGAGGGCGACGTTGGTTGGGGCGAGATGTGAAGCGCAGTGCTAGCATGCATGGACGAAGCGACTCAGTGAGGCAGATATTTGGCCGTCAGACCACCAACATGGCGACGAAGCTGTCTTGGAGCAGACCATGTACGTACTTGCATCATTGCTAGCCACTTACTTATTTGCCGCAAGACGATGCTCACGCTTCTCTCCGAGCATTGCTTGCGCACACCTCTCTGCGATGAGATATGCATTGATCTGCGTATGGTTGTTGGTCAGGATAGGACAGACACTCATGTCAGCGATCCGCAAGCCTTCCAGACCGACCACGTTGCAATCGGTATCCACGACGCGGTCCGGGTCGCCTTGACGGCCCATGGCACAAGAACCCATGGCGTGGAATCCGTGATTCAGCTCCTCTCTGAGAAACCTGCGTATGGCTTCCTCGTCGCCCGGTTCGCACAGCGTGATGGAACCGTCCGCATTCCGCTCCCCGGGCCCGTGGATCGTCTTCCGGAGAATCGACCGTATCGTCGGAGATTGCAAGATCCTCAGCTGGGCTTTTGTCGTCTCGATGGCGATGCGCCAATCATACGCTTCCGAACAGTAGGCGGGATCGATCACGGGGAAGTCTCTAGGATCCGGATCCGGACTGCGCAGGCACAGAGAGCCGCGGGCGAGGAGGTTCTGGCAGAGCCCTTCGACAGCGAGGACGGAGTCTTGCGGATCGACGGTGCCGGTGTGAAGAATAAGGGCCCGCCGTGCATCCAGAGCTCGGTACTGGGTCTGTCCGGGTGGGCGAGGAAAGCCTGCAGGTCTGTCGGGGGCAGGGAGTGGAATTCGTGGGACTCGTACAGTTCTGGGATGCGGGCGAAGAGGAGCGCTGCGCTGGCGCCGAAGACTGCGAGTGGACCCGTGCGCGTCGCTTCGTACTGCTTTCGCGCGGCTTCCATGGCTTCCTTGGGGGTTTTGGAGGAGTTGGTTGTGGCCTTTGATGGAAGGGTCGATGACGGCTTCGATGCTGAAGGCGCTGTGGTCGCGCATGTTCCGGCCGACCGAGGGGGAGTCGTGCACGACGGAGATGCCGTGTTGTGACAGCTTCGGATGCCGGTCCGATGCCCGAGAGGAGGAATCATCTCTTCTTCGTCTTCGCCAGTCGTCTTGGCAGCCGGGATCAACTCCACCCCGACAGCCCTCTTGCCCTCCACCACGACCCTCCTACACAGCGTCCGCGTAACAACCACCAACCTCCCCGCCTCCCTGAGTTCTTCCCTCTTCTCCCGCCCCAGAAACGCCGCCGCCGCCGCACTCCTCCTCTCCCCGCGATCAACATTCATCTGCGCCACCGAAACCCCCATCGCCTCCCCATCGTTATGATCCCCATTCCACGCAAACCCGGCCTCCATCGCCCCTCGCAGACAAAACTCCACCCACAGCCTGCCACTCCCGCCCGACTCCCACCCCAATCGGCCCGCCGCGCGCATGCACCCCCTCCTCCGCCGCGAAATCCACCCATCCCCCTCTCTGCCCCGGAACCTCCTCCGCCCCCTGCTGGAAATCTTCCAACCCTTTCATCTCCCCCAAAACATTCCCCCACCGCCACCACGCATCCCCAACCGCCGCCGCCGCCCACGCTTCCCAATCACACCGCGGTCCGCGCACCCACGAGCTGAAATTGTTCGCCGAGCTGGCCCCCCCCTTCCCCTTGCCCCGCGGGTATGATAATGCCCGCCCGTGGAGTTCCTTCTGCGGCGCTGTCCGGTAGAGCCAGTTGCCCGCTTCGCTGCCGTATTTCGGCAATACCAGGCCTGGGATCAGGTTTTCGGTGTCTTCTTCGGCTTCGCCGCCGGCTTCGATGAGGAGGGTTCGGGTGTTGTTGTTGTTGTTGTTGTTGTTGTTGTTGTTGTTGTTGCCGGCGGCGGAAGCGAGGCGGGAGGCGAGCAGGCAGCCGGATGTGCCGCCGCCTACGATGATGTAGTCGAATTCATCTTGGCTATCTGGGAGGGTGTGGAGAGGTGTTGAGGTGGGTATGGGATTCGAATTGCTTGGCATTTCTCTGTTCGTCGTCCGGGGATTGCGAAGGGGATTTGCTCGTTTTACTCGGTATCCTTGCAGGCTGTTTTGATCAGACGTGATCTCGTGGGCGGTAGATCTAGCAGGAACACTCACTTGGGTCGTAGTCCATGTTTCATGCAGGTCAAGCTATCATCGCGAAATCCTGAGCCCCACCGCTCATGGCTTGCCCGAGAGCTGCAGTGGGAGCTACAATGATGCTATGGAAGTTGGATCCGATCGGCGATCCTCACATCACATCGAATAGGCAAGCTTGGAATCGACGGTCGCCGTCTTCTCGTACAGCCATAACACTAGGGGTATCTCATTACCGTGTGGAGGAACAACTCCTCCCAAAAGATGCAAAATGTTTTTTCTTCTCACAGGTGCCTTGAAGAACGGCCAGTGCTTGCTCCAAATGCACTCACTCACTCAATCAATCAATCAATCAATCAATCAATCAATCAATCAATAGCGCTTCTTCTTCTGCGGATGGACGTGCCAACGTGCCTTGATGCCCCGCTGGGCGAGCCAGTCGCGGATCTTATCCCACAGCATGAACCCAAACACAATGAACATGAACGCCACCAGGCTGGGCACGGCGACGATCCAGAAGAAGGCAAACGGGTGAGCTAATCCGGCGCCCGACGCAAAATTCATGCCAAAGTAACCTACCAATTCATCAGTATACACGACGAGGTCGTCGTGAGGGTCAGGATCGTTGTTTCGGGCTGGCTTACCCGAAATAAAGGTCAATGGCGCGAAAAAGACCGTGACGACGGCGAGAATCATCATGAAGTTGTTCGTCTTGGCTCCGACAGTATTGAAGATCAAGGTCGAAATGTTGTTCGCGCTGGCGTCCATCTGCTCGAGTGCGGAGATCATCGTAATACAATGATCCAGCACATCGCCAAAGTAGGTGTGCGCAAGCGGCGTGATCGTAACACTCGTAGCCTCATCTGCCCGCCTCAGTGCGATTTTTCTAAAATCCGACACGTGGCGCACCATGGGCTGTCCGAGACGATCGCGTGTGGTCTTAGCAGGGATCGCGCCGCCAGCAGCTTCGGATACGGTGGCGCTGGGCGTCACCACGGGCGTAGCTTTGGCCGAAACAGCGGCCGTCGCGTCGGTCTGGTGGTCGCGTAGGGAGTTGACTAGGTGCACAATTGGCTTAACAAGATTCTGCAGCATGTCGACTTCCTCGCCGAAGATATGCAGCGCCCGTGAAGTCCGGATATCGGGGTTGGTCATGGCATCGATTTGTAGCTCTTTTCGGGCCTTGTTGTACGCGTCTCTGACTGGAACCGCCAGATCCACAATGGCATCGATGATGGCTTGGGTAAGCAGAGATGCATCGCAGCTCCTCCTCAGCATCGTCTCCTTACTACTGAGACGATTCAGGATTGGTGTCTCGATGTCCTCAGCCGAGTGCTCGAAGAAAGAGATGACGGCATTGTCTGACAAGAGGAAAATGGCCACCTGCTCGACACTGACGGTCATGTCCTCGTTCGTAAGTGCACTGTGTCTCTCCATCCACGCAGTGTGTTCCGGTATTTGAGCGCTCTCGTACCGGTGGAGCGTGCGAATCGGCTTTATAGGCGTCTGGTCGGAGAGCCCACTGTGCGCGCTGATGAATTCATCCATTTTACCATCTTTGTTCCTGTCCAAGTATCGTGGCAGCACATCTGGCCGTCGCTTGCCCGTGGCCCAGTCCCACCAGCTCTGGCGGGCGAATGATTTTTGATGCTGCCCATGCTTCTCGTTGAACTCGTCGCTATCGGAATCCGCGCCGTTTGTGCAGGTACACTTCTCGTCGCTGCCGTTATGCTGGTGCAGACGGACAAGCTTCTGCAACGTGAGCACGATGAAGGCATGGTCTACGTACCAGTCCACCTTCGTCCTCGTGTGGGTATGCATCAAATCTTCAATAGCCAATCGATGCAGATGGAATTGGTTTCCCAGAGTCTTGATGACATCCCAGCTGAGCCCGTTCACAGAAATCCATCGACAAGGTAGGGCTTCTGTCCGAGGCGTCTTCAAGGCCTCAGCGAGGCCGTCATTGTCCGATTTGAGATGATGTACTTCCTGATCGGAATAGTCGATGATGTTGATTTCACACTGTGTTTTGAGGTTCGTCAGATGGTCCGGTATCTGGTCATCGTCCGCAGTAGTGTCGATACCGGGTTCGGCTCCAGGATAGTAGTTCTCGTCGCCAGCAGGGGCTTCCTGAGGATGTTCCAGAAAGGTCCTGACGGTGTTGGATCGCGACACTTTACGATTGCGCACACCTTCATGCGAGCCAGGCGCAGAGAGACGCGAGTTAGCGCTCCCCTGTCGCTCGAGTTTAGCATGTTCCATCGGCGGGGCTGGACTCTGCGGCGTTGGGACCCGATCACGGGAAGGCTCTTCTGGCGGCGGCGTCAAGATCGTTGGCACACGATCTGGGGATCCGTAATCACGCGCCACAACGGATTGCGGTGTTGCCATTGTGCGTTGTTGCGGTAGGAATGAAGCTCTCAAGTAGATGAAGAAAGAAGGTGGCGGCCGTCAAGGGAGAGAAATGTTGAGGTGTCCTTCATGTGAGAGGATGGAGTGACCAAGTCGGTATTCGTACATCAACAGCCATGCATGCAATTTGAACATAGAAAGCGGCGAAGAAGGGGGCGAAGAAGGGAATCGAAAGGAATGAGGTGGAGCTTGTGTCGTCTGAGATCTTGACAGCCGAGAATGCAATCACCATGCAACCTAATGCTGGAGAGGATGCAAGGGCAGGGGCGGCCGGGGAAACAAGCTCTCGGCCGCAAAAGCTTGGCGTTTGAGCTCAATTCAGGTGAGCACGTGATTGGCCGCCTCAGCGAGATATCACGTGGAAGGCCTAACTTCATGTGGAGTAATTCGGTATTCTGATACGAAAAGCTGTAGGTAATCGATCCATCGCAGACTGAGGCTGTACAGCCCTGCGTGATATCAGGAGCTGCACATATATATGCACAGTCATCTCAAGTCTTCGCGCTTCTCGCATCAGTATTGAGCATCTCATCGGCCGCCTTCAGATGTTCCATCAGACGCTTGGGAATTCCACCACTTTTCGGTCGGTCGAACCATTGATGCCCAATATACTTCGGAATAGCGGCCAGCAGATATGCTCTCAGCTCTTTCAGATAGAGCCTTCTCTTGTGGCTTGCTACAATCTCTTCCTCGCTTCTGATGCGGAACATGACGAATCCAGTCGGTGTCTCATACTCGATTCTCTCAGGTAGTATTGCACGCCACTGCCACAGTAGGAGGGGAAGTCTGTACGCGGAATGCTGACGCCGAGTATCTCTTGCGCCGTTGCGATTCACAGTCCCCAGATAAAGGCGTACCCACCGCCTCAGCCAAAGAATGTCTCGTCGGCGAATCAGATCAGCGAATTGCCAGCTGTTGCGGAGACGCTCCAGTGATCTAGGCTCCTGTGATCTACGCAGAAACCCCTTGCTCCTGGCACGAGTATAACCTTGAACGTCTCTCAACCTTTTACCTGCCATTTCTCGAGAACTTCTTACAAGCGGTTCGGCCGCGATAATCTTGTCCGCAAGCCAGTCACTCGACTGGCGATGGAAGATATTCTTGATCAAGTAACGGTACATGCTCATTGTCGGTTTGACAGAATACGGCGGTCCTGTCATAAGGTTCCAAAGGCTCAAGACGCTGCTAAGCGGCAGCTGACCGGTCGTGCGGCGGCCGAGCCTGTCTGTTCCAGTACGGGGTAGGGAGAGTATGAAGGTCCATTGGAGAAGCCGAGCCCAGACATCACTGGTTATGGCGAGACCGAAATGTCGAGCCACAAAGTCGACGAGGCGCAAAGCACTCGGGATATCATTGTTGATACTGAATGCGTCGGCAATGGTTAAGAGAAGATCCTCCGTCGGCCTCATGGGCGAGTGTTCTGGAATCTGCTTTGGCGGGATTGATTTTTCATCCGTCCCTGCCATTATCCCTTCCACGTCGATGCCCCATACCCGTTTTAGTACAGACTTGGCTGTGGCAAGGTCTCCTTCTCTCGCAGACGCGGTAATTAGGATTCTATAGCTCTCCTCATCGGCGACGACTCCATTGGTAAGCATCTTGTTGAATATCTCCATTGTCTGTTGTCGCACTCCTCCTTCTCCTACCCGATAGTTCCAAAACTTCGAGCGTCTCTTTTCGCGAGCGCGTCCCTCCATGTTGTACGGGATAACTCGGACCGTTTGTCTCGAGCCAGCGGAATGGATGCCATTCCAAACGACCGCCGACATATAATAATTGTAGCACATGGTGTTCGGCACGTGTCCATCATTGAGAAGCGCGTGCCATACGAAGGAGCCCATCTTTGAGTTTCCAAGATCGCGAGCAGAGCGCAGTAGAATCGTGTAATCAGCAAATGTAGGCGCAATCCCGACCGAGCGTCTGACCCCAAGGACACTCTGGAGAACGGAAACGTACTCCCGAGCAACTTTGTGCATCGACATGAGTCCAATCTCGGCGGCTGTTTTAGAGCTGAAATCCACGTGAACACGGCCGACTTTTGCAACAAAGTGGGAGGGCTCTAGCAGGCGGATAATTTCCGAGTATGTCGTGGGAGGTATGCTCCGCAGGAAGTCTAGGTCATTGGCCTGGTACGCTGCAAAGAGGCAGCGTGCTACCACGTCCGCTTCTTCCTGCAGGAGAGCGTCAGAAAGCTTCGCTCGGTAGTCGATGTCGAGCATGTCCCTTGGATCGGGCGCATTGAAGCCATCCGCAGCAAAAACGCTATCCGAAGTGCCGGGCTCTTGTCTACCATCGAAAGGTTCGAACGGCTCCCAAAGGCCATCTTGCTCCAAGTCCTGCTCTCCTTCGTCCCTCTCGTTCGCACCCAAGGGTGTATACGAGCTCTCAAATGCACCCTCTTGAAATGTCCGTGACTCCGGGCCATCTTGAATGCGTTGCGAACCAAGCTCTTTTTTCCCCTGATTCTCAAATTCCCATGAGCTACCCGTCCAACTCTCAGGTTTCGTGTTCTGTCGCGCTTTCTTGTCATCATTGTGCTCGTGCTCTCCTTCCCCTGGGAAAAGGACGCTCCCGCCGCCGTCCGTGAACCTTAGACTGTCGTCGCCGTAACTTCGGCGTTGTTGCTTGAACGCCGAATCTCTCCTGGCTGTGCACCCTGCACACACCCAATTTGACTGTCTCTTTCTCTTGCAGTACTTCCATGTTGTCTGAGCGGCAATTCGTTTCTCCAGAGGCCCCAGACGGGCGAGGAGCGCGGACATATACAAATCAATGGTGTGGTCCCGTGCTCCGTCTCCATATGGGGATAGCTGGTAGCTTGGAGACGGAGCGATGAAGTCTCACGGCTAGACTTCGGAAGAACGGTCGCTGCCGAGGGTTTCGGCTAGCTCTGCCGAATGTTCAGCCCTACCTAGGTACCTTAGGAACCTCGCTTCTTGCCAAGCGTTCTGCAAGCCCGAGACGAAGTAACATTGACGACCATTTCAAACAACTCCTTCCAAAACATCGCACTTTGCGCCCCGATGACCGATGGCCGAGACCGATGATGCAGGCGCCAATCCGGTGAACGAACCACTCGACCTCGTCCGCCTCTCGCTCAACGAAGTAGTTTTCGTCAAACTCAGAGGAGACCGCGAGCTGCAGGGCAGACTACATGTGAGGATATATGATTGCAAAGAGGCGAGGGGCGGCGCTGATTGCGGCGACAGGCATACGATGGCCACTGCAATCTGATTATGGGAGACGTCACAGAGACGGTCTACGTCGTGGACGAGGACGATGAGCAAGAGAACGTGCGGACGGTGAAGAAACAGTCTGAGATGTTGTTTGTGAGAGGTCCGTAGTATTCCACGGACAGATTGGAGATTCGGGATACTGACTGTTTTTCAGGTGATTCGGTGGTCCTCATTTCCCCACAGCAATGAGCTCTCGACGGGCGAATCCGGCACAATTGAATAAACACTGGCCCATGACGAAGGGCAAGAGGAACACGCGACTACCTGGACTTCAAGCCGGCCACAAAGTCGCGGTGAAGCGACAGACTCAGTACATGCTGCGAAATGCCGGTGTCAGCTCCGTCAATGGATCGTCTTATTACGAAGTTCAAGCGTATTACTGCATTCCCAAGTGGGCTGTTCAACGCTTCAAATCCATGCCCGCTACTCCGCCTCATATCATCTCAGCTTCAATTCGGTTCATATGATCGCATGCTCGGGGTATCTATCATTCCCATGTCCAAACTCAAGCAATGGCCCATTTGCATACACCACCAAAGGAATACCCCACTCGTCCTTTCTGCTGTCGATAACTCTGTATCGTCAACCCGCGACCGTCATCGTCCCCGAACGTTTTGACCACGAAAATCTCCACTTTCTGACCAGGGCGACCAAGGTCCTGCACAGGTACATCACACCACCAAACATCTCCATTCGTCTCGAAGGGGATGTGATTGCGTGGAGTTCCGTCGAGCCCATCACAGTGCAAGATATAGAGGTATTGCGGGCCTTGTCCGCATCGCACCGGATCCCAGTGGGGACATATCTTCTGGAATGCGAAGCGAACGGTTGGCCCTGGCTGCTGAGACAGGGCAATCTTGCCAGACGCAGGTTGAAACGTCGTCTTATCCAATCCTTCTTCTGCAACGTAGCCAGCGAAGAAGTCAGCGCCACAGCCATTCTTGTTGCCGAGTATGAATTCTTCCCACGACATGATACGGCCATCGGTGCGAAGCTGCTTGCTGCTATCTTCTGGGTAGTGGTCCAAGCCGAATTCGTTATTGGTTTGAGTGAAACGTTCTGGCGCAAAGCGTTTGTTGTAGCCCTGCCCAGGTCCATTGACGCTACCTGCACCCCAGCAGCAATCTATTAGTTTCCACTCACCGTTGTCGATCTTCACCGCGTTCCAAGCGTGGGTTGATTGGAACGGAGGAATCGGTTCTCCAGGTTTCAGGGCAGTGTGACCGTAGCCCTTGCTGCCTCCTCCAATGACAACAGATTCTAAGCCAGCTTTCATTGCGATCGCTGTAAAGAGGCCAGCGTACCCTTCACATACAGCCAAGCCGCTCTGCAGGGTGGACTGAGGAGTCGAGGGTTTGACGTTGTTGCCAAAGAATGCTTCTGTATCATAGGCAATGTTGTGGTGAAGCCAAGTGAAGACGACTCTGGCTTTGTCCGTCAGCGAAGGGAAAGGTGAAGTGAGCTGGTGAGCTAGCCATCCGACGTCTAATGATGGAACGGATTGTCTGGGAAATCGAGCTGCATGGTTGTCGGGACCTGAGAAGTCGCGGCAGTGCAAGCACGAGCCGGCCAAAATCAATGGGCGTGCAGACGCTTGCGGAGCGTAAGTTGATTGAGCAGGGACATCCGTGAGGAAGTTGCCCACCCAATGCTTCAGAAGCTCCTGGTTTGCGCCCTCTTGACGTTGTACTTCGGACCCGTTCTTGAAAAACAGCAGCGTTGGCATAGCTCGAACGCCATATAAGGAATAGCAGTCTTCTCTCGCGGGCCTGTTGACTTTGGCGAAGGTGATCTGCCCTGGCCGGGACCGCTGCGAGCAGAGCTGATCATAAGTTGGTGAGATATCTTTACAAGGTCCACAGTAATCTGCATAGAAATCGACAATCGCATACTGCGAGGAAGCAATGATTTGCGCGAGATGATCAGGTGAGTTAATTTCTACCGGCTTGGATGGGACAGCCGCCGCGGCGGTACTATTCATCTTTGGCTTCGAGGCAAGTGGCACCGCAGGCTTCGAGCTTGTTGGAATGGGCGGAGGTGCACTGTTACTTTGCGATCGATCAGTCCTAATCTCAGGGAGAGGCGGCGGTTCGTTTGTAGATTTGTTCATTCCCCACGACAAAGCAGACGGTCTTGCTCGTGGAGGAGGCGGAGGTTCTGCTCTCGCTGGCTTTGGGCCAGCCCTAATTGCTAACTGCTGAGCTTGAGCCTGGTAAGACGGCTGTATGTTTGGCAACACTGGAGGCGGGATTTCAGGTTGGCGTGCAGGAGGTGGAGGAGTAGTTCCCTGGGCAACTTGCTGCACCTTCGGGGACGATTTCGTCTGACGCAAAGGTCGCATGCCAGCATACTTCCTCTCGGCCGCCTCCTTCTCCTCCTTGGTGCGTTTTGGAGGAAGCGCAGGTAAAGAAGATGGATCAAATTCTGGAGCTTTGACTCTACGGTCGCCCATAGATGTGAGCGACGTCGCATTGGATACCCCAGAGAGGCTCGAGCGGGTAGTGGCTATGGAACTCATCGAGTCCGTGGAGCCCCTTCGACTTCGCTCATAATCTGGCTGTGAAGGTGCTTCCGACGGTCTTCTGGGCGGAAGACTTGGAGCTGGCTGCCCAGACGGCCTCCGCGGTGGCAACGCGGGACTTAGCGAGGCCTGCGACGACTGGGTGGAAGTCCTTGGGGGAAGCGGTGGTCTTGCCATCCCGTTACCATTTGCGTGTCTTTCATTCGCATGGCTTGCCTCCGGCTGATTGCCTATGGGCCTGTTGATGATGTCTCCGTTGTCCACGGTCAAAGGGACGTTCGGGCTTTGTGGACGATTTGGCCGGGCAGGTAAATCTGGTCTAGGAGGAGGCGGTGGTCGTGGCCGTGGAGTGCCGGTGACAGTACCATTGGCGGACTGCTGACGGGTCGGTGGCGGCTGACCGGGGATGTTGTTGCCAACTTGCGACAGCTTCAACGCTGTGATTCGGTCCTTGATGGAGCTTGGAGCGGCCGGCTCTTCTTCCACCGCCATAGTGAATGAGATGTCGCAAGCCGATGCGAAGAGTTTACTGAAAGGAGAGACTCCGGAGCATGTGTACGAGCGTAGGAGGTTGTTGTGCGGGCGGTCGTACGGGGATGGCGACCAACAAACGGGGAGAGGAATCCTTTGCGCAGGCGTGGGCTGAGGATGGCTAGCTCGAGGTCGTTTCTACTTTGAGTTCTCACTGCAGGCACCACAGGCACCGTGCCACATCCTTGCTCCAAGCTAACAACGTCACGTGCAATGGTTGGAGGAAGAGGAGGTCATCCTCCGGGCTTGTGCTGTGGGCCTGAGGCATTCGCGGAGACACTCACCGAGCAGACCATCCAACGCGCCTTGATCCAAACCACAGGCAAATGGACACGTCTTCTCAAGCATCGACTTTTCATTCCAAAACGACTATCTCCATTTGTCCCTATAGACTTCGCATCCATGACCAGCCACCCATGCACCATCGTTCTCACGTGCACGCGCACGCCATGCATCAAATCCACCACGTTTTTTTTTTGGATATGCTTCTCTTCATGTTTGCAACGACCTTTGTAGACGGGCACAAGAGAAGCTTACTTCTGATATGTCTTTTCAAGTCCCATCACAGAGCGCCAGTATCCGAGCCTTTCTATCGCGGGAACAGGAAGGAGCGGCAGTCCGAAGCACAGCAGCTTGCAGCGTAATCAACAACAGAAATAGAAAATCATCTCGTCATTACAGGTATTCTTCTTTGCTCGAGATCCAGAACATGACGACCAGCCGTTTCTTCTTCGTTTTTGATCGGTGCGCTTTCGACAGTCTTCGTTGAGGGATTCCGCAAGGCGCAGGCTAAAACAAAGGAGACTCCTTCGAAGAGGTACCCATAGCTTCGTGTGTGCGGCGAACGTCCGTGCGGAGGGAAGTCGTGTTTCGACATCAACGCTTGCGCTTCTTGATCTTGTCTGGTAATGCAGGAGCCAGGAAGAGGCCAGTGGAAGCGGTCGAGGAGTGCTGTGGCGGTGGCGACTCATCCGTGCTCTCCTCGGCTTTCTTGATGGTGACTCCCATGTGACGACCGTATCTGCCCTTGCGGCCATTGCCCTCGTCCTCGCTGATGCAGCCCTCGACACCGATACCAGCGTCCTTGCAGCGACCGCATGGGCGCTGGCGATCGCAGCCCTTCTTACTCTTGCGGCATCGCTGGCACCGAGGCTTAGAGGAGAGGTCCTCTTCGTCGGCACCTAGCTGGTGTTGAAAGTTGATGGCAGAGGAGATCGAGGCTTTGCGGGACTGTGATGGAAGAGACGCCGGCGACATTGGCATCTTAGAGCTGCCCATGGACGTCTTCTTCACCTTGGACATGGACAATGCACGCGGCTTGCCCGACTTGATACCGGTAGGTCCAGTGCTGCTGCGGGCCTTGACCTTTGGCTTGACATTCTTTCGCTGTCCGTCCTCGCCAATCATATCCTCGCTGTAGAATGTGCCGTCACGGTTATCTTCATACTCTTCTCCACTGGTACCTTCACTGGGCGACTCATTGTGCAGACGCTGCTTCTTCCGCTGAGGACCAGGATCCTCTTTCGAGTAGCGGGGCAGCTCAGAGAGACGGATGTTGTCGTCGTCATCGTCATCACCGTCTTCTTCATCAGACGAGGCTGCCTCCGCTTTGCCACTTAGGGCATCGTCAACGGTGGACGTGGACGTACGTCCATGTGAGAAGGCGGCAGGATCACCAAGCCGCATGAGCTGCAGCGCAACGTCTTCGTCGGAAATGACGCTGCCAATGGTTGGATCTGGCGTTGGGAGAACTCCACCGTTGGAAGCACGGTTTGATGTATGGCTGGCACCGCTCGAACGTCCTCCGCGCAATTGTCTGTTTGGATGCTGGTATCCATTTTGATACGGGTTGGCTGGGAACGCCGGCTGCTGTACGTAGTTGCTGCCGTTCGCGAAGCTCTGGGGCGACGGCAGTGGTTGAGTGTACGAGAACGTCTGTTGGTTGGAGAAGCCATAGGGCGAGGCGACATTGGGAGGACCAGCTCGGCGCTGCGGAGAGATGGATGAGATTGACGCAGTCATTGGAACTTGAGGCGGCACGAAGAGTGGCAGTTCCTACAACGATGGGTCAGTGGACGAGCTTAGAAGGTAGGGACATCTTGCAAGATCCTTACCGAACTCTCGAATGCCCTCTTGCGACGACCACCCTCAACGATGTTGTCCACGGTGATGTCGGCCTTGATCTCTTCGGCTTTGGACCGCCTGGAGCTCGTAACGGAGGCATTTTCGTCAGCGCCGCTGCTGTAGCCCTCGCCGTCTACCACACCGTTGTCCTTGCTCTTCGTCCTCGGTGGTCGTGGCTTGCTGCCGGGTGCAGCAGAGGCACTTCGGTGGCCAATGTCAGACTGTGGAGATGCACTACGAACTCCAAGAGACCGAGCGGCGGATCGCGACGGCGAGTGGTTGACATTCAATGTCGGCGCGCGTGCCTCGAAGGGTGCGCCCAGCGATGGCTTCTTTGGCGAGGCGGAATCTCTCGCAGTGTCGTTCACCACTGGCGCCGGCTGAGGAACTGTGGTTCTGACATAGACGGTCATATCGTTGTCGAAATTGTGGTGCGCGGCGATGATGGCATTGCCCTCTTTATCCTCGAAGCTGACGCCGTAGTCGTACAGCCCGTAGAAGTTCTTGACTGTCGAAATGATCGACTCCGTAGTGTCATTCTTCGATATCATGACACGCATGGGTAGTCGTGCTTGGATTTGCGGATTTTGTGAGTCGATGAGCACAAAGACAACGTGCTTATGGTCTTTCTTCGCCGGCGAACGGCCATTGCCGACTCTCTGGGAGCGCTGCTCATTCGCATGGTACTGATAGTCGTGCGCAGAGCCTCCATTGCGTGTAGCATACGAGTGCACCGATCTCTTCGTATCCTCGGCACCGTCCAGACCGCCTTTGGTCATCATGCCGGAAACGTCCATGCTGCAATCTCTTTACAAGCCGAAAAGGCCAGCGATGTATGCGTAGACCTATGGACAAGGTGTATTATACAGCAGGCAGAGCGCGCGATACTGTGCGCTCCACCATAAGTCGTCGGCGCAAAAACAACGAGCGGGCGCCGAGTTGGCGGCGGCGATGATGGTTTCGGTGATCTGTGATCTAAGCGTCAGTACATGTGGCCTTCAGATGCGTGTACAACAGCGGCAGGGCGTTGTGGCAAAGCAGCTTGGGTTGTGTCGGCGCTGTAGAAAGGGATGTGTGGTGAAGGTTGAGGACAGCAGGATATGGGTCCGCAAGGTGAGGTGAGGTTTTGATATCGGCGCACATGACGAGTCCTAAGTGAAGTCAGAGGACTCACCAAGGTTCCGCGTGGTCTGATGATGAACGACAATGGTTGATAGATAGCTCTCAGCAACCTCGCTGCCGCTGGCCTGGCGGCGATGGGGGAGGGCGGGATGTGTCGGGGCGAAGATGTATGGGACGAGCAAGTGTTGGGAGGTGCTTTCCCAGCAAATGGATGAGACAAAAGCGGTCGCAATGGGCGGCAGAAGCGATCAGGTGCCCAACCTGGTGGTGACAGAGCGGAGTGGTGGTGTCCAGGTCCAAGAAGAGGAGCGGAGGGTTGTTGTACAGCGGGTCTCTGCTCGAGCCGAAGCCATCATGCCGCTGCACGGTCACCAACCATCTATCCATGTTCGCACGCACTTTCTCTACACGCACATCACTCGCTGGGAGGGCAGACTGGAGCGTCTTGCGATTGACACATTCTGATTGCTTGCACGTTCTCAGAAATCGATTCGCAGCTATTCCTGTTGATCCAGCACAGCGAGCGCAGACAGTAGCCGCCATAGAGCCGCTCCGGTTCAACAGGATGAAACAAAGAACCGCCCGGATTCCATGCAATCTGGCACAGTTGCCCATTCCCACGCATTTTACTTGAGAAGCCATACGATCCCGCACTCCAAGTTGGCGCCGATGCGCTGGACACATGAGCGAAAGAGAGCCTTTGGATTAGCTGCATGTCAACCCCGACAGAGGAGCCCAGAATGCAGCACTGTGCTCCAGGCCGATGCGCTCCAATCACAGCCCTTCCTGCCACGCAGATCTGCCGCCGGACTGCGCACACCCTCTCACTCTCAGACACGGTGGGCGAAGATACGCATTGCTTGTGACCTTGATGTCACTAAGAGCGACCACGAGTTTGAGAGAAAGGGAAATGGTGGGATGCATGATGCTCGAGATTGAGATGGAAGCCGACTGTTGCCGTGCACGCACAGGCGCGTTCTGTGCGACATCATGGAGATCTCTGCATCGCAGTTCTAGAGACGCATATCTCGGCGTGTTCAGTGTCTATCATTTACGTGGTTTGGAAGGAAGCCTCGATCTGTCTTGTACAATCGAAAAAGCGTGTTCACAAAAGTGCCCGCAATTCGCGGTGAAGCGCAGCGTCATCGGTAGCACAGCCCGCCGGTTGGAACTCGTGCAGATAGCAAATGCGAATGGCGCAAAATTTTGGCGGAGCGGTCATGCTGGAGAGTGTCTGATGCTGCGGCCGAGGACGGAACGAGGCTCGATGGACCAGGTCACGATCGGGCTGTTTTGTGCATTAGTTAATGTACCTTTCTGGAGAGGGGTTCTAGTTAGTTCTCAAGTTGTGCCGAAGTGGGTTTTCTCGGTCTCAGGAAGAGGCGGCAGCGTTGGCAGCGATAGGCTGACAAGGCAGGATCCTGGAAACTCGACAGCACATCAGGCTTGTCACCGTGCACACATCTGGATTGTCATAGCGACCTGTGTAAATGTCAAATAGAGGTCAAGATCCTGTTTTCATGATGCGGACGAACGCAGGAAGAGTCACGTGCGCCGGTCTTTCTTTCGCGCTCACGGTCGAAACGCACGCGTTGAAGAGCATAAATTCGCAAACTTCGCACAGACACATCGTCTGTCGATCACATTGGACCAAACGGAGCGAATGCGTTCCAGGTACTACTCGGAATATCTGAAACGAAGAAAGAGGCAATATAAGAAGTCGTTGCATTCGTCAATGGGGAAGTCATGATTGCAGGATGCTGATGAAAGACGCGACGGAGACTCGAAGAGGTGAAGATCCCTAGGGCCCGACGGGCCGAGCCGTGCGTTCTTGCCGTTGTTTACAAACACCGGCCGAGCTCCATCAGGAAGCAACGAGCGCGAACTTCTGCTCAGTGAGCGCACAGGGCAGACTTGCTCCCTTCCACCCACACCTGCTGCTTTGCTTAACCAAGCATTGCTTTCGACAGCATCCGCATCTACAAGCAGCGATACCGCTCCGCAACCTGGCCCGCCGCGGAACGCCGACGACGACACACGCTGCTGCGTCGCCAATCGCCGCCGAGATATATTCCATGCGCGGATAGCTGGGAGCCCGAAAAGCTGCTGCTCGAGCTCACTGCCGTCAACAACACCAGCACCGCGACGAGCCACCACGGGCTGCGGGCATCACGAGCTCCACGACACGCGCAGCAGACGACAGCATACCGCCAGTACGTGCCACGACACATCAGCAGCCATCATGGACGCGAAGGTATGCTATCATATCACTTTCTTCTCACCAGCTCCTTCAGCCGTGTCAGGCTTGTGCAGCCTGATCTATGCCCACAACACGCAGCATCTTCCGCATGTGGACACTCCCTTCACCCGCCAGACTCACCTGCACTTCACCGGCACCATCACATTGCCATTGAAAGTGAACACACACCCTCTCCTTCTCATCTGCCTTCCAGATCCGTGTCATTGCGACTTCATGAGCCTGGTATGGACCCCATGACCTAGATGCTGACTCTTGGCCAACAGCCACATCGGCCAATACGGCCGCTACGCGTCAACGACGAGAACATGCCACCGCCCAACGTCCACGCGCCGGCCGGCAAGACACTACACCAGCGAACCAAGTCGACTTCCGCATTGGGCGCCGCAGCAGCGATGAATAACAAGAAGGTGCTGGGGGAGACCAACGCAAACCTACGAGTTGCGCCCAAAGACGATTCAGAGATCGGGAAGACCTCGCCCGGAAAGATGAAGACCATCCAAGAGCAAGCGGCCACTGCAACCTTCCAGCGCCCGGCGGTGCGTCCATTGGGTCAGAAGAGCAGTTCCAGCCAAAATACTATAGCCGGTTCCAAAGCATCCGCCGCGGTGCAACCTGCAGACTCCCAGTTGCCGAAGAAGATTATCCCCAAGAAGAGCAAGATACTCAAGGACACTCTGGCTCAGCGGGACGTTGAGTCAAAAGATTCTGCTGTGTCTCTGCCGGCACAAGCAACTGCTGGTCAGGTTCCCCAGCTCGCGCAACCTCCCGCGACATCAGTGCCTGTTTCGGCAGCCCATGCTGTCCAGCACCAGGAGGTCGTTCGAACAGAAAGCGTACCCCTCCGCGGTGAGTCGGGTCCACGAGTACAGGCTCCTCAGTCTGTCGCTGCGAACATGCCGTCCAGTCAGGCTGTTGCCACGGTGCCAGTTCCTCAGAACAACTACATCTACCAGGGCGGTCTAGCCTTGGCCGCTGTGCAGCAACAGCACCTTCTTCCCCTTGCCATGCCGAACAGCGGGCCATATCAAATGGCAACTCCACCGGCAGAGCAGGATGAGCTAGAAGAGGACTTCGATGACGCCGATCAAGATTACATGACCGCCAACTCATTCGACCTTCGTACCGACGCTACGCTCACCACGATCCTCAACCCTCAACCCACCAAGAAGCAACGTGCTGAGATTGAGGAGGCTAGGTTATACGTGGAGGAACACCGGACGCCTGATGATATCGAAGATGAGCAGTGGGACACGTCTATGGTTGCTGAGTACGGCGATGAGATCTTCGAGTACATGCGCGAGATGGAGACGCGCATGTCTCCCAATCCGCACTACATGGACCAGCAACAAGAGATCCAGTGGTCAATGCGTGGTGTCCTGATGGACTGGGTGGTACAAGTTCATCAGCGGTTCAATCTGCTTCCTGAGACGCTCTTCCTCACCGTCAACTACATCGACCGCTTCCTGTCTTGCAAGATAGTGTCCCTGGGCAAGCTACAGCTCGTGGGCGCCACGGCCATCTTTGTTGCCGCCAAGTACGAGGAGGTCAACTGCCCAACCATCTCCGAGATCATCTACATGGTGGACAATGGCTACACCTCCGACGAGCTTCTCAAGGCCGAGCGATTCATGCTGAGCATGTTGCAGTTCGAACTGGGCTGGCCAGGTCCGATGAGCTTTCTTCGTCGCATCAGCAAGGCGGACGATTATGACTTGGAAACCCGAACGCTGGCCAAGTACTTCCTCGAGGTGACCATCATGGATGAACGCTTCGTCGGCTGCAAGCCCAGCTTCCTCGCTGCCGGAGCCCACTGCATGGCTCGTCTGATGCTTCGCAAGGGGGATTGGACCAAGGCGCATGTTTACTACTCGAACTACACCCATCGCCAATTGCATCGCCTGCTGGGTGCCATGTTGGAATGCTGCGCGGACCCGCACGTGCATCATGGTGCTGTCTACGACAAGTACACGGACAAGCGCTACAAGCGTGCCTCAACATTTGTCAAGAACGAGGTGCTTCGCGGCTTCCAGCTCCCATTTAGCTGCCGCAGCTCGTTCACGACGCAACAGACCATGACAGGCCCTTGGTTGGGCCAGTAATCGAGGCCATCGCCGCTTGGCTGCTCGTTTCTTAAGGTGAGCGACCCGCTGAGAGAGAAGCTAAGGACCGTCACTAATCAATGGCCTTGCAAGTTTTCGCAGCACTTTGTCTTCTCTCTTTGGCAGCTTGACGAGTCGTTGGGCGTTCCTTTGGTGCCTAGTTCTCTCCAGTCACGGCGTATTGGGGAGGCATTTCGACGACTTGGACGACGGATGGACGACGATACGAACCGAGAGTAATACCGGCTTGTCCACTCTTCTTCACTGGGGCTCTTGGGGCCAGCTTTCTTTGTGGTATGTTTACAGTTCCTTTTCTTTCCCGCGGCGACGGAGAGCGACAGCACAGCAAGTCGCTCGATCATCGAGAGCAGACGAGGACCGGGAGGTGGTGTACAGGAGTTTCTCGACGAGGGAGCCCTCTCAGAAGGGCTCTTAGACAGCATGAACGGCGTTAAATCATGGCAGAAAAGTACCGAATACCCTCTTTCGATAGCAGGGTTGGGTACGTATGAGAATTGAACGCATTGAAGAATTGAAATTGATGTTGTGCTGTATACCCTCGCATTGTTGTCAGCGTGTAGAGTGGTGATGATGAAGAGCAGCAAGAGTCCAAGGAAACAGTCGATGCGTGACATGTCGGTGATCCCCACACATTCGGCCTCCCCCTCTGGACATTCCCAAAATTAGACTTCGACCCCTCGCCCCACATCTAGTTTGGCCCACGCTCGCGTCGATTGAAGGCCCCGAGAAGAGCGAGTTCCTGCATGAAGCGCTCGATTTCCCCGAGCCGCGAAAACGTCGTGGCATGGGCAATGTCGCGAGCCGCCTATCCCATCCCGGCACACTCTGCTGTTGCTCCAGTGATCGCAGCCGCGATGTCTACGCAGAGGACTGACTTGTCGGGGCGGAGAGCCGTACCAGACGTGAGCGGACCGGGAGGCGTGCAAGCCACTCGAGGATGTGATAATATTTGTTTGGGAAAGCTAGAGCTGCAAGAAGGCACTCCTCCCTATTTCACCGCTCTTCTCTCAACCTCCCTTCCTGTTTCCTGCTGCTCTCCTCTGCCTCCTGACCTCCCGAACCCGTTCATTCACTCGCACTTCCATCAAAGGTAGGCAAGGGCCAGGCACTGGACAAGTCATTGGACACTGATTGACTGGGCTATACTACAGAACACAGCAGCAGTCCACACATCGTCATCATGTCGCAGAAGCCAGTCCTCGTCGAGACCGCCTCGCTGCACGGCAAGGTCGCCCTCATCACGGGTGCCGGCCGTGGAATCGGCAGAGGATGTGCCATCGAACTGGGCAAGCGTGGAGCCAGCGTGGTCGTCAACTACGCCAGCAGCAAGAGCGCCGCCGACGAGGTCTGCAAGATCATCGAGGGCAGCGGTACCGGTGCCAAGGCCATCAGCATCCAGGCCGATGTCAGCAAGAAGGCGGAGATTGAGCGCTTGTTCGAGGAGACCAAGAAGCACTTTGGCAAGATTGACATTGTCATGAGCAACAGCGGAACCGAGTCCTGGGACAAGACGGAGGAGATCACCGAGGAGAAGTACGACCACGTCTTCAACCTGAACTCTCGTGCGCAATTCTTTGTGGGCCAGGCGGCGTGGAAGTACCTGGAGAACAACGGACGTCTGATCCTGATGAGCTCCATCGCCGCTGGTCTTCTTGGTGTCAGAGATCACGTCCTCTACAACGCCTCCAAGATGGCTGTCATTGGTATGATCAAGGGTTTCGCGACCGACTTTGGTGTTCGCGGCATCACCGTCAACGGTGTCGCTCCTGGTGGTATCAAGTCCGACATGTTCACCCAGAACGCATGGTATGTCTCCGGCATGCCGATAGAAACGGTCCAGATTGAAGCTGACACCAGAAAAGGCACTACATCCCAGGCGGTACTCCCGACTGGCCAGCTGACAAGATTGAGAACCTGATGGCTGAGCACTGCCCGCTCAAGCGATGCGCTACACCGGATGATGTTGCTCGCGTTGTCGCTTTCCTTGCCTCTGAGGACGGTGGCTGGGTTAATGGTAAGCCAAGACTATATCCAGCTCTGTCTGGTCACAGAATCGTTCCTAATGCCTTCATCAGGTCAAGTCATCACCATCTCCGGCGGTTCGTCCCAGTAAATGCGCCATTACCATTGCATCGTGCAGGCGCAAATCGGAAGGGGTACATGAGGTGGGGTGGGGAATAGACAGGTAGAATGACAGGCGCTTGTGGGTGCGGCACCGAACACCGCTCCTTTGGTGATTGCGTAGCCAACAGAAGGACCAGGAGGACAGGACAGTGATGTAAAAGCGCAATTATGAAATGTGTCGAGAATTGAAAATGAAATCCCCATCCATGTCGTCTCCAAGCCGCTGGGTACCCTAGGCATTCGGCCCCAGCTCTCTGGGCCGACCTCGGGGTCAATCAGAACGACACCTCCCTCCTGCTACACACATTGTACCTAGATTCTAGCAACAACGTGAACGAATACTGCTTGAGCCATTTACCTGCAACTGAGCATAGTGAAGCGTCGATGAGACCTTGACTGCATGAGATCATCTTGCAATAGCCGAAGCAACTCTTCCAGTCATCACACAGGAGCTTGAAAGCAATGCATATCCTGGTACGACGCGATGAGATTCCCTCAGACCAACAACCACCCAGCCGCTGACATTTGCGCACAGGTGACCAACGACGACGGGCCACCCTCCACCCAGTCGTCACCCTACATCCTCCCCTTCGTCAACGCTCTGGAAGCAGCGGGCCACACCGTCTCCGTCATCATCCCGGACACCCAGCGATCGTGGATCGGAAAAGCGCACATCGTAGGCCAAGATGTGCGAACGACATTCTACTGGCCGCCCAGCCAGACACCCGAAATCCACCACGACGCCGTCTCCGAGCAGCCCGACAGCGGGAAACAGCCCTGGGTCCTCGTGAATTCCACCCCGGCCGGCTGCGCCCAGCTCGGTCTCAGCCATTTCTTCGCCGATCGAGGGCCGCTCGACCTCGTGGTGTCGGGCCCCAATTATGGCCGCAATACCACTGCCGTCTTCGCCTTGTCCTCGGGCACCCTGGGCGCCGCGTTGGAAGCGAGCGTGTGCGGTCACCGAGCCATTGCCCTCTCCTTCGCCTTCTTCGACCGGAACCACGATCCCGTCATCATCGCGGAGAGCTGCAAGCAGGCAATCCGAGTGTGCGAATATCTCGCCAAATCGGCCCCGTGGGACCCTGCACAGTTATACTCGGTCAACGTTCCGGTCCAAAAGGGCGTGATGGAGTCGAAAGTTCGCTGGACGAAGATGCTTCAGAATCAGTGGAAGAAGGGGGCTTGTTTCCAGGAGCTCCCGAATTCGGCGGCGGTGGATGATCCCGCGACCGAGGAGGCAGAGTTGAGGAGACAGGAATGTCGTGCTGGTGGTGGTGGTGGGGGTGGGGAAGAAGGTAGTGGGAATGGTACGCCAGCGGATCCGTGGAGGCCTAGGCATTTCAAGTGGGCGCCGAGATTCACGGATGTCTATGAGAGTGTGGAGAAGAATGGGCCCGGGAGCGATGGGTGGGCGGTGAAAGAAGGGGAGACATCCATCACGGCGTTGAAAGCGAATTTCATGCATGCTGAGGGATTTGAGGGTGAGGTGAAGCTTTGAGGGAAAAGAGCGCTTAGTAGGCTGTCCATGTACTGTGGTCATAGGAATCGATGTCAAACCCGAATCAGGGGACGTCAGGGCATCTTCATCTGTCGTGTAACTGCGATTCTACCCGCCGGGGGTCCTGGCAGCCTTTCGCGAGCACTTCAGGAAGAGACAGCGGCACTGACTGCTACCACCACGTCTGCAAACCCGTCTCTCGGAGATGGGGCGCGCCTTGATCGCTGTCACGAGTTTCGTGAGGGGCTGCGCTCGGCTGGCCCTCGATGAGCATCTAGAGAGGGGGATCTGCGTGCCGATGCCCAGGTGTTGGACAAGCCGTCCCGTCAGCGACAGAGGGTGAGAGGATCAGTACTTGGGCTGGACCCTGAAGGGGACGAACTTGCTGCAGTACAGTACCCGAGCGAGCCCGCCTTCCAGTCCTCCCAGCCATTGCGCATAGCCGTTCAATGCCGTCAACTTCCTGGCCTTACCTCATCTGCACCTGCCTCGGTGAGTTCCTTCCCAATGTACGCGGGGCCAATGGCGTCCCGTCCGCAGAAAGTTGGATTTCTTCTTGCTTGCAGCATCGACTCGAGCTTGACAGTGCACTGCTTCTCGATGGAAGTGCGACCGCGGCCATTGTCTATGGTGCTCAGCTTCCGATTCTCGAGACTTGGGTGAGGCGCAGAGCAGGAGCTGGTGAAGACGCCTGGCCGCGATAGGTTTTATCTCCGGTTGAGGACCTGGGCTGGTGGCATGCGCAGGGATTCGCCGAGAAGGAGCCGGCGAGCAGAAGGACCACAGGACTGCAGGACTGCAGACAAAGAAGGATCTTACGGAGCTGCTATCTCGTTCATGACGTGAAGCTGGTGCAGGAGATGGGATGCACCGAAGCCGGATCGAAGTAAGTGTATCCGAGGAGGCGAAGAGCACGCGAGCTCTAGCCGCAAGAGGCCTAGCCGTATCACGTGCGTGCAAGCGACCCTGCACACTGTCTCCGAGAAGCTTTCCGCTAAGCCCATTCACCCACAACCCAACCGTAAAAACCTCCTCCGCCGGCGCGGCACTGCGTAATTGGCTCCCGTCCCTCCCGACGTCTTCCAGGTCGCTTCTAGAGCGCAACGGCGCGACGGCGTGCGTGCGCTTGTCGACGCTCCACACTCTGCCGATGTGAATTCGCATCGCGGGTGGGTGGTGAGGTCGGCTGTCTCCACCCGGCCGATGATGTTGCCGCCAGCAGAGATTGCAATACTTATCTCCCCTCGCTGCAGCCACCACCACCACCACCACCACTGCGCGCCTCCCTCGTGTGACTGCCCGTTGCCGCATCAGCTGACGTTCGTCCCGCTGTACATTAATGCACCACCGCCTGTCTTATCTTGCAGCACCCATCGGAAAGCTTTAGATACTCTTCGTTAACAGATTTCGTCTCCCGATTCCCCAGCGCTGCATTGCGGCAGTCCACCACGACTTGGAATTGTTTCGGTGCTTGCCGTATGAGAGCCACCAGCAGCATCGACTAGCTCTTAGCTCTCTCCTCCCGGACCAGCCAGAAGCACCTTGTCGAGAACATCCTCCTCCCAGCCAGGGGATCCCCAAAGCGCCTTCCTTGCCCAGAGCGACACACCACCGCCATGACGACCCAGCCGCCCCTCCACGAGACGCGCCGCAAGTCGAGCATCGGCACGCTCGAGATCCAGAGCGGTGACGGAGGCGTCCGCACCGTCAACTTGGACGAGCTGAACGATGCCGACCAGCAATTGGCCGCCGAGTTCGGATACAAGCCCGTCTTCAAGCGTGAATTCGGATACCTCTCCACCTTCTCCTTCGCCGTCTCCATCAGTGGCCTGTTCGCCACGGTAGCAACCACCTTCGTCTATCCGCTGGAGGCTGGTGGGAGTGCTTCCGCAGTCTGGTGTTGGCTGATCTCCGGATCTGGGTGCATGTGCATCGCTGTGAGTCCCCCGCCTCCGCCTCCGCCTCTACCTCTCCGCCGAAGATGGCTGACTTCCTCGCTCTAGTGTGCCGTATCCGAACTCGTCTCTGCATATCCGACCTGTGGTGGTCTCTACTATACCGTCTCCCGCGTCGCCCCCAAACCATGGGTGCCATCAATCTCCTGGGTGACTGGATGGCTGAACATCTTGGGCCAGATCGCCGGTGTCGCCTCCTCCGAATGGGGTGCCGCTTCTCTTCTCCTGGCTGCCGTTTCCATCGGCACCGACTACAAATATGTTCCCACCGTCGGTCAGAACGTCGGCGTCATGGCTGGCCTCACCGTCATCACCGGTCTCGTCAACTCCCTCTCCACCTATTGGATGGAGAAGATGACCAAGACCTATGTCATCTTCCACGTCCTCGTGCTGGTGACCTGCTCCATCGCTCTTCTCGCAATGGCACAGCCCAGTCGCGGCCAGCCGAAGCACGACGCCGACTATGTCTTTACCGACGTACACAATGTCTCCGGCTGGACTCCTGATGGATGGTCGTTTCTCTTTGGCTTTCTCTCCGTCAGCTGGACCATGACCGATTACGATGCCACTGCGCACATCACCGAGGAGATCCGAAACCCAGAGATCAAGGCACCGTGGGCCATCTCCATGGCCATGCTCTTCACCTACGTCGCCGGCTGGCTCTTCAACATTGTCCTCTGCTTCGTCATGGGCGATCCAGACACCATCCTAGCCTCCACCATCCAACAGCCGGTTGCCCAGATCTTCACGGACGTCTTGGGCAAGGCTGGTGGCATCGTCTTCACCCTGTGTGCTTTTGTCATCATCAGTAAGTCATACGCGTTCAGCGCTTCCGGCATCTGCTAAACGTTAGCCCTCCAGAGTTCGTCACCTTTACAGCCATGCAAGCGCTCGCACGAACCGTCTTCGCCTTCTCCCGCGACCGCCTCCTGCCCTTCCCGAACCTGTGGACGAAGATCCTGCCGCTTACTGGAACGCCCATTCTCGCTGTGTGGATCTCCGTCTTCTGGTGCATAGCCATCAACCTGATCGGACTGGGATCGTACGCCGCCATCGAGGGTGTTTTCAACGTGACCGCCATCGCTTTGGACTGGAGCTACTGTATCCCCATCTTCTGCAGAATCGTCTTTGGCAAATTCGAGCCGGGGCCATGGAATTTGGGTCCGGTATTTGGACCGATTGTGAGCTCTTGGGCGTGTATCTGGACCCTGTTCGTTTCCATCATCTTCATCCTGCCGACGATCAGGCCAGTGACTGCTGCCAATGTAAGTTGATCTTCAGTCAGACTCGAATCCCATGCATTGTTGCTGACTCTTACTCACGCAGATGAACTACGCCATTGCGTATCTCGGTGGCATCCTCATCTTTGCCGCCATTTACTGGTTTGCTGCCGGACGCAAGTTTTACACGGGACCACTCATCGAAGCGGATGTGAACGACGAAGGCGCCAGGAGCAGCGACGACGATGTCGCAAGGACGAAGAGAGAGGTCAACTGAAGAAGTTGATGACTGAAGTAATGGGGGAAGAGGAGCGCGATCGGCGAACCCAACACAGTGTGTGTAAGAGAGGAAGATGTAGTAGAAACAAGAAGATACCCGCCGCGTTATCATTAAACGGTTGACTGTTGTGGCACAGCAAGCAAGCAATGAGTGACAGAAGAAGTTTTTCCCCACAAAAGAAAGAAATGAACTGATGGAGGAAGATGAGGTCGTTTTAGAGTGCGTAAAAGTGAAATGGCGCAAGACCGTGGCCCTGGTCAGACATTTGTGTCGGTCGTACCAAATCTTCATGAAATCCATGGGCGTGTCCCGGAATAGGCAACTTGGGTTTTACATGCGAAACAGCGGGGTCGGTCGGAAGAGGAGCCGATGCGGTACGGAAGCTACACGTTCGTTGTTGGTATTAATAATAATCCGTCGTCTATGGGAAAAGAAGTGTTGCCGATAAGTAGTGTAGTAGAATGAAGTGCGAGTTGGGTTACCGGTTGGTGCGTTGGTGTTGGTGTTGTACTACGGGCTAGTAGTGAGCGCACATATGCCTCCTCCTCCTCCTCCTCCCCACTGTATGTACTGCATTCCATCTCGATGCCGGGAATCAATCCATCCCATCAGCGACATCATAAAAACACACCGCCGATGCCCCCGTGGACGCCTACTCCTGCTAAATTGCCGGCGAGACTTCCGATTCCGTGTCCGTGTCCGTGTCCGTGTCCGTGTCCGTGTCCGAAGAGCTGCTTGCTCATGTCAGTCAGTCAGTGTTTTCTCGTCTCGGGCCCGTCTTGCCCCCTCGTTGCACTCACCTGATGGATTGCCCCGCCTACACCTCCAAACTGTACATCATCCTCCTCCTCCTCCTCCAGAACACTCTGATGCATCTGATGCATCTGATGCAGAGAATCCTGCCGCTGCCGCTGCTGCTGCCGCACCCTCCCGGCCGTGAGCATCAGGGGCGGCGCTCCTCCTCCTGCTGCTGCTGCTGCTGCACCCCACAACGCTGCTTGTAGGGGATCTTCTTCACCACCGCCGTTCATCAGAGCCTGTAGAGCAGCCTCCTCCCTCCTCGACCGATACCCCCTCGCCAGATCCACATCCTGCCGAAAGGCCTCGCTCTTGAAGTATAACCGCTGAAAGCGCTGGGGATACCACGTTTTCAGCTTTTTCAAATTCTTCGTGCCCATGCCCATGCCCATGCCCCCTGCTCCCATCATGCCCATTCCCATTCCCATTCCCATTCCCGCAGCAGCACCACCAAGGAGCAATTGCCGCGCCAACAGATTGCCCCCCTCCCCCTCCCCCTCATCATCATCCCTCCTCATCAAGAACTCCCGACTCCACCGGTGCAATTCCGGATGCACGGGCCCCGGATGCTTCGCGGCGTGCAAATCATACAACTCATCCAGGACGCTCATCGGGTGGTCCGACAGGTCCACGACGCCCCAGAGCTTCGCGAGCGCGTGGGCGAGCAGTTCTTCGAATTTGATCTTCTCCGCGACTTTGAAGACGCGGATATGCTTCAGGGCGTCGAGGGCGAGTTCGCGGGCCGCCGGCGGACGTTGTTGTTGAGGAGGAAGGACGAGGTCGGATTTCATCATCAGAGACATCATGCCCCTCCTGCTGAGCACAGGAGGTCCCGCTCGTGCGGCGCGCAGAGGCGCGACGGCGATATGTTCGCGATTCCACAACCCGCCGTCGGTGAGAATCACATCCCCGCCACCGGGGTATTCCCCCTTCTGGATGAAATTGTACACGCACATCAACGTCTCGACGTCGCAGATCTTGGGGACTTCCAATTCATACCGCCCGTGTTTCTTGAGCGGCCATTCGATACTCTCGAACTTCAACGCCCGCTCCCGGTTCACCATGATGTGCTTCTTGTCCCAGACGAGCTCGGCGTACGTGGCGCTGGGCGGTGCCTCGAGGCGGGAGAATTCCTTGAACTTGCCGTCGTCGAGGATGTCGAAGATGGTGTCGCCCTTGGCCGACATGTCCAGGTCCAGGAATTTGCTGTAGCTTTCCACTTGCCAGTTTTGGATGCGTGCGCGACTGACGCCGCGGTTGTCGTGCATGCAGTGCGTCTGGCCATCCGAGGGCAGCGGGCCGATGGCGTGGTCGTGGGGCGAGAGGGAGAGGAAGGGATTGCCGCCGCCGTGGAGATGCGCATCCCACAGACCAGCAGGGAGGTCCAATCCTCCCACATCACGATACAGTTCCCTCCTCTTATGCGCGTGAAACGTCAACCGCAACGGTCCCTCTTCGCAAGAATTCGAAATGTCCGCGATGGTCCGCAGGATGACCCCAAAATGTAACCCGTCCGTCATCCTCCCATCCGGCTCATCCCCTCTCTTCTGTGCTCCACAAGCCACCAAAAACCACGCATGAATCATCTGATGTATCAGAGCCTCCGACAATTCATCAATCCGATCCTCCTCATCGCCCTCCTCCCCCTCGTCCACCAGATCAAAAGGTATACAATTCAATTCAATCGTGACCCTCGACCCAATAATCCCCGGCGCACTCGTTCTCCCCATCAGATTCCCGGGTAGACTCTTCCACCTCAGATACACCATATTCCGCAATTTGCTCCCGAAACACGCCGCGTCCAGATGGTTGAAGATCAGAAACGGCGTGTCGCGCATCACCAGATCCTCCTCTCCCAGCTCGCGGATGCAATCGATGCACTCGGCGATTTCCGTGCGGTTGGTGACGAGGAAGCGGTAGAGCCAGGCGGTGGCGTAGTCGAGGGACCAGCCCAGGTCGCCGGCGTGGTCGGCGAGGCTTTTGTCGTAGAGGTTGCGAAAGGCTTTGACTTCCTTGAAATTGTCCGGACGGCTGAGGAGGCGATGCCGTGGGGGGAGACTCAAGGGATGGTAGAGGCTGCCTCCTCCACCACCGCCGCCGAGGTGGAGATTGTTGTGGTAGACGTTGCGGTTTCGCCAGGGGGTTGGGAAGGGGACCAGGTCATTGTGGAAGTGGTGGAGAGCCATGCAGGATTTTCGATCTGCTGCCGGTGGAAGGCGTACGGGCGGCGGCGTTGGGAGGTCCAAGTAATGGATCAGGTATGTTAAGAAGGGCTGGGAGATTTAGTAGTGACTTCCAGGTAACACGCACACTTGTTAGATTGTACCGTTTGTTGATTTCACGCATCACAACTCACCGACATCAAGTGCGTGGGGCTTGGACACTCTGAGCATTGACCTCGAGAGAGGAGGCTTTCGTGTCCAGGACACGCCGGATGCATCATGCGCTCCTGTGCGGACGGCCGTCGGATCCTGGCATACCGCTCAACAAGATGCTCTGCGCGGTGCGTGCTTCAGGTGTCGCGAACCAACCACGGTCCAGCCAGGTAAACGGCTTTCTGCGTCGTCGAACAGATGTCGGGTGAAGCTCGATCCAGCAAGTACTTCTTCATGCCGTGACGGTGAGCTGTCAGATGAGGACGGCGGCAAGCATGGAGAAGTCATCTGTTGTGGCACCCGGAGCAAACAAGTCTCGTCCTCATCATCCTACAAGCGCGGGATCCAGGAGAGCCTCAACGGGAACGGTACGAAGTCTGACCACGGCTTTCCGAGCGGTGTGTTGTGCGACGGATCCAATTGAGGTGGTGCCCGTATAGAGATGATGGAAAGGCGATCCTGGCTGCATATCAACACTAGATTCGTTCATCAACACTACGTACCGGCTGACGCTCCGTACAAAGGAACACAGCCCCGCGTTTAAATTACAAGTCGTCTCTGCATCCAGAACAATGGTCTGTGGAGTGATTCATTTTCCCATGGCAGACAGCGCCTGTCCGCACTTCTGTATCTGACGAGACGCGCATCTCCTCGCCCATTACGTTGACCGATTAGTAGCCGCCAGGTCCCGGTCGTCGATCGTACTCGCTCCTTGCGTCCGATGTTCCCCTGTTCTCGTACTTCTTCCTCAGAGCTTGCAGCCTCTTCTTCTTGGTATGTGCGTTGATGTATGTCCCAATGACAAAGCCGACGAAGTTGAAGAAGGGCACCCAGACCTCATTGGGGAGGAATGCCTGTGCAAAGGCAAGTGCGATTGGGGAAGTGATCCACGAGACCTTCATGACGGGCATGAAGCCCGCGCGAACGGTAGCGCGGACTTGGTGAAAGGTGCGGGCGCCGGCGATGACGGCCATGGAGGTGAGGTAGGCAGCGTTTTGGATGGGCGAAATCTAACGACTCTACATTAGCACGTCGTTCCGTCGAATCGAAGGAGACGAGGGGTGGCATACGATCAGGTTAGAGACAATGATTTGCATGATCTTGGCGCGCAAGCTTGTTCGTCCAGCGAAGAGCTTCTGCAGGATAGAGATCATGACATGGCCCAGAGGAGCAGAAATGAAAGCTCCATAGACGGCCATCTTGGGCACGCGAGTGGTGAAGTAGTGGCCGTGCTTGCTGCGGTCCTTTGCGATCCAAGAAGCGAGGAATTCCTGGGTGCCGGCAAGGGCTCCCGATGTGACCATTTTGGTTCGCAGAGGGTTCTCTTGGAGCTGCTTCAGGTACCACTACCACGCTTCTCGTCAGTCTCCCATCTCAGTGCCCTTCCCCTTGTGCAGCTTACGGCAAGGTAGCCATTTGGACCAGCTCCCTTGGTGAGAGCATCGCCAATCTCATGTGCCAGACCCTCCTTGGCCGGAGGAGCACCGCGTCCACCACCACCGCCGCCCGAGGTGCGAATCGTCTCCTTCTGCTCGAACTTGACTTGCGACATGGTGTGATGGATCGATGGCAGGTCTTCGCGACGCGTCGGGGCGTGTTGATCTGATCGGCACGAGACAACAGAGGGAGTGTCTCGCTGGGGAAGGCCGGAATATCGAGGAGGGCTGGGTGGGATGATGGGTGAGGTGCAGTCTCTGGGCGAATGTTGGTGGAGGAGGCCGATGTTGTGACAAGGGCCGTTGCCGTTGCTGGTGGAGACGGGGCTCGCCGGCGACCGGACCCTGTCAACTTACTTCCAAGCTTGGGTTTGGCGGCTGCAGTGGGAACGCGGGATTGGTGGAATTTCCGAGTGGCTATCTTCCTTTCCTGCGCAACATCAGATGCCGACCAAGGGACAACACTGCAACCTGTGCAACGTTCACAGTTGATCTTTGCTTGCACGTGCATTCCGCAAACACGAGCGGCACATCCGGCAGCGAGCCAGACCGTCGGGATCACGCCTAGCACAATGTAGGAGAGCAGCAGGAGCACCCCCCCACGCATCTACTTGTGTTGAGAGCGGGAGATGTAGTAGCCAGGTTGGATGCCCGGTGGTACAGACACAACGTCGCTGGAATCTTTCCGTGTCGATGTCGAGAAACGTAGGTCACTGTTCTGTTCATTTCATTCTATCCATCGCGACTTCCTCTCCCTTCACCTGAAGCCGCGCCGAGCCTGCCTTCCGCACGGCTTGAGCAGCTCTTGGGGCAGGTGCGGCCTGGTGACTAGTCGCTCTTTCCCCTTCCTCCAAGACAAGAAGAGAGAGCAAACAGGCTCGCGCACTTCTGAGCCCTGCCATTCCGAGACTTCCATTCAATTTGCCTCTCTCACTTACACCAACTCCGGAAGCGAGCCCGCCCACCCATTCCTATACCGTCAAAAGGATTCGCAACACGCCCGTCGGCACTCCGTTTGGACATTCACTCGCTGCACCCACGCCGCTCATTTATCCGCCCCTCCGCCCCTCCGCCGCCCGCCATTCGTTTCGTTTCGACCATCCGGAAATGGCACTCGCTTCTTCCTCTTCCGCCGCACACTCGACGACCTCTCGCGATCAAGACACGAACAACGCGCCTCGCGCAGATCCCTTCTGGCAATCAACTCCACGAACAAACTCGCCAAGTCTGGCCACCAGCATGTCGTCCGTCCAACAGGTAAGTCACATGCCTCCTTCATATCTGGTTTGCCACGTGCAGGCCATGCTGCATTTCCACCCCGGCATATTCGAGACAGCCCCATCCAGCCTCGATATGCTCGGCGTTAGTAAGATTTGAAAGATACTGACGCGTCAAAGGCACCTCCCACGGGCGTCGCCGCGCCTTCTGCTCCAGCTTCAGCACCGTCCTCGAATCGCTATTCGAGGCTCTTGCCGAATGGACGCCGCGTCACCTGTACGCATATGAGCATGAGTCGTGTATACGGCCAAGCCGCCTGTTCACTCTGTGCCCGCATACCTAGCATGGGCTGGCTGTATGCTTGTCAAGAGGACCAGCTGCCCGGCCATTACGACCCGCTACCTGACATCGACGTCACGCCAGTCGTGCTACCCGACGACAGCGACTACTTCGATGCCGAAGCTCGTCAGGCCGAGTACCTCAAGATGAACCCAAGCGTCATCAAAGGAATCCGTCGCGGTGATTATGATGTATCTCAGGTCGACAAGCTCATTCAGCAGCGGAAGAAGCTCATCCAAGTCATCAACGAAAAGGACAGACAGTCCGACGAGAACACCGCACTAGGCGCTCAGAAGTCCACCATTGTTCCCCCAGCAACTCCCAACATCATTGCTTCGGTAGGCGCCAATGCCAATGCCAGCGCGCCCCTCGCGCAAGGAAGCGGCAACGCCTTGCCAATGTCGACCGCTGGAACTCCTGCCAACACACCGTACGAGAGCGCTGCAACTACTCCGACCAAGCAAGACGGCCAAGCACTCTCCAAGCAGCAGAAGTACGCCTGTCACTTTCAAGTCTGTCATTCCTGCCGCCCATTCTTCCACGACCGAACATACGCGAGCTTCGAGTCGGTGCTGGCTGGAAACTTTCCACTTACAGTAGACGCCATCAAGAACCTCTCTATCAAAGATCGCAACATCGCTCTGACCATCGGCCTGCGTCAGCCTCCAGTCCCGCTGGGACTCGCTACTCGATCCAAGGGCAGCAACGATCTCGCGCAGTTTACAGATGATAACGACATCGACATCTCGGTAGACTGGACCTCGACCTCTGGCGGCGAGAGCGACGACAGTTCCGATCTTCTCGACAGCGCTGAGTTGTATCCCTGCCCGGGTCCGGGACAGTGCCCCGTATGGAGCCGCCAGTCCGGCTGCGCTTACGATAGTGGATTCGACGATGGAAAGCGAGCCATGAATCATGGCTACCTTGCGGCCGAAGATGCGGAACGCCTCACGCCAGAGACCTCTCGCAACAATCTTCTCCCCTTGATGAGTAGTGTTGACAACACACCTGGCGGCGCCTCTTCCACGGCCTCTTCTGTCAGCCTCCCCACTCCCGACAGAGCTCCACTCACGCTGATGCTGCCGACCGACCACAACTTCGACATTGGCTTGCAGAAGCAGCTTCGCCGTACGAGCAAGGGCAAATCGATCGGTGACACATGTAGCGCGAGAGATAGCAAGGTGGCCCTCCAGGGAAAGGACAGCCACAGCAGCCTGGGCAGCGAGGTCGAAGTCGAGGGCGGTGTTGCCCTCACCGAGGAGGCCGTCGAGAACCTGAGCCCGGATATCGTCACGGAACACTAGTGGAGAGTTCGTGAGATGGTACGTGGGCACAAAGGTCAGCGTAAGATGGATTGAAGCGTTCAGGCATTTTGCAGCGAGGCATGAGACAGTACACAGCATTAGCGGGGCTTTTCAGGGCTATTACACGGTAATGTGTGCGGATGATCAGACACGGCAGAACAGTACGCTTAGGATCGATCGAACAGCATGATGATACCAGCGAGTAGGGCAGGACTGTACATATGTAAATTCTGTATTGTCTTTGAGGTCTCCCGCGTCTTTCGCAAACCCTTGGTCCTCAGAGAAAGATGTAAATTCTTTCGTCGCCATGCGCTGTGTAAGGGCAAAACGGGGCGATGTGGAGAAGGGCTGGCAGCACGGACCTCCAAGTCAGATGATGATGATCGGCGCAGGGTTCAGAATTAGGCATCTAGTTTAGACCATCTCCTAGCTCCCAAATCACTCTTCTCCAAATTACAAGTCTTCCAAGCTTTTTCTCCTCGTTACTATGCTGTATCGCCTTAGTATCGCTTAGATAACCCGAAAGCACCCAGCACCCAGGGCCGGCGGCTCCCTCCTCCTCCTCCTCCTCCTCCTCCTCCTCCTCCTCCTCATATTGCGGACCGACGACTGGACTGTGAAGAAGGACCTCCTCAGAGAGGCAGAGGCAAGGAATGGTGGTTTACTTTGTTCGAAATAGAGCTTCCATTTTAGGCTCTGTTGTTATTATACTAATAGGAAGAGAAGTTGGCGTGCCATGTATGCATACATACATACATACATACACGCGCACGTTTTCCCTTGAAGTTTTTCCTTCTCCCGTCAACGCGTTTTTTTTTTCCTTCGCACGATCAAGAAACCTCACTTCCCATTTCGCCTCCACTTCACTTGAGACTGTTTCAGTTTACTGGTTTTGTGAGTCGGTTCTGGTGCCATGTATGTATGCCTCAAGAGCTTGAAATCCGATGAAAGGGGTTCAGGGGGGTTTTCTTTTTTGGCGGGATGGATGCGTTTATGGTGATGTTTGTCCTGCGGAGGATGAGATACAGGGAAAGAGAGAGTACAAATATCCATGTATATTTTTATTTTTTGGGTGAAGCTATTGTGCCAAAGTCGTAAAAAAAAAAACTAAACTTTTGGTGACCGCTGAGAGGGGGGTCCACGTCGTGTATGAATGACGCTGATATTAATTTTGGGTTGGGTTGCGTTGCGTTGCGTTGCACGGACAAAATGATTTCAAGAGTCCTTAGCAAGCAAGAAGAACCAAAGTGCGTCTTCAGTGGCAGTTGTGATCGATCTTGTCTCGCCCCCGGCTATGGAGCGGTGGCTCACATGATCACACAGCCAGGCAAGGGATCCACTTCCTCATCGTCCAATTCATCCCATTCATCCGAGTCGTCTGCGCTTTCGTATTCCGAGGAGTCCGCTTCATCGTCTTCTACGTCTTCCTCGTCAGGGTCTGCGCAATCCGAGTCCTCTTCGCTTTCGCATTCCGCTTCATCGCCTTCTACGTCTTCCTCTTCAGGGTCTGTCCAATCGTCGCCGCTCGTTGAGCCCTCCGTACTCTCGCCCTCGACCGTCGAGCTGTACTCTTCCTCTTCCGATTCTCCCCACTCGTCCTCGGTCACCGAATCGTCGGCAACATCGACTCCGTCGGCTTCCACCTCGACTGCATCCTCAGCCCGTTCAGCTTCTTTTCGTTCCTCTCCGTCGACCAGATCCCAGCCTTCGGCGGCGGGTTCCAGCTCTCTGACCCTCTCGAGCAGCTCTGCCTTCTCCGTGGCCAGTCTTGACAGCCAGTACTTCGACTTGCCATGGAGCTCGTAGGCAATTTCGTCATTCCGCGTCTTGCTAGCCTGGAGTTTCTCGATGTAGGCGCCCTTCTCTTGGCACTCTGCTGCGAGCGCGGAGCTTGCCAAGTGGCCAGCCGCGAGCTTTCTCTCGACATCGTCCAGGTCTTTCTTGGCGTGCTCCAGGCGAGAATTTAGATGGTCAATCTTTTCGTCTTTGAGCTCCATTTCGTCTTCGAGCAGCTGCTGGAGCTGTTCTTGCGTCTCACAGGTCTCATGGAGCAATTTGTTGTGGGATTGGAGGGAAGTGAGGCTCATACTCTTGTCACTGGAAACCTTCTGACCCCGTTCCAGCTCGCTGGTAAAGCTTGAGATTATTTTGTTTTGGCGCTTGATTTCGACCGAGAGATGTTCCTTTTCGTCCTTCAGGTCGACGATGTAGCCTTCTCGCTCTGCAGCAACTTCACGGCATTCTAAGAGCTCTTTTTGAAACCCCATAGCCGTGCTGGCGCACGCAAGATGGTCATGACAATTCATGTCATGATATGATACCTTTGCCTTCAAACGCTCAAGTTGAAGAGACATCATGCGCTCCCTCTCCGATGTCGCCTGCCGGAGTTGCAGTAAAGCATCGTGATAGAACTTCTTTTCCTTCTCGAGTCGGAATATGGTCTCAGCGTCTCGTGGGCCGGCGACATTTCTCAAATATTCGAAGGATCCTGTGGCCAGAGAAAGCCGACCATACAGAGCGCCGTTCTGTGCTCTGAGCTCATCGACCTGCTTCTGTAGACTGAGATTGTCTGATGTTACATTTCGGACCTGCTTCTGAGCTTCGTCGCGATCCCGAGCTGCCGCAGCCCTTTCAATTTCTAGGGCAGCCATTCTGACGCCCCTCGCCTCAAAGAGGTCCCAAGTCTTCTTGTGATTGACACGCGAGGTTTCGCAGCAAGCTTGAAGGTCTTCGAACGCGTCGTTCTTCATGGCAATGACTTTATCCTTATCTCGAAGAGATTTCTCGCTGGTAGCCAACGCCTCCTCCAATTCAACGATGTTCGTCGCGCAGTCGCCCAGGAGCCTCGTGTAGTCATCGAGTTCTGCACTTTTGTGCTCCAGTTCGCTAGTGAGCCGCTGGTTCCGCAAGTGGACCGGATCACGCTCCTTGGTCCTCATCTGCAACTTGTGCTTGAGTCTAGCAATATCTCGCTCTCGGTCTGTCAAGTTCGTTCTCAAATTTTGGTGGGCTACGTCCTGTTGCTGCAGCACCTTTTCAAGATGCGCTATTCGAGCCTCATCTTGCGTCTGCTGACTTCGAAGTCCTTTGATCATTGACCTATGAAGTTCGCATATAGGAGTGTGATCGGACTTCCTCGGCGATGGAATTGGAGCTTCTTGACACGGGTCGGGAGCGACAGCAGTAAGACGTCCATCGACATGATGGCGTTGCTCCCCCGTGGGCTTTGTGGCTGATTTGATAGATGATTTCAATTCAGCAGCAAGAGGCTTCTCACCAGAACGGGATTCAGTAGGCCGGAATCGGAGAATATCCTTGGGAGCTATCGGCTTCATCGACTCATTCAGCTTCGCAGCTACGTGACGAAGGTGATCTTTGGAGATGTCCATGTTGTACGGGGCCATTGCCTTATCCATCGCCGGAAAAAGAGGTCGCAGTTGATGATCTTGAAAGAGAAGAGTCGATGTAGATGACTTGGTGGTCGACAGCTGCAGGCTATCATCGCCGAAACTGTCTACCTCTGGAAAGGCACCTGGAATCCTGTAACAGTCCATGATGTCGTCGGTCTGTGGTTTGAAGGTCGGGGAGTGGATGTCAAGTGAACTATGATCTCGTTTACAACAGAGGGTGTGAGATAATCGTCTTGTTGGCAAGTTGGAATTCCTGGAGGCCCTTGAAAGTTTGACTCTCGTTGCTGGGAATCAATGCAGCTCGAGATAGAGACGGTCTCTTTCTGAATTAGTCGTGGGTATCTTGGTCAGGATATATGGTCTTGAATGCAAGTTAAAGCGGCAGAAGACAAATTTTTAAGACAGCAAATGGTTTGCGTGTGCCAGAGTTCGTGAATGTCGCGGTGAGACAGGTGGAGAGTAGCAGGAGACCATAGCATTTATTCTGGGACAAAAATGTCGAAGCGGGTGTCCTCAGGCTGCACTTGGATTAGAGCTTGCGTGGACCTGTCAGCATTTTTGCTTATTCCATGACCAGCCACGCTTGGCTGAGCCTGGAGAGCTGCATGGCGACCATGATCCTTTTCGGCCAAATCACGTATTCATCTACTCGTAGCCTTCGATTGACTCCCCAGTCTCTCGACAAGAAGCGCGACGTCGCGCAGTTGCCAGTGTGCTGTTCTCCTGAATTGGAGCCATGTGATTGTAGCTGACTTGAACTGCGTTCGACGATACGGGGACTCGTTATCACCCGCAAGTGCTTTAGCAAGCGTCGATGAGTTCTTGGAAAGCCACTTCCCAATTTTTGATAGGCCCTCGAAATGCTTTACGCCAGTGAGCCTGCAGCGCCCCAGAAAGCTGACTGCCATGGTACCGGGACCAGATGCTTCCAGGCTTGGCACGTGGCCCACACGAGTTCTGTATGGCAAATACACGCAGTATATTCATATCTTTCTCCTGCTGTAAGCCCAATAGGCCTTGAAAGGTAACTTCCAGTCGGTGACCCGAAGCTTGGGCTGGAAGATGTCGAAATCCTCTTTCTGCAGCCTGTCTAACCACATTTGGGTGGCTATCGCAGGCATAAAGACTCCAAATGCCCGCTCGACCTCTTGAGCTTGAGTTTCGCTCTTGCCAATGGAGGGCAGGTGGACGTGCTCTTCTTCATCCTGATGCTCGAACTCATGGCCTGCATCCTGTCCTGCTCGGATGTTGTCCAGCATCTGCCGTGCAGTGATGAGGTGATCATTTGCTCTCGTCGCCACCGTGAAGACTGCGTCCCGTAACCCAGTGGCACTGGAGCCATTTCGAAGTACGTCCTCCTCTCGAACACCAGATTCAACCATGACGTTCACAGGAAGCATCACGGAGCCGTGCCGAGTGGGACCAACATCACCTGGAAACTGGCCCTGATTGCTGTGATGATTCGGTGAAGGGGGAAAGGCGAGGAGTGGCAGGCCTCGCAAGACAGCGGAAATTCCGATAGCCTTACCAATGTGCGAAGCAATGTGATCCGCGGTAACACTAGCCATAGGAAGTGCTTGGAGCGTCAGGTACAGCAGGGTACTGTAGGTGTTCTCGGCATACCTCTCCAGAGTCTCCAAATCTGGATAGGGCGGATTCGAAAGGTATTTCTCCCGCGTGTCGATGATACGCATGAACCAGCTTTTGCTGAACTTGGATCGGCCTCCCGTTGTTCGTGAGAGATCGTCGGCCGCCTGCGCCAACAGTAAAGCGATCGGTTGCTTCGGCGGCGAGCCTGCCAGCGACTTTGACACAGCATCCCGTTGGAATTGCAGCCGCATGGATCCGATTGTATGGGTCGATGTCGTATCCGCCGTCCGGGCGACATCGACGTTGAATGCGCGTAGAGCGACATAGGCATCTCTCGCGTGGCTCGGGATGTACGGCAACAGCAGCGATGAAGGAGTGTCGTATTTCCGCAGCAGATCGAGGCAGTAATTGCGAGCGCTGGATATCTCATCGGCCGAAGATATTGCTGCCGCTGGCTGTTGGACGTCTGAAGAGGCAAATCGCCTTTGAGTACAGGTGAGTGTACGTTGGCAGACATATTCCTTTGCTGCCCTTTTCCTCGCCACGCCACCCATTCGCCCCAGAAGGTTCAGCTTGGGCGGCATCTTTCCGTTGAAATGGACCTTCGTCTTGAACCTTCGTCCTGAATTCGATGTTGTTTCTCCATTGCGTTGATCTGATACCAACTTGAAGAGATCAAATGCACGGGTCCATGCGCGAAGGACCAGGTCAAAAGTGGAGACGTCATTTCCAACGCGTGGCGGCGCGTCTTACAGTGCTGGACTTTCTGCCGAAATCGACATAGACAACAATACCGCCCATTCGCGGTGGGTACACGCGCACAATGATGGACTACGACGAGCGACCATACAAGAAACGACGTTTCTTCGCCGAAGACTCCTCGCCCGCCCACGATTCCGCCCTCTCCGCTCAAACCAGTCTTCCGGACGAAGTCGATGCCCTACCAGAGAGCAGTCCTTCTGCTTCCGCGACGAATGGAGCTCTCTCTTCGAACAAGGAGCATCCGTTCGACGCCGACACTTTCACTAGTATAGTTGGCGATGATGCATCAGAAGAGGTGATCCGGAGCTTGCAACATGCCCATGGAAACAATCTTGAAGCGGCCATCAATGCGTATTTGGACGGCTCCTGGAAGACTTCGATAGCAGCTCCGAGAACGAAGTCCAAATCACCGCCAGAGCCACGACAACGACTGCTGAACATCAAGAGTGAACGTGATGGGGAAAAGAAGCCGCGCAATGCGTCTGCTAGTCAGCCTGCACTGGGTACAATGCCAGACATGCGGTACATAGGAGCGCTAGGCGCAGCCGGCTGGACTACTCGGAGTGGTACTGGAATTATCAAGCCGGGAGACATTGTGAAGATCCAACGAGAGCGCCAGAAGGCACCTCCGCCGTCAGGACGAGGCGGGAAGGGTAGGATACCGATGAGAAAGACACAGGACGTTATCGTGCGGTTTACGAGTCAGGATGGTACAGAGATCGGACGTCTAGAGAAAGAGTCGGCGCTGTGGATAGGAGCTCTCATTGATCAAAGAGTCTGCCATTTTGAAGGACACTGCATCTACGCGCCAGAACGGATACGAACGAATGAGACCGTCTATCTGCAGCTACGGTGCTTTCTACTGCGATCTATCTTCGAAGCAGGGGATCTGATGAAGCCAATTGACAATAATCGACAAACGGGTTTCTTTGAGGCCAAAGAGACGACTGAAGAGCGAGATCTTCGGCTTCGCCAGATAGGACTAATGAAGCTGTTTTCAGAGATCAATCTTCAGCCCTCGACGATCAACGAAGTGACGGCAAAGCACAAGCGTGAAGGCATATTGCTGGCCGCTGAATCGGAAGAGCAGAAGGATCAACACGATGACGCCAAGCGACCCAAGTCAACCCAGGAGAATGGGGGTTCAAGTCCTCCTTCGGAAGAAAATGAAGAAGGCGAAGAACTAGAACAGGACCAGCTGGACTCTTTGTATAAAAAGGCGCAATCATTTGACTTCAACACGCCTGAAGCTCAGCCAGCTTCAACTTTCGTGATGGACCTGCGTAAATACCAAAAGCAGGCACTACATTGGATGTTGAATAAAGAGACGAGCGAAAACGAGGAGCATAAACAGCAAAGCATGCATCCACTCTGGGAAGAATACCTCTGGCCGAGCAAAGACGCCGAAGGGAAAGACCTCCCTGGTGTCGACGGGCAAGACTGCTTCTATGTCAACCCATACAGCGGTGAGCTGAGTCTCGACTTCCCTGTGCAGGAGCAGACTTGCCTTGGCGGGATTTTGGCTGATGAGATGGGCTTGGGCAAGACGATTGAAATGCTATCGCTGGTGCATTCTCACAGATCACCAGAGCACCAGGGCGTCATTGATGACCAAGATACTGAGGTAGATGCCATCAGCAGCCTATCGCGACAACCGATAGCCTCTGGCAAGGTCAAGCGCGCACCGGCCACCACACTTGTTGTCGCGCCCATGTCTCTGCTTGCTCAGTGGGCCAGCGAAGCCGAGAAGGCTTCAAAAGCTGGCACTCTCAAGGTCCTGGTCTACTATGGCAGCGACAAGGGCGTCAATTTGCAGACCTTGTGCTGTGGTTCGAACGTGATATCAGCGCCCAACGTCATCATCACAAGTTACGGTACAGTGCTCTCGGAGTTCAACTCGGTCACCAGTGCGCTTGGTGGGAATCGTGCCTCTTCTGGTGGTTTGTTCGGCGTAGAGTATTGGCGTGTAATCCTGGACGAGGCACACATGATCAAGAACAGACAATCGAAAACGGCCAAGGCTTGCTACGAAATCGCCGCTGCCCATCGATGGGTACTCACTGGCACGCCAATTGTCAACCGGCTGGAAGATCTTTTCAGCTTGGTGCGTTTCTTGCGAGTAGAGCCATGGAACAACTTCAGCTTCTGGAAGACCTTCATCACGACTCCGTTCGAAAAAGGGGACTTTGTCCGGGCCCTGGACGTTGTTCAGACCGTGCTCGAGCCGCTTGTCATGCGGCGAACGAAAGACATGAAAACACCGTCCGGTGAGGCTCTTGTACCACTTCCGCTGCGGACGATCAACGTAGAAAAAGTGAAGCTTTCGGATGCTGAACGTGATGTGTACGAACATATCTTCTGGCGAGCGAAGCGAGCATTCAACGCTAACGTCGAAGCTGGCACGCTCATGAAGAGCTACACAACCATCTTTGCACAGATTCTCAGACTCAGACAGAGTTGTTGTCATCCAATACTGACTCGCAATAAAGCAGTCGTTGCCGACGAGGAAGATGCAGCGGCGGCGGCGGATATTGCCAACGGTCTTGCTGACGATATGGACCTTGGAGCTCTGATTGAACGCTTCGAAGCTGACGAGGGCGAGCAAGATGCCAGCAAGTATGGCGCGCATGTTCTTAAGCAGATACAAGACGAGTCCGAGATGGAGTGCCCCATCTGTAGCGAGGAACCGATGGAAGAGCAGTGCGTCACCGGATGCTGGCATTCGGCCTGCAAGAAGTGCTTGCTCGATTACATTGAGCATCAAGCCTCGAAAGGCGAGCTTCCAAGGTGCTTCAATTGCCGCGAACCTATCAATGCGAAAGACGTCTTCGAGGTCATCAAGCACGACGATGACGAGGATGAATCTGCCCAAGTCGATGCACTAAATGCCGCCATGGAGGTGGATGAGGACGACGAGGACGACGAACTCTACCGCAGCAGCCAGACTAAGCCAAAGTCAACTCCTAAGCCGAGATGTCGAATATCTCTTCGGAGAGTAAATCAACTCTCGTCGGCCAAGATCAGCACGCTCCTGAGCCACCTCAAGCGCCTCAAAAGGATAGAGCCGAATACGAAGTCGGTGGTGTTTTCGCAGTTCACTTCCTTCCTTGACCTCCTCGCGCCCGCTCTTACGGCAGCTGGAATCGCCTGGCTTCGCTTTGACGGCAGCATGGCCCAGAAAGAGCGAGCTAAGGTCCTCGTCGAATTCGAAAGTCGCAGCAAATTCACCATCTTGCTGCTGTCCTTGCGAGCAGGAGGTGTGGGCCTCAATTTGACCTGTGCGAAAAGAGTGTTCATGATGGATCCATGGTGGAGCTTTGCTGTGGAAGCGCAGGCCATCGATCGCGTCCATCGCATGGGGCAGACCGAAGAGGTCACTGTGACGAGGTTCATTGTCGAGGGGAGCATCGAAGAGAAGATGCTGAAGGTGCAGGAGAGGAAGAAGTTTATGTGAGTTTGTCCCTTCCCATCCCCAATGAAAAAGATGGTGAAGAACTTGGCTGACCAATCTTGCTACAGTGCGAGTTCCCTCGGCATGATGAGCGATGAAGAGAAGAAGATGCAACGTATCGAAGATATCCGCGAATTGCTGAGCTGAGCGGAGATCGTCGTGCTAGCATTGTATACAGCTGGACAGCGCAAGATAGCAGGATATACAATGACTCTGCACCTGGGAGAAGCGTTTCCTTCTCCATGTCCCAGCGAAGACAGAACTTTCGGCAAGTCGACGTACATCCCTCTTGCATGCGCAGCCTCCCCTTTTGCCTTGGATTTTCGCGAAAGAGACGAGATTTGCAAGAATCGTCATATTGAATGCTAAGTAATCGTTTCGTCCAACTGAATGCTATGGCGGTGGGTATCCAATGGAGCAGTGTACAGTCCATAAAGCACAGAACGCTTGATGCTCATGCCTAGTGCTATCTTCACAAATTCTTGAACCAACAATTAGGGATAGGGCCTATCTTCTGGTGCGCCCTGTCTCCTGTCTCATGTCCGTATCCCTTTGTCCTCTTGTATCCCTGGGGGCCTGCCCCCGCCTTGTGTCTTCCATGTTGATTGGGAGATCATCGTCGCTGTCATCAAAGACAGTAGCCGGCGGAGGATCTCTGGGGTGGTAGATACCGGATTTACGATTTTCCACACGCCGACCCTTATCCGGCATGTCTCTTTCGTCTCTTTCTGTGTGACTTGGCCGGTACTTCTTGTCGAGATGGACTTCGAGCAATCGCAGGTTCTTGGTATTGCATTTGAATGCGGCGTCTGCAAGATCGCCTATGATTGGTACGAGCCCGACGGCAAAATCGATGAGGATGTTGATAAGCATGCGGAGCTTGAGTGAGGATGGGAGGCCTCCTTCGACCTGCATTGACTTTCGCATGAGGAGGAGGGCCATGGCGACTCCGATTGCGTCTCCCGCGGCAGGAACGATTCCAATGACAGCTTCCCAACCGAAACGAATGCCGAAGAGGTTGAAGAGGCACATGTCGAGACGGTAGGCGGTCTTGCGCACGCTGGCGAGGATCATGGCGTCGTTTTCGGGGATGTAGTCTGGGATGACTTTCTTCACCTTCTTCAATTTGCCGGGTCGCTTAGGGTCCTCGATCATGGCGAAGTAGGGATCCTACAGGTCCAATGATGTTAGCATACAATAACTTATCTTCACCACGAGAGCCAACGTCCGTATGATGCGATGCGCCTCTCCGTAACGTCGAGAGTCGCGAGAAAGTGTGGAAAGGTGTAGCAATGAGGTGAACTCACATCTCCGCTCTCGACCTTCTTGCCTTCGTATCCCTTCATCTGCTTCTTGAGAAACTTGTTCGCGGCATATTTGCCAACGGCTTGGGCCATCTTTCTCCGTCTCGATCGAGTTGGCTCGGGCTGTGCTGCTGAGAGGTCTGCTGCAGAAGGATAATTTGTTTCCTTTGTGGAGATGTCCTGTGCCTTTAAAATATAGTGAAAGTCAGGTTGAGAGTGCCATGCAGGATGGAATGCCGATTGCTTGATTGGAATGCGTCGCTTGTCTGGAAAGCAGGTGAAACGTCGAGCGCGTGGACCAGAATAGGCAGGCGCGTACTGTGTCGAACGGAAGTTGCAGCTGCTGGTTCTTGCCAAACATGCGCAGCAGCGGAGGAAGGTGTGACGGACATCTTATAGTAATAAATGCTCCAGGTACTTTCTCCCACTACTCCCGCTGTGCCTTGGTCTGGACAGATGCAAGCTTCTTGCTCCTGCCACCGTCCTGCCGCCGTATCGAGAAGGGATCAACAGAAAGCTCATCGTCATCTGGGGCGTTCGAGCGTGGCTGTGCGTGGCTGTGCGTGGCTGAGCGCCTCCCTGCATGTGATCTCGCGTCCAGACCCGTCCACATCCGTGAATGCTGTCTGTGGTCGGCTGTAGCATTGGATATTCGATAAACCAGCAATCATGCTCATTCTTGCATACTTTGCATGTGATTGAAAGCCTCGCCAGGGACAGCGCATACCATACCGAGCTGCCGCCTTGCGCTTCAGGCAACGTTGCTAAGCCGCACAGGCTGACCCAACATCCAGCCTCCCTTCCATCCGGACGACTCCCGCATCGGATCCTCGATATAGCGAACGATCTGGCGGCACGATCCCGCTAGAAGAAAGAGCCGCGAAGATGGAGAGATGGGCGCGGATAATCGCTCTGCTGCTCTTGCAGCTGATTGGAGCGCAGGCGGTGGAAATGAAGATAGTATGTCTAGCAGGATAGTCGTTCTGTTTCGGACAACTTGCTAAGCAGACTCTAGGATCAAAGAGATAGCAACCGCCAAGTCTGCTCCGGCATGTACTCAAGAAAGTCCTGGGGCGGCAGCACCGATCCTTTCATCCTCACGAAATTTGTCAAGCCGGACAACATACCTGAAGGCCAAGATCCGATTGTCAGCGTGGTTGTCTTCGAATGGAAAGACAGACCGCTGATCGGACATCCGGAGACGGAGGAGAATCTAACAGAAGTATGAACAAGCATTGAAGAGCGTGGTTCGGTTAGGGTGAGGCTTACATTCGTCTAGGACGTCTTCCTTTGCGACAATGCCGAAGTTCAGAAAGGCTGGTGTCAGGACAGCGAAATCGGAAGCTTCATCCTGGCCTCAAATGCCTCGGAAACTTCGAAATCATTGATTAGGTCCGAGGCCATCCATTTGAAGGACCCCGGCGCCATCAATTATCCCATCAAGACAACTGGCTACTACTGTGTCAGCTCAGCTTCCTTCAACGGAGCAGATTACACCGGAATCGTCGAATTTCGAAATGCCTTTGGTGATCTCCCAGCCGCCCAGATACCCAAACTACCTTTCTACGCCGCAACTACGATTGTATACGCCTTCGTGGCCATTGGATGGGCAGTTCTTTACTGGCTCAACCGGAGTGATGTCCTGCCCGTCCAGAATTACATCACAGCCATCTTGGTCTTCTTGGTGATAGAGATGTTCATGACATGGCTCTTCTACGACTATCAGAACCGTCATGGCCTGAATGGCGGAGCCAAGGCCCTTCTGGTCATCGTATCCATCCTGAGTGCCGGAAGAAACAGCTTCTCATTCTTCTTGCTCTTGATCGTGTGCATGGGCTACGGCGTCGTAAAGCATACGCTCGGGAAAACGATGTTCTATGTCCGGATTCTGGCCATCACTCATTTCGTGTTCGGCGTCATTTACGCGATTGCGTCTCTGGCTGTCACACCAGAGAATGCAGGTCCACTTGTCCTCCTGATTGTGCTACCACTGGCTGCAACACTGACTGGCTTCTACGTCTGGACCCTCAACAGTCTTAACTACACTATGAAGGACTTGATGGAGCGCAAGCAAACCATCAAAGCGGCCATGTATCGGAAGCTCTGGTGGTGCATCCTCGCCAGTATTGTCGTCATCTTTGTCTTCTTTTTCGTGAACTCCTGGACGTTTGCGGGCCGAGGAAACGTGGACTTCGTGCCGAATCATTGGCAAACGAGATGGTTCATTCTGGATGGATGGTTGAACCTGGTCTATTTCTTTGATGTGGCCTTCGTCGCTTACGTCTGGCGACCCACCCCGAACAATCGGAGGTTTGCCATGTCAGAAGAGGTATGTAATCGCACGTCTCCTCATTCCAGGACTTCATGCTAATGTGCTTCGCAGATCGCACAAGACGACGACGGCTTCGAGATCGCCTCCATCCGTGACTCCATGGATCTCGACGATGACCTTGAAGCCGCAGTCCCGGGTCAGCCCAGACCGCCGCCTCCTTACGACGCCCCTCGGGGTGGATCCGCAAACAGAGACGCCTCTCCTCTCCCTGCACCTATACCCACAAAGCCGACGCCATTACCACGGGAATCATTAGACGGCGAAACAATCTTTGCCGTTGGGGACGAGGACAAACTCACCGATGACGAGGAAGACGATGACAGTGAGAACAAGCGGCTGACAGCTGGTAAAAGTAGTTGAGAAAATACTTTTCCAACCGGCAGGCTTGCCATTGTACTAGATACCAAAACCCAATATCTTGTCCAAGAGAGTGCGCTCCTCCCCAGCCGAACACATGCGGCTCCAAGCCCCTTCCCTCCCAATCCTCTCAGTGCCTGCGCTCCTTCTTCCCTTGAGAGCTGCTTCTTGACAGCCCTTCTCTGGGCATCCTCGGCATTGTCTGGCGCCTGGGTGTATCGTGCTTGCGCTCCTTGTCCTTCTCCGCCTCTTGAGCTTCGCAGCGCTCCCACTCGGCTTCCCTCTGGGCTTCCCTCTGTTCGCGCGCTGCGACGAGACAATCCCTGCATCCCCTCATCTGCTTCTTCTCGTGGACTTCGCAGCGCCTCTTGCCGCTTTTTGCCAATCCCGATTCGTACTCGCGCAGCCATTGGGAGGCGAATTCATCAATGTCATCAAAGGAGGAGTCCTGTTCGTCGGAGGACTCCGGCTCGTCGAAGAAGCCGTTCAGATCGTGTTCGTCGAAGAAATCCTATTCCTCGCTGTCGGGAGATGTCAATGTACCGTTTAACACGGGAAAGTGGAATCGAAGTCTGTCTTACGCCTCCAAGTTCCACACGCAACACTTGCAGCAAGACATGTTGGTGTTGCTGGATCGAGTTGGCTCGCGTGGAGTTGGGCGCTTGGAGTCGCTGGTAGAGAGGGGAGGGTTGGTGTGGCTATTGCTGCTGCCTTGCTCTGGTAAGGTAGGTGTAAAATGTGCGTGGTGTTTGCTGTCGAGCTGTATGATACTGCGTGGTGGTGATGGTGTTGTGGAAGAAGAGGAAGAAGAAGAAGCAACCCAACATGAAGAGGGGAAAACAAGAAACCCAGGGCGGGGGGCTCGCATGGTAGTTCCTACCAGGATGAGAAAAGAAGGAACGTAGAGGAGGCAAGTACTCCTTCATCTTTCCAGAATACTGTGGTTGTTACAGAATGCAGCCGCACGTCACAAATGCGCCCACCCATTCCAAGTAAGAACCTGCATCTCATTGACCAAGCAGAAAGGTCCAGGTTCCGAGTTTTCAGGAGACCTTTCCTCCCACTCTTTCAACTTTTGGTGCACACTCCTTTCCTTCAGCCAAGGCGCTGTCGTCCAACGCAGGATGCGATTCTCCCAGGTCCCATAAATGATCTGGAAAGAAGACAGCCAAGAGGAAGTATATTTCCGGTTCATCGCCTTGTACGCCTCCTCGCCATATCCGACCCGCACGTTCGGATTTAACCAGACACCCTTTGTTCGCGAAACTGGATTGTCGCCGTGAATTAGACAGCATTCCGACCCTTCGATATGTTGTACAGCCAAGGGATCCGCGACGCCCCTGAACTCCAGTCTTCTCTCTTTCCTGTAAAACGGACTCGCATCCATCGCAACAATGCCATTCCAGCAACTCTTTACCGGCACGGGCAGACTCGCTTTTAGTGCCTGCCTCGACCTCTTTGACCGAAAGAACGGCCATGTCAGCATGAGCTGATCATGTCCCTCCGCATCTCTCAGCGCAAACGTATCATAAAACTGGAAAGGTTTCGAGAAATCCAACGAGCAAGCAGCCGCGTACTCCCCTCCCTGCGTAGCCAACAAATTCCGTACGTCCCGGCTCGAAAACACCACGTCGTTTAGGAAGAGAACCTTGTCAAAGACGACACCCTGCTTTTCCAATTCATAGAGGGGTTCCATGACCAGATTCCGTAATTTCGCCAAGTAGGGAATCCTCCGCAATTCCGTCTCTCCTCTCGGAGTGCGGATCCACCCCGCAGGCGCAGGAGCCTTTTGTATCTCGTCCAGATGTGTAGTCTCATCCAAAAGGATCGTCCTCGAAACTCCAAGCTCGTCCAGCCGTGCATCCAGATCCCTCAAAGCGCCTTTGGAATCATCAAAACTCCCACTCTCTTGTAGACTGACATATACATTCTCCTTCCCAATCTCTTTGACCAATGTCACCACAGCATCATTCCAATGACTCCGCAGAATGGCCTCGTTGTTCCAATGTATACTCGTTATGAAAATCTTCTCCCGGCCTAGATGGGGAGGTTCCCTGGCGGCCTCACGGACGATGGCGTTGCGAATGTACAGAAGTTCGATCGCGCTCCAGGTTGCCAGCACGAGTGCTATGATCCTGGCACATTGGTACCATGATGGATTCCGTCGATGATTGCGTATGAGCATACTAGGATACCAGGATCAGGCATCGAGATGCGAGTCATGTACCGATCGTGTTTCGTATTGGAGAATCGGACTGGTTTTCAAGGAGTGTGTGTGTGGTGTTGGTCATGTTTTGACAGAATGATCAGGAATGATGAAGACCATGAGAATTTGTAAGCTGGCGAATCCTTTCGGTAGAATGATGGCAAGGTATGAAGGAGTGCAGTGTACGAAGCCACGACACACGCGATGTCCCTGTCAGTCCCGGATCCTTGGTTCGGCTTTCGGCAGGCGGACCGGGCTCCGCTGCACTGGGACGAGCATGTGCTGCGAGCCAGGCTGTGCCATGAAGTGCTGCAAACAGATTCGGGCATGCAGTAAAATGTAAGCGCAAAGAGCAGAACCGTACGAGAAATTATTTACAGCTCTATGCCCCTGATAGCCCTCGTCAAGGTAAGCCGCGCAATGGCCGATAGCAGAAGCGTTATCAACAAATCTGGCATGCTGTCATACCAATATACCATCCTCAGCCAATATTCCTACATCTCCCCATGAGGACTGAATTAGTTGCGAGTTCAACGAGGCTTGATTTGCAGTACGAAAACTGGTAGCTCTCAGCTCTCTGGACAGAACGATCGGCTGAGTTCCTCAGCACTGCAGAGCCAGTCGGCCAATGTAGGTCCCTCAATCCAGATATAAAGCCTTTTCTTTTTGGGGATCTCTGGCTCATCAATATGCGTTGTAAAGTAGAGCAATCGATCATGTAGCCTTCTTCGCATCCCCACGCATAATTTTCTTCCTCTGAGCCATCATATGCGTGAACAATATGTACGATCCTGCGAGCAAGTCAGCACATCCTCTTTCCCCCCAATAATAAATCCCAGAGATATCCATACCAGGAACGTATACAAACAAGATCAGCTTCAAGACCCACTCCAACGCAGCATTCCACCTCTTCGCGGGCTCAATCGCTTGATACACCAACCAACACTCACTGCTGATGCCCATGGGATACAGCACAAAAAATGTGTTATACCTCAACCATGTCATCCATGCGGGAACTCTTCCATATGTGAGATTGACAGCAAAGTAACTGTATCTTATCACCTCTGTAACGCTCCACGCGATCAACATGGTCGAATAGGCAGGATTGCGTCCGGTGGTATTGGGGAAATTGTGTACGATTCCCCAGACGAGAAGGAAGCGAGAGGCGACTTGCATGAGTGTCGTGAGGAGGGGTGCGCGGACGAGACCTAAGGAAATCGTACAAGAGAAATACTTAGCTCTTGGTTCTTCTTTGGGGGGTTCTACTGGTGCAGATTCTTGGGTTTACCTATCGCAGCATGCAAGACTTCCAGTCCAGCGAGTGTTTGTGTCCATTTCGTGAAGTCTCCTGTGCCGGTCCAAACGCTTCCATAGCCATGTACGGCTGCAATGAGGACGGTTCGTCCAAGAACGACAGACCAGAGCATCGCTGAGGTGGCATTGTAGAGAATCAAGTACACAGCTTTCGGGCCCGTGAGAGATGACTTCGATCGGGATTTGCCTTGTGCGCCAGAAGAGGCCTGTTGTGAGTTTGTAGATGGAGCCATTGCTGGACACGGCGAAAAGGCGTTGGTGATGCTCAAGTGCACCCAGCTGCTTGAACTTCCAGCTTCCTCCGTTTATCACTTCCCTGCTGAGCTAATGGACCCTGAAGCGGGAGTCGCCGACGTTCCTGCAGTCTAGTGACGTCGCGTGCGTCGACAGGCTTCATGGTGCTTGCGAGGTGGGGAATTATTAGAGCACAGTGATGAGCACAACAGGCCAACGTGTGCCTTGAAAAATTACATGTGCATGAGCTGTCCACTGTTCCCGACCACAGAACCCATTATACTCATATGTCCAGATCAGCGACCAAAAGGCGGCTGCTCACGGGGGACGTAACTGTAAAAGCAAACCCATGCCCTACCCATGGTATCCCTTCCGTGGAAAACGCCGCGCTTGATCGCCCAATCAATTCAAGACACCATTCCTTCATCAGTCACTTCTAACTGGCCATGTAGAGGCGTATCATCGATTTGAGCAATGCGCTCTCCTTGCACCCGTCAACAACACAGTGCTTGAAAGGAAAAGGACCATTATCAGCCGGCGCCTTCCCCTTCCCGTTCTTGGTAGATCTGGTGGCTCTCTTCGGCCTATTCTTCGCACAGTCGCCACAGTATGCCTAAAATCAATGTTAGCACATCCCCCCAAGATACCTCGGGGCCCTTGCCAAGACTAAGATCACAGCAGAAGTATTCGAGAGGACTTACATGACCACATTTCTTGACGACCCAAATCTGCTGCTTGTCTTCGGTATCGCCCATAGCAAGCTCATCTCCGCAGTTGGGACAAACAACTTCTTCATCTTCTTCTGGACTGCGAGTGAAGCCTTCCTTCGCTGGCTCTGGTGCTTCATACTTGGGTGGTTGTGCTTGGACGGCGCCGGGATATCCCATATCAAATCCGGGCATATCATAGTTCATATCAACAGTGAATCGTGCTACCGCCGCAGGTACCGCGAGCCGAAGAGGTTGATTATCATTGCGCTGCCCGTTCACGTTGTTTGTGCCCATATGCCGATGTCTCTCATGCGTCAACTCCATCAGTCTGTCATGTTGTGCTCTTATGCCACCAGCCTGGCCCAGCCGCAGCCTTAGCCTAGGATTGCGGTCGAGAAGTCCTCCAAAGCCGAACTCGCCATCGTCGTCCTCAACCGCGATGGTGCCTAGACCTACACCAATAGGTCTTGCGGTGTTTACGCCAGCGTCGTGTCGAGCTCGAGTATCCAGATGCACGACGTCATCGTCTTCTCCAGTGAGGTCAATGGGCGCGTTGAAACCGGTCGGGTAAGGCGTGAGGCTGCGCTGGACCTGAGCAGCAGGTGTTCGGGACCGACTGTCTAGTCCAGAACGTGGGCGCACCTCCAGAAATTGTATCTCATCCATGTTGGCGTGTGGTTGATGGTTATTGGTTGGTCGGTGAGGTCTGCGGAGCATTGAAAACCGAGGGTGGTTGGTGATGTGTTCCAAAAAGTTTGCAGCTCTGGGTGGAGGGGAGAAGCGAGCGGGTTCTCGTGCAGTCGCTGGTGGATGGTCTGTGCTTCCTCCTCCTTCACTGTCCAAATCAATTATGTTCCGCCCGAATCGTGGGGGCCGCTGTGCACGTGAAGAGCCCGCCACGGGGCCAGGTTCAGGTGCCAACGTTGCTTCCGCAGTAGTGTTATGTGCGTCGTCTTCAGCCGTCAGGTCAATGACCATATGGTTGTTCCCACTCCCATTCACTGCTACGCTCCCGCTTTCACCTGACATCATGGGTCGGCGGAAGTCAAGGCCGTCACCGATGTGTCTGCGTGGTAATGCGAGGTAGTCGTTCGGACGGGGATACTGTAAGGGTGGCTCTTCGCTCTCGGTCTCTGATACAAACAGAGAAGAGGGAGATCTGCTACGGCGGGAATCGTTGGCCATCGTACTATAGCTTCTCTAAATACGCAAACAGTCAGTAAATCAGCAGCTCTGAGTCAGGCAGACGCTTTAGATGAGGTGCGGAGATTATGTGCGTAGGCGTGTGCCAGGGCGGCAGAGACATACCTTTGTTGATGTACGTCGGAGGAAAGGGCAAGCAGATGAGCCGGCAGACCCTCCAACACCTTCCATCTTCTTCTCAGGCGCAAGCGAGGCGGAGGGTGGTATCGTAGGCGATGTGGCGGCGTAGTGTATCGCAGGCCGAGTGGAAGGTGGAGGTGGTGGTGGTGGTGGTGGTGTCGAGAGGAGTTGGAGAGTTGTAAGTCAACAAGTGAAGTTCACTGGAGGGGCGAGGAGGATGCCGCCGTATTTGATTGGTACACGCACGAATCCAACAACGACACATGCAGTCTCCCTCTACTTGACTACTACCTCTGCACCTCCTGCACCTGTCCAGATACCTCTGTACGCGTTGTCGACGTATAGTTCTATTTTATTATTAATATTCCCGTGAATCGTTGTGAAGGGAGAAGTGGCAAACGTCCGGCTTAAGTCCGACGTGAGGTATGTGAAACGCTATGCTACAAAGAGGTCTCTGACCCTGTTCATTTTTCATTTTTGCAACCTCCCTGCCTGACCACCCGAGAAACCCAAGCGTAGGATACACCTGATGTGGTGCTGCTAACCGTGCGACGCCTGTGCGCCCCTGCAGTCCCTCGATCGTTAAATATCGAGCCGCTTACGCTCACGCGCCAAGTACGGCGACAGCACCCTCGCTAGTCAGGGCGACCAAAGACTTCGCTCTCGCTCCCCACTTCACGTCCGCCGCGTTGAGCGCCTTGCGTAGGGGCTCTGACCATGACTTCCCACTCTTAGAATACTGGCTCACCACCACACCTCCCGGGCCGCATGCAGCCAAGAATTGCCCGGTGTAATCCCAGCAAATCCCAGAAACTGCCGTGCCGATATCGATAGTCTTGAGAGCATTGAGCTTTCGCAGGTCCCAAACGGTGAGGATGTTCTGTCCCTGATTTGACGACGCCAGCCAAGTACCGTTCTCGGAGAATGTGAGCGCCACTATGGGCGTGTTTGCAGATGGAGCCGGAAAAGTGTGGGCTGGCTGAGAGGTCTTGATGTCGTACAGTCGTACAGAGCCATCCGCACCGCCGACTGCTAGTAAGTGCCCATCCGGGTGGAATGCCACAGTTGTGAGTTCTACGCGAAAGTCAGCAAACGACGCGATCTGAGATTCCGTGCCAAGAATCTTACCAATATCTGTGAAGACCTGAGTTGCAACTTTCATGTTGCTCAGATCGTAAACAATATAGCTCTTATCGTAGCCCACGGATACCAAGACTTGTCCGCTTGGATGGCAGGCCACCGCGGTCGCAGCCCCTGCGTGCTGCTGGAATTTGGCCTGGACTGCACCCTCTTGAGACACCGCAACAACACCACTAGAGGTCGATACCGCCTGCTTGTCGTTGCACCATGCACCACCCAAGATGGCTCCAGCGCCGAGATTGCTTCGCGTCGTGAACGCGCCTTGCTGAAGATCGAAGATACCCATAGTGCCATCCGAATCGCCGCAGAGGAAGAAGTCACCAGTTGAGTCGGAGGCCAAAGACTTGGCGCCTGAGAACTGTGTATCCACTGAAGCCTTTACGTCGAATGTCTGCAGCTCATCCGCAGTGGCCCAATCCTCAGGTACTGGGCGTTTTCGGCGGGTGGCCGAAAGACGCTCCTGTGTCTCGGTGATCTTGGCAACCACCTCCTCCGACAGCGGCTGACCATCAACCTGCATCGCATCTCCGTTTACACCATTGGTACCGCCTGTGACCGATACACGAGACAGCGCGTCCCGGGCCTCGTCCCTCTCCTTTTGCAAGCGCGCGATGACTCTCTGTGCAGAATCATTGTAGTAGAGAGCAGTACTGAGCTCCTGACGCGTCTCGGAAAGTTGCTGCTTCAATTGAAACGTCTCGAGGATCAACGCGTCCCACTCATTCTGGAAAGTGGAGAGGAGGGCGGGAATGGAGGTCAAGGTTGGTGGTCTTGGCTTGACGACGCGCGATTGCTTGAGGTCGATCAGGTCGTCTGTGGAAAGCTCGTCGCCGTTGACAGGATCGGTACCGTTCTCAGAGATGTAAGTCTCTATCAGTCGCCTCTCATAAACATTGCCTACACCTACTGTAAGCCTTTCAGATGCCTCGACATTGGCGGATCGCGACAGACGCACCTGACTTGCGCGAGGCCACCGGGTGCTGTGGTGCTTCACCGGAGACTGGTTGTCGTTAGCATCGAATGCCGAGAGGTCCCACGAATGAGGCCGACTCACTTGCGCACAGCATACTGGCAGTATTGCGCCTGCTTGGAATGTTTAGACGTTACTGCTGCCGTGGACGTCGGAAGATCTTGCTGGAGATGCGACGCGCTTCGGGCCTTCCCGAGCTCCGGCATTGCTTTCCTCTGGATGCCTGAGGCACGATGCCGACCTCACCCACCCTACAGACGGCGAGGGCGCAGGGCACGCCAGCGGGCCTTTACCGGTGGAGAATTGACGTGGACCTGACTGCCAACCCCAGAGACTCTTTGTGAGGGCTGACGCATTTACTCAATCATCTCCCGGAACTGCTCCCTCTGCCATGATAAGGCTCAGTTCTGCCTTGTGCCTTTCGAGGCCTTCCAGCACCCGTGGGCGAGAGGATCACAATGGCCATCAAGAAGCGACGGGACAGGGTGGGAGAGCAGCACTGCAATTCAAACTGGACGGGAGCAGAGTCGAGTGTAACGCACCTGACGCGGTGTGGAGAGTGGAGAGTGAGTGGCAGTGGTGGGCAGTGGTGAATGCAGCGCTCGGCCAATCTCGGGGCAGTCGTGTCTCGTCCAGCGCAAACCCGATGGTGGGGTCGTGCTTGCCCCGCCGAGGCCAATGATGTATTTCGCCCTTCACGAAGAATCTTCCAGTCGCGAGCATCTTCCCGCGTAAAAAGCAACTCCAGCTATCATACCTCGCCAATCTGTTCAACTTCTGCTTCACACCTTCGCCCCCTTTCCACAACCACCTCACCATCAAGGTCCGATCGACTCTACCAATCAACCCAATTTCATAGATTAATCCAACATGGGTGCTCTCGACGTCCTCAAGGTCAAGTCGGGCGTCATCTACGGCGATGACGTGAAGGCCCTCTTCAAGTACGCTCAGGAGAAGAAGTTTGCCATTCCCGCCATCAACGTCACCTCCTCATCCACCGTCGTCGCTTCCCTCGAGGCTGCCCGCGACGCCAAGGCCCCCATCATCCTGCAGGTCTCTCAGGGTGGTGCTGCCTACTTCGCCGGCAAGGGCGTCGACAACAAGGACCAGAACGCGTCCATCCGTGGATCGATCGCTGCGGCACACTACATCCGTGCAGTTGCTCCAGCATACGGCATCCCAGTCGTCCTCCACACCGACCACTGCGCGAAGAAGCTTCTGCCATGGCTCGACGGCATGCTCGATGCCGATGAGGCCTGGTTCAAGCAGCACGACGAGCCCCTGTTCTCTTCGCACATGATCGACCTGTCGGAAGAGGCCGTTGACGAGAACATTGGAACCACTGCCAAGTATCTCAAGCGTGCCGCACCAATGAAGCAATGGCTCGAGATGGAGATCGGTATCACTGGTGGTGAAGAGGACGGTGTCAACAACGAATCCGTGGACAACAACTCCCTCTACACCCAGCCAGAGGATATCTACAACATTTACAAGACCCTCTCGCCCATCAGCCCATACTTCTCCATCGCTGCCGGTTTCGGCAACGTCCACGGAGTCTACAAGCCTGGCAACGTCAAGCTCCGACCCGAGCTCCTCAGCAAGCACCAGAAGTACGTCCAGGAGCAGACCAAGTCCAAGGATGAGAAGCCCGTCTTCCTCGTCTTCCACGGTGGTTCCGGCTCTAGCAAGCAGGACTACCTCGACGCCATCAGCTACGGTGTCTGCAAGGTCAACCTCGACACCGACCTGCAGTACGCCTACACCGAGGGTATCCGCGACTACATGATCAACAAGAAGGACTACGTCAGCTCGCAAGTCGGTAACCCAGACGGCGAGGACAAGCCCAACAAGAAGTACTACGATCCCAGAGTGTGGGTGCGTGAGGGTGAGAAGACCATGAGCAAGCGTATCGCCGTGGCGCTGCAAGACTTCAACACTGCCAACCAACTGTAAGAAGGTTACCAATTGTAAGAAGGTTGAGCGTTGAAAGGAACAGACAGATCTCGAACACGTGTTTGGACGATGTGTGTGTTGGGACGCATTGGAAGTGGTGCCTGGGTCGCTGTTCGTCAACTGCAACATACAATGCGAGCGATACGAAGCCATGAAAGTTTATGAGCAGCTCTATAAAATTGAAACACCAGCTCTTTTGAAGGCGTCCGGTTCTTTCCAGTTTCTCTCTCTTTTGCCGAACAGTGTCGTAGGTCTCGAGGCCCGAGGCTATTATACCAAACCTCCGACCTGAAAGCCGAAGCTCCGGAGTTTGGAATCACGTTCTAGGTGATCACAGAAGTTGACTGCGGTGAACATGATTTCCCGATTACACAGTCTTGCATTTTCCCCAGTATCGCAACAAGATTGTATACACTAATCAGACATCCATGATATAGCAATTATTCGCTCGCTATACAACATTTTCAACAAAGGCCGTGTGGGCTTCTTCCATGTTTTACAAGCCAAAAAAAACCCCCCCCCTTTGTCGTTCCACTCGTGCAAACGAAACTTCTGAACACCCAGAATTAAAAACAAAGAATCTTACATGGCACTTCTCGGAAAGTTCCAAGGTCGAGTGGGCATCTTCTTGATCAGTCCGACATCGACGGCCGTATTCCCCAGAGCGCGCGAGAGTTCGCCATTCTTGTTGGCCAGGTCCCAGAGATCCATGTGTGACTTGTGCTGCGGGAAGGGCGAGGGCAGCATGCCGGGAGGCGGTGCGCGTACGGGCAGTTGGCTGTATTTGCGCACCATCGCCTGGCTCGAGGGTTTTGCCTTTCGGGGCCGTCCTTTGGGAGCGGGCTTGACGGTTGGGTCAGAACCGCCCACGTCTTCCGGCGGGAAAGGTTTCTTCGTTTCCGGGGCTTTGAGGTCTTTGATGATCTTGTTGAGCTCGGTTGGCGTGGAAGCAATTTGCGCTTTGAGGTATGCCATTGCGTTTGGAGTCTGCAGGCTCTCCATGACCGGCGCACGATAGGTGTATTCGAATCGCTCGGGCTGAGGCGCCACGGTTGGTACGATGGCAGGGTCGAGGTAGGCTTCGTCGCCCTTCTGGAGAAGTTGTTGAATGTCAAGCGACTCGCCCGGCGCAATTGGATTGGGATGAGACGGTGTCACGCAGTCCATGTCCACCTCCTTTCGCAGTACGTGGTCAATATCAACCGCGCTGAAGTAAGCGCAAGATTGAGGCAGATCGTGAATGCCCATTTGCTGGCTGAACATCGCTCGAGTCCAGACATTGGCAACCTGGAGCGCCATTGCACATCGGTACTTGTCCTCGCTCTTGGCGAGGTAGCGGATCTCGTCGTGGACCGTGAGGGCTAGGCGAGCGTTAATATTGTATCGCTTGCACATGTACTCCATACTGATGATCAACAGATGGAGGTAGTCGACTCCAGAAGACTGAATGGCCCAGTTAATGCGACTGGTCATGAAGCCGCCCTTGCTAATGAAGCGACGCATAAGAGCTTCTGTGATGCCTGCTCCAAGTACAGGAGTGCGCGGCCTTTCCTGCTCGGCGAAGTCTTCAAGCTTGTTGAACACTAGACTTTCAGTACCGCCATGCCAGAACTTGCGATCGCGGAGTACCTTCTTGGTTACATTTTTGCCCTTGGTGTCCAGGTACAGATTTGTCGCAATCTCCTTCGCCTGCTCCTCTTTTAGTGTAGGATTGAACTGGCGCAGGAGTGATTGGGCGAACTTGAGACCAGCGCCGTAAATCCTTCCATAGTTGAAGACCTTGGCGTCATTCCGAGAGATCCCAAGGATCTTCGCAGTGCGGGAATGCAAGTCTGTGCCTGCAGCTTTGGTTCCCTCGAGTGTCATGAAACCGATAGCATTCCCGCCATGTATCTTGAAACTGGCATCACCAACAAGCGACGCAATCCAGAGCTCTTGGCTGTCAACATCAGCCCCTACAAAGCAGTACCCGGGTGGAGCGGTAATCATGCTCTTCAACTCCGAGCCAACGCGATTTTTCTTGGCATTGGAGGCAGTGAGCCAGGTGTTCTCCACGGCACGCCTTGTGATAGTCCCCATTGGGATCACCTGTGGCAAGATGTACCCGAACTTGTTGCTCTCCTCGGGAGATGTTGCAAGCTCGCTTTCGTACACAACCATTTGAGACCTGATGCGGTCGCGCGCGCTGATCCAGTAGGAGCAGGAAGCGTTCATCTCCAAAGCCTCTTTACCATATGCGTACTCAGAAGACAACGTACCGCTTTCAAAGAAACTCAGATATCCTTTGGCAAGAGGAGAGGTGCAACGTGCCTCTGGTCCATCCTTATGTGGGAGTTTGAAATAGCTGTGTTCAAAGTCGTCGCGAAGCGCGAAATTCTCCTCTTCTAGCATATTGCATCTTGTCATTGCTTGGTCCTCGTATTTTTGCGCGTGATGATCAGGGACTTTGAAAGTCCAACCGAACTTGTCTGACCAAACCAGAGGATGGCCGTCCCAAGCCATTCTCAGCAGAAGTGGTGCAATGCGGGTGCGCACGGTCAAGGCAATTGCGGCATCGTTCGTGGAGAAGAGATCTTTGTACCATTTCGGCATGCCCGGTTTCTTCTGTCGTGCAGCTGGCCTCGGTGGGTCGCCTTTCTTCCTCCCCTTCACCATACGAACCTCTTGCCCAGTCCAGTCCAGCTGTCGGAGCCATGGATCATTCTGGTACATCTCAGGATCCGATCGACGCTTCAAAGCTTTCTCAGCGAGATCTTCCAGACGCTCAGTCACTCCGGATGACAATCTGTGGTACGTGGCTTCGGCATTTGCAATGTAGGACTTCCACTTCTGGTCGACAGGTAAAATCTCGGTTGCCATATGTCTCAGAGCCGCGAATGATACGGGATGAGGGCATGTCTCTACAAAAAGTGGAAAGACCTTCTTGTACACTTTGTGTGTGATTTCGACATCGGCTGCACAGTAGTCAAGCAGTTCATCCAGGCGTTCAACGATTCCAGCGCGATCTAGCTCGCCGAACCACTCGCGTCTGGCCTTGTCGATGGTGATGCCGCAGTGAAATTTGGCAACATCACGCAAGCTATTGACGGACGATCTGCCCACCCAGAGTTCTTCTTCTTCGGACGAGCTTTCCCGGGATTCGAGTAGAGAAGATAAGTCCACACTGTCGTTTGCAGCAGCAATTCTGTCTTGAAACTCGCGCTCTTTGCGGTGCTTCACCCATGTCGGCCGCTGTCGACTGCACATTCCATTCACTGCAACATGGAGACTCATGGTGTCCATGAAGAAGTTTCGAGTCTGCTCCAAACCGTACTCCTCTGAAATACGAGCTCTGTCATAGCTAATGTTGTGTCCAACGATTATTCGAGACTTTTCTGGGTCACCGAGAGGAATTAAATGCCTGTCGTTCTCGCTTTCTCCCAGCAGCCAAGGCGATATCCACGCGTACCAATGTGTGCCTGACACTGCACATGCCATTGCAGGAAAGTTTGTCTCGTGCCACATCACCTCAGTATCGAATGTGAGCACATCGGCATCGGGGGCATCTATCGTCTCTGAAGTACCATCCTCGAAATATTTTGTCCAACCACTCCTCTTGGCCCATCTTCGAGGCTTGGGCGGCGGCGAGGCGCGAGCATACTTTTTCGAAAGACTCAAATATGGCTCGGCACTGTCCATTCCCAGCTTATAGAAGTGCTCGTCCAGCGACGCACCCTGAAGATCTGGGAGGTCAAAGCCCACAGGCTCTACATTGTCGCTGGTCTTGCCCAGCAGGTCGTGACGGGCCAGGTGATGTTTCGATAGCGCGACCAGCTCTTCTTCCGGTTTCGGTGCGCCTGTCGATGGGAAGAGTTGTGGATGGATGTGCGCGCTCACTTGCTGAACACCGATTTCGTTGTGTCTTGCTTGGGACGGTATCGCTAATGTTCGCGGTTCAGGAACTTTTGCGGCGCGGGGCGCGATCGCAGCCGCAGTAGAATAGGGTTGGCATAGTTGATTCGGACGATGCTGAGTCCTTCTGAGGCAGCCGGAGGTATAATATCGCTGAGCACACGACCTTTTCAGGGGTTCGGGTCGTACGCCAAGCAGCGACGTCTGCTGCGTGCGCTCGAGAGCGTCAACAACGTGGCGGGGGCATCGTGATCGCATGGCTCGATGCCAAATGGTGCGCTACCGTGTCATGGTGGGATGGTGGAGGAGGTGTGTGTACAGATTGAGATGAGATTGAGCAGATGGACTGCGCGTCATACAAAAGTCCCGTCGCGAGAAACGAGAGGTCAGCTAGTGGGTAGGGCTGAAGAAGAAGCCGCGGATGTGGGATGTGGAGACGAGCGTCTGCTGCTGCTGCAGGTGGCGCCGATCACCTCCCTTCCTTCTTGTCTTCTCACAGTTGTTATACCTCCGATCTCTTACCACCGCTTCACCTTGCTCCTGTTGTAAGCGAGGCGTGCTCCTGAGCAGCGTCACGAGATAGACTGCAAAGAAGAAAGAAGACATGTCGGCCTACGATCACGACCTTGAGGCCGCGGACGCGGAAGCGGAGGGCATGCCATGGAACGCCGAAGACGGAGCTTGGGACTTTGACGGGCTCGACGACGACGACCGGTCAGTGAACGTCGATGCATGTGAGCGGCAAGGCGATGGGCAATTAATTCGTTGTTCAGGAACTACCTCGCCTCACACGAATTTGACGCGTTCAACGGGCCACTCTCTTCCGTTTCCAACTCGCCGCCGCCTGAATTGGAACACACTCAAGCTCCACCTCCATCTGCAGTACCCGACACCACCACAAACAACTTCACCCGACCAGCTGCACCGAACATAACACGCCGCTCTCTCGTCAACACGCTTTCCGCCTTCCGCCGCCCACTCACGACAGGGTCACAAAGCCCTCGAAGACCGGAGATACGGACGACATTCGAACCTCAACGGCCCTCGCCCCCGCGGTCACCATCAAGCTTCGCTTCCGACGAGTTTGCTGACCTCGTGGATACCTCATCAGAAGACGACAGTGTACCTCTATCCAGAACCATGCCCGCAAGCACTCGGCGTAACAGCAGGCGTGGTGCCGGCATGGTTGATCTGACCGCCGATAACACTTCCACATCACAAGCGGCAAGAGGCACTAAGCGGAAGGCAGAAGCTTCATCATCTGCAGGCGGAGGCCCAGCGACAAAGCGACGTGGTAGCATGAAGAAACAAGATGTGGAGGAGATCGATCTTGCCCATGACACACCGTCGGGCGAGGAGGAGCTGCTTCAGCAACAACGTCAAGATGCTCTCAAGACACAGCAAGCAGCTATGCGGGATGCGGGACCTCAGAAGATTGGCAAGCGACAGTGCATCATCTGCCTGGACAACATCACGAACTGCACGACGACCGTCTGCGGTAAGTATCTATCCACCGGCTCTCCGGAGGAAATGTTGGCTAACAGACCGGCAGGCCATTTCTACTGTCACGAGTGTCTGGTCAGTGCTCTGAACCATGCTGAGCGGAGCAGCGATCGCGGCGTCGGGACCTGTCCTCACTGTCGAAAGCCGCTGCCACGCACCAAGAAGGCGAACAGCATTGTCCCCATTCAGTTCATGAAGAAGGCGCAGTTTGCCAAGAACCAGCGGAAGCGGACTGACATTACGGGATATCGATGATTGACACCGTAGGTGGGATTTGTGTTGCAGCGAGGAGTTAAAAGGTCATGCAGCGATTGGAGAAGTGACACGATACGGACGATGCTTTTACGATACCCAGTCAGTAGCTTTCCGAGAGGACCTCAGGAGTTCTTAATGAATGTTTCCGATTCCAAGACGCCGGATAGTGATCACTTCCACATATAGTAGCAACTACATCTCGCACAGATCGTTGGCTCTGACAGTGACCGGAGCTTCTACCAATGACGCGTACGGCAAGACCCTTGGCCCGGGTCCGTATCTCTTGGCCTGCAGCTCTCCGGCTCTCTCTGAGCTGCGCACCTCATCACGACATCACACCCACGTTGACCCAAACACCTTCCACGCCCGCCGTCATTCGCACGTGGCGCGCGTGTCTTGTACCTCCGGCGATAAGGTAATTGCGGAGAAGCCACCACACACTGCCACCTCAACTTGAAGGCCTCTTCTACATACCTGACAAACTTAAGCTTCTTCTTTCCCTCCGAGGTTTTGCAATCGTGGGACGCAACTTGTCAGCAACCGCAGCTTCGCCCGAAACTTGACGCTTGAGGTGTTTGGTCTTTGCTGGCATTGCCCGACCGTCTTCTTCCCGTCGCCTTTGATATCGCACGGAGACCACGGACAAGATGAATACGTTGACGGAAGTCATTGGTGGCAGTAAGAAAGATCAGGCTGGACAGGAGCCTGTTTCTGGAAAGCAGGGCCAGGGCACTGCTGGTCAGCCGTACGATGCTGGAAATCAGCAGGGTAAGTTGGATGGTGTTGAAGGCGTGCCTTTGTTCTGTACTGTTGGAACGTCTTGCTGATCACGTTGGCACCACAGAAGACGCGAGCTCAGCTGGAAAGGCGCCGCAGCACACGAGTAAGTGACAGGCAAGATGAGATCGGCATGGGAGCGTATGGATCATGACCTCTGATCCCGATTTCCAGATCCCAATGAGTCGCCCGTCCTCAACAAGTCTGGCCAGGAACCTGTCTCAGGAGAGCAAGGCAAGGGTACCGCTGCGCAGCCATTCGATGCTGGAAACCAAGAAGGTACGAGAGATAGATTTCTATGTGTGCCTTGGAAAGATGCAACACAGCAATCCAATGTAACGACCAACCCACTGACTGTTCTGTAGACAAGCCTGACCTGGCTGGTAAAGCACCGGCAGACGGTAAGTCGTCTGACCGACCCGCTGAGCCCGCTACCATTGGAACCGCTGGAGATGCTAAGTCTTCGCCTAAGCTGTTTAAATCACCCACGACCGGGAGCTCGAGATGGTTCGCAAATCCTTTCGCCAAGGACAAGAATAATGAGTCTTCTTCAGACCAGGTGGCGCAGGAAGTCATCGATTCTGAGGCTACATCGACAGCAGCGGACGGAAGGGCTACTTCAGGAGCAGAGGCTAAAAGTTTACCGCCAAATCACCTATGCGGGGATGTTCCTCCCGGACAGAATACGATAGTCGTAGACCCGCCAGAATCAAAAACCACTGTCATAGATCCTGCTTTCGACAACACAGACGGCAATTTACCCAACCATCTCGGCGAGGACGTCCCTCCAGGTCCAACACAGAATGGAGAAAAGATAGACAAAGGCAAAGGGAAGGCGAAAGCGACAGCAGCTGACTTACAATACAACTCGGAGCCCTCACCCGGATACACGGAAAGTTCAACGGTGAGCAATCGTTCCACAAGACGAGAATCAGGCTCTACCGATTTCACGGCCGCTACTAGAAATACATTTTCCAGCTTTGCCACTTCTGTTGCCGGCTCTGTTGCCGGCTCTGTTGCCGGCTCGTCGAGGAACACGTCGGGTGGGAACTTACATATCGTGCATTCTCAAGGCAAACCTATCATGGCTGGAGGCGTTCCTTTGGGACTACCGGCTATGCAAGAACGGGGCAGGAGATTCAGTAGCGCCGTCCCCAGTCATTACCGGGAAGACGATGAACTCACGAAGACGAATATGGAAGCTGATACTAATGCTGGGTCGCTTCCCGTTCCACCTCCCAAGAGATCAGAGCCTGAGCCCACGAGGATGAAAGCATCGGTGGTGTCGGGAGATTCTGCAGTTGCTACTTCTGGCAATGACGATGGCAAGCCGAGGCGAAGGTCTAGCGTGATGATGCGAGCGAAGAATCTGGGACGGAAAGTTAAACATTCGATTGCTCATTGAAGCGGCATAATATGTACGAATGCTACGAACAGGAAAGGGCCAGGCGTAAGAGGGTGGGGGGTTGGGCGAGAAATATGAAGAGAACCTTGGCATACCCTTGGAATTCTTTGCCTGTCATGTCAATAAAAGGCTTATGATGAGACGAACAAGGAACTAGACACATACAATGCACGAAGTTTTTGGCACTTGCTCGCGAGGGTTCAGATTGAAGACTTGGCTTTTGATGGTTCACTGTACAGGGTCTGTTCGCATTGCAACCGTGGGTATCATTCTAATTCACAATCAACTCTACTCCAGACAATCGGCTTCATGCCGCTTCTATAGCATTTTCCGAACGAGGAGAAAAGCTAGCGCGGCTAAGATGCCGTATATTGCTTTGTCGATCCAAGCTGGCACGCCATTATCTTCTAGACGGAGCGCTGCTCGTTGCTGTTGCTCTTGCTGCCGTTGGTCAGCTGCCGCTACAACAGCCGGGGTCACCGGAGCTGGACCTGACACGGGTCTGGTGGGTGTAGGCACAGGCTGCTGCGTGGGCTCTCGAGCTACGGGATCGGACGCCGGGGGACCTGTAGGAACAGCAGTAGCATTCTCCTGCTTCGTACTGCTGCTCTCCGCCTTGTTCTGCTCCCGTGCTTTCCCATCCAAATCGTCCCGATACGCCAACCGTAACTCCTCCGGAACCTCGTCCTTCTTCGCCGCCCCTTCAGCCCCACCACCCACAGCTTTCACATGCTCCTCCTGCTCCCGCATGATTTCCTCATTCGCCCTCCCACCACACGCCGCACACCTCCCCGCCCGACTCTGCGCCGCCAACCTCTTCCTCACCTCCTCACTGCTGTCCATGCCGCCCAATTGCCCCTTCGCATCCGTATCCATAAAACTCCGAATCGCCACCAACGCCGTCCGTATGCCCCAGGCAGGCTGCCATGTCTCTTCGTGGTGGCCGCTGATGGACAGGCAGATCTCGCGGTTGACCTCGAACCTGCCCGTCGGGGTGAGGAAGCGGAAGGAGGGGGGTTTGAGGGGGTAGGCGGGCGGGAGGACGATGCGGCCGTGGTAGATTCCGCCTGCGAAGGGGGAGGGGGCCGGGGGGCCGCGGAGGGTGAAGTGCCATTCGTAGAGGTCTGTTTCGAGCGGTGCGGCGTGGTAGTCTGGTGAGGGTTGGGAGGCGAGTTCGGAGGCTTCTTTGAGGATGCGTTTTGTTGTTGGGGGAGGCATGGTTTGGGGATGAGGTTGGGTCTGATTGCACAGGGAGGACTTGGGTGATCGCTAGTGGATCGTTCGTCTGACCGGAGATCTTGTCGCGACGCTGATATGTGGCTCCTCGGGGATTGGAAAGAGAGAATTTGGTTTTTTAGATGTTGGTTCAGTTGGGTAGTCGTGTCATGATATCCATCTGTCGTTGTGGGTACGGGTGTGGTCGCAAGTTGTATCCTTGGAAGTGTTTGAAAGAGTGACAAGTGTTGTCTTCACATGCGCCGCGAGAGCAGCCATTGGCTGACGCCGAGACCGTGAGCTTCCGAAGTTCATTCACTTGGATCCCACCACGGGGCGCGGCCCGGCTCAAGCTCGACCCTTGCTTCAGCCACGCGATCCGGAGGGAACTTGGAATTCGCGTCCCAAGTAATTCCACTACAACGACCTCGATCATGCCCTGAAATATCCTCCAGTGCACATCTCCCGACACGACGCTTCTAGAAGAGGGTTTGCAACCCGGTCCCAAGAGACTTGTCAACTTTCCCATCGAACCAACACCATGGCTTCTCCCACACGAGCCCTCATGAACAACCTCAAACCCTTCCTCGCCAGCACAACCCACCGAACCGACATCATCCTCTCCCACACGTCCCGGCTCCTCTCCACCACCTCCGGCGTCAACTCCCTGCTCACAACCCTCTTCTTCACCCTCACCTTCCTCCACGCCCAACTCACCCGCCTCCTCTCCGCCCGCTACGAATCCCTCGCCCTCTCCATCGCCTCCCGAGCCTCCGAAACGCTGCTCCCCGGCGAGACCCTCATCGCGACAATCCAACCGCCCCACCTGACCCTCGCATCCTGGTGTGCCGCCGTGAAAGCGGCCGGAGACACGGTGGAAGACGGATGGATCCTCATGCGGTTGTTTGGGTTGTTTGGGGTGTACAGCGGGGCGAGGAAGGTCTACGTGGAGGGCAAGAGGGATCCGGTGATCAAGTCGCTGGTCTGGGCGAAGATCTTGGCACGTGCGGGGTTTCAGGTGTTGGAGAATGGGGCATTTCTCGTGAGGAGGGGGGTCTTGAGGGGTGAGAAGTGGACGGCGAGGGAGAGAGGGTTATGGGTTTGGAGTGGGAGGCTGTGGTTGGCGGATACGGTGCTCGAGTTGCTCAGACTGGCACGGGTCAGGCAGTTGAAGTATAACGAGGATTTCGGAGCGGAGGAGGTTGATGAGGATGAGAAGGATAAGAAGGACTTCAGCATCCAGAGTAGAGCACTGGAGAAAAGGTGGTGGAGAAGCCTGTACATTAATCTGGGATGGTTGCCACCGACCTTTCATCTGAGCTTTTACGACGAGGAGCGGAGTCCTGTCAGTGAAGGCTGGGTAGGATTCTCTGGCATGGTCCCAGGACTTATCGCTTTACAGGATGCTTGGAGAGAAACGGCATGAATGCATACGTGCTTTGTCCACTTATCCCAAAATTCATGTCCTGCGATCGTGCCACCTCATCAGATGCGCGTAATATCAACCCGGGCTCGTTCAAAAAGGTGGTGGCCAACAAAGTCTCCCGACTCCCGTTCTTCATCTGAAAGTGTTCGCGGCTGGATGCTAACGGCCGCATACGTACCAGGACCTCGCTTCTTGCTTAGGGTACCTGGATTGATACAAACCACGGAGTCGACTACCTATCACCATTGTCAGCAGGCTGGAAATTCAACACTTGTGCTCGAGATTCTTACTTTGGCAAAGGAGGCCAAGACACTTGGCACTACAAGAATATCAGGCTTGACATTCCAGAATTCTCCGAGCTTCAGATACGTCAGGTCCAGGTTGGCGCCCATGGCCAATCGTTCCTCTCCGCCGATTTCTGGTACTTCGCCCGGAATAGCCGCGGGTCGCGGCAGGTCCTCCCGGGCTTGGGGTGGGAAGACCGGGAAGAAGTGGCTTTGTTCGAGGATATGTCCGGCTAGTCTTCCCAGGAAATCATCGTTGAATTCGCTTTTGGAGGCTTGGTACACGTTTCCCTGTCGTATTTCTGAGAGCACGTCTTGGGACGACATACCGACCATGATCTCGTTGAGGGAGATTGCCATTGGATTCGCCACGAATTGAACCTGCCTCGGAAGGCCCAGTGATGGCTTGGGCACGCGATCCTGGGGCCATGAAACGTGCTTGGCTACTGCGTCACGCGTCGAAGGAATCATGATTATGGTGATGGATGGCACGGATTCTGCTAGTCTTTGGAGAGGCTGACCGATGAGTACGCGGAAGACATCAGTAATCGTGGCCTGGTCAGGTTCGATTTTGGCGTTCGAAGGTAGATGGTGCTCAAAGTCTCCAGAAGCCACAACGGGATGCTCGAGGTCCAAGAACGGCCCCGTGAGGATCAGAACATCGGCTCGGTCTGTCTCTGCCTTATTCAAAAGCGCGTACAAGGGAGCAAACGAGAGGTCGGTATCCATGGTGTAAGGTCCACTCGCTACAAGCATGCTCAAGGGCCGTGTCTCTCCGTCTGCGCTCGTCAATCGATCGTTATGGGCGTCGATCTCCCCAGGTCGCGAAGCTGCTGCAGATAGTTTCGGCATTTGAAGTATTTCCGTAGCAGCAAAGAACTCTCCACTGACGTTTGTGCCCCTGAGAGCGACGATCTTGCCGGGGAAGAAATCGTAGCTGACGCCCTCTACCCTCAAGGGCACGCGCATGCCTGCTCCCATTCTTCTACTCGTTTCGAGAACCATGCTGGCAGCGTTCAGTTTGCCATTGGGCTGATCGCATGCGATTCGGCCCACAGCCACTATCTCCGCTGTTGATTGTGCGGCTGGGTTGCCAAACGCACTGTCAGGTAGTTCGTAATGCTTCTGAACACTGTCGGTAAAGCTATCAATTCGATCGTCCAAGATTTCCGAGGCCTCTGACAGCTTCATGGCCATTGGCTTGTAGGCGTACTTAGGCAAGTCCACGTTCGCCTTCAGCTTGACACGAGGCTCTGTAGGTGGTATCTCGGGCGCCACGATAGCTGAAAGGTGCGAATTGATTGATTCCACGACATCTCCCGCATTCTTGCGTTCCTCAAAGGCAACCGCAGGGCCAGGGCCAGCTTTGCCTGAAGCTGGCGTCTTGCTGTCTGCTGGAGAACTGTGCAACGCGCTTCGTGCCGACTTGGACGCTGGTGTGTCAAAGTTGGCCGCTTTTCGCTTTGCCGCTGATGCTCGCAGCGCAGGAGTCGTGGTTGTCATGCCGTCCAAGATGCCAAACACATCGCTTCCTCCAGCGCCTGCTCTCGGCGTCGCTGCGGTCCTCTTGCTCGCGCTCTGCACGGTGTGTCCTTTCTTCGAATTCCGTTCCAATTCATCTTGCATGGACCTTCGGAAGTCGTGCAGCGTCTTGAAGTCCAGTTTGGTCGTTTCGGTGCCCATCTTGATGACATAGCTGTCCCATTTGTAGTACAGATCCTCAGGCGTGAGGGACATCAACTGGAGGATATGCAGCAGTTCGGTCATGACATCTTGAGGGAGAGGGGTGTCGGGAGGCGCGAAGTATCTGCTCAACTCTGCTTCGACGTCCGCCATGGCTGCCGGTCGTGTTCTGGATGTTGGATGCGAAATGTGTTGGAGTCGCTGAAGTTGAACGACTGGAAGACGCGACCGCGTTGGGACGCGTTGGACTTTGTCCCCCTTCCGCGAGGGGCCTGATCAATGAAACTTCGATGTAATTTAGCGAGTCTGCCGCCCCATGTTGAACGGTCGCCCATCAAATTGCCCATGGCTGCTCCTGAGCCTCGTCTCGCGGCATGTTGAACGTCAGCTCAGGAGCGGCTCGGAGTGGTACCGAGAAGCCGTGAGATCCACCAGCACCAGCTCGACTACACTCGAGGTCGCCAACCGGCCGCGAGGAGAAATTCTCGGACACGATTCATGGTACCGAGACCAAGGGAGTCGTTGTCAATGTTCTCCTGTATCGTTGAAACATGGACGAATGCCTGCCCTGCGCCTGAAGATGCCGATGATCGAGGAAGCGTACACGGGCACGGCACACGGAGACGGGGACGGGATCGGAACAGCCACTTCCACCGACGTCAGATTCCAGATGCTCGGCTGTTGTGCTCGCGCGTGTGAGGTAAGGCACATGGCGGGATTCACAGTCCCCAGCTTCCGGGGACGCTCTTCCCTGCCTCCAGATGTGAGACGCCGTACATATTGTCCTCTGTGCCACCGGTCTACATCCATATCTCAATCTTCTACCGCAACACCACAATACCACCTTGCGCCGAACTCTCGCTCGAAATAGCCCCTCTCGTCACATGGATGGGCGCAAGCAGGGTCCAACTCTAAATTATTCGGATGGGCAGAGGATCCTGGCCCTAACAACCTACACTGCGACATCACATCACACCTCCTGCTCTCCTCCTGCCCGCCTGCCTGTCACCTGAACTGTTTCGTCCACCGTCAATTTGCGTCACCACGTCTCTTGACACCTGTCCCGTCCCGTCACCACCCAGCCTCTCTGCCGAGCAGAGCGCACGACAAGCAGTGGCAACGCCAGCGAACAGCATGGCCGACACTACACGGACGGAGCCCGTCCCCAATGGTCAACTGGTGGACGAGAAGGCTGCTGCCCCTCCATACTCTTCCCAGCACCTGAACCCGAACGGAAGCGAGGAATCACGACCCGACTCTCTCGTCTCCGCGGACTCCTTCAAGAGCACGTCTTCAGAACTACCGTCGACAACAGATACACCGTCCAGCAGCGCCAAGACGACCGCCGCTGACGAGGAAGAGTGGAAGCCACCCGTGGATGGTCCATTGAAGACGCCGATCCCGAAGCCTCTCCCCTCCTGTAAACCTATCCCAGAAGCCAAGCTCAGCCCTGAGCAGGAGACAAAATATGCAACAGTGCTCGCTGCTGTCTCCTCATGGCAAACGCTGCCCTCCACAACCGCCAAGAATGCCCCGCAAGCCCCCTTGGAAGAGCGCGAGCGCATGTTTCTGACGAGAGAATGTCTCCTTCGCTACTTGCGCGCGACAAAGTGGAAGACGGGAGATGCGTTGAAGAGAATACAGGGCACGTTGAGCTGGAGGAGAGAATACGGAGCAGACACGTTCACACACGAGTACATCAGCCCAGAGAACGAGACTGGCAAACAGGTACAGCTAGGATATGATAACGATGCACGTCCGCTCTTGTACCTCAGCCCGGGCAAGCAGAACACCAAGATGTCAGATCGACAAATCCACCACCTCTGCTACATGCTCGATCGCATGATCGACATGATGCCGCCGGGTGTCGAGAACAGCGCGTTGGTGATCAGCTTCAAGGGTGCTGCTAGTGGCACTGTCCCGTCGGTTGGTCAAGCAAGAGCGGTCCTCAACATCCTGCAGACTCACAACCCGGAGCGGCTGGGCAAGGCTCTCATCAGTGAGACTCCTTGGTATGTCAACACGTTCTTCAAGCTCATCAGCCCGTTCATTGATCCCGTCACACGGGAGAAGATGAAATTCAACGAAGACTTGAAGAATTATGTGCCTGCCGCACAGCTCTGCAGTACTCACGGTGGCCATCTCAACTTCGAATACGACCACTCTGTTTATTGGCCCGCCCTGGACGAGGAATGTAAGAGGAGGCGAGCGGCATACAAATTGCGGTGGGAGAAGGGCGGCAAGATGATTGGAGAGTACGAGGAATACTTGAGGGGAGGGAATCACCTCTCGCTGCAGCAGACGCTCGACTCTGCGAAAGATGACAGCACTGCCAATGCCGAGAAAGTCGCCGCGAGCGTTTCCAAGCTCAGCGTGTAGGCCTGAGCTATGTCCTTCTCTTCGAAACCGCTTCGAGTGACTTGTTCTGGGAAGGGTGGTGAGCGTTTGCATCAGTACACGACACGTCCGGCGTCCAGGGGAGCATAAAGGGGGAAATGGAATCTCGGCCAACAGTCCGGGCCTGTACAGCGTGCTTGTCGACCATTTGTGACACCTTTTAAGCGTCTAAGTAAACGGAAGGCAAGCTCTAAGCTCTCTGCATGCGTCGCCTTCAATGAATCTTGGTCCAGTATGATTGGAAGAAGCCCTGAGAAAGGGAACGAGCAGGTGTCCTTATATAGCTGTGAAAGTTGCCGGCACCAAGGGCCCGATTAATCAAATATGCTGCGGCATTTCCCAGCAGTGGCGGTGAGGTGAGGTGAGGTGAGGCGAGTCTTCGGACCACCTTCCACGGGCAACATTATGCAGTCTTGAAGTCCCAGTCGATCGAGAAAGCACCACACTCGCGAGCAGGACCAGCATGCTCTTTGAGGGCAACGCGGGTGCAGCGGACGCGACTTTCTGCGCGTTCTCCAGAAAAAAGTCGCACCATCTCGTGGCCTCGTGCATCATGGATCTGTCATGCGCATGTGCGCAGAAACTTCGACGAAGTCCAGCCAGAGAGCGAGCTGCAAGTGTGCATGCAGCAAGAATAATCCCACATGGGTGTTATTAACGGTGTTAATGTCGTGGCCGAACGCGCTCTCGGCTCCAACGTCCTCTTCCGACTTTTGCCCTGCTATACGGCAAGAGGGCGTGTTCGATAGGGAAGCCGGCCGCCGGCCCTAGGTGGGCCGAATCTCGGTAATATCGCGGTCGTATCACGAATTCGTTGGACGATGATCCACTTTCTCCTGTACCATGTTGGCAGACAGGATGTTCTGATCCTCATCAGAGACCTTTCGTGGGCGTTTGCAAGATGCGATTCCCATTACTGTGTTTCTTCGCTTGCAAAGCACTCTTGTCCTTCAGCATCGAGATGAGAGGTAGTCGGGCGAGGGAGCGACGGCGAAGGGCTCTCACATGTCGAAAGCTAACGGGACGGTCCGCTGCGGCTCTATCCCTGTTTTTCCCGGGCGCCTAACTGACTTCAGCACGTCCGGTCTCGCGTCCAACCGCGTGACACGTCCAAAGATCTGAGCAGAATCTTCACCGTTCGACCAGCATCTTTGGTATCTTCCGCAACGAACAGCAGCGCTTCGCTCTGTACATCATGCGGTCTAGTCGTCACATCTGACAGCGACTGCGCTCTGGTGTTGAAGATCTTTGCCAGCTGCGCCAGATGATGAAAGACGAATACGGGCTGTCTGGCACATCCATCGCGCAGAGAACATTCGAAGATCCACCGAGAAAAGACCCTGTGGAAGACGGTGTGTGCAATGCATAGCGACGGTCCAGCTCTGCCGATGCCCTGAGCCGCTGTGCCCGGCACCCGAACAAATTGCAGCAATTTTCATATAGGCCTCCAGACCGTGTGTGCATGGCTCGGTAAGCACAGCATATCTACTCTAGAGTCAAGTCGGATAGCGTCACGGACGTTTTCTGCCATCGAGACCCACTCGGGGCACGCATGCAAGACCCGTACACACGTATTCCTTCATCAGAAGAGTATAGCACCTGGTCCGAACGTCGTCCATCCGAAGAAGCCTGCCGTAGTACAGAGTCTGCCATCCCGCGTGCCCGCACACCCGCCAAAGTTGCATTTGCAATTGCGGGCTTGTCCATGGGCCTCCGCCGGCTGGACGTGCCGCGACTCCAAGTGTCTGTTGCTCTGGGGAGGATACTTATATAAGTAGAATGCGGGACCACGCCCTGCCTTTTCTTCTTCTCAATCCCTTCCACTCCTCGTCCTCCTCCCAGCACGTCCTCTCCTCTGCTGTGGAACCCCCTTCACCATGACTTTCCTCAAGCGCACAGAGCGAGAGGCTGACAATGCCAACCAACTGGAGAAGAAGCCTTCGGACAATGCTCCAACCGCCCCTCCCACCGAGCAGAAAGTCACCTTCCTCGCTGTATTCCTTGGACTGGTAGCCAGTATCGGTGGTTTCATGTTCGGTAAGCAAGATCCCCACATGATTGCCAGGAATACTCGTTGACCTGTGGACCTTTTAATTGGCAGGTTATGTCTCCGGTCAGGTCTCTGGGTTCTTCCAGATGGAAGACTACGCCCGCCGATTCGGACAGCTCAGTGCAGATGGCTCGTACGAATTCTCCGCCGTCCGCCAGGGTACCATCACCGCTCTTCTGTGCGCTGGATGTCTCATTGGATCCTTGATCTCTGGAAAGCTCGCCGACGTTATCGGCCGGAAGTTTTCCATCTCCGCCGCGGCTTTCTGGAGCTGCGTGGGCACCATCATTGAGATCTCATCTTCCACGTCCTGGGCGCAATTCGCTGTGGGCCGTGGAGTGAACGGTATCGGCATCGGTGCTCTGTCCGTGTTGGTCCCCATGTACCAATCAGAGAGTTCGCCTGCCATCATCCGTGGTGTGCTCGTTACTTGCTACCAGCTTTTCGTCACCCTCGGTATCTGGCTTGCGTACATGGTCGAATTCGGCACTCACGACCAGGCTTCCAGCGCATCGTGGCGTATTCCCAACGGTCTCTCCTTCTTGTGGGCTCTCATTCTCGGTGCCGGTATTCTGGTTCTGCCAGAGAGCCCTCGTTTCGCCTACCGCAGGGGACGTGAAGATGAGGCTCGGAAAACGATCGCCAGACTCGCGGGTCTTACTCCGGATGCTCGTGAGGTTAACTACCAGATCACCGAGATCCGTGTCAAGCTCGAGGAGGAAATGTCTGGCGCTGAGGTCTCTTGGCACGAGATCTTCACTGGTCCTCGTATGGCGTATCGTACCATTCTTGGTATGGTTCTGCAGGTGAGTTGTGCGAAACAATCTATGGCATCTTGAATGTCACTGACATGCATCCAGGCTGGCCAACAACTGACCGGAGCCAACTTCTTCTTCTACTACGGTACCACTATCTTCCAAGCCACCGGTCTCACCGACAGCTACGTGACCCAGATCATTCTCGGATCGGTCAACGTCTTCTGCACTTTCGGCGCTCTCTACATTGCGCAGAAGTGTGGTCGCCGTAACGCTCTGATGGTCGGTGCCGCCTGGATCACGATGTGTTTCTTCGTCTACGCGTTTGTTGGACACTTCGCCCTGGACCAGGAGAACCCTCAAAACACACCAGCGGCTGGCAACGTCCTGATTGTCTTCTCCTGCCTGGCCATCGCCGCCTTTGCAACCACCTGGGGACCGCTTGTGTGGGCAGTCGTCGGTGAGCTGTACCCATCGCGATACCGTGCTCCCTGCATGGCTCTTGCCACTGCATCCAACTGGCTCTGGAACTTCTTGTAAGTGTTGCTAGACTACGATCATGATTCCGATCAATCGCTGACGAGACGCGCAGGATCTCTTTCTTCACCAGGTTCATTACCGGAGCGATTGACTACCTCTACGGTCTCGTCTTTGCCGGTTGCTGTATGGCCCTCGTCGTCATCGTCTTCTTCTTCGTCATCGAGTCCAAGGACCGCAGCTTGGAGGAGATCGACACGATGTACATCCTCGGCGTCAACCCGATCACCAGCGCCAAGTGGGACGGCAGCAAGGTTCCTGATAGCGGGGAGACCAGCGGCCGAGACAGCAGCGATGCCGCTGCTGTCGAGAAGAACGAGCCGGTGGAGAGAGTGCCCACGACGACTTTGGAGGAATAGATAAAATGTTTCAGCCGCGGGAATGGGAGACAGCACGAGATTTTAGTGGTAGATGTAGACGGGACATATTCGCTTCCCTCGCATAATGTAGCATATTGCGAACGAACAAGGGTATGGATCAAGCTCCGTTCGACCTTGATCGACTCGATTCAATACTAGTCCCTTGGTCGCATTAACAAGTAATAGCATACAGTAGCAACCTAGCAGCGCCTCGTCTATGGGAGAAGAAGGATTTCGATCTATCTGAATACGCCTGCGGTCGCCACGGAGATCGGAGTGCCCGATGCGGCGAGCCGCTCAGCCAAACACCAAATTCTTCGCTTTCTGCAACAGATTCTCACTCCAGCTCTTCTCGCGGACCTCGCCATCTTGAGCGGCCAATTCGACTTCCATCTTATCCTGCTCATCGAAGGCGAATGCCTCGGAAAAGTCGACTTCTTCAGGCTTGACCATCTTGGTCTTATACCAAAGCTGAAAACGTCGTCAGCAGTCGCTCTCGCAGGATCCGACAGTCTAGTCTTCTTACTTTGTATGCGATCAAATCGACGAAGAACAATGGAGCGCCGAGGTAGTTGGCAAAAAACGTCTTGGCGCTGCCTGCGCCGTCCAGGGGTGACACGGAGAGGTAGAACTCGCAGCCCAGGATGAACAGGATGATTACGAGGCCGGCGTATTGCAGATAGGGCGCGAAGGGCGCTTGGAATGGCAGGCCTTTGTAGCTGATGTTCTGCGCTCTCAATGCGGCCCGGAAGAAAATGTGGCAGACGAAGCAACTTCCCCATTGGAAGAATCCTGCGATGGCAACCTGTCGAGCGGTGTCAGCTCTCACAATCACCCCCGTTGGATAATCATCCTCACCAGACTCGAGAACCACGAATACACTTGGTAGGCCTCGTCGTTGCAGTTGAGGTAGCAAAGACCTCCTCCGATGCTGACACTGATGGCCAAGGCGACCCACGGACGGCCGGCCTTGTCTTTCCACCCGAACTTGCGATGGATCAGGTCTATATCCGCCATCGAAGTCAAGCTTCGGCTTGCGACATATACGCTGGTGATGCCGCAGCTCATGACGGAGATGAAGATGAACGCGTTCAGGATGTGCGCGAGCCACCTAGAGAAAGGTAGCGAGTCAGCAGACACCCAAGACATTGCTGGATATATTCTCAGATGCTTTGTCCCTTACCCTTGCTTCGCTCGCTGAGTGGCGATGACGAACGGCGATCCTAGAGTTCCAGAAGCGCTGACCAGATTGGTGTCGTCGTACGGTACGCACATGCCCACGAGCCAGATGTTCAAGACGAAGAACATGAACATGCGATAGAAGATCGGATAGCTGGCGCCATATCAGTATTGCCCTCTGGACGACTTTGGAGTTATACACTCACACGCTCGCCTTCACGGTCTTCCTCGGCTCCTTAGCTTCTCCTGCTATGACAGCGATGTGTTCTCCTCCACCAAAGGAGAATCCGGCTTGAACGAATGCTTTCGCTATACCTTTGATGCCGTTGTTGAACGCCCCTCTGGCAGTGAGTCAGTCAACGTATTGCCGCAGCTATGCTGTGCAACTCACGGCCTTTTCCAGTAGTGAAACACCAACGGTCCGCCGGTAGCTGCAATCCCGCCAGACGCCATGATGAAGAGGAACGGGATAATGGCAAAAATGGCCAGGATCTTGATCCTGTATGCCGTCAGAAACTGTCCCTACGAAAGCCTGCTTCCCGAATACCAACCATGAGAACCAGTACTCAAGATGGCCGTATATTCTGACGGGGAAAATATTCCCAATCACCATGACCGCAAGGAAAATGGTGATATAGGCTGCCAAGGGGACGACCTGTGTTTCGGGCCAGAATTGCAGTACCGAGACCGCCGCGGTGATCCTGCAACGAAATCAAGTCAGAAACTGCTCCGAGCATTCTTCGTTATGTTATGATAGCATGGTTTTACTCACTCAGCAGGAATGATCATCACCCACTCAAACCAGAAGTTCGCACCGCAGGCAAACCCGAAAGCCTTGTCGACATACTCTGCCTCTTGCCGTATGAAGCCGCCGTGCACCGGTCGATATGCTGTCATCTCTCCGATGCAGACATATTGAAGCCAAACCACGAAGCTACCGCTGTCAGTGCCAGATTCAACGGTCCGGATCGTGCCACTTACGAGACGACGGTGTACGCGATCGCAATCCCACCGGGGCCTGCATATTTCAAGGCAGTTCCTGTACCAACCCACAGACCGGTCCCAATACCGGCGCCGAAGGTCATCATCATGACCTGCCTTTTGGAGAGCGACCTGCGGTACCCGGCATTATTGACACCAGAAGCCACGATCGTTGTGACCCCATCTTGACAAGTCGCAGCTCGCTCGAGATCGGCCGTCTTCTCGTTGGCAATCTTTGTATTGTCCAGCTCTGCATTCGATGCCATTGTCCTGGACTCTGCTATCGAACGGAGAGGGAGGTCGAATAGCGGAAGCTGATTGTGCTTGTCTCTGGTATAAAAGCATCGTGGTTGATAAACACCTGCACAATCCCGATAAGCGCCATCAACATCAACATCGAAGCCAATGTTGACTTGGCATTCTCCCCGAGAGGAGACAAAGGTCGTGGAAGATAAGCTCGGCCAAGCGGCCAAGTATACATACTCAAACCGGCAAAGACGCGTTGGCAAGTCGGCATTCTACGCGGACGGATGATATGACTGTACCAACGACTCCGTTCGATTCCTTCAAGTACCCATAAAGCTGGCAAGAAACACGGTTGAATACTCTAGACACATCCAAAAGACACGAATAAAATGGCGGCCATCAACAAAAACGTCGTCTTCGACTGCGTCGGGACGCTCGTGGGGTATGAAAAGTTGTCCGAAGCAATCGACGCGCGCATGGGCGACAGACTCCGAGCCGAAGGCATCAAGCCCATCCTGTTCGGCTATACCTGGATCGAAGTGGCCGAGAGAGAATACACCTACCTCTCCATGAGCGGGAAATACGTCACCTTTGCGGACACCTTCGCGGCACTCTTCTGGCGCATCCTGTTCAAGGCCGGCGTGCAGGAACCTCGCAGGTTTGCCGACGAGGGCGATCTCGCGGCTATCATGGAGGGCTATAAGGCTATGGAACTACGGCCTGGGGCCAAGGAGTGCTTTGAGAAGCTTCGGAATGCTGGATTCACTGTCTGGGGTATGTATGTGTGGAAGCTCGCTACCGTGGTACACACAGGTTCTCTCTGCAGGTGACTGACGAAGGGTTTCTGGAAAGGTTTTACCATGGGAGACAGTGAGCGAGTCGGTGGTTATTTCAAGAACGCAGGCGTCGAGCTCCCAGCCGAGAATCTCCTCTCTTGCGATTCCAGTGCAATCGGAAAGCCAGATCCCGCGGCCTATAGGCCATTGCTGGAACGTCTGAAGAGTCTGGGAGGCACCCCTTGGTTTGCGGCCGCTCACCTATGGGACGCGTCGGTGAGTCTATCTGCAGTTTCTGAACGTGATGGCGGCCTATTTTTACTGATAAGGGCTCGTCCATTAGGCTGCGAAGAGGACTGGCTTCAGGGGTGCTTATTGCTCGGTCTATGAGGGCGAGGCTCTCACCGACCTGTTTGGCGAGATGGACGTTTTGTCCGACTCCTTGCCGGAGATGGCTGATAAGATCATAGCTGCTTCCAGATAGATCGCAATGGAACTACTACGACACCACACCATTGAGACGAAGGTCTTGTTCACGATAATCAGTGAGGAGGTTAATAAGAGCGACTTTGGAGCTGGGTAGAGTTTGATGACTCGACGATGAAGTGAGATTGAAGAGCGATGGTAGCTGAGACTACCATTCTGGGGGCAAAAGCCTCTAGACAATGGTACGACTGTAGCTTGACGTTGGATCTTCCAGAAGGGGAGACAACCCAAAGCTGAACAGTAGAAGATGTTTGCGGGCAACCTTCTCCAAGACGTGGTGGTGATAGGCCAACTGAAGACCGTAAGTCATGGCCGGTCTGGAGACCGGTCGTGACCGTTTCTGCAGGTCCCGGGGATACCCTGCATGTGCGGCCTACCTCACCTTCCTGTGTCCTCTTCATCAAGAGAGATCCATCTCCTCAGGGCACACGAAATCACAGCTCGGTAGACAGAACGACCCTGAAGCTTTTTGAGTTTCCATGATGGCAGTCCCTGTCCCCGATTCGACGTTACCATTCTGGCGGACCGATCTCGATGAATTGGACACTCACCGCTCCACTGAGCAGCTTCCGACAGAAGCAGATATCGTCGTGATTGGCGCGGGCTACGCTGGAGCTTCCATAGTCCATCACTTGCTCGAGAAAGCCAGGTCCAGTCCCAAGAAGCCCTCCATCGCTATTCTAGAAGCCAGAGAGGCTTGCTCCGGAGCCACGGGTCGAAACGGTTCGTGACGATCCGCACGAGGAGGAATTTCTCACTAATTTGTGTCTGTGTGTATCATCAGGCGGACATCTCAAACCGGATCCCTTCTATCGAGCGGCCGGGGCTCTGAAACGCTATGGCAAGGAAGCCGCCGAGGAAGTTGCAGCATTCGAAGTGCGCCAGGTCGAGGAAATCAAAGCTCTGGTGGAAAAGGAGCAGATCGACTGTGATTTCGTCGTCACGAGAGCGACGGATGTTTCGTTGTATGATGATGTCCATCGGGAGCTGAAGCGAGGTCTGGATGAGTTGGGCGAGGCTGGGATTTCCACCGCCAGCCAAGTCTTCTACAGTGGGGAGAAGACTGCGGAAGGGGTACGTACGTTTGTTGTCTGTGCTGTTGAAGAAGAAGCAAGCGGAGAGGTCTTAACTCTCAGATCGTTGACGATGGTAGGTTTCCGGAGTCAAAGGTGCCAAAGCCTGCTTCACGTACACTGCTGCCCATGTGTGGCCGTATAAGCTGGTCCTTCACCTGCTCAAGAAAGCCATTTCCCAGGGCGTGAACCTTCAAACCCAGACTCCCGTGCAGTCGATCACGAAAGGAGAGCAAACCCGAGCGAGACGCTGGACCGTCCACACGTCCCGGGGTTCCATACACGCTTCTCACGTCATCCACGCAACCAACGCATATGCTTCCGCTCTGCTACCGGAATACAAAGACCGCATCGTCCCGGTCCGCGGTATCTGCAGCCGTATCGTCACTCGACAAGCACACCCTCCGCTGCTCTCCAACAGCTACCTGCTCCGACTCGCACCGGGAGAGTACGACTATCTGATCCCAAGGACGGACGGAAGCATCATCGTAGGCGGTGCCCGAAGAGACTATTTCAGAGATCTGAGCCAGTGGTACGATGTCTCCGACGACAGCAAGTTGATTGAGCCGGCGAAGCACTATTTCGACGGGTACATGCAACGGCATTTTCGGGGTTGGGAGGACAGCGGCGCGGAAACGGATCAAGTGTGGACGGGCAGTAAGTCACATGTGTCTTTCTTTCGCATGGGACGGGGTTCGAAAGTACTGACGTTGGACAGTAATGGGCTACTCCAGCGATGGATATCCACATGTCGGGCCTGTGCCTGGGAAAGACGGCCAATTCATCTGCGGTGGGTTCACTGGCCACGGGATGCCACAGATCTTCCTTTCGGCTAAGGCGATAGCATCGATGGTCCTCGATGGCAAGAGCGTCGAAGCGGTGGATCTTCCCAGGCTGTACAGAACGAGCCGCGCCAGGCTTGATTCGACGAGGAATACCACGCTGGAGTCTTGGGAGGCATTGCCACCGAGAGAGATCGGATCAAAATTGTAGAGACTTACTCTATTGCTGCCGATCGAATGCCTGCATGTCAACCCTATTCTCCCCCAGCTCCATTCGTCTGAGCGTCCTGCTTGAGTTTAGGGCAGCTTCATCGGTAACATCAAGCTCACCACAAGTGCTGAAGCGACAATGGTAGTGATGGAGCTCAGCTTCAGAGCCATGGCGTGAGCAGCACTCACTGGTTGTCAAAGTATCGGTACCAGAACACATGAGATATCCAACATAGGGACATACCTTGCGGCTGATGAGGCTCAGGGAAATTGACCACCGCTTTCACACGGTCCTTTGCTATCTCAATCATCTTCTGCGCCTGAGGTCTCTTGACGTGTTTTTCTAATAGTCCCGCTGTTGACTTATTCGTTCTTCTTCCTTGAAAGGAAAGAGGAGCTATATCGATAGTACGATCCCCATTATCTTGATCCGACATCTTGACGGGCTTCGTTCGTTTTCAACCGTTGGTAGGAGAGGCGTAAACTCGTTGGCATTCCCTCCGGACATGTCTCGCAACAAGACAGAGTTCGACCCCAAGATCTGGTAGGAGGGAAGGAAGAGTAGTAAGTAGGAGAGAGAAGCAGAACAGATAGAAAGTGGGCTTTTCCAAAAGGCCCGTCCCAAGAAAAGCAATTTCATTAGAAGAAAAAAAAAACTTAATAACTCTCAGAGTCGTCTCCGCGAAGGCAAGTATCTTTACATCCTGCAACATTCGACCTGTAGATCTCAAGAAGTTAGCTGGCTGGCGTAGATGGAGCTATGCCAGAAATCGCTTCTGAACGGTCAACAGGATGATGATATTGACAATGTCAGCCTCTCTGCCATTCATCCACGATTGTGTGATGAAGAATTGCTCATGCTCAAGGCACGAAGTGGAAAGCATGACTATCAAGATCCATCTCATCTTCATGAAGCATTTTACATGTGAAGTTCAGATTCGCTTCTCGGGTTCCGAAAGTTTACTTAGGCTTTCGGTATCGTCCTGCGTCAGTCTACCTTAGTCTGCGATCCTGCCAGAGCCTCGTGAGCATAAGAAGAAGTTCAAATGACTGGCAGCAAGTCCTGCCATTATTCATGACGATTCTGAGGCTGGTACCAGAGTGCTCACAGTGGTACGAAGTGGGAGTGGCTGTTTCACAACATCAGCGTCCATAATTCGGCCAAGAAAGCCCTCGAGACTGATCATGAAAGAAGATATTTTCCGCGTGATCTCGGCCGTCTCGATTTCGTTCAGAGTATACGGGTCAAAGCCAAGGTCTATCGGGGTATAGCCGTTTCCCAAACGCCGTCCAGCCAGCTCACCATATCATGCACGTCTCGGTCAGCACTTCACGGACTGGTCGGATTACCAGTGAGCCATATCTTGCTCCTCCGCCTGCCGTCCGATACATCGAGTCGCTTCCACATCAACACATGATCAATGCCTGGCAAGAATAGAGAGGTCAGCATGTGTATGTGTCAGACGTATGTCTCGCCGCTGATGTCTTACCCTCTTCATCCCAATGACCAGCCCCCTCGTCCGTCTCGAAGCCGTATCTCTTCCACACTTTCTGCACACCAGTCTGGGCGTGGATAATGACAAGACCTCTCCAGTTGATCGCCGTGCCTTTCTTCAATGCTTCCAAGGAAGCCGGATCTAGTTGTGGACCGACTTCGTACGGATGCTCGCGAGCGTAGCCAAGAGCCGACTCGATAAGCAACTTGGAGACTCCAGCTTTGCGGAACTCGGGAATGACAGCGAGGCGACCTAGCTTGATATAGGATTCCTTGCCGCCATCTGCAAATTTGGTGAACTCGTGTCCTGGATGAGGCGGATGCGGCGGAGGCACCAGACGAATCGTGCCAATCGGGATCTTGGTGCTGTTGCTGCTCTTCCGCGCCTGTTGATCGTGGGCGTTGCCGTTCGCAACGACTCCCTTGATCGGTATAGATGCATATGCCACCCAATGGAAGCTACGTGCATCGTCTTGGTCCAGTTCGTTCTCCAGTGGTATCTTCTGCCCCCTTACATACACCTCTTCCCGCACAAGCATTGCATCGATGAAGCCTTGTGGAACGGCTCTGGCGGGATCAGCGGCGTCATTTTTGGGTTGGTCGGTAGGGAGCTTAGTAGGATCGTAGAGGCTCAGGCGTTCGCCGAGAGGCTTGGTGAGGTCGACGAATTCGGAGCGGTTGAAGCCCACCATGTTGGGTGTTGGGTGTTAGGTCTCGGGTCGATGGTAGTCGCGGAGCGTGTTGGCCGTGTCCTCTTATCTCTGGAACTCGCGCTCTCCACTCGGGACTACGGTGTGTAGGTACGGGGTCGGGGAGCTGGCGGCAGGTGAATGGTCGAGGAGAGTGAAAGCGGAGGCGAGGCAGCGATCTCACTTGGGGAGTGTAGCAGGGTGAAAGACGCGGAAGGAGATGTTGGAGCCCTGCATGTCTAAGACGGCAGGCGGAGGGCGAGGGCGAGGGCGAGGGAGAGGGAGGGATGGAAAGATAACTCGCGCAATCCCCAGCAAGCGATGATGTGAATCGTCCGGGCAGTGTGGTGGATCGCCTCGCCAGTGCAGGCAAGCTCCTGTCGTGCGCGGTGAGTCTGCTCTGCTCTGGGGTAACGTGTCTCTGTGAGGTAATACCGTCTCTCTCTTGTGTGTGTCTTTTGGGAGATGAGTTGATGATGGCGTGCGCGTGCCGGCCGTGCTTGTCATGACCTTGTCAGATGCGGCCCTGCTCGACGGTGCCCAATAGTGGTAGTGGTGCCTGTCCGCCGGAAGTCAGATGTCAAATCATCATGTCAGATGGCCAGCACACGGTGACGTGCAACCCAAGGCCGATGAACTTCCAGCGGCGGGGCATCGCACGTGACATCAGACGGCGCACAGCGCGGCACTTGCCTTCTTCCTGGCCTCGTCGTCGGAGGGATGGATGCCCAGGCATCTCGGTCATGGTCTTTTCAGAGTTGCTATTCATAGATATCCATCCATCGACTGACATTATCACATCACGCCTCTATCTCATCCTCTTCATACTTCCGATGTTCTCGCTTCATCTCCACGTTGACCCATACTACCGTTACAGCCGCCCATATCGCAATGTACGAGAACAGAACTCCGAGCGACAGCCCGAATGCGTAGTGGAACTCCAGCGTCCAGATCACCGCCGACACACACCCGATGTAGATCATCACCCCAAGGATCCACCAGAGGGTGAGGTACAGGAAGAACTGCCGGAACATCTTGTTCGTCTCGTACCGCTCATTGTACCGGATACGGAATTCTCGATCTTGCAAGCCGTCGACGGCAATGAAGTCCTCGGCGGCGTAGTAGATGAAGGGTCGCAATCCGGAGCCTCGGGGATGGGAGTTGATGCCGATGGGTATCTTGATTGGGCACAGCGTGGTGATCACCATGAGTATTCCGAGGAAGCCCATGATGAAGCTGGGCGCATAGAGGTACAGTTGCGGGATCTCGAGGTCCGCTCCCACTACGAAAGGTATCAGAGCAAGTATCATGGCAACTCCGTAGACCCACGATGTGGCGTCGAGCTCCCAGCGATTCCTTGACAACAGCGGCGCACATTCTTCCCGGCGATAGAACAGTCGCCATACTCGTGCAACCAATATCCAAAGCTCGCCGATCCCGAAGCAGCCCACTGCTGCGCCGAGGATATCCGAGTCGTATTCTGGCTTGGGTATGGGACATGCCTGGTTCGGGTACTGCTCTTTGCAATGCCCCGCCCACTCAGCGCGGCGCTTGTCGTACCAGACGTAATAGACGATGCATGGGACCACAAGGTCGAACAGCAGAATCATAGGAAGGCCCAGCGTGATGCCAAGATGTTGCCATGGGTGTGCTTCCTTCTGTGCGAGTCTTGTCTCCTTCCGTCGCAGGGGCGGCATACTTCTTCGCGAAGCGGTAGATTTGGCAGATGCGGTCGTCCCCCCACGACTTGGTACAGGCCGCTGGGGCAGAGGCGAGACGCCGTCTTGCCCTCGCGCTTCCAGCTCATCGAAGTCGCTGATCGATAGCACAGAAGAGTCTCTCAGTCCCGAAAGCCTGGATTCCACCGACTCGCGCTTGACTCTTGCTTGCTCGTCGAGATCGACGCTGAGATGTCTGGAATCTCGCTCTGGCGTATTAGTCGCGGTGGCAGAGATGTCTTTCGCAATGGCATCTTTCTCGGGATCCCTCTCTAGATCGGCTGCCGCAGCTGCTCGGTGCTCTTCCGGAGGGCTGACGTGAATCTGGGTGTTCGCAGGCAAGTCTGTCCTCTCTGTCTCCTGCTCTGTCTCTTTCTCGAGCGATGACTTCTCACGTGAGGGATCCATGTTCCCTCGTGGCTCCAAAGTATGTTCCGCGCTCAAGTCTCGTCGCCGGCACCCTCCTTCCCGACGCGTCGAATATCGGATCGTATTACAGCCTGCTGTCAACTGTGCCTGTCGCCGCTGTCGTCGAGATACATGTCCGACCTGATTCGTATCCCAATGGCTCCTTGGGCCTGCTGGAGTAGAGTCGGGAGAGAGGTGGAGGAAAACAGCGAGGCGGACCACTGATCTGCCCGTTAGTCAGTAGACACCGGCGATAGTTTCAGGGACGTGCCATCAGAGGCGCGAATGAAACGGATCACGATTCATGCAGATAGAGCGCCGGGTGTTGGAGAGATGTTAACTCCCACAGCTATAAGAAGCACGCAGCGACCCAGGCTGGGCTGCGGTGCTCCCGCCCGCCATGATGCCGGCGCCGCAGGGCATGCTGGATCAAGAGGGCGGAAAATCCTTCGCATTGTGGGTGGTCAAACGTCAAACTTGGTAAGATATTGACGTCGTCTCGCTGCCGATCGGGCGAGATGCGGCGAGAGGCTCCGTTGTGCCGGGGCATCCGATGAAGAACCACCTCACCAACCCTGCCACAGCCTGCCATTCCTTGCAGTGTGCAGCTTCCTCTCTCTTCCCACCACACCACTCACGCAAGCCACGATAGCTACCTTCGCTGTCCCGCCGCGACTCCTAAATAGATCTTCGCGGACACGTAGGCGGCCGGCACTGGCTGGCTACACGGGTGAACGTGCCGACATATGGACAGTTTGAGTGGTTGCTGGTCGGGCCATGCAGCTTTCAGGCAACAGGTACATCTCCTACACCAACGACAAGCTCGCGTTGCAGCTGCGGGAGCAAAGACAAACGCACCCTGACATGTGCTTCCGAAAACGTGTCCCGTACGTGGAGAGAGAGCAGTCAGCCCCGGGAGAAAGCCGAAACACACGACCGCCTGGGACTTCCCGACCGGGTATGCCTGGCCTCTACAGGCCCCGGAATGGGGGATGAACAAGTTTTATCGGAGCACATAGGGCGGCATCAACCTGGGATTGGTGTCCCTACTATTGTTCCAGCTCCAATACAGCTCCCACACAACTAGCCTGACCACCTGCCTATTCTCCAGCATTGGCTGAGTGGCCAAACCTGCCTGATGCGTTGTCTCCAGGAAGAACAGCCCCATCCCGTTCCAATGATTCGGTATTGGACACCTTGGCTGTGCCCGCTTGGGAGAGAATGGCTATTTCCATACCGGCCGTTCTGGGAAGCAGTGTGATTCTGCGATCCTGGCACTGCTTTGGATGTGAAGTTGGCATAGCGGTATGTCGTGGCTGCTCTACCCAACAGCCGGGGCAGCGTCCGACACGTCGAAGGCTCGTTGACTGGTTTGCGTGGCCCGTCGAGAACATGCTCCATCACTCGACTCCTTTCGTCGTACCATGTCATTCACGCTGCCATGGCAAGCTTCCACCGCGCAAAAAACTTGTAAAATTCCAGAGACTTTCATTTGTCATGTTCTCTTCTGATGATGCTGCTGCTCTCTAATACCTTCCCTCAAACGTATCTACTCTCTCCTTGACAACAGCCTCAATCGCATCCCTGATCGGCGTATCTCCACCCACGCAATCAATCGCCAGCCCCTTGGTTCCCTCATTCTTCATACATTCAATCACCACCGACGCCACGTCCTCACGAGAAATCGTAGTATTCAGGTGCACCTTTCCCGCAGCAATCCTACCCTTTGCAGGATCTTGACTCAACCCACCAGGCCGCACAATGGTGTATTCCAGCCCTCTGCGGTTGTTCTCCGTCACAAGACTCCGGTCTGCCGCGAGCTTGGCGACCATATACGGCTGCAAACACAACGTCAGATCATCCCTTAAACCATCCAAATGGAACAAGGAATCCTCATCAAAATAAAAAAAAACTCACCCCAATCGCACCCCAAACCTTGTTACTCCTCTCCCTATCCCCATCATCATACCACTCCGGCTCCGGTCTCTTCTCCCGATCCCGTACATCCACAGCCGAGATGATGATATATCGCTTCGTGACGCCGGCCTTGGCAGTAGCGTCCATGCTACGGATCGCGCCTTCATTGTCGACGGCTCTGGTCCGCTCGGGATTGCCGCCGCCTGCACCGGCGGCCCAGATGACCGTGCTGGGGTTTGCGTTCTTGATGGTGGCGGCCATGTCGTCGACGGAGGAGTCCTCGATGCTCTGCACGATGGCTTGTCCGCCGAGGGATTTGATGTCGGGTTCTTGGTCCGGGTTTCGCTGGGGGGAAGGAGTTAATGAGCGGTTAACAAGTGGATGGGAGTTTTTCTTTAGCGAGCTTGCTGTTCATACGATGATGGAGTAGACCTTGTGGCCCTGTGCTGCCAATTGTTTGGTAAGGTGTCGAGCGACCTTGCCGCTGCCGCCGAAGACGAGGGTCGTTGCTGCTGCCATATTTCCTCTCTCTTCTGTTTGCCCTTCGTTGCTGTGGTAGTAATCACGATTTTGAAGCTTCTTTATCGTCACAGATCAATTGTGAAAGGTGAAATACGAACGTGTATGTACTGTGTATGTCCTCGTCCCTTCTATGCATTTCTAAATGCCCAGACACGGGATCTCTGAGGCATGACGTCCATGCTACCGGCTACCTCGCGGGCGTCTCCGATGCCTGGAATAATCGGCTTGTCGGCCTGTCGTCCGGCACCCGAACAGCAGCGTTAGGTTGGACTCGCTCGGCCCGTCGCCCAGAAAGCCAAAAATTCGCACGCAAGAGCACGCCATGTGAGACGATACGTGAGTTGGTGTTAGAGTAGTACTACCTTTGCCCTGCAAAAAATTCTTCTCCCATCCCATCTTCATTCCTGAAGTCTGCACTCTCCATCATCACTCAATCGCAATTTGTGCCGTAAAAAGAGAACCGGAATCGAATTCCAACCAACGCCATGAAATTCCAGCGTCCATAATATCATTCGGCCATTCCGAGTCATGTCGTTATACCGTCGTTATACCACCCATGGGTCTTCGAAAAGAACGCAAAGGGCAATCCGGTGGTGGAAGAGAACGTGAGCACCACAATCAGATCTTGATAGCAAACTGCTTCAAGTACTCGTAGTCCGCCAGATTCTCATCCACGGTCCGCTTGATCAAGTCTCCTGCTTCTTGGCCATACTTGTCGACCCACTCCTTGTACAGCTGCTCGTCACTCTTCGGGGCGTGTTTCTACAAGTCAAGTCAGCCAATGGATTCCTCGGTGCCCGAATAGCTGACAACACAGGTTACTTACGTGCTGCCGGGGCTTCAAGTCCGTGGAGTTAATGGCATCATCGTGGAATCCGTTCCACTTCTCAAACTGCTCCTTGGCGAAGACATGCGCCTCTTCCGAATCCCAATTCAACATCGCTTGATGAAAGTCCAAGTTGATCGAATCACAGTACTGCTTCAAGACACCCTCCGGGTCATCCAGCATATCGTCCGCATCAAGAACGCAGATCTCGACCTGGCCGGGTTCGCTTTCGACATTGTTCTGGCCTGACTGCCCTGCGATCTTGGGGCCGATCAATCCCACTTCCTTCAGATAGTCGAAGAGGCGACGAAGCTCATCGTACCCGGCTTCCTCCGGCATGAAGGGGGTAAACCCGGTGCGTTCGACAAGAGGAGGGATACAGCAGCGGTAATAGCTTGGGATAGCCGATCTTGGGTGGCGAATTAAGAAGGTGAAGTGGAACTTCTCGAGAATCTCCCTGGGGACTACGGTTGGGTTTCTAGGCTCGGCCTTGGTCCCTTCGTAGGGAAACGGCGGACTCTTTGGTGGGCTGTCCGTCGGTGGGGTGGATACCACGACGCCCGAATCGTGGTCGCTGTCGTTGAAAACATCCTTGGTGTCGGCCAAGGAGTCATCAGCGTCAGCGATAACGGGGAGACCATTTGTACCGACTCCACGCTTGATGGTGTGAAGAGACGGAGCAATACGTGGGACCTGATGGTTCGGGGGAAGGAGATAGTGCGTGATATCCTTGATGAAGACACGCTTGCCCTGAGATTGGTGAGCGATATGTTCAGGGAAAGAAGTCTCATGCGTTTGCGCGTTTTGGACTGAGCGTTTCGGAGAGCATGAGGCATTTCCAAAACGATCGGCGGTCGGTCCTGAAGTCGTGATCGGTCTCACTTCTGACGAGTGTCCGTGCAATCACGTTTCAGGTAGTTCCAGCGTTTCGGATTTGCGTGGAATATCGGACAATATGGCGATTGAAATGCAGACCATGGGAGAAGGAAGAAGGTACTCACATCTGCCGCTTCGCCCTCAATCCTGTCCATGATGGTCTTGAAAGTCGACTCGCTGAAGCCAGAAGCAACACGAGCCTCCTCATCATTTTCGAAACGACTGCCCATCCTCTCAGGGCCATAGTAGAAGGCGTCTCCAAATGGCTCGTGGATGGTATGGATGCTTTTGCGGCGGGTCATGAAGACCTGGGAGGAACGTGTCAATCGAGAGATGCTCTTCCCCGTGATCTCAATCTTACCCTCTCGAACGCGGTAGAGCACGCCCGGGGATGGGTAGCTACGAATACCGGCTTGTTGGTCTTGATCGTGTTGGTGGTGCCTGACGACATGGCGGCGATCGATGGCTCCGATAACGTCAATCTGATATTTTCAAGATTGGGAGTGGCGGGAGCGAAGTCGAGCGTGTGTCTGGACCTGACGGCAATGTGTGTTGCAATCCGGCAATACCCTCGCGTGGTGCGTGGGGGCAAATGGTAGATGGTGGGATACAGGAGTGTGTAGTGTAGGGTTTGGAGGAGCAGTACTGTCAGGAACAGGAATGCGGCCCAACGACTTGGAAGGTGAAGTGAGAGCAGGAGTGTGGCTTTGTCCTCGGGCAACAAATAGTAAGGTAGCAGTGGCTCCTTCTCAGAACGTTGGAGTGGTTAAAGGGACAGAGATTTTTGCCTACAGCTCGGCCTACGTAGTTGGAAAAGCCGAGGGGAGATGCACCGATTAAGGTTTCCTTCCCTTTCTTCCTCTCAGCACACACCTCAGCGGCCGGCGGAAGTCTGGGCGGATGTTGGTCAGAGGACAAAGAAGGACCGCGCAGGACCGGATCAGTCTGCCGCAACCGCGCGTGCTAGTTGAGAGGTTGAGAAGCAACCTGGGATGGCTGAGCGAGTAGCGCGGGTGGTGCCACTAGTGATGTGCGGCAAGGCGCTGGCATCGTGCATGTGAGTACTTGTCGCTTCAGCATCCTTGCGGGTCGTCGCAGTGTGCAGCACACAGCGGAGTGGTCTGGAATAATGGAAACAGGGTCCAGTCCGTCTTACGTCTGCGGCAATCCCTGTGCAATATTCATGTAATGGCTCACCACGGCGGGAATACTGCTCTTCTGCAATCATCAGGCACGACGATTCAGTTCCTTGGAGGTTCCGATCCTCTTCCGCGTGTTGAAGAGGCTTTCGTCCTCTCCAATGAACGTGCCACAGCCTCGAGGTTCTACCCCACTGCGCGCCCCGCTATCGACGTAATCGCGATCGTGTGCGCTAGGTAGGTATTGATGAGGTAGCAGCCCAGCAGAGCACATGCGGACCCGAGTGTGCAATGAACAGAAGCGTAATAATGCAACCATAAAGCTAGCCGTGTGAGATGTAGTCGAGATAGAGATGAGATTCGCACGGGTTCGTCCGCCTGAATGGCCTTCGTTGCTCGTGCCCTGCGAGCCATGTGCGCATGGTGCAAGCACGCAATCACGACGAGACCTGATTCGGTGTATGGGATGCTAATCGGCCATGGGTGACGGTACGGACATCGTGGGAGAGGGAGCAGACATCATCAAGCCACAAACACACGTAGAAGCAAACGTACATCCTGCGGCTATAGCGCCTTCATCGGTCTTGTTTCCATCATACCTGGTACATTGCCGTATTGACCTGCCGGTGTTAGGAGTGGCGCGAGATGACTGTACATCGGCGCTGCGTCTCGACCCGCCCAGCGTTCTTCTTGGCCACATTGCAGGAAGGAATCGTGGTCGCTGCCAGCATCTTTACAGGACGAGCAACGGGTGCTGCAACTGCCGCCTGGTCGTCAAGCTGCATGGAGATCAAGGATGGCCGGGGCAAGCACACGGTTCCAGTACATCCTCCGGCTAAAAAGAGCAGGCCTTTCAAACCCTTGACGGAGCTCAATATCGGGTTGCGGATGTGGACCCGAGCCACAGTAGTGTCAAGGTCAGTATCCTTCATTTTCCCAACATGGCCTGAGTGTTTCCAAGGGGCGATTCGGATAGAGTGCGAAAGTCGATGGCCTCATGACAGAACGCAGGTCCAGTGGAAAGGTATTGGCCGGATTTCCGGACAATCTCCTCAGCCTGTCAACGCTTCCCCGACTTGTTGGGAATGGGCCAGTTGTTGACTCCCCACCCTGAGTGATACAGATCAGCCTCGTGCGGTCCGGCGGAACCAAGGAGGACTGTTTGACATACACCATCTCCGAATCTTTGCACCGACTGATTGGCCTGAAAACTTGGTCGCAGTGTTCCAATGGCGCCCTATGGGTTGTCAGTGGATGCAAGTCTCCAGCAGAATATGTGCCTTACACCATGCTACGACGAGAGACCAGACCATGCCTTGCACCAAGGGCATCAGGACCTGCAATCACATCAGCGATCTGTTTGAACACGCTATCTCTCACACAAACCTGATCCTTGATGGTGACATATGCCACTCCTTGCCACCCGTTCGTGTGTTCAATGCTCTTCAAATAGCTCTGCTCAAAGCGAAGGTCTGGCAGAGGCACATGTGCTGGCCTCTTCCTCCACTGATCTTGCGGCAACGGTCTGAGAATGGACAGCGGCACCTCATCTTCTCCCACCTCATCCGCCTCTGACGCTACGTCTGCAGATCGATCAAACGTAACGCGTTCTTTCGTGTCGGCTGCAGTGGATGGAGCCATGTCTTGTTTCGTGGGAGCTTTGTTGAGATGGGCGGTTTGAATGGTCTCAGCAGCCTGGATGGCTGCATCTTCGAGGCTGGACATCTTGTGTTGTCGCTAGTTCTTCGGCGTATCAAGTGCGTCTGTTCGCCCGATGATCGATGCGGAAGGGTTGATAACGATGGAGAACATGTAGCGTGAAGGACGATAACCGGTGAGTATTGGAAGAGGTCCAGTGGAGGTCTGGGGTGCATAAAGTTATGGTTCACATCTCAAACTCGATGAAAGTCGGCAGATATACCCCATTCTGAGACGCACATGGCCTGATCTATGAGGGGTCACCAAGCTATCTCCAGCTATACATGATGAGCCGCAACTTCGACGCGGCTTGTAATGTGCCTTCTTGTCCATTCATGAGAGAATCGACAACCACGACATAAGGCAGAGCCAGAGAGAGCGTGTCAGAGAACCGTGCGTTAAGCATAAGCCCGCGGGACCCACTTCACAAGCGCAATTGGAGTCCAGCCGGGTATGGCACATCGCCAATACCAGCGACATTCCACCACCTCCTACGACACGCAGGGCGACGTCAACATGGGAAACGCAAACAGCCAGATGCTTGACAGCATCGTGAGTGGCTCCAACTGTACGAACGCTCACAGCCATTACTGCGCGCCTGGAACCTTCCAGACGAGCGCCTGGCTCTGACCACGTGCTGACCACATGTTTCTACAGTTGACCGCGATGAAGTCGATCGCTTGCGCAAGCGCTTCATGAAACTCGACAAAGTATGCACTATCCTTCTGGAGCCATTTGGGGGACAATTGTTCTAACAAAACCCTCGCAGGACAACTCCGGCACAATCGAGCGGGATGAGTTCCTCTCCCTTCCACAGGTCTCCTCAAATCCCCTCGCAACACGCATGATCGCTATCTTCGACGAGGATGGCGGCGGGGACGTTGACTTCCAAGAATTCGTCTCTGGCCTCAGCGCTTTCAGCTCCAAGGGAAATAAGGAGGAGAAGCTGCGATTCGCATTCAAGGTCTACGATATCGACCGGGACGGATACATCAGCAATGGCGAACTCTTCATTGTGCTCAAGATGATGGTGGGAAGCAATCTGAAGGACCAACAGCTACAGCAGATTGTGGATAAGACGATCATGGAAGCTGATCTGGACCACGACGGGAAGATCAGTTTTGAGGAGTTCACGAAGATGGTGGAGAACACTGATGTTTCGATGAGTATGACTTTGGGTGAGTTCGGTCACGCACGTCTTATTGGCCTATGTGGATATGAGGCTGACGTGTCCCAGACCAATTCTAGGCGGCATGATACCCGCAGGCCACGGCGTTCAGGGCGCATTTCAAAAAGCAGAAGGAGCTACTTCTCATCACGGCAGAAGGAACGAACGCTCACGAAGCGGAAAAATCTGCGATATCAGAGCTTGCTCTGTCTGAGCTGCATGCCAACCTGTTCTTCCCAGCGTCGTATCACCTGGACGTGATCCGCGTTCGGGCCCGCCACACTTAGAGCCTCCTCCATCAACTCAATCATGAGCTGCGGCAAGGCAGAGGGCACACCCATCTCCTCGAGCACAGACTTGGCGATCTTCATGTCCTTGATCAACAGAGCGAGCTGGTACCCCGACCTAAAGCGGCGTGTGAGGCCCTACAGTCCACAGATCAGCGACCAGCTCATTATGCATAGGCACAAGACTTTACGAAGACTCACATCCTGCCGGAAACTCTCTTTCGTACTGAAATTCACTCCAGTCCCCACATTCATCACATCTACCATCTTGGTAGGCTCTAGACCAAACTTCTGCCCTGCCATCAATGCATCGCACAGCCCGATAATACTAGCCCCGCTGACATAATTATTCAAAGTCTTCATCGCATGGCCCGCTCCCAATTTGCCCATCACGAATACGTGTTTGCCCATGCATCGCAACAAAGGCATGACGATTTCTAACGCGACAGGATCAGAGCATCCGACCATAAACGTGGCTTCACCAGTAGAAATCGCTCCAGCATACTCTTGCGTAACCGGAGAATCCACCAACGTAATCCCATCATTCACCTCCCTCACCAGCTTCTCTGTCTCTCGCGTATGGAACGGTGAGGAAGAAGATGTATCCACCACCACACAGCCTTGCTTCAGATCGGGAGCAATGGGTAGCAGCACATTCCTGACGATTTCCCCGTTGGGTAGCATGGTGATCAGAACGTCTACCTTCTTCCACGCCTCAGGCGAGTCCGCGGTCTGTGAGATGGTCGGATGTTCGGACACGAAGCGTTGCGATCGGGTTGTATCGGCGTCCTGGACGATGATGGGGTATCCTGCCTTGGCAATGCAGGAAGCCAGTGGGTAGCCGGCGTTTCCAAGGCCAATGTAGCCGATCTTGAGGTCTTTGTGCGCGGAAGACATGATATTGAATTGTAAGTGGAAAGAGCCAAGCACTGATTTACGGGTATTCTTTTGGTTTGAACTTGGAGGCATGCTGCGTTTTGTCCAACATGTCGTGCGGAGAAGCTGCAGTGATGGAGCAGGGAAGCACAACTGCCGGCCTCTCCGACTCCGTGCCATCTCAGCTGCCAGGAAAGAAGATTTGGATATAAGACATAACTTTGAGTTGTTGCGTACAGGTCATCAATTCACCAGGGGGGTATCAGGTAGGTCACCTAGAGCTTCTTTACACATGTATGCCAATGCCAAGTACAAACAACCAAAATCCAACATAGACTCCTTTCCACAACATGCCGTCAGTCAATGACTTTGCCGCGAATACAAGAGCAGGCCTCGAGCCGGCTGGGGCACTGCTTCCGGAAGATCCAGCCTTCTGGTTGTTTGCGATGATGGTCGTACTCCTACCTCCAGGGCAGAAGATGACATTGAACTCGCCGCCTTTCGGAACGATGAAGGTGCTGTCCTGGTCATCGTTGGCGTAGGAATATGCATCGGGACATATCTGCTTGGCGACTTTGGAGTAGTAGTTCGGCGAGCAGTTGCCTTCTCCGCTGTGGGATCCTGTGCAGCAATACTGGGCTGTCGTATACTTTGCGCAAGCGGAAAAGCAAGGATTGTAGGGAGGTCGTTCGACGTTGCTGTCTGGGTAGGGATAAACGCCGTCGCCAGGCGCTTTCGGCGGATTCACTTGAAGATCCCAGGGACACCACTGTGCGACTTGCGATGCGGTGGTCTGATTTTCGAAGTTCAGAGGATCGGATGCGTTGGTGCCAAGAAATTGTTGATGGTTGTTGTATGGTTGAAAGTTCTGCGCCGCAAAGTCGTTCACACTCCCAACACATGAAGGATTCGTGCTGCTGGGTTTGAGGCTGTTCAGGCTGCTAATGCCGTTCGTCTGGAGCACGATCGCCATTGGTAGGTTGTATCCGTCCACCAGGCTGATATCATAGAAAGTCTGGCTTTGTCCTCCGTCCATCGTGATCTCTGCCAATGTCGCTGGAGGATTTCCGGCTTGTATGCAATTCAGAGAGCCACATTCTCCTGTCAAGCACCCACCAGGTTGGTTTGGATCACTGAAGGTGCAATTTGTACGGCCCCAGACTCTCCCTTGCCAGTCCGATCCCACGTTGATTGTCTTGTTGCTTCCGGAAGTGAGCTCAAACCCAGCGGTTGAAGGCCCGCCTCCTCCTTGTGTTACAAGACCTGGCCATATCGTGTCGGAACACTGATTGATGATGGACATCTGCAGTCCTCCCCCGCTGCTGCTTTGGCGAGGCACATGACCGGCATGGGCGATATCGAAGAGGTAGTATAAGGCGAGGACGAGCATAACGAGATAGCCCGCAGCGTTTACTGTGTTAGCTGTCGGTAGGAAGAATGTCAGATATTCGGCGAAGACATGGAGCTGCAATAAAAGGTGGTTGTGGAAAATGAGCGTGAGAGTGGAAGGCTAGGAGTTCATCAGCATGTCAATCGAGAGACCTACCGCCGCGGCGATGAGGGGCAGATATCGCTGCATCGCTTTGCGCCGTATGGCAGGAGCATGTTTCGAAGAACGCGAGTTGCAAGGGCTGTTCCTGCTTTCACGCGCTGAACTCTGAGCCGCCTGCGTCATGGAGAGTTTGCGCTATGCGGCTAGTCCCGTGTAGTGCACGTGATTGGCTGCTATCGACAGGCACCAAAGCACAGACCGCGTCTGCAAGTGAATGTTTCCCGCTTGCCTCTTCATGGCAATAGAAAACATCGATGTTGAATTTGTTGTACGAACAATCATCTCTTTCGTGAGAGATAGCGTCCGTATAAAATGGCCTTGCAAAGTTCTTCCGAGATCACGCAAAGCCACAACATCACCATCCGAGGCAAAAAAGACATGGATAAATATCCGGCCAAAGCACACGCACACAGGATCGCGGAAGAGCTTCAAGTTCATGATGGTTTAATCGTCCTGTCAGCGACCAAGAGTTCCGATCTGCCGAACTCCGATATGCCGGCACCATTCCGCCAAGATAGATATTTCTATTACCTTACCGGTTGCAACGAGCCAAACTGCCACGTTGTCTACGATATCAAGAATGACAAGCTCACTCTTTGGCTCCCCCCTGTGGACAAGGACTGGAGGCATGTCGTCTTCTATGGCAACGGGAGTACTACCGAAGAAGCACAGGAGAAGTACGATATAGACGAGGCGCAGTACTTGCAGGACTTCAATGGCCCCGTGGCTTCCGATCTTGAGAAATTTGGTGAGGAGCCCGTTGACTCCATTGACCGATCGGGAATGAGAGATATCTGGACGACGCTTAAATCCTTAGGACTTTGTTGCCACTATGGAAGCGGTCAGGGTCACGCAGACCAAAAGCAGACTTGTCTTTTCTCCTTTCATGCTGAATTTCTCCTCAGCGGCCCTCGCCATTGGCAGAAATACGACAAACTCTCTCTGATCGGTGCCAGTAGTACTCTCAAGCAAGCAATCGATACGTGTCGCGTCATCAAGGACCAGTACGAGATCGAACGCATTCGCAGAGCAAATGAAATCACTGCTGAAGCACATACGAGTGTGCTACGGGGTATGCATACATTCGATAACGAAGCACAAGTTGACGCAGCATATATGCAAGTCTGCATCGCCCGGCGTGCGAAGGCGCAAGCGTACGATCCTATTGTTGGCTCGGGACCAAACGCCACTGTCTTGCACTATTCCGAAAATCTGGCAAATTTTGGTGAAGGGCAGACTATAGTCCTGGATGCTGGCTGCGAGGTCGAATGCTATGCATCAGATGTCACCCGCACTATTCCCATCAATAGGCGCAATGCTGGAACGTGGCCATCCAAAGAAGCCGAGGACATATACCTGCTGGTCGAGAAGATCCAGGAATCTTGCATTCGGCAGATGTTGCCGGGCAACAAGTTCCTCAACACTACATGGCATGCACATGAGATGGTCATTGAGGGTCTCCGGCGTCTGGGAATTCTCAAGGGTGATCTCCAAGAGATCTTTCATGCCGGAGTCTCCACAGCATTCCTTCCCCACGGTCTTGGACATCATGTTGGCCTGGAAGTGCACGATGTCTCCCCAGTGCCTCATCCTCCTCTTGTATCTGCGGAGGAGGAACACATCCAGCGCTTTCGAAAATCTTACGCAGAGTATAAGCCCTATGCTGCAAGCCACGTGCAGAGGCTCAGCAAAGCTGAGCATTTCTCGCTCCACTCCTGGGGTCACGGCACAGTAGAAAGTGTCGACGCCCCTGTTCTCGAGCCTGGAATGGTCGTCACCGTCGAGCCTGGAATCTACTTTAATGCGTTCGTGCTGGAGCGATTCCTGAAAGACCCGCAGAAGTCGAAGTTTGTGGATAGGAAGGTCTTACAACGCTACATTCCAGTGGGCGGTGTCAGGATTGAAGACGACATCCTGATCACCAAGCATGGTTATGAGAATCTCACGACGGCACCAAAAGGCGAAGCTATGCTGAAGGTGATCCAAGAAGCCAGCAAGGTCCGTCAGCTGGAGGCGTCCCAGTTCTAAACAAAGCATTCTTATCGGCGAGTATGGGAGCCGAAACTTGCTCAGGCTGCCTGGAGCAGCGCACGGTATCACGAACCCGGGCCGATGAGACTTTGAAGACGGCACTGCGAGCATAGCCCCAGAAAGGAAGACCCGGAGACGACAAGCGGGCATGCAATGAATTGAATTCGAGCGTGCGGCACCCCAGACCTTGATCCCTTCCCCGGACAGACTAGCTCACCCCAAGCTCAGCTATCAACTAGGCACCACTACGTCTCTCACAACACCATCATCACGGGGAGCAAAATTTCTTCCCTCCCCATGTCTGCTGTCAAGAAGGTCACTTTCACTGTCATATCTATCTATCGCACAGTCCTTGACAATGGCCACAAAACCCTAAAACCCACCCATCCGTCGGTCCACACGCAGTCATTGCCATCTCCAACAACCACGACTTTTCCCCTCCTCAACTCCAGCAAGCCAAAAACCTATCGTTCCAATGTCCGCCATTCCCAAACCCTCCTCTGATCCTGTAGCCAGAGCCCGCACCAATACCCTCCCACGCACACCCACACCGAACGACTGGGAGAGGTTGAGGAAGTCCATCACGGACAAGTACGCTTCCCGCTGCGAGTCGGCGCGTCAGATTTCCGAGTCTCTGCGGAAAGAGGGTTACGATCTCACGTAAGGAACATCCACCCAGCTTTTCACATCCAGTCTCGTAGTATCTACCCATGATTTGGAGGACAGCTAGAAATCTGACCGGTGTCGCATGGCTTTTCCCAAAACGTAGGGAGAAAATGCTCAAGGACCGTCTGATTCTCTGGGGCTTGAAAACGGATAATTATTGGAAGCGTTGAGAGGAGGGAAACACAGAAGACAGGCAAACGAAAGGCCAACAACGACGAGGAGGAGGTCAAGCAAGGCATATCATATCATAGCAATCATCAAAGAAAAAAATCCGACTGTAGTATCTAGCGCAAAGGAATATAATATATGTGTGTGTGAGTGTATGTCAATCTAATTACAGTATAACTGACTGAGACCTTTCCCTTCCATTCCCTTGATGAACCACATTATCTTCCTGCTCTGACTGACTTTCCGATCCAAACTCTCGTGCGACACCGGGATTCGGGGTAGTCCACTGGATCCTCCGTTGTTCCTTGCTGGGATCTCCCGTTCGGCTACGTGCATGTGTCAATGCCGCTTCACCGCTCTCCGCTCTCGCAAAGCAGCAGCACATGGGACTGCAGGCATCAGCCTTACAACGGCTGCCTGCATGATTATTATTGAATGTCCCTATCGCGATAGGATTTTTTCCCTTCGCTTTTCTTTTCCATTGGCAGCGAAGAGAGTTCAAATTTTTTTTTCTCGCAATGTATGTACAGCGATTCGGTAGGCGCGTCGATTTTGACCGTCGCACTACTTGGCTGTCCTCGAAGAGACGCGAGCTGAAATGCGAATCGCAGAGCGGAGGTTTGTGCACTGCGTATTTGATTATTTGACGTGCACCGACGTGGATCAAATCCGGGTTGTATTTTCTTACCAACGCCGAATCTGTGTAGCGTGCGGCGCGGGGAAAGGGACGCCCGAAGGAACGGTGCGAGGTATGTGAGTACATGCTTGGGTATAGATAGTATGTACAAGCCGACACGGTCGTTGGTGCATTTTTATACGGCCACCAAGCGATAGCTAGACAAGTCGGTGTAGGACCCAGCACAGTGTCCTGGGTGTGTTTGTTTTCGGAGCCGTCGGTCCTAGAGCTTCCTTGCTTCGCGGCAATCTACCTGTGAGACCTCCTCACTTTCAACCGGCGCCATGATTGTCATGGGAAAAAATTTCTCTGCGAGGTTGTGTAGTGCGAAGGTCCTAGGCGCTCAATGCATTCTTTGGGCTATCCCTTAATTTGGCAGACCAGGTAGTCCTTGCCGGCAACAGGTCTTCACCGTCATTTCCTGGCCTGATATACGATTGGTGCCAACGTCACCATGTTCAACGTCGTAACACCTCGAGTGACACTTGATTTTCAACACGGTCGCCTAATTCACCTCCATTGCGTGCTCCTTGGTAGCCTGTGCTCGGTCATATAAAGGCACCTTTTCCACGCAAACTCATTCTGTTTCCCGACAACAACTTTAAATCACCCAACAAGCGAAAGCCCAGAGCTGGAAGTCCGGGGGCCTCACGACCGAATAGATTAGGCTCCAACTTTCAAGCACCACCTCAGTACACCAATCATGCCTGGAGTCGATTGGGAGCGCATTCGGCCGAGTATCGCGACTCGCATTCGTCAGCATCAGAGCGTCGCGGAGATTCATGCGTGGATGCGGAGCCAGGGATATGTGATCAGGTATGTCGTCCATGTATACTGAGTGTAGTCAACCGGCGCTGACTGATCTGACAAGCGAGCAAGAGCTAAGGACGAAGCTCGCGCAATGGAAGATTCGATAAGGAGCATGACTTCGAGTTGTCACGGGAGCGAGGGTGATGTGCGTGCGTTATAGCGCTGGCGTTTCTGATGGTTGCATTCATGGAAGATGTGTCTGGGCGAGGGGATTATGGCTGGTTTGATCGCAATCTGTGGTGCGATGGGCGAATTGGGTGGTGCAGCAGAGAGCTGGATATCCAGAATGTCTCAGGTCCAGCTCCTTCATCGTGCGCTGCCACTACCACCAACAAATCTTCTCATTCCTGCATCTTTCGCACTCTTGCCCTTCTTCATCTTTTGCTTTGCCTCCCGTGGGTGTTCTTTCTCCCAACGTTCATCTTCTTTGAAGGCTTCGGTGGCCGCTTCGAGGTTCCAGTCGACTTGTTTGAGATAAAGAAGGGCTACATCGTATCTGAGAGAAGGTGTCACACTTGTTAGCAAGATATCAGTCAAGAGCGTATTGATTTCGGCGAGCATCATTGCTTACTCTGCCACTTTACAGGCCACCATCCACCTTCTGGTCTTGTTCTTCTTGATTTCTTCCTCTTCGCCCTCCAGGGGCTGTGGCGACAATGACACGCCGCCCTTGTAGTGTTCGCCTGGTATCAAGATCGTCTTTCGACCCTGCAGCAAGTGATCGGAAAATATATTGTTCGTCTTTCTCAGCACGTTGACAGGCACGCCGTAGGCCAAGGCAAGCGCATTCACACTATCGTCAGGCGTTACAAAGTGGAGGACATCCTCCGCTGGCTGGTCATGTTTTGGCTTCTCTGACGGTGGCTGCACAGCCTGGTGTTCCGAATACGCAGGGAGTTCGTCGTCATTCGGACGTGCCTTGTATCTCTGGTCGTCCAGCGCTGAGTACGCTGGAGGGTCTCTAAGGCCTTGGGGTAGCAGCGATGGCTCCGTGGAGATCTGGCAGAAGGGGCAATACGAGTTGAAGCGCTTATTCTGGGTTAAACAACGAGAGCAGATGGATCTCCCGCAGCAATCCAGATCTCGCCCGGGCAAAAGAGGTTTCTCGGAGGCAGGATCAAGTGGACTATCGTATGCCGAGGCACACGTCGCGCATGCTGTGGTCATGGTAAACGTACTCAAGGTGCCTGTCGATGGTATGGTCGAACGTTGATGGCAGAGTGTCGGTGGAGTGAAGGTCGCCTCGAATGTTGCATGACGATAGCGTGACAGCGATAGACGCACGGACGCTTCGGTACGCGGGCGGGCAGGGCCGAGCCATCCCGACGGGCGCTCCCTCAAAGGTTCCTTCCTCCTTTGATCCGACGGAGCAGAAGCTCTCGTGGACGAGGCACAGGGACAGACTGTGATGAGCGATCGTGACAACGCGCCCGCGCCCGCGCCCGAGGAACGTCATGCCCGTCTAGCCTGGTGCAGTAGACCTCGCGAAGAACAAATCGTGAGGAGCCTCTCTCTCTTTCTTTCTTTCATAAGACGTGTCTACTACACTCTGCTCCCGCCGCTCGCCACTCGCCGTTCGCTCACACGCCATACCACCAGACCTCCACAGCCCACGTCCATACGGTACGTACCTTATCCTCCTGGACGGCCTTGTTCCGTTCCTGTCTACCGGCTGCTATTATTGATTATTATCCCACCCACAGAAGCTGCGACCTGTACCGACACCTGACCCCGGCAACATCAGAAGCTACGCGTTTCGCCTGACCTACCTTGCAGCGGAATTAACGCCATTCTTCCACTTGTCCGCCGTCCATCCAGCTTTCCGCTCGTGCCCGTGCAAGCGGACGCAGCGAGCGGGCCTGAACTTGCCACATCATTCGTTGGAGGAGGCTTTCCCGCGACTACCTTACCTGTACGACGAGCATCCAGGCCGTCGGCGAGGGCGACGTTGCTGAATCGGGCGTGTGCAGAGCTGGTCCCGCGCAAGAGGTCAGTCGGTGCGCTCGTTTCACATGCATCCCGTATGTTCCGCTGCCCAGAAAGCAAAGCCGCACTCTCGGAGCAGCGGCGAGTGCCACGTGCCGACCGTTCACATGCCCGGCTATCCATCCTTGCGCACGTCAGGTCCTCAGTCGAGCCTCCGTCTGCATCCCACGGCCATCACGCTTTCATTGCGGGGCTCCATCTGCCATATCAACAACCACCTCCGTTGCTCCTTTCTCGTCCCAATCTCCTCCTACCCAATCTCCTAGCCCTCCCGTCCGTCCGTCCATCCAGACACCACCCCATGCTGTTTGGTCGTTGACTTTCATCCATGCCGAACTACTATCACCAAGATTGTCACTACTTCTACCGCACTTGTCTGCGTGGCTTGTCGATCGCCACGCTCGTTTCTCCTCTGCATAGCTAGACCGCATGCTTACACTGATCATGTCTCCAGTCCGCACCTTTCCTTCCATCGACCACCAGATCGTCACCTCGCAGCGTCGGGACTCTGCCATGATGGCTGAACGATCAGAAGCCAACGCAAAGGATACCACCCAGAGTTTCTCCAAGGAGAAGATCAACCCTCTCGCCAACCACAGCGCCAATCCCAATGCCAAGCCCGGAATCACCTTCGCTGCGCAAGACAAATTGCCCAAGCTCCCCATTCCAGACCTCGAACAGACTTGTAAACGTTATCTTTCTTCCATCGATCCTCTTCAGACCGCACGCGAGCATGCCGAGAGCGAACGAGCCATCCACGACTTCCTTCGTAGCGATGGACCCGAACTGCAGGCAAAGCTCAAAGCCTACTCCGAAGGCAAAGGCAGCTACATTGAACAGTTTTGTGCGTCGTCTTCTTCTCCGAGATTCGATGGCATGTCGCTAATCGTGAATGCAAGGGTACGACTCCTATCTGAACTACGACAACCCTGTGGTGCTGAACCTCAATCCTTTCTTCCTTCTCGAAGATGATCCAACTCCGGCTCGCAATAATCAGGTTACCCGTGCGGCATCTCTGGTCGTATCCGCCCTGTCATTCGTTCGCGCTGTTCGCAAAGAGGAGTTGCCTCCCGACCAGATCCGTGGTCAGCCACTTGACATGTATCAATACTCCCGCCTGTTTGGCACGGCTCGTATTCCTACCGAAAATGGCTGTCATATTGGTCAGGATCCATCCTCCAAACACATCGTTGTCTTGAGCCGTGGGCAATTCTACTGGTTCGATGTTCTGGACGACAACAACGACATCATCATGACTGAGAAGGATGTCAGTCTGAATCTCCAGGTCATCGCCGACGACGCTGAACAAATGCCGATCAACGAGGCTGCGAAAGGTGCGCTCGGTGTGCTCAGCACCGAAAATCGCAAGATCTGGTCCAACTTGCGTGAGCTTATCAGTAAAGATGAAGGCTCGAACAACAGCGATTGTCTCAACATCGTGGACTCCGCCCTGTTCATATTATGTCTCGACTACACGGAGCCCAAGACTAGTGCCCAGCTTTGCATGAACATGCTCTGCGGTACATCTGTGATTGAGCGGGGCGTTCAGGTAGGAACCTGCACCAACAGATGGTACGACAAGCTGCAGATCATTGTCTGCAAGAACGGCAGTGCTGGCATCAATTTTGAGCACACTGGCGTTGACGGCCACACTGTCCTTCGATTTGCTTCCGATGTCTACACGGACACCATTCTTCGCTTTGCTAGAACCATCAATGGCCAAGCTCCATCTCTATGGGCATCTCAATCGCCAGATCCATCCAAGCGAGACCTCAACAGCTTTGGCGATGTTAGCACAACACCACACAAGCTTGAATGGGACATGGTACCAGAGCTGTCAACTGCACTCCGATTCGCAGAAACGCGCTTGGCCGACTTGATCCAGCAAAATGAATTTCATACACTTGAGTTTGAGCACTACGGCAAGAACTTCATTACGTCTATGGGTTTCTCCCCGGACGCCTTTGTGCAGATGGCTTTCCAAGCTGCTTACTACGGCTTGTATGGAAGAATCGAAAGCGTCTACGAGCCGGCCATGACCAAGACATTCTACCACGGTCGGACTGAAGCTGTCCGCTCAGTCACCCATGAGAGCGCAGAATTCGTCCGCACTTTCTGGGCTGACAATCCTCCGGCCAAGAAGATCGAGGCTCTCAAGAAGGCATGTGAACGCCATGCTGTCTTGACTAAAGAATGCGCCAAAGCCCAGGGACACGACCGTCATCTCTACGCCCTCCTCTGCCTGTGGCAGCGGCAGATCGACGGTGATGCAGAAGTCATCAGCATTGATGGCGCCAGCACGAATGGGTACAGCAGCCCTACCAGCGACGTAGGCCCTTCGCCTAGCCGCAATAGCGTCACGAGCGACACAGGCAGCATCCAATCGTCTACCTCTCCTCCTCGCCAGCAGCAACAGCCTATCCTGCCCGCAATCTTCAACGACAATGGCTGGGACAAGATCAACAACACCATCCTCAGCACCTCCAACTGCGGCAACCCGTCTCTACGCCATTTCGGTTTCGGACCCACTTCCGGAGACGGATTCGGTATCGGATACATCATCAAAGACGGCTCGGTGTCTGTATGTGCGAGCAGTAAACATCGACAGACGAAGCGATACATCGACGCCCTGGAGAGCTACTTCTTGGAGATCCGCAAATTGCTCAAGCAGACGCATCGCAGAGGTACAAGTACGGACAAGCAGGCTTCCAGGGCACGGGAGGCGGAGGAGAAGAGGCCCAAGGGAAGTCGTCTGAAGTCTAGAGGAAGGGTGGTGGGGGCGGGAGAGGCTCCCGCTGCTGCTGCGAGTAAGGCGAGTGCCGAGGAAGAGAGTGGTGTTGCCAGTGACGACGAGCTCGGTGGATGTAAGTTTTGCATAAATCATGCGCACGTGTTGGGCCATATCGAGCTGACCTTTTTGCTTCTGCAGATGGCTTCTTTGACGCTGGAATGCTGATGCAGGCTCTCAAGGCCAAAGGTGATCAGGAAGAGCGCCCGAGCGAGAAGATTGCTCATCGACGTGAAGTGGGCAAGAAGTTGCGGTTGATGGAACACTAAGGCAGAGTGTTCAGTTCATTTCTTGACATTGGCATTGCAGCTAGGAGGGAAGAAGCTATCGGAAGAGATGGATACCGGAATGAATATGTGTAAATATTGCGCCTACCGTGCCGTTCTGTTACAATGGAGTGGTTTATCGAATGGTCACTTTGCAGGCAATATGATGCTGCATTCGCGCACGGCTCTTCGGGCTCCAGGCAAAAGGGCAGGTAACATTAGAAGCTGGTCGGGAGCGGGTGATACTATCTCGGATGTACACATTCATCTTGAAACAATATCGAAAAGGTAACGCTCAGCTGAGGTATAGGAATTCGCCGAGTGTCTTAACGCCAAGTCATTCAATATTTCTTGACATCATACCTAGTAAGTGCCCAGCAAAAAAAAAAATTAGTATCTTCCCAATGGAGAACCTCCCCCTTCCCGTCGTCTTATCCATCCCGCGAAAAGCCTACATCATCGAATATATGACATGGTCATAGAGACCACACATCGCGTCAGACATACACGGACAAGTCGGCTGTACGGAAAAGGAAAAGAAAAACCACCGATCAGTCAAATGCGGTTGTAAAACTTTTTGGGGGGCGACGGAATCAACTTACCTGGATGCAGATGGACTGGAGTTCCTTGGGGGCTCCCGCGGGCACACTCGTCGGCGGACTACAGCGATATCCGAACGTGTCCATGAGTGCCTTTCCCACCGTCGCAACATCTGTCGCGGAGACGCCGAACGAGGCTGCCGACATGCCTACTTGGGTGATGAAGTAGCCCAGTTCTTTCTCGCCCAGGTGCATGAACTTGTGTACTTTGTACATGGACAGCTCGCTGGAGTAGGGCATGACGGTCTTGCCGAATTGGCTACAGCCGAGTAGCGCGGCGAAGTATTGGTAGAGATGCGTGAGGAGGGCGCTGAGAGTATGTTAGTTCTTTCGAAGTCCATGAAGCTTCAAAGGAAAAGTGGAGTGTGGCGGACTGACTATTGATTGGTTTTGGGGTTATTGGCAGCCATGTTCATCATCAGCGGTGCTGCGCCGCCGCCGTCCAACCAGTTTACGGCAATGGGCCTCTTTCCCATCATGCCAATGGCTTCCGGGTTCGTGACCTTGAGCATTCCACCGAAGTACTTGGCCAGATTGACCCCTGCGAATTTGCCGGTACCTGGAGCCAGAATTCCAGGGACAGCAATGCCAACGTTGGGCTTTGTGTAGTTGCCGATGACAGCTGCGAATATGGGCATCGATGGTTAGCTTCGTGTATTCCTAAGCGTACAACCGTAGAGTCTGTGGCATTGCCTACCGGTGTTGACCACCAGTGTCAACAGCGTCTGTTGGTTCTTGGCCGTGTTCTCTTTCAGCAGTGCAGTCGTATACTTATCGCATATGGAAGGCTTCGCCGCTGAACCAGCATAACAGCCGGTGAATGCAAGGGATGTAAACAGGATTTGGTGGAGCTTCATCTTGATTCCGGTCTCGACAAGAAAACTGGCGAGTCTTACAGGACAGGACAAGAGCGGCAAGAGACGATTAGAAATACGAATGATCAGAGTTGCGCGGGCAAAGTGGAGATCGAGAGTGCGAGCACATGCCATCCTGGCTCCGTTCATGCGCTGCCATATTGGGCACATCATCCAGGGCAGTACTCTCCATCTGGTAAGAGGGCTATCTTCAATGAGGCCTCAACATCTGGGGTACCTTGCTGCTCATGTCGGAACTGTCGTTCTCCGGTATGCCCTCCACACGTCTCTTGGCCAATCGTGTAGCAACGGCCACTTGCAGCTGGGCAGAATCAAGATTTATTCCATGCTGGGCTCCAAAGCGAATAGAGTTTAAGCATGTATTTAAGACTGTCAAGGAGCTTGCCGGACGCATGAGCCAATGAGGGAGCCCGAAGATGTAAGCGTGCCAACCTCATCTCCCTTGAGCTGTCATCTGCCGCAGATAACGTAGTTCGTCGTCGGCCAGAGGCGAAGCAATCAGAGCTCGACCATTGGAAAGCGATGGCCGGGCAACGAGCTCTGGCCAGGATGTGTAGACATTCCAAAAATGTCTTGACGTGCTTGATTCTAATCCTCATGAGTCTGCGAAGCTGAGGATCGCTTGCCTCGATTGGTGTCCGTGGAAAACCACGCGGTTTAGGGCTATGCAACGCCGCCAGACGTACAAGAAGGACCAGATATACAGCGTGTATCGGCCTGGCGTAGGACAGGAATTCTTGAGCTTCAGCGTGACACTTGGCAACCAGGACATTGCCTCGACCCGAACACCGTCATGGAAGACTTCTAGACCGACTCAGGCAATGCGGGGCTATCGTAAAGGTGAGGACCAGGGTCAGGGGAGCCAAGACGGAATACACTGCAAGCATCCGATTATGGTCATTGCCGAAATGTTGTCTTTTGCATTCCGCGTGAGAATGGAGGACCAGTCTGTGAAGATCGGCAGACTCGAGATCCTAGTTACGGCGGGCCACAGTGACAGCCTGATATCGACATTTCGCGGATAAAGACTTCGATCGGCAAACCGCTTGGAGAGAGAATTTGAAGTTGAATAGATACTGCGTTCATGCGAGGTGGATGAAGACAAAGGGAGAAAGCGCGACTAAGTTGATGAAGGTGCTGGTAGTGGGAAAGGTAAAGTTTAGTGGAGACCCCATCAAATGTGTCCCGGCTTCCGGAGAGTCCCGACTACACTTCATGTCTCCATAGCGTATGCCAAGTCGGGAGTCATGAATATTCAAGGTTCCTTGCTGCATACAATGCGCACTCCAGGGCTTTAGGAACAGCAAGCGAGACAGCTGACATCTTTGGTGGGTCTTCCCACAGTAGTAGCTAATATCAGCCATGGCAGGATATCAGCTCGGAAGTTCTATCTTCTTCGCGCAGTCGTGATGGGTGTGTCGCCTTCAATCCTGTTTCCCTTGGTATGGACAGTTCATCTCATCTATCTCACGGGGTACAAGCCCTATCTTCATCCTTTGGCAATGTTTCCTGGACCCAAATTTGCCGCTCTGAGCAAATGCCCTTATGCTGCGTCTGCAAAACCAGCAAGGCCTTCTCAGCGTTTGCTGGTGATATAGTGACCAGATCTCGCTTGGCTTCGACTACAGTCAGCTTGGTCTCGAAGGCTTCACCAACTCTTTGCACGATGCCTTTATAGCTAACACCGCCTTTGGACCCCGAAATCCTCGAATCTCAAACCAACCCCTTGATTCGAAAAGATCGAGTCATCCCCGCAGGAAGAATAGTTTCCATGACGATCGCAGATGTGCATTTCAACGATGAGACTTAGACCAACCGCAACCGGATTCAAACCGGAGGAATGGCTGGACGCAGTACCTCGAGCACCGGATGGGAGTCCATCGGAGAGGTAATTTCGTTGCATTCGGAAAGAGGAGTGAGGAGTTGTTTAGGGATCAAGTAAGCTCTTATCATTGATTGGAAAGAAAAATATGGAAGTGTGAAAGAAAGCTGATGTTAGGTGATTATGTAGAACTCCCTCAAAGCTCTGGGAACGATTATCCGAAAGTTTGACTCGAGATTGTACGACGCGGATATCACTGACGTATTCGTGGGACATGATTTCATTCTGCCGAGTCCGGAGCTGGACTTCAAAGGCACCAGGGAAAGTGGTTGGAACACCGACATGAACGAATGTGCTTAGAGGGAGAGGCAGTGTTAATAACACAGCAGGAATGGTTTGATACTTAGTCTACCACCCGCATTGTGGTTGTACTCTCCCAAACGCCCCTCTCACTTTTCTCGACCTCAGCTAAGTAGAACTTCCAACCCCATCCTCCCTGGCTGCTGGCGGAGAGCAAGAAGGCGCAATTTTCGGCGTTGAAGGTTCCACTCATACCCTCGCAGCTAGCGACAAGCGCACAGCCCCATCGGGGTCTCTCGGTAAGGTTTAGTGCAAATGCAGATTGAGCATGAGTCGCGAGCTGGTCGAGAACTTGATCAAAAGTAGAGGTCTTCGAAACATATACCGAGTTGCAGATTTTGCAGAGTATCGGCGGAGCTCTAGAGGATGTCAGACCGTGCGATTCCATCTCGATCTCTGTTGATCGTACCTTTCGATTCCATGTCTTATCTTGCCCGTGTGGTTGTCTTTCTTTGCCACTACACTACCCGGTTTGACAAGGACAATGGTCGCCATCACAGGGAAAGCATCGTGACCAATGTGGGTAGGCACCGCTGGCGAGCGTGGTAGTGGTCGAAGTCCCGTGACGTCGCTGTGATCTAATCTTCGGTCCGGCGAAGGCACAGCATTTATATCTCGATCAGGTTTCTTTCGTGGAGAATATGGCAAGCTCATTTCTGTTGTTATTGATGGTGTCGTTTGTTTGCTCTTGTTTAAACGGGTGGTGATGCGGTGGAACGCTTGCAGGTGATGCTCAGTTTCTCATACTGTCATGTGAATCGTGGCCTCAGCTCTGACGTCCCCGTCGAGATCGCCCACCTCTACCTCTCGCTCCCACATTTCCACGCTGCATCACAGGGCTGCTCCCAACGAGAGAGCTGTCGAGGGTAGAACTTGAAAGATTCAGACTGCCTGGACTCCGAGGAAGGGCATCTGCAGCGCTGACTTGTTGGCGCATTCTCTCTTGCAGGCCCGTAGCGATTGGTGGTGGGCCCATTTGACCTCTCTGCAGTGGAGTTCTCGCCGCTCGAGGCGCAGTACGGCCGACGAATGAATTCTGCAGCTCGGACTCGGAGTCGGTATCCTCCACCTCGGTGTCGGTATGCTGATAGCTGCCAGCCTCTGGTACTGAATCATCCAGGTCTCGCTCAAGTCCAAGGTCTTCCTCATCTCTTGCAGCACCAGTGAGCTCTGCCTCTTCCATCTCCGCATATTCGACTCCCTGCTCTGCTGTATCCTGCTCCGTGGTCTCCACTTGACTGCCCTCCATCATGCTGTCCTCGTTGAATGTGACTTCCGCACCAGTCATGTCGGCTTCAGGTATCTCAGCGTCCAAATCTACCTCCACTGCTTCCCCAGCTTCTTCCTCCTCAGCAGCGGTCGCTTCTTGCGCTTCTGCCTGGGCCTGGGCCTCCGCCAATTGCTGCTGTGCCTGCAGATCGCGCATCCCCGCCTCCTGACGCTCTATCTCAAGTTGCTCTTGACGCTCAATCTCTTCCTCATGCATAGCTTGCAGAGTCTTGGGCACACCAGGCGGCCGGATCCAAGTCGCGCCAAAGTCGGCAATATTGCCCCTGCGCCTCATGATGCTCGCCTCGTCTTGCTCGAGCAGACTGAGAGGGCTGCGCGCGTTGTAGGCCTTCTTTTCTTCCTCCCGCTGCTGGCGAAGACGATGCGCCTGGTGTGCGTTATGGCCATTGACGGGAGGCGGAGAGTCGGAGCGTGGGCGGAACGTAGTACGCAGCCATGTCGAATTATCGCCCTGGGGCGGAATCAACGGGAGGGAGAGCATGTTGGTGAGCTCACAATGCGGATGTTGAAGGTTGAAGACGCGTTGTTGACCTGAGGTTCGCGTGACCCGCCTTTGGATGTCGATATCCAGGAAGAGTGTGCATCACGGTTTTGAGCTGGAGTTAGGTGGATCCGCAGCTCTTCGGACTCCAGCGCCAGCTAGCTTTCCTTTCACATGCAACCGACGTTGACATTGTTCCGATCGGTTTATTGTCGGCTCAAGGCAAAACGCAGCTTCCATCCTGGTGTAGCTCTCATCACGCTAAAAACGGCCCGCGAAGCACGAGCCACGACGAGACATAGACCTTCGCATCTTCGCCTTTGCAATCCTTCTTCCTTTCTTCTTCATACTTAGTGAGTACCACCCAACGCACCCCACATTCTACACCACACAGTTGCTAACCTGTCTCTAGCCTTGTTGCCCTAAGTCAGCTCACGTATTGGCGAGGGCTGTAGCTAGTCCTGCATTGCACAGCGCGGAGACCAGCTACAGTGGCTGTCCTTCGGGGCCGCCAGCAGCGCAATTTTTGCTGGCCAACATCATCACCTACATGGTGACTTTTTTCATCAGACTGCCCGGGTCCACGTGGCCTGGGCCTGGAGAAGAAGCGCAACAATAGCGTGGAAGATCAGCATATTGGATGCTGCTTGTGGTCGTCGCCCACAGCCCTTCGCCGTGACGCTTACCCTGCCGCGCCTACCTCGACGGCGCAGAGAACCTCGAACGGTAGGACACCACGACATGTCTCTACATGAAGTCAAAGCATGCAGCACGGCCGCCGCCTGCTCGGACCCGATGATTCGGCTACATCGAATACTGTGCTGTGATGCTACATCCTCAGCACCTGGCATTTCCTGCTATCACCACCACGACGCCCAATCGCCACGATGCCTCTACAGCGCTCCAGACACACATCTCACGCCATGATAGCTCTCCTGAAGCTACGCGCACAACAGAAGGCAGAGATTAGGGGTGGGAATTCGAAAGATGAACTGTATACCACTTGGGGTGACAACACGCGTTTGGAGATTCTGCTTGATACTTGACAGCGGCCAGCAGATTTGTTCACCCGGCTCGGGAGGCGAGTGTCACATGTGCCTGACGCAACCAAGTTTGGAAGGTCAGCTGTCACCTCAAGCAGGCTGGGAGCAAGACTAGGGCCATGGAGGTTAAACAGAAGTGTCGCATTGGAGAATGCTCCTGCCCGTCAATATCGCGCATATGCGTCGGCCGTGGGGTGTGTGCTGCTGCCGCTGCCGAAAGCAGACGAGTTCGAACGTCATGATTGGAGCCATTTACAGCTCAGCAACTATCGTGACTGGCTTCTCGAGAGGGACGAAAAGTGCACGCTGGACATGCGAGACGCCAAGTGACAGCCTGTGGCCTTTTTCCTGCGTGTCTCGATTGCCCTCAACACTTGGAGTTTGCTGGTCGTCTCTGGGATTTCAACACACTGCAAAACACGTCGTTAGCCGCTCTTTCACGCATTAGAGCCTCACGCCTCACGTCTCTGAGTCTCCAGGCAAACGCTCCAAGACCTATTTTACGCTGTCAATCCAGAGAACGGGAGTGCCATTTCAAGCGTGTGAAATTCGAGCAGCGAGTGGGAACTTCTTCTGCGGCCGGTCTTTGCCCACTTTCACCAGAAGATGGGCCAAACTTCAAATGCCAGCAGCTCCCCTTGGATGTCGAACAGCATGTTAGCGATACCTGCGACCGGTTCCGCAAGGCTCTTGTGTTCGATTTCAGGTCAACGGTCGCGTCAGCCAGGACGTTCTCATCGCCTGCAACAGCATCGAAGCGTATCAGATGCTAATAGAATACTACAAGCCCTCGGGCTAGTAGCATTAACTGGGCCGATGGGCGCTGGAAAGTTCAGCCTGATAGACTGCATGTTCAACCAAACCGGAATAGCCAACGACACGTGGCACCAACATTGTTCACCGCTACTGCGCCCCTGCAACCGGCCAGAGCGAACTGTTCTGCGTCAATGCGAAATACTACAGCAACGACCAGGTCGGAAGTCAGGTTGTACTACATTGAGGAAGCATATATGAATACCTAGCAGTGAATGATCAAGATGACAACGAAGAGCTTAACGACAGCACAATGGAGGCCAAGTACGAGAGTGCCATTAACTTCATTCAAACAGTACTCTGTGGAAGGGAAGAAGAGGATTCTCAGTCCAAGGATGTTGCTTATTAATTCTTCAAGGAGCAGTACAGAAAGCAAGTGCCGCAGATTGACCTGGCCAAGAGATTGACAGCGCGTATCAAAAGACCATGGCCAAGGTGGACCCCAAGAGCAATGAGGTGCTCACTAATTCTGATCGCCAATACGCTGTGGTGGAGGAAGACGAGAAACGGGACCCTGAAGCTGTGATGGCGATTCACGCTACAGCGAATATCGCACTTTTGCTTGTTGAGGGACCGGTCAAGCGAAGGCTCAAAGAGTTCGAAGATTACGGATTCTCTGAAGGCTCGGAGACAAAGTCATCAGACGTGGCCATCACACGCGACAGGCGACCAATCTGAGATGGATACGTAATGGATTCAGAGGAACGCGGCTGGCTTCAGTTGCTAGACTGAAGGACTGTAGTGTGCGTTCGATAGGTTAGTTCTGTTCTTCGGCCAAGAGCCTCCCTACTGATTCAGAACAGCCAACATGCTAACGAGATAGACAGATAGCCTTCACTGAGCATCAACCAGTAGTCAGCACGCGACAGAACAGAGATCGATACACAAGAGTCTTCTTCTCTGGGGAGCTTGATAACATTGAACCAATTTGAGAAGGCCCGTCAGTTCAGTTCTGGATCATCACATGTCAGAGGGCCGTGCACCGAAGAAGCCATCTGGAGCTCGACTTCAGCTGTTCAACTCCACCTCAACTTGTTTCAACTTCTTTCCACACACACAGCTCCACGACCACAACCGCCTCGAATAACACTTGTCTACACCACCGCAGCGCTCTATAGACACCGTCAGAGCAGAAGGGATGGATAAGACTCCAGAGTCGAAGGGCGTTAAGCGGCTCGGCGGCCCACTCATGCCCTCTACGAGTGAGGACGACCACCAGCAAGATGGTGGCAGTAGTAAGTTGCCACACACGTCATGGTTTGAGCAAGTTGACTGACCTGGCACACAGGCCCAAAGCGCACGAAGCTCGACAATCAGCCTGACACTCGGTCTGACATTCAGTACGACACGCAGCCCGTCACTCAGCATGATACTCAGCCCGAGCCAAATGTGGCGGAAGAGATGAATTGGGATCAACAGCGCAAGTCTCATGATCAGTGGAAAAGCGACCTTTTTGTCCCTCAAGATAAGCAGGCATCGGATGCGCAGGTCGGGAACAACGGTATGTTGATTGTGCGCTCCTGGTTTGGCATTGCTAACATGTGACATAGGCGCCGAGGTGGAACCGACTCAAGTGACTGTCGAGAAGGCAGTGTCGCCGTCGCAGGAAGTGATCACTTCGGAGCCAGATTCTACCATCGAAGAGATTGAGATGCCTGGTCACGTCTTCGAAGAGGCAAAAGCACCAACAGCCTCACCAGAAGCGGCCATTGCCAGATCAGACATCACGAGCGACGACGAAATCACCTCGCAGAACGATTCCGACAGCCAAGAATTGGGCGCAGATCCCGAGCGCGCCACGAGGGAGACTTCGCACGATTCTTCTCCTACAGCGTATCGATACGTCGACCCGGACTTGCTCCAGAAGCGACAACGTGAGCTTCTATCCGCCTTGCCACAAGGCTTTCCACGCCTCGCATGCTATCTTCCGGATTTCAAGGAAGCCGAAGGTCTTGTGGAATTCGTCTGCGACAAATTCATTGCTGGAGCTCAGGAGATCAAGAAGCAAGGATACGTAAACGAAGAAATCGACGTTGTCTGTGATGACTTGGCGGCTTGCCGCTCGGCTGAAGACCAGTATGGTAAAGTCGGTCCTGTGGCATGTCTTGGAACCACCGGAAAAGGCAAGACGTCGACAATAAGTTCCCTTCTGGATGATCCGGACGCAGGCTTTGCCTCTGGAGGCAGCAAGCGTGGTACTTACATCTCCCATGAGTATTGCGCCGCTTCACCCGATGAAGCTGCCGATTTGGTGGTCGAGCTCTTCTATCTTAGCAGCGACAGGATCAAGACGCAGGTGAAGGAATTCGTTGCCAATATTCTTCGATACCTCCAACTACGCTCCGGCGAAGACGAAGACGGCAGCGACGATGAGCTCGATGAGGACGAATCAGCTCTGATTGACATAAAGGGCATAACAGCACTGGAATGCCTTGCTGATGTCTTGTGTGGAGAGCGGAGATTTGCAAACACACAATCAATCGAGGAGTTCTGTCGCGAGAAGCTTAAGCAGAACGCTTCCTCCGACAAAATCTTTAAGGAATTTATGCCGACTCTCAAGGCACTCATGGCACCCCGAAAGCGCGATCACGACGTCGAGACTCTTCGGGCGACAGAGTCCAAGGCACTTCACCAAAAGGTTAGGCAGCTGACGAGAGGAAGCATGAACAGACGCGGCGTGGATCGCGAGCCATCGGCATGGCCATTTGTCACCAAAGTACAGGTCCGCCAGGTTAACAAATACCTTGACGCGGGCCTCATCCTTGCCGATACCCCAGGTAGTGGCGACAACAATTACCATGTGGTCGAGAACACTCAGAGGTCCATCCAGGATGCTGGCACGATCATGATCATCACTCACCACCTTCGCTTCCACGACGACGAAGCGCTTCGGCAGCATCTGAAGACCTGCATACGACTTGGGAAGATGAACAATATCATACTCGTCCTAACCAAGATCGATGAGATGTCCAACTACAACGAGGAAGAGCGACTATCGCTCTCGCCGGAGGAGGCGGGCGAGCTGGATGCAGCTGAGACCAGACTTGAGGTACTGCGGCTCAAGGTTGAGGAAACCCGGCAGAAGAAGCAGAATGCGCGAGCAAATAAGATGCAGGATGACTACATGAGATACGACGGCGACCTCCAAGACCTCGAAGCAGCAGAGAAGAAAGCAGAGGCGCATCTCCGCCAGTCTCACATCATGCTGAGATGCAATGAGCTTCGACGACAGGCAACCGAAATGCTACGAGCCGTGGACAAGTCTGCATTCGCGCCAAAGCTCAAGGCATTCCCCATTTCGAACACACAATACCAGCTACATCTTTCGAACAATGGAAAGAAATGCCCTTTCCTCGACTTGGAAGCCACCGGAATTCCTAGTCTACGCCGAGAACTCCTCACAATTTCTGCTGGTGGCAAGTCCAGGACGCTGCAACACATTTGCACTAGGAAGCTTCCGTGGCTCTTCGCTGGTATTGAGCTCATTCTTACGAAGACGCCAGTCGAGCGAAAGGACAAGCTTCGAAATGTCGTCGCCCAATTGATTTGCGAGGAGTCTTCGATCTTTAAGGACATGAAGAGGGAGCTCATGAACTCCTACGACAAAACCATCATCAAAGCCATTTCCGACAACATTCCTGGTTGGAGCGAAGCATGTAGCGGCATGCTGAACATCGAGCTTTCCACGCTCCACGGAGGCACGCTCCTGGGAGTGTTGAGGCGAGATGGCAAGTGGAAGCACAAGAAGCTCGGCAAAGTCTTCAATCTGACCAAGAATATCCATGAAATCTTCTTGTTGGGGAATAAGAACAAGAAGATCGTCGTGGCCTTCGAGAAGTTTGGAGACTACTACTTAGGACTGGTTGTGAAGCAGTTCTACATGCGTCTCAAGGACAAGCTCGACAAGCTCCGCAAGACACTTACGGAAGGCCAATATGGCAAGGGAATGCGCATGGGCCCATTCTCACGGTACATCATGGGCACTTACGACGACATAGAGCATGCCATGGAGAAGCAGTTCGCCAAGCTCGAGGCTAAGATTACTTCAATCCGTCACGCACTCACTCTCGAGCCCATGAATGATGACTATGACGAGAAGAACGGTGTGAATGGCGAGATGTACCAGCACATTTTCGGCCGTGCTATGGGGCAGAGCTACAAAGAGAGCCGGACCGCCGACGACCACGGCAAGCTGAAAGGCAAGGCGGCCAAGAGGGCCCGTCTTGCTGTGATCGAGGCGAATTTGACCACGCCGGACAAGGAGAAGAACCTCTTCCATTGCGTTGGCAATATGGGCAGAGAGCGGCTTGAGAGCTTCTTCGATGAGTGGGCTGAGACGTCTGCCGACATCGTCAATGGAGCCTTTGCGAAGATCCAGCAGAACTTCGACACCCACTTTCGCGATCAACAAACCATCAAATCGGAAGACCAGCCTGAGGCCGAGGAAAAGCTCAAGAGCATGATTGCCGAAGCCAACAGTGTCATCGGCGGTCGCATGAAGGAGCTTATGGACACTTGCGCCAGCTTCGAACGGACCAATTCGACGGCTTAAGAAGCCACATCGGGGGAGGAAAGGTGAGGAGAAGGAACATACTTATGGAACGATACGACATGACACGACACGACACATTAAGAAACCTCGATGGGAGATGATTGCAATGTCTTTCAATTGCTCCAACAACTTTCAAAGAGCAAAGATGTACCAACGTGCGGGAGATCTACCTATTCGAGCCACGAGCCATCTTTCAGATAGCTAGTAGCCACAGGTCGCAAAAGAAAACAGCATCTTAGGAAAACCGCATCCCAGTGACTCTATTTCCTCGCTCCAGTACTTCGGTCCAAGTGACGATCATCGAGCAGTCCTCCTCTGGGTCCATTGAGCGAGTCGTTCGTCGAGCATCTTCTCGCTGGATTGAACGTCAACGCAGAACAGAACGAACCATGACTTTTCAACTTACGTGACGGCATACCCTTCGCTACGCAACTGCTCGCATAGCAAGCGACTGCCACCCGCTCTCTCAGTGCAGCCGCTGCTGTGTGACACCGCGAGGCTAAGTCTGATGCGTTCCCAGTCTTGTGAAGTTGGAGGTCGTAGTAAGGCGTCCTTGGGAGTTGGCGCTGTCTTGGCCGAAGGCATTGTGATCTGCTCACATTCGTTGCTGCTACATCTCTTTGAGCGGATGTGTTGATGTACGAGGGCTAATAAATATCATATCGGGTCGCCAGGACGTGAGCAGGCGGTCGTGCATCTAGACACGCTTCGGGCAGCTATTGGATTCGTTCCGCTGGTGGTACCCTGTCGGGTGTTTACTGGCCCGAACTGACGACAGGTACATATATCGAGAAGGCCCGAATGGACGACAGGTACATATATCAAGTACAGACCTGGACCTATCTCGCACGTGGAAAGGTTGCCCTCGTTTCTCAGATGCCTCACGGCCGTAAGATTTCGGGAGAGCCCTAAGCATCGATTGACTTAGGCAGCTGTGCAGGGTCCAGTTCATCCCGCTGCACTCTCTGAACATCCAGCCTCTCATCTGCAAGAGCTCGCTCCTGACTTTCGCTCAAGCCATCCAGGCTGAGCGTGATCTTCGGTCCGGTAAACCTATCACATGTAAGCTCTCCTGTCGTGGAGCAAGCTTTCGGACGAACGCATATGTAACTCACCATTTCCTCAAAGTAGTAAAGTAGCGCACCTCCCCAGACGGCTCCGTTAATCACCACCGTATAATTCATCGTATCTGCAGTTGGGGTCGGCCCGTCAACGGGAAACATCGCCAGTGTAGTCCCGAAAACAATGAATACTATGGCTATCCACGCAATAGCAATGCTGAAGCGGCCGGTGTAGAATGGTCCGGGTTTAAACTTCTTCTGGCCCCAGACGACTCGCGCAAAGATAGGTATACCCCATGCCACGTTATTGCCGGCGACGGCGAGCGAGAAGAGCGCCTGGGCTGCAGCTGGGGCAATGAGGGAAAGCAGACCAAGAACGGCGGCTACGAGCACGCATCCCCAGACTGCGCGAAGTGGAATGTATCCCATTCTCTGGCTAATCACGCGGAAGAATTTAGAGAACGGCAGAGCACCGTCTCGGCTAAATGCCCAGCTCTGGCGTGAAGCGGCGACTAGGATGCTGAGGCCCATGAGAAATTGCACAATGAAGAGCAGAGTCATCAGACCAATTGCACCAGACTTTCCAAGAGCATCATAGTAGATCTGCGCCATCGGTTGCCCAAACGGGGAGTTCAAAATACTGTCCAGATCGGTACTCATGCAAGCCGCGATGACAATGAGTATGATAAATCCGAAGATCCAGCAGCTCCCAATAGACATGATGATCCCGTATGGCACGGCTCTGGTAGCGTTCGCGGCCTCTTCGGCCATGTGTACGCAGCTGTCGAAGCCGCCAATCGTCCAGATGGGACTGAGCCATGCTAGCATGAAAGTCCAGCCCTTGGGCCAAGTAGTGAGGTTGTCAATCTCCGCGAAGATGAAGCGGCCATCGTTCCTTTGAGAAGCGCGTCCAATGGGCAGGGCTATGATAGTTGCAAGTATTAGGACGAAGTTGAGAATGACGAAAACGGTCTGCAGTTTCCCCATGATCTTGCCAAGAGTGCTCGCCAGACTGCCGTGCAGGAGCACACAGACTAGGAATACGGCATAGATCACACCATCAGATGGGCTCCATCGGCCGTCAGTAGCGATCGTTGGCACACTCAGAAGCATCAACGAGAACCCGTAGTCGATCGAACACAGGCCGCCGACCAGCCCAAGTGTATTGCTGTAGCCGACCAAGAAAGAGAGGGCATTTCGTGTCTTCGGGCTGCTGAAGTAGTGGGTCCACCAGTACAAACCTCCGGACGTCGGCATCGCACTTCCAAGATCTGCCATTGCAAGTCCTACAAAGAAAATGAACATGCTGGCAAGGAACCAGCTCCAGACCATACCTCCAGGGCCCGCGGGAATCGAATAGGTAAGCGTGCTAGCAATCGATGGTAGAAGGCCCATGATGGAGAATGAGAGCCCGAACACTTCTATCATGGTGAAGTTCCTACGCAATTCTTGCTTGTATCCAAGCTTGGCTAAGGCATTCTTAGTACGGCGTGTTGAAGGCAGGCGTAGACAGCACACTGACCGAGCATTGCGGCATCATCTTCGCTAGCCAGGCCTTCTGCTGCCACGCTCGCGGAAGCTTGCCGTCCTTTCGCATCTGGAATTGAGGAGTCTTCAGCCATTCTGGCAAGTATCAATAGATCAGAGACCGAAGTTGCATTCGAGAAGAAGTGATAGTGTGCCAGTAGATTAGTAGCGAAATCTCATGTATCTCAGCAACGCCGACAGTCGCTGAGGATCCGCGCTCGATTGTGCCGCATCAGCTTACTGGATCAGACGTAAGTACATGGCGCATGGCTTGAGATAGGCGAAAGTCCAGATAACGCAGGGCTGACATGCTTTGGCTGTGTTTTTGCCCGCCCTACCAACGCTACACCCAGCAGAGCATTGCCGCCGAAGACTGATGAGACATGGCCTCCCATCAGGTCAGCTTAATGACAGCTGATAAGGGAGGTGCAGCGGAAGAGACCTTCATTGGCTTCAGATTTTGATGGCTTCGTCGATGATGTTAGACAGAAAGCCGTCGCCCAGAACTGACGTTGGTGAGCTAGTGAGATCTACCGTAAGCTCGACACCGTCTCTCGGCTCGGACCTCCGGGCCGCGCGCTAGCTGGGATAGCGTGCACGTGACAGCAGTGTTTCGAGATTTCGGATCTGCTCCCTGACCTTTGTCGACATCCAAAGACATCCCTAGAGACCTTCAAAATGTTATCGAGACGCATGGTAAGATGAAGCTCACAAGCATGACAGAAGCTTTCGCTAATCCTCTAGCTCTCGCGTGAGGAGGAAGACGAGATCGGCGAGGAGAAAGAGGTCCGCCGGGAAGACCAAGAGAAGATCAATCGCTTCAGCCGGCTTCATTCCCGCGAGAAGACGCTTGAGGACGAGTTGAAGACCATGCAGGTGTGCGATCGGTGCTTCAACGAGTGCACAACCATCGCAATCCGCTGACGAACTCCAGAAAGACAAAGAAGACCTCGAAGAGATCTCGACAGAACTGGAACTGGCAGACGAAGACGAGAAAGCCCCGTACGATGCCCCGTCACCACGACACGATGCTGTTATTGGCGTTTGCTGATCGGAGTAGGTACAAGATCGGTGACACGTTCTTCAACCTCCCGGTTCCAGAAGTGCAGGAGCTCCTGTCTGCGTCTGTGGAGCGCATAGATGGGGATGTCTCTGCCGTGGAGGACAAGCTGGGCGAACTGCGAGAAGAAATGCAGGAATTGAAGGCCGCTCTTTACGGCCGCTTCGGAAAGAGCATCAATCTTGAAGCATGATCGGATTCTCGAGCGATTGGTGTCTATCCCTGAAACTGGCCCCGCCGCTTCGGACGTTCAATCGCCCAGTTGTCATGCCCCTCACGAAGTCATGCATCATCTGAAGAGATGGGTGCTACTGAGCAGGCTACTATAGAAGCCGAGAAACTCCGCAATAGTGGAAGCGAGCGGCAGAGAACCCGCGCCAGACCAGCGCCACTACACTGAACACGCTTCCCACCGAGGTCGGTAGTCTGTATGAAAACCCGTCGTTTTAGGACTTTTTGCAAAGCTCTTCCTCCCTCTCCGGCGGCATCATCAGATGGATAGATACTCTTCACCTATATTCGTATCCTCCGACTCTCCGAGACAGACTGCCTCCTGGTTGCTTCCCTCTGCCTCTGTGGGCAACTACTTCCACATACGCATGAAGCGCCCAGGAGAGAGCACTGAGAACAGTTTGCCAAGGGATTTACAAGCCAACTGATGACACTTTGAAAACGGCCATCGAGCTGTTTTCGTTTGCAGTGATGCTTGGACCATCTCTGACCTGTTCGAGAAGCGAGCCGCCATCTACACGCCCCACCCACCGATGATCATGGATGGGAGATGTGCCAAATACCCCACCCACTTCGCACAACACAAATTTGCTTGAAATACAACGAAAAAATCCGAGACTGCACCGCAAGCTGACCGTATGCCAAGATTCTTCAATGGGCTCGTTCAGCTAACGCACACAGCTGGCCGTGGTCGGTACTCAAGCTTGTCAGGAAAATTCCCACGGTTTTCGAGGCGATGAAACGGAAAATACTGCTTCGAGACATAACATCAGCGCAAGCGCACGAGAAGTCCTACGCTTGGTGGGACCGTCACAAATCCGAGGCGGAAAGTCAACCCTAGAACAGAAGGCATCGCGAAGCTCCTCCTCCTCCTCATTGTTGCTGAAGCCGAGACTGCGAGGCGAGGTCTGGAGATGGAAAAAGGTGATTGTAGGCCGGGGGAGATGATGCGGATAAGGAAAATGCAGGAATGCTACTTACTACCTTACGATCAGTCCACAGCAACAGCAACCACCACCACACCGATTCTTATTCTTATTCCTGACACGACATCCCCTCCACATCTTCAGCTCATCATCAGTTGGGTTTTATTCAGTAACGCTTCACCTCTCTCTCTCTCTCTCTCTCTGCAATGCAAAGCACAAAGGGCAGGCAAGAACAACGAATGTCGATCAGGAAGGTGCGGCGGAGATGCAGGTGATGGCCTTCCTCGGCACGTACCTCTAGCCGAGAAGTGTAGCATGCCGTTCTTTCCGTGGCAACCTGCAACACCCACACCCACATATACACGGCGGGCGCATGTGGCGCAGAAGTACATCGGATACCTTTTAGCACATTAGTGTAGCGAGCGTGCGCTCGATGTTGGTACCAGTGGAGCCTCTTAGCCGAATTACTCCACTCCACATACTCTCTCTACCTACTCTAAGGTAGGTAAAGACTAGGTGGTTATCGTACATTGCAGTAGTGTGGTAGTCTGTCGGACTCTGACAGCGCTTCTTGCCTTTACTATTCCGCCGCTCTCTTCGAATCTTGCCTTCCATTCTTCTTCCTGAGCACCTGATGATTTGAACCATGGCGACTTCGAAAGCAGAAGATCATCCGCCTGTAATCGCGGAAGTCAGCCAAGGCCTGCGTGGACGCGAAGACGCAGGCACCGTAATAACCGGCGAAAATACGAGCTCCAAAGCGGAACTCGAAGACGACCTAACCAGAGCCGACCCTGCAAGACAGACGTCCTCCTCCTCCTCCAAATCTTCAACGTCCTGTCCCAGTGCTCACGACGAAAATGTCGCCGCCACGCAAGAAGAGGCATACACCCTCGTTTCCTTTTCCAGAGGCGACCCCGAGAATCCGTATAATTGGAGTCAGAAGAAGAAGACGTATGTCCTTCTCACTTGTATCGCGCTGGTCATGAACAGCACGATCGGGAGCGCGTTGCCGTCAGGCGCATCGGAAGAGACCGCGGCGCATTTCGACATCACGAATCAATCGCTTTTAGTACTTCCGGTGTCGATCTTCTTGGTGGGATATGTCTTGGGTCCACTGGTGAGTATATCATTGTTGTACCATCTCGTTTCATGCTAAGTGATTCAAGGTCTTTGCGCCCATGAGCGAGTCGTTCGGCAGGAAATGGGTGGTCATGGGAACTTTTATAACTTTCACGGCTTTCAATCTGGGTTGCGCGCTCACCCCGACATTCGCCGGTCTCATCATCATGAGACTTCTGGTCGGTATCAGCGCATCAACCCCAATCTCCGTGATCGGGGGGATCTACGCCGATATCTACGGTACACCAAAGGCCCGCGGACGAGCGGTGACGGCATTCATGGCGGCGACGACGTGGGGACCATTGATTGGACCCATCATCAGCGGCTTTGTGGCGACGGTTTCCTGGAGATGGACGTACTGGGTGGCACTCATCATTGCTGGCGCGACATGGCCATTTCTGATATTCCTGCCCGAGACGTACGGACCTGTTCTGCTGCGGCGGCGGGCAGAGAGGCTGCGGGCGGCGAGCGGAGATGTCAGAGTCGTCGCTCCCGTGGAGATGGAAGAGAAGCAGAGTTGGGCCGAGTTCTGTACGGTGGTCCTGACCAGGCCAGTCCGGATGTTCCTGTTCGAGTGGATCGTGCTGTTCAGCTGCCTGTATCTCTCGGTGGCTTACGCCATCTTCTACATCTACTTCCAGGCGTATCCGATCATCTTCCAGGGCACATATGGGTTCACTGCGGGCGAAGAGGGCCTGACCTTCCTACCGATTGGCGTTGGGGCTGTGTTCGCCGGCGGCATCTACCTCTACTGGGAGCACTACCTGGACAAGGCCCGAAACCGACCTTGCCCACCGGCGTGGGCTCAGAAGGAGGAATACGTTCGACTCCCCATCGCCTGCCTCGGGGCTCCGCTGTTTGCCATCAGCCTGTTCTGGCTCGGATGGACCGCCAAGCCCGAGATCCACTGGATTGTGCCGACGCTGTCTGCACTTCCGTTTGGCATTGGCTTCCTCCTGATCTTTATGGCCTTGATCAATTACATTGTGGATGCATACGAAGTGTTCGCGGCGAGTGCCATGGGAGCGGCATCATGCTCGAGATCCATTTTTGGAGTGGTGCTGCCATTCGCGGCGCGGCCGATGTACGAAACCTTGGGAATCGGATGGGCGTGCAGTCTGTTTGGGTTTGTCAGCATTGCGATGGGGATTGTGCCCTTCTTCTTCATCCGGTACGGAGAGCAGATCCGAGCCAATAGCAAGTGGTGTCAGGAGTTGAAGCGGCAGAAGGGCGAAAGGGAGGAGGAGAGGGAGAGGCGGCAGATGGAAGGGCGAGAGCCGGAGGCGGAGGGCAGGACGGGGGGGCATCATCCGCGTGTGCATGGCGATGGCGATGGCGATGGCGAGAAACAAGTTTGAAGTGGAAGAATGCAGACGGGATGAGATGAAGCGCACTTGGCGCAGTCGTATGGTCGCATGTTCAAAGTGTCGGCAGCGAGATGAATCGTGGTGGGGCGGATGATTGGATGGCTCGCAGGCTCAGCGGCAGGTACACGGTACATCATCAGGTACATGTACCGGGCATGTATCGTATCGAATCGAGGAGATGAGAGGAGAGCCGGGGGCGAGTGGTGGTGGAGATGGTCGGATATCGCGTGTGCAGCGTGGTGGCTACCGGATGCAGAGCTACCAGACTTGCTCCTTCTCGAAGCGGTTGGTCGGCAGATTGCGAGCTGATGATGATGATGAGAATATATCGGGAAGGGATGGTAGATGCGCTCGTGTACGTACCTTGCAGCACGCAATCATCCAAACCAAACCACAAACCAATCGCTGTGGGGTCACAGGGGTCGTCTTGGTGCCCGGGAATTCGGATCGGATGCATGGCCATGAATCAATATTTCATGTGAGTAGTAGCTGTGGTCGTTCCATTCGATTCGTTTCGTTTCGCATGCCGAGTGCGACACGGCGCAGACGGGCATCGATTGGTCAGAGCGTCACTGGGCAGGAGCGCAAGGGCCAGTGGGGCAGTCCCAGATTCGCACCTTAAGGTACGTACCACAGTACCTTACGCAACGGACTCCCTGCGCCCATGAATTAATCATGGCAGCCATTCGGAGCATTTGATGGAGGATTCCTTCACTCCCCCTGCGTGGACCTGCGTTGGCCTGCGGAGAAAGCCTCATCTCAGCCCAGCGTGGGAGAGTGCTCCGTGCTCCGACCGTTACGTTTCGTCGGCAGGAGCATCTCCACGCCAACCTTAATTGAATGCCACACGGACGACGCGACCGAGGAATGCCAACACCCAACACAACACCCCATCTCCTGCGTCCACTGCTGCCGCCGACCGCCGCTTGCTGCTGCTGCTGCTGCTGCTGCCGCCTATTGCTGCCTATTGCTGCCGACTGCTCACCACTGCCAACCCAGTGGCCAGGCACAGCGACCGGGCCACACAGCAACCAGGCACAGACCAGACACACCCACCTGTTGACCTACCACTGCACCCTTCTGATGGCTCCGTCTGTGCGCCAAAAAGTCTTTTGCTGCTCTCAATGACATGACCCGCTCCGCTGGCGAGCCTTTCCCTGTCAGGCTTCTGCACCCTATCTATAGTTCTGCTGGAATAATCACCGCGTCCCTTTGCCTGCCAGAAAGCCAAAATCAACTGCTGCTGACCTGTCCGACTGAGAGCCAGAGTCAGAGCCAGAGCCAGAGCCAAGAGGCAGAGCTAGAGCCAGAGAGCCAGAGAGCCAGAGAGCCATCGCCGTCCCCCCTCTACTCGCCCATCATTACGGGTGCCCGTGCTGGCCCGCGCAGGATCGGATTGTGCTCCCATACTCTCACCTCCTCCCTCCCTCACGACACTCCCCTCCCTCTCGTTGCTGCTCCTGTGCATAGAACCGCTTCACACCCGCAGAAAACCCCATCCGAGCCCACGCACCCATCCACCCGCCCCGCCTTCACCGGACCACATCCTGACACCACCTCCCGCAAGACCGCAAGAAAACAAGATGCATTGAGCACAGTCACACAGAGCACGAGACTTCCACCCAAGTGCTGCAACATCCTCTAGCAAGCGTCACGGTGGGCGGACAATACGGCGATGGACTACGATCATATCCAGAATGGGTGAGACATCCTGACCTGGGCAATATCAGTCCCTATGGCTTACACTCCCCTCAGCGCTGTCGACTGGAACTTCCCTAGTCCATCGGCGACTCCCACCAATGCCTCGTTCGGTCACAATGTCTACAACACCCCAAAGACTGCAATCTTCCCCTCCCACTTTGCAGATGCCTTCTCTACGCCGCAGATGCCCGCCTATACCACCACTCCCCGGCAACTGGACCACCTCACGATGACGCCAGTGCAGAGACAGCATGCATCTGCCGAGACATTGCGCGACAACTACTACGCCAACGTCCCAGCCTCGTCATGCGGACCTCTCAACAACGTGCAACGATCAATGCCGCCGCCAAGCCATACTCCAACCGCCTACCAGGGTCAGATGACGAGCCCCGTCTACGGCAACATTCACTCGCAGTCCGCCAGTGCCATGTCCTTTGACACTTCGCAGATGCAGACTCCTCCACCCACTCGCGGTACCTCTGCCCGAAAGCCCACACCACCCCAGCAAGTAGCCTTCGGCACGCCCTCCACAATCGCTTCGAGGCGATTTGTGACTCCGCAGCAGGTACCCAATTCGAATATGCCATCGCAAGCGCAGCATGCACACATGCCGATGCAGTTCCCGCAGCTGCAGTTCTCATCCGATGTGTATCAATTTACCAATCTGGGCCCAGCTTCCGCCCCTGTCTTTCCCCAGACGCAATTGCTGTGGGAGCAGACTGCGAGCCCGAACATGTATAGCCAACAGGCTATGTTGGACGATCCGTTTGCGCCAATGACTTCACAGCCAAAGATTTGGCCACCAGTCTCCGCTGCACAGCAGAACAACGGGCAGCAGATGTCGTTCAGCACACCTGTGATGAATGGCTTTCAGGTTCAGCAGCAGCAGGCGCATAGACCCGCCTCCGCTGCACCAGTAGCACAGTCGCAGCCACATCTATCACCTCCCGTCATGACATGTGCTGTCGTCAATCCTTCGCTGGTCTATAGCTCTCCGGTCCGCCCAGCCATGCCTCCGGTTCGAGCCCACGAGAGCAAGCCGCGAGGTGCTGCGCCCAGACCTGAGCCAAAGAGAAAGGACAGCGGCGCCATAGATCACAAACGATCAGATACCGTAACCTCCACCATCTCGGCGCCCATACCTTCCAAGCCACAACTTCGCAGAAGCAACACAGCGGGCACGACTTCTCGGCCCCAAAGCGCGCATCCATCGGTAGGAAGTGATAGCCTGAGCCGCAGCAACAGCGTGAAGCAACCACCGCGGACCGTGTCGCCTTTGAAACGAATTGGAAAGCTGCCTCTCGGGTCCATCTCGGAGAACAAGAAGGCTCAGCTCAGAAGGTCGGTAATTCTTACTGTCGATGGCGAGACTGGTCTTGCTAGGACCGAGACACTGCCGCCAGACGACAGCCCGACCAAATCTATCCGCGACAGGTATCCTGCCTTGTTTGACAGTGACTCGAGCGATGAAGAGGGGGAAGAGGAGGACCTCACCCCTAGTCGGAGCACGTCGTTCAGTTTTGGCAGAAGCGAGGGAAGGAAGTCAAAGGCGGCGAAGCTGGACCCACCAGTGGAGAATCTGGAAGGCCTGAGCATACCGAGGTCCTCATCATCTGCTTCGATGAAAGTGACGCCGTCCAGGGCTGCAATTTCTGCGGCCGCACAACTCCGCAGAGGAGGCAGCTTGCGTAGACGGACACCTAGCCGCAATGGTCAACGGCGGAGCGCGGCTTCGGCAAACATTTCGATTGACACTGCTCCAATGGACCTGGCTGGAGATCGTAGATCATTGATGCTGAGCCCAGAAGAGCCCGGTCATGATTTCGATTGGGATAGCAGCTCACTTGCTGCCCATAATAGGAGGTGGAGCATGATGTCCTTGGAGCAACAGAACGTCTCTCCTACCCACCAGAACTCTGCAGTACAGCACACTCAGGCGAGCAATCGACGTCCACAGCAAGCTGGGCGTCTGTTACGATGCAGCTGTGGTGTCCCAGAAGAGCGAGGACAAGCCTTGGTGCAATGCCGCTCGTGCACTCAATGGGCTCATGCGCAATGTGTCGGACTGGATCCCACGGCAATACCTCCCACCTTCACGTGCTTCCTATGCACCAAACCAAATACCCGCAATCGTCCGGGCAAAGTCGGCAGTCGCAACAAGGCCTGACGCAACCATTTCAGCTTCTTTAGCGATACACCAACCGATCCGCCATCCCACCCCTCTATCAACTTCGCATACCACACGATGATCTGAGATGATAAGATGTGAGCAGAGCTTTCCCTCCCACAGTAGCGTTCAAGCGTTCCAGTCGGCACAGATTGACAATGACAAAATAATCATGAATGGAGGTCTTTGTACCAGAAAACAGAAGAATATCACACGAATCGCCCATTGGACGATGCTGATGGAAATTTACAATGAACCTGAAGAGGAATATCCGAGACCAAGATTTCTCTCCATTCGAGAGAGCATACTGCGTTGTACTCAGACCAGATAACAATGAGCATCATTTAGCAGCCAAGATCCCTATAATCAATCGTCTTTACTTGCGTTTTCCTGCCTTCGGCTGGTTTCGAAATCTTAGTGCCTACTGAGGTTCCCGGCTGCCGGCAGTCTTGGAAATCTCACGACAGCGAAAGTCTTCATCTCTCGAGGCAAAGAAATCCGGTAAGTGCAGACAAAATAGCTCCCAGTGTCCACCGCCAGCATGCCCGCCTCTTGCACAACGCGAGCGGGCGCGCTGCTTCCAGAATGTCGACCGCCGCCGGCCGCTCCCCCCAGGGCGGCGGCCGAACAAGCTGCTTGACCCACGAACCAAGGCCCGGCTGAAGATGAAGAAGATGTTAAGTTGTCGAGCATCGCCAAAATTCATTTAGAGCATGCTGACTTCCGATAACAGGCAAGACTACTAGGTGATGCTGAGGATGAGAGGAAGCGTTGCTCGAGCACGCGAGGAGCGGTTGGTGCAGAGAACCGTGAGACGTGAAAGGCTCGCGGGCTTAGGGAAGTTGGATAGGTAGGTAGCAAGACGTTGGATGCGCAGAGGCAGTTGTGGTGTCAAGACGCCGCAAGCTCATAGCGGAGAATCAGATCGGGATCAGTGCTCTCGCGTTTCCATTCATGCTCGGGAAGATGCCTTTTGTCGTATATTCGCCATGCGTCCACATGCTAGCTCGCTCGTGACAGGGGTCCGAAGGTCCGTGCATTTCATGTAGCTTAAGTACTTCCGCGACCGTCCAGCTTCCTCCTTCTCCTCCACATCAACAACTCCAAACGCTTACTCGAAACCTCTCCCACAAGTCGAGCATGATGGGGCACAAGGGGCGACCTTCGAGATTGCTGAACACGAAGAAAGCACCGGCCGCCGTGAAGAAGATGTAAGTCAAGGCATCAAGGAGGCGGACAATGGCACTCGGGCTGACCAACATAGCACTCTACAAAACGCCGCCAACTCGCCCTTCCTTCAACTTCCGCCTGAGGTCCGCAACAGGATCTACGCCTTCGCCCTGGGCGGTCGCACGCTCCACATATCCCGAGACGGGAGCAAAGCAGTGGGAATTCCACGCTTCAAAGCAACAGTCTGCCGTGCCGAAGCGACACACGTGCGACCTTGGGACCCCTCTGAGACTCACCGCAGATGCTCCCAGAAAGGATGCGACCTGGCGCTGGCGCTGCTGCGTTGCTCGAGGCAGATCTACTCGGAAGCCGCATTGATCCCGTACGCCGACAACATCTTCAGCTTTGGGTTTTGTAGGCCGAATGCCAAAATCCGCTTCTTCCAAGAAATCATGCCGGTGCAGAAGAGGGCCATCACAGCCGTCGAATTTGCCGTCAGTCTGGACGACTTGTCATGGTACCGAGATCATGTGTACTTGTCATGGTACCCAGATCATCGACCCTGCTCAGACTTGCCTGGCCTGCGAGTCTTATCGGTTGACCTCCACATTGGCGATGAGGCGTCCATGGAGAGTGTCTACACGCTTTGCGTCGATACGTACAAAGATGTTGGGCAAGCTCGGCTGACTTCGGCTCCGATCCGCCTGCGCAGTTCTGGAGTTGTAGGGCCCAGTGAGCTGCAGACATGGGCCGCCAAAATATCGGAGAGGCTTCTGAATGGCGCCGAGACTATTCGCTAGCGGAGAGGCGAAGAAGAGGGCCAAAGTACATGCAGCTCATGAGAAGCGCTCTGAGGAGAGAATTGTGCTTCGCGAGTCGCGAGGTTCTCGGACACACAAGTGATCGATTGGGGGGTCCGACCCGTCAATGCATCTCTGCACTCTGGGCAACGCCGAGCGACAATGCAGGCAGTGGTCCTCTCCGAGGCCGTGCGTCGGCCGGTAAAGTGCTCTTCAGCCACGGCATGCCTCCACGCTGCTTTTCTGAACTTCACAAATGTGCTGATGATATCGACACGAATTCGTCTGATCAGATCACGCCCTGAAGAGATGCAGAGGCGGTCAGATAGCAGCAATCGTATTGTAGTCTGCGATAGCACTCACGAATGTCCTCTGAGGACATCTTGAAGCAATCCGCTCAGCTCTTCGAAGCCGATCTTTCCATTCCCATCTCCCAAGCCCTTTTCCGCAGCCTTCTTATACACCCTTTGCATGTCTTCTTTCGTCACCTTGACGACCCAGCCTGTACTCGTGACCATTGTGAAAGCGCCATCCGCGCCCCTTCCAAGCACGCCGCTCGCATTGAGCATCTTCTCAACCCACACATCATCCGCATCTCCACCCACGGACCTAGCAACCTCGAACAGGTTACTCATCCTTTGCTCCTCCAATTCCCGCCTCACAATCGCAACAGCCGTCTCTCGCCTCGCGATTTCCTCCTCTCTTTCTCTTCGCTCCCGTTCGCGCTTTACCTCCCTCTCCTTCGCCTTCTTCGCCTCGAGCTTCGCCTCCGCAGCCTGCCTTCTCTCCCTCTCCGCAGCTTGTGCCGCCTCTCGCTCAGCTGCACCTTCTGCATCCCGAGCCCGTTGCGCTTCACCTTGCGCGCGTTGGAATTCGTGATACGCCCGTCGCTGATCCCTGCGAGCTAGAGATCTGGCTTTCTTGGCGCCCACATTCCGCTGACCAGGGGCATTTTCTGGTCCGGCTTCGTCGCCTCCTTCTTGCTGCTGCTGTTGTTGTTGTTGTTGCTGAAACTCGCGGAAATCTTCGTTATCGGGTCCCTCGTCCTGGCGATCTACTTCTTCTTCGAAACCGCGCTGATCTCCGTTTCCTGCTTGTTGAGCCTCGTGATCCGGCGGGTCATGCTGGTCATCTTCAGGCGCCACTTCGGCGTGTTGCACTGGCGTCTGCTCCTGATGGTCTGCTGTATTCCTCCTCTGGATCCAGTCTTGGATTTGCGGAGCAAAGTAAAGCAGGGCGCAGATGACACCAAGATGTACAAGGTCTTGGAGGAGAGGCGTTCCTGGTGTTGCGAATGGCAAGAGTCGGTTGAGGATCCCCAGAAACGAGGTCATGATGACGGTCTGAACTGGTTGCGGAGGTGTCGCGGTAGGAATCAAGTATAAGTCTGGTTGAGAATGATGCCGAGTCTAGTTGTTTGTGTGCGGGAGAGGAACATTCTAGGATGCTTCCACGGGCAGCCGGTATCGCGGCAATCGAGTCCGGAGCGATGTGTTCACTTGATATTGCTGCTCCTGTTCCTTTCCTTGTGCGCAGTGCGGATATGAACAGAGACGACGAGTTGATGGCGGAGTGCGAAAGAGGTGTTGAGTGGAGAGGTCTGTGGATTTGGACTAGGCCAAAAATAGTCAAGCGGTGACATCGAATTCTGAGACAAGGTCATTCAGCCTCACCTCACCTCATCAGCATCTGCACGTGACTTTCCCTCTCTCGCCTACTGTACGCCATCTATAGGCGTGAAGTCTTCGTGTAAAGCTACGGGGAGGATCCGTACTCCTCGACGGATCCACGAGATGAGAACACTCGAACCAGTCTTGGACCCTCAAGTTGAATCACGTCTACTTCTGTACTTCCATTCAATGGACGATAGCATTGCTCGAGCATCGAGCACAGAAACTGAACACTGCGACTCTTATCACCCAGTTCTCAATTGCTAGAAGTACAGCTTCGCCCCTCTATATCCTGTCATCGATGGCTTTGGAAGCCATGCCCGTAGCTTCATCATTGCCACAGAGGAGCCACAGTCTCCACTGCTCTCTCGATGACCGCACGAACGCGATCCTTCAACGTCTTATTCGCACACTCAACTTCCAGTTTCTCCAGCCATACCGTTGCGATGTTCTTGTCAACGCGAATCTCTACTCCCGGAACGGGAATACCCATTCCACGCAATCGCTCAATTTCATTCGCCTCTGCTTTTTCAATGGCGACAGCGTCCATGTTCTCGTCTTCCATACCATCTGCTGCAGAGCCATTGAGAGCCAAATTCTGAATCTTTGGTTTCTCAACGGGATTCACAGCGTCCTCTCCGAATTGCGCCTCGAGGAACAGGAACAGCCGCTCGAGCTTCTCTCTCGGACTGACGTTGGCGAGCGGGTTTTTGCTGAGGCCAAGAGCGCCATTGGCATGCTTCTCTTCGACAGGACTGTCGCCAAAATGGTCATGCTTGTGTTCGTGGAGTTTGCTGCTCTGCTTGACAGCTGCCGGAGAGCTTTCGACTGTAAGCAAGACCGCCATCACGGCGTCCGCAATGCTGTCGTTTGTCATGTTGCCTTCCCACTCAAGCTCTATTTCGCCATGTGCTTTGCAAACGACCCGTACCGCACCACCCATGACATCGAAAGCGGTATTGCCCTCTCGCGGGATCTCCTCATCGGCGGCTTCTGCGATGTTGCCATTAGTTTGTGGTTTGGGGGTTTCGTGCACGGTGACGGTTCCGAAAGTGCCTTCTAGCGCCCATTTGATGAGCTCGACGCCGGCTGCGCCGAGAGTGATGCGTTGCCGGCAGATGATGGTCGTCGTGGTCAGACCAGCATATTCCTTCAAGTCCTCCGGGGCCATGAGCGAGAGCTTAAAGTCATTTGAGACTAAGACTCCGCTCAGAATCTGCTCAGTACCTTCGGGTTTGAGCTTCTTGCTCTCGCCTTCGCCCTCGTCATCATTCTCGTCCGACGAGGGCGGGCTTGGTAGCAGCGTGGGCGGCTGGACCTGATTTGCCAATCGTCCAACAACACGGGCCACTTTGTCCTGCCGAAAGGTAATCTCGAGCGGCTTGCAATTCTGTGGTGCGTGGACTTCCATCTTGCCCGTTCCGAGAATCCGACTCCGGAGACGTGCCATGTTATGTCTTTCGCCGTGTACGAGAATGACGTGCGGAGCGCCGACCTCCTCGATGAACTCGCGATTCTCTTGACCATCGACGTGAACAGCAAAATTGAACTCTTCCACTGTACATCGTCGGGGAATCCGCTGTTCCTGTGCGTCTGCGTGACCGGCGCGCTTACCCAAAGTCATTGCGGCAGAGCGATTTGTTGTGACAGCCGGAATAGACTCTGGTTCTGACATGATGGTTTTGGCCATTGTCCCCTCCACGCTGTAACCTGTCACGATCACACCGTTTCTAGGATCAGGGGCCCATCGTTCCAGCAGTGCTCTGGAAGGACCATTTTGCATCATACCAGGACTAGCGAGGACAATGCTGCCTCCGACATCCTCAAAGCGTTCAACTCCTTTCAGTGCGCGGACGTATTGGAAGTCCCACGGACCTGCACTCCGTCCATCTCCTGAAGCTGCCGCGGCGCTTGCTTGAAATTTGGACTTGATATTGTCATTCATATCGTCCACGTAAGTCTGGTATACGACCATGACCTTTCTTGCAAGCCCCGAAGCATAGTAAATAGGAAATTTCCGATACTCTTCGTGCCTCTGCCAGTAATCTTCGAGGATGAGCAACAGTTCCTGAGTATTACCAACAGCGTTGGTTGGCATCAGAACTCTACCACCACGATTGAGAATGGTAGTGATAGACTTTATAAGTGAGTTCTCCCGCTCCTGTCGAGGTGTCCGAGTGCTAATGCCAAAGGTGGACTCCGCAATAAGACAGTCAACCCGAACGTTCTTCGGTACAGCGGCAGGTATCAGATGTCGATCGTTTTCTCTGCTGTAATCTCCGGTAAACAGGATGTTGAGGCCGGCAATTTCGATAAGGTACATGCAAGCTCCAAGGACATGACCCGCTGGGTAGGGTGTGAACCGGATGCCATTATGCGAATGTGTGGTATTGAAGCTGATGGTCTCAATCTTGCCAAGAGACGTAAGCATGTCCTGCTCGTTATAGAGTTGGCTTGCATAAGCATCCGTGCCAGTTGTAGAAGAGGTTGTATGAGTGTTGGAAACCCGAACAGCGTCTTGTGTGGTCCATTTGTACAGAGCCTTGGTAGGGTGCGTCATGAAGACTCGACCCTGAAACTTCGTCTTGGTGAGGACGTATGGTAATGAGGCCGCATGATCCTGGTGGAAACTGAGGAGAGGACGTTAGTTGCGTGGATCAACGACTACATGCTCTTCCAACCCGGTTGTTGTGCTGGTGGGATTGACACTGCGGCAGACTGCGTAAGAGAAGAAAGGAGACGGCTGCGATATACAATGGCATACAGCTGCTACAAAAACTGCTACACTATTGCACCCAAGTTCCGGTAGTCAGATAGGGGACGCTTGAAACATAATGCGCCAGCCAGATTCGGGGGTTGATGTCTGCCGCAGTGTCCAATTTCTCACTCATCCGCATCCGCTGAAGCAAGGAAATCCGCACTTACTGTGTGATGAGGAGTATGTCGACATTCTCCAATGGAAAGTCGTCGAAGAAGGGCAGCTGGTTGACGCCTTCGTAGGACGGGTGCAGACCAGCGTCGAGCATGACCGTCTTTCCCTTGTATTGTACGATATGGCATGATCTTCCCACCTCATTGCCGCCACCCAACGCGACGAACATGAGTTGATCTGATGGGTCGACGGTCTCCTCTTCTGCCGGCTTCGCATTCATGGCCGCGTGAGGGCGCTTGGTAGCCATCTTGGCTAGGGGCGCGCACGGCGCGCTGATGTCGTCGTGTCTCCCAGTAATCGAGTCGACGTGAAGTGCGGTATGGAACGTCGATCTGATGATATCCTCGCAGGCGCGTGTACGTGTGGATTTAGATGAAGCGAGGAGTGAGTGGGTTGTTGTCGCGAACAATGGTGAAGCGCACGAGTGACATGAGTAGAAGTAAGCTTCTGAGTGGTCCGTGCTCTCGAATCTTCCCTTCCCGTCCGCAGTCGCATGGAAGCCTCCACTGCCGACTGAACTTCACACATCGACACAACACCAACCCACGGCCAGCGCGCCGCACAACTAATTTCCATATTGACATTCGACTCGGTATTACGACTCCGAACGCCCGATCCGCCGAGATTTACTGGATTCCGCCGACGGAGAAGAGACATCTGATGAGGGCCGCGCCAGCACCGACCGAGTGAGGAGGCACCTCGCGTGCTCGTTGACGAGCTCACGTTGCGCCGACACGACACCATTTCCATCTGAGCGGCGGCGAGGTCGCGACAGAAATCCAGCATGTCGTACTCCATGTCGCCGCCCGCCCAGAAGCCGGCGCCGTACTCTCCATACCAGGCGGCCGGCTCGCCCACGAACAACCAGTCACCATACGCACCTCCCGCCAAGCGACCGCGCCTCTCGCCCGATGCCAAATCACCCAATGGCGCATCGCCATATTCCAATCCGCCGCATGGTCTACCAATGCAGTATGGCAATCCCTACGCTCAGCAGGGCGTGCAGTCGCCTTACAGCCCTGGCTCCTTCGCAGGTTCTCCGCAAGGCTCTTTCAACACTCCGCAGCCGTACCAGCAGCAGCAGCAGATGCCTTGGAACAACTATCAGACGCCACCGCCGACGCAACAAAGACCGTCGCATACGAGTCCTCCTCCGGCAAATAGCAGTCGCGACATGCCACCTCCCCCTCGACCGAACAAGGACGACCGGGATGAGAAGGCTGGTATCGATGATATCAATGACAGCCTGTTCATGAGTGGCATCAATCTGAAAGATGAGGAGAATTATTTGCACAATACATACAACAACCGGCATGTGAATGACAGCTTTGCGACGAACCAGTCCACGTCGTTCGGCTCGAGCACTGTGGGCTCGAACAACAACAGTTTCAACATGCTCACTCAAGGTACGTCTTTTGGTAGTCAAGGTCAAGACGGCGGCAGACTGCAGCCGCGGTCACAAGAAGACATCGAGAACGAGCAGAAGAGCAAGCGCGAGCAGGCTGCACGGGCAAGGGCGGAGAAGGAGCAACATCATCTCAACAATCAATTCTTGCTTGGCAACTGCGTGAGAAATCGAATGCACAAATTGGCTACGGACAATGCGGTAAGAGTGGATGTGCAAGGCGTGTACGTCCGGAATCCCGATCCGTACGAGACGAAAGTCATGGTCAACAGAGGAGGTACAGAAGGCGTCGCTGCGGTAGAGACGAAGCCCGAGGCTATGATTGAAGCTGGAGTACCATATGAGAACATCCTCTCTCTTATCAGCCTCGCCGCTGGAGAGCGCTTAAGAGGTCTTGTCGATGATGCATTTGGCCTGGCACGCGCGAGAAGATACGGAGATCACGGTTGTGTAGTACCTCCAGAATTTGCCGACATTGCTGAGGGCCAGGGTAAGAAGTCTCATGAGACAGTGGTACCAGAGAGTGTGACCGGCACGCAATGGGACAAGGCGGACGATGATGGTGCGAATGGTGTGAATGGTGAACATCCGGCGAACAGCGACAAGGCGACTCCGCAGCCCGTGGAGACAATATCATTCCAAGGCACGCTCAACGCTCGGCTGCGCGAGCTGGCAGAGCGCGACAAGCAAGCCGAGAAGGAACGGGCTAAGAAACGCGAGGCACGAAAACGCAATGCAGACAGTGCGGCAGGTGATGAGAGCACTCCTGCCGCTACGACACCTGCGGAGACACCGGCAGTCGGGCCCGTTGAAGCCGCAGCGCCGGTCAAGATGAGCAAGAAAGAAATGAATAAGAAGAACAAGGAGCAACAGACTGCTGAAGCGCAGTCGTTCACGCAATCCAACCGGACCGCTGCGATGATGGCGATGGGCGGTAAGAAGTCAAAGTATTCATGGATGAGTGGAGGTGCGAACAACTTGCCCACGAACCGCTTTGCTAGACCCGCTGGCGGCAGTGGGACTGCGACGCCAAAGGCACAGCCTGAGCCCGCAGCCGCGGTGGCAGGAAAGGATCAAGAAGTCAAAGTACCGACTTGGGGCGACTGGCGCGAAGACGGCGTCGATGGCAAAGGCATTCAGCTTCGGGATTGGGTGCTCGTGCTGGAGCGAGATGGGCGTGAGAAGCGCGCTCTTCAACAGGCTGTGAACAAGCTCTCTTGAGTCTTGTTGCATGATATTTCATCACCAGATTGGGAATGGAGGCTGGTCTGCTTTTCAACCAGAAAGGATATGCTTTTCGATATGGGAGGTCCACTGGGGATTGCACTTCAGCGTAGGCGTTTGAGGGACCCGAATCGGAGCGCATCATGGAGAGCAGTTGAGTACGAGTTTGTCCCTGCTCCACTTTTCCATTCATCAAAGCGAATTCTGAAAGGAGAGAAGCGTTCTTGATACCAACAGATACCAGAAATGCAAAAACTACTATTCCTTATGGACGTGTGCGACCATGGGCCGAGCGAGACATGGCTTAGGCTGCGTTGTGGTTCCACGTTGTTTGTTGGCGTTGGTGCGAGTTACACCTGGCTTTACCCCTGTCTCACTGCCACGTTTTGTTGCTCTTTCAGGAGATTTGCGTATGACAGCTTGCTTGAGAAAGGAGTGTGCCCCATCACATATCTTGGCGCAAGGAGATGAAGTGAGCTCATAATGGCACATTCCTGCGTCTTGACCTTGCGCGCGCGCTCCACGTCGCTCGCTGAGGTCATTATTGTCAATAATAAACAAACCACTTCCAGCTCAACGCTCGCATCACAACGGGCAACGAACGGACAACATACGCGCACGGCACTTCCCAGGCCAGCTTACAAGGCATATCATCGCCATCCATCCCATCAACACTTCGACATTCCATCCCACCACCATGCTCTGCCCTCTCCTCATCCTCGTCCTCGCCCTCGCGGCCAGCACCTTCGTCTCCGCCCGCCCTTCATCCTCAGCGCCCGCACCAGCTCCCCGTCGCCTGGGCCCATCCCTCAGCGAATTCCTCGGCTCCCTCGCGAAGCCAGCCGAAGAAGAAACGAAACGCCAGACTTCATACGATGCCACCACGGTGGAAATGTGCACGGGAACTCAGTTCACCGGGCAGTGCTATAACGCCACCTGGCCGACGGACGAGTGTATCGACCTGAAGGGGTAGTAAGTGAAAAATTTTGCATGAAAAACGTGAAGAAGAAGAAAGAAGAGTGTAGATAACTGATGTTGGATGGGGACCGATCCCCCCCTTTCAGTACCGGAAAAGTCAAATCTTTTCAACCCGTTTCGGATGCCGATTGCTTCTTGACGCAGTGAGTCCTCCTCCTCCTCCTCCTCTCCCTTCATCTTATTAGCAAGTGAATTCATTTCTTGGGACGCGATGTATGTTGAGCAAAATTCGGGGGAATTTTACAGGAAGCAATGCGACAGCTCGGTCCCCTTTGTGGATATCGACGACTCGGCGTCTCAGGCTCTGATTGCCGGCGACTTGACGATTTACGAGTGGATTGGGAATGTGGCGAGCTATATTTGCTTCGCGGATAAGGACGCGGCGGAGAGATACGTGAGGCTGCAGAGACTGGGTCAGAGTGGGGGCGAATGAGTCGAAGGAGACCGAGAGCGGGGGCAGGGAAGCGATGCCATGAGATGACAGCTACGAGTCGTCCTTGAGCTTCCAATGAGCATATGAGACGATCACCTACGAGGCAAAAAGGCGAGGCCTTTTGATTCAAATTCAAGAAGCACACCGTTCTGAGTGCTACGTACTCTCTTGTGTTGAGCCGGAGGCCGCTTTGGCAGCACAGGCAAGGCTCAATGCCGATTAGGAGCAGAGTTGATAGGTCTCGTATCTGCAAGCCGTAAACATCAAAAGCACACGCATCCTTCCCAATCTCAATTTATCTCCTCTTCCAAGATACCACTCTCGCATAGCTTAGCCTCGTGGTAGTCCTGGAGAAACTCCTATTCCCTGACTAGGCACTTTCCAGGCGTGGGTAATCGCCGGTCGGTGGGTTCGCGTGATCCAGCTGCGCGCCAGTGGTGTACTGGAAGACTGCAAGAGAGGCCTCCTGGCCGCCTTTAGTCGCAATACCCGCATAATGGCCATTCATGCGGAAGCCCATCCAGCCGACAAGCCAAGTCTGCATCCAATCCAGCTTGCGCGGATTCGTGTACGGGAAGTTGACCATGACGTTCTTGATGAGTCTCGTGGGGCTGACGCCCTCTAATTCGTCTCCTTGCGTATCGTAGTTGCCGCGTTCCAGGTAGTCAGGGTCGAGCATGGCCATCATCTTGTCCAGCAAGGACTTGCCGACGCCCTTTATAAGGTGCTCCTTGTCGACGAAGATGCCCACCTCGCAGGTGAATCGGTAGATGCCGTTCACACCATTGAACTCGTCGGCAAACGCGAAGCCCACGATCCTGTCAGACAGAACGAGATCCTCCTGACCTCTCTTCCGAGCCTTGATTACCTCGCCTTTGACGCAAGCAACGATGAAAGGAAGACTCTTCTGCTTGACACTCCAGAAGCGATCCACCATGTTGTCTGTTGTCACGCGTTCCATTTCTGGTGTGACGCATGCGGTGTCGACGTAGTGGTTGTAGATATTGCGAATCGCCGCGGCGTCGTCAGGATGAGCCACGCGAAGAAATATCTTTTTGCTCGGTGCAAAGGTCCTTGGGCTCTGTGGTGGTGCTTCGGTCTCGAGCCTCTTCAATTCCAGCCTCTTCTTCTTGTTTGCCTTCTTCTGCTGCTTCTCAAGCTTGTGCTGCTTTTTGGCTATCTCATAATTTCTGCGATTCTCGGCTGCAAAGTCGCTTCCTCTGTCGTTTTCACGTTGGAGTCTCTCTTCGGAAGTCTCGGTAGGGTCAGGTCCAAGCACTTCCGGCTGCTCCAGGACTTGTAAGAATTGACCGCCTTTCACGATATTCTCCCACCAAGGCTTCACACCATCAAGATCACCGTCGTCCGCGGTTTCGGGAGTCTTGCACTTGATGAAATCCTTCCAGAAGTCCTGAGGTGCTTGTTTTCCAAAAGGAATATCGATCCAGTAGCGAGGGACGATGTCGCCCATCGGTTCCAAAGTGGGATTCTCTGCATTCTCGAGTTTCTGCTGGCCAGGATCTCCATTGCTACTAGTTTCTTGGTATGATGGAGGCGGCACTTGCTCACTCATCTCCGTGCCGAAGTCCTCCACAGATCGTGCGGATCGTACGCCGGTCGTGCCAAAATAGAAGGTGACGTTCTCTACTGTATGCAGCTCGTGCAGAGTGACCTTCGGGTTGGTAGTCTTCATCTCCTTTTCGATGTTGCTCATCCAAGCATCAATGTGCTCTGCAGACTGTCCATCTCGAAAAGCCGGACGACTATCCCAGTCGATTGGCGCCGGTGCTAGCTGACCATTCCAGTCCCGCAGTCCTTGTTCCGCTCTTGCTTGTGCAGCTTCCTTCTCCCAGCCCTTGTCCGCCGTAGATCCAGAGGAGTGCTCGTTCGCGTTGGGCGACTCGTGCCAATCTGTGTCCCAGCGCGTCGGGTCAGGCTTGGGAAAGTCGGCTTTGGTAGGCCATCGATTGCTTCTGGAGCCTGAACCGCCTCCACCGGCACGTCCACGGCCTCTGCCACGGCCCTGGTGCCCGCCGCGGCCATTGCGCTTTGGTTCACACTTGGTCCAACCGTCTTGAGCTGTCGGCTGCGAGGACCAGCCATTCCATCCATTCTGAGTCGCAGGCTTCGCACCCGATCCGCCCTGTTTGTCGCTCTTTGCTGGCTTCGGTTCGCTCACCCTGACATTGAGCTTCGCGAGCTTCTCGGTGATCTCTGGGCGGGGTCTGCGGTGCGGCGGCACGGCTGCCATGGTGGTGGTCGTCGCCATGGTGGCCATGGAGCGAGTGAGTTGTGCGGTCGTTGTGTTGTATGCGGGCGTGTTTGGCGCTGAAATAGTTGGAGTGATGGCGGCAGATGGAGATTGTTTGGTAGTCGCCGGAGATGCAGACAGCCGCGAAGTTGACAATGGGTTTTCGGCAGCTATTGTGCGCGGGTGAATTCCAGCGGAGATTGAAGCTTCAGCAACAAATGTTGCCGAGTCGTTCCTTCCATATGCGGGCGGCTCGGCTATGGCTCCGTTTGCCCCACATTCACATGCCAAAAAGCTTGTCTCCTGTTTCTTTTGGCCGTGGCGCCGCCCGCGATTTCGTCGAGGCTTAGTCGACTCGAGCAGAAATGTACCATATCCAGGTCGAGGCTGTCCATACAGGAGCGTCGCCATGACAGTGCTGCCGTCTCGGATATCAAGTCGTCTTCTTCTTCCTTGGATGCTCTGACTCCCACTTGCGATAGGCCTCGCTGTGCTTCTTGGCCTTTGATACGCGGTCCGGGTCGTCGTGCTTCCACATGCCCCATACAACGGAGACCACGAGGAGCATGAAGGTCAGAAGAGTGCCGTTACCTCGTTCGCGAGACATGTGCTAATATTTGCGGAAGGGATCGTCTAGCAGGAATGTTAGTAAGCTAGCATGCATGCATCAAGGGTTCACGGAAATTTGAATCTCTGCGGGAGCTCACGCGGGCTTCTTTTATCGTCGCCGTTCTGTCTTCTCTTCGAGTACTGCTTTGACTTCGCGTTTTGCTTGTGTGCCTCCCACAACTCCCAGATGATGCAAGCACTCACGATCACAAGGGTCAGAAGAGTCCCTTTCATGTGCCAGCCGATGTACAGGAAGCGGTCGTTTGCCCAAAAGGTCGGCGAGTTCAGCTTCTGACTCGAGGCGGACAGACAATGCGTCTCGGGTTCGTAATCAGGGTCGTGATAGTGCTTCGAGCGGCTGTGCTTCTTTGGCTTCGGCTGGAGATGATTGCGTGACTTTTGGCTTGGTATAGAGCTCGAGAGACGCCCGGAAGTCCAAGATAACGCCGGCGACGAAGGCGAGAAGGTTTGGAAGCGTGCCTTTGTCGATGTCACCAACCAAGGGTGATTACAGTGGAAGTCGAAGTTGCAAGGAAGCGTAGTGTCAAGGTAACCAAGTGTCTGTGGTTTGATCGAAGTGTGAAAGATACGGCCCTGTCAAGTTCAGTGAGAGCCCTGGCCATGTGCCTGTATTGGCATGTGAACAAACGTCGTGGTCCGTGCGCGCGTTCTTCCGTGAAGTGAAAGTCCTCAAATCCCGGCGTTGCTTCTTCCTCCTTCGTCAAAATCTTGCAACCCAGCGAAGATGCTGTCGATTTTGCGCAAAGCTCGTCTGAAAGACAAGGAGATGAGGATCCTGATGCTGTAAGTCTCATGACATGCTCTGCCGATCTCGAGACTGAGAACGCAGTGGCCTCGACAACGCTGGGAAGACCACCATTGTGAAGAAGATCATGAACGAGGATGTGAACGAAGTCAGCCCGACACTAGGCTTCATTATCAAAACGATTGACTACAATGGGTAAGTATTCCTCTTTCAATATACTGTGTACAAGAAGCTAATGGAAAAGATACAAACTGAACATCTGTCCGTTCTCCGGGCTAGGGACTCCATTTGCTCGCTGACCTTGATAGGGGACGTCGGGGGTCAGAAGACCCTACGAACATACTGGAAGAACTATTTCGAGAAGACCGACACGCTCATCTGGGTGGTGGACGCGACGGATCGGGAGCGTATCAATGACTGTCGTCAGGAGCTGAGTGGTCTTCTCCTACAAGAGGTGACGGCGGCCCCCATCTGGTGTATCCCCTGATCCCATCTCACTGATGCGCTGCAGCGGCTCATGGGTGCGTCTCTCCTGGTGTTCAAGAACAAGAGCGATATTGCAGGTTGCATGACCGAAGACGAGATTCGCGAGGTGAGCGCGTCCGACCGCAGCCAGGGACAGAAAAGTCTACTTACCTAAGCACATTCTCAGGCTTTACAACTGGACAATATTCGGACGCACAAATGGCAGATCCTGCCATGCTCGGCGATGACGGGCCTCAATCTGCTCGAAGGTCTCCAGTGGGTTGTGCAGGACGCCAAAGACCGGCTCTTCCTTTACTGAAGTCGCAGTCGCCGAGAGAGAGGCAGACCGGCTGATTTTGGTTATTGCTTGGCGGGCGACAGGACACCATATCGGGCTAGCTCATCGAAACGTCCGGCAATCGCGAAGCGTAATCGCTCGCGCAACTTGACGGGACGACTGAGCGGTTGACGACGCTGTGGAAGCGGTAGAATGCCGAGGGTAGAATGGTGCTCATGCAGCCAGTGAGCTTGGATTGTGAGGTGCAGGAAAGTTGCGGATGGAGAAAGGAAGGGCAGCATTCCAGCAGCGGGACGACAATCAGAAGATTCAATTCTTGGGATCCGCTCACACCCAGGCAAGGCATTTCGTTCGGGCAGGAGAAAGGGAGACGCAAAGTGTATTTTCCTGTGCTTTCATCGTACCTCGTGCCTTCTCCATGATTCTACCATTATTATTCTGCAGCGAAAAAGTCAACGCCATCCCATGGTTTGAATCGGATTGTATGTAGGTAGACGAGCCGAGCCTGTTGCTGTTTCAAGGTCCCGGAGCTGCTTGTCTGGTCGCGCATCCCTGCACACTGTCCCGTCCATGCTGCCCTGCCTGCCGCTGCCATTAAAACATGGCCAATGTCAACAAGCGCACCGACGACCCCTCTTCACACGCGCCGAATCACCCAGACGTGCGCCGACTGCACGATGATACCGATCTCGACCCCGCAGCGTTCCTGAAGAGTGTCAGAGAACTGTCGGAGAAGCGTGAACGTGAAGACGCGGAGCGGGTGCGCAAACTGGAGGAAGAGATCCAAAAGGGGCGGGAAGAACGTGCGGCCAGGAGAGCTGGTGAGTCCAAGCAGGCGTCCGTGTCGCTGTCCGGAGTATTTGGGTGGTGGTGATGGTGATGGTGGTGGTGTTGTCGTGAGACGACGCTGGACACCTCCACTGCCCTTCTCCCTCCGTTGCTGTGTTTACAGCGGCGCAGCTTCCTGCTACACAACAGCACCGCGAAATCATACTCCACCAAACAACCCGCGCAAGGGCTGACACTTCATTCACCGTCTAGACCGTGCACGATCCATCTTGCCCGAAAAACAATCCGTCGTATCAACCCCCACAACTCGAGCCCTTTCGCGGGCCAACACCAATGCTACTCGCGTCAGCTCGCCGCCGGTGACCACGACCCCGCCTGCTTCCTCCAACGAACCCAGAAACATCTCTACCGACGCAGCGAACATGGAGCCTGAAAAGGAAGCTACCCCCGGGGCGGGTGATGTCCCCGAATTCAAGGGCTTCGGATCTATCAAGAGGTCGAGCACAGCATCTTCCGCACGGAGCTCAGCAGTCTCCACGCAAGATACACCTACACAAAGCGCCTCCAATCTGGCACGCTCAGGTACGCTGTCGTGGCAGCAGCGGCGGACGCCGGGATCGAAGCTCGGTGGTAGCAGACCGCAGTCACTAGTGGCAACGGAGACCAAGACGACAAGCGGCAGTGCGCCTGGTGATGAGTCTGAGCCGAGTCGGGACCAGATCGCGGCATCATTGGGCGCAAGAGAGCCTTCATGGTTCAAGCAGACGGCAGACCGAGGCATCGGCAACGCAGCGTACAGAAAGAGCAGGGACGAAGCCGGTCGCGCTGAGAGTCCATTCTCTGGGAGAAGAGGTCTGCCAGGAATGTCGAGAGAGTCATCTATAGAGCCGGAGAGCCAGGGTAGCCCGCCCACATCGGCCAGCATAAGATCAGACCTTGTGTCAAGAGGAGGATCGGCTCGCGACAGCACGTTTTCGAATGGCAGCAGATACTCCGCCACGTCTTCATCTAGCAATAACAAGCCCGACCTGACACCTCTTATCACAGCAGACGAAGATCAACAGCGTGCTTCGCCAGCGTTCGACCAAGCCTCGACGACCAGTGGCGACTCTGGCAGCCTTGGGCGGACCATGACGATGTCTAGCTCTCAGGCCCGGATCACAAACGCTTCTGATCGGCCGGCATCTCCCACCAAGGGTATGGGTGGCTTCGTGCAGAGCGCGATGATGAGGCGGACGGACAGCCAGAACAAGCGTTGGAGTGCCCAACCAAGTGCCAGTCTAAGCAGAGGCAACTCTGTGGCAAGCACACGTAGCGGCTTCGGTGGCCTTCAAGGATCGCATAGCATGCCGAAACTTGAGCCCACCCCTGGGAGCAGAGACGGTAGTGACGAGCCTACTTCCCGGCCTAACAGCTCTAGCAATGATCTGACTGGTCTGGTGAACAACGCCTCGCAAGACAGCGACGGCTTCGTCAAGCCAGCGCTACCGCACCACAGTCGCAGCAAGTCGGTGGCTTCCAACTACAGCACGAATGACGATGGAGGTGTGCCACAGTCGCCGGGCAGCCCCTCGAAGCGTTTCAGCCCAAACAAGTCGAGCTGGATCGAGAGCTCCCTACTAACAAAGCCGGAGTCGCCAAAGCCTGCTGCGTCCAAGAACTCCCAACCGAGCTGGATGGCAGATCTGGCAAAAGCAAAGGCACAGCGCGCGAGCGTAGACATGTCCTCTGCAGTTAAGTCTACTGGAGAAGAAGGCTCAAGACCGCCTTCAAGACCTGGCTCGCCGACAAAAAGCACACCATTCGGCCCTGCGCTGATCAAGCGTTCAGAGTCCAGAGCAGAGACAAAACCTCAATCGAGCACCCCTAAGTCGACTGAAGCTGATGGCTCTCGTTCAGGATCTCCGTCGAAGGTAACGCCATTTGGACAAGATGTTTCGAATTCTTTCGAGTCGCGGGATCTGCCTAGGACGCCTCAATCTTCAACGTCTACGACAAATCTTAGATCTCTTCGACTTGCCGATAAGTTTACCAGTGCCCCTGCCGAGCCTTTACCATCATCAGGGGCGGAAGTAGCTGAAGCAAGCGACGGTCTAAAGCCAAACGAAGCGAGTGCCCCAGAACGTGATCAAGAAAAGTCAGAGTTGAGGCCCGGGAAAGCAGAAGTTGAGGCGTCTGAGTCTAAAGCTGCACGCTCCGATGAGCCAAAGGCACCAGCTATGTCGGCAAATGGCGATTCTGCCAAATCAGAGTCGTGGGGAGTCCGAACAGGCCGGAGTCACACTCTCAAGTCGCCACTGCCGCAGAAATCTAAGCCAGACACACCTCCAAAGCCACCAACGGACTTTCGCGGTCAACTCAAGTCACGACCACCGCCAGACGCGAAACAAGGCGACCAGCCTGAGTTTCTGTCAAAATTCGGCAATTTGCGCAAGACACACCAGGAGAAATACGTCGCGCCTGATGTACTTAAGGACAACATCCTCCGCGGTAAGTCCGGTCTGGCTGTTACTGACGGTCCTGTAAAGACTGCGCGGAGAGATGAGCTTAAAGAGAGTCTGCTTGCGAAAAAGGACGATATCAAGAAAGCCATACAGGAGGGTCGCGAATTGCCTGGGCAAGCCCATGAAAGGAAGACAAGCAGTGGCCTTCCTCAAGCGCCTGCAAAGCCGGAGGCTCTTGCAAAAAGGGAGCTCTTGGGACGTTCGGACAGCGCCAGGAGCGTTCAGGCCATCGAAAAGTCGACAGAAGCGACTCCAGAAGCCCTTTCACGGCACAAGAGCCTGAAATCTCGATCTAACGTAGACCCCCCGAATCAGGGGACCCAAACACCTACCTCTTTGCGAAGAAACGAAATCCTCGAGACAAAGCCAGAGCCTCTCAAGAAACAACATGGCATGGCTCCCAGTGAGTCGAAGGAGCCTTTGATTAGGCAGACGAGCTCGCCCAAACCTAATGAGGCCAAGCAGCAATCTGAAACGTCGAGGTTGGCTGCGCGCTTCAATCCGAATCTTGCGAACTTGCTAGCTCGTGGACCACCATCCGCTTCTCCTTCGCGTCCAGAATCGCCCGGGACGCCGGTGAGAGTAGGATCTCCTGCCATCAATACCACGGTAGAACCGCCTGCTGCTGATGAGCCTCTTCAAGATGTCCGCAAGGATCGCGCAAAAGGGCCCAAGCGCCGCAAGGGCGCAAAAGCGGATACCTCTAACTCCACAGCGCCGGCCTCCACTCTCGAGCCCATTCCAAAGTCAGAGGTGAACCCGCACCGGCAAGCGTTTGAGCAGCAGGAGCTCACAGCCAGCAAGTCGGAACAGCAGTCTGGAGCCAATGAACAAGCACCGGCTACAAAGCCTAAGCCTTCAGCGTTGCCAGGTTCAGCAGCATCTGTCATGATCTCGTCTCTGAACAAGTCACCCAGGCCTCTCAGCATCGGACCGTACGGCTCAGAGCCGCAACAAGAATCGCAATCAAAAGGGGAAACTAGCTTTTCTTCCGCAAAGCCCAAGCCACAAGCTTTGCCAGGTTCAGCGGCATCTATCATGAGAGCGTCGCTTAACAAGAGTCCGCGCCCTGACAAGGACTTCGAAGAGGAAGAGAAGACAAGTACGCCCACGCGGGCCGCTTTCCGGGGCGCTGGAGTCGTCGATCTGCAACAGAAGCCAGTAACTCCCGTGAAGAGCCCATCATTGATCTCCAGGACGAGCCAGGACAAGGCTCCTGTATCGGATGCCCAAGCATCCGTACCTGAATGGAAAGGCTTCGGCGCATCAAGGATCCAACGCCCGTCCCGATCTTCAGAGGAGAACAAGGAAAACACTGATGGGGCTCTACCCTCTGTCAAATCGGCAGCTTCTCAATGGGGACGAAGACCTTCGCCACAGAAGGCTGAATCGCCCTCGCAGATCCATCTCCCCTCGAAGAAAGACGAAGACGAAGTCATGAGGTCCGCCGGGCTCCTCGCCGCTTCCAGTACGGGAGGCAAGAATGGACTAGGCATCTCGACGGACAAGACCGGCGAGAAGTCTAGGAGTACTCCACCAGTCTCTGCAGGCCTACCACCGAAGCCCACCAAGTCATCGCGCGTAGTGAGCGGTCAATTAGCAGAGGCCTCCCCGAATAAAGGTGAGTGAGCGAATCGGCTGTAGAACATACTCTGCTTGCTTCTTGGCTTCAATCTGACGAATAGCGTGCAGTCACATAGCGCGTTCCTTGGAGTTGTTGATACTGACAACCTGCGCAAGGCTTATTGACTGTTCCAAATTCCGCCGCGGAACCTCCTAAGACTGAAGCTGGTCGGGCCCTAGCGAAGACATTCGGCACCGTGCCGAAGTACTATGATTCATTAGCGATCGAGACTCGAGCCATTCTTTCCGGATGCAATCAAGAGGTTGAAGCTGAGATTGCCAAGACACTTCGCAAGTCCGTCCATGTTATTTCTGCTGATGGTACATCGAAACCACTCCCGCCTCAGGAAGAGTACACTCTATTTGATGAATCCGTCTATGTTTGTTCGCATGTGTACACGAATGCGAGGGGCGCGAAGAACGCGCGGGTCTTTGCTTGGACAGGTGACGCAGCATCTGAAAGTGCTGTCGAGGCAGCTCAGGCGGCAGGTAGAAAGTTGGCCAAAGAAAATGGTGCCAGTGGCGTGCAAGTAAGTCGACAAGGGCAGGAGCCCGCTTCAATTTTCGAAGCCCTCGGCGGCATCCTCATCACCCGACGAGGCTCAAGAGAAGGTGCGCCGAAACAGTTCATGCTATGTGGTCGCAAGCACCTTGGCCACATCGCATTCGATGAGGTCGCTTTCAGCATTAACCAACTATGCCCCGGATTCGTCTACTTGGTCTCGTATCCGGTCACTCTTCAGCAGACGAAATTATACCTGTGGAAAGGTCAAGCCTGCTCTGCGGAGGAATTGAGCGCCGCTCGCCTTGCAGCGATGGATCTCAGCGAGACAGGTGAAATCATCGAGGTCGATGGCGGTGTGGAATTTGCAAGTTTCCTGAAGATTTTCGGTCCCGGTACGACGAAGTGGAACGTCCCAAAGCCCTCGGAGCTTTGGCAGCAAAAGGCGACGGCTCCAGACAAATTTGGAACAAGGCTATTGCGGATACAACAGGCCGAGATAAAGACTGGACTGTTAACGTCCCTCTGGAATCGAAGGCCAAGCTGGAATAGTGTCTCACCTGCTCGATCTCTAGTGGATGAGGTCAAAGTCGAGGCAAAGGAGATCTCGCCTTTCACCCAGGCACAGCTTGAAGCTGATGGGCTCTATCTGCTAGACGGTCATAGCGAAATCTTCATTCTAATGGGACCATTGTTTGGCTCTCAGCCTGGTAAGATCAGAGACACGCTGCTGGGACAAACGCTTCTCTTCGCATCTGACTACGCGGCCATGTCGGCTTCCATGGAAGACCGACCACAGATACCAAAATGTTCGGCGGTCTTTGCCGGAGTACCTAGAGATGTCAAGATGTTGTTCAGGCACTGGGAAGATAGTCGAGGCCTCTGGGGTACTGCGGGTCTCATGGCTGGCTCCTTGTTAAGCCCGGGCAGGGAGGTGAAGCTGATGCCGTTGGATGAAGTTTTGGCCGAGGTCTGTAAGAGGTGATGCTGAGATGGAGGAGGTTGCGGCTTGGAAGAGCATTGGCATTGGCGTGAGAGTCCACGCGCTTTTGTATAGAATTTTGGGTCGCAGCACTGCGGCTTTCCAGCGTGTTGTCGCTTGCATACGAGACTTTGTAGTATGAAAGAATATTTTAGGATCAGCCCGGGTGCCCTTGTAGAGCGTCTTTCCGCGGCTGGACGTTACTTGTCTTGCCGAGATTCCTAGGAAAATTGAAGGCCACAGCGAGTCGGATAACGCACAAGTAACCGGAGCATTTGTCGAGATAACATTCCAATGTGCGAAGACGCTGCAGCTCAGCCAGGGCTCACTTCAGCATGTGAAATGAGCATATCAGGTGTGTGGCTAGCCTTCACTTTGACGGGACTGGATTATAAGAGACGGCCCTCTTCTCAACCCACTTTCTTCCTCCCACATCAACACTTCATCAATCCACATGGCATTCCACACCGATCAAGTTCTTAAGCGGCCGGCGCCTGATACCCAAGACGGAAAGAGTGAACAGCCAAGGAAAAGGGGCAACATCAGCGAGACCACCGAGCATAAGATGGAAGTGCTGATGCAGTCATCAATTCTCGTGGAAGACTCCTCTGATGACGAGATTCATCCGCAGTCGGGTCAGCTAATCCAACGACAAACAGTCTGATGGAAAGGTCCATGCTAATACTGATTTGGCAGATCCAGGCGCGAAGAAGCAAGGCATGACGGCTCGTGAGGCCAGGGATCATTTTGCCGATATCAGCGGCTATGTGGAGGAGCTGGAGAAGCAAGTGAGGGACAAGGGCGAGGAGGTCTCGAGGCTGCAGGTCGAGATGCAGACACTCAGGGATAAGGCCAACCGCCTCATCATGAAGAAGAATGGACGCATTCGGGAGTTGGTGAGGGAGAGAGATGCCTCCAACGATTTAGTGGACTCTTGGCGTCTCAGGGCTCTGAATTCGGACAGAGAGATTGAAGACATGAGAGCTCAGGCCCTAGCGGAGAAGGAGAAGTGGTTCGAGGCCAAGCATGTCGCGTCGATGGAACGAGCGAGGTGTGCTGATGTCGTCAAGGCGGCTAAGGACGTGGTCGACTGCCACACGGCCGATTTCAGCGGCAAGATGCAGAAGTTGGACGAGGCTGCAAAGGCTCTTGGACCAACGCGAAAGCCCTAAGATGGACGTGCCTTTGAGGAACGATGCTGAATCTGGCTGGCATCACGAGACAGAAACAGCTAAACACCAGGTCTCCGTTTGTCACGACGATTTAAGGACATTTCAGCATTCAAGAATACTAGGCATTGGTCTCGTCGAGCTTTATCCTTTGAGATAGCACCAGAACAGGTTGAGACAATTGCAGTAAGTATTCCGAATCCTTCCCCTCAAGCACAGGTGTAATAGATCTGCACTTAGATCGTACGAGTCTAACTTTGGTGACAAAGAGCTCGCCGCACTCAACACCATGAGCTGAGCAGAGCTACCACGTCACGTGCAACTAAGCTTTCGGAAGTTCGGGAGCATGTGACAATTCCGGGGCTGCGCGCGCGCGCTTTCCTTTCTCATTTCTCACACACAACACCAAAAATAACACCACCACGCACCAAAAAGATTCCTGCGGAAAATCTTCGACATCATGCCGCAGTCATTCGAAGAACAGGACATGTACCGGAGTGTCGCATACCTCGAGCAAGAAGTCGCACGCCAGCAAGAGAACATGCGCCGACTGGGCATGGGTAAGTCGCTCGCCTCTTGCACATTTGCCGGTTATCGCCTCAGCTGACACTTCCTCGCTGCAACAGGCAATGGGGCAAGTGCACGCACCGTAGGTGAGGAGATGCGCAGCATGAGCGAGCACATCGACAGCGTGGACGCAGAGCTGCGGCACATGAGCGAGCTCCTGGCCGCCTTCCAAGCCGAGCTGGACGCGAATGCGCGGGAGATTGCGGAGCTGCGCGCTGAGAAGGTGGAGCGGATGAAGGAGGTGAACGCGCTCCAGGCCAAGCTTGACGACTTCGAGCAGTATATGCAGGAGCAGGATGACGAGATCCAGCGACTGTGTGATGAGCTCAAAGCGAAGAAGCGGGCGATGGAGGAACAGGCCGCTGAGTTCGCTGCGAAATAGTGCGCGGATGGGAATTGAAGGTAGGTGCGGTTACTGCGAGGGAGGCAATGAGCTATGTTGATGGTGTTCAAGGCGTGTGCTCTGCACTGGACACGGGCCATACTTAGCATGTGCGTTTCTTCTCGCGGCACGTGAGTATACAATGACACAAGCTTAGAAGGCATATGCAAACTCACCACACATGTCTTCCTACAACCTTCCGTTTTGTTTGTACTTCTGGTTAATCACTGACATTAGAGCAACAACAACACCATCGCAGACATACCACGGTCACAGCACGGTGATCATGGGGGGCAAGCGTAAATCCATCGAGTCCGCTCTGGGGTTCATACCAAAGAAGATCAAGATCGTAGACAGTCAGTCTGATTGTGAGTCAGATTGTCGCGCTTCATCGGGGATCGTTTCTGATACCTCACGCAGCAGACGAACTTTTCGTCAAGGAAACCGAGGCAGATACTGGTAGCGAAACGAGCGAGACACCATGCGACACTGCCATCGAGGACCCATGCATCTCTGACGAATGCGCTCAAAGCCACATCGAGATGGAGAAGGCAAGCCAGGACATCTTCTTCCTACAGGCCGACACCCTACACCTGAGGAAACTCCTGGACGAGAAGGACCAGGAGGTATTCGAACTCAAAGCTGGCTTGGAGAGCGAGGCGCAGCGTCGGGCAACACAGGCGAAGCAGTACGAGAAGGAGATCTCGGAGCTTCGGGCAGAGAAGTCGAGCACATCGCGGAGCAATCTAGACACGAGCAGCAACAGCAGCAACAGCAGCAGCAGCAGCAGCATCGAAGAGCTGAGTGATGCCATCAAGAAAAAGAAAGGAGAGATTCGAGATCTCCAGGTCGAGCTTGACCGGGCCAGGGATGAGGCCGAGGCTGGCAAGGCGGAGATCGGTCGGAAGCAGCAGGAGACCACGCGGTGTTCGGAGGCTCTGGAACAGGAGAGAGGTTCCAAGAAAATCGAGGAAGTCATCGCGGAGATGGCGAGGGAATTGGTAGGCGTTGACTGGCGTGGGAGGAAGCTGGGAGACAAGCCGAAGAAGCTGTAGAGGAAGTGGTCAAGCGACCCTGAATTCTGCATGAGGAAGTAAGCGGATTGGAGCGATATCTCTTGACTTCAATACGAGAATAGATGCGCGTCGTCTTCGGGGCAAGAAACGGGATCGGCAGGCGTTTGGGATACCGAAAGGGAAGCTGCGACCCTTTCACATGCGAATGCCGAGAAGCTTGAACTTTAAATTTGCCCTATATCACATACACTCACTTTTCACAATCCTACTTCCCGACAGCTACAGCCAGCCACTGCTATTCGAAGCAACGATGCCTAACATGCGCATCGACTCCGCTGTCGAGATTCTCGACTCTTTTGCTCTCCCGCCGTTGCCGGGCAGGTTCACCAAACGCGCAAACAAACCAATCTTCGTCCTCTCCCGTTCTAAAATGGAATTGCAGCTCACACTCCCGCAGTTCCACAACCCAAAGCCAAGGCACCCAGAACAAGCACCGAAACCAACTAAATCTACCACCGCCCAAAAAACCTCCTGACCGAGCTCTCCGCATGCATGAGCGCGCTGACAAACGAAGTTCAAGGAAGCCCGAGACACCACATGAGGCCGTCTCCGTGGCCACGGATTTGGTCTCGAACGGGATATGGAAGATCTGGAAGAAGGAGACTCTGTCGGATTTTAGGACTAGGAATTCGCGTTTTTGAAGGGCAGGTGCAGGAGCTGGCGGGGGCGTTGGTGAAACGGGAACAGAAGACTCAGCAATGGAAGGCCCGGGCAGAGAATCTGTTGGCGCTCGCCAGAGGTTTGATGGAGAGCAATGCTAAGGGGAGATGGATGAAGGCAGGAGAGTACATGCGAGGCTTGTCAAACGCTGTGAAGGACCCGGACGCAGCAGCTCTTGTGAAGACACTGGGGGGTGATATGGTCTGCATGTGGAGACGCAACAAGCATCGGCACTAGGCGGATACTGAACGGGTCCAACAGGTTGGAAGGCATTCGGAATTTGTGAACAGAAATACGAAGGCGATGAGGCGTTGACAACGAATGCAATTTAGAACAAACAAAGAGAAGTCTCGACAAACGTTGTAGATTCTGATTTACATCCTTATCCAGAGTGTCTATGCACTGCCGTTCAATTGCCCCTGACCCTCTGTGTAATCTGAGCGAAAAGCGAGGAGAGGTATCTTCGTAATAAGCCCCACGCACCCCATACCAAGTCGTAAACGCCGTTGCAATGCCATTGCTTTATCCCAACGCCCTGTTCCCTTCTGATGGTTTAACATGTCAACATTTAAAAATCCTCATCGAAGGAGAAGTCCCCCTTCATTACGGGCTCAGCCTCCGCGGTGGCGCCAGAAGCGCCGTCCTTCTTCGCCTGGGACTTCTTGTAGCCCTCCATGACACCAGACTTCTGGTAGTCACCGACGCGCTTCTCGAAGAAGTTGGTCTTGCCGCCAAGGGAGATGTTCTCCATGAAGTCGAAGGGGTTGGTGGCGTTGTAGAACTTTTGGTTGCCGAGAGCCAGGAGCAGGCGGTCGGCGACGAATTCAATGTACTGGCACATAAGCTTGGCGTTCATGCCGAGCAGGGCACAAGGGAGGGCGTCTGTCAAGAATTCCTGTTCTATTGCAACCGCCTCGGTGATGATGGACTGAACCAGAGCTGGCGAAGGCTTGTTCTTCAAGTGCGAGAAGAGCAGGCAAGCAAAGTCGGTGTGCATACCCTCGTCACGCGAGATGAGCTCGTTGGAGAAGGTAAGACCGGCCATGAGACCACGCTTCTTCAGCCAGAAGATGGATGCGAAGGAGCCAGAGAAGAAGATGCCCTCGACGGCGGCGAAAGCAATCAGACGGCAGGCAAAAGTGGAGTTCTTGTCCGAGATCCATCGCAGCGCCCAGTCAGCCTTCTTACGGATGCAGGGAATGTTGTCGATGGCGTTGAACAGGTACGATCGCTGCTTGGGCTCGCTGATATAGGTGTCGATGAGGAGAGAGTATGTCTCGGAGTGGATGTTCTCCATCATGATCTGGAACCCGTAGAAGCAACGCGCCTCGGGTATTTGCACCTCGGCGCTGAAGCGCTCAACCAGGTTCTCGTTGACAATGCCATCGGATGCGGCGAAGAAAGCCAGGACATGGGAGATGAAGTAGCGCTCGTCGTCGTTCAGGCGCTTGTTCCAGTCGTGAAGGTCTTTGGAGAGATCAATCTCCTCTGCAGTCCAGAAAGAGGCCTCGGCCTTCTTGTACATCTGCCAGATCTATAGAGACGCGTCAGTCTCTGAGCGCAAGCACTTTACGCGTCAAGGCGCGTCTGTATTGACCGTAGCATACCTCGTGGTACTTGATTGGGAACAGCACGAAGCGTTGTGGGTTTTCTTGTAGGATTGGTTCGACTGCCTCCTCTTGCTTGATAGTTGATGCAACCGTTGATGCGGCCTTCTCTACTGGCTCCTCTGGAAGTTCGGGAATGCCCTTGATGGGGACGGCGATCTCGTCGGACTCGTAGCGCTCCATGTTCTCCTTGTCAGCCTCGGATTGGAGGCCTTGCTTGGCGGGGGACTCCATCTTGAAGTTCTCTAGGGCGGATGCAGCCTGTGTATTCGAGTTAGTCGAGATGCAATGCGATGCGAGGAGCCGTGGCGACAACGTCATGGACGAACCTTCTTGGAAGGCGTTGTGTGGACGCTCATGGTGATGCGGTATGTATGCTCGGTGGAATGGGAAGGGCGAGAAGGGCAATGGGTTTGAAGAGGAGTGGCGGATGGCGTGGTTGTGGATGGGAACAAAGAAGATGGGAAGACGTGAGTTAAAGTGTTTTGCAGTCGCGTCGGGCGCGCGGGCCTCGTGATGTTTGCCAAGACTCCATGGAAACGCGCTTGTTCGCGTTCGCGTCTCCCAGCCTCTCACTCTGTCCAACAACTCGGTCGCTCGCACGCGCGCATTGCCAAGCATTGACAAAATCAGCTCATTCTGATGTCAGTCGGTGCACCTGCCGCGATACCTTCCATCTCTTCTACGCAATGCAAAGACGGACCTGCACGCTCATGGCGGCGTCCTCATCACCGCATCAACTTGTACATCTCGCGTCTCCAAGTAGGACTCGACTCGAATGCGACCACCGGCCGGATGACATCGCCAGCTATTCCTTCTCGGGAAGCAGATCTAGCATCCCTAATGAGCAGGGACTTTGATGGGATAGAAACAACGAGATGGTCCATTTAGATACGTTTCTGAAGCGGTATATGCTTCAGGAGGAGACGTGGCTGTCCTATGGCCGGCTATTGGAATGATCATTGTCTATTCTGAAGGCACTCCGGTTGGTACAAGCAAAGTCATTGGTAAGTATTGAAGACATTTTTAAGGCAGTCGCGGGGCAAGTGCCTTCTCCTTTCTGCCACTTTCCCATGCGTCGCTCTTTCCATCTCAAGGCAGCTAGGGCCTTCCTGAAAAGACTAGTGCGGGGCCTCATAAACATCAACAAAGTAACACAAACATCATCCCCTCCTCCACCTGGCACTCTCAACCCCCAACAACCCCTCCCACCGCTCTCCGCCCGCCCTTCGTGCTCGGCACAATGGCGTCAGCAATGGAGAGGGAGTTCGAGGCAAGATTTGAGCCCGGCCGCCGCGACAGCAAGATGCCCGTCTCGACTCCCATCAAGCAGGAGCAAGAAATGCCTCGAAAGCAGTCCCCTGAGACCACGTTCGACGGCTGGTCTTCTCCCGCCAACAACTGGTCTACTCCGCCACCGGCCCCAGCGTCTTCTCCACCCATCGCCCAATACACGCCTCACCAGCTCCGCAAGATTGGCGAGCAATGTGGCAACCGCTTGCCGCCCGCCAGCGCCGTGCAGAGCATGTTTCTGTACGAGATGCAGCGCCAGACCGAGCTCGAGAGCCTCTTTCACGGCTCCATCTTCCAGCTCGCCAAGCAAGAAGATGACACCACGGCGCAGAACAAGCGCATTCAAGACCTCGAGGATCGCCTCGCCCGTTTCGAAAAGCAGACCGCTTCACGTGACCTTCAGGAGCGCCTCGCCACCTCTAAGACCGCCATGAGCGTCCAGCAGCACCGTCTCGACCACTGTCTTGGCCGTGTCGCAACCCTCGAGGGTAAGCTCGTCAGCCTCACGGACGACATCGACACCAAAAAGGCTGCCCAGGAGTCCACTGCTGCCGAGGATACCACCACATCTTCCGCCGAGATCAATCGGGACATCGAGGTGATAAAAGAAGAGGTGAACGTGCTCTTCGGAGACCGTGACGGCATCATTGAAATGGTCGACGACATCAAGACTCGGCTCTCCAAGCTCGAGGACAACGTACGCATGCTCACCCTGCAGAACACCGCTATCAGATCGCCAACTCCAACCCAGTCTATCGACTTGCAGACGCCTAACACAAACGGCCTCGCCCTGGGGGTCCCAAAAGGTAAGCCAGCTGTCTCCCTTAACAAGGAGAATCGACATGTTGCCGCTATTCGCAGCTTCACCCCTGGCAAGCAGTGGGCAGCTTAGGGAGGTGCGTGGAAATCTGTCAGGGAAGGAGGATCGGGTTCGAGGTCATCGTCTCTGGGGCATGAGCCATCTTGAGGGGACTACGGTTCAACACTGTCGGCACACGGTGATTGCAGGCGGTTTGGAATGCAGCAGGCATGGGCTGGGATTCTGGACTTCGGTACTGAAGTGGGCGACTCTTTGGCAGCAGTGGCATCCGGATGAACAGTCAAAGTTGAAAGACTCTCAGATCGTAAGTTGTTCGCTCTCCTCCAGTAAGAAATTTCCAGCCCCTTCATCTTGTCCTCCTCTCGCCACTTCTTCAGTCCTTCAGAATACGACAGAATCACATCAGCCCAAGCGATAATTCTAGCAGCCTTGAGCGCCTCTTCTGGGCTTTTTGGAGCTCCACTCTTGTCCAAATCCGCATTGACAACGCCATATCCATACGCTGTAGCTACCGGGGCGAAAACCGCAAGCACCAGCCACTGACTCCAAACTTGATTTCCCTTCCGCTTCTCTTGTAGACTCGACCACCACCCTGTTCCCACGCGTCTTTCTCTCAGCAGAAGAAGCGAGGCCGCGTCAAATCTGGCCAAGAAGTGAAGCGAAGCGAGGTGGCGGGCAACTACAGTAATAAGAGAATGCACGCGTGATCTTGACAGAGAGACCAACCACCACCCTGCGACATGCCATGAGGGAAAAGAGATTACGAAAGCCCAATTCGTGGAAGATTTCCATGCAGGGCAGGGTGGCGAGATTTTTTTCGGTCCATTTTGGCATCCATCCATGTCGATTCAATTCCATTCGGTCCTAAAATTTTCCATTTCGAGGCGTCGGGCGGGACTTCCTGTTCCTAGGTACGAAAGTGGTATGATAGATAGGGAAGACGAGACCAAAGTCAAGTACAACAACATTCGTTGAACTAGGGGTCAGTCTCGGGAGTCTCAGGAGACGCCAGCCTCGACTGGATGGACCTGGCATCGAATACACAAGGTACAGCACAACTGGTCTTATTAGGAGGCCAGTCTACATTTCCAAAAGGTTTCCAACGAGAAAAGAAAGGATCTGCTTGAAGATGTTCTGTTCACGTTACGGCTTACTACAAACAGAAAACGAAAAAAGGGTTCCCAGCCTGTGATTGATGCTCGCGGCTAGCGCTGCTTTCGTAACCGTCCCATATTCCCTGTAGGTTATGCGCCCTGTCCCAAGGAGTATTCGTCCGTGAGCTAGCTTCCTCCGCATGCGAAAAAGCATCGATGATGATGTGGTGTATATATACATGGCACTGGTCGGGTCTGCCACGGCCATCATGTTCCTGGTATCCGTCGTGAAATCCGAAGTCTCCTGAAACACAAGACGTCGGTCGTGAAAAAAAAAGCAGTAGAGGTAATTTGTTGGCACCAATGCCCAAGCACTGGTGGTGCATTCGCCTCCTTCATCCTTAAGGTTCAATACTTCACACCCTTCCTCCGCAGATAGCTTCCCAGCAATCCGTCCAGCTGACCCATCATGTCCTGTACACCCTTCCTCTGCTCGACGAACAAGCCTGTCATGAGCGGATGATCAGGCGCGGCAGGTTGCACGCCCGTCTTGTCGTTGATCATGATCAGCATGTCTCGCACCTCGCTACCATCTTCCAGCCATGCGCGAAGACTGTCCTCGTTCCACGATTGCTGGGAGACGGTGGGCGAAGGGCGCAGAGAGAGGTGTCGCGAGGAAGAAGTAGAACTACTGTCCGTTGATTGATCTCTGACAGGCGGAACAATAGCCTCTTGCTGCGTGGCGGCTGTAGGCTGCGGAGAGCGAGCTGTAGGCGTTGCGTCATTGTCTTCGGCTGTCTCCCCTTCGTCCTCGACAGGTTCGGCAGGATGCTCGATGATACTCGGTGAGCTCGTGAGACTCCCCGGCCCTTCTTCCTCCTCTTCGTCTTCCTCTTCCTCGTCCTCGTCCGGTTCGAATTGGCCTGGCATTGGAATATGTATTGTGTCCGTCCCGTGCATGAATGCACCCGAATTAATCTCCACAGGGCTCTCCGAGAGTCTCTCGCCGGCACTGCTCCTCTCCGAATCATCCTCCTGATCCGCGAACGGATTCGTCTCTTCGTTCCGGGGCGAATCGAAGTCATCAAGCTGAACCCGCTGCTTCGATCGTTTGGCTTTCTTCGGCTTATCGTGCCCATCGCCTGTCTTGAGCATGTTCGTGATCGGATTTGTAATAGGAGACAGCGGATTACTGCTCTTCGTCTTCTCCTGTTGTGCCGCCTCTGTGTCGATGCGGCGCTGCAGGTCGCTGACAGGATCTTCAGGCCCAGCGGCCATTTCGTAGGCCACTTCAGAGCCTTGCAGCTCGGCGAAGAAGCCGTTACTGGGCTCGTTCGGCTTCTCCTGTTGCATCTCTTCTGCAGAGGTCGCGTTGTGCAGGTTTCCTCGTCCAGCAACAGCGGTTTGTTGGCCATTGAAGTTTCTTTCCACCGGAGAGCTCTTCCCGCTTGTGAGAGGGCTGGCCCTGGGAGAATCGCGCGAGACTTCCAAGGACACTTTCTCAGAATCAAACTCAGTAGCTTCCTCCTTCGATTTCTTGTCTTTCTTCGACTTCTTGAAAAGACCACTGAGCATGCCACCCTTCTTCGGCTCCTTCTTCTTCTCTTTGGTCTCCTTCTTTGGTTGTTCGGGCGGTGATACTGTCTTCGAGATGGTTTCCATGCTGTTGGTGTTGCGAGTAGATTCCGCAGATGATTTCGAGGAGCCCTCATCGCGAAGTATGCCGGGCGTGAGCGTGATCTTGCGCGTTTCCAGGCTGTCGTCCTTCAGGAATGAATCCGTGTTCCGGGTTTTCTTCGACTTGAGTGGCGCAGCTTCTGTTGCCACGGTTGGTATGGCGGTGCTGTGATCAATAGCAAAGCGGTCGAACTCACCTGTCTTGTCGACCAGCTTGGGTTGCACGCCGGATTCATCACCACCAATGCCAGCAGCTGCCAGAGCCTGTGCTGCAGTCGCTGCCTGCTCACGGTCGAAAGATGCGCGTTGAGAGGATGTGCTAGATCGACCTTCAGCGACAGGCTCCTTGACTTCGACCTTGGGCTCCTCAGGTTCTGGCTCCGGCTCGTCTTGGACAGTTGTGTCGGCTGCCTGCAAAGCGCTGGCGTAAGGCTCGATCATCGCTTCTTCGTCTTCGGTGGAATAGTCGTAATCAGACGCCTCCACATACGTCGGGGCAGCGAACTGAACAGTCTTCGCATTTCGTCGCCGCATCGCTTTCTTCAACGGGTTTCGAGACTTTTCTGAGTTGTCACTAAGCATCGTCGCGGAAAGCTGCAGATTCCATTAGTCAATTGCAACAATAGGAGACGACAGCAAACGCACATCGATGTTTCGGTGCTTGTTCAGTCGCGCAAGTCTCTCGGTCGGCGTCTCGATGTGTTCGGCGGGTAGGTAGCCTGGTGCACTTAGCCGGACATCTTGGTGTCCACTTTCCGCAATACTCGTACCAATACTGCTGTCTTTGACAACCCTCACGAGCCACCAATAGCTATTGCTGTCGTCGAGCAGTACCATGGTGTCGCCCTTGGTGGCATTGGCCTGACCTTCGACGGTAGCAACGAATGTATGCAGAGCATACACGAACTCGAAATCGATGTCTTCTGCTTCACGTAAGCACTCGCCTCCCCAGCCAGAGTCAATGAAACGATCGTCAAGATCAGTGAAAGCGTCTTCGGCATCATCAAATTCCTGGGTCAAATAGTCCGTGTCCTGTTGGTCTAGCATACTGTCCCAGGAAGCCACGGAAGCGATAGGCGAGTCCACTCGTTCCAGTAGTGGATCGTCCCTAGGCAGGAGTAGGGTATCCAAATCGACACTCGTAATACTGCTGAAGCTGGGCGATTCTTCCAAGATCGGTGGACACAGACCGGTCGTGTGGGCTTCAAATGGGTTTTGGCGGAATGGGCTCTCAATTGGGCGTAGATCGACACTGGATGGCGTATGATCTTCGTCGTCAGATGCGTCGTCAAAGAAAGAGTGGTGTCTGTTATGGTTGTGTGTGCTTGCTGCTTTTCTGGTGTCCTCGGGTAGTCCTGATTGGTCGTCCTGGCCATACCTACCCATATGATGATGGTTTGACGCTAGGAAAATTGAACTACTCTTTTGAGCAGGTCTGAAGGGAAAGACAGCCGGAACGTCCATGAAAGGAGAAGAGTAATCGACCGCCGCCTGCTCAGCAAGCGGAGACTGTACTCCTCCCACCATTCCACCACGCAGCGGCAAATGCTGCGGCGTGTGCAGGAATGGCGACGATAACGGGGTCATGTCCGCGATCTGGTTGAAAGACTCGCGAAGGGGTGTTGGTGTAAACCTCGGGGACAAGCTGGTCGAGCGGCTCGGCCTGGGCTTGTCCACGAACGAGGCCTGGGAAGAATGCAAAGGGTACCCACCATCGTCAATGCTCGGCGAACTCGATATCCTGTCCATCATGTCATCGTCCGCGTCGGTCTCAGTGTCGGCACCTTCTCCTCCCTCCTCGCCGTTCTCGTGACCGCTTGCACCGTTTGTCACATGGTCTTGCGCATTGTGTGACTGCGCCTGATCGATTGCGCTGGGGTCATCCGTCAAGTTGTCGGCAATATTCCAGGCGTCGTGCAGGGCCAGCTCTTCCGAGTGTCGCTCCTCCAGGACGTGATTGACTTGCGCAGCCAGATTGGGAGCGTTTCCGGCGGTGGTGGGAGTCGGGTGCTTGTGGTGCTCTGCGGCAGTGGGATTGTCATGGTCCTGGAGGTCGAGCGTGTCGGCTCGTAGGATGCTGGGCCGGGTCATGGTTCAGTGAATTAGGCGGATGGCCGGGCGGCAGCAGACGTGCTACGTGGATTGAGGAGGAGTGGTCGATGGCATGGCAGGGGTCGGCGGTCGTGAGGGCGCGTCTGAGGCAGTTGGAGGTGTGTCTGTGGGAGTGAGGTGTTCCAGGAGACGTTCGGGAATCGAATCGTTGTCGTTACAGAGGAATTGGCGTGGCTGAGGAACGAGCGTCGATCGCTGCCGAGTCCAGATGGATAAGGTGAACGAAGAGCGAATCGAGAAGGTGGTGAGGGTGTCAGTGGGGAAAACGAGAGATCATTATTACGCCCGAATGAGAAGTGGTGTGTCGGGGTGGAATAGTTGGAGAGCGGAGCGGTTGACCGGGTGGTGGGTCGGAGTGTGGAATTTCGGGCCCCTGGGCGGTTATGAAACTCTAGCAGCGTCGCGCGCGTTGCACATCCTTGGAGCCGATCCCGACTGCCAACTTTAGCTCCCATTCTTCCCAAATCTCATATCTATTAAAACTTGGCTACTTAACTTACCCGCTTCACCATCACGTTTCGCCAGCTCATCTCACTTCTGCCAAACCGATTCACATGACATCGCACGCGACGGATTGCCAGAAGCTGTCGTAGCGAGCCGATACGCCAAATCCTGTCGTTCCTCGGACCCGATGCCGAACTGTCGCATGCCCTGGACTGGCCTAGCAGCCCGTTTCATGCGAGGTTTCATGCGTCTCCATTATTGTAAGACCCGAAGAATGTGTCTCCGTCGCTGCACGGTGCGAAAACGCTTCATGCCAGAAGGGGCATTTGCGTTTGGAGCAAGCTTTCCAAGTTCTTCGCCAGAGAAGCCAAGCGACAAGCGAGTCTTGGAAGACTGCGCGAGTCTCGGGTGAATATGACTTTCGGGCCGAGAAATGCTGGTCTACTGCTGCATGAAGTAAATGTCATACTAACCAGAGTGGCTGCCAGCAGCGGCGCCACAGACTGGACACAAGATGCATAACCCGGTCACAGCGCAAGTGGGAGCAGCTCTAAGCTTGTGAGGCGTCGTGAGAGCAATCACTTCTGACGCAGAAGTAGTTCTCCTGACGCAGCGTTTCTTCCATGTCGTTGAGCTCCATGAATGAGTTCAGAGTGACCCTCTGAAGGCATCGCCAATAGGTGCACTTCCGATTGTCAGAAGCGTTCACCACAGGTCTACTTTGATCGAAATTTCCTCTCCGCCGGCGCATCGGGCACGAATTATCGCGATGCGCAACCTCCATGTGACTTCCGATCAAGTCGAGACTGAGCGCTTTGTCACATCCGTTTACAGAGCATGCATCAATGTCTTCGAAGCGGTGCATTGGCCTCAAGCTTGTCCGGCCGCGAGAAGACCGTCGCAGTCAAGCTCTTGAAGCATCCGTTAGCAGCAGTACAGGAGTATGTCTTTCCAAGGCGGTGTTTGGTTCGAACGTGTCATATGAGTCCCCATTCTACGAGAAACTCTCTGTGAAAACCGCATAAAAGACGATTTGAGGATAATCTTGCCTGTCTCGAGGGTCTGAAGAAGGACAACGTCAAACTGGCGAATGCGGACGGACAGAATTGCGTCTTGTTGTCTCCAATATATTGGGGCTTTGACGCGCCACAGTAAGTTTCCAAAGTGACAGGGGTCTTACTCGTCTTGCCCTGCGCACACGAGGCGCGAACCATATCCCTTTCATTATCGTCTGTCTTTTCGATCAACTCACCTCTGCTGGGCATCGGCGTGACCAAAGTCAACATCTTCCTTGCCTCACAGTCGAAGCTATCGATCCAGCTGGTCCAAGTAACCTCATCCAGAGGCTGCATTCAGCCGAACTGGTCCTTATGGCTGACGTGGTCGGTCATCGCTGTTTAGTGGTGGCCTCTTGCTGCAAATCTGCCTTCGAGGCTTGTGCCAACTGTGCTAGTAGTGGAAGGGCGAAGCTGAAGCTGGCTGGGATCGATGATCAAATGATCGGAAAGAGTGTTGTTCCGTGGCTTGGCGCAGTGAAAGGTGCGAAAAGGTGCAGGAAATCGGGACTGGCAAGCAGGTTGTGCTTAACTCTGTCGTTGCAGTCTGATGAGCCACAAGGAGCCATTCTGACTTGTCTGGCGGTACCGATCTCACACTGCATGCATACTACAGTACCCGCTGCCAAGCAATTTGTAGCCGTGGCCACGCGCCAACTGCATCCAACAATCTTTCCGAAAGCGACAGTCCGAAGGAATTCAAGAGTCCTGACGAGCTCGTACCCTGCCCAGACGACGTACCCTTTCAAGAGGCTTGTTTCGCAATATACTGGTGGTGACCTCGCCATCTCCTTGTGGATTCAGTCTTGCACGCCGCCAAATCTTCCGTGCTTTGTAGAGGTGCTGCAAAGCTCGTTAGTCGTGATGACAGTCAAGAGAATGCCCATGATTTACCTTCAGCCTATCGTAGCTTCGCCTGACCGTCCAGCTGCGTCTCGAGAGCCTATTGAGCAGATCAGCATGCACCATCTAGCGAGTATTGGAAATCTCGTTCGTACATCTTGAGAAGCTTTTCTGCTTTTGTGCTCGCCTCCAAAAGTCCATCTGGCCAGAGGACTCCCTGATGTAACTCTGCGGCGAGTAAGACCAGTGCGGCCAGTATCAGAGCATCGGTCGTGAAGAAGAAGGCCTCGTTCAACACCGCCTTCCAGTGGAGCTCCTAGCAAGCTTGGACCGCAGAAATTGCCGCGGCCACTCCCCGTAAACTAAAGTTGTATTGCTCGGCGTATCTCCTGTCCTTGCACTTTTGCAAGTATCGCATGGCAACGCTTGAGACCTGCATCTCCAGATACGCATACGCAACGATCAACAGTGATTGAGAGCTGTCAAAGGCATCAGCGAAGCTTGCCGACCAACCTCAAACTCAACATACCGTGTAGCAGTCTCAGTGTCTCGTTCTAAGGCTGCACGAACCTCTGATACTCGTTGTAGCGATGGTTCAGCCCTTCTCAAAGAAGCCATCGGCACATTGTAAAGACCGTCGGACCATACCGCATTGCTGTGGAAGTTCACATCGTCGATGACAAGAGCCATAAGCGATATCAACTGGTAGTGTCTGTTGATGGTTATGACATCGTATTGCCAAGGATTGACCAAGGGAAATGAAATGTGTCGGACAATGAGCAGATAGCCATTGCGGGGTATTCCAAGAGACATCGATAGATAGAAGTCGAATGTGGCAATGGTAGACCACAAGCGTGCACGGAGTGCCATCTCATGGGGACAATGACCTAAACCTGGGAGGTGTACATCCAACCTGATGGCTGCCCGCCTTGCGATCTCGTTACAGCCAAATGCTCGCCGGGGCGCTGAAGCAGCCTTAAAGTATAGAACGAGGCACAGAAATGCCGAGATAAAGTGGAGGCTCGTGTCGCAATCTGGCGCTTCAAGCCTCTGTAAAGCAGCTGCCAAGAAGGTTGATCCATTGACGCGATGCTGATAAGGACCTGCCGAGTGCTGATTCGGAGACGAATCGTTGCCGCCCAATGGAGGCATGTGGACTGGACAGATCTTGTAACGCTCGCTAAGTGCCACGACCGCATACAGTAGAGCTAGTTTATCAGATGCCACAGCGGTCATCGGCTGGTAAGCGTCGTCGATGATCGCGCCGATAGTCGCGCGATCCAAGAACGGCCAGAGTTCGAGAGCCTCGGAAAAAGCGGTTTCAACTGCTTCGATGAGCATATGTTTGAGAATGCGCGGTGGCAGGGTGCCTCGTCCGGGAAGAATAGATGGAATGGAGACATCGTTGTTGAGGATTGCAGCCAATTGATCAGCAATCGACTGATCCAAGTGCCCGAAATTGCAGAACTTGCAGAGCGAGCGAAGCAGGCCAATGCCCGTGGTCTTGTCGTGTCGGTCACTTTGGAGTGTAGCAATGGTCTCCGGCTCGTCCGAACCAATCCAGGTACAGTCCACACCATCGAGAGAGCAGCACTTGCATGGTTTGGAACGGCAGCAGTGAAGGTGCTCCTTGCGACACCGATCGCACTGAAGAAGTCAGCACGTGTGGGACCGAATAGCGCATGGAAGACACCTGCATCCACTTGGGCGCTAGATGGTAGAGGAATTGTCATTGTTTCCACGATGTAGTCATGTTAGTATACCGTGTCCAAGTACTGCTGGCCTGTGCGAGGGTAGATGCTTGAGATCTTGATGAACGTATGATAGCGTCGAAGAATGCCAGCTGTGGACTAACGTCACGGCACAGAGCAAGTCCGAAGGCTCGACACATGGTCATATTGCCAGGAGCGCGTTGCCCATCACTCCTCCCTTTTGGGAGGGCACAATTGCAGTTCCCATGTTGTGCCACGCGCACAATGGTCAATGGCGATGGGAGATGAAGCGGCAGCTATACATAAGCCAATGCCTTCGAGAACGTGTTGAAGTATATCGAACAGCGACAGCGACATTGGCAGAGATGGGATGGAGGTGAGGTAGGTGTATGCGGTGAAGATCCGGAGAGGAGACAAAAGTGCTCGTGCTTCGAAGCACGTGCGTAGCAGATGATTGGCCAGATTCCAAGCTTGAAGCTTCTTCGCACAGGTGGGGGCTGGCAACCGACCAGGTCTGCGACGAGAGTTCTTCCATTCGGTCCTGCTCTCCTGCTGCCGTTGCCGTGCCATTGCACTTCACCTCCTTCTACGATCCCTTCCTATACACCTTGTACAGCTCTGGAGGAGAGATCGGAATAGAAACACCGTCATAATGAGGTTCGGCCGGACTCTGGAGCTTTCCCGATATGCTCCGTGGAATGACAAATACATCGACTACGCCAAGCTCAAGAAGCTCCTTCGCGACGACGACTCCGCCCCAAGCTCGCCTGTCAATGAAACAGCCGACAAATGGACCGACGAGGACGAGAGCAAGTTCGTGGACGAGTTGGTAAATGTGCAATTGGAGAAGGTACATAACTTTCACAAGGAAACATATGAGAAGCTGCGCGACCGGACAGCCGCGTGTGAGGCCCGTCTGGATACCATTGCCAATTCGGAGAACAACCATGCTGAGGGTAGTAATGCAAGGACCAATGGCGAGGGCAGCAGTGGTGGCAATGGCAACGGAAAGAAGCCGGTCTCGAGCGAGTCCGAGACGAACACCATTGCGAAAGAGGTGCTGGCTGAGCTGGACGAGGTCACCAAGGAAACAAACGAATTGGAGAAGTACAGTCGCATAAACTACGCGGGCTTTCTCAAGGCAGCGAAGAAGCATGACAGGAAACGAGGAGCATCTTATCGCGTTCGCCCGCTGCTCCAGGTCCGGCTCGCGGCTTTGCCCTTTAACAAGGAAGACTATGGTCCCCTGCTTTTCCGCCTCAGTGCGATGTACAGTTTCGTACGCCAGCGGCTGGCCGGTGAGACAAAGGACAACAAAGCTACAGAGAATCAGCAAGGCAAGGAGGAGTACACCAGCCACAAGTTCTGGGTGCACCCGGACAACCTGCTAGAAGTCAAGACGATGATCCTGCGCCATCTGCCGGTCCTTGTATACAATCCACAGACTTCCAGGGTCGCTGAGGGCAATGAGCCTGATCCGTCGATCACCAGCATCTACTTCGACAACCCCGGTTTTGACCTCTATACCAACAAGGTCGAGAAGAACGCGGGCTCCTCACTGAGACTGAGGTGGTATGGCCAACTTAGTGACCGCCCGCAAATCTGGGTTGAGAAGAAGTCGGTCGACGAGGACAACACCAGCCATGAGGCGCGTTTCACTACCAAGGATAAGTACGTTCAACGTTTTTTGAACGACGAATACCACATGGAGAAGCAAATTCAGAAGCTGGAAGAACGCGCAGGCCCTGAGAATGAAGAGGTTAAGAACATGCGGAGCTCTGTGGAAGAAGTGCAGAACTTCATCAAGCAATACAACTTGCAGCCTGTGGTACGAGCCAACTACACTCGTACGGCTTTCCAGGTGCCCGGCGATGATCGTGTACGCATTAGCCTCGACACGGACCTTGCATTCATCCGCGAAGACGCAATCGATACCGACCGCCCTTGTAGAGATCCAGAGACTTGGCATCGGACAGACATTGACAACAACAAATTGGAATATCCATTCTCCTCAGTCAGGAAAGGTGAAATTAGCCGCTTCCCTTTTGCGTTGCTAGAGGTCAAATTGCGCTTGTCGCAGGGTAAGAGGAGCCCGGAGTGGATTGAGGACATCTTGCACAGTCATCTCGTCAAAGAAGCGCCGCGCTTCAGCAAATTCGTGCATGGCGTGGCAGAGCTTTTCGAGGACTACGTGAACACATTCCCCTTTTGGCTCAGTCAGATGGAGACAGATATTCGGCGGGATCCACAGCAGGCCTTCGAAGAGGAGCAAGCAAAGCGCCAGAAAGATCGGGACGATGAGTTTGCCGTGGGCTCTTTGCTGAGGTCAACATCAATGGCAAGCCCATCACAACGTGGAAAGCCTGGAGTACTCTCGCCGGTGGGTTCGCCAGCAATGGTCGGATCCTTGCAGCGGAGTGCTCAGCAAACCAGAAACTCCCCGGCAAAGACTGCTCAAGTCCATGCAGAGCCCACACAACAGGAGGATGTCGCAGAGGAGGTTGATGATGATGACACCGGCACTCACACTCACGGCACTGAACGCGCAAGAGCTCCTGGTGGACTCAAGAATCTATTTCCAAGCTTCAGCACCAGCAAGTATGCGATGTCAAGACGCAATAAGACACGTCTACCTCCAGGCGTACAGGAACCAAAATCCTGGATTAAAGACCAAGGGAGCAACAAGGTGGAAGGGAAAGTCTGGCTTGCGAATCAGCGTACATTCATCAAATGGCAGCACGTATCCATCCTGCTCGCCTCGCTATCATTGGGTCTCTTCAATGCCGCCGGCCCAGAGAACAAGGTTGGCCAGGCTCTTGGCGTTGTTTACACCGTTGTTGCAGTATTTGCGGCTGCTTGGGGATATGGTATCTACATGTGGCGGTCTAATCTGATCCAACGTCGAAGCGGGAAGGACTTTGATGCGGTCGGAGGACCAGTGTTTGTGTGTATAGGTCTGATTGTGGCGCTCATTCTGAACTTCGCTTTCAAGGTATGTTCCAGACAGGTCTTACTTCGCTGATTGCCGGCTGACGTTTTTGCAGTATCGCGCGGTCATGCAAGATCGGGAGAGGAAGGGCGAGTCGCCGGCGTTTATGAACCAGAGCGAATATATGATGAAGTCTGGTGAATTGTAAAGAGGTACATCAGGAGGCACAAGCATGTGTAGGACTGTTCGGCGGTAGTTTGGGCACTGTACAGAAGGTAACAAGAGGTGTGGAAATATTGTAAAGACAAGATGTTCATCTTCGTCATTGGACCGAATTAGGATACCTCGACTTCCAAATTAATTGTTACGATTTGGCCTTTCTTGCAGGCTTGGTTTACGACTGCACGGCCTGCTATCAGGCCGGTCGGCGAGTCAGTTTTGTTTTGTCTAAGCTTGAGACAGGTTCGGCTCATCTTTCATCCGAGCACATCGTCATTGTTGCACAGTGCTTGTTCATTGATCACTCATGTCACTTGCCACTTTACCAAACGTCACAAGAACGCGTCGATCTCTACATGACAAGGCTGGAGGCATCTATCGCCAGTCAAAGGTAGGCCTACCGCACGACTCTCTTCAACCAGCTAGCCCCTTCGACAAGCACTCTCGACAATCCTCTCAACTCAATGCAAACGATTCAAAATATCGCTGTACCAGCTCTTCCCAAATCTCGCGTCGGACCAGACACCTCAAGAAGAGCAGCTCGCAAGCCCTTCATCAGCGCCGATTATCCACCGCCGCCTCCCGAAACAAACACAACCATGTCAGGCGCCACAGCACCCGGAGAACAGCACGAAGTCCGCCAGACCTCAAGTACAGCAGACTACCACCCCGATCCCTCCAAATCTCTCCCACTCTCCCCAGCCCGTCAGGCTCTCGTCGACGACATCCTCGCCCTCTATTCCTGCCAGCCCACCGTCCGACGCGTCGAACGCTACACTCCCGATTGCGTCTACGATGACCAATTCGTCTACGCCAACGACCGCTATAAAATGGCCGGCCAATGGTTCGCTCTCCCCAAATTCTTCACCGAATCCAAGAACGAAGGCTATGAGATCGTCAAGAACGACGAAAACCTGATCCAATTTAAGAACGAACAGAGTTGGACTTTCAAACTTATTCCGAAGACGGCGACGATTAACGCGTTGGTCAGTCTGAGTCTGGAACCGGGGAGTGAGGAAACGGGGTTTGTGAGGGTGAAGTATCATAAGGATCAGGCTAATGAGAAGGATTATTCGCATGAAGGGGTCGGGTTTTCGTTTAAGAAGTGGCAAGCGGATAATGTTGTTAAGGTTATGGATGCGGATGAGGTGAAGTACTTCGAAAAGGATAAGGGGGCGGCGAAGGAGGAGGTGAGAAAATATGGGACAGGTACGGAAGATGGCGATGCGCCGAAGAAGGATTTCTAGGATATCGTGTACTGAATATTTTCCCATTTCGGTTCTACAAGAGGTATGATGAGAGATCTACCGAGCCTGGGGAATCACACTGGATGTGGAGAGCTTTACAGAAGGCAATGCTAGCCACATTTCATTTCGGTCGTATCGTTATCTCAATCTAGCGAGTATATCCCGCTCCAGCTCCAGTGGACGTCTGGTGCGAGTTTCCGCTCAACTTCTCACCAGCGCGCTCGGCTGCGTTCGCCAAGCCTTCGCCAGTCCTCTCAGCATCAGGATGTATGCCGCTGCTGGTATGCGATCCAGTTACATTGCCTCCGGCTCCCTGATGCTCTCTGTGTGCGCCGCCAAGGGGACCCTCGCTCGTTGTAGTAGGATGCACACCACTGCCTGCATGCATCCCCGTTACGCCCGAGCTCCCTGTTGACCCAGTGTAGCCGGTCGTGTATTCGCGATCGCGGTCGGCGGTGTTTGAGTGGGTGCCACTCTTGCTTCCTACGATGTTGTCGGCGAAAGCGTTGATGTCTTTGCGGAGTCCTTCAGAGAAATCCTGAGCGACAACCTGGTCAGCCCCGATTGACACGTCGCGTAGAGGTGGCTGCCTACTCCGGCTTTCTTGAAGAAGTCCTTTGTGTTCTCAGCAGCTTGCTCGCCGCCGCGGCCTGATTGATCTGCGGTAGACATGATTGCTGGCTGGTTGTGTACGAGACGAAGGGTATGACAGTATGGAATTGGGCCTGATGTGATATTGCTCCCACTTAGCTCAATACATGTACTCCAAGGGCATATCGGCGGATCGCTTGGCGTCATTACGTCGTTCGGCGAGCAGCGGAATGGATGATGTGGATGATGTTGATGCCTGCCTTCAAGTTCAGACTGGCGGGTGATGTCATGAAGGGGCCAAGAACCGAAAATGTGATGGAACTTGTTTGGCGAAGCGACGCCCAGCCACACGATTTCGTCGATCACATCTCTCTCAATCGCGTCGCTGCTGCACTTCTGGTCCTGGTTTGCTTCCAGAACACTGCTACACACTACATCGTCGCTCCTTCGACACAATCACCATGCGAAAGTCGAGATAACGAGTTCTTTCTCCAATCCTTCGTTCAGTCGAAACAATAATCCTCACCTCACCTGGGAAACGAGATCGATCAGAGCACAGAGCGTCGCGTGGCAGCACGCACGCGCTCCCCAAACAGCAAACACCTTGCATTAACCGCCAGAATGTCCCCTCCTCACGTCTACCTCACCCTACCCTCGTTTCTCCCCTCTCTGCCCGCCAATCTGCCGATCGCGCTGCCTCCGCCGGTAAAAGAGCGCTCGTTTCGATCACCTTTCGGCATCGACAAGGACCTCTTCAACTTCGCCCTCCGTCCTGAGATCCCTATCACCTTCGCCGCTCTCTACCTCATCACCGTCACCTCGCTCAATGCATACAACAAGAATCGCAACTACAAGCCCTGGTGGATCGCGAAACAGCGCTTCTTCCGGTGGTTCGTGGTGCTTCACAATGCTCTCCTCACAATCTACTCCGCCGCGACGTTCCTCGCAATGTGTAGAGCAATTGCGCATACATGGCCCGGATGGAATGCGCCGGCAGGCGCAGCTAGTATAGCGGATGCGCTGTGCAAGATGCATGGACCTCGGGGACTGGGCGACGCCGCTTCTTACAACACAACGATCAATATCTGGGAGACCAAGAACACCTTGATCAAGCTCGGCTACGACGGGAATCCAGACCCGACCGATGTGGGAAGACTCTGGAACGAAGGTCTGGCCTTCTGGGGTTGGATGTTCTATGTCAGCAAATTCTATGAAGTCTTGGACACTTTGATAATCTTGGCCAAGGGCAAGAGAAGCCCGACATTGCAGACATACCATCACAGTGGTGCCATGCTGTGCATGTGGGCCGGTATTCGATACATGAGTCCTCCTATCTGGATGTTTGTGTTCGTCAATTCCTTCATCCACGCGCTGATGGTGAGTTCAGGACCCCCAAAGCTACGTGGAACATTACTGATGATTTGCAGTACACTTACTTCACATTGTCTGCTGTTGGCGTTCGCGTGCCATCGACTCTCAAGAGATCTCTCACCTCGCTGCAGATTGCTCAATTCCTGTGGGGAGCATCCTACGCTGCAGCACACCTGTTCATCAAGTATGACATGCCGATTGCGACACCGTACCAAATCGCGGCGACTGTCCAGTCTGCTTTTTCCAGCGTGAGCTCTGCAGCATCAGCAGCAAGCTCCACTGCTTCAAAGGTTGTAGCGTCCCCAGCTGCTTCTGGCACTCTCGTGGCACTCGCAAAGAAGCTTCTTCTCCGCGCTGTTGGTGAGGAGGGTATCGCAGAGCGCGTTACGAACGACCAAGGTCGACCGATCACGCCATACATCGAAGAGAAGATCGAACAGTTCAAGGAGAGGACGTCTCCCCAGTTCGAGACAGAGTGGCGTACGGACTGGACAAAGGTCAATTGCATCGACACCTCTGGCGAAGCTTTCGCGATCTACCTGAATCTTCTGTACCTGGCACCTCTTACGTTCCTCTTCGCTCGTTTCTTCATCAGGGCATACAGTGGACTTGGAAAGCCCAGGCGTGCATCGCATGCAGCGAAGCAAGCTGTTCAGTCCGGGAAAGTTGCGGCCGAGCGAACGGAAGTGACGATGGAGAACCTCGGTCAAAGAGGCGAAGAGATTATCAAAAAGGAAGCGGCGCGGGCTAAGGTGGATGCTAAGGACGTCCACGAGCAGCTGCGACGTGATGTGCAGGCTATGAAGAATGGTACTTTTGGTCGAGATCGCCGCGTTAGTGACCGCGTTCAGGACTTTGAGCGCCAGGTCAAGTCTGCCGCTACCAAGGCCAAGGAGGAAGGCAAGAAGCTCGTCAACGGCGGTGGCAGCCCACGAAGGGACTCGCCGAGCAAGAAGCAGACGGATGTGTCAAGGTCCAACGAGCAGCAACAGGCTTCCGAGCCGTCAGAGCAGAGGCAGGATTCCGTGGCTGAGGAAGCGGCCAAGAAACCGGCAGCTTCAAGTGAGCCTGAGCAGAAGCAGGAGGACAATCTTGCCGCGTCTGAAGCAACCCGACCTGGTGTCGAAGATGAAGACAAGGAGAATCAATCTCCGGTCGCGGCCGCTGGGGCCAGCCACGACGAACAAGGCGACAAGAGTTCTGCGGAGGCAGTCAAGGAAGGCGTGTCAGAAGACGAAGTACTAGACGACGGAGGCTCTTCACAACCGGAAACTGAATCGAAGCAAGATGAGAACCTTGCAGAGTCACAGCTGACAAGGGAAGAGGACACTGATGCGATGGGCAAGTCGGGCGCAATTGTTGACTTTGCTGCTGACAAGGCAGAGGAAGCCACAAAAGCTGCAGAAGTAGAGCTGGATGCTGATGGCAAGCCCATTTTCCGCCCGCCTGGCACAGTGCCGTCTTGACGGGGAAGGCCGCGTCTCAATCGGCCTGGTTCGCTCCATCTTCGCAGAGGAGAGTTCCAAGCTACCACGCCGACCAAACAGCAACGATCGAATAGGGAAAGAATGATGAGCGTTGAAGATGAGAGTCCGACCAGTGCGAGTGCGATGCGGCCTAATGTTAAGAGAACAATCACTACCACGGCTACAGGATCGCCGAATACCTCGACACCAGTTTCTCCCCCTCTCAGCCCGCCCTCTGCGATGAGTACGCCGTCGCCTGTACGCGGCTTTTACTTGCACAGAAATGCGAGTAGCTCTACCAGTACGCTGGGCTTTCGGCTGGGGCTGCAAGGCAGTACTTCGAGCTTGCCGCAGTATGGCTCACGGGAGAACATCTTTGGCAGTGACTCTCCGCTGCGCCCGATGAGTCGTGGTAGTGATTTCTTTTCTTGTTGGCGGGAAAATGAAGGCGGTGGAGAGCCCAGCCTTGGTGACGATGAAGTTTCTGATTGACGAGCGAGCGAGCGTGGGGTTGTGAGTTTTTTGCAGTAGACATCACCTCATGTGAAAACACTTGTTTTATAAATCAAGATAATGCTAAACTTTTGATAGTTGGATCTTGGTTTGCAGCTCGGCTACTTTCCTATTCGGGAAGGAGGGGAAAACACGCTACCAGAGCGCGAGTGAATGTTTCCGCCCTTCAAATTTCTGAGGCGCTGTACATCATCGCGAAGCCACCGCTGTCACTCCCAATATACTCACCTCTGATCTCCGGTTGCCGTGCTGATGCCCGCTTCACTGTGGGCTGCGCAGAGGCCAGCGGTGTCGGCTTCGACTGCTTGGGATGCTTTCGTCGTAGCCTGGAACGTTCTCCGCAGTTTGAAGTAGCGGCAACTATCTTCTCGGTCTGGACGTTGATGCTGTTGCCGGAAAAAAACGAAGGGGGTTGAAACTAGCATCGTTGAGCAAGCGAGGAGTAGTCATGCGGTGCCTCATGCTGCAGACCCGTCCATGGCATGACCTACAACGAGCGCATATATTGCTTAAATTATTCATCATCTTCCCGAGATCATGTGCCGTCTTCTTTCTGCACTTCCTCCTGCTAAGTTGCATGACTCGATTCATCGAACCTGGAGATATGTGTCTGTAAGGCTGCTGCATATCATTCACAACGCGACTCCCAGATCTTCAATCGTTGTCATGGTTTGACGGCTTGGACCGTTATTGCATGCATCGTCACCATCTGGTGTCTCATACGAAATCACCAGAGCATCCGTATATTCAGCCAATCTTGGATGACAATGTAGCACATTGGGATCGCCACCGGCTACCGGTGGAAGATCGATGCTCAGTGTTGTCGGATCGATTGTATGTGCCCAGATGAAAATCGCACTCATCTGGAGATTATCTGCCCACCTGGTGTCTTTGGAAAGAGTAGTAGAGTGGTTGGTAGTTTCTTGAATCTGTGCATTTGACTGGCCAGGGGTAGATTTGCGGTGCTTGGTTTTATTTTGCCTTCTGAGTATCCCTGAACGCCGTACCAGCGCTTCGTGAGAGCATTGCTGTCGGTTGTGACAGCAGTGTCGCTGTAGAAACTTGCGAAAGTCGTTTGAAGGAGCGCGTACGCGTATAGGAGCAGATGGAGCTTCATGTTGTACCACCGTCGCCTAAGAATCTGATCCAGGCGGCTCAATATCTCGGCTTCAATATGCCAGCCAGACCAGGTCCGAGGTACTAGTGTCTGTCAGTCGAGAAGTCCGAGTCGAGGTTTGGGTCGTCTCTGCTGGATGGTGGAAATTGTCGAATTTGATGTTGCGAGGTCAAAGCATGGAAGCTCTGACCCGCGAGCTGGTGAAGCGTGGCTGGATGGTGGCTATGGCGAAGCCGGTGTTGTCAATTTCTGCAGAGGCTTGGCTGAGGTGCTGAAGCTGAAAGAGAATATCAGAATCAACGTCGTGATGCCAGGCATAGTGCGCACCAACATTATTCCCAAAGAGATGGTCAACGCTGTGTCATCCGAATGGTTAGTGCTGACTGCTTCCTAAGAGCATCCAGTGTGGAGAAGGTTGACGTGCATACAGTTTGACCTCTGTCAAGACCGTCACAGATGCTTATGTCAAGCTGCTTGATGATCAGACAATTCATGGACAATGGCTGAATGCTCCGCAACGGAACACTTCTCGTTCCCGCCGCCGCCGATGCAAAAGGGACGTAAGACTCAGCGAGCCGTCACAGTCTGGGAGCCGTTCTTTCAGAGTCTGCATGGTGAGCCATTTGAACTACCAGACGCCATTACATAGCTTCGTTGTGTCGGATGATGAAGCAGTCGTAATATAATAGATCGAGCGCTCAGAAGATCCTCAGATATCCCTCATGAATTCTGATAACCAGACATTGCTCGCGACCCACGATCTAATTTTTTTGCCAAAGACCCACAAGGGCACGGTCACTACATCATTGACTCGAGTCAGCAGAACATTCGGTTTGTGCCTCAGAAGGTGTTGATTCTTACATGCGCACACTGCCAAGAAACAACTTCCCAGCACGTTGAACACGGCGAGTGGACCGGCTTGCGCAAGCCACGAATTGACGAAGTATGTCTGTGTTAAAGTCAGCCGACATTTGACGGCCTCGATTTGAAACACAAACCAGTCCGAATGTCAGGAGATTGCGGGCATTGATGGCGACGAAAGCCTCTTCAGCAAGTGTTGGGTAGCAATCCTGGAACCAAGTTCAGCATCAGTGTTGGGGAGCTGGAAGTCCCGCTACCTACCAAAACATATCCGAACACACAAGTACTTGCGAAGGCGAGAGCCATGTTGGCCAGTCCAAACGTCAATACGGGCCCAGACCAGTGAGTTTGGTAGTGTATCGTAGCTCCGAAGCCATAGAATCCGGCGGTCCCCAGCATGACCACGACAATCATGAGTACAAGTCGAAACTCCGGTTCGTAGATTCCACGATTGAGCCTTGCCAGTCTCAGACATATCCAGTCATTGAGTGGTCCGCTAATGACTTCGCCGATGATGCAGAGAATGAATGGGCTCAAGCCGATGAGGCCAGTCTGAGAGACGGAGAAGTTGTACGGCGGAGCGACAAAGATGACTCCGTTCACAACGCTGAACACACTGTGTATAGGTTAGCAACAAGCTTTGAAGCACTTCATTGGGCACTTACACTATCCAAGTCAAAGTGGTACCGTACACGAGGAAGCCCCAGAGTACGCACGGGTAAAACTAGAATAGGATTAGCAATGAAGGCAGCTGGACTTATGTATGGCGCGTAACTTACAAACACGATGAATGGACGCGCAAAGATCTTCCAAAGTGGCGCATCTGTGTAACGCCCAGTATATAAAGTGAGTGTTCGCCAGTATGAAATCTTCGGCTCCATAGCTCCGCTGCTGGTAGAACCATTGCCTGTAAGGACGCTCGGTGTCTCGTGATACTCCACGTGCATGCCCTTCTCAAGGTGTTTTCCCTTCTCTGAGACATGATCTTGGTCGTCACTGCCTGTTTTGGCTAAAACATGGGTGGGCGCTGTGCCTCTGATGTACGTAGTCTCCGGCACGAAGAACAGGATTCCAATGCCAAGGGTTCCGAACAGAATGGAGCATATACCGAACGTCCATTTGTAGCCGAGATCTTCGATTATGTAACCAGATATGAATGAGGCGCCTGCGATACCGCATAATAGGAAAAGGTTCCAGACTGCAAGGCGAGTACCTCGCTTTCCTGAAATCAGCAGTGCACGGCTGTTCAAGAGGAATGTGAACTACGTACCTCGTGGACGAAATAAAGATCACTGATCGTCGCCTGTACTAACACCTCGTAGGGGGCCATGCCGATGCCCCCCAGCACTCGGCTACCGAGGAAGCTGCTGTAGGTATCAGCAACGGCGCCCTAGCCTGGATCAGTATCACTAAGAACGCTTGAGAGGTTTGTAGCATACCCAAATGCTGACGATCACCAGTATAAGCGAGGCAAATACGTAGACCGGTCGCTTGCCATAGATTTTGGCCAGAGGGTTGAAGATGAACACACAGAGCCCCAGACACAAAATCAGCCAAGCAGTCGCTTGTGAGAGTACTTCCACGGTGATTCCCAATTCTTTCGAGATAGGAACAAACCCAGGTCCTAGCATAGGACCGTAAGCACCCACGACTGCGGCGCTCATACCAACAAGAAACAGTATGAGGTCCTTTTGCCAGGTCGGCCAATTGAGCGGGTCGTTTGGTGAGTCGGACGGCTGTGGAACAAGCACAACATGACTGAAGCGGCCAGTGCCGTGTTTGAGACGTTCAGAAGGCTCACCCGCCAGATCTTGCGGAAGGTCGGTATTGTCGCGTAGGAGAGCCTAGGTCGCGTCAGTCGGAGCAGTCTGAGAGCGAAGGTGGTCAATCGAACCGTTCCCGGCACGAGTTCCATACGATGGCATTCCAAGATGCCAAATGCCATGATTGACGAAGGTTGCGCTTCAAATCAAGAGACAAGCGTTTTCGTCCATGGCGGCAAGGAGAATTCGGTGGGGAGATTTATCACCATGTCATTGTACACCACCTCACACGGCAGTATGGATCCCTCTGAACTGCCGTCAGTTGGCTTTGTATGGTATTCTCATCTCGGAATAGATCTACAATGTGCTTCACTACAGCCATGGGGCGTTGAAAGAGGGGATAGGTCGTGGAGAAGGCGGGCCTGACAGGCTTCGGGCAAGCACTGTAATTCGCATGATCGTGCAGCGAGAACCCTGTGACTGGACAGCTCGCGTCGTAGACGAAGCTGCTTCGAGGGGTGGTGGAAGGGAGGATAACGTTTGCAGGCTGAGCTATCCAAAGGACGCCTCGGATCGCAGCAGGCCTGAATACTCTGTGAATGGCCATGTCGGTGGCTTCTGAGCGCGTGTTCACGCGCAGATGGATGGAAATGTCGCTTTCAGGCGAAAACCTGGAAGGAGAACGTAGATGGATCATGGGTTTTTTTATCCGGCAATTTGCATGACTCGTGCATACCACAAGGCCCGGTGGACCCACTTCTCCAGCTTCTCCACGTGTGGGGAAAAGTCAATCCTGAGCTCGCCCGACTTCACGCGTCGACCAATACAGTTTTGCACAGAGTCCTTCTCCGCAGTTGTAGCCATCGTCTTGCCCGCAGGTCACCATGGCTACATCCTGGATATCCAGCGTTGCTTTTCAAGCTTCGTCGCCGCCGTGCCGAGCTCTGAGTCTTGACGTCCTCGTAGACGAACACTGGAAGACGGGCGAGAGACCTTGGGACCGATATTGCCCTCGCGAATACTGTTTCCGAGAGCCCTCGGTACGACCCAACAGCAAGTCCTAGAGCCCTCGAGACCTGACCTGAAGGAAGCCGCGATGGCTCCATACATGAGCAATCCGTCCAGCGATGGAAAAGCATTGGATCCACCTAAGTCATCTGGAATACGCGTGGTTATAGTCGGAGCTGGTTTCGCTGGCCTCACAGCGGCAATTGAGTGCTCAAGGAAAGGTCACACTTGTGTTGTTCTCGATGCGGTGAAAGAGATGAAACAGCTCGGGGATATCATCTCATTCGGATCCAATTCGGGGCGTATCTTTCAGCGTTGGCCTGGCGTTCCCGAGAAACTAGCGCCAATCTGCCACAACTCCCAGAAACTACAGTATAAGATGTGGACTGGAGAAGATCTGTACACGCAGTGGTGGGGTAGCGAGCAAGAGAACTTCGGCAAGCGATACAATGGGCATCGCGGAGAGATTCACAAAATTGTCTACGACCATGCTGTTTCTCAGGGGGTTGAGATATTGTTGGGCCAGAATGTGACAGAATACTTTGAGAGTGATTGTGAAGCAGGTGTAATAGCGAATGGCGAGCGCATAGTTGGGGATGTGGTCTTAGGCGCCGATGGAGTGAGATCGAAAGCTCGAACACTAGTTCTCGGCTATGACGATAAGCCCAAGCCAAGCGGATACGCGATCTATCGCGCGTGGATGAATAGCGAAGAGCTTGCGAAGAATGAGCTGACAAGAGATTTGGTGATACACGGAGACACTCACACGGGCTGGTTAGGTACGACAGGTTGATCAATTGTTGTGATGGCGTAAGCTCGCTGACCTCATCTGATTCTGCACGCCAGGACCTGATATCCATTTTCTAGCAGCTTCAATCAAGGACGGCAAGGAATTCAGCTGGGTCTTCACTCACAAAGACGAGCGAGACGTCGACGAGGGCTGGTCTGAGCCTGGAAATCATCACGATGCATGCCGCATCTTGGAAGGGTGGGATCCAGCTGTGCACGCCATTGTCCAAATGACGCCACCGGAAAAGCTGGTAGACTGGAAGCTGGTGTATCGTGATCCCCTACCGACGTGGATCTCCTCCAAAGGCCGCATAGCTCTAATAGGCGATGCCGCTCACCCGTTTCTGCCAACCTCCATACAAGGTGCTTCCCAAGCAATGGAGGACGGTGCATGTATTGCTGTGTGCTTGCAGCTGAGTGGAAAGCAGCACGTGAGCGACGCTCTCAGGGCGTATGAAAGGATCAGGTACGAGCGCGTGAGGAAAACACAAAAGACGGGTGAGCAGACTAGGGATCAATGGCACAAGGTAGCTCTTCCCTCTCAAATGCTTGGATTGCGTCCTCACACATCCTACAGGCCGACTTCGAAAACTTGAAGAAGAACCCCGAAGCCATCAAGCTCAAACGTGACCCGGAGGTGTTGAATCACGACGCGGAAGCACATGCCTATCAGATGCATGCAGAGGTTGTCGACTCACTTTGCAATTGACCTTTGCGCATTCGCACATGCTCGGATGTTTCCATCTTGTAATTAAGAAATGCTGCTTAAGTCTTGCCTCGTTCCAACTTCTAACCACAACAACATCTCACAACACCTTCACCCCTTCAATCACCACCTCCACTTCTCAACAAGCATAACTCACATCGGCATCCATCATCATTCACTCTCTGTCCATATACGAAGCCACGGACCCTATCATTACAACAAAAATCGACGGGGTTTGGCCTTTCTGTGGCGACGTTCGAAACGCAGCAGAGCGCAGGCGGGCGGCCTTCAACCTCGTTCGTCATCCCCAGTCCGCGGTCTGACACTTTTCGGGCAAGCCACACCTCTTGTGCCCTCACTGTGTCCACCAGGAAGACGATTGAATCGTTGTCTTCAGGCCATAAGGTTACAGCTATTTCTGTGCAAGAACTCTTCCTCACCCTCATGACCTGCCACCGAGATGGCATCCTCAACCTTCATCAACTTCAAGAAGCCCAAGGCTCGCCAAGGTGAGTACAGGCCTGGGCGCTTGCATGTGGGTTTCCGCAAGCGGGACTGGTGTCCAGTCTGGTACGAACCGGTACACGAGATGCAACCCGACGGCGAGGGCGGAGGTGTCATGATCGGACCAGACGAGGACGGCACGGTGCCGCTGGCTCTATTCCAGGTACGAAGAACTCTCGACCAAGTGGTGACACATATTGACATCTCTAGGTTGCGATTGGACCGCAGCAGCGACGGGAGCCTATGGAAGGCGAAGTATCCTGGCTACCACACTTTGCTCTGCCTGTTGAGGAATCCTCGAAGATTCGGGACCGGGAGCGACTGCAGATGCAGTTCCTATTCGACGCATGGCGCTATTTGAACGAAGATAATATGGACAAGGTCGACGAGCTCGAACATGAGCTTGATAATGAATATCATCGCCGCTGGCAAAGCTGGTTCGAGGAGGCCAAGCGGTGGAAAGAGATCAAGCAGAAGGCCCGCCGCAAGCGTCTATCACGGCGACAGGAAGTCGCTCAGCAAAGTTTCGAGCTCTTACGGCAGGAAGATCCTAGCATCCAGCTTGAAGAAATCGATCTAAACGGAGACACGTCAGATTCTGAGGACTCTGCCTACAGCTCAGGCGAAGCGCTCTTCGTAAAGCCATCATCTGCTCAATCGAAGCGCAAAGCAGGAGCTAGTGGTCGCAGACCGGATGGTCCCAAGAAGTCGAAGGGTTCAGGCGGTAACAAAAAGGGCAAGCAGCCGCAAACTTTCACCCCTCCCAGCAGCGGTGCCCTTGACAGCGAAAACACCAACCGACGTTTGGTCCCCCAATCCGACACTGGTCTCTCTGGCTCTGCATCGTCCTCTTCTGGTAACCCAATGCTAGACGACCCGATCTATTGGAGTAGTGGCCTGGACGGCACTCAAGTCAACCCTAATTTCGACGATGATTAGCCCCTTGGTGCAGCGTAAGGAGCGAGCAATAGCCCCTACAGTTCGATGCTCCAGGATGGACTGCCATGACCCCAACTTCTTTTCCACACAACATTTGGCTTCTCTTTTGATTGTTTCTGCTTTGAATGATTATGGCATCTTATATCTCGCCGGGCGAGAGAGTAACGGCACGGGGCTTAACACTGGATCTGGGATCTAGGAGACATGTGTATTTCTGGCTTGCGATTCATTGAGGCATATTTCCTTACCTAGCTATTATTATCTCCAACAGCTTACTCAAAATACGTAGCTTCGTGCCTTTTCCCCTTTTACCATTCGTCTCGTCGTACCTAGGACCGAGCTGGCGGATGAGTTTAGCCCGAATTTAGCCGGAAGGTAGTGTTCATCCTTCACCGCAGCAAGCTTCTTCTCCTCACCATCGACACTGTGGCACTTGATGCCAGACCTTTGCCGCTCTCCACGTGTGACCCGACAAGTCTTTGCAGGTAGGAAGATTCAGCGATCCAACGCCATTGCTCTCTACATTCCCACGAGACTATCGCGAGCGATGCTCACGGCGAGTCTCAAATGGCATTCAGAGACACTCTTTCGACCATAACTGCGCATCCCTCTCTCTTCCTCCTCTGTTTCATCATACTAATCCCAGCTCTCATCCTCCTTTACGACATTTCGATCTACCTCCAACTTCCGCCAGGTCCCACACCACTGCCCTTTCTCGGAAGCAAACTCTCGATTCCCAAAACCCAGCCATGGATCAAATTCCAGCAATGGTCCCACCGATACGGACCCATCTTCACCCTCTGGATCGGCCGCAGACCCACGCTCGTAATCTCAGATCCACAAATCGCCGTCGATCTCCTCGAGAAACGAAGCAACAAATACAGCTCTCGTCCGCGCATGGTGGTGATGGGAGAGGTTTACAATGGGAACAGTTCGATTCTGACACAGCCGTATGGAAAAGCTTGGAGTGTGAGGAGGAAGATGCTACATCAAGCTCTGAATCCGAAGGCGTTGAGGTTGTACAAACCCACGCAGGAAGCGGAGGCTAGTAGGCTGTGTTTTGCGTTGTTGGGGAACGCGGAGGCATGGGAGAAAGAGTTGGAGAGGTTTACGAGTAGCGTGGTTTTCTGTGTAGCATATGGGCATCGGATTGATTCGTTGAGAGCAGAGGTCATTACGGAGAGGTTCAAGTTCATGCATTATATGGCGAGCCTAAACATTCCAGGGAAGTATCTGGCCGAGACGGTTCCACTGTTGGCGAGGCTTCCCAATTGGCTTGCGCCTTGGAAGAAAGGAATTCAGGAGACGGGAAAGATGGAAGGGAGAGCTAATCTGAAGCTACTGGAGGTGGTAAAGAATGATGTTGCCGTGGCGAGAGAGAACGGGAGGCTGGATGAGGTACCGGATAGTCTCAGCAAGCTTCTGTTGGAATTACGAGAGAGGGAGTCCATTCCACTGAGCGAGACTCACTTCTCGTATGTACCTGCTTCGCTCTTTGGTGCCGGATCCGACACCACGGCCTCAACCCTCTGCTCTGCCTTTTTGGCGCTCGTTACACATCCAAGTGTTCTCCGGGCTGCACAAGCGGAACTTGATCGCGTAGTCGGTCCAGAACGGACTCCGCTTTTCGAGGACGAAGCGAAGCTGCCCTACCTGCGTGCACTTTGCAAAGAGACGCTACGATGGCGACCAGTAGCCGTGCTCGGAGGCACACCTCACGCGTCAAGCGAGGAGGACGTCTACGAAGGGTGGCACATCCCTTCCGGCACCACGATACTCGGCAACAACTGGGCCATCAATTTGAACGAGGACTACTATCCTCAGCCTCATCACTTCGATCCGGTGCGCTTCCTTTCCGATGCCGAAAGACATCAGCTCGGAATAGAGAAGCAAGCGTACGTTGGCCAGAAGGAACATCCGTCGAAATCTGGACACAGCTCATTCGGATGGGGCAGACGGATATGTCCAGGAGCGGATCTCGCAAGTAACAGTCTGTTCATTGCCTTGAGCAAGCTCTTGTGGGCTTATGATGTCCTACCGAGCGAGGGTCAAGAGTATGATATCTTTGCGTACACGGATGGATTCAATGTCAGACCGAAGAAGTTTGAGTGCTTGATCCGGGTGAGAAGTGAGAGACATAGGAATGTGTTGGAGAAGGCGCAACTGGATGCAATGAAGTGGTTGGAGAAGTTTACGCCTTTTCGAGAGTGAGGAGATGGTAAATAGGTACCTTCCCTGTATTTTAGACAGTCCATGACGAGAGCGGAGCTCGGCCCGCTTCTTGTGGGAACGCCGATCTCACCAACAAATTCGCGTTGGAGCATTGGACCAAAGTGTTTCTTTTCCCTTCCTTGTTGCACACATCGCAAGCGCATCAAACTCCCCATGCTCCGACGTCTTGTACATATCCGCTGGACAGAATAGTCGCCGCGTTGGCTTCCGCGCAGTTCTTCATCGAGCGCCTTACGAGATCTACGACTTTACGAGTCTTTCATAGACACGCGAGCAGGCCTCGACACCTCCGTCTGTACTCATCTCCCGCGCGTAAAGACGACAAGAAAGACGCTCAGCAGCCACAAGCGAAGCACTCGTCCATTGGCGTCCTGAAAGACCTGCTCTTTGGGCATCAGTCGCAGCAAAACTCAACAGGCGCTGAGCAAACGCAAGCATCGAAGCGGACAGAAGACGAGCAGCTGGTCGCTACCACCGAACCGCGCATTCGGCCGTGGATACCACGGGAATCCCCAGAACAGCGTTGGCGAGCCCGTCAAGGACTACACGGGGGCACACGGTCTACGCAGCGGATTCGGGCCGCGCAGGACCAGTACTTGAGCAATGGAGATGCGGACAGTGACTCACGAGCAAGGCTAGAACGTGTCATCGCTGCCACGCATGGGGAGATCATCTTTCACAATCATCACGTCAAGAAGTTCCTCGAGCCTCGCTATCCCAAATTCTTCCAAGACTACGTGAAACCTGATCATCGGGCACCTGTCAAGATGAAGTCGCAAGTTCAGATTCTCACAACGCCAACGGCGGATACACCTGGCACGTCGCTCCTGTTGTCCTTCGACAACAAGCGGTACCTGATTGGAAGTCTGGCAGAAGGGACTCAAAGAGCTAGCGTGCAGATGGGAGCCAAGTTGTTGAGGGTCACCGAGTGCTTCCTCACTGGCAGGACAGAATGGAGCAATACGGGTGGCATGATTGGGATGATCCTGACTTTAGCGGACCAGAGCTCTACAAGTCAGGCCAGCTCGCAGGAAGAAGCACTGAAGAAAGTACGAGCGAAAGCTCAGAGGCTGGGCATTGCTAATGACAAGGAAAAGATGCGGCAGCTGGAAGATGAGGCCAAGATGGGAACCATGAGCTCGTTGAAGATCTTTGGTCCGCCCAATCTCAACCATACACTGGCTACTGCGAGGCGGTTTGTCTTCCGGAAAGGCATGCCTGTGGACATACACGAGATTCGAGATGGCAAGTCGCCGGGCCCAAACGAAGATGGAGAATGGAGCCCCTTCTGGGCGGACGAGAACATGAAAGTCTGGGCTTTGTCGATTTCGCCGATCCGCACGGCTTCTCCCTCCAATCGTACTCCAACAGCCGTCAGTCCTCGTAAGAGGAGTATAGATGAGGTTGACGCTGTAGAGAATGGTACACGTACATCGGCGATAGATGCGCTTGACGCACGAGAACGAAATTACCTAACAGTCAAAGCTGTGGTTTCAGAGATGTTCAACTCGACCTGGAGGCTAGACACGCTTTATGAAACACCTCTATCTGAGGTCAGATTACCAGCCACAATCTTCGTTCGCAACCGCGAAACGCACAAGATCGAAACGTACAGAGGTCCAAAACCGGGTGACAAGCCTGTGCCCGATCCGAACATGACGGTGCTTGTGCGAAAGCCGTGGCCTGGAGCTCTTGTGGAGAGCCTGCCACATACCGAGCCAGCAAAGGAGGCAATTAGTTACATCTTCCGCAACCACATGCAGCGTGGCAAGTTCCATCCCGAGCGAGCGACAGAGCTGAAGGTCCCAAAGGGCAAGTCTTGGGCAGCCCTTGCGCTGGGCGAGAGTGTCCAGAACGAAGTTGGGGAAACAATCACGCCCGAAATGGTACTCGACCCAAGCCGTGTTGGCGGAGGAATGGCAGTCGTCGACTTGCCTGCTCCAGAGTACATCGATAATCTCATCAGCCGGCCGGAGTGGCGAGAGCCGAAAGTCATGGAAGGAGTCGGAGCGATTATTTGGATGTGCGGGAAAGATGTGGCAACAGACTCGCGACTTTCCGCCTTCATGCAGGAGTTCAGCAACCTCGAGCATATCGTGTCCTCGCCTGATTATTGTCCAAACAATCTTGCCTACGACTCAGCTGCGGCAGCCACCGTCAGGCTGCGTCAGGTTGACCCAGACCGGTATGGCATTCCTGTGCACGATGCCGAGTCTGCCGATGGCGAGCAACCTTACGGAGGCAGCGGCTGGTATCAGGTCGCACGCAAGAGGCAGCCCCTTCCGGAAAAGGTGCACATCGCAGCTCGTGGACAAACAGTTGAGCTGGAGCCTGCTATCAAGTTCCAGACCCAAGGCGTCATTCCTGCGCTTGCAATCGCCGAAACAGTCGCGGAGGTGCCCCAAGATGTGATGGAAGAGGCGCGTAAGGCACAGGAGGCAATCAAGGCGCCTGATGAGGAGCTAGAGAGGTGGCGACAGAGCCTCCCTCCTGGTGCACAAGACGCTGAGATCATCACACTCGGTACCGGTTCGGCTCTGCCCTCAAAGTACCGGAACGTGTCTGCCACATTAGTGAGGGTGCCTGGCTGGGGAAATATGCTGATGGATTGCGGTGAGAATACACTCGGCCAGCTCAGACGTGTCTTCACAGCCGCCGAGCTAAAAGAGGTTCTTCGTGATCTAAGGCTCATCTTCATCAGCCACATGCACGCAGATCATCAGCTTGGAACGACTAGCGTCATCAAGGCCTGGTACGAAGAAGTGCACGGCAGCCAACCAGACCTCTTGTTATCCGAATCTACCCCGACAACCCAATCTGGTCTCGACTTTGAGACACTATTCAACAACAGAGACAGACTGGCCATAGTCGCCGAGCCAGCAATGCTGCATTGGCTCAAAGAGTACCGTGCGGTCGAAGACTACGGGTACTCACGTATTGCGCCGCTCCTTCTCACAGCTCCCCGAGATCATGTTCACGATTATAGGAGCTTACTATGCTGGCACATTCCGCATTCAGAACTGGACGGTCTCTCACACTCCGTGCGTAACCGTCGAATCAAAGAAGCCACTGTGCCCCTATCCTACCTCGACTTGGAGAACATTGAAGCTGTGCTGGTGAACCACTGCCAGGGCGCTCGCGCAGTCAGCATCACTCTGACTTCGGGTTTCAAAGTCAGCTACTCCGGTGACTGCCGACCCTCAAAGGATTTCTCTCGGATCGGCCAGGGCAGTACCGTTTGCATTCATGAGGCCACCTTTGACGACGAACTTGCAGGCGATGCCAAGGCCAAGAAACACAGCACGACGTCCGAGGCGCTGGGTGTGGCGCAAAAGATGGGTGCCAAGGCCTGTGTTCTGACTCACTTCAGTCAACGGTATCAGAAAGTCCCCGTCCTAGAACGCGCCGAGGGACAATCTCCCACGGTCAAGGACGTGCCCGTAACCTTCGGCTCCGTCACTCCACCGTTAGAAGAAGACGAAGTCTCCGCGGATGCCGCTGAGAATGATGCGCCCATTGTGGAGGACGACGTAGCAGAGACCTTTCCCGATCAAGAGACTTCCAACGGCACCGGACAGCAGTACGACCTTCCCTCTCGAAGGCCCGAAGGTCCACCCGAAGCGGTCAAATTCAAGCTCCAGTCGGATATGAAGGTCTGCGTTGCTTTTGACTACATGCGCGTCAAGGTGGGAGATATTGGGGTGATGGAGAAACTCACTCCAGCGCTGTTGAAGTTGTTTGCTGAGGAGGAAGAGGAAAGGGCTGAGGCGGCGGCGAAGAATCTCAAAAAGGACAAGAAGGAGAAGAATAAGGGTAAAGGGAAGAGGAACAATTAGTAAATGAAATATACTTGAATAGATGGCCGTTCGTGCGGCATTAGAACACCGTACAATGAGCCTCATTTTCGTTCTCGTCGGGGCAATGAGTCCGTGGCAGCGTGATAGCGTCGAGTGCTTTGTGTGAGAGCCCATGTGAGTGCCAAGAAATTTGGTGCGTGTGGGCGAAAATCACATGATACCGCTTCACAACCTCATGCGTCATATGGTGAATCGGAGAGAGGAACCGCTTTCAATGTTTGATTTGAAGTAGTCGTGTCAAGGCGCTCCGCTACCGCCCTATGCACTCCAACTCAAGCAGCCCTGCGAAAAAATGGTACAGGCAGGCTGTGAATCTTTCCCATTTCATGACCTGCCCGGACTTGGAGTAGGCTGACCAAAAACAATGGCCACTCTCTGAGACCCACGAACACCGACCGTCCATGCAAGTAAACATTCGTACGCTCCGTCTATCTGTTGCTCTTTGCGACACGCTCCAACTCGTCCTTCTTCTTGATGGCGTACGAGTTGCTGCTTCCCTTAGCAGCGTTGATGAGCTCCTCGGCCAAGCACTCGGCGATGCTCTTGATGTTGCGGAAAGAAGCCTCACGGGCTCCGATGGTCAGAAGGGCGATGGCCTGGTTGACACGGCGGAGAGGGGAGACATCGACGGCCTGGCGACGGACGGTACCTGCGCTGCCGATACGGGTGGAGTCTTCGCGGGGACCGCAGTTGACAATGGCGTCGACGGCGATCTGGATGGGGTTCTGGTCGGTCATGATGTGGATCTGTGAGGAGATGGTCGGTCAGTATGACTGTTTCCTGCAATATTCAGTGTGTGGGTGTGGGGCTATATCGGGACGCACAATCTCGAAGGCGTGGGCGACAATGCGGACGGCCATGAGCTTCTTTCCGTTGTTACGGCCGTTCATCATGAGCGAGTTGGTGAGGCGCTCGATGATGGGGCATTGCGCCTTGCGGAAGCGCTTGACGGCGTACCGGCCGGCGGAGTGCGAGATGTAGACGGGCTGCCGGATCTGAATGTAATCGCTGTATACCACCCATCAGCTTCCGTGTCCAACGATTTCCATGTCTGCCCCTCCAGCGCATCGCTCGCGCCTTTCTTTTCAGAATCACACGTACGTGAGAGAGATGTCCCGGATCTCGACGTCCTCGTAGCTCCACTTGTTGAAGAGCTTTGTGCTGCCGATCTCAGCAGTGACATCCTTTGGCAGGACGGGGTAGGCCTGGACGGCCTCGACTTCGACCTCGCCGTCAGACATGATTGCGCTCGAGTTCGACGGGATCCGGAATGAGGGAAAAGGGGGCAGGAGTGCTGCGTTGTTGCTGGTGGCCGGTTCGTTAGTTGTCGTCGTCCTGCGTCGAAGTGCCGCTCGAGTGAAGTGTGGAGGCTTGGATATTCAGTGTCTGCCAAGAGAACTCGGCCGATATAGAAAGTGGGGGCACACTCTGCTCGGGCTGGCCATAAGTCGTGATCACTATCTCTCTGCTGAACATTCACTTGACTCCCGTCGCGTCCACTACTATCCACTCCCACTAGGGGCAACGTCTACACGTGTTCGAGCACGTGATTGCCATCCAGCCAATATTGAACCACAATGTCAACTCGCCTCGATGCCTCAGGCTGCACTGATCAAGATGCCAGGCAGCCTAAGAGTATCGCTCGGACATTACTAGGGCCTATCCGAAGCTTCCGAGCAACTGCAGCATATATCGGATTCTTCCTTTGCACCCACCTCGCCGCTAAGTTCTCTTTTACGGATCTTACGAAGGTATAGCGGCCTATTACCCTTTTCCTACGGCTTCTACGACGTAGTCAACGTCGGGCTACAGACTTGAGCACCAGCCTCGACAGTGATCCCTTAAGTAGATCATCAGCATAAAGTCGGGTAAGCGCTGATACATGTCATCGACAAGACGCCTCGCGCTTACCAAAGAACATTCTTAGGCCCGGTATGGCACAAGCTGGGGACGTCTCAGGGCACGACGGGCCTCTGGATGTGCTGATCGTAGGAGTCCTCTCCAAACGGGTTCGTCTTCCCAGTTGAAGTTGACAGCGCCCACAGATTGGTGGCTCGCTAGGAGGGCTGATGTCTGGGATCCTACTGAAACGAAGCGGCCACAATGTACGCATTCTGGAGCAAGCCGCGTCTTCCGAACGAGAAGGTCTCGCGGCAGGAATTGGCCTGGCTTTCCAGGTGAAGCGCTTCTTCGAAACCGAAGATCGTCTCAAAGACAAGCCGATGGGCATTCTGAATTCTGGGGTTTCTATCGTAGACGATAATCTGCGTGTCAGATACAAGCTCGCTCTGGACATGAACCTCAGTGAGTAAGCCGACGGGGAAGGACGTAGAACCCTGATGTCTAAGAGATCCACAGCCTCATGGGATAGCGCCTACTACCGGGCCAGATGGAATTTTGACGGACATCAGTCGGCGCATTGCCCGGAGACGCCACTCGCAGCAGCAGCTTCCGAGGGATATGGAGAGTATCTGACCGGCAAATCGGTGCAGAAAGTTGAAGATGTCCAAGGTCGCTTGACAGCATTCGTCACAGATGCCAAGACTGGTGCCACAGAGCAGTACTCCGGGGACATTGTCATCGCCGCAGATGGTGCCAACAGCACCCTGCGGCGTCAACTCCATCCGAACCTGCAACGCGAGGAACCGGGCTACGTAATCTGGAGAGGAACGATACCGACAAGCGAGCTTTCGCAGGATGTGTTGGACAAGATCGAGAACCGGCCTGTCATCTATCCAGGCCCGCAGACATACTGTGTGATGTAAGTCAGCCCCCTGAAATTCCCGGCCCTCCTTGGGTACTCACAACGAAACAGCTACACCATCCCAGGCGAGAACGGCTCCCTAGCCCAAGGAACGCGCCACATCAACATGGCCTGGTACTTCTGGCCCTCCAAAGCCTCCCTGGAAGAAATCATGACCGACGTCGACGGCCACCACCACCGCAGCACCGTCCCCAAAGGCAAAATGCGGCCCGAAGTCTGGCAACCCCAAGTCGAACAGGCCCGCCGTCTCCTCCCCAAGCCGCTAGTCTCCCTGGTCGAGAATATCCAATCGCCCTTCGTGAGCGTCGTCTCCTCCATCACGGCCCCCAACGCCGTCTATTTCAACAACCGCCTCTTCATGATCGGCGACGCCCTCACGCAATCGCAACCCAACATCGGCATGGGCACGAGCCTCGCAGCGAATGCGGCCATCTCACTCGTCAACGAGGTGATTTGCCCCGAGAATGGAGAAGGAAGTCCTCCTCGTCTGAGTCCGGAGAGGATCGAAGCGTGGGAGCGCAAGGTTCTGCAGGAGAATGAAATCACGCGTTGCCGGAGTGTGAGTTTTGCGAGTTGGTATTTGAATTCCTGGCCTCTGATTGGGTACTATTTTGCGAGGTATTACGCGAAACTATATTGGCAGTATTACTTTGGAGGACGGGAGAAGAAATGGGAAGTCCTCAGACGGGTTTGAAGGAGGTTTTGCAAATCTATGGCTAATAGATAGATCGGATGGGATGGGGGGAAAATGCTTTTTCAGAAGAAGAGCCAAGTTCCGATATCTTTCGCCCTCGTCTTCCAACCCCTTCCTCTCTTCCGCAGATCCTCCAACTGAACCTTCTGCAACACCTCTTCCCGTTCCTCCACCGTCAATTCCTGATCATACCGATCCGTCACCAGATCCATCTCTTCCAACCTCACAAATTTCGTCTTCTTCCACACTTTCCACGCGACAAACATGACCCCCATGATGGGCAGTTCGACATAATAGCTCACGAAATCGACGGGCTTCCAGGGCGCGAAACTCTTCCACCCTTGCACGAGGACCAGGACGACGTTCAGAAGGACGGAAATCCAGGGTCCGTAGGGATAGGTCCAGTTCTTGTAGGGCAGGAGGTGTTCTTTGCCCTGGGCTTTGAGGGCTGCGCGGAAACGGAGGGAGGCGATGCCGATTGCGATCCAGGAGAGTTGGTTGGAGACCTAAGGATTCACAGAGTCAGTCAGCTATGTGTCGTGATGATGAGAATTTGCGAGGGTGAATGGGTGGGTGGGGATGGTGCTTACGCCGACGAGATTCTGTAGCCAGGTCCAGAGCTGTCCGGCGCCGATGTAACTCGCGCCGAAACAGAGGCCGCTGATGGCGGACGTGGCCAGGACTGCGACCCACGGGACATGATGTCGATTGAGGGTTCCCATGACTTTCGGGGCGTGCCCGTTCACGGCCAGGGAGTACATGAGTCTTGAGCCAGCGAAGAGAGCGTGGTTTCCCGCGGAGAGGACGCTAGTGACGATGACTGCGTTGATGAAGGACCCGGCGACTTTGCTGCCTGCCATCGTGAAGACGATGGTGAAGGGGGATGTGTGGCTCGTCTTGCTGGAGAGGTTGGGATAGTTGTAGGGTACGTTGAGGCCGATGATGAGGATGGAAAGGATGTAGAAAATGAGGATCCGCCAAAAAACAAGACGGACGACGCGTGGGAGGGTGCGGGCAGGGTCTTTCGTCTCGCCGGCCGTGATGGCGATCGATTCCGTCCCGCCGTATGCGAAAGAAGCCGTGACGAAGACGGATGCGAATCCGCCGATACCGTCATGGAAGGGGGACAGGTTGAAGATGCGGGCACCGAAGTATGCGTGAGAAGTATTGCCGCCGCAATTGACCGCGATGCCGAGGAGGATGAAGATGACAATCGTCAAGACCTTGAGCAGGGAGAGCCAGTATTCCACTTCTCCGTAGGCTCGGACGGTGACGATGTTCAGGCCGATGAGCACGAACAGGAAGATCAGACTCAGCGCCCAGCCGGGGAACGACTCCGTCCAGTACTGTAGCAAGAGTTGCAGAGCGACCAGATCACTCGCCGTGCTGACCGCATCGTTCGCCCAGTAATTCCACGTCAGAGCGAATCCCAACGCATCATCCACGAATCTTCCTGCCTACAAAAGCGTCAGCATTCCCCAACACCTTCTTCGGCCCTCCCTTCCCTATTCGAATACTCTTTGGAAAGAAAAGAAAAACTTACAAACGTGCAAAAACTCCCCGCAACAGGAACAAAAGCCGCCATCTCCCCCAAACACAACATGGTCGTGAAGACGATGCCCCCCACAATCGCGTACGAAATCAACATCGACCCGGGCCCTCCAGTCGCCAACGAATTGCCCGTCCCGAGAAACAAGCCCGTCCCGATCGTGCCCCCGATCGCAATCATCTGTACTTGTCGAGCAGACAACTTGCGGGCCAGCGTAGTGGTCTTATTACCTTTACTGGAAACAGGCGTTGCTTCCACAGTCGTGGCATCCTTGCCATCTTCATATGATGATGATGATGGGGCTTCGTCTTCGACGTCCTTCATCATGTCTTCAGTCTTTTTGGGCAGAGGAGTGATAATTGTCTAGACCCTTCTCTCCTCTTCTTATACATTTTCCCCGTTGTTGCTATGAGAGAGACTAGTACGCTCTGGAGGAGATCTCTTCGCTGTGGCTCGGCGAAGTGCGACAGCAAAGTCAAAGTGTTACCTAAAAGTCAAATGACGTGCTCGTCCTCTTGTGGGTCCCTTATACGGTGTGGTATGGCGCGGTATGGTGCACGTTTGGTGGCCTGAGGCAGAAGGCCATCCATCGTCCACGACAGCGCCAAGCACTTCCGTACCTTATGGATTGAAGTTTTTACTGACGAGCAGGAGCCTTCTAGTTAGTGAGGCTAGAGGTCTTGGCACAAGTGGCTGACAGCATGTCATGGGTGCCACGAGGTTGGGGCTTCGTGTCCTGATAAATGGGCTTGATTATCATGAGCTTTGCTCTCTCTGATTGAGTTCTATATATTCACTACGCAAAAAACGCCGTCGCTAACCTTCCCGTATTCCGGACCAGGGACAAAAAATCGCAGCTCATTGTCTGCGGTTGACAAGAGGGTATAATTCAATGCTACCAACGTAGCCTAGTAGTCATTTGCTATGACTACGCAGCCAGTCTACCTGCCGCTCGGTCGAGCTTGGCAAGCAAGAGGCTGATACCGGAATCCGAACAGGTAGCAGTCATGGTGGCAGGAGCAGCAGAGTATGGCAGGTGGGCAGGCGAGTCGAGCAACAAGTCGACAGGGTCAGGGCCGACGGGCAAGTCGGTCACCGCGTAGGCATTGACGCTGTTGAAGTTCGAGTAGTTGTTCATCGAGTTAAAGCTGTTGATGTTGAGCTTGCTGAAGTCGTTCTCCGGAATCATGGCAAGACCAACTTGTTGCTGCTCCGCCTGCGATTGCTGTTGAGGTACGTGGACCTGAGAGTAATCCATGTTCAGAAAGTCAGGCTTGACATCTTGCTGCGGCTGTTGCTGCTGCTGCTGCTGCTGCTGCTGCTGTGCCTGCTGGGACTGCGCCTGGGGCTGAGGGGTGGGAGTGACAGAAGGCTGTCGCTGTGGCTGGGGTTGCTGCTGCTGGGGTTGTTGTGGCGGCAGCAGCACGGACGGATCCTTGGAGATGTCGTTGATGAATGGAGTGAAGGCAGGGTGGCGGAGGAGGGTCTCGATAAGGCCCCGGTAACGGTCATTCTCGTGCATGAGAGCCTGGTTTTCTTGGCGCAGGTTGTTGCTCTCCTGTGTCTTGAGGGCAACCTCGCCTTCGAGCTGGCCAATGTATTCTGAGACGAAGTTAGTACAGAGGTAGGATGGTGCACACGAGTCAAGAGCCTTACCCTTTCTCCTCGAGCGGAAAGCACGCGCGGAAACCTTATTCCTCAATTGACGACGCTCCTTGCTGGAGAGCTTCTTGCCCTCCTCTGAAGCGAGAAGACGCTCATCCTCGTCCATCTCCTCCTCATCCTTCTTCATGCGAGCAATGTGGGGAAGCACGTTTCCAGACGGCGAACCGGCATCGTCGGAAGAAACGTGGCTGTTTTGACGCATCTGATTGAGCAGGCGGGAGATGGACTCCTCGACGTGGGGTTCGGCGGTGTGGGAGACGCGCTTGGGGTTGCCGTTAGTCTGCTGAGAAGCGGCTTGGCTCCCCTGGCTCTGGGAAGGAGTGGCAGCTTGGCGGTACTGGGCTTGCTGGGCCTGCAGTTTCATTTGACGCTGCTGGACTGCCTGTGCCTGGGCAGCCTTCTGCATGGCGGCCTGCTGGGCCTGCTGAGAGTGCATGCCAGGCCATAGGCGACCGACGTTACTCTGTGGTTCCTCGTGGCCGCCGACGCTGTTGGGGTTGACGTATTTGTCGGAGGGGCTGTCGTTGGAGGGGAAGAACATGGGCGGCATGGAGTGCTGGCTGTTCAAGTCCATGCCCATATCGCCGTCCATGTCGAGGCCCGAGTTCCATCCCAAGCCCGAGTTGAAGCCATACTCGTCGATTCCCGAGTTGAAGCCGTCGTACATGTTGCTGCCGTTCATGGGCATGTTGGCCATGCTTCCGACGGGGAGGCCGACTTGCTGCTTGAACTGGCCATAGTCGTGGCTCGGGCCGCTGAAGTGTTGCCGCTCCTCCTTCTCAAAAGGCAGGGCGTCGTTGCGGGAGGAGGATGCGGTGACGGGCGAGGCGTTGTTGCCCTGGTTGAAGTCGAAGAAGGAGTCCATGTCGAGATTCTCGGTCTTGAGTTGAGGAGTGGGTCTGCTGCCCATTCCAATGTGACGCGAGTGTGGCATGCAAGAGGGGGAATGTGTGTTGGAAGGAGCCTCGGATGCCTGAGGTGGGTGGCGCGGACAGAGGTGGGTGTTTAGAGGTAGGTGTTTCCTCCCCCTCACGCTGGCAACGCTGGATGCTGACGCGGCTGGTGAGACTAATTGGCGCCGTCGTTCCCGTGCGAGTACGGCGATGCAAATGGACGGGGTGATGGTAGCGATCGTGTGAATTGTGGTGGTGGTGTTTTCGGATGGGTGTCGATGGGTTGGTGAGGTGTAGCGGGAGAGCGAGCGGTGTGGAGTGAGTTTGTGAGGGAGAAACAAAAGGGAAGGGAAGACTGGCGATGATGGGTTCAAGGCTGTAGGGTGCAGTAAGGAGGCGCAGCGCAGGACTGATCTCCCATTGGCCACAGCGTCCAATGAGCGGCCCCACCGGCAACGCTAGTCCGAGAATGTATGCAGGCCGATTAGCGAGCGGGAGTTGTTGCCGCCGTGACGCCGTCCACCGCAACCCAGATTCCACCGGCTAAATTATTAACACTGCTCCTTCCTCCTTCACGTTGTCCTCCTCCAACACGAGGCGAGGAAGCCGCGATGGCGATGTGACCTCCCGTCGCAGCTGCTTCGCTCTTTCCTCTTGGTGCGACACTTCCCAGGGCCAAGTTCCTTCCCCGTCCGTCGCGCAGCTGAGGTGTTGTTGCGCCGCCAACCACCGAAGTTTTAGTCTTAGGTTCGTCTCGTCATCTCGTCTCGTCTCGTCTGTCTCTCCGGTAGTCGGGTCGTGGGCGCCTGCCAACCGCTAGCACTTCGAGACGTGACGCCGAAGCATCGCCAACAATTTAGACCGCGCTGTCGGACTCTCGAATCTAACCGAGCGGACCACCGGTACGACCACCGGACCCGCCGGACTGCTCTGGCTTAGGTACCTAGTAGTCCCAGAACGCACGGGGCGCGCCGTACGTATTCCTACTCGCTTCCGATTTTCCCTTCCGACTGTTCTTTCCGACTTCCATACAGTCCAGACAATGGAACCATTTAACCGGATTGCAGATCGACACTTGCTGTGCACTTGCCGTCAATGCAGTGCATCGCATATGCCGTCATGCAGCCCGGACAATGATGAGTGAGACTCCAGATCCGCCAATCCTCCTCTCCTGCTCACCTCACGTTGGTATTATTATTATTATTATTATTATTATTATTATCATCATCATCATTATTCTTGTCACATCTCGTCCGCCCCGAACACAGCTGCAGATGCAGTCCCCAGGCCACCGAAGATCCAGAGCGCCCACGTGAGACCCGCTGCCTCCGCATCCGCCGCAGCAATGGGCACTTCACCTCCTGAAGACACTCCCGGTCCAGCTGAATCAAAAAGTCCGCTGAACCACCCACCGATCCCGTCACCCGGAGATGGCCCCCGCCTTCCGCGACTATCACGTGCACTGCTGCGGCGACGACTTCTGGCAGTGCTGCCACGGCCCCTGCTCGTGTGCGTCTGCGTGTCCTGCCTCTTCGCTCTGCCTCGGCGTGAGCTCGATCTAGTATTCCTGCGAATGATCAGAACGTATATCATCACAACGTATCAGGAGCCTCTTCTGTAGAAGCGCACATACCTCCGCGGACCACCATCTCCCTCGTCCAAGTAGCTACGCCGAGCGTGTTCTGCAAGCTCTTTCACCTCTTCGCCTACCTCGCTAGCAACTTCACTGACCCGTCTCATGCTGCGATGTGTTGCCCTTTTTAGGTTCTCGGTGTGCCTTTGTGTAGCCTCAACAGCGCCCTCCACTTCATGGCTGATCTTGCTCAAGACACCCTCTCCGGCTTCCTCGAAGTCATCCAACCAGGGGCAAAAGCTGCACTGCAGCATGGCCCTCACGTTTACGGAACCATACGCCGACCAGATGAGGAGACCAATCACTGACGCAAGCACGTCCCAACCAAGTGCGTTGATCCAGGGATGGTCTCCCAGAAGTCCTGTGACGACCATTGCTCCCCTACCGACCTGTTGGCTGGGAGATGGCTCAATGCGCCAAGGGATGAACCACGAAAGCTGGCCCCACCATCGATTGTGCTCTCCCAACCACCCTCTCGGATTTGCCTCCAAGAATGCAAAATATGATGAATAGGCGTAAAGAAGGGTGCTCAGGACGGACATGGCAAACCAGGTCTTGGACAACTGCTTCTTCGCAACCGAGTACGAAGAGTACCACGTTCCGTGCTTGTAGATCCGTCAGCCGCATTCCCTCGTTGTGCAGTTGAGGCACTCTTCGACTTACCCAGTTTCGCACGTGCCAAAATGGCACCAAGATGAGCAAGAGCTGCATGCAGTTGAACATTCCGATGGACCACCACGAAGATCGTGCCGAAATGTTGTGGACTTGCCAGGATACCCCGATGAGCATCACCACGTGGACACCAGTGGTCCAAATTGTACTCGAGACGCTCGGTGCCCAAATCTCCCTGGGGTCGGTCCTCGGCCAGAGTAAGAAAAGCGCATAGGAGACGGCTTGAAGAGCTGACAGACTGAGGCAGTACCCTAGAAACAGGAAGCAGATCGCATGGCCGGAGATGTCGCGGTTGTCGCCTGCGAGTTGCATCCGTTAGGAGACACTTCGTTCCATCAAAATCGCTCCGCCAGAAGACATCAACTCACATTCAATCGACAGGAACAGCGCCCAAGAGAGATAACCCATGAACCATTGCCGCGTCCACCAATTTCTCCTCTCGTCATCCACAAGAAGACGAAAGTAATCCCACGGACCGGCATTCCAACTCCAATCCTTTGGCAACCAGGGAACGAAGTCCACAATCGCATCCGGTATCTTCCCATACACATACGCGTACAATTTCTTCTTCACGCTGACTTCGTCCGGTAGGTAATCTCGAACACCGCTCTCCTTCCCCGCCAGACGTTCCGCTTCCTGGAACGTTTCCATCGCGCGGTATGCCGATAATTTCAACGCGCGATGTTGATACCGCATCACATTCACCAACCACAAGATGCTGAAAGCGAAGAGTAACAGCGCAAGGGCTCTGTATTGCGAGCGCAGAATCCTCTCTTTCCTCCAAAAGACTTTCACCGTCTTTCGATCCGCGGATCTCGCCGGGGCGTCGCGCCACGCGCGATGCAAGAGACGGGAGATGTCGAAGATGCAGTAGGCGAGGGAGAGGTAGAGGCAGCATGTCAGGGCTGCGTTGAGATTCTTGTATCGTGTGCGGAAGACGGGGTCGTTGTAGATTGTGCTGCAGGCGGAGAGGAGACTGGAGATGTGGGACCACCAGGGGGTGGGAGTTGTGGTTCCGGTTAGGAAGTCGGAGAGGCGGGAGAAGTAGATGGTTGGCGGCTTCATTTTTTGTTGGGATTTCTTTTGGCGGGACGGTCAGATCTTCTTCTTCTTCTTCTTCTTCGTCTTCTTCTTCTTCCTCTTGCGGCTGCGGCGGCGGCGAAGTGGTGTTTGTTTTTCATCCTGCCTCCTGGAGAAGGGCCTATGCAAGGGGTGCAAGCAAGCAGATGAATTGCTGTTGCTGTTGCTGCGGTTTGCTGGAATGCAGGATTCATTCCCCACGAGAATGTCAACATCCGCCCCGCAAAATTTACTCATCTTCGACAGTGGGTCTTTCGACCGCATCGATAACCAGATGTTGTGCCAAGGATCTGGCTGGTTGTGTCCTCATGTCTCAATGTACAGTGACCATATCATGACATGCTCAGAGTTTTCGCCTCTCCTCTTAATCCATGGTGACTGTAGCACTCGCAGGAGCAGCAAAAAGAAAGAAAGAAAAAAAAACAACAACAGGTATTAATATTGGAAAACAAGGCATTCGAACAGCAAGACTTCGAAGCCCGAGTGGGCAGGCAGACAAGAAATACGGATCGACGCGATGAAAAGTAGAATTCCGGTGTTATGGGTATCATTTGCTTCCTCCAACAACAAGTCCAGTCCAATTCCGTCTCCTGCAAATCCCAAGAAGAAACACAGTCGCTGCTGCCCCGTGTGAGTAGTCTAGCAACAAAGCAAACCTTCCCGTCCGAAAATCTTGGCGCAGGGACAATCCTTGACCTCCGCCGCCGCCGCCGCACCTCCCGTGATGATGGGGCGACACCAGCAGACGTAGATTCTCCCGCAGACGTTACAACCCTCGAAGAGGACTTCCAGAGAGCCATCTAGTCACGCCGCGCGCTCGGCGGCGTCCTTCTTGGGGTCCAAGCAGTGCACTTCCAGCGCCAGCAGGATGCCCTTCTTGTTGGCGTAGGGCGTGCGGGCGACTTGCGCGGAGCCGAGGTCGGGGTCGTGCAGTCTTTTGACGCCGTTTTGGAAATCGATGGCGTTGAAGCCGCGGAAGGGCTCGCCTTCTTTGACGGGCGTAGGGGGTGTTAAATGGGGTGGGCCGAGGTCGGCGACTGAGGCGGGAGGGAGGCGAGTCGTCGGAGGCGAGACGGTGAGGGCGTTGAAATGCGTTGGGTGCACTCGACACGCACAGCACAGCCGGATGGCGGGTGAGTCCTGGCGCGGCGCCGTGTACTTTGCGCGCGCCTTGTGCAGTTCCATCAACCGCTTGCGGAGCTGCGTGTTCTCCGCGGCATCACGGAAGGCGGCGGCGTTGCGGGCGATGTACTCTTGGAATTCCCTCTCGTTGATCGGAGTTCGTTCTTGCGGATCGCTGGGGAGGAATGCGTGGCGAAGGCCGCTCATGACCTCCTCGAGCCGACTGTCCTCGGACCATTGTTTGAGATTCGCCTCGGGGGGATTCTGATGCTGCCACTTGTTGCTCCGGAAACGTACGCCGAGTTCCTTTAAGTTGGGGTAGTCTGCCCTCAGGCTGCGAACCTGGTCGGTGGAGGTCAGATAGGGCATCCACATGCGTGTGTCCTGGGCTTTGATATGGAGGCTCAGGTTGGTGACTTGACGGCCGTACAGGGGCGAGGATGCGAAGGCATGCACAAACATATTGGCGTCGGAGGGATGGTGGAAGGTCAGATTGTTGAGGGTGTATAGCAAGGAGGCAGCTTCATCGTGTACAATCCGGCACGTCCTCAGGAGCTGCGCCTGGATGCCGTAGCGTGCCGGCGCATCGCGCGGACGAGGCCACTCGACCGGCAATCCATCTCGTGAAGTGACGCAGAATGCGTAGATTCGATCCCTGATCTCTCGCGGAAGTTCAAAGAGCAGCGAGCCGGCCACACTCTCTGGCAACTCGGGGATATCATTCAGCGCAGCGGCCCTCTCTTTCTCTTTCTCTTTCCCCCGATGCACGTCCACCATCTCGAGGTCGTCGTCTTCCGAATACTCGCTCGTACTGTTCAACGTGCTCCTCCGCGTCGGCGTGCGCAGGTTCGTGATGCTGTGTTGTCGGCTACTGGGTCCGGTCTGCGCGAGAGGAGGATGATGCATGCTGCCGGCCTGGCTGATGTAGGAGAGGGAGCGCGTAGAGAGAACGCTCTCGCGCCATTCGTGAGGATCCATGTGATTGGTTGTGCGATAGACAGGATCCACGTCTCGTCTCGTCTCGTCTCGCTCTTCTCCCTCACTCTGTCAGTCGGCCGGAGACGAGGAGTCGATCTCGTGCCCGCATGCCTACAGCGGTTAGGGGGCTGCTACGAGTATCCGCATCCTGGCGCTGAAGTCTGAAACGCTTGGCAACCGTTGGGCTCTGAGGGCCGTTCGGCTGTGAGAGGCCGCATATTTGCACATGATGAGAGTGGCGGTATTAATAGACTGAATACCGAGCAGTGGGAAGGACGAGGTGTGTGAGCTGGAGAGGAATCTCGATCAAACTAACAATTGATACTATCCACGTCAGACTGACACCCCACCCTGGGAAAACACAGCTACAGATAACCTAACACGCCGGCAACAGCAACAGAACGTAGTGAAAGTTGCCACAGCCATCATACACCATTCACAAATCTCACAATCTTCCCGCATCCTCTCGGATCAGGATCGGCCTCCTTGGTCTCCTTCAACGTCTCGCTCTCCTGCTGAATGGGCTCCAACCTCGACGCACTCTATGCAGTCGCATCCCAGAGCGCTTTCGTCTTGTCCAATCCAGCGATTGCACCGCAAGCACCCATTAGTCCCAAGCTAAAACCAGGGAAGCCGCCTTCGTTCCACTCAGCAGACTGCCATCCAACTGGAAACCATGCAGCCGGCACAATCAGCTGCTGCCACCACTGCTGGTCGATCTTCTTGTCCTCCTCCTGCACGGAGACATCCTTGCTCTCGACGGAGCTGCGCTGGCTGCGCTTGTTACGCTCAAGCTGAGCTTCACGGAGAAGCCGGACGAAGTCGATCGAGAAGCCGAGCATCCACGCACGGTATGCGGTAAGGTAAATCTTAGTCGCCTTTCCACCCGTCTTCTCCGTCCACCTCGCGGTAAGCTGCGCTGGGATGACAGCGTTGTCTGAAAGCAGGGCCACGTTCTCGAGGAACTGGAAGGCGATGTAGAGCCCGCATTGCGCGACCGAGCAAGTGTATAGAACGTGGTCTTGTCCGGGCTTCGGCCCTTGTGCCAACTGACGTGCCCATGCGTACAGCGGCAACAGTCCAAACAGACGCAGGGTCACGCGCGTCTGGGAGAGGAGAGCCGCCAAAGCTGCGAAGCGCGATGGGCCGGCGGGCGTGACTGGCGTGACCTTCGGGAGAGCCGCATTTCGGTTGAGGAGCAGAAAGAGACGTTCCTGGAGCGGCGCGGCCTTTGCCTCAAGGTGAGTGAGGAGGTAGAGGGTGTAGTTGAAGGTGGAGAGGAAGGCGCTCAAGCCGCCTGGGGCAGCGAGAAGTCTAGAATGCTCGTCAACATTCTGTCGTGATCAGCTCCGTAGAGGCTGTAGGTCAGGCCGTACTTGTTCAACCGCAGGAGGATGCGGTCGGGCGTAGCCAACGCGCCGGTGACCTTGTTCGGCATCTCCTTGTGGACTTTGGCGGCAATGGACTTGTCGGACGGCGGTGGGATGTTCCTGGGCGTCTCGGCTGGGGCTCCCGGTTTTTCAACAACAGGATCAGACATGACAAGACTCTCAACAGGACCAGTACATGTAGTGAGAACCAAGATTAATCCAGATCGATCCTCTCGCAAGAGCTGCCGAGAGAGCAGCAGCAGCAGCAGCAGCTAAAGAGGAGCGCGAGTCGGCGGCGTCCATATCCCTCATCAACCTCGGTCGCCCGGAAGCGAAGTAAGCAGCGAACCATGGAAGTAAGCGGGGGCGGGCCGTGAACTGGTGGGTGAGGAGTGAGGGAGTGTGTCTGCCTCAGGCACAGAGTTGCTCCCCGCCAACCTCACCTTGTTGATTTGTTGACGTCGCCGCGAACCATTTTTGGAAATCTTCACGACGGGAACACTTCATGACGGGAATACTTCACGACTGAAACCATTCATGACGGAAACACTATCGCGCCCCTGCACAGGCAATGCTTCGGCGCCGTCGCCGCTCGGAGACTATGTTGGCTTCACGAGACATGCCTCGATCCTCAGGCTCAATGTTCACAACGGGCGCGCGGGTCTGCCTTCCAGTTCATGCAAGATGCCATCGGCAACGCCCAAAGTCAGGTCCCTGAGATGGTCCTCGGACGGCAATCAGATGCTGGTCCTCCATGAGCACGGCGTGCAGGTCATGGACAGCCATCACCGCGTTGAGAGGGTTAGATTGGAAAATGGCAGCGGCGGTCTTGGCCACATTGAATCCGCCGACTTCATTGGGGACAACCACCTTCTCACCGTATGGGAGTTCGGCAGGACCAAACTCTGGTACATGAACAATGGAAAGGCAGTGGACCTTCCTGATGTCAAGACGACATGCGATGGCCGCGTCTGGCAAATACGACCACGATCACCACCACTGCTTGCTTTACTGTCGAGAAATGGAGCGGAGGACTGTCTGGTGCTGCACGTGCCTCTAGAAAACAAAACGTTTCCCATCGTCAAACTACCCACCGTGGATGCGCAGTCAATCTCTTGGTCGCTCGATGGGAGGTGGTTGCTGATGCAGGACACACCTACAGCAACTGCAACTCTACACATTTACACCCCACACGGCTGTCTCTTCCGCTCATACCCATCTCCGAAGGACGCCGAAGGCGGTCTCGGGATCAAGAGCACTGCCTGGTCGCCAGATGGAGGAGTACTCGCTCTTGCAAAGTACGACGGCCGAGTCGAGCTACTCAACACGAAGACGTTCTCTCCAATCGCTGTGATCGAACACAATACGACAATCCACCAGCGAGGGCTTTCCTCGGAAGAACAAGCGCCCATATGGCAGGAGATGGTCTCGGCCGCGAATCTACGGACATATTCTCTCCAGTCCCAGCCCGTCTCTCCGCCACTCTCCAAAACAAAGGCAGACTCTTCCGAACCGAAGGCTCTGGGCATAGCAGAGATGTACTTTAACTGCGACGGTAGCTTTCTAGCCACGCGTGACTGCAGAATGCTCAACACCGTCTGGCTCTGGAATATGTCCACGCTCGCAGCACATGCAGTCGTCATCCAGCACAGCAACGTGCGCAGTCTTCAATGGCATCCCACGCGCCCTGAGACCCTGCTCATTGACTGCGCCGAAGGCATGGCCCACATATTCGACGTATCCTCGACACATCCACCTGCAATTTTCTCGACTGACATGCGACCCAAAGCGCCTTTAACTTGGCTCACGAACCCAGCAGCCGCCAAGCCAATCATCTTGATCACAGAGGCGACGAGATTCCGTCTCCTTCACCCAGAGGGCAAGGACGATGACGACGCGACAGATTACGCTGCCACACCACGCGCAGGCTCAGCAGAAGCAGGAGCGGCACAATACGAAGAGGGGGCAAGCGAGGATTCTCTCTTCGACGTGCTATCAGGCCGTAAGCCTCTACCTCCCAAGACCCAACCTTCACTCACCGAAACACTGGATTTGGAAATGGAGGAAGAGGATAGCCTGGACGGCGCTGCTGAACTCGAGGACACATTTCGGGAGAAGAGAAAGGTACCGGAAGTGATTGATCCGCTGGATGATAGCGAGATCTTCTGATGAGTTACTCCTGCTTTTTTGTTCAGGTGAAAGCTGTCCTTGGCGGCGAAGGCACACTTTTGAGGAGGCGATACCCGGTATTGTACTGATCTTTTGGACATTTCAGAGTCCCCCATGCCAGTCTTTCTTTCTCTCGTAATCATCATCTATCACGTCGGTCTCTCGTATCGGTGAAAACAAGCCTTTCCTTCCGTGTTCTCTCCCGGCGAAACGGAAGACCCAATGCTCGGGACAGTGTCTCGGTAACTGGCTGATGAGTTCCCTGAGACCCTGCCAGTCATCGGAGACGCAACGCGAGGGCGAAAGTCTTGCGGCACCTGGCACTCGTTCAGACGTGCATTCGGAGGCAATTCCGCCATAGCAGGACGGATCCGTGAAGTAAGGAGGCGTCGTGATTGTTTTTGTATCTGGCGGGGAAACACACGCCAGACAGGCACGAGGTGTCAGCGGCGGTGCGGAAATGAACGCGAGGATCCGAGAGCCACGCCGAAGTAACGAGGAAGGCGTTGATCGTGTCGTGTAGGTAGATGAAGGTGTGTTTGTGGTGACTCCAAAGCTTGCGGGCGGTCTGCATGGAGATACGGTAGTTTATGGCAGTACCTAGGTGAGCTGGTCATCTGCTGTCTAGTCACCAAATCGCCCCACGCGACTACTGGATTTCTTTTAGGCCAACCGGCCCACCTCAAACATGGCTGATTGAAGCCAGGTGCATGCCTTGCTACGCATAATTGCTACTGCTGAGGCAAGACGTGGGGGCTACTGTGTCCCCAAAAGAATGGGTATTGTGGTGCCAATGGAAGCAGGTTGCGTTTTGTCTTGTGATGCGCGCACGGATCTCTATTGTACCTAGTGTGCACACCAGTCGTATTGGTTGTGTTGTGTGATGAGAATCACTTGCCTATCTTCTTGCCAGAGAAAAGTCAGGGGTGTAAGGTACGCCGCCTCCCTTGGTCAACTCCCTCACAGCCATTGTCGCGTACTGACTGCTTCCCAGCTGCAGTTTCAAAATCACCGCGATCTTGTCCTTCGCCGCTGTACCTCCATTCGTCTCCTGCCTCTCATCTACCGCATCCGTTTCGTCGCCTTTCTTCAGTCTCTCGAGATCTGTCTGCACCATTTGCTCTTCACCACCCGCGTATGCCTTCACCTCCACTTCCACGTCCTTTAATGGCCGCGACATGACCTTGCGGTAGCCTCCCGGAAGCGAAACGTCTCTCCAAGCCCGGCGCATGTTGTGCGGATCGAGTGCGCCACCCTCCTCAGAAGCCATGAAGTCCTCATAATACTTGCCAAGCTCATTGCTTGGGTATACGACGTCGAAGCCAGGCAGAGGAAGGACGACGTCAAACAGTTGGAAGCGTCCGCTTTCTGCCTCTGCTTTCGTCAAAGGTCGTGCTCGGAGGTATGGATCGCTCGGGTCGCCGACAAGTCCTGAAGCGCCACCGGGGTTCTCTCCTGTGGCAGATGGAAGAACGATTGGTTCGCCGTCCTCGTCAACTTCCTCTTTCAGAGCTCCACCGGTCGTCGAGGTACCCTCTTCCCGCTCTTTCTCGCCGACGACGACAAGATCACCTTCAACTACCTTCTCTCCGAAGATCTCTTGACGCTTACTAGCGACGGTATTCCACACGAAACTTTGATAGGCATGAACGTACATGGATCTCAAGTTCTGCTGGATCTGCATCAGAGCGCCCTGGTAGTCAGTCTGGTTCGGCCTGGCTCCAGTCTTGCGATCCCGCTTCCCAAGATGCGTGATTATGCCTCGCTCCGCATTGAACCGCTTGGGAATCTGGTCCAATGCGTGTTTCGAGTTGCCGGACTTGTGGAACTCGTGAATCCCCGATGCGCGCCACACGTCCTCTTGCGGAATTTTCGAGCGATTCTCAAGGTCACTGGTCTCCACATCTTTCCCGGCATGGTCCAGCAGAGATTCATCGTAGGCCATGATTGCATCACAAGCGCCCTTGAGGTCACCTTTCAGCATCTTCATGCCAACGACATGGGTGCCATTTTGATAAGAACCGAATCTTTGGAGTCCGAAATAATTCAAGTAGCCAGAGCTACTCAGGCTCTGAGCAGCCTTCTCAGCGACTCTTCTGGCGTGCTCTAGCTTCTTCTCCATACTCCAGGTCGTATCTTCCCCGTCAAATCTAGCGTTGCGTAGTGTGAGTAAGAACTCATTGCCGGTCAGCATGCCCAGTTCCAACGGCGTGGTCTTGTATTCCCAAGGCCCGCCGAGCCTCCATCCTCGTGCCATGCGATTCAGAGACTCCATCCGCTCACGTTTCATTCTGTGGACGGCGACACGCTGCACAGTGACTGCTCTGCGGTCCTTTGTGCCGGCGAAGCTGAAGTGTTTGGGATGCAACTTCAGCTGCGAGCCGAGGAAACTGAGTACTTCCATGGTGTCCTTGTTCTCTTTGTAAAGACTGAAATGGATATATTCTCCACCTAGCTCTGCCCAGTCCACCTTACCTCGCTGGCCTTCCCGATTGCTTTTGTCGCCGGTCTGGTTCACGGCAGATCTTGGGAGAGCCGCCTTGATGGATATGATGGTACCAGGCCCAGACTGGTGGTCTTGGTCCTGAACGGTAAGAGTCTCAAGTCTCGAGTTGAAGATACGACGAATGCACACGTGGGCTTCTGTTCGCTTTGACTTTTCGGCAATGGGCTGTGATCTGACAGTGTGATGATCCCGAGGTTTGCGATCTGGGTGTGCGACCACGGCAGCATAAAGATTGAGAAGTTCAGAAGTACCTTGCTCGCCAAAGACATCTTTGAGTACGCTCTTATCTGCATCAGATATGCTAGCAATGGCTGCAGCTTTCATGGCCTTGATCGAAGCCTCAGCAGCTTCAGCAGTAGATGATTCTGGCGATGTTACAGAAGCCGCTGCGTTCGGCGCAGCTTCAGTAGTGCCCTCGACCGACAACGCCTTGTTCGGCGCCAATTGACCCTGACCTTCTGACTTCAGTTTCTTCCTGGAGGCGTCCTTATCTGCATCTCTCTTCCTCTTGCCCTCTTCATTGCCCGAGATTCCCGTGAGGTGCAAGACCTGGCCTCCCGGTAGGATCTCGTTGACAAGAAAGTCGGTATATCGATGCTTGACGGTGCACGAGAAGCCTGGGGCGTCAGGCCGAACGAAGGCAGCTATGCCGACGGCGCGCTCTTGACCATCTTGACGCCGCACTCCATCTCCATCCGGGGCGTTATTTGTAGCTGACGAAGGAGCTGCCATCGCTGTGTATGGGCCTTTTCCGACGGAGAAGGGTTGCGCGTGCGGTGGATGCCACGGAACGAACAAGGATGGCCCTGCTGGTGATTTCTCTGTTTGTCAGATCGCTCGTCTACGCGTGTGCTGGTGTGGAGTGAGCATGAGCACGGCAGCGTCAGTGTGATAGAAACTGTGATAGAATTGAACTCTGGAATTTCCAAGAGCTTCTCAGAGTGGCCGGGCTCGACTCCGTTCACACGTTGAAAGCGCGGCGCGGGCCGATGCAGCAATTAAAATGCCTCAGGCCGACATCAGGACCTGAACTTCGTTGCCCCATCAGATGTAGATGAATATGTCCAGCTTCGTATCGACAATCGATTCACATCGGCATTGGCATTCTCCCTGCCACACATTATGCGTCTGCCACTCTATGGCTCGGTTCGCGACGAGGATAGCAAGCCGAGATGAAGCTGCTCTTGCGTCCTCGACCTCCTCTGCTTCTTGGCACTTCTCAGAACGGCAAGGGACGTTGTCAAGGCAATATGATGGCAGCATCCTCGGGTCTGCTGGAGGCATACTTGTGTTTCCAGTCATACACTGGCCTGCTTCTGTACCCAGGTGGCATCGTGGTTGGCCAACAAATATAGCTCACAGTATGGTGTAGTGCCGCGACGGCGTTTTTGAAGAGCCTTCGATAGTGGCAGTACTTGATATATTGTATATTGGAAGAACATCTCAACAATTGCTATGGTAGCTTTGGTTCGAATCGTTGTTCCCCGAGACTTACTGCAATCTCTCAATACGACAACAAAGTGGTGTCTTCGAATGGCCAATTCTCATATGATCCGTGCGTCATTAGTACCGGGATTGACTCATCACATGCTCTCGGCACTCAAAGCTTCCGCGCTGCGAAACGACCTTAACTTTTGACACCAGAGGAACCACGACACACCCGCAGCAACCAACATTTGCCAATTTTACCTCTCCGGAAACGACATGCTTAGCTTTTACATCGCGGAACTCCAAAGCAAGAACGCTCTCAACGCGAAATCGAACTTGCACTCCCCAATCATGGCCTACTTTCAGTAAAGAAGATGGCTCCTCTCCGATACTCGTGCAGTCATACGATTTCGCGTGAACGATATCACTCCAACCGCAAGCATCTGTTAGCCGACTGAGCGACCTTTTCCATCAGTCCATCAGAGCACACAATACTAAGCCATGTCTGACCAACAGAAGCCGGACGCACAGCCCAAGCTGGAGGAGCAAGAACAGAAGTTGACTCCGGCACAGCTGAAGAAGAAGGCAAAAGAGGAGAAGCAAGCACGGAGAGCCGCGCAGAGAGAACAGCAGGGAGGAGCTGCGGCAGGGCCATCCACGGCAGGATCCTCTGCAGCCGCAGGAGGTCCAAACGGCGTTCAAGGCCACGCTCAAGCTAGTCACCAAGGGTCTGCAGCGACACCGCAGCAGAGACCAAGAGGCGAGAGGCAACAACAGCAGCAAAGAGGTTCGCAAAGAAGCAGCGGCTCAGAGCAGGCAGCCTTACCGGTACGGAACACAAGACCGTCCCAGAGCGGTGGTGCACCTCCGAGAGAGCAGGCGAAAAAGGAGAAGAAGCCAGAGACCAAGCAAGTTGAGTTGTTCAGCCACTTGTACACACAGCCGCGCCGTCACAATGTGGAAGGGGTGTCCAAGGATGTTCATCCTGCTGTGCTCGCGCTTGGTTTCCAGTTGAGCAGCTACGAGATTTGCGGGAGCAGCGCACGCTGCGTGGCTATGCTGCTTGCGTTCAAGGAGGCCATTCAGGAATACACCACGCCCACCGGTACCTCCCTAGCACGGCACTTGACATCACATTATCTCTCACCACAGATCGACTTTCTCAAATCATGTCGTCCCATTTCGGAATCGATGGGTAACGCGATTCGTTGGCTCAAGAAACTCATTGTGGAAATCGACCCGGATACTTCAGAACAAGAGGCCAAGGACTACTTGTGCGACTCGATTGACAGGTTCATTCAAGAACGCATCATGGTCACTGACCAGGCCATCGCGACCACGGCGAGCAAGCAAATCAAAGACGGGTCGGTCGTCCTGACATATGCTAAAAGCTCGCTTGTGGAGAAGACGATCCTACAGGCACACGCCCAGGGCATCCAATTTCGAGTCATTGTGGTCGACTCACGTCCGCTGTTCGAAGGCAAGCGGCTTGCTGCATCACTCATGAACGCTGGTTTGCATGTGGAATACCTGCCGTTCTCTGGCATTGTGCGTGCCGTCTCCGGTGCGACCCTCGTCTTACTTGGTGCCCACTCCATGTTGTCCAACGGTCGCTTACAATCCCGCGTGGGTACCGCTGCTCTGGCAATGGCTGCTCACAAAGCAGCCATTCCCGTCATCGTCTGTTGCGAATCCGTCAAGTTCAGCGGAAAAGTTGCCCTGGACAGTGTTGTCATCAACGAAGTCGCGCCTCCTGAGGAACTGCTGTTCCCAGAGACTGCTTCGACACAAACAAACAATACACCAGCCAACGAGGAAGGCGATGAAGCCAAGCTGAAGAGTTTGCGTGACTGGAAGGAGATTCCCAACCTGCAAATCTTGAACATCATGTACGATGTTACCCCGGCGGAGTACATTCGAATGATCATCTGCGAGTATGGCAGCGTACCACCAAGCTCGGTGCCGGTCGTGCATCGCATTGCGAACGAGGGCATCTGAACATTGAGTAGTACTGTGTAGCACTTTAGTAATGATATACCCATATGTGTGCACAGTCGACGGAAATGGCTCCGTCCGCTCACCTACATACCTCGGCTAACCATACCAAATCGTCTACTTCACGCGAGAGAATCAGCAGTGCATGCAACATGACTAGTTTCCCGCGAAATCAGATTATTACCACCGCTACAATGCCCGAGCAGGATACTCAAGAATGGGCAAAGAAAATAACCTCAGACCTCCTAAAAGGCGAATCCCGAGCCAAAGCAAGTCGATCCATTTAAATCACCAACTAACTCCCCACACACATCACCAAACTAACCTTTCTCCCTCTTCCTCACATCAACAATACGACCAACTGCCAGCCCGTAACTTCCTCCTCCCCTGGCTCGACATCGTAGAGTGCATCTCCTCCACCAAACTCTCCCTGGCAGCCTGTAATGCAACGTTTCGCTTTCCCGTCCAACCCGAATTCCTCAACCCCATGGGCAGGCACCTTACATGCGGGAGCGACATCGGCTTTCTTCGAATGCGCTACCACTTGGACTCTATACCCGGTTGCGAGAGAGACCCGGGTTCTGGCAGAGCTTGGGGCTTTGTAGACATATTGCTTTTACGTATATGAGGCCTGCTAGGGAGGGGGAGATGCTGGTGATGGAGTGTGAAGTGAGTACTGACTGGTTCAATTTGAGGTTATTGGGAAGTGGTGTGGGTGTGCTGATTTGAGAGTTCTGAAAGATTGTGCATGTAGGCAAACGGCTCGCAATTTTACGGGCAGCATTGAAGAGGGAAAAGGATGGTGCGGTTCTTGTTACTTGTGAACATAACAAGTACAACGGAGATGCTGACATGAAACTGTGATCTGGCGAATGGAACGTTGATACCTTTGCTGCGTTGAGGGAGAGCAATAAAAGATTCGATATCCAGAAACATTGCGTTTCAATTGAAACAAGTCATAATCAACCCCAAAACTCGTATCCACAGCAATCGATGAGCAAACCAAGAAACCCGATAATGTTCATCCACAAAGGACGAAACACAACGATCACGGGAACCGGCCTGAATCCAACCTCTCGCCACCCTTAGGAAGACCATACGGCCTGGGGCCCTGATTTTCGCCAAGCCTGTCAAGCCTGTCAAGCCACATCTCCATCTCCTAGGCATCATACATGGCTCGCCTGATCTCGGGTTCCTCGTCAAAGACTCTCGATGCGTCGATCCGAATAGCCGGAATTTGTCGATCTACACTGGCGGTACGCGGACGCCGTCGTGTTGGCCTTGGAGCAGTATTCGTAGCCTGTCTGGAGATAACCTCAACATCTGTGTCGCTTCCTATTATCCAATTCGCACAGCTACTTCGCGGTCTATGGCTGTTCCGGGTGTAGGGAGGATGCGTCATCGCAAATGAAGAACCTACAGAGTCAACGTTAGCAATCTTCGAATGCGAGACAAGTTCTTGAATGTCCATCGCGAATCCGCCACGCATGAAGACTCATGATCATCACGTTAGCGTTCACAAAGCAAGGAGACGAGGTTTCGTAGGTAGGATCAGAGCTATAAGGTGATGTCTTAGTGTTGCGTGTCTATTTGCACTGGGAATCTGCCTCCGGGCGGCAATCTTTATGGCTGCCAGCTCTACTTCCTTCTTACGCCAGCGTCGCCAATCGCTACGCATGCAATCTTCGCTCGCTCCGGTTTCGGTGTCAGACAAGGGCCAAGGTAGTAGGTAGGTGGGTATCGATGCGTATTGGTGTGATTCGTGATGGTGGGTGCGTTTCATGCGTGGTCGATGTCAGTCGTTCTCCTTGCAGTGATGTGCGGTTGAGGTGCCATGGGAGGGCCAGGGGTTGTGGGTTCGTGAGGTGATGTGGATCGGGGTCGGAAGCGGCGTCTATCTTGCGGCCAAATGCTATTGACCAAGATGCAGTGTTGTCTCGAACATGCATAATCCTGGGAAGACCTCCGGGAGAGGGCCAGAGTCGTTTTTGGAGGGGCGCAGTCCCTAGGGAATTCTTTCCATGCTCCAACTCATCTCTGAACCGGTTCGTCAGCGTCTCCGCGACTCAATCCGCTTCACAGCCTATGCCACGACTCGGGCAGGACGCGTAGCGCTGCGTGGGTTGAGACGGTTGCTCTGCTTCCGTTCACGACATTCGAGGGGGCCCATTGCCGAGACCTTGGCGGGGTATCAGTACAAGTTTGATTAATTATATAGTATCAAGGTGCTATCCAACGAGATGAGAGTCTTCGTGGGTCAGGTCACTGCCGTCAACGACGCGGCAGGCAACCGAAACTTCACGATCTTGCTCATTGAAGGCTTCGCGAAGGGAAGGGAGTTGAGCTCACCTGATTGACGCTTGATTTGTTCGCGTGCCCACCGGGCAGTCTCCTGGGTACGCTGAGAGAAGTCCTTGTTGGATCGTGTCTCACGTGCCATAGCAGTGAGCCAATCGCTCGACTGGCGGAAGTGTTGGGCAACTTCACCGCCTGGGAAAGCTTCAGAGAGGTCACTGCCAAGGAAGTTAGTTGGATGCATCAGAAGCTTGTCTCCACGAATTACTCACCCAATGACACCCATGCTCGACCTAAGGAGAGCCTCGGTCCGGTTTGGGTCCTGGTAGACGTTGTTGAGCAGACCAAAGATCGCATCGACGTAGTTAAGGAGTAGGTTCTCTGCATAGGTTGTTAGTACGTGCTCTTGCGATAGGTAAGGATCACGGGTGTACTCACGCTTGTTCGAGCTCCTCATAGCCATGATGATGCCGCTCCATGCGTCCATGATACCCTCGCGCAGGGAGACAATGTAGTCGAGCATGTCCAAGTTCGCACTCTCCTGGGAGCTTACGCCAGCGGCTTGGTTCAGGACTTGAGCAACGACGGACAGATAGTTCTCAAAGTCACCGGCGATTGACTGCGCGATATCACCGAAAGACTGGAGAATGGCAGGCTTGAGCTGATTGCCAAGTCCAGGGCTCCTCAAGTTGTTGAGCAGGCTGTTCATGAATCCGTCGCAATACGGTTGAACCTTGCCTTCGAGCGCACGAGCGATATCAGTCACCAATCCAATAGCCATGGAGCACAACTGAGGCTCGTCCTGGTTGTTGAGAGCGTTGAGCAAGATTGGTTGAAAAGCGCCCATATACTTATCGAAATCAGCCTCGAGAGCGCTCGCTAACTGGCCGACAGTAGCGAAGACGGTATCCGGGACGCTAGACTTGGGTGGGAGAGCCTGGAGCAGATTGAGCATGAGCTGCATGACACGATCGCCGAGAGGAGCAATCTCTTTCTCCAGGCGAGCAATGATGGCCAGGATGACGGAGCAGAGAGAAGTCTGCATCTCGTCCAGTGTCAGACGATCCTCGACAGAGACGACTTGCTGCAGCAGTGGAAGTGTCTTTTCCAGACGCTCAATGATCACATCGCTGAGGCTGGCAACCATATGCACAGAGTCGTTTGCGGCGTTGGTGACAAAGGCATTGAGCACTTCGTAGGCTGCTGTGCGGAGCATGTTGTCTTGTGTCGACTCGGTGACTTGAAGCAAATGTTGCACACTGGCCTGGAAGTGCGGCGACAGAGCGTTCGACTGGCAACCTGGCTCACCGGCAAACCGATCTGCGAGGTTCATGAGGGCCCAGCAGCAAGAGCTGGCCATTTTTGGATGAGATGCGAGACCCTGGAAAAGCGCAGTAATGAGAGGCTGAAGGTGCTCGTTAGGATCAATGGCGTCCGACACCGCCTCGCAAATGCGACCCAGAGCATATGCAGCAGAGTCTCGGACTTGAATGGATGAATCGGTCATCATGGTAATGAGGACTGGAAGCGCCTGCTTCACAAGGGGATCCAGCACCTTCTCGTCCGGGCCTTCCATGATTGCGCCGAATGCAGAGACAGCTGCGTCACGGTAGTGCCAGTCGTCGCTGCGCAAGTGCTTCTCGACGAAAGCAAGGACTGATGGTACGACATGACTGCCCACAGCTTGCGCCCAGAGCTGTACACATTGGTATGCGGCCCGTGAAAGGTTGTACTCGTCATCTGCTGCATCCTCGTCCTGCTTGGCAAGCAATTCCAATAGGACAGGCACAATCTCCTGAGTCGCGACGCGAGCGAAGTTGAAATAGGGTCGTAGCTCAGCGCTGCCCTCCGCTGTTGCTTGGGCGTTGTCATCCTCGATGCTGATCTCTTCCTCGCACACGGTGCACCAGAATTCCACAGCCAATTTGGCAACTTCCTCCTCCTCACTTCGCATTCCTTGGATTGTAAGGCCGAAGAGGGCCTTCTCCATGTAGAACTTCATCTTTTCGTAGTACAGACCCATGATACGATTTAGACAGCCGTACGCTCCTTGCTGTATGCGGTTGTCTGATGCCTGAGTTGCCTCGCAAATTACCTGCATGATGTAGTTCCGCTCGCCTTCGTTCTCAAAGTTGGTTCGCACGAACTCGAGAGAGTCGCCGAGTGCTGTGATGGCCGCGTTTCGGATGTCATTGTTGGGCTCCTCTTTACGCGCACCCTGCACTACAGCCGTGAGGATTGCGTTGCTGTGCTGTGCGAGGCTGTCGCGCAAGTCTTGGTCTTCCGCCTCACAAATGAATCCAATAGCGGTCAAAGAGGCCTGTTTTGCGTGATCGCTGCCATTTCCGACATTCTCGACCAGGCGTGGCATTAGCTCCGGCCACTGCTCTCGAGGCAGTTCTATGGCTGCGATGGCCGCAATGAATTGCGCTGCTGACTGTCCTGCTCTTGCATCGTTCGAGTTGAGTGTCTGTAAGGACGCTGCCTTGACGTTCTGTTTGATCGAGGGGTCGATCTGCTCCAACCATCGCTGCTGGACTTCTCTCAAACGGGCAAAATCGCGGGAGGAGAAGGAGTTCTTGAGCGCTAGACCGGCGGCCATACGAACCGAGGAGTCGGCGCCATCATTTGCGAGCTCGCGAGAAAGGGTGGTGAGGTAGCCAGACTGTAGCCGGACGTGGTCAGCATAGTTCCTTTGAAAGACGGGCAACAGAAGGTACTTACAAAATCCTGCTCGGCAGCTTGTGACAGCTGCTGCTCAGCGGCCGTTCGTGTGTTCGCGTCTGTGAGAAGATCAGCACTGGTTCAAAGTCGAGTGTATGGCGCGCGGAGTGGTCGTGTGCGGCGGGAAGTCGAGCGCAGGGCGAGACAGGAGGATCTTGCACGTACCGGGAGAAATGGTTCCAGCGAGAACCTGGTTGACGTCCATCGTGTCCGAGAGTCGACGGAACAGAGATTGGCGGTGTCGGCGAGCTTCGTTGCTCTGGTTGAAATTGTGTCATGCGCAGGTGTGTGGGAAGAGAGGTCGCGATAAAGTTTCAGAGCGTGCTCGCGGCCGTGCAGGAGTTCGTGTTGTTTGAATGCCGCCGGTGACGAAAGCACAGTGCTACGGGACCCTAGCGGCTGCCTTTGACGTGAGCTGTGCCGGCGAGAAAGAGCGGGAAGTCGTGTATTAATACGAGGTGCGAAGGAAGGGATGTGGTTGTCGCGCGTCGAGTGAACGGGGTTGAATTGCTGCAGAGGAAGAAGAAGTGCGGTGCGGTGCGGTCACGGTTGGCGCCGTTGCTCACTTCCTTCGTTGCCCTCGCGACTCCCAATTCTTTCAAGGCCCACTTCGACCCCTCGGTCACGTGCGCCAAATTCGAATTTCACCGCCAAATCTGGCCAGCACGTGAAATCGAGGACAGTACGTGAGCGTCGAAGGCATGAGTCGGATCAGATTGCAGAATCATACGTGAACCACTATGGGCTCTGAATACACATCAATCAATATTGCTGCCTGAGGCATATGCACGAATTCGCTAAATGGGTATCCTAATCAACGCCTCGCCTTATGTCCTGATCCAAGCGGTTCAGGGGCACATGCAAGTAAAATGAACAAAGCAAACGTTTGCGAGGTTTCGACAAAGCCCCCTACTGCTCCATATCCATGTCCTCCTCCGGGACCAAGAAGGTGGCCTCTTCGAAATCATCGCTCCCGAATATCCTCACGCCATGGCTCTGAACAGTCTTCTGCGTTGAAGACTTCATACGAGCCATAGGCCGGGCCGGCTGGGACATGTGTCCATCGGCAGCCTCCATCTCGTCCAGAATCGCGTCGTCAAAGTCGTCCATCTCTTCCTCGTATGTGCGCTTTTTGGGAGCTTTGTATGGTGGCAGAGTCGTTCCTGAGCTATTCTGCGAAGAGACAATCGAGTTCTGCGACGTCGAAAGCTCCGGCATATCATCGTCTCCATCTTCATCCCGCTCGAGGCCCGGCGGAGCCGAAGAGGAAGGAGCTCCTTGCGCAGCCCAGCCTCCAGTCTTATGAAGGCCGCAGAACGGCATGAGTTCTCGAGTCTGCGTGGGGCTGATCGTTGGTCGGGCTGGTGCTGAAGAAGCAGGTGGAGCAGAGCTTGGGAAGGGGAATCCGTCCATGCCGATTGTCTTGTGTGTCTTGTAGCCTTCCGGAACAGACTTGCGAATTCGCATGCCGACGGTTAGCAAGGCAGCCTGCGTATCGGCTGGGACAGGCGGCGACATAGGCGATCTCGATCTGTGGGACGGCGAGTCGCTTCCATCGCGGTCGAAGAAGGAATCGAGGCGGGATTGGTTGGAAGGCTGGTATTGTCGCTTACGGACGTGGGCGGAGTGAGGTGCCATTGTACCTCAAAGAAGAGTGCGCGTAGATAGATCGAGACAGATGTTCCGTGACAGTGTCAAGTCTCTCAGATCGTAACGTAACTTGTAAGGTAGTACGGAGGAGTACTTGGGCGTGTGGAGCGGAGAGGTATGATGACGGAGAGGCTGGGATTTCGGGACACGCGCAGTGTGCAAGGGCGACGCGTTTAGAGTTCGTAACTTGACTGTGCTGATTGGCTGCAGCGAGCGTGAAAGAGGAGACTTCACTCTTCACCCTGAGACATCACAAAGAGAATGTCACCGCTTCAAATTATTGAAAGAGTCGTTTGCTGACATTGTGAGCAGCTACCGTCAAGCAAAATGCACATTTGTCCACATGAATTCGTCCCAGAAATTGGCATCCCTGCTCCTTCGTCGATTGCCCAGTCCTGATCGCGCGGCATTTGACTACAGACATCTGCAACCAAGTTACTATCCGATATCCCTTCACAGAGATCACATTGTCTTCAGCGTGCTTTGAAGACACCATCGCCCTCAACACCGCCATCCTCGTTGATCCGCTCCATCCAATCCTCGACGGCGGGAGATGGCACTGCTCGCATCTTGTCTGGCGCTCCGGGAGTCAACGGCATCATCCGCTCCTTAGCCTTGGGAGTCGTCGGCTCGTCGATCTGGCCGATGCTCGTATCGCTGACGATTGAGCCGTTCTCGCATTCCATGAGCGGCACCTGCTCGCCAAACTCACTACCGCTCACTTCACTGCTCACGTCGCCGTCCTCATCTTCCATTTCCACCTCATCGTCTTCTGCAGCATCACCCTCCGCATTGGGATCCAGGTCCAGAGCAACAGCAGCGGCCATTTTGTTATCCATCATTATTGACTGAGCGGTCGATGGAGTCGGCGGCGATTCCGCTCCAGCGCTTGTGATGAGGCCATCCCAGACCGATTCCTCATAGCGGTGAACCAGAGAGTGGAAGGCGATGCAAAGGATGTCGATGACGAAAGCGTACGCCTTAGACGGATGCTCGATGATCGTCTTCTCGAATGGCTGACCCTCGCCACTGTTGTTCTTGACGATGCGCCAGGCGGCGCGAGCCCAGACTTCCTGCGTAATCCACTTGCAGGTCACGGCCTTCTCATCGCTGTATTTCGGTTCGAGACTATTGCCCTCAATGTCGTCGTCGGCGTTGCCCTCGCCAAGACACATCAGGAGTAAGTCCTCCTCGAGGTCTTGTGGGTTGTAGTAGTATCTGGTGACAAAGCATTGGTTTTCAGTAGATGCCTCCAATGAGTAAGACGTTTCAGGCTTCATACCCTTTCTCGCCCGTGTTGATCCAATCTACTCCAACGTTGAAGCGCCTGACACCGATGTAACACAGTTTGTACCAGAGGACCAGATGTGGGCGGACACTGCTTGAAGTGAGCCAGTCTTCGAACTGCTTGCGAGAGCATCCCATGGTGGCAGCTAAGTAATCGCGGCCATTGGACTCGTAGGCAGTGGCTGCGCGTCGCTGAGAGCGGCGGAGCTCCGGCATGTTGGCAGTGGGCTGTAGGAGGTCAGTGTGGCGTGGAGGCAAGTAAGAGTCTACAGAGATTGAGAAGATCGTCGCAACTGTATCAATTGAGTCGCCAGGTGAGGCGCACATGAGAGCTGTGCATGTGAGCGGATGAGTGGCAGCGTGGTTTCAAATGCTCACCTCCGACAGTGCCTCACTTCTGGCATGTGAAGCTTCCATTGCACATATCAAAGCTCACACGAGTGACTTGCATCAGATGAAGTTATCCCTCCAACCGGTTTCATGAATCCATTCAGTTGCTCTAGCTGAGTGCTTTTGGGTATCTCTACAATTTGGTACTTCCTTGATCGGTCTTGAGCCATTGCCAGTGTCCTTTCGTGATCGTGATGTCCAGGGAAGATTTCTGGTCATCTAATTCTTCGCAGCAGTCTTGGCCAGGTCGGCGAGAGCCTCGCGGCGCTTGAACTTGGCATCCTGGATGACACCGGCGTCGGCGTCGGAAGAGAACTAGAATATTGTGTTAGCATAATAAACCATCAAAGAGTCGTCGAAGAACTAACGTTTCCGGACCACTCAACCATGGTCGAACCCTCCAGCTCACCGGACGTGATGGGGTAGCAGCGGATTGTGCTCAAGGCAGAGGAGTAGCTCAATTCCGGCTGCGAAGAGATCACACTGTAGGTGATGTAGTGGTTGATAGTCTGTTCAAGATCCAATCAATACTCCTTCACATCATCGCTTCTTCTATTTTTCCGCAACTCACGCTGTGCTCCTCCTGCTTCACCTGCAAGACGGTACCGTCCTTGAAGGTCCAGTTCACCACGTCGACATCGTTGCTCGCACCCTTGACATACTCGGCCTTGGAGATGGCAGACCAGAACTTGTCGAAGTGCTCAAGCTTGATCTGGTGCCATACGTGAGCGAGAGGGGCGCGGATCACACAGCTCTCGAGGACGGTGGTGGAGTGGGGAATGGTGGAAGACATCTTGGCTGCTTCCAGTTCGTTTCGTATGGATGGTCGGAGTTGACTTTGGATGTGTGAGTGGAGATGGGTTGGTCGATTGTTTGGGAAGAGAGTAAAGAGTCTAGAAAGTACCAAACATTGGAGTAGAAGCTCCGACCCCTGCAGAGAAACGGCAAGCATGCACGCGGTGAGTAAGGAGCTCCGGATCTACATAACGGACATTTACTTAGGATTTCGGGATTTCAGGATTCTAGGATTTTATAATTTAAGATTTATGCTCCTTATCCTACGTATATACTAGTATAGCTAGTAGTAATCTCTCTTATAGCTCTAGGCTATCCTCTCTACCGGTCTCTCTACTAGTCTCTTCTCTCTCTATCGGTTACTTCTCTTCTCTCTAATAGTCTCTTCTCTCCTCTTTACTAAAGACCTCTCCTCTTCTTTACGCTATAGGCTACTTCCCTCTATAGACCTCTCCTCTTCGTAGGTCTCTTCTCTACCCCGTAGGTCTCTTATATAGATATCTACTTCTAGGCCGGTTTCGTAAGCCTAGTCTCTCTTAGAAAGGATATATACTAGTTATAAGTGAATTTTAATATATAGCGTATTAAGATTTTATTAAGCCTCTATAAAGATTTACTTAGTTAAAGGGCTAGTAAATCCTGGAATCCTAGAATCCTAGAATCCTAGAATCCTAAGTGAATGTCCGTTATGTAGATCCGGAGCTCCGTCGTGAAAGACGTCAGTGGGGTAAGGCGGTGAATGGATGAAGAAAGAATTTGATGCCTGAGGCATACAATCCACAGCGAGGTAAAAGTCTGTATTGTTACAGCTGCTCATACTAATACTATACAGTAGATACAAGTCCCATGCTGGCTCATCAAGCGGTGCACCACGCTGGTGTCCGAAATTTGATCCCGCGTGAACGCCGACGAGCATTATCAGTCCAAGAGAGCATCACAGCATCTGCCTTCGCCCTTTGGGCAAATTGCACAGTGAACGCTAGACACCCTCATCAGAACCAAGCAGCCCAGCCGTGAAACAGAGTGGCAAGATTCTTCTCATCCGTCGCGGCCTGTATCAGCTCATTGACCGCCGCTGCAGTGCTCAACGTCTTCGACAGCTTTTTCTCCACAATCGACAGTGCTCGGTCGGCCTCGCCTGCTTCTTCCTCTCGCTTCCTCGAGGGTGTATCGTCATTGATTCGTCTTGAATGTCCAGTCTCGAGAGCTTCTTGCATTTTCTTTGCCCGAAGTGGCGACACAGTCCAGCTGTACAGCGGATCATAACGCAGCACATTCAGCAAAGTCATGATGCTGTCCTTGTCCTCCCGCACTGCATCCAGTGTGAACTCACAGCAGCGACGAAACACACCTTCCGTCTTGGTCGAGCCCATGCCGTCCACAATATCCCTCGTGAGTCGGAATGGCACAAGCTCCGGAATCGGCAGGATTCTTCCGGCCTCGAATGCAACTCCCAGATCAATATGTACAACCTCTCCCGTGGCTGTGTCCAGCATGATGTTGCTATTGTGGCGATCACCCAGCCCAAGGACATGTCCCAGAATAGATATGCTTGCAGTTGTACGGGTGTACGCTGTGCGCTTTTGGAACCAATCGTCGGGGTCATCGTAACGTTCGAAGAAGAAATGCCTTAGCACAGGGTGAAGGTGTTGACAAACCTTCTGATACTCCTTCACGCGTTGCTCTTGATTACCACTCTGGTAGGCGTGATGGATCATCTCCCTTACTTTGGTGTCCGTCCAGTCTTGTGGGTGATAGCTGCGATGGGCAGGCCGCAAGAAGTCGTTCAAGGGTATTGAGTTGGGTACAAATTCGATGATGCCGCTCTTAGCAGACAACGGAACGACTTTATATGTACGAACTTTCAGATCGCGCTGTCGGGTAGCACGGTGGTTGCGAAGCATCTTGCTCACTTCCTCAAAAACTTGCTCCATGATAGCATCCTGTCGAAGGTCGTCGCCACTCTTGAAGAGCTGCTTGTACTGTACTCCATCGGACGCCAGGCAAGTCGCCAATTTAGGCGCACTATTTCCGTTCATGACAGAGCAACGCTGTTCGTATCTTTGGACGATTGGAACGTCTTGGTAGTCCCCGCTGGGTCGTAACGCAATCGACATGGTTATTGGTGGCAGCCGCAGCCTGGGCATTTGCTCGACAACACTCTTCGACTCCTTGAACTGATTTGCAGAGAACTTGCTATGTCGCTCCGGCAGAACAGGCTTCAATTCCGCGAATGCTTTCGATAGTGCATCGGCCTTGAATATACGTTCTCCGATCAGTTCTTTGCTTTTGCTGTCCGTGCAGACTTCCGTATAAACCGCTTTTGCCGCGCTGTAACGCGAATTCGAAGCAGGGTCGGCGTTGTTGGGCCTCCTCGAAGCCGCAAACAAATGATGCGCGCTGTGATGAGGGTGTTGGGCGCAAATACGGACCAGTAGTCTCTGCAAGGCGGTCTGGAAGGTAGAGGGCTGCTCTTCGGCACGGGAGATCAGCTGGTTCATCAGCAACACAAACTTCCAGCTTGGGACGTCGCTGAGATATTTCAAAGCAATGCCGTTCGCCTCGTCATCTTCTGCGTTCTCTAGCCACAGGGCAAAAAAGCGGAGGACACAGATGTCATGATCATCTGAGGCACCGAGAGCGAGGAGGTAGTTCCGTAAGCTCTGGTGAATGTAGTGGTTGCGTGCGTCTCTCAGGCCCTTCTCTTCCATCTTGTCAATGTCAAGCCACGCTTGCGCCTTTGTCAGAGATTTCCTCAGGTCCTCTCGATCGCCAACCACTTTCTTTGAATTTCTCATGGCCAGCTTGATAGCTTCAACTTCGTCCTCTTTTCCTTGACGAAGCTTGATGATGCGGTTGAAGTTCTCGATATTGCTGGGACTTTGCAGCTCGTGGTCGCAGAAGGCTGCGAATTCGTAAAACACCTTACCTGCTTCTCGACCTGCCTTGCGGTTCTTCAAATGCCCGATTGCAGGCTTAAGATAGTTGCTGAGGATCTCTTCCGGTTTCTCCAGCCTGGCATTGGCGAGTTGGTAAGCCAGTTGTGCTTCTAGCCCTGACCGTCCAACCGCGACGTCTTGCTTTTCCAAATTCGTGATGTCGAGCGTGTCTCGAAGCATTCTGACCGAGGCCGACAGCTCGCCAGCCTCCCAAAGGACCGAGGCTGTCTCCAGCTTCACTGCAGCGCTGACGTGCAGATCAATCGCTTCGTAATGCTTCATCAGGTCGCTCACGGATGTTGTCGCTGCTAGTGCTTCTTGCAATCGAGCGTGCTCGCGAGCTAGCCTTGAGCCACTTAGTAATGCTCTAGCTTCAAGACCATGGCATTGTCTAACATCAAAATGCAGCAGGTTTCGAAGCGATTCGTTTCGACGCAGAACACCAAACAAGGTCTGACGACCTGTCAAGATAGGTTTGACATCGTCGAATCTTGCAAGTTGCATCCATTGCATACGGCTTTGCATGATATCGTAACGAGTATCTAGTTCTTGCTGGTCGACGGAAGAAAGGACCTCGCACACTTCCGCTAGAGAAGCCAAGGCACCGTACCAACTATGTGCTGGGACACTGGTGGTTCGCAGATCGAGTGCTTGTTTCGTGTGGGCCGTAAGATGAGACTGCATGCGCGTATGCACATCTTGTACGTTACTTGATCTGCCGAGATCTTGAAATGCCAAAAAGGTGACGGGAAGCTTCGCGCCTTTCTCCTCTGGGGGATTGATGTCCCATTGCTGTAGCGTTTGAGCCGCCTTCAACATAGCTTCGGTAGACTGTGCAGAGCTTCCTACTCCTTGGTTCAACAGGGCAAGGGCGAGACCGTTGAAGTTCAGATCAGACAATGAGCGAATCATGCCGATGGTGTCCTCGTTGTTTCGATTGCCAGAGTTGCGCATGTGGCTGTCCAATTGGGCGGAACGGAACATTAAGCTGCGGAAACCATCTCTTTCATGATCGAGGCGATCGAGAACAGACTCTAGATTGGCTGCTTGCTGAACACCATAGAATGAATCCGGTTCCTCGACCTGTTTGTAGATCGCCAGCAGCAGACTATGCGGCACTTCCAGGTTCGGAGCTTGGGTGAGCGATGTTCGAGTCGACGCTCGTTTGCCACTTTGACGGGTAGCTGGAGCAGGACTGCTCACGGATTCAGCCAAGAGTAAGGCGCTTGTAGGCATGCCGCAACGGGAGCCTGCGTCTGCTGCGAGAAGATAGTCAATGTCCAGCCAGCGGTGTCGATCCACTTTCGTGTTCTCATTCGGCAACGGTTGACTTCGCAAGTAAAGGAGTAGCTCTAGAATGAACTGCTGCTTTGGATAGAACGCCGCATCCGTCTCGGAGAGGCATTCAGAGAAAAAAGTAGACAGCTCAGTCCGCAAAGTGGTGCTGCGGTCTACCTCTCGCGTGAGCAAAAGGTGTATCATGCTGGGCAGAAGCTCACTCGCCAGTCCACGAACATGCTGGATCAAAGGTCCGAGTGCAGCCACATGAGGGACGTCTGACGCTCGGCCACACATGTTCACAGCAATGGTAGTGGTCCACTCCTCAGTCGAATTCGCATACACGTCTCGAAGGCTTTGGCGCAAAGGTGGCATTTCAGCGGCGATGGGAGCGAGCTGGGTGGCCAAGGCTGGTACGTAGTGAAATGTAGCTTCCCGCACAGCGTCGATGACCACCTCTGGTAGCATTTGTTCAAATGCAAGGGTTTCATCTACCTCTGCTCCCTGCATTTCATAGAGACGTCGCAGACAATACTCGGCCAGGCCCGCCTCGGTCCGGCTTCTGGAAAATAGCAGCTCTCCTGTACACTTCGCTATCTTGGCTTGGGATTCCGCAACGATGTTGCCTTCTGAACTAGCCTGCCTGACCATTTCTTCTGCTACAGTGCTCCTCCTTGCTAGATTCTGGGGACGACGGCCATTTGAAGCATATGCTCGCCCCAGTACTTGCGCTGCCCAGGTTGTGAACGCTTCAGGTAGCGGTGCCGATCTGACAACCTGCCAAATCGGGTCCGAGAAACGAACGGCGGCTTCGTCGTCCCCAAGACAATCGACAGACACCAATGGCGGAGCCTCGAAATTCTCAGAGAAGATCTCAAACGCCTCCGTCGAGTCTGCTTTCGAGCATACCGAGGAATCTGGCCGCCACTGATCAAGTAAGAACAATAGCAAAAAGCTTTCCGGTGTGTCACGCCGGGCATTGCCCGGGAGTTGAATGTGAAGCAATTTCTCTTTCAAGACACCATCAGATAAGGTCCCTCCATGGCCGATCGTCTGGTCGAGATAACGAACGAGCCACTTCTGAAAACCATACATCTTTTGCACAGTAGCTGTGTGCTGGCTCTCTTGGGTACTCCTGTCGCGCTTGAGCCTCGCGTGTCGTCGCACCTGGAGTACGAGAAGGATGATGATCCCGCGCAAGAATTCCAGGTTATTGCTCAGATACTCGCGGCCATGGTTCAAGAGATACTGGATCATGCCCAGCGCATCATCAGCGCATTCAGTGTCGCTAACAAAGGGTCGTAGCGAGTGAAGTAGCATTTCCAAGGCAAACCCCTGATAAGCTACTTCTCCTGCCATGCTAATAAGGATCCGCATTCGGCGGACCATCAAGCAAGCATGCAAAGAACCGAGCGACTCATCAATGGCGTCCAAAAGCATGCGTGCAACTAATGTGAATGCAGAGGATGTCCATGGCGTTGATTCGGAGCCCAGTCGACGATTCAGCCGCTCGGTTTCATGGAAAAAGTTCTTACTTGGAAACGAGGGTTGTTGGCATTCTGGCAGATTTCGGCTTGAGTAGCTGTAGCTCTTCATTTCAGACAAGGCTCGTGCAGCAGTGGTGTATCCGGAGTGTACTGTCATCCACGAGTCTTCCGGATCATCCTGACGAAGACTGAGGTAGAGATAGCCAATAATGGTTGGCCATCGCTCTATGATCATGGCCTTCGCCTCTCCCTTGCCGTCTATCAGTGTTCGGAGCCTATTCTCAATGTCTGGCTTCCCGTCACTTTTCGACACATCGCGACCAAGTGTGTAAGCCATGCATTTAGCGAAAGATCGTCGGATCAAGTCACCGTGCAAAAGCTTCATATGTTTGGTCATGGTGTCTAACCCATCGAGGCAGCCTCTTGTCACCAACTGAGCGCAGACCTCTGACTCGTTGACCCTCAGCAGATCTCCCAGTGAGGTGTATTGGAAGGCCGCGAATGGCAGACGTGCTAGAGGCTGCTGTGTGTCAATATATGTATGAAGCAGTTGTGGGGCGAACGCCGAGAATAGCTTCTGTGGCGATTTCAATGGCAGCCTCATTGACAATTGCTCTACGCAATGGGTGGCATGCTCCAGGGACGTCTTGACACGCCCGGCTGTTTCGAACATGTAGTAGACGCAGTACCGTAGCAGAGAATGCCATGCCGAAGCAAGATTGGAGAGAATAAGTAGACGCATCGCGATACCTTCCAACCAATCTGCGTTGTCAGGCAGCTTCTCGACAATATCTTCGAAGATCGCTGCGTGCTTAGCCAGCACAAATATTCCGAACACTTCTGAAATGCGCTTTGATAGATGGAACATGAGAGTAATACTCCCTTGCTCCAGTAATGTCAAGATGCTTCTCATTGGTGAGTCAGCGGAACTGTCAGTGTTTGCGGTGTAATCAGGGTTGACATGGCAGAGCTCGAGCAAGAGCCTCGATATCCGTTTCTGCACGTTTGCTGAAAGCGATCCTTCTCCAAGTAGCTCAGTGCACCATTCATATATGTCGAGACCCAGGTTATACAGAGTCCTATTGGCTTGGTCCGTCCACACGTTCGACTGACTGCTCAGAAAGTCAAGAATAGTCCCAATGACCACCTCCGATCTTGCATAAGAGTAATTGTTGATGAAGGCGCTTTTCGTTTCAAAGAGGTAGGAAAGTATTTTCTCCGTTTCTTGAGCCGAGAGCTCAAGCCCCAGACCAGGGAGAGAAGAGAGCACATCTCGGCAAGAAACAACGAAGCTTTGGGACTGGTCGCAAATGTAGTCGCTTACCACGGCAGCTGCTTGTACTCCCGAGCCCTGCATGGAAACACGCTCGGCAGTCACCGCGTTCACGACATTGGCATACAAGGCCAAGCTCGACCTCAAGGTCGCTCTGCTAAATGCCAAGTCCATGTCATTCGTTGTGCCTGTGCTTTGGGCAGTGACTTTACTTGCGCCGCTCTCTTGGGACCCAAAATCATCGTCAATGTCCATAGCATCTACTCCATCATTGTCGTGCCTTGCATTCTGACGCTGAGAGAGGGCAACAGAGATACGTGAGCACAACAGAGTCTCACAATCTGTAGGGCGAAATTCAAGGCCGAGCTCGCGCCGAGCAAGGCCAGTGAGTGACTTCGAAAATATGGACAACAGTATGTCCAATTTTGCATCTTCGCAACTGGGGTTGACGAGGTAGTCACACAGCGCAGCAGTCAAAGCCTCAGACTGTTTTTGCAGATGGTGATGTCGTCTTGTATCTTTGAACGTCACGCATGAGGCCATGCAGTTGACGATGCAGCAAGCTTTGCAGAGCATGATCCAAGTGTCGATGCCCGGACGAGTTAGGCTTTTCCACGTCTCGTTGATTCGTGTCGTCTCACTAATTAGATGCGTAAGTAGCTGTGCTTCGCAAGATACTCTTGCTGGCGCGCCCAAAGCGGGCACAAGTACCGAGGCATCTGTGAGAGCTGGGTTGATTGCTTCACTATCGGCCGGTCGTAGTATAAGGTACGAGACCAACTCGTCCTGCGCGCGGCATAGCAACCAAGTCTGAGCAGGCCCTTCCCATACTTGGAGACCAATCATGCCCGACGTATGCAATTCTTGTCCAAGACACATAGCCACAAGCCACGTTACATCACATGGGTCGTATGTGGAAGAGGCCATGACATAGGCTCTGTCTTGTTCTTGAAGGCGGCTTGGCGTGAAGACATGGGAAAGCCAGCCGATTATGCTTTCCGCTGTCCGACTGGCGACTTCAGGGCTCAATTGATGAGATGCTTTCAAAAGCCCTCTGAGCAGCAATGACACCGCATCTGATAGTAAAGCGGGTCCGCTGAGGTCCAACGTGTCGGTAGCCACCTGTAACAGCTCTGATATGCTTGCCTGCGGTATCAGCCGGAGCTGCATCATAATGTACAAGGCATAAGACGCTGCTCGGCATGATGATGCATTGCTAAGAGATCGGGTTGCTATTTGCCATGCTGAAGTCCAGTGCAAAACGAATTTCGCTCCTGTCGCAGATGCTTGACAAGCGCAAGAAGCCAGTGCGAGGAATGACCAGCTCACGACGGTTCCATGCTCGTCCACGCAGCTCACAGAAAGTGCTTCTAGTGTCTTCGTGAGCTGACTGGTTGACATTGGGATTTCCTGGGCCAAGAAAGCAACGACTTGAAGAGCGCAAATTTTAGCATTCGGAGTACCAGTGATAATGGTTTCAACCAAGGACAGAAATTCGTCCTGCTGCCGCTGGCGCTTTTTAGATCGAGGATTTGGATCAACGTTTTCGTCACCGTTAATGGACTCCTGATAATTCTCCGCGAGTTTCCCATCCTGTCTTGAGGCGTTGAGTAGTCTATAGATGCTTTTAAGCACATGGACGAGAATCCAGTTTGACTCTGCTCGAGCACCGTTGCATTTCAAGGTGAAAAGTGGGGACGAGACTTGTCCGTCTTCCCTGTGCTGGGCAGGATCGATTTCCAGGCGGATGTCATCAAGGCCAAGCTGCTTAGTGTTTGAGTTGTCTTGCTCATAGACCGACTGAATAGCTTGTGCAAGTCCCACCAGATCAGTTCTCAGCGATATTGCCGCCTGTCGCCGCATTGCGCGAGTGATATACGGCTGGAGGAGCCAAAGCGTAGTGAGCATTTCAGACAGAGCTTTAGATCTGGAGAACCACATTTGCCGAACCAGACGCACGAGGTGGCTAGTAACTTCCTGCGTCAATTCGATCTGCTCGGTCCTGCTCCAGGCAAGGACATTGTTGATCGCGGTGAAGGCATCAGGGATCGAGGGGTTGATGTTCGATGATGCTTTGAGATGTTCAATCAGGGTCCAAAGTATAGATCTCGCTTGCTGTTTGAGAGGTGCGTTTGGCGCTGCTGTCATCAGCCTTAGACACGCGATCACCTGCTCCGCCACCATTTTGGTCTTGGATCTGGGCCCTTGCGAGGCAGCAGACTCTCGAGCGAAAGACCTTGCCGAAGATCGATAGCTGGTCCGATTTGTTTGTCCCGAACTGGTAGCCACATCAATCTCACCATGTTCGTCCATGGTCTCGGCTTCGACCTTCTTGAGGCAGTCAAGACAGAAGGACATGGTGGCTTCCCACTCGGACGCAGATGCCAGTTGCTCAACATGAGGCTGAAAGGTGAAGATTGTGCGAAGACATTTCATGTACTCAAGAGCAAGCGGTTCGCAGAAGTCCCCTGCAGAAAGATAGATGGTCTCGACGATGTGATTTCGGAGCGCCAGGACGGATTTGAGCAACAGGATCTTCAGGCCTGCCTCGACCGAAAGTCTCAGAGCACTGGCAACTTCGAAGAGGTGATTCTCGGTGGTCACCTTGAGTGTTGGCGTCTTGGCATTGACGAGCGCGGAGCGGCCATCGACGGCAACCTGGAAGATGGCCTGATAGACCTTCAGGCAGCTTCTGTTGCTCAGGCCTTTAACGTGGGCATTGTTTTGGTTGAAGCGGAGGACGTGTTTCAAATCCGCGAGTCCTTGCTTCCTGTCCTTCGCGTTGCTGGATTCGATGTTGCGTGTAGCATCAGCCAGAGTGACCTCGGCCATGCTTTGTGCGGCCGTGGCGGCACGAAGCAGTATTCATCGAAGAGGCACTGTCCGTGGTAATTGTAGTCCTCTTTAAGCGCGAATTGGCGATGAAGATTGCGGGCCAAGAGTGAGGCCGTGTGCTGAGATGGATGTGAGACCGAGGGGCGCGATCCGTCAGCCAATCAATTCTCGCCGGTACGGTTGTATGTGGAGGTGGCACCTGAGGTGAGTGAATGAAAGTCGGTTTCGCGTCTCTGAGCCGCCCCACGCGCGGTGCCACGACTTTGGGTGCCGAGGATGAACCCAAACAGCGCGTGAAGAAGGCGCGTTGGTTTAAGCTGGAGCTCCGACTTCACTTTTGCGCTGAGATGCCCAAGACACATTTCTGAGTTGCTCCTTCCCCTCCCTTCCCACCGTCGCTCTTGCTGTCGCCGCCGGCAATACCGTTTCGCCAAGCAATAGGGTCACTGCCGGACTCCGTGACCAGCTCTCCTTCAATGCCAAAGACATCACCTTTACACACACACACGCAGGATGGCGGACGACTTGAGCGACCCACTGCGAAGACTGCAGGTCCTCAAGCGTGACCTGGCCGCACTTGCAGACTCACGCCTACCAAACATCGATCGACTCTCCATACAGCTTGACGCAAGCACACAAGATTTGAGAAGGCTGCTAGAGAGGAACAAGAGAAAGGATAGCAGCCGCCAGGCTTTGCGGTCAAACACCATCAACATCGACGATGTGGAATACCAGATCACCGATCAATTCCGACAAGGCGCTATACAGGTGGCAGACGAGCTGGAGCTGGATGAGATCGAGGCCGCGAAGCTTTGCCTAGAAGTCTTGGATTCGGACGACGGAAGGCAAGACAGCGATGCGCTGTGCATGCGCGCCGTGGTGCGATTTCATTACCGCCGCGAAACTCTCCTGGACTGTCTCCGCATGATCCTGAGACTGGGCAACGATCCCGACAGCGAGGAAGAGCATGCCGAAGCCTTTCGTGCCGCCGCCAGAGAACTCATTCAAGGGCCACGAGGTGGACAAAATGAGTGCTCGGCATACTGGAACAAATGCTTAGATGGGCTGGTTGATATCGAACATTACCTCAAGAAGGTCGCAGATACCAAAGACAAGCTGTCGGTCGTTGGTCGTGGCATATCTATCGAGGAGAACGACTGCCTGGTGACGCAGCGCTTCTTCCTGACCAGGCAGCACGAGTCGCTTGCTGCGGTCCTTTCATACCTAATCAGCGGTGACTTTGTTCAGCCCCAGGACTTCACCCGCTTCGTCAATCATGCTTCATCTCTCGAATCTGCCTTCGATATCACGATACATTACCTTCCCGTGCTATGCACCGGTGCCTCGAAATTCGCATCCGAGCACATGACGGACGCAGCGGCCGTCGGCGAGCTTCACAGGCTGTTTACTGAAAGTCAGCACCAGTGGAAACAGCCTGCTTTCAAAGCTGCTGCTACGGTCTGCTGGCTGGCGGAGTACAATGCGAGGTTTGCCAACGGCTACATCGATCCAGGCCAGGCTCAAGCAGAGCGCCAGCGAGACGACGCAGCTCGATCGGAGCTTTTCTTTGCTACATTGAGAAACAAAGCATTTCACTTCATCTTGGCTGCAGCGGCCGCGCTCAAACCTGTCGTCTGGCACGATCCTGCCCGCACCTCCATCATCAGCCATCTGACAGACTCTGCGCTAGTCATGTCGTCTGACGCTCCGCGTCCATCGGATGAATTTTCGGCGTTTACAATGAGTGAGCTGCGAATGTTTACAGAGGCATTGGTTGAGAATATGCATGAAAATCTTCGGTCTTTGAGAGAAGACGAAGAACACAGGAGACGGGTTCTATTCTCCTCAATCGACGTCTCTCCTCAGAACGATCTCGAAATGGAGCGCTTCATGGCAATCATGGCTTGTACCTACCAAGACGACCCATCGGCAGCCGAACACTTCTGGTCTGACCGGGGAGGTAATTTGTATGGATTTCTGCGATGGGTCTCATCACGTCTTACGACGCCGGGAGTGTCTGCCTGCTGTCTGCTGTTGAGGTCCATGGCGTCGGATGAGAAGTCCGCAAATAACGTACACCGCTTCCTTCTGGAAGATACGACGATGGTCTCCGGCAAATTGAGGAAATCGTCTGGCGTCAGTTGGTCTCTAATATTCAAGGAGCTAGAACTGTACGCCTCAAGTGTGAAAGAACAAGTCTCAGTACCCGCGCAAGCGTCTTCACAGGCGCGGGCAAGTGGGGAGCTGTTGTATGAGGGAGAAGACACGTCCATCATGTTGGACGCATATCTAGGACTGACGGCTTGGATCTGCCGCCGGAGCTCGGAAGCGAGAAACTTCCTTCTGAATCCACAACAGACCTTTCACATCGGCGATACTATGTTTCAACTGGCACGGACTGCGCACACGACCCGACTTCAGGCGTGCTGCCTCGACGTGCTCTCAGCGCTACTCACTAACATGACACTCGAAGTCCGAAATGGCGTCTGGGCTTCGCTAGACACTTGGATATCAAGTGGCGGCCTCGATGGCTCGTCAGCACCACGAGCTCTCGGCAGGACCCAATACTCTGCAAAGCATTATCTTCAATTGTACGCAAACAGCGCGGATTCGGCCGCGTCCATGGTCGGCCTCCTCAACATGCTGGTCACTCCAATCAGAACCTCTCAGGACTTTTCGATAGACCCGCTCCCCTTCCCCGAGACTCTCGGAGCGCCGCATCGCCACGCGGGCATTGATGCCTACGTTGATTTCGTCCTGGGCGGAGTCTTTGCTCGTAAACTCATAGAGATGCAGCAGAATTGGGAAATCAATCTTACTAATGTTGTCCGATATGAATGCCTCCGCTTCGCCTTGGCGTGCTTGTCCAGCTTCGACGAAGACTTGATTCTGCTCGCGAATACCACCAGTGTGAGCGTCGAATCAGCCATTGAGACAAAGTCTCTCGCTGCATATGCTCGACTACATCCCTTCGCACGAGTGATGGAATGGCTTTTCAACAGAGACGTTTTAGAATCTCTGTTCGCCACCCTCTATCAAAACACCGATGCGCTCGATACGGCAGAAATCGGGTCTCCCTTAGTCCAAGGAACGCTTTTAAGCCTCCGGGTATTGGATCTGGGATGGAAGTTGCAGCCAACATATTTCGATATCGTTCGACCTTCCATAGCATCTCAGGCTACGAAGAGCCCTCCCGTGAGCCCTTCGTGGCCCTCACTGGACGAAGCACTGCTCACGCACCTATCTGCTATCTCTGTGCTTGCTCAGCTCACGGCCAGCCAACACGTCGAACTCAGCTTCGCATCCATCTCATTGTTAAGACGGGTCTGCTCCTCCCGGAAAATATCACTAACCACCATTACGAACGAGTATGGTGCTCAGCAGAACCGAATTTTGAGCTTACTCGCTCCGCTGGCAGCTCCGTTGACCTTGCAGCTATCAGAGAGCTTCATTCTATACGACTGGGACTTGGAATGTGGTGATATACCTGTCAAGGTCAGCAAAGCGGATGCTGTTCTGCACTTGCTAAATGCCAGCCTGGATGCTTCGGAAGGCCGACCGTGCGTGGCGCATTGCTTGCTTGGTTTCCAATGCCGCGAGCGTGGCGTTGAAGTCCATACCCAAAGTCCATTCAACCACGCAAAGTCACTTTTCCACTCGATTGTGACCTGCGCTGCCACAAGCCCTGTCATAAGCGTCTCATCGGGCTATACTTCATGGTTGTTGTCATTGAAGCGACAATGTCTTGGGGTTATCTTGAAGCTAGCCGTGTCTCCTTTGACAGCTCACCTGGTGCAGCCAGAGCTCAAGCACATGGAGTTTCTTGCAGCCCTGTCTTTACACATGATGTCTGCTTCCGCAAGTACGCATTGGGACAACATGCCGCTGCAGGATGATATTCTATACCATAGCTCTGCCGCCGCCTTGCGCGACTTCATGCGCGTCCGCGAAGCTTACTTCCAACTATATGCGATTCACCTACGCGCTGCTGCAAACACCGGCTCATATTCGATCCGTGAGAAGATCATTAGTGCGCTGTTGGGCACGATACAACACCCTACTGGGGAACAGCAGTCAACGATTTCAGTCTTCGACCTCGTCGATTTCTTCGATCTCGGCCTGCCAGTCCTACCGGCCGATCTTCAGACGACATACTTCGACGGTATCGGCCCCATCAGCTGTGAAAAAGACGACAGCGAGCCCGGGGAAACTCTCGATGTCGCGCTGTCCCAGAAGTTACTCGTATTGCGCAAACGGGAACTCAAAGAAAAGGGCGTTATCAAGGACAGCGCTGAGGAGGAAGCGGCTGATCAAGAGCTTCAGTGGACGGTGATTGTTTGGAAAGGTAAGAACAGCCTTGCTACCATTCACACCGCACGTTTGGGCGCACTGGAAGCGTGGACCGAACTTCTTTCTTTGGTGATCACCAGAGGCGGCCTCTCGCAAGGAGACATTGTTGGACTAGCCCTTCAGGGCCTTCTTGTGGTGCTCCCCAAGTTTGAGAAGGCCCTTGCCGAAGAGTTTCTGGACGCCGTGGCTTTTCTTGCCAAGCTCACCCTGACATTTACCTACGCCATCAGCCCGGCCTCTCACGACTCGTCAGAACAGACTGCCAATGTGGCAATTGAGCGCCTGCTTGCAGTCTTCCGAGTTTCTCTGAAGGTAATCACCTCCAGTGATTCCGACTTGGGCCTGCGAGACGTATCTTATCGGACCTGTTGCGCCGTCCTCGCCTCTGTGCCTAAAGCGCGCAAAAATGGTAGAGCTACACCCGCAGCGAGCGCAAGACAATTGTTCCAGCTCGTTCAGAGCGCAGGCGAACGCGCTTTTGCGGTAGTCACCGAGGACTCGTTCTCCGACCGAGGCGTCACTCGTGTCTCCGCTTTACTCTTCTTGGATAGCCTGATCGCCTTGTTTCAGAGCCTCAAGGTCAACACTGCTTTGATTAGGAGCCTGGTGAAGCTCAACTTCGTCCCTGTGCTTATCGACAGCACTATTGGGCATGTTGCTCGCGCTTTCAGCGGTGAGGATGAGATGGTGACGACGTTGTCGTACTTTCATACTGCGCTAGCTCTGATGTTACGCCTGTGTCAGACCACTGACGGAGCGCAGCTCGTCCTCAACTCTGGTCTCTTCGCAGCAATCGACGACAGCAAACTCTTCGCTACCGATCCGGACATTGGCCTGGACATTGATAATCCAAAGGCTCTGGAAAAGTTTTACGCAATCCTGGCCGACATGCTGCGCGTCATCACAGCTGCAGTGGTGCAGAAGGGTGTTCAGCCTGGCAGAGATTTTCTTGCGAGAAATCGGTTCACCATTCAGGCGATCTTCAAGCAGGCGTCCAGAGGTCACGCCCTGGACGTCGCGGATGAGTTGGGAAAGCTGATGCTAGCAACGGGCTATCTTGAAGTGAGTAGCATGCCTGAATATTTCTTTCTACCGAAATGCTAACAGTCTTGCAGGATGACCAAGCGGCAGTTGGAGGCGTGATGACGAACGGCTTCTCATGAAAGCGGTATAGCAAGATCGCAAACAGAAACCAAGTTGATGCGGCATTGTCTTCCAATGCAAGTTCTTTCTGAAGACGTGTCTCGGACATGGCGAGACCTCGAGTTGAGCGGCGGATCCCGCCAGCAATTTCCATCTGGAATACCTCGAGCCTGGGCAAATCATCCCTTGTGCTCACGAAAGCTCTATGCACGAGACTACTCCCTGACTACGCCTGTGGATTGACCAAGATCTTGATGTGCTTTTCCTTGTGATCTATCAGCTCTCGGAAGCCGTCTCCAACAATGCCGTCCAGTCCTATGCGACCAGTCACCATTTCTCGCCAGCCATTAAGCTTGCCTGCGCTGCGATGTCAGCTCCTCCTGATGGCAACAAGATCTTGCAATAGCAACAGCCTACCTTCGACGATCAAGCTCATTACCTCTTGCATTGCCGAATCATCGTAGACCAGACTGCCCTTCATTGTGATATGCTTCCCGAGGAAGGGCCAACAGGGTACGTTGATCTTGCCAGATTGCATCAGCTTCGCCAAAGGAAATCAATGCAGTGGTTGGCATCTTACCAGTCCTTCCCAGACTGCGACCATGACGTACAGACTCTCAAAACGCATGGCGCCTATGGCCGATTGCAGAGCCATTGCTACCCCGGCACAGTCGAAAACTACGTCTATGCCCTTCCCGCCCGTCAATTCTCTGCACCTTACGCCCACGTCTTCTTTCATTGGGTCTATCACCGCTCTCGCAAACCCCGAACACTGCTGTTTCCTCAGCGCCGCCGGCTCACTGACGACTACCTTCTCCGCTCCCCAGGCTCTCAGACACAACAACATCGCGAAACCAACAGGACCCCCGCCTACCACCAAAACATCCTTATCCTTCCAATGGTCGATTCCAGAGACTTTGATTGCATGTTGCACCACGGCTAAAGGCTCTACAACGGCCGCAAAATCCAATGGAATCCCGGGAGGAAGAAGCATGATTTTGTCTTCGTCAACAGCAACGACTTGCCCAAACCCACCGAAACCGGTGGAGCCGCCGATTATGCCTAGTTGGGCGCAGCACTGCGTTGAGCCGGACTTGCAAGCTAGACAGCTCTTGCATTCGACGAGAGGGTTCACCATTACCTGGTCGCCATTCTTGAACCGAGACGACGACGGTGGATCGCGGACTGTGCCGCAGAGTTCATGGCCTAGCGTCAGAGGTATGTGGACGCCTGTTATTAGGTTTGGTCTCTCTGGTGTAGGCAGTATGACTGGGCCTATGCGAAATCATTGGTTGGGATACATGTTTCGATTGCTTGGGATGGTGTTACCGATGAGGTATTCGTGTAAGTCTGAGCCTGTTCGGAGAAAAGGGACTCAGCCATGGGCTTTACCATATCGCTTGGGCCTTGCCTTACCGCAAATGCCTACAGCTGTGCTTTAGCGCATGCCTTGCCTTCAGCGAGTATTTGCCTTTACCCACCACACCAAGCCACATCGACCAGGACCTGTCCATGCTTCGCTATCGGCTCCGGAACCTCATCGATGCGGATATCGCCTTGACCATAGAATCTTGCGGCCTTCATGTTTTACTGTGTCAATGGGGAATTTCGTATCTGGCGCTCCGATGAGTTCGTGAATGGACGGATGTTTCTCTCTCCCCTCCCCGCCTTCCGACCCGCATGTCGAAGGTGTTCCTCGGTCTACGACAAGCTAAGCTCCAGCGTCATGCGCACGAGGAAGAGGGCGGCAGTTGCACTCCCTTCTTTGAGCTTTGTACTATCACAGAATCCTTCCGGTGAACAGGATATCTTTTCCCGAGACGGCATCGGGCGCAGACAACGGTACATGATCCGGGGACTCTTAGTGCCGCGGCCGGCTTGGAGGCGTAGGGTACTTCCCAAGCTTTCGTTCTTATTGATCAAAGTGAAAGCGCGGGAGGAGGCATGGAAGCAGGAGAGATTGGGATAATCGAGACTCAAAGTCTTACTGTACAAGGGAATTGGAAGCAGTAGTCATCGTGAACTCACTTCACTTACCTGGTCGCTGTGTGATGCTATTCTCGGATCGGACCGGCAACCCGAGTCCTTCTAGGTACTTGCTTGCTTGCCTCACCTCTTGTCTTTTTGATTCTTCTTCTCCTTCTTCTTCTTCTTCTTCCTTCTCAGTGCGAAGTCTTCGCATCATCAGAATCATTCACCAACATGTTTGGAACAGCAAGGACGATCTTGAAGCACGATGGAAGTCTTACCTCTTCCAGTCTACGAGAAACTTTGCAATCACGACTCAAGCTGGCACGGCACTTAGACTCGTTTGAAACGCCATTTCCGTCTCCTCTCGCCAGGCAAGTGTTTGATAGAACGCTACTTTCAAGCTTTGCCACATTTCCAGGTTCCAGCACCTCGGGCACATTGCTGGAAGGTCGGAGAAATCTCACTACCATTACCCATTTCAGATCGGGCGGCCATAGATGGCTCAATCGAGAGGCTTTGCTTTCTGGCCCTTCTGCAAGTCGCAAATGGCTCCGCACCCCGCGGTAGAGGAAGACTTCTCGGAGAATGGGGGAATACTATACAGCCCGGACAAGCACTCCTTGTCTTCGGACATGAATCCGGATATAGAGCGTTGGTCGTTGCCGCGCGATGAAAAAGCAGGGGACAATCCGCAAATGTGTCCTCTCGGTTAACAGTCCATCTACCTCTATACGAACTTCATACCTCTCATCAAAAACTACGTTGTTGCGATTTCACAAACTTTTTCAATTTCAACCATCATCATGCAAAGCTTCGCCCTGATCTTAGGCTTCCTGGCTTGTCTCGCACTCGCCACGCCTGCCGACGACGAGCCCCAGAAGCCCTTGTCTTCGACGTACGATGATATTATCCAGGCGGGCTACAAGACCGCGTACCTCCTCGACAGCAAGAATTACACGGCACTGGGGGAAGTGTACGTGTCCTATTCCTTTCCTCCCGTCCGATAACCTCTGGAACAAACGCCGTGATTTGCTCACGCCGCAGCAGCATGACCGAGGACGTCGTCTACGACAGCAGCCCTCTCGGCCCTTCCTACGGCGGCAAATCCGTCGGCCTCGAAAACGTCCAGAAAGCCGTCAAGGCAGCTTTCGGCGACGCCGACACGGAGCACGTCGTTACGAATCTCTACATCAAAGAGATGATCTCTTCGATTAAGACGAATGTCATCACGTAGTGAGTCTATCTTTTCCATCCCATCCATCCATTTATCGTTTGAGTAGTAGGAGAATCATGACAACACACTCACTGATGCCCCCAATCAACCACACAGTATCACGTACTCGCGCTGGGATAAGGATGCGCACCACGATATCAAGAAGACGTTCCGTATCTGGTACAAGTGCGATGATATCTGGGTTCTGCAGGACGGCGCTTGGAAGATGAAGTATAGTCTGGTGCGGAATATGGCGCCGAGGGTGGAGGCTCCCTCTTTTGGCGGCGGAAATTGAGGCACGTGAGCGAAATGCAAGTATGAACTCTCATCTTTGAAATTGGATCTAGAGATCTCGGAACTACTTCTTCTGCTTTCTTTCAAGGCGCGTATAGAACAGAGAGTAGATAAACTCATATATACGTACGTTGGGGAGCCGAAAGCCGAAATCACCCTACCCGTACAAGCCCGAGATATCATACCTCCCCACCGTATTCTCCAAAACGCTCGCAAACCAAATCGCATCCCCGGGCCCATAATTCACCGCGACGTCCACATACGGCGGCACATCGCCCAGCACGCCACCGCCACTCAAACCCGCCGCCGCCGTCGGGCCCGCAAACGTCTCCGGAAACGCCACGTAGCTGAAGCGCTTCGTCGCCGTATCCAGCCGCGCCAGGGAATCCACATTGAAGAAACTGTACCACACCCCACCAGCCGCATCCAGCGTATCTTCGGCTCCGATGCCCCCCGTCTGGTTCGTGTGGTAGAGGTCAATCGCGTGTGTCGTCTGCGAGATCCGCCCGATGCCGTTGCCCGTGAAGAGGGCGAAGTAGATATACCCGTCCTTCTCGGCGCGGACGACGGTGGGCAGCTGCGCCGGCTGCGGGAGGGGGTATTCGTTCATTTCGAGCGTTTTCGGGTCGAAAGTGAGAATCTTATTGCTGAGCATTTCGGCGATGTAGACGATGCCGTGGCTGTCCACGTACAGCCCGAGCGGCAGAGCGAGCGGCGTGGGGACGGCATAGGTCGTGAAGCTCTCCGTGGCAAAGGCGAAGAATTGGAAAGTGTTGGCCGTGGTCTGCGTGAGGTAGATGCCGTCGTGGGCCGTGTAGAGGTCGTTGAACGGCTGCAGGTCACCCAGGGGGTTCTGACTCGGGGGTTGGAAGATGCGGATGGCTTTGGTGGTTGGGTTGATTTGCACGAGCTGGTTTCGGAGGCCGTTGCTGGCGTAGAGATTCCCGTCTGCGCCGCGGCGGATGGCGCAGGAGAAGGCGGTGCGGTCTTGGATGAGGGCGTTGTTGAGGCCTGGGATGGTGCGGTTGCTGATCGGTGTCGTGAACGGGATGGGGTATTCATCCACCTGTCCGGTCTTGGGGTCGATGCGGAAGATGTTGTTCTGAGAGAAAGTCTTGAGTTTCCTCTCCTAATAAGGGGCAGCGACTGCAAATGTCATACCTTTAGAATTGCCTCCCCCCATAACGCACCATCGGGGCCTTTGGCGAGATCGCACGGTCCGGACGCGGGCGTCTTCAGATTGTAGAATGTGAACCTCCCATCTTGCTGGCGCTCCTCTAAGACGGGAGCCGCAACGGCGACAGCGGTGAGAAGACCGAGAATGGCGATTGCCAACATGTTTACCAACTCGCGCGATTGAACCGACTGCAACCAAGTCTTGGTGATGAGATTACTGCGCCGCTACAGGTACATGGTCGCCTTATGACGGGTGCGTGCAGTGCCATTTTGCCATCACTGAGATCATCGAAGGTTCGTAGCCGTATACAACTAGGCTTGATTCGGAAGGTGAAGAAGCCCTCGGTATGTGCGAAGATTGGTACCACGGTGCGTACGCACAGTTGCAAAACTCCAATCTCCGTTCAGGATACATTCCCGCCTTCTATCAGACGCATACATTATTGGGTATCTCGCTTTGACGTCGCCCACGCAAGAAACGCCATTCGCCATGCTGTACTGTGAGTGTCTCTTTTGACGGTCTCCAATGCCCTCATTTTCTGATCTTAATACCGTGGATTCCCCTGACACTCGTCCAAACCGATTCTGTCACTCTCACTGGCAATTTGCGGCCCTTGAGTCTTTGATCGATCAACCACATTCCGACGATAAATGCCTCCTTGCCCAGACGTCCGACCGCGTTGTGATCGACAAGGTCCCAAACTGTCTCCAAGACGCTCTCCGACAATCGAGAGCGATTCCAGATATCTCGCACCACAATGTTCGATACCTGATCGTTCAGGACAGCCTGGAGGTCCTTCGTCCGGGGCTCATTGGGCGCAGTTCGAACACGCTCTTGCTCTGCCAAAGTGAGGCAGCAGTGCAAGCCTTTGTTGGAAGCCCAGACTCCCTCGTATCGTTTGCGCTCGCGCTCGGTAACGGCATCTCGCCAGCGTTTTCGATCGCCTTCGTGATGCTTGTTCGGGTGTTTGCGAACAAGACGTTTCTTGCGATGATGTCCATACGGATGCTGCTCATTCTCCTCGTCGGATGACCCTGATGATTCTTCTTGCTTGCGGAGGGTCCGCATCATTCCAGTCTTGGCAGGGCTCGATGGACGAGAGGAGAAGGATAGCCTGCGGTGGTGGTGATGATTGTGGTGTTTCCTACGAGTCGGTACTGGTGGGGCGTCCGATTTGGCAGGTGAAGGGCCACGCGAGGAAGCCAAACTAGACGCGACCAGAGCATTGGCGAGGTCGTCTCCAGTCGTCAGCGGTGTCATCCTGCGAGGATATGCCTGGTTGAATTGTGCTGGTATAGTCCTCAACGTTTGCGACGCCGGGGACGCCGACACGGCATCGGATGGGGCTGTGCCGGTTCGTTTCGACGGTTGTATATCGATTGGTTTAGATGCATGTTGTGGGACAGATGATGGGGAGACTGCTGGTCTCCGCTTGGCGTCATGCTGGACTTTTAAAGTCGGGCCCGAAGAAGGACTAGCAGCATCTGAGGTCCTTCTTGCTGCAGCTGCTGCCACGGGGCTGGCGGGTGGGGAGCGCGCATTCAAGTCCTCTGAAGCGGACGCAAATGAGTCGTCGGATGAGTTGCCATCATAACCCTGATTCCCGCGCGGCGAAACTTTGACGGGCTCTACTGTCGATATCTCTGGCTGTGGTCTCGGTCTATCCTTCGTCTTCTCACCCAATTCTAGGTGCAACATGGAAGTTATCCCTGATCGCACTGGCTTTGGGCTCTTGATAGCAAGGTCATCGCTCGGCTTGATCACTATCGGCTGAGGTCTCTTTCCCTGCGCTTTCGTCGTCCTTGATCGTTGTTCGAACAGGTCGACAAGTGATGTTGTCGGAGCAATTGAGGTGATGTCGGTTGGCGTGTCGGAGCTATCGACGGCTGACGTCTTACGGTGTTCACTCAGTCTCCGAGGTTTTGGCGCAATCGGCGGCCTGGTAGTCGTTGGGGATCCAGCACGCAGCCGACCGGGGCGTGATCGCTCGTGCGTGGAATTCGCGGGTTCGGCTGGCGGCGGGACCGCTCGTGATGTGGCCAGCATCGCTGCCTGCTGAGACGGAAACCTGCCATGCGGCGGCCGCTGCGGTTGCGGTGCTGCCCGCGAAGACGCGTGGGAGTAGTCCATCGGCTTCGTCTGCCTCATGGAATCACTCCCGGCCACAGACGATCCCGGCCTGCGCAGTGGAGGTCTGACGCTGCGAGTGGTGTTGCTGGGGCTGACGCTCTTTCCCGCGGTGCCCACCGAGGAGGCTGCGGCCAGCGCTCCATTGCTCGCGGCGCTGGTGTTGCTCTTGGTGTTGGTGTTGGTGTTGGTGTTGGGGGGCAGCGGCGAGGTGGGAGTCCACGGGGCGGGGGCGGGGGCAGAGCGTCGCAAGGCAAGAGTTGCTCCGAGGAGGGCGGCGTTGGTGTTGGCGTTGGCGTTGGCGTTGCCGCTCTGGGAGGTGGTGGTGGTGTCGACGCTCGCTATGGACGAAGCTCTCGACGGTCTCGATGGAGCGGTCGGACCCGGCATCTGCGCATGCAGCCACACACCATTGTGCTGGTGCGCAGACGAGGAGGAGAGGGGAATGATGATAATGGATGGAGGAGGCGACTACTACTGCCCACGCAACATTATTGTGGACGGACCAGACGCGAAACAAGCGGCTTCGTCAGCGTCGCCGGCGATCCTGGACTACTACTACTCGTCGGAAGTGTGGATGTCTCAGGCACGAATCCAGATCCCGTGCAAGCGCCAGTTCACGTGCTCGCGCGTCACTTCCGCATTGCTGCCTGGAGTAATAAATCCACATTCAGCATCTAAACTAATATTGAACATTACATTGCCCCCCCTCATCAGGTAGGTCATCGCCATCTTCCTTTCGCTTTCCCATCTCCTGTCTCCCGCATCTCCCATGTTCCACACCCGTAGTCGGTGCCGCTAGGTGATTGCCGACCAAACATCCATCCGAGCGGCACGGCATCATATCATCATGGCCGGCGACGCCGAGATGCGCGATCCTGCGGCAGTCGAAGAGGAGCACATGATGTACGGCCATGGCGCGATGACGGAGCAGGAGCTCGATGAGAAGTATCCCATCCGGCCTCACAACCACTCCAAGACTCTTCCTTTCCGTGTCTTATTCCAGGACCTGTTCAATCCTCTCAACGACAACAAGAAGAAGCCAACAGGTCCAGCGGTTGCACGAAGGAAGCAAGGTCCGCATGTTCCCAGTCATGCCCCAAATGAGATCCGCCGTAACATCATCGATCGCTTCATCTCGAAATGGCGCAAGGAAGTCGGCAACGACATCTACCCAGCCTTTCGCCTCATTGTTCCAGAGAAGGACCGAGACCGAGGCATGTACGGTCTCAAGGAGATGACGCTTGGGAAACTGCTGGTCAAGATCATGCAGATTGACAAGAACAGCGAAGACGGTTACAGTCTTCTGCACTGGAAACTGCCCGGGGTGAAATCTTCCAGTGCAATGGCTGGCGACTTCGCTGGAAGATGCTTGGAAGTGCTTTCAAAGCGTCCAATGCGACAGACACCGGGAGACATGACCATCGCCGAGGTCAATGAGCAGCTAGACCGTCTCTCGGTCGCACAGAAAGAGGAAAATCAGCGGCCCATCATTAGCGATTTCTACAATCGCATGAACGCGGAAGAGCTCATGTGGCTCATCCGGACAATCCTGCGGCAAATGAAAGTCGGAGCAACAGAAAAGACCTTCTTCGAGGCCTGGCACCCCGACGCGGAGAACCTGTTCAACATCTCGAGCAGTTTGCGTAGGGTCTGCTGGGAGTTGTACGACCCGCAGATCCGCTTAGAAGGAGACAATCGCGGAATTGCGCTCATGCAATGCTTCCAGCCTCAGCTTGCTGCTTTCCAGATGCGCTCCATGGAGCAGATGGTTGCAAAGATGAACCCGACAGAGGAGGACCCGGTCTTTTGGATCGAAGAGAAGCTGGACGGCGAACGAATGCAGATGCACATGATCGAAGACGACGAGAGACCTGGCGGCAAGCGATTCGGCTTCTGGTCGCGCAAGGCGAAAGACTACACTTACCTTTACGGCAATGGATTCCAGGATGACAACGCAGCTTTAACAAGACACATCCGCGACGCTTTTGACGAGGGTGTGCGCAACATCATTCTGGACGGTGAAATGATTACGTGGGACCCGAAGGAAGATGCAATTGTCGGCTTTGGTACGCTGAAGACTGCAGCACTGGAGCAACAGGCAAATCCATACGCTGGCGGAAATCGGCCGTTGTTCAGAGTGTTCGACTGCCTCTATCTCAACGACAAAGATCTGACTCGCTACACGCTACGCGACCGACGGAGGGCTCTCGAGAAGAGTGTCAGGAATGTGCACCGGCGGATGGAGATTCATAAATACGTGGAAGCCGTGCAGCCTTCTGAAATTGAGCCTGAGCTACGTAGGGTGGTGGCCGAAGCAAGCGAGGGTCTGGTGCTGAAGAATCCTCGATCTGAGTATCGGCTCAACGATCGTAACGACGACTGGATCAAGGTGAAGCCGGAGTACATGACCGAGTTTGGCGAGTCGCTGGACTGTGTGGTCATTGGCGCTTATTACGGCTCAGGCAAGCGAGGAGGTGGACACAGCAGCTTTTTGTGTGGTCTCAAACCGCTATCAATACCCGTACCGATCCGCCGACCTTCACAGATATCTCAGAATTCTCAGGCACAGACGGACCCCAACCCACAATACATGCTATCTTTCTTCAAAGTCGGCGGCGGCTTCAGTGCGAGTGATTACGCAGAGATTCGGCACCGCACGGAAGGCAAGTGGATAGACTGGAACTCGAAGAAGCCGCCACACGAATGGATTGCACTCGGCGGCGGAGACAGGCAATTCGAGAAGCCTGATCAGTGGATTAAGCCTGAGGATTCCGTGGTGATATCTGTCAAGGCAGCTTCCGCAGGCCACACTGACCAGTTCGCGACGAAGATCACCCTTCGTTTCCCGAGGTTCAAGAAACTGCGAACGGACAAAGACTGGACTCAGGCCTTGACCTTTGACGAGTTTCTTGCATTGAAGAGCAAAGCGGAAACCGAGCATGAGGAGAAGAAGTTCAAGATCGACGAGTTTAGGAAGAACAAACGGAGCACGAGAAAGCGAAAGCGAGAGCTTGTCATTCAGGGGCAAGAAGGAGAGGTCAAGACGCCGTACGCAGGTCCTGCCACGCAAGTATTCGAAGGCCTGCAATTCTTCATCATGACCGAGGCACCCAAACCCATCAAGAAGAGTAAAGCTGAGCTTGAAGAGCTTGTGAAAGCAAATGGTGGGAAAGTAGTCGCTTCGGACAAAGACCCCGAAACCATTCTGGTGGCAGACCGGAATGTCGTCAAAGTAGCGTCTGCAAAAAAGCGAGACGACCGGAACATTATTCGGCCCGACTGGCTGCTCGACTGCATCAAGCAGAATGAACTTGACGTCGGTCGTCCGACTCTGCTTCTACCATTGGAACCGTACCATCTCTTCCATACGATAGCTGCAGACGAGGGCAAGTTTGACGACAACGTGGACGAGTACGGCGACAGCTACACCCGGGACGTCAGCTCTGAAGAGCTGCTGGAAGTCTTCAAGAGGATGCCAGCAAAGATTGAAGATGGCTTTGAGCCTAGCGAGGTTCTCGACCAGTTTATCGAGCATGGCCAGGAACTGGATGCTCTTCCAGGTTTCATGTTCCGTGGACTGACTTTCTACGTTGAGCAGGGCGTTGAAAGCAGGCGGCTGCTGGAATTTGCTGGTGGAGTTGTGTCCGAATCACTCGAGAGCTCCGAAATAACGCATGTCGTGGTCGCCAAAGGCAGTGCTGGAATTGCAGGCATCCGCAGAGCCGTCTCGAGCAGGCACCAACTGCCACGCATTGTCACGCAGGACTGGGTGACAGACAGTTGGGCTGAGAAGACACGCCTGGATGAAGAGCGTAAGTAGTCGTCGGCATGGGCTATCCTCCCGAGACTGATCTGTTCTAGGCTATGCTCCATGAGAGATGATGGCGTGGAGATCGTGAGGCGAGGCCTGTGGCCCGTCAATTGTCCAATCGCAAGACTCGCACTGCATTGCCTCCCATAATGCCCTCCGCAGTCTTTGTATCCTCACCCAGCGCAGACCGTACTGCGCTCGCATTCGACGTCACGCTCAGCCATTTTTCCTCGCCATCCAGCGGTGGAAAGAAGGGATGATCAGTTCCGAACATCAGCCTGTCGGAGCCTGAAGCATCCATTGCGGCCTTCAACCCAACGTCACCGTAGATGACAGCATCCAGGTAGATGTTCTTCTTCAGGACATCCCAGACATTCCTTCTACTCTCAAGCTTGCCAGCTTTCTTAAGATGGGCGTCGTGCGCGATGCAGCTCTCAATCCTCCCGGCTAGGAAAGGCAGTGTACCCCCACTATGCGCCAGCAAGACTTGCAGTTTTGGAAACCGGTCAAACACTCCGGACAAGAGCATTCTCGTCACGGCAATCGTCGTCTCGAGCGGAAACCCCATGGCCAAAGGCAGTACATGTCCATACTCTCCGGCCCGCGGACCATACACTTCATTCGGCAGTCCATAGTGCGGATGCAAGAACATCACCATCTCATTCTCCTCCATCACTTGCCAAATCGAATCGAGCCTCGCATCATCCAAGCCGGCCCCCAACCCCGAAGTCCCCATCACGATGCCCCTGCAGTGCTTCAACCCCTTCAACCGCCTCACCTCCGCCACAACCTCTCCCTCCTCCCTCGCACTCAACGGCAACGTCCCAAACGCAAACAACCTCCCCTCGTATTCCGCACACATCCTCTCCATATCATCATTCACCAGCCTCGCCTTCTCCGCCGCTTCGCCAGCAGGCACCCAATCCAGCCAGGGATTCGCGAGCGAGAGCACGGAAATGTCGATCCCGTGGAGGTCCATGAAGCGGATCTTGTCGGCTATATCGTAGTACTCGCGTCCGATGGGTCTGCCGCGCGCCGTGCTGGCGCCCGTCTCTTCTTCTGCGGGGAGGATCACCAGTCGCTCGCCGGAAGTTGGGTCGTCGGCGAAGGTGCGCATGTACGGGACGCTTTGGCGAGCTCGCAGGATGGAAATGAGAGCTGGGGGATACATGTGCGTGTGGACGTCGACGGTTTTGGGGGCCATGGTTGCGATGCTCCTTTTTTTTTTTCTTCTTTTTTTTTTGCGAAACGAGGGGACTCGAATGGGTGAAGACGTGACGCGACGTGGATGGAGCGCGCGTGGTAGTTCCGGATGCTCAATGTTTTCGACACCAGAGTCCAGTCTAGTCCAGTCTAGTCCAGTCCAGACTGCTAATAAAGCCCAAGAGCTCACAATATCGGACGAAAAACCTGAAGTGGTTCTTTTTCCTTTCAAGAAGATCGATCAAAACCTTTCCACTCTTCGCAAAGGAAAAAGGTGAGGTGAAGTCGCGGCCTTGCCCGCGTCGCGTCGCACGCTGCCCCACGCGCAGAGATAGGCAGAGCCAAACCAAGGCGAGGCGCGGCGGCGCGGGGCAGCCACGACGATAAGATAGATACCGATACCTACCGAGCGAGACACATATCATACCAGGGGTCCTAGGATTATCTTATATCTTTGATCTCACCACACCACACCCACAGCCCACTCCTCCACCACAACTTCACTCCATACAAAAGTCACTTCCCACTCTCTCTCTGTTCTAACTACGCCTCCAATCCGAAATCGCCCTTAACACCTTGCCATTGAAAGACAACAGAAGGAAAAATGACCACCTCAGCCATCTCCCACGACAACCTCGAAATCCCCCTCATCGACTTTTCCACCTTCCACTCCCCAGCAACAAAAGCCACCACCGCGCGCGCAATCCTGCAAGGCTTCCAACGCGCGGGCTTCATCTACTTGAAAACCCACGGAATCCCCAAAGCCAAAATCCAGCAAGCGTTTGCGGAATCGGCGAAATTCTTCCAGCGACCGCCGGAGCAGAAATTGGAGCTGGGATGGACGACGCCGGAGAGTAATCGGGGGTACTCGCAGCCGGGGCGGGAGAAGACGACGGATGCCACGGACGCGGCGGAGATTGAGAGGATACGGAAGCGGGAAGGGGGGGATTTGAAGGAGTCGTTTGAGATTGGGAGGGAAGGGGAGGCGGAGCGGCCGAATCGGTGGCCGGATAGGTTTGATGAGGAAGGGGGGGTGTTCAAGGAGCGGATGCTGGAATTTCATGATCTGGTGAAGCAGCTTCACGTACAGATCATGCGGGCCATCGCGGTCGGGCTGGGGATTGAGGAGTCGTGGTTCGATGGGTACACGACGCGAGGAGACAATACTCTAAGGCTCTTGCACTACCCCGAGGTGAAGAGTGACGTGTTCCAGAAGAACAAGAGTACTATGAGGGCTGGGGCTCATACCGATTATGGGTCTATCACATGTTTGTTTCAGGTAAGTCGTCCCCGGAGAGGAAGGCCATGCCGATATACGTGCGCGGACGTGATGAAGGCGATGGAGATCTGGAACAGCGCGTGCTCACACGTGGCTGCGTCCGGTGGTGAGCACGGTTTCACATGCCAGCGTTTCGCGTCAATTTGCAGACGGAAGGCAATTGCACGGTCGTTGATGAAATGCACGCAAATGCACGCACCACCAACATGCACCACGGACCAGCTTTCGGCTTGCCGCATACACTGCTGACACCACGTTTCCACATAGGACATGGCCGGTGGGTTGCAAGTGCTGTCACCCAACGGCAACTATGTCGATGCCACGCCGATCGAAGACACCATCGTGGTCAACGCTGGAGACTTGCTAGCTCGCTGGTCCAACGACACGATCAAGAGCACGAAGCACCGAGTGGTGGAGCCGCCAAGCACGGCGAGCGTTCACCCGGCTCGGTATAGTATTGCGTACTTCTGCAACCCCAACTTCGATCGGTTCATCGATGCCATTCCGGGAACGTTTGATGAGCAGAGGCCGAAGAAGTATGCCGGGATCAACAGGTGAGCGAGGAGTGAGGGCTCCGCAGGCGAAGCTCCAGACGTGCAGAGGATATTGACGATTGGTGATAGTGGAGATTATCTGGTGCAGCGTCTCGCAGCGACGTACTGAGGACATGTCGACATTCGGGATTGTAGGATTGTACGGATTCGGGATTGGAAGACGTGAGATGGCGAGATCGGAGCCGGCCGACTGGGGTCGGATGCCGGATGCCGGATGCCGTAGCCAAGCCAGTGGTTCGGCAGGATTCGCTTCTCGAAGCTCTCTCCCCTCATCAAGGTTGGCGGCGGATTTGGCCGGCTGGCCGCGGGCCTGCGGACATATTGGCCGACGGCCAAGCAGTGCGACGTGAGGAGGGCGTAGGGAGTGAGTCAGGACAGCACAGGCGGGCAGCTGCGGGCTGGTCTAGCAGCACAGCACAGGACAGCTGAGACAGGTACCTGCGATCTACAGGAAGTGCACGCAGGACAAGGTTGGGCTAGGGCTCGAGCGGCGTGCTGCAAGTCTTGTGAACAGCATGGTGATGGTAGGTGTTCTCCACGGAGGTGCCTGGCAAAGGATGGACATGGACCGGGACAGAAATGGGCGTGAGGTACCACGGTACAGAGCCGTGGTCTCTCGCGAAGCGTGAGAAGTGTAGCGCGAGATGGGAGGTGCAGAGCGAGTGCAGCCACACAGTGTGCAGGCAGCGGCAAGTGGGCGCCACTTTGCGGGGATGCTGATCACGGGGTGAGATGGGATCACAGGACGGGTGATGATGAGCGTATTTTGTGGAAGGCGAGCTCGTCCATCATGGTACCATCACGGTAGCATCATGGTAGCGTGTCGCGCAGTGACTAGAGTGGTTTGAGTGGTTGCGTTGCGTTGCGTTGCTGCCGACGGGTTCCAGACGATTCGATTCCAATGGCGGACGCTGCGGACGCGATGATGTGGTAAGGAGAGCGGCGGCGCTCCACCAAGCCAACAAGGTGTGTGAAGAGTTTGGAAAGGAAATTTCTGCGGAGAGATTGCCGTGAAAATTCATGATGCGGGCGCTACGCAGGCCCGGCGGCTGGTCAGCGGGAGAACGTGAATGCACACTACATACTACTAGTCACAGTCGGGGCATCATCAGACTCACCGACGGCCTTCGCGGTCATGTGTGATGCGTCCGCGGCATCGGGTGGATGAGAATGTTTACAAGTACGTGATGGAATCCACTGCCAATTCACTCACCATCTCGTCCCTCTTCTCGTCTGCCATCACACCACACCACGCCCACGTGCAGTGCAGACGTCTCACCCCGTCTCACCTGTGCACTGCGGGGGGCCCTGACCGATGCGGCATTAGAAGAAGATGAGCCTGGCCACCACGACCGTGACGACTGGTCTGCGAAGTCACCTCGACATCCACCGCACCAACTCGTGAAGTCTCTCGCCTTCCCTTCCCTCCCCTCCCGTCTCCTCATACAACCAGAACGCACCTACCCTCTCCATCAGGAACGCTCCTGCTGCTCTTCCATTGGTGACGCTTGCATCGACGACGGCAGCTGCACCCCAGATCTCCATTCCAACGTCATTGCCACACACACACATTACCTTATTGGATCGCGCCTGCCCGCCTGCATTTCCTACAGCATGCCAGGCCGACTCTTCGGGCTCGACTTTGGCGCTGCTCGCACGCCCCACGTCGATTCCCCGACACTCCCGTCCGTCGTCAAGAACAAGAACAACAACCACAACTACAACAACAACCACAACAACAACGCACCCAACTTGTCGCTCGAGGTCCGACGGCCCAGTATGGATCACGTCAAGCGTCCCGTCCTGGCCCTCGCCAAGAAGAAGGACAGATCGCGCTCCAAGGACCAACGTCGAGCCGACTCCAAGGACAAATCGTCCAAGGAGCCCAAATCCCCTCCCCAGCCCAAGCCCGTCAAGATGAATCTGGTCATGGAGTCTCCCCCCGTCGTGCTGATAGACTCTCCACAACAATCCTCGGGAGCTCTGATCTCCGGTCGCCTGCAGGTCACCCCAAACATCGAACACGCAACCCTGCAGAGCATCACCATGTACCTGGAATGCACCACTACCACCAAGCGACCGGTGCAGGAACGCTGCCGCAATTGTCTGTCGCAAGTCCAGGATCTCTACGAGTGGAACTTCTTCCGGCGTCCCAAGGCCTTCAGCGCAGCCGAGGGCATGCAGGACCTTCCCTTCTCCCATCTCATCCCCGGCCACATCCCTGCCACCACTCATGCAAGCATTGCGACCATCGACTACTCTCTCCACGTCCGCGCAAAGTCCGTTGACGGTCAGGAGATCGAATTCCGCCAGGAGCTGATCATCAAGCGTGCGCTGCGCTATGGTAGCGACAAGAACAGCGTCCGTGTCTTTCCGCCGACCAACCTCACTCTCCACGTCACCCTGCCCAACGTCATTCACCCCCACGGCGACTTTCCAGTCCAGTGTCGCATGACTGGAATTACCACGGTGCGCGACGACGCCCAGACGAGGTGGCGGCTGAGGAAGCTGAATTGGCGCATCGAAGAGCTGGAGAAGTGCGTCTCGCCCGCTTGCTCCGAACACGGACAGAAGGTCGGTGGAGACGGAAAGGGCATCCAACACGAGAGCACCCGCGAAGTTGGCGCAGACGAACTGAAGCAAGGCTGGAAGACCGACCTGAGCGACGGACAGGTGGAAGGTGAATTCATGGCTTCGATGAACCCTGCGACCAAACCGAATTGCGGAGTCGAAGCGGGAAATGGCACCAAGATCTCCCACAGCCTGATCTTGGAATTCGTGATTGCGGAAGAATGGGCACCGAACAAGAAGCCTCACCAAGCGACTCCGACAGGCGCAGCGCGGGTTCTGAGGACGCAGTTCGCCCTCAACGTCACCGAGCGAGCTGGCATGGGCATTGCGTGGGACGACGAACAGCCGCCAATGTACGAGGACGTACCGGACAGCCCTCCACACTACCAAGACAACCGAGCACGAGCGCAGTCGACTGCTTCGAGGGCCACTACGAATGTCAACGACATCCCCCCGGCCAGCCCTCCGCACTACCAGACGGAGCTCACTACGGTGCGCGATTACACCGGCTCAGACCTCGACGAAGACGTCGAGGGCTTGACATTGAATGGTTGAAACAATTTTTTTCCTTTTTGTTCGATTCGGAAAAGGCATCCTCGGTCACAGCACAGCGATGGACTCATAGCGACGGCGATCTGGGTCTCGATTGCTTGAGAGGCGTACAAAAGTTTTGAGAGATACCCCTTGGGGAAAGGAAGGACTCGTTTTTGTTTGGAGTTTTCAATGTCTCCTTGAGAAAGATCAGGCGCATGGATTGAAAGCACTCCTCTTCACTCCCATGCCATTCAGCGGAAGGCGTTTCAGGGATTGTTGGTATACGAAGCAAAGAAAAAAGCAAGGTAGATAAACAGAACTGGCCATTTGTCGTTTGGATATTGTTCACGCTGTTGGGAACAGCGCATTTTTTTCGACCATAGGAATTTGAGATGCAATACTATTCCTGATCCGTTCATGCTTCTCCCTCTTTTTCTTTTACCGTGGCCTTATTCAATGGATGCGCGGGTCGAGAGGCCTCAAGGCTGAGCAGTCTTAATCTTCACCAGCAGTCCGGCTCATTCTCCTATCGCGCTCCCCCACCGTCGTGCTGCCTCTGCCATCATCCCTGTCTCGATCGCGATCTCTCTCGCGCTCGCGCTCTCTCGCAGGACTGCGCTCCCGATGCCTCTCCCGGTCGCGATCTCGACTCCGTGAGTCACGACGCCGTGGCGGTGAGTACCTATCTCCCGGTCCCAATCCACGACCTCGACCGCCGCCGCCGCCGCCGCCGCCGCCGCGTTGACGACTGCGACTTCGCTCGCGTCGCGAGTTCCTCTCGCGGTCACGCTCGTCATCGCCCACGCGCGTGCTGCTGCTTGCTCCGGGGAGGTAGCGGTCCGATTCCTCTCGCCGGCTTGGTCTGTCGCGGTCCTCGTAGCGAGGCCGCCTGTCGCGACTCCTGTCCCTCGTCCTGTCGCGACTGCCCTCGTCATCCTCGCGAGGGCGGCGTGCACGCGGTGGCGATTCGTCCTCTCTCCCGCGTCGTGTACGTGGCGGAGCTGGAGATCCTTCGTCCTCGCGGCCTCTCCTGCTGGCTCCTCCGCCGCCCGCAGCGCCACCGCCAGGTACGTAACGATCGATACCGGGCGGACTTCGGCTTCGCTCTCTTCTTCGAGAACGCTCTCTGCGTCGTGCTGGTGAGCGAGACCGCGTGCGATCCCGGTAGCTTTTGCGCGGTGGACTCCGACTATCGCGGTCATCACGAATGCGGGGCCGATACGAGTCTCGACTCCTACTACGAGCCGCCCGTTCGACCACTTCGCCTTCTTCGCCGCGACCAGACGCAGTAGGCCGTTCCCGCGATCGGTCACGTCGTTGATCTCTGCGTAGAGACCGTTCCCGTTCCCTCTCACGTTCTCTCGAGCGCGGACGATCGGACCGCTCACGTTCGCCGGGGCGTTGACGAGATCTCCATGTTTCCCGCTCACCGCTAGCGTCGCGGTATAGAGACTCTCGTCGGTCACCGCGGCGGGGAGATGGGTCGCGTCTTCGGCTGCTGTAAGTGGAGCGGGCTGGAGATGGAGAACGTGCTCGTTGTCTGGTTCGAGAATTCGAATCCACAGGTGTCGCAGAAGTCTGCATAGAAGCTGGTCCAGTGGGAATGGCTGGGTCTACTTTATCACCTTTCCTAAGGGTGAGTGAAGTAGGCATCAAGCCTTGTGCGCGCATCTGGTCCTTGCCGTGACTTGTTCGCGGTGCAGATTGATGCTTAAGTCTGGCTGGGGGTTCCATGCTCTCGCTTCTCTCAAGCTCTGGGCGTCGTGATTTGTCCGTCATCTCCTGGCCTTCTCGGAGCAACTGTTCCAAAGCTTCCGCTTCCAAACGCTTCGCCTCACGCTCGTCCCTTTCCATCTGCCTCCTTTCTCTCTCTTCTTGCAATGCTTTATCCCGTTCTTCTGCTTCTTTCTTGGCCTTCTCCCGTTCTTCATTGTACTTCTTGATCCGCTCTCGCTCGCGTTCCTTCTCGGCTGCTTTCCAGGCTTCCCGCTCGGAGCGTCGCTTCTGTTCGCGCTGGAGTCGCTCGGTCTCTTTCTGCAACGCTGCCTGCTTCTTCTTCAGCTCTTCAAGCTGCTTCTTCTTGCGTTCTTGCGCTTCCAGTTTCTTGCGCTTCTTCTCGTCTTCGACGTGCTGTCGAGCGCGCTGCTGGCGGCGTTGTTCCGCCTCTGCTGCATACGCGTCCTCACTCTTGCTACCGTTGCGCATCTCAGCTTCTGCTGCTTCAGCTCCAATCTCCTGGCGCCTAATCTCGCGCAGCTTCTGTTCAGCATTGGCGACGTATTGGTCGATGTAGGCGTTGATGTCCTGCTCAGTCTTGCTGTACATATCTGCACGTGCTGCAGCACCTTCGAGGAGCGGCTCCGCGATACGTCGATCCGGCCGCAGATATTTAAGGGAGTCGCGCTCGATCTCATTGCTCGCGAATGTGCGTAAGGATGCCTCGAACATGCCGCGCTGCGCACTCTCATTGTATTGCTGAAATGCCTTCTTGCGCAACGCGTCGAATTCGCCCTTCTTCTTGAAAGTATGCAGCATGCCATCTATCGAGGATCGCTGGGCCGACGACAGTGGTAGCTCCGATATCTTGGGCTTCTTACGCGGTGGCAGCTCCGCGTCAAAGTCGTCCGCCATCGCTGCGGCAACCTGACCGGCGGCCATACCAGCAGTGAGAGTGCGTTGGAGATGTAAACGTGTTGCGGATGGTTGCGTGATCGTGTGCGACGGTGTTGCTGTGGAAGGACCTGAGGGAAAGTGTCGCAGCAAGGAGGGACGCGCTTTAGACTTTCGCTTAGCTCCGCCCCTGCTCCGATTCGCCGACGCAACCCGCCTGTCCTCTTGACGATAGTCACATTGTGACATCTCCAAAACATTCCCTCATCTGCTCAGTCACCTCACGCGCCGATCTACGTCTGACAGCAGACGAACGGGCAGGCTCCCAAACTCGAAGTCGCTCTGGCTGCTCCCTAATCACATCGCGCCAACATGGTCAACAAGATCCTGTTTTGGTCGGGCTTCGGTATTGCGGGACCATAACACGCTGAAGACTGTTCGAAATCACTAACAGCAGCTTTCAGGCCTCGCTGTCCGTTTCTGGCAGCTTGGAATCGAGATGCGACCTTTCTTCCAGCGCGAGAACTGGCTTATCTACCCAATCTACGGCACTCTCGGAGCTTCTTTCGGCTATTGGCTTCAGGGAGTTGAGAACAAGCAGATGCGATATCTCTCAGAAACTCGCGACAGGCTGATCGAGAAGAGAAAGAGGCGTGCACAGAGGGAGGGAGGATTAGATGCAGGGAGCAGGAGTCAGAGAGAGGATGAGGGCCTCTTGGCATCTCCAAGGTATGTGGTGGAGAAGGACGCATTGTCAATTCCTCCAGATACTCAGGAGAGGACTGCGGCAGCGTCTTAGATGCGAGTCGGATGGAGGCTCGCGTAGGGCGTACCTAGTGGTGATGGAGAAGAGGAAAGGAGAGCGGTGCGTGCGGCATGTCCCGATCGAGCCACACCGTGTATGTGTATCACGCACGCAGACGCGAATTTTATGACAGCGGGCATCAGCAAGTGAAGCGGAATGCCCCAGAACGTATGAATTGGCAGTGTATATAGTAGCATTAAGGTCGTGAAGCCGAAATTCTCGACACTGAAGCCACCAACGAAGGTCCAGCTCCTTATCGCTGTCCAGGTTACTTCTCTCCGCTTTGAACCATCTCATGGCTCTGATATAAACCCAGCTTTTCCTCCAAAGGGAATTGCGTGGATACACGCTTGCAAAATGAGCGCACACGATTTCGTCAATGGCTGGCAAGGTTCTCTCCGGCTGCCTGCCGCCAGCGAGCCCACAGCTCCGCGATCTCCGTCGCTGGCAGCAACAGCACGCGACGGTATCGTCGTCTTCTCGGGCGGCAGCGCAGCCAACAGTCTGGTCGATGTATTCAATGCCATTCGAGAACCCAAAGGGTGCGCACTCAGCTATGTCATACCAATATCCGACAATGGCGGTTCTTCCAGCGAGCTCATCCGCGTCTTCGGAGGGCCAGGTACGTTCATGCGGCACTTCTATCCGACACTCCCATACAGAAGTAGATAGTCTTACTGATTTGCATTCTTAGGCATCGGCGATGTGCGTTCTCGGCTCGTCCGTTTGATTCCTGACGACAGCCAGGAGGCCAAAGCGGTCAGGCATTTCTTCAACCACCGCCTCCCCAAGTCCTACGCGCCTGCTAGAGCAGAATGGCAAGATATCGTCGAGTCCACCCATTCTTTATGGGAGGGCATCTCTTTGCCGAAGAGAGAGCTCATTCGGAGCTTTCTGAACTCCATGAATCTGGAGATTGTCAAGCGACTCAGGCCAACAAGCAGATTCGACTTCTCCGGTGCAAGTATAGGGAACCTCTTTCTAACCGGGTGAGTGTGATAGCAGGACAGCAGACAGGCATGCGATTCTAAAAATGTGACCAGTGCGAGACTGTTCACGGGCAGCTTCGAGGCCGCCATACATCTCGTCTCGAGCATCTGCGGCGTCCCTCCATGGGCATCCGTTCTGCCTGCGTTGAACACTAACTTCGCCCATCATATCGCTGCTGGCCTCACCGATGGTACTGTAATACTTGGACAGAACAATATCAGCCATCCAAGTGCACCAGCTGCTTCTGTCAATCACGTCCCAGGCGAAGCCACTTCCCTGACTGAATTGCTGAAAGCAGAAACCGAGGAGCAGGATAGGGTCGAAGACGCCAACATGCCAGGCACTCTGCCGACTTTGCGGAAGCCAGCGATAGCCTTCTCCAAGGAAGACGAAGAAGAGCTCCCTTCGAGAATCGACCGTCTGTGGTACATCAACCCTTATGGCCAGGAGATCTTCATCCCAGCGAACCCACGAGCACTTGAGGCAATCGGAAAGGCATCCTGCCTCATCTACAGTATTGGCTCATTGTTCACTTCAATCATCCCATCGCTGGTCCTCAAGGGCGTTGGCGCGGCGGTTGCCTCTCCTTTGATCACCAGCAAAGTGCTCATACTAAACGGTACTCTGGATCGAGAGACGGGTCCTTCGTCCAATCCTTACACAGCCCTGGATTTTGTCGCAGCCATCGCGAACGCATGTCGTGAGTCGCAAGGTCTACCAAGATCCGAACCACAAGACTACTGGCAGTACGTTACTCATGTCGTCTATCTGGATGGACCTAGTAGTCCCAAGCTTGACAAAGATGTCTTCAATCAGATTGGCATTGAGTCACTCCGGGTCTACGGACCAAAAGATACCAACGGCAAAGGGGGACGATACGATGCTAAAGCACTCCTCCAAGCACTGGAGGCCGTGATTGGGAGGAAAGATCCAAGAGGCATCTCCAGACGTAACACACTGGTGGGCTGAGGCCGATAGTCCAGTCCGTCATGCTCAACTGCCGACCGGATCGATCGGCAAGTGTCTGAATTCATCTCTTCCTGAGCATGGTTCGATCCAAGATCATATCACTTGCAAACGCCTTGTAGCTATTATGGATTTCGCAATAGCGGCCGCGGGACGGAACAGGCAGACCGATTGCTGAGAATTATCCTCCAGGTTGAGGCCAAGCGGCTCCACCACAGAACAAGCAGGTGCCCCGCTACTGGACAACACACTCAATGACTGCAGCTCTCAGAGCTTTCTCCACAGGCGACGGTATCTGGAGGCGAAATTTTCCAGCTTCTACGCCATTGGAGTTCGTGCAAAAGCTCAAGTACTGTCGAAGATCCACATATCAAACAAATCATACAAGATGGCGTCGAAGCCTTTCAATGTCGCTGTTGTCGGCTATGGCCTGTCCGCAAAAGGTGCGTGGAACTTTCTTGGAGACGCAAAAGATAATCAAATGTCGGAAGATACGAACAGTCAGATGTCTCAATGACTGACCATTGACCTTGCCTCGTCGAGTAGTCCTGGCGTTGTTTGCTGATTCTGACTAGTCTTTCACATCCCACTCGTTCTCGCGTTGCCAAACAACTTCAAGCTGTATGGAATCGTGCAGCGTTCGCCGAAACCAGGTGATGACGCTGGACAAGACCACGCCGGTATCAAAAGCTGGCGCTCCGTTGACGAGGTCTACACAGACCCTGATGTAGACGTCGTAATCGTCACGAGCGTCCCGGAAACGCACTTCGACATGTGCAAGTCTTCTCTTGAGGCCGGAAAGAACGTCGTCGTTGAGAAGCCCTTCGTACCAACTGCGAAGGAAGCTGGCAAGTTAGCTGAAATCGCTAAGAAGACTGGAAAGAAACTGGCTGTGTATCAGAATCGCAGATGGGATGCTGATTTCTTGACGCTCAAGAAGATTCTGTCTGAGGGTAGTTTTGGTGAGATTGCTGAGTTTGAGACTCATTTCGATCGCCATCGACCTGATCCGCCGCCGACTGAGAGCTGGAAAAGCGTTGATGCACCTGCTCATGGAAGTCTGTATGATCTGGGCACGCATTTGATCGATCAGGTGTACCACTTGTTTGGCATGCCGAAGAAGGTTACGGGGTTTGTTGGGAGACAGAGACGTGGTGTTACAGGTGGTGCGCCGGACTCTTTCACTGCGCTTCTCCATTACGACGGGCCGTTGCTTGTGACTGCCAAGGCTGGTGTGGTAAGCCCTGAAGAGGAACAGCTAAGATACTGGGTCAAGGGAACGAAGGGAAGTTTCAAGAAGGTATATACAGTCGCCCTACTCTATAATCCACCACATCTACTGATGTCTGTAATAGTTCCACCTTGACGTCCAAGAAGACCAGCTGCGCCTCCATGGTATCAGACCAGGCCAAAAGGATTTCGGCGTCGACCCAGAGTCCCACTACGGCACTCTCATCACCGTTGCGTACGAGAAGGCCAAGCCCGTCGTTCAGAAGTACCCTACCGTTCAGCCAGCGACGTACGTGGAGTACTATCGTATCTTTGCCGATGCGTTGAAGGGTAAGGGCGACGTGCCTGTAAAGGCGGAAGATGCACGAGACGTTCTACAGATCATTGAGGCCGTTGAGTTGAGCTCGCAGGCAGAGAAGACGGTCCACCTTTGAGCGTGGAGATCAGGCGATTACCTTATAATTCTACAGTGGAAAGGAAGCCTGCCCAAAGGAGAAAGGTCATGTAAAGCTCGTTCCTTCCTTTTTGTTCACATGTCATGCCAAGCCGCTTCGTTACTGCCTCACACGCTCATTCCATCATTTCCACTTCCGCGTCCCACGAACAATTGCTTGACTGCAAACTCCTCAAGACACCTCCGACAACACGATGGATACTTCAAAGGAGCTGCAACCCGACTCCCAGGCTTCTCCGCCGGACGAGACGACGGTGGTGGACAACAAACACTTGTCGGAGATGGCACACGCGCTGCAACACTCCCACGGGCTACTCGGTACGTACGAGACACTCCCATTCAGTACACACACAGCTGATACTTATCAGGACTCTCGGACACTACTCGCAGATTGATCCTTCCCTACATCAGCGGCGATCCGGGTCTTGCTGTCTTTGACGCTATCAAGCGCCACCTGGAGATGGCACGTGGGACGTGGTCTGACGAGAGTCGATACTCTCCTTATGTCTCATACAACTATGAGAATCTGCGCGACGATACACAGTACCTGAGCTCTTTTCCCGGCTATGTGAAACAAGCGATCGAACTCTTTCAACAAGAGGCAGAATGGCGATTGAATACGTGCTACGGGGGTGGAAACACTCCGGAGGATTTCATTCCGATTGCGGAAGAGTTCGATCTGTTCATGCTAGGAATGCTGCAAGGGCATATCCGATACATCACAGAGGAAAATAAGGAATGGGATCTAAGTGAGGTAGTCAAGTTCATGACCGAGCAGCGCAAATTCGATCTTTCCTTAGCGCTTCACGAAGAGGAAGAGCCAGAGAGTGATGACGAGGATCCATGCTTTACCGAAGAATACAACCCAGTGTTCGGAAGGAGCTTAAGGTTCGTCTTTGCATGGCACTCTCGCAAGATTGGGACGCTTCTTGCCTACAAGACAGCTGGCCACATACTGCCTCCGGAGCTTGTGGAGATGATCGCGGAATACTTCTACGACCAGAAGGTGCTGGAGGGTTTCTAGGCTTACTCTCGGCAGAAAGGGGGAGACAGGACAAGTGAAGGAGTCGAATACAGCGTAATGTTACATTGCAAAAGACAGATGCTCTGGCGGAGCAGTCAGAGACCAACGATGTTTTAGCGATTTGGCGCTTTCAAGTGTGAAGTATATGGCAGAATTTGCTGCTCCACACGTCGGTAGGGCAGAAGCCACCGCGTACTTCGAGCACATGGGAGGGCAGAATGGACTTGGCATATTAATCTTTAAAGGACTCTAAAGTATTGCAGATGCTTGAGACCATATGCACGGTCTCATACTTACCTCTGGCGACAGATACGTCGAGTTCAAAGCAGGGTAAACCGCAACGACTCAGGGACAGTTTCCCAAAGCTATGATATGGCTATGGCCAATACCTGGAGGGGAGCATCACCGACTACAAAACGCACCTCAAGCTCGGCAACTGCAACTTCTATGTAAATTCCTTCGCGCTGCGCCCAAAGCAGTCAATTGGACTCTTCGTGGAAGTCGTGGACTTTTAAGTCTTGGGCAGCCAAGTCCTCGAGTCGCAAGACACTCACTGCAAGTTGCCAGGAGTCCGACGATTAAACTCGACGCGTCGAGGAGAACTTTGAGATCCAATCTGACCGAGACAAGCATTCTACGTGGCTTAGGAGTTAACTGATGAGACGTGTATGTTTGAGCTGTGGGTGAATGGGAAGTCTCAGTTGTCTGCATGTGAAAGGGGGAAGAGCAAGGACTCGTTCCTTCCTCTTCCACTTCGGGTCACGTTCCATCTTTTCCGAATCCCCATCCTGCTCAACTGCCACAACACTAGCCTCATACCTACTCGAAAGACTTTGCAGCTATGACATTAGCTTCACATTATCCGAGAAACACGCACGTTCAGACAGTGCTCCCCCATATCTGCCTCGCAACATCTCTCACCAGCACCAACTTCTCCCACATCCTCTCCATAGTCATATCCTTCCCACCCGCCAGCGAAGAACTCGAAAACCCACACTGCGGACTAACCGCCAACGAATCCAATGCTTCCTCTTTCGAGACACTCTGACCTTTCGCAACCGCCTCCGCAGCCCGATAAATCTTCTCCTTCAAACCCTCCCGATCCTCAAGCTCAGCTTTCTTCGTCGACACAAGCCCCAGAACGACATTCTTCCCCTTGGGCAAGACCCGCAACGGCTCAAACCCACCATTCCTCTCCGCATCATCGAATTCCAGATAATAAGTAGAATATTTCGTCCTCGTGAACAACTTTTCGGCAATCTTATCATAGCTCCCGGAAACCCAATGCGTGGATCCACTCATATTCCCTCGACAGAGATGCATCCCCATATGCAGATCCTTGCCGGGGTGGTTCTTCTTCTTTTCTAGGAAATGATTATGAGACGCCAGGTAGAGATCCAGCAGTTCCTCCGCGTCGACGCCATCCCTTTCACATCCCCCGAGGAATTGCGAAGAGCAGAAATACGTCAGATGTGGATCGTCGATTTGGATGTTGCGGCATCCGGCATCATACAGAGCTTGGATCTCGGCAGTATAGGCTCTGCCCAGAGCTTCGAAATACTCCGCATCCGTTCGATAGCCCGATTCTCGCGTAAAAGCCGTGCCCGGTTTCAGTTGGATATGCTGATAACTCGGCGCCGGCATCGTGATTTTCAAATCTTCTACTCTCCCTCCCCCTCCCAACACGGCTGCTTTCAACATCTCCCATTCCGCCAGATACGCACTCCCCCGCCACGCAATCGGCCCCGTGCACACCACCGCCGCCCTCGTCGTCGCCCCCATGCGCATCAAACCCGTCGTGGTGGGGAAATTGCTCCGGAAAGCCTCCGGGATGGGTAAGTCCGGTTCAGGCGTCATGCCGGATAACGTCTCGAAGAACCCACCGTAGAAGATGTGTCGACAGTACTCGCCCGAGACGATAGGGCGGAGGGAGAGGCGGAGTTGGGTCCCGACGACGGCTTCGATGGCGGCTCTTTCGGCCCGTTGGATTTCCGGGTCGCGGGAGACGTCGTACATTCGCGTGGGCGAGGAGAGAGTGTCCCGTGCTTTGAGGAGTTCTGCGGGGCGCAGGAGGGATCCGATTTGGTCCATTCGGTAGGGAGGCGCCATGGTGATGATTGACCTCGGAGAGCCTTTTGGTACGTTCTTGTTGCTGCTGTTGTTAGCTGTATGGTGTCTCCGAGCCTGCTTGTCTGTAACTATGGGTGTCGAGCTTTTTCAGATGCTAGTGCACACACAGTACGAGGTTGGTTCATCCTCTGGGTTTGAACGCGGTTTGGCTACTTTAGCAATCCAGCATGATGAGGTGGAGTCGTCAGAGCTATCAGATGGAGAAGCTGCTCGCTCGGTTCAAAGCTTTCCCAGCCGAGATGCATCCTGAATTGCGAGTCTCGTCACCTCATCTCATCTCTATCTCACTATACGCTGCAAGCAGCTTCGATCCGGGCAATGAATTTTTCATATGGAGAACATTCACTCATCTGTCCAGCATTGTCACGGTCTGCTCGCTTAGACATACGCTAGCCCGATCAGGTAGCGCTAGCGATTGTAAGGTTGCCTCGATGAGAGTGTACAGGTCCACGGCTCCCAGCAGAGGAATCGGACCATGAAGTCACGACTCTAAAAAGGTTCGTGGTACCTCAGAGGTCGGGGTAAGTGCAACTGCCAAGAGCACGGGACAATGTGAAACGAAACCCATTTCAGGGGTTTTGGTCATTCTCGTGTTTCGGCGTGTGCATTCATTACCTCGGCTAAGGACTCGACCCCCTTCACTTCGTGATCCTGCGTATGCTCTGCCAAAAACTAGCCTGAACGGGCCAAGAACTGCCGAAATTGTCATCAGAAGGACTTCCATCATCATCATTCAGCCCAGTTTGCCCAGAAGAAACCAAACAAATTCATAGTGTAAACTTTTCCGTAAATGTCACCTTCTCCGATCCAAGTCCTGACAGCTCGGAGACGCCGGGAAAGGCATCGATCCAGCAGCTGCCGTGCGCCCACCAACACCATTGTCATGCTTGTATGCTCAAGGGGGTAATCCGAATCGACGAAAGATGCGCCAAAGCAACGCTAGAACGCCAGCAACGGGAGAAGTTCAGCATGCGGTGGCCAGAAACCAGAAGGTTCCTATCGTCTCTGATCCTTTGCCGCACGCGCGCGACGCTCATGGTAGGCAATCCAGCCCTGTTTCTGGTACTCACGTGCTGCCGCTTTCCGGTCTGCAGCTGCAATGATACCACGTCCCACGATTATGACATCTGTACCGGCCTCGCCGATCACCTTCTGCGGAGTGTTATACTGCTGTCCAAGACCATCGCCACCCGACCGCAGCTGCACGCCCGGAGTCATGGTGACAAAGTTGTCGTCTGGCTTCTGGTTGAGCGACTGCTGTGCAATAAAGCCCATGACAAACTCCTTGTTTTCTCGAGCGTGATGAACGCATGCCGCCGTATACTCGGACGAAAAGAAGTTATTGGCAGACGACATCTGGGCTAGGAGGAGTAGCGAACGGAAGAAAGGCGGAGGCCCCAGTTGCTCCAGAGCTTCCGCGTCATCCTTATCCTCCGCAGTGCCGTCGGCTGAGGACGTTCGCGAGATTGGAGGTCGCTGGTGTGGCTGTGGACTCAACGCCTCAGACTTCATGCTGATGGTGGTGCTCACTGACACCACTGAAGGTTTGCGAGCTTTACGCTCCAGGTCATCATATTCGTCGTCTGTGTGGTCGCCATTATAGCCGTGGCCCTCATCGTCGCCATATTCGTAGTCATCCCCCACGGAAGCGGCAGGTGAAGCGCTAATGTCTGTCTGCACGGAGGTATTGTGGGCGGCAATTGCCTTGTGAGCAGCAGCAGCAAGAGCTGGAATGATTGCTGGTCCCGGGAAGATGTGTGCATTGACAATCGGCGCCCAACGAACGATGGTCAATGGCCCACCCGCATACTGCTGCTGAACCGTGTTTCCAATATCGCCGAATTTCCTGTCCTCAAACACCAGAAACTTCTTTCGCCTGCTGATCTCGTTCAGGCCTCGAATGGTCTTCTCTCCAAAGTCGCCAATGATGTCGGCATGTGTCTTGAGAATGCAGATGTGGTCCCCTACATCCTCTGCGATCCGGAGCAGCTCGTTCGTGGTGGTGACGTCGGCTGATACGCAGAGGTTGGTATGCTTGTAGTGCATCAAGCGGAGGAGATATGTCGCGAGAGGGGTGAGGTTGGCCTGCTCCGATCGCTGGAGGTACGTTTGGGCCAGAGTGGGATGATTGGCAGGCATTGTGATCGGATCGCCGTGTGCGAGCGGCCGTAAGGGTTATGGGGGGATACCTTAGGCAGTGCTGGGTTGGTCTCGTGCTGGTCGGCGGGGTGGTTGCTGTTGCTGTTGCTGCTGCTGCTGCTGCTGCTGCTGCTGCTGCTGCTGTTGCTGTCTGTCTGGCGGAGGGAGCCGTGAGGTTGGAGGGAGACAAGACGAGAGGTCGGGACAATGTTTTTCTCTTGCCGCGCGATGCGATGCGATGCGATGGCTCGTCGTGCAGCAGGCGTGCGTGTTGGAGGGTTAAAAAACGAAGGTGTGCGCCGGCACAGCGGTAGGCGGAATTGCAAGCGAAGTTTCGCCTGAAGCTGCACGTCGTCCTCACGCAGGGCAGATCAGTCAGACAAGTCAGAGTGGCAGTCGTGGGTTGAGTTAGCAGGAGGACCCGAGACCACAGCTGCGGTATGCACCTCTGCGGCGCTGTGTGCTGGGCGCTGGGCGCTGTGTGCTGTGTGCTGTGTGCTGTTTTCCGCTGTGGAGATGTGTCGCAATTCAGTTCCTCCACTGTGAGATGGGCTGTCTCCTACCGAGTCGAGTCTGCGCCTTCGACGACCGTCACGTCGGCTGCCAAATCCGTCTTCCCCCTCGCAATTGAATGCCCCAATCCGTCGTGTCGTCCGCTGCGGTGTTTTCCACTCGCCGCCAAGAGGGTCGTCAACAATTCTGAGACTGGCCTCGCGTTGGGCCCCCCGCCTGTCGTTAGACTTTCGGGCGGGATCGGGATCTGCACCCCGGCAACTCTGTGCGCGCCCAACAACTTAAGCATTGCAGTGTGCAGGGTCCACAGGATCGCAGCCACAAGTGTGTGTGCACATGTGTGAGCCCTTCGGAAAGACGGCAGACCGTCCAACGGCTGTCGTGTCACGACATACAACCGAGATTCGTGACCTGACGCCTGCGGCCTCGTACGTGATAGGAAATTGTACGTGTCAAGTGAGTCAAATGACCGGCTCGGGAGCAGGCCGCCACAGAGCTCTGGAGCTGCGCCTGCCCCCGAAGCATCTTGTACGCCTCTCGACATCGTCACAGCAGATCTCGGCCGACGGCATATGCAAGGATACCGAACATTTGCATGTTGCAATGCAGGACCGCGGGGTTGATCCCCCACGCACACCCCGACCAGGTAATATAACGCGAGAGAAATGTGAAGGAGACGTCGTATGTGTCGCTATGACCCCAGTTTCAACGCCTCTCCCAACGCCATACTGGTATCTGGTTGATTGCTTCCGCATTCATGGCTTCGTCAAAGTGACCTGTCTCTCGCCGCAAACGAAAACGTTCCAGTCTGCCGTACTACGCTAACCTGCCTTCGCAACGAATCTTCTCGTCTGGCTCATCTCACTGGAGCTCAGTGGAGCCGCACCGTACCTGTTTCAGATGTGTCAGTACCCGTCAATTGGCTCGATATGAGAGTCGCTATCTTGGTGCGATCACATGCAAAAGGTGCAATTGCTTACCATGCAATGACAGCCATTCCGAGGACGGCGGCGATGCAGCTGAACACAAGAGCCACGATTCCCTTCGTCGTGAAGCCGGCTGGCAACGGTGCTGGGCTCAAATTCTGGCCATCAAGATTCAGGAAGTCGATCGTGTTTGCTGCAGCATTACCCTTGACCGGTGTGCCGATGGCGTTGCAAACGTCCAGGTGATTCTGCGGAATGGTTAGGTTCTTCTGCAGCTGCAAGGGAGCCTCCACCATCGTGGCAACAAGTCCACTGGCCAGATGCCATTCTGCGAAAGATTAGCACACGGTTCATGCTCTCTGCAAGTAATGCTATATATCTCATAACCTGCTGGCGGGCTCGGATTAAACTTTTGTCTGTGCCTCGGAGAAGTGCGGGACTTTCCCTGAAGGGCATGGAGCTTCGTTTCAATATTTGATTGGAATTTAGGGGTGGACCTTCACTGAGGTCAAGTCCGCCAGCGAATTCGCCAGCAGGTTATGAGGTGGAAGAGAGCTTAAGGCTTACCGAGATGACAGTGGAACAACCACACGCCGGGGTTGTCGGCGCGGAATCGGATGACAAAATTGCCAGTCGGCCGCACGCCAAGTGTGTCTCTTCGCATTGGCACAGCCGGATACGCAGTGTGATTGTTCGAGTCAAAATCGCCCCAATTTTCCGGGCTTCGATACAACACCTGGAAATTGTGGCCGTGCAAGTGAAATGGATGCCGACCAGTATCCTCGTTGTTCAGGACAATCTCGATGATTTCGTTATGAGGTAGGACGTGGGCGTTCGTATCGCGGCCGTAGACGGTGTCGTTCGTGGCAAAGTTAGCAGTGGAGAGGGCGCTGTAGAGCGTTGGCACCTTCGGAGTGACATATGTGATCCCATTAAAGAAAGCGTAGTTGGCGCCATTGCCCAAGTCATCCATCGTCAGATTGAGATTAAAGGAGTAATCAGCATGATCAAGAAGCTCCATCCCATCTTGAGGCTTCAGCGTGAAGTCATCAAACTCGTTATCGAAGTTGTCCAGAAGAGCGGGCGACGGTCTGGACTTGCTATCATCGTACATGAGCCAGCCCGTTACGTTGATCGGCAGATCCGGGGAGAAAGAATCGAACAGTGAGGTGTCCATGCTCGCCACCATGGGGAAATTGCCGGAGGTATCGTTTCTGGCTGTCACGAGGAAACCGTAGCGCTGGGCGGCCGTGATGTAAAGTAACTCGGCCTCTGCAGGCTCAGTATACACGCCGTCAACCTCGATGACACTCAGCTTGTGACCCTCGATCCAGAAATACATTCCCGCGAAAGCCGCAACGTTGGTCAGACGGAAGAAGTATGTCTTTCCAGGCTCTACAGGCACCGTAAGGTTCTGAGTGTCGTTCATCAAGGCCGAATTGGGCACTGGCTCAGCGCCAGTTGGATTCGTCACGCTGATGAATTCCTTCAACAGTCCTGGCATCTCATCATGATACCAGTCGGACAGAGTGAATGCAACCTCTTTGTCATATTTGCCGAGATATGGATTTTCGGGATCGGTGATGATGAACTGCTGGCGTAGGCCGTCAGGGTATTGGCCTCGGCTGTGTGAGTGATACCAGTATGTGCCAGGTTGGTCGACCTAAGTACTCGTCAGTATCATCGCATCTCTCATTACCAGTCTTTGAGACCAGATCCAAGGCTCTGTCAGATGACGTGTTCACGCCCTGATTCTAGCATCTCGCATGACCTACCGTAAAGTTGTAGACAATGGTAGACCCAGTTGGAACATCGCACTGTGTCACACCTGGAGGGCCATCCATTTCATTTGTACCGTTCTGGTAGAGTCCATGAAAGTGCAGACTGGCAGTCTCATTCCCAAGCTAGTCAAGGGTCAGGAGCGAAAAATAGCTGTGCAAGCGTAGGACAAGGCGAACCTGATTGTGCATATTGACCACCACATTGTCGCCGCGTGTGAAATTGAGTTGTGGCAGTGGCCATTGGTTGTTGATGCCTATCACGGGCCTCATAGCCATGCCGTCCGGGTTGCGATTCACCCATGTGATATTCCAGTCAAGTGTGACCGTTGCCGCAGCTGTGAAGCCGACCAGTAGGCAGGTCACCAAACCCGACAGCGCCATGGTCATGGCCTTTCTCTGACTTTCGCTCAAGCTCTCGGATAGCCAGAGAGCTATTTGCTGGTTGCTGGAAAACGTATACGACTTTCTGGCGGTCGATGTCGAGGCGCCCAGGAGAGATGCTTTCACCTCGATTGATTAGATGTGATCCGTGATAAGATTGCGTGGGCTGGTGCGAGGGCGTTCCGATCGCGGGCTGCGGGCTGCGGGCTGCAAGCGAAGGAGCCGGAGGGCGCGGGGCTAATGTGCAGGATCTGATAATGAGCCTCGACCTCACGTATAGTGGTAGTAGTAGCTGCCGTCCCACTGCGCTGAACGCGGCTGATAGGAACGCACGGCTTGTCGTTAGACCTGGTGCGGAAATTGCAATTACGGTAGGTGCTCCATTCCACGTGAGCGAGACCCTGGTGCCGGGGGTAATTCTCTTGCGTGAAAGTGTTTTCTGCTTCAGGACGCGGACCTCACTTCAGCAAGTGTGTTCTCGTTCGGACCAGCCCACGTCGCTCTTGGAATTTGCCACTGGTAGAATCCAATACAGCAACAGCAGGGAAGGTAGCTGCTGTCCAGCTCCGTGTAGAATACATTTGATGTATTCAACCCTCGGCGTGTTTGATGACTGCAGTACAACAAATTGGCTCCAGGAGCCCCCGGCGATTGGACGGCGTGCAGGACAAGGTTCCGCTAGCGTCGTTGGGTCGGAGAAACCTCGAGTGAGGCAACCGTCTTATCAGATCCTCGAATCGCCTGGAAAGAGGACCCGGAAAGACGCGACGCTCGACCCCACCTTCGCAGGTTGAAAGCTGCGGAGTTCACCTGGTCGAGACAAGCGCAGGAAACTCCTCGGCCACTACGGTTCTGCTCCGGAAATCTGACCACTGCACGGTCGCGAGAAGCGGAAAAGCCGGTGGTCCTGATGGTGTGAGAGGACGTACGTCGTTGGGCGTCAGGAAGCAAAGAAGCAAAAAAAAAAACTCGTGCTTCCTTCCTGTCCGGGTCCATGAGAACAACAAGCTGTACTCGAAGCTGCGGGTTGGCTAGCTTCAGCTCGAGGACGAGACGCCTCCAAGACGCCAACAACGCCTCCGATCCCACCCTCATCGCTTCGCTCCAGTCCCAGTGACCTCTACTCATTTTCTTGTTTTGCAATCATTGCTCTACTGCAGCCGAAGTCGGAGTTCTCCATCGAGTCGTGGCTGCCCTGCAGTGCTCAGGTTCCCACGGTTCCAGAGGCCGGGAGCGAGCGAGGGCCCGTGCGCCACCCTCCACCTTATCCTTTTAGCGACGCGCCGCCGTCTAGATAATCAGATTGATCGCTGCGCCATCATTCCATTATCTGATCATCTCGAAAGATCATCTCGAAAGATCAATTCGGTGCCCCTGTAACACGACCACCCGGGCGATTCTGCAGCCATGGTAAACGTCTTTGCGGTGCCAGGTACGTCGAGCTCCATGCTTAACTCTATCGCTCGTGACTGACCACCGCGCCAGTTTTCTTCATCTGCTTCCGAGAGTGCCTGGAGTGCACAATTATCGTGTCCATTCTATTGGCGTTCTTGAAGCAGAGTATCGGTGGGCCGGATCGCGATAAAGATGTCTACAAGAAGCTCCTCAAGCAGATCTGGCTCGGAGTGGGCCTTGGTGTGGCCATTTGTCTGGTCATTGGAGGAGCTTTCATCGGTACCTTTTATGGTCTCGGTAAAGACATCTATGGCAACAGCGAAGACATCTGGGAAGGCGCCTTCTCCCTCATCGCCTCCATCATCATCACCCTGATGGGTATTGGCCTGCTCCGGGTGTCAAAGCTCCAGGACAAGTGGCGTGTGAAGATCGCACAGGCTCTGGAGGGTCGTCATACCGGGAAAGGGCTCGCACTGAGCGCTCGTTTCAGGATCTGGGCCGAGAAGTATGCCATGTTTTGGCTTCCCTTTATTACCGTCCTCCGTGAAGGCCTTGAAGCCGTGGTGTTCATTGGCGGTGTTGGACTGGGCCTGCCAGCGACTTCTTTCCCGCTGGCCGTTATCTGCGGTCTATTGGCCGGAGTCGTGATCGGTTATCTCATTTATCGGTAAGTGAGGTCCTCCAGTTGATCACCTGATCTCTACTGACCATGGTCGGCTGGCTAGTGGTGGAAACACGACAAAGCTGCAGATCTTCTTGACCATCTCGACGTGCTTCCTCTACCTGATTTCTGCGGGACTCTTCTCCAAAGCTGTCTGGTACTTTCAGAACTACCACTGGACCCAGCTTACAGGAGGAGATGCCTCCGAGACGGGGTCGGGTGCAGGCTCCTATGATATCCGACAGAGTGTATGGCACGTTAATTGCTGCAACCCAGAGCTGAATGGTGGTGGCGGCTGGGGTATCTTCAATTCCATCTTAGGCTGGGAGAATTCAGCGACGTACGGATCGGTCATCTCATACAACCTGTACTGGCTGGTCGTCATCATCGCCTTTGCAGTCTTGGGCTTCTATGAGAAGCGCGGTCACTGGCCGTTTATGAAGGCGAAGCCCCAAACCCCCAGCGATGATGAGGAAGCAGCGGACAGCGACCAGACGAGCCGTGACGACGAAAAGAAGGGTGCGGTTGAGGTGAATGCTGCCCGGGCTGATTCTGGCGAAATTGTAGCGTAGAGGTTTTTGGAGATAGCGTTGGCCATGGCGACCTTTCAGGCCAGGATGAGAAAGCCACTGGCGATGTGACCGCTTTGGCAGCAGCAGCAATGAATTTCTTATAAGCCGCTTTCGCGCGATGCGATGCGACTAGCCTGAGCATGTTTGAGGAGGAAATACACATGAAAGAGCAGACCGCGTCGATCGTGGTAATAGCCAACGAGGCAGCACCAATTGGCTCATCGGGCCGACAAATCTCCGTGTTTTTCGGGAATGTCTTTCTGGCTCCTCCCACGATGTTCTCAACTTCCACCATCACCGACATCTCGACTTTCGCTGCCTTGATCGTCGCCAACATGTTCTGGCCATACCCTTGAGGCCATCAGAAACAGCCTTCACGTAAGGTGGACTGTCATCGAAATCAAGGGACGCTCCTCTGAGGCTGTGGTGGGATGGCCTCACCTGAAGGGAATCAGCCGCACGGCGAGACGAGCCTGAACGTTGACATTCCAGCCAATGGCTTCAGCACGATCCGAGAGGTCGACACCGGTGGCGATTTGATTCTGGAAATCCAACACGAGAGAGCCGTCTTTGATAACCAACCGCGGCTCCACCGGCAGCGATTCCGTGTCAGCTCTTCCATGCTCAAAGCCAATTCCAAGTACTTCAATAGCCTGCTGGAAGGCCGATTTGGCGAGAGTCAGCGCATACAAAAGCAGTGGGATGAGTTACAAGAGCAGTATAAAAGCGTATCTGGTGCACCGGGTATGGAGCTTCCAGTCATACACATCGAGGACATTGGACGAATATCGAGCGTCAAATCTATTGAACCTTTATGCTTCGATTTCCTCTGCATTCTCCATGGGCAAGATATGAACGCTGCCCCGCCCGTAGCCAACCTCGCCAACCTTGCCATCGTTGCAGATAGATTCGACGCACTCGACCCGGTTCGCAACTACATACGTCGGAAAAGGTACTTCCGAGTTATAGATGGCAAAGCAACTGCAAAAGTGGACGATGCGCTGTCCGAAGAAAGAGTGAGACAAAGATTACTATCCGCATTCTTTCTAGACTATGGTTTGTGGCTTGAGAAGTACAGCCTGCGACTCATCACGAAGGGCTGGGTGGTGAGCAAGGACTCGGTTGCGCTATGGTGGGATCTTCCGGGCATGCTCGAGGAGGAGCTTGCTTTTCGAAGAAACTGTGTTCTGGAAACAATCCAATCCGCGCAGTCGCACTTGCTCAGCCTATACACCTCCCGCGAAAGACAATGCAGGCTCGGCTACGATAACTCCGCTCAGTGCGATTCTTTCCAACTTGGCGAGATGATCCGTTTTCTGACCCGCATTGGAACTCTTCAAATGAACGGAACCATTAGAGACACCACCGAGCTACTTGAACCGTATGCTGGAGACGTCTATACTTTGGTCGACATGCTTCGGCAAGCACCTGAGTATCAGATCGACAGGAATCATACTCATTGTGGAATCAGGACCAGACTGATCCCGATGCTGGAACTCATCCTCGAAGGCGTATCACAGCTAGGAGTATGTTCGCAATGTTGGTCACAGAATCGCGCAGAGCACAGCTGGAGGAAGTCGAAGCGGCCTTTGACATGGAAGAAGTCTACCTCTCGACTGCGAAATCTTGGGCACCAGGAGCTGCATACTAATGTAAAGGCGCTGTTCATGGCCACGCAAAGGGACTGGTCGTCGTGATGCATACTGCCCTTCTAATTGATTCTGGGTTTGCCCTAGTCGTCCTTGTTGCAAGTTGCACGCAAAGTAGCATCCACCACGGCGGCATAATTATATTCCATGCGATCCAGAAAATCTCCGCGCATTTGTTCGTCGAGGCATCAGGCTTTCCCACGGTGAGCGACCAAGATGGCGAAGTAAACGGTGGAGTGCAATCCCGATGGCTGTGCAGATCCGGCTCTGTGCGAGCTCCCACCAAGCGAGCTGCTGCGCCCCAGAACACCGCTCGCGGCCTGAGCTTCCCTTGGTTCAGGTACAACATATTCAACGTATGCGGATGGCGCCCACTGCTCACATGCAGAATAATCTCACATACGCCGCCTGTAGAGCACACATGTCGCGAGACGGGCAGTGCACATGTCATGTTCCGTAGGCGATGAAACAGTTAGGTCGCCAGAGGATCAGAAGATATAAGATAGCTAAGTAGGTCATCTTATTTACATTCACCCTCGGCGTACTACGTTGACCTGATGACTGCGCGCGAGTTCCGCAAGTATCCGCAGTACAAACTCTTCCAAACTCTTCTTAAGAAAGGAAAGCATGGCCGCTCCATTTGTTTGCTCAAATGCACCTGCACCTGCAATCACTCCTCTACAAATGAGATACTCGAACTCTTCTTCATCACTACATCGACCAGGCAACATGTTCACTTCACTCAAACATAAGCTCTCCAAGGCAAAGGTAGGTCGTACCTCTGCCAATGGCCACCTCTTTCATGGACTGAGTCTGACATTCTCTCAGGGGGCAAGTAAGATGCAGCAGGAGTCATCCTCCATCCCCCATCCTCAGGCCAACAACACACCTACAACACGAAAGCCCACTGCCGTCCGAGATAATGGAGACGCGCCGCCAGCCTACTCACCAGCACCCAATGCTGCACCCATGACCCAGCAACGCAACACCACCGTCTCTTCCCCAGCCTCCTCCGGCGCAGACGACCCCTACGCCTTCCTCACAAGCTTCGACACCATCTTCCTCATCGACGACTCGGGCTCCATGGCCGGCGGCCGCTGGCGCGAAACCGGCCTCGCCCTCGAAACCATCACCCCGATCTGCACCGCCCACGACGCGGACGGAATCGACATCTACTTCCTCAACCACACCGACTCCCCCTTCCACCACAACATCACCAACGCCAGCACCGTGCGCGAGATCTTCCAAACCGTCCGTCCCCGCGGCGCAACCCCGACCGGCCAACGCCTCAATGCCCTCCTGAAACCCTACCTCCACGCCTACCAACGCCACCCGGACACCACGAAACCCATCAATCTCATCTGCATCACCGACGGCGAACCCAGCGACGACGTCGAATCCCCGCTCATTGCCGCCGCCAAGAAACTCGACCGGCTGGACGCGCCGGCTTGGCAGGTCGGCGTGCAGTTCTTCCAGGTCGGGCGGGATGACGAGGCGAAGAAGCACTTGAAGCAGCTCGATGACGAACTCGCTGAGATTTCTGGGGATGATGATTTGAGGGATATCGTCGATACGGTCCCCTTCACGGGTGCGGAGGGGACGTATCTGTCTGGGGATGGGATTCTGAAGGTCGTGCTGGGTGCGGTGAATCGGCGGCTCGATCGGAAGAAGAGTAAGGATCTTCATCGATAGAGGCTGGGAGTGCGCATGAGGATGCGCTGGCTTGTTGGTTGGCAATGTTGAAAGGTTCTCGCGATAAGGGGTTCAGGCCTCATTTTTTTTTTCGACTATGATTAGGCTGAGCGAGGCGTTGGCGGTCTCTTGCTCTTCTTCTCTCTGATCCCCTCACAAAAGCTTGAGGCATTTCCCAGGCAGGCATATAGATGATACGTACTGAAGGAACGAGCAAAATCCATTTCGGCCTTCAGAATTGCAACGCGATGACCAGAGAAGAAAAAAAAGGAATCCTGTTTCTCTGCCGTCATATCTACATGGTCGCTACGACTGCCGCTACAATGCTTCCGTTTCGTTTCTCTTCCTCAGGGAAAAATAGGAATATGCCGGATACTCGCAACACTCCCTCTCTCATGACAAACGCTCAGATGTACTTCCCGCCCAAGAATCAAAAGGAAAAAAGGGGATGCGCCTTAAAAGTTGGTCATCACACAGCGACAGCACCACTCGTAGGCTTTTCCGCCGGCGGACTACCCACGGCGTCGAGCGGTGCGGCGTGCAAGGCAGGTTTCGCGTGCTTGCCAAGAAGACCTTTCTTCTTCTTATCGAGAGCATCAGTCACCCACTCGCCAACTTCTCGGTCGACAAAGTCTGCTTGACTGGCTGCTAGGGGCTGCGCCTCGACTGTTTCACCGTTCGCTTCTGCCTCTGCCGCAGCTTCGGCGGCTTCTTCATCCTCTTCGGCAATGGTGTCTGGTTTTGCCAGCGGCGCTAGCCATGCATGCTGTAGAAGCATGGGATATGTTGGTCGGAGCTTCGGGATCTTGTTCAGGCAGCCAGCAACGAAGTCATGAGCTGCTTCCGAGAACGTGTCTGTTGGAAGATCTGGCGGGTCACCATCGACAATTGCCTTTCCATGTGTCAGCATCTGACCGTCCCGCACCTGATTTGTTTGTATTCACTTACCGAAAGCTGCGAGAAGATGTTGTCGTACGTCTCTGGTGGATATGGATATCTCCCCAGGGCGCACTCAATGATTGTCAACCCTAACGACCAAATGTCCGACTGCACGCTGTATGTTCCTGCGGATGCTCCTGCCTGTGCCATGCCGCCACTTGATATTCGCTCAGGCGCCATGTATGACTGACAACCGATGTTTGTCTTGGCTATACTGGCCACCAAATTACCGGACACGCCAAAATCGCAAATCTTGACCTGTCCTCTTGTATTCACGAGGATGTTGGTCGGCTTGACATCTCGATGTATAATGTTGTGCTCCTCCTTGAGTGACTTCAGCCCCAGCGTCGTACAATACGTAATCTTTCTCAGCACGTTTTCGGGGACACCATCCCCATAAATCTTGTCAACACTGCCTCCATCCATGTACTCCATGCAGATATACACGGCGCCTTCTTGGAAGAACGCACCGTAGAAGTCGACAATGTAGGGCGATATGCATCGATGCAAAACGTCAAGTTCCATTATGATAGACTGGAACTTGGCATCGTCCAGTTCGAGCCGCATCTCCTTCATCGCCATCACGATACCAGTCGTGCCGCCACGTCCATACGCCTGCGCAGAGGTGGCATTTGTGGGTGTCGGAACAGCGTCTGCCGGTCGTTGCGGTGACGCTGCATTCACTTCCTCCTCCTTGTCGGCCGCCGGCCCTCTCGCCTTGTTTCCTGCCAAGCCCTGACCTTGTCGCCGGAACTTGGGACGTGAATGTCGGACCTTGTACACAGTGCCGTAGTTTCCCTTGCCCAACTCATCCAACGTGTCGACCTCATCCAGACTGATACTGAAACTCTTGCCTGATGTGAAGTCGATACCCCCGCCGTGGACCGTCGCCTTGCCCTTGAACCGCAGAGCTCCGGTCTTGGTATCTATAAGATCGGCATACTTGTCCATCTGCGACTGATCTTTCCGTGGCTCTTGACCAGCGTTCGGATCCCCATTTGCTGGTCCACCGCCCATTTGCGACAGAGTCATTCTAGGTTTCTGTCTGCCGGGCGGTTTCGCTGCGTCGCCGGCGGGCGGTGGCGCTTGCCCTGGCAGGCCCCCAGGCAGCTTCATTCCGCGTTTCTCGGCCAGTGAAGGTCCCCTAGACGCGGCGGCTCCTGGAACAGCGGGAGCAGAAGCAAGTCGATTCATACCGGCGGGAAGCTGGAAATTGGACGGGAAGCCACCTACAGCGGGACCTGAAGATAACCCTGCAGGAGGGCTCAAGGGGCCTCTGTTGGGCTGTGGCGTGGCTGGCCCGGCTCTTGACAAGGAGAAGGCCTTCATCTTGGCAGCGATATCCGGATTCATCTGCGTGGTAGGCCCTCTCAGCGCCATTGGCGCAGGCGGTGGCCTCCGCGAGGCATCGGTGGTGCTGCGTGTGGTGGCCGGCGGGGATTGAGGCGGAGGGGATTCGGCGGGAGAAGTCGGCTCCTCGTCCGAATCGGCCATTTGTGGGTTTGGACGGGCGAAGGTCGTAGGGAGGCGACGACGGGGTGGGCTGGGAGGGAGTCGTGAAGTTCAGCTTGCGGAGCTGATGGTCGGAAGATCGGTATGCGGTAGGGTACCTTACTGAGCGATGACTTATGGGTGGCTGTGCTCCGCGGGAGGCGCATTCGGCAGGATAGACCGGGCCGCGACTTCCTCAAATCTCGCCAGTCCTCGGCATGTGGAAGGTGAGAGGTGGAAGGCGTTCCCTGCTTACACAATCGAAGCGGAGCCGGTTTCACGTCCGGGATGACTACGTAAGACTTTGTCGTCGTTGTTGTTGTTGTTGTTTGACTGCGAGATGGAGAAGTTTGTTTGGCGGCGGCAGGTGAGCGCAGAAGGAACGAGGCTTCCCCAGATTATCATCCGTCAGCGCCCGGCCGTCAGGAGTACACGAGCTGATGAACCATCTTCAACGCAGGGGCCACTTTGGCAACAGAATACATTATAGTAGGTGGTACATCTGTATGGACTGCTTCACAGACTGCTTCACGACTATACCCGGGGCATGTGACGCCCTTGGAATGTCTCTGCAGCGGACCGGTGTCTTCATCCTTCCAGAACAACCTTGACGAGCACTGCCGGATTGGCGCTGCAGTCGACTTTGTTAGCACCTTAGTCGACTCCTACCACACGTGCGGATCGACGGGCACGGGAGCGAAAACATGAAGCGTGCAGTGATGACATGAATGGTCATGACCATAGCAACCACACAACGCACACGCAAGAGAGCAGGCAGATGCCAAGATAGTCAGGAGAGTACATGTGCCACCCAGGGAAGAGTTTCACGAGCTGCCATAGCTGTGCGGTCCGGTGTGCGGGTCTGCGGAGAGACGCGGAGATCATGGATCACAATGGGATGGGAGATGGTGTGCCAGCGGGCAAGAATGATGCGATGGTGGTGCCGCTGTGAGCTGAGGGGAGTGATTGGATGATAAGGTGCAGAATAATCAAGTATGAAAGAAGAAAGTATGTTTGACACACTGCGAACGAGAAGTGTGGAGGGCGTGTTGACGTAGGGCGGGTTCATTGGCAGAATGGAAAGGTTGGCAGAAGTGTTGGCATTGTCTGGGAAGGCGTCACGTGATCGTGTACTGGGCCCGCGGGTCGGCGTGTTTCGTCTGTGGTCGTGTCGTGCCGCTCGCCACGATAAGAGGCCAGACTTCGCCCATCACAGTCACACCTCAGCCTTCTTGGCACGTGCTTGGTAGCTTGGCTGATGCCTGCCTACATGAGGTGAGTACCTACACAGCCTAGTCTCTTGGAATACATCTCGACTCTTCTATCCCACCCACCACCTCCACATCCACGTCCACCACCACCACTCACCACCTCACCGACCGCGATACCGACGCCGACACCGACTCGCGACTTCTCCAATCTTCAATCGCGGCGCGCGGCTCCTGCCCGCCATGTTCGCGCATCCCAAGTCCTTCCGCCTGCGCGATCTGGGCATGTCGGCGCTTTCACGCAGAGATGTCCTCTCCCAGACATCGCCCAACGCCCAATATCCCGTGTGGGAAGCCATGGCAAACACCACCATGCACACCCTAGCTCACGAGTCACACCCCAACTTCGGCCATCTCGCTGGTCTGGTCTCGGAAGCCGTCCTGGAAGTCGTCTTCGTCGCTCTGCCCGGCTTCGCTGTCGCCGTCGCCGGCATGTTCGACGCCAATGCCCAGAAGATGGTCGCCGAACTGAACACCATGGTCTTCACACCCTGCCTCATCTTTACCAAGCTGGCCGGCCAGCTCAACGCCGACAAACTCGCCGACCTCGTCGTTATTCCTTTCATCTTCGTTGCACAAACAATCATCTCTTACCTGTGCGCACAGGCCATGTCGAGAGTCTTTGGGTTCCGTGGAAAAGAGAAGAAGATGCAGAAGAACTTCATCCTCGCCATGGGTGTCTTTGGCAACTCCAACTCGCTGCCAATATCGCTGGTTTTCAGCTTGAGCAAGACTATCAGTGGGCTCCATTGGGATCAAATACCGGGTGATAACGACGACGAGGTCGCGGCTCGTGGCATTCTGTACCTGCTCATCTTCCAACAGTTAGGACAGATGCTCCGCTGGACGTGGGGATACAACGTGCTGCTCAAGCCTGCATCGGCATACGAAGAGGAACAGCGTCGGGAGGCTGCTGAGGAGAGCCGGAGTATCGAGGAGGCTCAGTTTAGGGATGACCTAGAAGAGCCTGTGCACAGGAAGCTCCTTTATGCGAAGAGCGGAACCGACTCGGGTTTCGCCTCAGGACATCAGACTCCAGTGCATAACTATTCGAGATCTCCAGATATGGTACCGGCAGCTCCCGCGAATGGCAACGACATCAGCACGGAGCCACGCAATCTGATCGGCCGCGACAGTTCAGACGCGAGATCCACCGCTAGCGACGAGATGACCGCCTTCCCAAGTTTCTCCCGCTCCGTATCTGCGAAGTCTGCAGCAGGCTCCACCAAGACTGGCTGGAAAGCACCTCTCTATCGCGTCAGCAACTCGGCGACGGTCCACCTGCGCAAAGCCTACGTGACAATCAGCACTTTCTTCCACAACCTGTTCCGTGCATTGCCGGAGCCGATGCAGAAGGTATTGGCCTTCCTACATTACTACAACAGCAGATTCTGGGCTGGCGTATGGAAGCAAATGAACCCACCACTTTGGGCCATGCTTGCTGCACTCATTGTAGCAAGTATTCCTGGTCTTCAGCGTGCTTTCTTTACAAAGGGCACGCTGATTAACAACTCGGTGACTCGTGCTATTTCACAGAGCGGTGGCGTCGCTGTACCGCTCATTCTGGTCGTCCTTGGTGCTAATCTGGCTCGATCCACCATCCCTAAGGAGCAACTAGCCACCTCTCCGGAACAGAAGAAAGAGGAGCGCAGACTCCTCTACGCGTCCTTGCTTAGCCGCATGGTCCTTCCGGTCATCGTCATGGCACCAATCCTCGCACTGACCGCCAAATTTGTGCCAGTATCGATCCTGGACGACCCAATCTTCATCATTGTTTGCTTCCTGCTCACCGGCGCTCCCTCGGCATTGCAGCTTGCCCAGATCTGCCAGATCAACAACGTCTTCATGGGCGCCATGTCGAGTCTGCTGGTGGCAAGCTATGTCGTCGTCATCTTTCCAAGCACACTGTTGCTGGTATTGATGGCTCTTGAAGTGTTGGAGTGGGCTGTGATTTAAAGAGTCTGACACATTCACATGTGAGTGGAAAGGGACAAATAGAGCTACAGGCGGGGAACTGCAGGCTCGGCCACACTCCTACGAAGTGGCGCGGGATCTGGATCTCTTGCACGGGACGCGACAATTGCTTGATACTTGATGCGTTCTTGGCGTGGCGCTTTGGAGCAGGGCAATGTATGATGTGACTCAGAGCATCGGCAACGAAAACGTGGAAATTGAAGGTAGAGCCTTATGAGTGTGCGCGTTTGAGCGAGATGGTTGAGCGTATGCTCGTTTGGTCACTGTACATCACTCGAATGACAAATTTCCTGGTATGGCCATTGGTTTCCTGTCTTCTCGTTATGTTCTCCCCATTTGGCATGTGTCGGCAGTGCTAATAACACGAGCTTCTCTGACATTGCGTATCGGATGTCGAGTGCCTTGCCTTGCTAGACGGGGATTCGGCCCATTTATATGTGACCGACAAGCGCTAGTTGCGTGCCAGGTGACGATGCCGTGCTTTCTGTACTACTGAGAGAGCGTTTCACTCTTCACCATTTAGTCTACCTCCTCGCAAAACTCGAAAGAAATAGCCTAAGAGTAACAAACACTATGTACGAGCTTAACTGTTCGCTTGCTCATCGTCTGGAGACTTTCAATTGTTGGCGGGTCTTCACCCTACGTTGTAACTAATGAACCCAACATTTGCAGCCCTTGTTCTTATTCCTTACCATTCCATTGAAGTAGGTAGGTAAGGTATCTCGCTCTCTTGTCGGGTTTTGTGGGCCCTCCTCCTTCACTACTCTAGCTTGTCCTGACCGCGGGGCTTGGGAGACGTCGATGTTGGATATCGCGTGAGTGGAATCTTCTCGGTATCATTTCTCCGCAAGCTTCGCGCGGAGCTCGATCTTGTAATAAGTACTCTCGTCATCTCACTGCAAAACGAGGAGCCCGGAGAGCATCTTCCCGAATCCTGGCACTTGCTGGTTCCCTGATTCTGATCTCTTGAGTGCGCTACTTCAGTCTGGCTCGAGACCGATAGTTCCCAAAATCGTGCACTCGTGGCTCCGACCTCGTCATCTCGGTGAAAATTGTTCGCGGTTTCGGCTCCCCATGAGCTGGATTGATTTCTACTATCGAAGGTCCGGTTCCATCATCCATGGCGCGAGTTTGATGTTGTTCGGCTCCCTGAAAGGAAGCCTCCTCGTCTGCGGCCTCGTCTTGCGCGGCTGAATCATCTTCTCGGACAAGCTAGGCTCCCTTCCATCTTGGTGTGCGTCATCTCTGGCAAACAGCTGCACCGCTCTCAGGTGGGTATCCTTTCCATTCTGATGGTTTTCTAGAATTCTGATCTGGACGAGAAAGGCTCGTAGCAGGGGGCGTTTGCTCCAGTCAATCTCTCTGGGCCCGTTCTCATCAAACTCATCAAACTCATCCTCGATAGGGCCGACGTTGCTGAAATCAACATCAATCCAGCCTGTAGGTTGCTCGAAGCACATTTCTGCAAACTCGAGGATGTCGTGCACGCCCATTCCCGCAAGGAATTGGATCTTCGTGGGCGTGTAGGACTCGTCGTTTGCGAAATCCAGAAAAATTCTCATGTGCACGATCGAGACGAGCTTGAAGAAGTGGATACTGAGCAAGTGCGGCTGTGGGCCATCTGACTGCCAGAAAAGGTTGGTGTCGGGCGAACGTAGAGCCGCGACTCCATTTCCAGGCTTCGCCGTGCTGACGGTCCACGAGGCAAGAGACGAGATTTCCTTCAGACCTGGTGGCGGCAGTGACATATCCTCCATGTTCGGGTCATAGTCTGAAGCCAAGTGTCAGCTGATACGTCACATGAAACAACCCCTCGCGCTGACTTGCCCTCAACATCTTCGTCTTCATCTCCCTCGTCCTCTCCGCCTCCTTCGACTTCTCCTACTGACTCTGCTCCATGGTTGGAGTCGTGCAAGGGCGGGTCGTCACTCATGTCGACGACTTGAACGCCGCGTTGTTCGCGCGATCGCACCTGTCGCCGAGTTGAAGTCGGCATGGCGCATGTCGGCGTCACTGATGCAGGTGACGGAGGCCGAGCGCATGAATATCCAAAAGAGTTATCATATGTTGAGACCCACTCCACGCGACTTCCTCGAGTTCCAGTTCTGTTTTGGAGGAAGGCACCTGCGTTTAGGGCAACTGCGGGCCGACGAGCTAGCCGACGCACGGACTGCCTATGGAGACCTCATGTTGACTCGTGAAAGTCCTCCCTTTCCACAACAAACAGCGACCAGCGACCAGCGAGGCCCGCTGCGGCGACGCTGACGAGCACCACACCCTGTCGAATCACGCTATATGCACGAAATCTGCCTTTCACGTCTCCAGGACAGGGTTTACCGATCTTGGAGATGTGTTATAACAACACGATAGGTTCTGGCCCTGCGCGATTTGATACCTTGCGTACATCCGGTCCGAAACCATACGTATCGGCTTCGGGACTTCACGATCTGCTGTCCGAACGCAGCTGCCAGTTGAATTGCTTGTGTAGACGATCCGCTGGAACTGCTCGCGAGGAGGCCGAAGATCCTGCGCCCTTGCGATGGAGGAGACGACGCGTGCAATGGAAGATTGCAAGGGAATGACAGGGCTTCCCCTAAAGATACCACCTGGACCGGCTTTACGAATGCCCGAACTCTATCAGCGTTTCGAAAACCAAAGCTTCCAACCGGCCCATCTTTTGAGTCGAACCAAACATAGAGCTGGCGGCAGCAAAGTCAAACTGCCGGTCAGCCACGAGTCTGGGCGAGTGCACGTATCTGGATTTGCAAATCGCAATAGCTACTTGGTTGCATGTGTCGAGCCTAGGGTCCACTCGTACATTCACAGCTGAGTCGCCATGCGCCTTTCTCCGCTCGCGTAGCCACCGATACGGATAACTGCCGTCGGACGAGTCCAAGGGAACCAGGGACTGTCACAGTGGCGTGCCCAAACCTAGCCCGCATTAAGAGCCTTTTGCGGCTAATAGCAGGAATTAGCCTTTAGGTCGTGCGGGCCACGACCTCGCGTTCCATAGTTGAAGGCTACACCTCTTTCTTCTGCCAGACATGCGTGGCTCCCTGCTACTCCAAACAATTACTTCCAATCATTCTTATGACAGCAGTGCTAATTTCGCCAGGCCTCTCTCAGCTGAGGAACGTCCACTTGGCCGTGATTGGCCGTGTGTGAGGGAGCACAGCAATTGCCGTTACACGGATGAAAACCACCCGGCGCAAGAAAAATGGTTCAAATTGTCCCGGCATCGTCAGGAACTACGGCTCGGAATGCTGTCTTCGTGTCATCGATACTGTGCCTCTTAAGCTGCTGGATCACGGTTGCCCTGCGCACCTGGGTGCGAATTACTACGTTAAAGAGCTTTGGATGGGATGATGCTACATTGATATGTTCAACTGTAAGTCATCATCACTGCTCGAAGACCAGACTCACAATATCTGATGCTTCTGGTAGATTCTCTTCACCGCTTTCTGTACGGTAGTGGTCTTGGTTCAAACGTATGGGGGAGCGTACCACGTCTCGAGTCTGACGTTGGCAGAGCTCGAGAAATTGAACAATGTATGTATTCAGTCTGGTAATGAAGTGATCTCCACTAATGTTATCCAGCTTGTCATAGCAAGTTTCGCACTCTATCTGACGACCATGATAGTATTCAAGATCTCCCTCGGCATTCTCTACCTGCGGTTGGTGATCCGACCGTGGCACCGCTACATTGTCTATGGCGCAATGGTTGTCAGCACTGCGATTGGCATCCTTCTCCTCTTTGTTGCGATCTTCAGCTGCGGCAACCCGACTCTTTATTTGAAGAATGAACTCGCCGGGATCTGCATGCAGTCCAGCGTGGTATTCAGCATACAATATACCGGCGCGGCTATAAACGCAGCAACAGATTGGACTTTCGCCATTCTTCCTGTCTTCCTGCTGATGAAAGTTGAGATCCCCCGGGCGGTGAAGGTCAGCACCGGGCTTGTTCTTCTTCTGGGGTGTTGTGGTAGCTTCGTCTCTCTGTTCAGAATACACTGGATCAAGGGCTTAACACCGGGGGCTGAGTTCTTCCGCACAGCCGTTATCACGGCGATCTGGTCAATTGTCGAGCTGGGCCTTGGGATCACAGCAGCAGCGATAGCGACTTTGCGTCCACTGTTCCGTGGCCTCATGGGACAAGCTCGATCTAGAGCATCACCGATTGAAAATTACGGCAGCCTTTCGAAGAGCCCTGTAGAATCCTCAAACGTCCGAGGGCTTGATGCTACGTTCGGCGACTGGCACTCACCTGTTGTACAGCACGAGCTACAAGATCTAGAGAATCAGGACAAGGGCAAGAGCCATTTCAGCATGACATCGGTGCCCGAGAACTCGCGCATAATAAGCGACATGGGCATAACGCAAGATCTGGTGCGGCAGGACAGCGGAAGGATTACCCCAACGGCAAGGGCACCAGACATTTTGAGGGAGAACAGTCTCCAATCGAAGACGAGAGTGGGTACTATCAGCCGCAAGGCGAACGACGTGCCAGTATCCGATCCAGGAGTAAGGCCGAGTGCCAACGGCCTAGGCAGCTCCCAAAACAAGCTTATTTCGCGTCCAATTCGGCATGTGGCAGATCTACAAGCAGCGCCTCCTACTCCGACCTTTGGGCAGCGCCGACAACAGCTTTTCCGAGTAGATCCAAGAAGGAACGGGTCTTCCGACTGGGTCTCTAACGTCGACACCAACGAGCTTCGGTCGCCCGCCTCGAGCATATCCTGCTGCGCCAGGACGGCGGTCCTCCGAGACGAACAGGAGCGAAACTTTGTGTAGTCCTACTTTCTTGCATTCGCCTGCCCGCTCAGTGAGGTGTTCACCACAAGCTAGGTTCCAGTATGCACGGCCGCGCGAGTCCTTTCTTCATCCTCCGACTCCCTCCGAGGGACAGATGTTTTGGATGATTTGTCTTTTAGCACCAATTGTAGCAATATACCCATCAGCCGGAGACGACAGCACGGACGATGGCTGCCTGAGCGGCGTGGTAGCGATGATAGGAGACAAGAGAGCAGAATTTGATGCCTTCACAGGCATGCGGAGAAGTCCCGACATTGTAATGAGACATGACTCTCGTTCTGTGAATTGTAATATATGATTTCTTGTGGGCACTATCGGCGAAACAAACTTGGACATAGATCGTTCAGAATTCACGACCAGACTTCGAGCCAAAGAAGGAGGACGCGATCTCGGTGCGGTCATTTGATATCCGACTCCGCATTGTGCGACTGGGGAATGGGGACTGTATTCGACACCGTGGATTTGCGGAGACATGTCGATTTGTGATGCTCGCCACACCCAGCACTTAAATTCCAGCAACCTCTGAGTCCTCAGCTGCTCTGACCACCAACCCATCTTCAGAGTGAAACATTTTCAACACAAATAACAATATGTCAACCCCACTAGATATGATGGACCGAGGCGCATCTTGGTATCGTTGTCTGTTACCAAAGCAAGGGAGAACTGGAAGGGACTGATGAACAGCACAGTGCCACGAAGACTCAAGACCTCGCCGACGGCATCTTTGAAGACGCACAGAGCGACGTCTCTAGATTGAGTGGAGAGTGTGACGGATTGTTGCTCAATCATGGTTTCTGACTTCTCTGCAGGGTAGCCGCATTGGCACTTCTGCAGAGTTGGTCGCCTCAAAGCTCGCATCGAAGACCGAAATAGTGCCAGGGCAGAAGTCAGAAGCTGCGGACAGAGAATTTGGAGACGATGGAAAGGCATCGGAAACGATTCCGATGTAAAAGCCTCATCGTTGTTGGGTGGACAGTAGCGTGTCCAATTTTAGCAGCCGCTTGTGAGATACCGGACAATCCAGAGACTGTCGACAGTCATGATCTTCAACCGTTGACTGCATCTTCCAGGCCAGGTCTTTGGATGTGAGACCTAGATAGTGTTGAGTCGGGAACGGGGAGTCTGGGATCGATGCAATCCACAATTGGGCATCAGCGTCATGTGTCAGTGGTAAAACCTGCCTGGAGGCCAGTGAGGCCAGACATTGACCTTGACGAGCTGCGTGATATCAGCGTGACAGGACAACAGCACCTGTGCGGACTTACATCTGACAGCTTTTGCACCGACCGACAAACTATATGCTGCTGAGACGAAACTTGCCTTGCATTGCTTAGGCAACGTGATTGGTTCAATGGATAGCGTTCAAAATTGAGGGAGGCATCTCCGGACAGCAATGCAATATTGGCATGCACTATAGCTCCTGGGACGCAGCGGATGTCTTCGCGTCGATACATGCACAAAATGTTACTACGAGGCCTAGACCTCTGCTAATAGGAGACCAATGTAGTATTGTGCGGCTTCTTGTCCGTTGAGGCCACGATTGTCCTTGCGGCGGATGGTCGTATCGAGTTCCTGGAGCAAGTGGGCATCACGCACCGCGGATAACTTGTTTATCCATGTGAGCCAGACGAAGAGGAGTGTTCATGTCATTGTGGTTGATATGGTGGTTGGTTCGATGTAGCGAGAGTACTCTGTTCTATTCTGATAGGATCCAGTAGAGTTTTAGACTTCCCGACGTTCCCGTCCGCTTAGTAACCTCAGTCGACACTAGCATCCAGACGTTCTGTGCTCCATGTTGTAAACTATGAGCCTGCACGCGTGCCTTCAGATTATGCAACACCATGGAAGACGAATATATGGAAGACGTCGACCAAGAGGAGGAAGAGGAGGAATATGATGAGAACGCTGACGAGGACTTCAGTCCGGACAAGGCGGACAAGGATGGAGAAGGTGCATCTTCTTCAGAAGACGAAGAGGCAGGAGAAACGCCAGCGGCGACCAGTAAGAAGCCCCGAAAGCGAAAATCGGAGGTCGCAGATGAAAACCTCGATTCCGGCGACGAGGCCACGATCAAAGAGCGCAAAAGCAAGAAACGGCGGAAAGATGCTCGAGAAGATGATGAGAGTGGAGGCGAAGGAGGCTTTGTCCGTACACGAGCGCAAAGAGTGGCGGAGAAGGAAGAGCGCAAGCACCGAAAGCGAGCCCGTGATGGCGAGGTCACAATCGATGTAGACCAAGTCTGGGCTGAACTGAGCAGCGTACCGGTCGGAAAGATTGCTCCTGCGCTCTTGCACCCGGTTCAAGTCGTGAGCGATGGCACCATGGACGTGGATGGCGAGAATAAGGAGAACGCCCCGATTTCATCGACCGCAGCGGACGAATTGATCACAATCAAACGGCGCATCGAATATGCAGGAGAGACAACGGAAGTGGAAGAGCAAGTTCCGCGCAGCTCGAAGGAAGCACAAAGCTTCCTGATAGAGCATCCCGAGGCAGACCCGAACTACAAATCGAACAATGCCAACGCACTAGGGCTCTCGCGGCCATTCAAACGCCCTTCTATGTTTGAACCAAACCCGACAGGCTTTGTCAAGGGTGTTGCGCCGGAGAAGCTACGTCTACGGGCACCAACCAGGATGGATGTCCTCATGACTCAAAAGAGGGAGGAAGAGAAGAAGAAAGCGCAAAAGATGACCACGGTCGAGAAGAGTCGCGTGGACTGGAAGGGCTTCGTTGACAAGGAAGAAGGCCTGAAAGACCAACTGAATGAGTATGGCAGAGGTAGAGGCAACTACCTGGACAGAGAAGGCTTTTTGGGTCGGGCGCAGGCAGCGCGAGAACAAGCCGCAAGAGATGCCCGGATGAAGCTGTAGACATTACAGAAGGCAGTGAGATTTCGATGCTTCAGGCGTTTGAGGAGCGGATGGCGTTGAATGGCTATGATACCCCGTTTACAGACCACAGAAGTCGTTTTCTCTTTGGGGACCATTTACTGTCTTGGAGCACACTATTTTTCCACGCTGTTCACAAAAGGCAAGGCCCCTGGCAGCTCCACACAGATATTCCGCCAAGTCGTGACACATCTGACATGTCCTGGGGCAACAAAGGTTGGATTGGGCCTCCAAACAGTCACAGACGCGAAAGCTGCATTGTAACGATGACGATGATCGGTGTCTAGGCTCGTGTAAGGCTCGGGCAAACTTCCTGGACTTCAAATGGATGTTTGCAGGAACCATGCGATGCGAGCACCAAGAGGCAGAAAGGCCATGCAGAGGACGAAGGCCGCAGCTGCCAGCGATCGTATGATCGTTCAAGTGAAATAAATGTGCAGTCTCCACACCAAAATGTTCTTCAAAGCCATGAATGGATCCGCGTCCTCGTCGTCAATACTTCCAGGAGCGCCTTCGTCACCGGTTGGCAAGACCAACGGTGTTTCAAGTGGAGGCAAGTCAACAGCCCACTGCGGTACTTGCTCTGGGGATTTGGGCTTTTTTTGCAGGTCATCGAGCTCTTCATTCGTCAAGATACTAGTAGCTGCTTGCCTCGGTAGGCCTAGATCGATAAGTCTGTTGAAAGCGGCAGCGAGGATGTGCATAATGGCAGCAACCATCGCCAATCGTTCGGGATTAGGATCGTTGGGCTGGCCGATGTTGACGAGTCTCCAGACATCACCTTTCTGAAACCAGAAGTACTCGAGCTCGTTGCGCATGAATATCGTATCATTCATGACGATGGCCCAGTAGATGCGATAGATGGTTCGAAGTGGAGTGTCATCTCTCTTGTTGCTCGGTCTTCCCACAAAGTATGTCTCGCGTGGATTTGATAAAAGGATGGATGGCGGAGGGGCGATTGAAGTCGAGCTGGCCTTGTTGATCTTCGATGCAAGTACTCCCATAGCACTGTCCTCGCAAGTGAAGATTAACGATTGCAAGTACAAGTTCACGAAGTACTACAAAGCAACCTTACAGCCTGGACATCATTGCATGTGCTGCCGAGCCGAGCCGAGCCGAGCCGAGCCGGAAAGCCACTCTACTGTGCAAGACAACACCAACATCTATCGACCCACGAAAACTAAGCAGGACATGTCTTGATGGCCATCACTCGCCGTACGAGTCTTCACAAATACGCGGTTTCAACTGTGTCGTTAATATCTATGTGACATAGCGCTGGACGCGATCATCCACCGGCAACGTGCCTCCTGGCTGCAGCAGTTTCAGCAGGCGCCTTATACAACGGTGGCCAAAACACTCTACACACAGCGACAGAAGATTTTGACCGCATCACAGTCCAGAGGGAGCACGTTTCAGATTACTGTGGTCCGCATCTCGGATACACACAATAGCCAAATATTCTTGCCGCCGGGAGACATCCTCATCCACGCTGGAGACCTCACACAAAGTGGCACGGCCGAGGAACTTCAAGCTCAGCTGGACTGGCTCAATGCCCAGCCTCATCAGCATAAGATCGTTATCGCCGGCAATCATGACATCGTACTAGATGAAGAAAAAGCAATTGAGCTTAACATTTCTCCCTGCGCCCGTCAGTCATTGCGATGGGGATCTTTGATTTACCTGGAGCATTCGGCGACGACTCTGAAAATTGCAAACGGCAAGACACTGGGAGTCTTTGGGCATCCGTCAACTCGTAAGCACGGCAATTGGGCATTTCAATACAGACCAGGAACAGATGTCTTCACCCATCAGACAGGCACGGACGTTGATATCCTAGTTACCCATTCTGCACCTCAATTCCACCTTGATGTTGCGGGATGAGGAGATAAATACTTACTTCAAGAGCTGTGGCGAGTGAGACCCAGACTTCATGTCTTTGGACATATCCACGGCGGCTTTGGTCGAGAAATCTTGGTATATGATCGTTTCGAGGAGCTCTTTGAGCGAGTATGCAGTGGCGATGCCGGCATGCTAGCGCTCATATATATGCTCCTTCTTTTTCTGCAGTCATGGGCGACTGGCTCCGGCTCGCGAGCCCAGAAGACGATTCTGGTCAATGCTTCTGCGGTCGGCGGGATCCGCGACGAGAAGAAGCGCGAGGCACACATCATTGAACTATGAAACGTAGGGGCGCGCGCTTAGTACGCTGAGAACAGAAAGACATCTAGAACGCGTCTACTCGGCCCCCGCTCGCATTTGGTTTGCATGTGGGTGGCACAGCATTATGATGAGAGCCTCCCACGACTACAGCACACTCTCCCAAGATTATATTCTCTAGGACTCTGTACTACATAAATCCCCGCCACTGAAGGACAGCCGACTGCGAGCAAGTGTCATTTCGTTGTCGAGGCTGCCGCGATGTTCACATCCTGCATCTGCCACCCGTTCCACTGCCTGCACACCAACCCCAGGCCGAAACGCCCTGCCACGGCAGTTTGAGATGACATCTCAACAGACCCAGAGCTATCTCGCAAGCATCGCCAAGTGTTTTGCGCGACAAGCGCCAATCTATCACCGTCGTTGGCGTCCAATTGGAATCATTTGGAATCAATTTAGATTCACATTCCACACCTTCAAGTAGCACAGTGATATGCTTCCACGTGTAAAAATGCTCTGCAGGACCGGGGAATGTGCGAGGGAAAAAAGCGCCGTCCCAATATTAGAGGTGGTGATGTTAGTGTTGCATGTGATTCTTGGCGCATCACCGCAGTGACTTGGGACTCTGCGTATGGCGGGCAGCAAGATAAGTTGCCCGCATTCGCTTGCTATCTGATGCAACCTCGTGTGAGGAAACGCTTATGTGAGTCGGTTTGTCTTGCAGCTGTGCTTGAGGTATGAATCTCTGATGGACGTACGGGGTGCTTGTTTTCTTCGCATAGTAGATGAAAGAGCAACTTTGCAGGTATTACTTTTCTTGACTACATCCACATGTGTTGACGCACTCTATATGTTTGTTGCTGATGAGAATGGTCGCCTCTTGAAGGTGTGCTTAGAGCAGTTTCGAAGGTTCGAGGCTTGGCTTATGTGAATGATCTCCCATCGTGCTCGAAATTCTAGCTTTCGGAATGCCGCCTATTTGAACGTGTGCTAAGATTTCAAAGCATGCAGATCCTTCTGAACTTCCTGAAGCCTCGACTCTGCCTTGTTGCCTCTTTCGTTCTCTTCGTCGATTTGGCGGCGGAGGGCCTCGTTCTCTAGCATCGAGTCCTCATGTTGGTCTCGTGGAAGGCGATAGTCCTTCTAAGACTCCGACACTCATCATTGTGCTTAGCCTTGAGCGCACTCATCTCATTCATAGCTTTCTTGCTCTGTATGTCCTTGGCAGAGATTCCTATAGGACTCGGCTTGCAAGGCTTCGTGCACGTACCTTGCCCATTTTGCAAGTGATGGCGTCTGCCCATCGGCTGCGCGCAAATCTATGTCGCTGGATGGCTTCGAAGCTTCTCTGACGCACTGTCGCTTACTTCTGGTGGACCTCCTGGGCTCAGGCTCTCCAGGTCCAGATTGGCGCATTGCGCTCTTTTCCTTCGCCATAGCTTAGTACTGTGGTGCTTGCAGCTATGATGTTCGAACGCTCGTTGTGCTTGTGTTAAATGAGAATGGTGGTGTCTGTTCCACTGGGAATGAAGATGCGATCTGCAATCGGTCAGTGTATGCGGTGATACGCGTGTCACGTAGGCAGGTGGCGGTAGCGAATCCAGGAGTGAAGCAGCTCATAGCTTGTCAAGTCACACGAAAGAACTTCAGATACGGAGGGTGCGTCCCTGCCGTCTACCACGCGTCGTACATTCCGCGTCCTGTCTCTTTCGAAGTCAGTGTAGCCTTTCATATACCCCTTCGTCTTGTATCTTGTCACTCATAGAAAGGAAGGCAGACATGAAACATCGCGACAGTTACCAAAAAGTACTGTTAACGTGCCTACTCCGCTGTCCGTACAAGGGAAGCGAAAAGACAGCAAGATGTAGCCGCGAACCTAAGATATGTCTTGAGTACGATGGCTTGCCACGAACAACTCGCAGCTATGCGTAACCCTACCTGTTCGTAAAGCGGCGCAGCATCGGATTGGGCCGCGCACGCGTGGCCTAGAGGCATTCATAGTCATGTCTTGAATGTGGTGAAAGAACGCGGTGTGATGGCTATGTGACAACCCGTAATTCGTTGCCGCTGCTGTCTGTACGCTGGGCATCAAGACCTCTTCGTGTTGCTGCATCAGCGGCCGCGTACGAAGCGAGCGGTGGCGTGGGTCGACGTGTACAACCACATGACGCCCAAGAGGACTTTGTAATGGTGTTGCGTGATGAGGTGGTATTGCGTACGAAGGTGTGAAGTGGTACGGAAGTGTGGAAGGATACGCGTCCGATGGCTTGGCAGGCTAGCGACAGGCTAGCAGGCTTGGCAGGGTCGCGCCGGCGTGGAGACTGGAGAGAGCTTCGCGTGCACGTGCGTTGATCTTCACAGCCCCCAACAACTTGTCGTTGCTTGTCAGCTGTCAGCCCAGACCACCATACTTTTGTTTGCTGCATAACCTACCGTACACCACCGTTCCGTTCCTCTCGACTTCTGTACGGTATCGTTTGTTGCCCGTTGTAATTGCTGCTGCCGCCGCGTCGGACAAGATGAAGAAACGCTTCACGGGACTACTGAGTCGTACCAAAAGTACGTCGCTACCTGCCCTTGCTGCCCACCGGTTGCGCCGGGAGATGGGTATTGACCAGATCAGCTGACTCCCCCAATAGGTGTGCGAAAAGACAACAGCAGCCAGCCCGACTTCTCCCATGCGCCTGTCGACTCGCCCGAGGCCAATGCTTCGCGAGCTGTACGACTGTTCTGCGAATCGGGTTCCGCCAGCAATGGAGGCGAGGAAGTACTTCACCTACCCGTCATTGTAGAGTCCGCCGAGTCCTCGCCTCAAGCCGCCGCAAGCGCCGCATATCAGATTCGAAAGTTCTTGACGAGAGACTGGGCCACGAAACCGCATGTCCAATACAACGCAATCATGCTTATCCGCATCCTGTGCGACAATCCCGGCCCAACCTTCACTCGCAACTTCGACAAGGTTTTCGTTGGCGCAATCAAAGAGACGCTGAGGAGTTCCAAAGATTCGAGCACACAGCAAATCCTTAGGGAGACTTTGGATGCACTAGAAGTAGACAAGTCGCACGACGCCGGACTGCAGGATCTGCTACAGATGTGGAGGAAAGAGAAGGGCAACAACGCGAGCTTAGCCAGGAGTGCTAGGGTGTCGCAACCACCCCCGTCGGCGGTGTATGGTGCAGCATACACTCCAGATCCTCAGCACGTGTCTGACGCGCAAAGGGGTGGGGGCCGCGCAGAGCAGTTGCCGTCCCAAGGCGAGCTGGCTAGTCGAGTTGAGGAGGCTAAGAACACCGCTAAGATTCTGTTGCAGCTCGTGCAGTCAACACCGGTGGAAGAGGTGCTTCAGCATGAGTTGATCCGCGAGTTCAGTGAGCGATGCCAGAGCGCGCAGCGTAGTATGCAGACGTACATCAACTGCGACAATCCAGCACCGGACGACGAAACGGCCTTGACGCTCATTGAGACAGTTGAACAGCTCAGCTTGGCCTTGAGTCGGCATCAGCGTTCCGTCTTGGCTGCAAGAAGAGCCATGGGAGCAACACCAAGCCCGAATAATGCCGCGGTGACGGAGAACGGCCACAGTGCGTTTGCCGCTCCCGTTCCTCAAGCAGCTCCCATGCAGACCAATGGTTTCGGCAGCCAGCCAAATGGCCAACAGTACGACATTCGGAACAGCTACGGTGGCTTTCAAGCACCGTCCGGGCCACCCCCGAACATGGTCAACAGCCTCCAACAGCGCCATACCCCACAAGAACACCAAGGAAAGTCCAGCAACCCGTTCGCGGATCCCGTACATCATACTTCTAATCCGGCCCCTCATGCGTACGAATCGACGAACTACGGCAGCGCCTTCGCTCAGCGGCCGCAGGAGCCAGCGCAGTCCTTCACCATCGAGCCTGAACCCACTTTCTCCCCTCCTCAGCGTCAGAACACTGCTGATCTCGAGGATGCCTATTCTGATGGAAGGGTCTCGCCTGTAACGAATCGCAGCGAAGCCAACACGAGCCCGCAGTCTCCTTCACGGCCGAAGCCCGGTCCTTGGCATACGAGCGACGTGACACCGAGTTATCTGGGAAGGCAAACCAGCGCGGCCAATGGTTTGACGATGCATGGTGCAGAGCCACAGGAAATCGACGGTTACAGCCAAGTTGGTAGGACCGGTGGTCACGATCGGAGTGGAGTGAGTGCGCCAAATACTGGAACCTCCGGCAGTAGTTTTGCCGTGAGCCCTGTGGATTCGCGAACGGCGCATACGAGAGGTTAGACGAATGTCGTTGGCAGCTTAAAACTTCATTCATGGTCGGGGAGTGGCTGTTCTGGATACGATTTCCCTTGTCTGTGCGATATGTGCTTTCGAGATACCAATGTCGTTTGATTTTGATCATGAGAAATTGGCCTGTAACGTTCTTAGCATATACTCTACAGCATCTCCCTCCACCGCCCGTTGAGGCGATTTTCCGAGATCGGATGATGCATTGAACGGTTACGACCGGGCGATCCACTTTTGTCCACAAGCATCTCGAATTTCTATTCTTCACCCGTTTCCATCTCCATTTCATCCTCGATGACCTCCTCTTCTGCCCCTCCTTCTTGTTGCACCACACCAGCATCCAGATCGAGCACCCTCCAATCTCGTCCTTTGTTTCCGAAGACCACGATCAGCACTTTGCCTTTGCGTCCTCCAGCAAGCATCCTTTCAGGCTTGAACGCTGCATTGGCATGGAAGGTGTGCAGATGTTCATGACATTGCTGCTCCAGGCCAGTAGTGGTGCGGTAGATCTTCGAATGCCCTTCTTCATCTCTGCAGAGGATGAGGAAAGCATTCGAGCTGTGTGGAATCCATTTCGCGTCAAGAATCTCGCGCGCATTTTCTTCTTCGGATGCGATGGTGACGGTTTCTGTGCTCGTTGTGCTGTTTTCTGCGAAAGAGACGGGACTTTCGGCCTTCGCTGGGACTGCTGGGGAAGTCTTCTCTATGCGAATAGTGCCGTTGGGTTCAGGAGCCAGGGAGATTAGACTCAATGTCTTGTCCCGTGATGGACCTCCCAGTTCCGGTGACGAAACCATTGTCATCTCGGAGAAGGGTGTTTCTGAGGCTGGGCGAGAGGTAGGTTTGGGCAGCATCTTGCTCTGCCAATTCGTAATGTGCTTCAAAGCAATCCGCACATGTCCAACCAGGCTGCACGTGATGGCTGGGAGATTGAGTAAAGCAGCTGGATCATACACCTCCTTCAGTAGTAACTCTTCGTCAGCCTTCAGCGAATCAAGGCGCAAGAGTAATTCTTTGGCCTTTTCATAGCTCATCTCTTTGATGACAGGATGCTCGAAGAAGCTGTCCTTGTCGGTCTCGCCTCCCATACTTGGTCGGTCTCTGATGTGCATGGCCAATTTACTCTCCGTGAGAGTTTCCTTGATGAATGCGAGGATCAGCGAATAATCCAGATTAGGAACCTCCCGCTGCTCGGTTTCCAGCGCACTTGCCGAGAAGGGCTCTGCGATGGCGATGTCGACCTGCATGCGGAGCCATTTGATGAATGCGCGAAATTGTCTGTGTTCAGACTGGCACACCAGCAGCATTTTGTGCGCTACCAGGCGCAGACAGTCGACCTTGTCAAGGATATTTGTCAACAACCGATGTGGGCAGTCGAACTTGTTGGTATGCTCGTGGAATTTGGCGAGTCCGCGGAGACGAGTAACAGCGATTGTGAGGCGCTCTAACGCAGGCAATAGATTCTCAAAAACATGAGTTTGTATGCAGCTGTACATCGTGTTGATCACCTGGTCCCACCGCTTCGTCTGATTTTCTTTGAGCACTTCGCCCGTCCATTCTCGCGTTATTGGACTGAAGCATCCGGTCATGGCAAGGTGAAACAGATTCGTCCTAGCATTGCCTTCTCCCTTGTCTTCCAAATCGCCTTCAAGAATGTTCAAGAACCTTTCTGAAACGACAATATTGGACTCGTAGTCGTGCTCGATGCAGCGCACGGTCTGCAAAATATATTCAAGGAGCCCCTGGATCCGCTTCATGTTGGTAGCAATGACATGCAGTAAAGTGCCGCTCAGCTTCTCAAGAGGGAGATCGAGAACATTCGAAATTCGCCGGCCCTCATCGTCCTCCGAAAGTATGAGATGACTAGGACTTCGCGCATGAGCTGTATGCGCGAGTGCCCTGCCTTTGATTCTGCAAGTACCTAGCTTGACAGTCTCGTCCAGAAGGACTTGTATAGTCCCGTCTTCCCGACAGATTAACAGACTTTGAAGGCGATTGGAAGCGTCTAAATCCCGAGGCGGTGGGAAAAGCTCATCGACGCCGATTTGTGTTGTGAAGATCTTATTGTCCAGCTCTCCTTTCAACCCATGAGGCGGTATCGCGCACAACCTGGGCAAGACTCTTGTGACATCGAGCATAGTAATGGCTCGAGGGAGGTCATTCGGCAAGCTCGGCTTGGACTTGGGATCCCCGTCTGAAAGGTCCAACTCGGCCAGCCCATCATACCAATCGTCAGCCGTCAGAACTCGGTCTCTCTTTTTTCCATCATCTCGATCGACCTCATGATCCATCCACCCAATGACGGAAATCTTTTGGACGAGGGCATTCTTCCTTTCCTCCTCAACCTGCTTCTTCTCCTTGTCTTTCTCTTGCTCTTTTACTTTCAGATCCAGTCTCCAATCCTCCTCGCCATCGACTTGCAACTCGGGCTCAGTGATCCTCTTTCCATATCCGCCATCGTGAATAACGTAGCTCCCATCGCTCCATCCCACACCCAGACAAGTTCCATCTGGCTTCCAGCTCAAGACCGTGACCTCACAGTCAGAAGACTTACGCTTCACCGTGAATGCGATCTGTCCGGATGCAATGCGAAAGACCGGTATGTTCCATTCTGATGTTACAATGGCCAACAAGTCGTGGGTATGCGAGTACGCTGTGAAGGGAAATTTGATGGGCTGAGCCAAGCGCTTTGCAGCGAGTATTGACAGCGCCGGACTCGCATGCGACTGATTGGAAGCCATTACAGTGTTCGATCGGTTCTCATTTCAATTCATTTTGTGTGTTTTGTTCTTGAGATGAGAAGTTGGAGGTCGAGGAAGTGGCGTCTGGTTAGTGCCGTACTAGCGCGTTGCGACGCGTTCCCACGTGATGCTATACGACAGAGAGCGCCACCCACCTCGACACTGAAATTGCACTAGAAAGAATGCTACGACGACTTTCACAAGGAACAGATACTTTTCTACCAAATGACCCGCATCGTGAACCCCGACACGAGTTCAGGCTATAAAGATCCGGTTTACCGAATGCGGCATCCCTCAGAGGCCGACAAATGCCGAAGCGGAAGAATCAAGTGGTATAGATGGGAGGTAAGCCATCTCCACATAACATTAGTGGCTGCGAGTTCGTCAATGCCTCCAACTTACCCGGGGGCCCGCGTGGAGTCCATATGTCGTGTGATGCCTGCCGCCGCCTGCGCAAATAAGAGACGTAGCCGCTTCCCAGAAGGATCGTTGCTTCTCGTTTTATCTCAGGTCTTCCCCTTTTATGTTAGGTCTCGCAGGCTAATATCAGCTTCGTCATGATACTCTCCAAGCCAGCGTTCGTCAAGCGGCATGCCGTGGCCAACAAGCTTCAGACAAGAGCGTTACTTATTGCGGTCAACCTCGTTGCTGGCCTTTCCATCTTCTTTTTCGGCTACGATCAAGGTGAGACCGCTTCCCAGGTCCAAATTCGCTGAACAGAAGACTCATGCAGATATTAGGGGTGATGGCCGGTGTCAACACTGCCCGAGAGTACGCAGATCGTATGAACTTCGGATACTGGAACGAGCAGACCCGCGCTGTACAAGTGACGAAACCGCTAGTACAAGGAGGCATTGTAGGCGGAACTCCTCCATTTTCCTGGGCGAGTGTTTCTGATTGAGCTCAACAGGTGGCAGTCTATTACCTGCCAGGAACGCTCGTTGGTGCGTTATGGGGCGGCTGGATCGGCGATAGGTATGGCCGGATCAATGCTATTGGATTCGCATGTGTCTGGACAATCATCGGCGCGGCTCTGCAGACGGCGGCAATGAATGCTGAATGGATGTTCTGTGCAAGAGTGTTCAATGGCATAGGTACCGGAATACTCAACGCCATAACACCCGTCTGGGCCACAGAAACGGCATCGCATACTTCTCGTGGGGCTTTTGTGTCCATGGAGTTCACTCTGAACATCTTTGGTGTAGTTGTGGCGTACTGGATCGAATAGTAAGTACTTCGGACTCTCCAAAGCAGCAATGACAGCTCATCAAATTGGCAGTGGTACGTCCTTCTACGGCGATGGAACCTCTTCGTTCATTTGGCGCTTTCCAATCGCATTTCAAATTGTGCCATTGATCGGTCTATTCATGGTGATCTGGTTCATGCCCGAATCTCCCCGCTGGTTGGTGAAAGAAGGTCGCGAGGATGAAGCCCGATATATTCTAGGACGATTGCGAGGAGAGCACGATGATGGCGAGCTTGCAGAAGCGGAGTTTCAGGACATCCGCAATGTCTGCTCCCTGGAGAAAGAGAACTCGAGCCAGCAATCGTACTTGAGCATGCTTTTCGGAATCAAGACGGGGAAGCTTCACACTGCTCGGCGGGTCCAGCTTGTCGTATGGCTGCAGATCTTACAGGAGTGGATTGGAATTGCTGGAATCACAATATATGGACCAGAAATCTTCACCATCGCGGGCATAAGCTCGCAGGATCGTCAATGGGTTGCCGGGGTTAATAACATCACGTATATGCTCGCCACGCTGGTTTGTGTCTTCACGATTGACCGGATCGGGCGTCGATGGACGTTGTACTGGGGAGCTGCGGGCCAGGCCATTTGCTGCTTCTGCGCAGGTGGACTTGCATATGCCACTGAGAGGGCCACAGGCGCCAGCAAAGAACACATCGGTGGTGCCGCGGTGTTCTTCGTTTTCCTCTACACCGTGAGTGAAATCATTCCAGAGACTTCTTTTCATGTCTGGAGCGCGTACTTACTTCTTACAAGGCGATTTTCGGGGCCACTTGGTTAACGGTGCCCTGGATCTTCCCAGCCGAAATATTTCCGCTGCAGATTCGAGCACGCGGTAACGCATGGGGAGTGGTTGGTTGGTCAATTGGCAATGGTTGGTGCACTCTTCTACTTCCCACCATCTTCAAAAACCTGGGCGAGAAAACTCTGTACATCTTCGGAGGCGTCAATGTCTTCGCGATAATTGTCGTTTGGGCCTTGTATCCAGAAACAAACCAAAGGACGCTGGAAGAAATGAATCTAGTGTTTGCCTCCAACAGCATATGGGTGTGGGATGCAGAGAAGAATTTTGCTGCTCTGAGAGAAGAGAATCCTGCTCTGGTACAAGCGGCACGGCAAGGAAACAGCGTCGTTGCCGAGAAAGAGGCTGCAAGGAAAACGAGCTTGGTGACGCATACAGAGCAAGCCGGAAAGGATCTGGAATGATAACAGAGACTACTGAGCAACTGTGATGACAAGTCGACAGCCTAGACAAGACGCAGAAAATCGATAGAAAATGGTAAGGGTAATGGTAAGGGCAATGGTAAGGGCAAGGGTAAGGGCAAGTCCAAGGGTGAGGGTAATGGTGAGGGTAATAAGGGTGAGGTTGAGGTATTGGAAGTTAGCTTTCACTTCAAATTTGAGCTGACGCGGATCAACACGTTGTCACATGAGTCTTGGCCTGTGCTTCGGCACGGCCTCTCAATTTGGCGCGACTTCTTTCTCGCCTCATGCTCACCTCATTCACTCTCGACCTACCTTCTTACCATACACTTCTTTGCGTTGCGTGAGATGGTGCCCAAATGCACATTGCGTGTGTATCTCCGAGGCGACCAGTTCAAGATGGACGCTCAAGATCGAATCTATCGCATCAACTTCGGCCGTGATTGGATCAAATAATGGCTGCTTCTCCTGGCCAAATGTCGCTAGCACGAGGCTGATACTGGATTATGCCTGTTCCATACTCAACGCGTCTCCGCTCTGCACTGGGAATGCGATGCCATCCATCGGAAGCTGTGTCCATTGAAAGCCTTGTTCTCCTGGTACTTATCGAAAACACGGACACGCTCTCTGGCAACAACCGATGTTTGTTTACTCACAATCGCCGCTGGTCTGACCCTGTACAAGATGACAAGCTTGTGATTGAGTGCGACTCTCCTCGAATTTCGGCATCCATCCGGTAGCCTCACGAATTTGTGCACCGATTTCGTCCTGCAATTCAATGGCATTCTGGAACGTCGAAACATAGAATTCCTGCCTTCGCAATTGTAAATGAAGCGCCTCTGATCTCTTCGTCCCATTGCTTCGAGATGGAGCTGTGCTCCGATGTTGTGATGCATTCGTCATCCGTGGCCCAGGCAGCCGCAGAGTGGACAGCGAGACTCAGGGGATCCCTATCTAAAATCAGCGCATTGCGCCTTCAGCTACAGAGCTCCATGCCTCATCGAGGAAAGCTGCGGCGCGTTGCCTCCAACGACAGAAGCCAAATGACTGTTTCCTGTAATTCAGGGAACTGGCGATGGCGTTGCTATGAAGCATCCTAACGCACTGATGCTAGGCAGCTTTTTGAAGTGCCAAATATAAGGCGACAAGAACGATCCTCGTGTGTTAATGAACTATAAAGCTCGTTGCATCTTTTGTCCCATTGCATGTTGTCTTTGTGTCTTACTTTTCCAAATCTCAATTTGGATTCTACAGATGACGACTCCCACGGCCCCCCCAACGATGCCCGAGACGGCAAAGACAGTGCGGCTCAGCGAAGAAGTGTCTCGAGCCTCACAAGATAGCGATCGAAGGAGACTGATTCGTAGCTCTTATCAGTCGGGAAAGTCTGCTCACGCAGCAGGTACGGAACCGGCCATTATGGAGAAAAACACAGTACCCGAACCTTTGAGACCAGCGTCTCTTAACCCATCAGCTCGGCAGCTAGTCCAGTGGCAGCGGCAGCCACCGCACGAGCAACTCGGAGTTACAGCTGAGCCAATCTCGATTGTAGACTATTCGCCCAATGCCTCCGCCACTTCTGTAGAGCAACAGCAGCTTCGACCGATCTACGACCGCCACACTTCTGGAGAGTACCCAGCTTCTGCTGCAAACGATGCTCCAGCATCCACTCCGCACCGTAACGAGAACGATGATACGGCGTCCTACTTCGCAGGCAAGCCCAGATATAGAGCATCCGCGCTCTCGCAAGACAATGTATCTTCCAAAGGCACCCTGCCAAAATACGCACCCCTGCCGAACGGACAGCCTCGCGGCAATCCACAGTCCATCCTGTCCACACGACAGAATCCTTGGGAAGTGTTCGATCCAGACGACCGACCTGTCAGCCACGAGGGCAGCATGGGAACACCCTCGAAGAACAAAGCCAACCGGCGTGGCACATCCTTCTACATTGTGCGTGAAGGAGGAAGTGACGGAAGGGGGCCGCCAGATGAGCTCATGCGCTTGCCGTTCACGCACTGGATGAAGGCATCCCTCCGTAACGAATTTGTGGCCTTCCTCGGCGAATTTGTAGGGACATGCATGTTCCTGTACTTTGCCTTTGCAGGGACCATTGTTGCAAACGTAGGAGCTCAGAAAAGTGCGGGGGACACCACGACAAATGCAAACGTTGGCTTCAGCCCCATCGTCAATCTGTATGTGGCTGTATCCTTCGGGTTCAGCTTGCTGGTTAATGTATGGGTCTTCTTTCGCGTATCTGGGGGGTTATTCAATCCTGCCGTGACCCTTGGCATGGTCATGACCAAGACAATTAGCTACACAAGAGGTGTGTTATTCCATGACATATGGTGCCATCGATAGCTGACAGCAGAGCAGGCCTCCTACTCTTCATCGCACAGCTATTAGGCGCTATCTTCGCCGCTTTTCTGGTCAATGTCATGTTCCCAACCAACTTCAATGTTCGCACAACGCTGGCAGACGATACTTCCATGGCTCAGGGCGTCTTTATCGAAATGGTCCTCACAGCTGAGCTGGTCTTCACCGTCTTCATGCTTGCAAAGGAGAAACACAAGGCGACGTACATGGCTCCCATCGGCATTGGAATGGCGCTGTTCATCGCAGAGATTGTCGGCGTATTCTTCACAGGTGGCTCCTTGAATCCTGCGAGATCATTCGGCCCTTGCGTGGTGGCCGGTAATTTTGACTTGGAGCACTGGATCTACTGTGAGTACAATCTTCCACAAAGTCGCATGTCTTCGGCTGATGAGTGCGCGCAGGGGTCGGTCCGTGTTGTGGAACGCTCGTAGCCTACGCATTCTATCGATTCATCAAAATCCTCGAGTACGAGATGGCCAACCCGGGCCAGGACGACTCTGCAGAGGAAGCTGAGCACGCCGCGACCATGAAGCGTGCCGATACATACGTGTGATGAGCCTGTTGACGACTGAGCCGGTACATGATGTTAATCGCAAGGCTCCACATAAATAGGTTATGCGTAATGAATACACGGGTATGTCCAGCGTTCCCGGCGTTGATTGCTTCGGGTCTGTACCATAGTTTCCTCCTCCAGTAGCTGCGTCTAGGGCCTCTTTCAAGCGCATCAATTTTTCGCAAAGCCGGATTTGCCCTTTCGTTTTCCAAACGTGACGCTTCTTGGTACGAATTGAAGTGACGACATGGATTTGGTGAGTGCATCGACAGACTTGTTGGTTGCTCCAGTTTCCTCGCGATCCGTGTTGGTCTGCGCTGTAGCGGGGGATGCTTCTCCGACATCCTGCTCGGAGACCGTTGTCTGCCTCCCGGAGAGGGCGGCTTCAGTGGTCTGAGTCGTATCAGTTGCCGCTGGCGAACCTCTGCGCTCCCGGCCACTCTTTCGATGGCCTTGCGCATCAATTCCGGGCCTCAGCATGCTCCGTCTCCCATCAACCCCATTATTGACGATGAGGAAGTCGTAGTTCTTAGGAAAGCCATGCTTATCGACCAAGTGGCTGCGGCGCTTCTTCCATTCCAGACACACTTTGTCGCAGCCTTCGACGAAGCATGAGTAGGTCTTATCGCCGCTATCCCGCTTCGTGGCGACGATCGGGTCATGATTCTCTGCGATGTGAAGTTCCAGGAAGTGAGCGCTGGGCAGATTGACACGACACTCGAGACAACGATTGGTGTGGGATTGGCGGTAGTGAGTCTCGTAGTCTTGATAGCTTGAGAAAGTCAGAGGCTTGTGCGGAGGTAGCGAGCATTGCATCCTATTCTTTGTATCTGCGTGGTCCGCTTCGTCGAACTCGGCATACTTGGGTGTATGAGCTGCGGTCTCCAGAGGCGAAGGCTGCTGTTGAGAGAAAGAGTCTTCCCGCAGGCGCTTAGCCATAATTTGATGCGGTGAGAATCGAGGCACAGCACGTCGGAAGCAAGTCTCGTTCCTGCATGAGCCCCGAGATCGTGCCTCGTGACCGCTCACTAGTAAAGATTTACTAGCTGTTCACCCGTGAAGATTCACTCGCTTGTGCTCCGTGCTTGTTCGTCCAAGCGCTAGTTTTCACGTGGCCGACGAGTCATATGCTTAGATCCAGGTTGGAAATCTCTTAGACGAAGTGATTTGCCTCGTGATCCTAATAGGCAGCAAGTTCGCACGCACGCAACACGGAGTCTGCAGCTAGTGTTGGTTGCAGTCGCAGAAATATTGCCTGAGGTGCAGGTAGGTAGCTGTTGCGGTACCGGAAAGGCCGTACCGAACCCTAAAACCTAATTGTGCTCGGACCACGGCAGCACCCGGCGGCAAGGAACGACCATTACCTTATTATCCACGGCCGCGACTGTGACTGGACTTAAGTTGACCTCGAACCTGCATTGTCGCTGACAACAACACGAGTCCGCACCACCGCCTACCTACACTCCGCCTGGCGCACAGCGCACAAACTAAACACACCCGCCAACACCGCTGCCTTGACTCGTTCCATTTGGCGACGCTCCGGTCTGTCGTCGCCGACTTACCCTCCTTCCTCGACCACCGCCGCCGCCGCCGATTCGACTCGATGGAGCGTACCGGCACTTGCACCTACTCGCTCGACAATATCTGCCTTTAACCATCCGCCCGCCGGTCAACTCCTGGTCACCTGCGGCGATTCGCGCCTATGCGCAGAACATCACTTCGGACAGCATGGAAGACCTGCTCGCGCAAGAGTGGGCTGCCGCAGAGCATGTTCGAGGCCTTCTGAAGAGCGGCCAGTTGGGAATCGTTGAGCTCCCGACAATATTCAGGGAATATCGCGTGCTCGCACAAAAAGCCATTTTTGCCGACTTCCAGAATGTCGAATACCGCGAGTCGAGATTGTGGGACTTGCACCAGGAAGGCCGCAAGATCTTGCACAAGACGCTGCAGAGACTCCGCCACGAACCTGGTCGGGTAGTTGAAGAGCGAGAATTCGTCAAGCTCTACATTCAATTCTTGAGGGAGAGTGACAAACACTACCGCCAGTACATCTACCAACTCAACCTGGCCTGCGGCGGTATTCCTGAGCTCGAGCATGCAGCTCTTCAGGTCAAGCCAAATCGTGTAGGCGAAAGCCCACAGCCCGTGCTTGGACCTCACTTTCACCAGCTAGCACTTGAGTCTTGTCATCGGAGCCTGATCTACCTTGGTGACCTCAGCCGCTACCGTGCCACTGAAAAGCTGGATAAGGAGCCCAAACTGAACGGAGCCAAGGGTTACTACGAGCTCGCTGTGAACCTCAAACCTACATCTGGGCTGGGTCATCATCAGCTGTCCGTCATTGCGCTCGAGCAACGAAATCACGTCACCGTGATCTATCACCTCTATCGTGCTCTCTGTCTGCCTGAACCGCACCCGCGCGCGGCCGCTAACCTCGAACTCGAGATCGCCAAGATCAACAGCGACTGGGCGAAAGGTGGGTTGATCCAGAAAACCGGCCCCACTGATCAAGATGGTCCCCAGCGCGCATTAGAGGGATGGTTTGCACGTTTGCATGGCATGTGCTACAAGGGCGATTCCTTCCGCGGGTACGAGGAGTTGGAGCGTGAGATCATCAACCAGCTGTCCAACGGCATCAAGCAAAAGCAGTGGCCTATCGATCACTTGCTTATGCGCATGGTCCTCACCAACATTGGCGCCCAGTCTATAGCTGGCGATCGCTACCAATGTAAGTCCCATGCCAAGATCTAATGGATAGATGCTAATTCACCATCACAGCAATACAAGATGTGCAATCCGAGCACTCGTTTATGCACTACGTTCGTATCAACGTCAAGACATTCGGCACCCTTCTTCGCACGTTCTCTGAGGATCTTCGTGCGACCATTCTTCGCGTGGAGGATCCAGATGCCGAGCTATCCGACTTTGTGACCGACACGTGTCGCCGCTTACTTCCATGTCTTCGGGTTTACACCAATTGGCTCCTCGCGAATCTTCGCATGGTCGGTGGTCTTCGTCACTACGATCAGATTGATCCGGGCGTTGCTGAGGCGTTGGTGCAATTCTGGTCATCCTACGCCCAGGCTCTGGACTTGGTCAACCAAGCGTTTCCCGTGTGGGATCTCGACGAGAGCGCAAAAGTCGAATACATGCTTGAAGAGGACATCGATACTCTGCAATTCTTGCCTGTTACGGAGGAACAAACGATTGCTACCTGGTACATTGGCTCTTCCGGTGTCCAGAAGCCCCTTTTCACGGACCGCAATGTGGTGCGTCGCTCGCCGGACGAGGAGATGCTTTACCGTATCAGAGATTTCTTGAACAAGGGTATCACCCTTGCCTTTCACGAAACGGCTGCGCCTATCCATCTGCAGGGCTCTCGTGTCTTTTTTGAACATGAAGGCAATGTTGAGCCTCTCGTGCTGCAGCCCGTCGAGGTCCAGGAGCCGGAAACACCCTTGCCTAGCCGTCCGGCGGAGCAGAAGCCGAAGACCGTTAGTTACGCTGCGGCGGCTGCGAACGGACATGCGAAGCAAGCACGGCCGCCACCTGCCTCGAGAATGATCTCATCTAAGGCCCAGTCGCGCGATGCTCTACTCAGCCGTATGGTGGATGATCTAGTGGACGATGACGACGGCTCCAACTCCAGCACGCCCACTAAGCATGCTCCGAGCAATCCGGCTGTCGTCACTAACGGTGCTGGCCGACCGCTTCCTTCGCAGAGCCCCAACGGCCTTCAAAATGGCCAGAAGCACGTCCGCCGGGGCAATGGCCCATCCTCGAAGGCCGTGGGTCACCGGCCAAATCCGATAGCAAGACCGACCCAGCAGAGACCGGCGTACGCACATCAGGACCGCATGCATTCCGTTTCCAAGATTTGGGGTAATGGCTCTATGTCTTCCGCTCCATTTCCCAGCGGGCTGCCTACCGGTACTCTCGCTTCGCCTGTCCAACCGCCAGGTCATGGCCATTCTCGCGTGACCTCTGCGAGTAGTGCTCGCAGTAGAAGCTCGCTGAACGTCATGGATTCTTGGACTTCGGCTGACGCTGCACCACGTGTCCTTCCCGACAGCGTCATTCCAGGTACTGAGTATAGTGTTTATCCCAGCCTCGATCAAACCGGAATGACTAGCCCGCTTCTCTTTGGTGCTGGCGGAAGCGTTTGGAGCCCTGCTGCCTCGAACGGATATGGCAACACAACCTCATCTCATGGCCGCGGCGGTTGATCGGAGAAAGAGAGAGCTTTTGAAAAGCTGATGATCTTCCAACACCTTATTTCTCATTGCCGCCAAAGGACTTTTGTCCCCTGGGTTCGCACAGCAAATAGCAAGCAAATCCCGAACAACTTGCAACGTCTGTCGGCCATGCTATACCGGCGTAAGAGCTTGACTACAGGAATGCCAAATTCAAGGAATGGCATAGCGGTTGATGATCTCAGGACTCGTCTGAAACACCCATTGGACAGCGCCTACGAAGCGATGAGTGACTCGAAGTCGAAATGGTCTGGATGACCGAAATTGATGGGGAGGATATAGAATGGAATCGTCGTGTGCTTTTTTGTGAATGCGTTCAGTCACTCTTTTGGGTCATGCTATAGTACTACAAGACTTGGACATGGCCTGTCATCTCTTGAATTCACGACACCCTTTATGCAGAATGCCAGGTACGGACGAAAGCGAGAATACCTTTTGGAGCAGAGAATGTTTTCCATCTAAGAGTGCTTCTCATGCTCGTTGATCATTCTACGCAAGATGAGGTCCGCATCGCTTCGACCGAACACGATTTCCATTGATATGCGAACAAGCGTGCGTCGAGGATTGAGACCCCTCGAGGTACAGACGGACGGTCGTTCATCTCTCAAAGGACCGCAATGACAACGATTGACAGGAGAGTCGACAGCCTCAGTGCGACATTCATAGTGAGGGTATCTAACACGAGGAAAAGACGATCGCCAGAAGCGGGGAGCTTAAATATTCATGCCAATCGTGGGTATTATACAGCCCTTCTCCAAAGAGCCACAACGGCACCATCTAGGAACAAGCACACCAAGGGCGTAGCTGCTCAAATCACGTCCAAAACAAACTCGATCGACCCAACGCCGGACCTTCTTTGTACTCCGTACCGCTTCATCCAACAAAACGCCTTCGCACAGCGCGCATCAAGAGGAAAAGGTGTCATCCAGAGCGTGGCGGCCGTCCCAAGTTATCGTCTAAACATCGAATCGAAGTCTCCACCATCCAACAACCATCAGTACGTCTCTCCAATCTCGCCGTCATCCGTCCAACCCGCCTCGCTGCCTTCCATGTGATTTCCTTCCTCCACGATAGGCTGCTCGCGCACACGCTTCACGGCTCCGAGTTGTGCGCCCATGCCATGCGCTGCAGGGCGCTTGTTGGCTTGACGCATGTGCTGGGCTTTGACCTTGGCGTAGTATGCGTCTGTCGCGTCGTTCTCCTCCGCCTCGGAGTTGTCGGTGTATGTCTCCCAGTTCTCGCTGCCACTAGCAGCACTACCGCTCATGACCGAGGATGTGTTACTCGCCTGTCGAGAGAAAGGAGGGGCGACTGGGTATTCGGTCCTGCTGATCGGCCGAGAAACATTGGAAGCCAAGGAGTCGACCGAGCGCGCATGCATATGACCGCTGCGAGATGAGTGCATGCTGACGGAGGAAGCCGTGCTAGAGTATTGGTTGTTCCTGTATCGACTATTGTCATCATACGGATCCTCCGACCGCACATGGCGGAGCACGCTAGCGCTACGCTCGAAGCCGGGACCGTTCTCCTTGTTGCCACAAGGAGTAGGCGTCGGTGGGATGAAAAGGTCTTTCATCTTGGGAGGTGGAGGTCCCATGTTCCCGCGAACGGATCTGCTAAAGTCTTCTGCTCGCTCCTCAGGTGGGCCTGTCTTAGCCCTCGCATGACGCTCCGGCGAATTGTTTCCATCACGCAAAGCGCTCATAGGCAGGCGTGAGGCTCCAGGTATCTTCGAAGGACTTACTTTGCCCGACACACTCGCCGACATCGAAGCTCCCATCGTGGAAGAGCCCATCATCGAGGTACTAAGCAAACTTCTGCCCAGCCCAGACGTTGGCGTCTTACTTCTTTGTGGTGGTGCACCGCGCATAGTCGCTGCTCTGCTGGCAGACTTGGGTACCGTATCGCGACCAGCACTCTTCGGCGCGTCTCGCGTTCCGGACAAAGCATTTGGCGTCTTGCTGCGAGCTGGTGGTGCCTTTGCCTGGGCGGCATCAAGCTCATCCAAAAATCGCCGACCATGCACGCAGAATGGGCGGCCATACTCTTCCTCCCAGGCCTCGAGAATCTTTCGTAGCTCAGCTTCCACCTTTGGCAATTCTTTCATGATGCGCTTTCGCATCTTCTCTTCGCGCAGCAGCTTGCCTGGATCCCGCTTCTCTCCCTTGGCGCCCTTGGACATCAGTCGGGATGCGTCGTTGCTACTCTTCTCAAGATCCTCCCGATCCTTGATCAGGCTGCGGTGCTTGTCCACGATGGCCAGTATGGGGCCTCGTTGCTCCTTCAGTGCTTCCAGGCGTGCGATTTCCTGCTCATGGGCGGACAGTAGAGCGTCCGAACAGACATCAGAGAAAGCCGGCGCAAAGTCCAGCATTTCCTCCTCTGAAAAGTAGAGACTATCCCAGAGCTCCTGCAATTTGAATCGGGCATCCTCAACGAATATGTGCAGGTTCTGACGCTTCAGCTCATTAAGTCTCGCGAGCTCCTCCTCGAATTCGTTGATCTGCCGAAGCCCACATCCTCGGTTCGCGGCGAGAAACTGTTTGCGCTCACTGTCGTCAACACCAAGTCGGTCCCAAAGCTCCTCGACAGTGACTTTGAGCTCTTTCAGCTTTCGCTCACGCTGTTGCTTCTCCGCCACAAGCTTGTCGCGCCTAGCAGCTAGCCGCTTCAAATCGTCCTGGTGTAGGCCGAGTTGCTCTGGCGCATCGCGTGCAAATTGCACAAGTGTGGAATCCACCTGCGACTGTGGAGTACCAAGCTCAGACCAGAGGTTGATGATGCTCTCCGCACACTGCGCGACTGTTGCGACTCGCTTGTTGTACTCATCGTAGACTCTCGTGAACTCGACGTCAAGCTTGGAAACATATGTGGGCGACAGGTCGAATGATGGAGAGACCTCGCCGGTGTTTGGTGGTAGCTTGATCTTGATGAACGACGGTTCCAGATGTGATGCGTATGACTCCAGAGCCTCGACAAGCTTTTTGACCTGTTCATAGCGTTCCCGATGCAGCTTCGCGATTGTGTGGTGTTTCTCCTTCAGACGCTGTATACAGTTCAGCAGCGGGAACGTGATCTTCATGCCGTCTCGCTCGGAATCGAATTCGTCTTTGGGTCTCGTGTCGTCCAGCGACCGCTCCATCTGGCGGATGGTCTTGATGAGGCGCTTGGCCTCTTCGGTGAGGTCATGCTTCTCTTTGGCGACCGCGTTGAGCTGGTTGTGTAGTGTCTCTGAGAGTGCCGAGAATAGCTAGGCGATTTGTCAGTTCCATGTGGTCTCTCGATCGCCTTCCTCGATGTGGTATTGCGATGCCCACCTCGGATTCTCTCGAGTCGCGCTCGTGGCTGGGCACGCCGATCTCGTCGAAGAAGCCATGCAGACGCTCGATGATGGTAGTAACCTGCTGTGACAGGTAGGAGGTATCCATAATGCTCGTCTGACCGCCAGCAGCGAGTGGGGTCTATTGGCGGCGCATGAGATAATGTGGGGAGCCCAGGCGAGGAATGTACGGTACGTTTGGCGGTTGGTATTTGGCGCGTGGAAAGGCGCGGGTCTGTGTGAATATGTTGTGCGTGATGCGAAGAGAAGCTTGCTGCGGTGTATCTGCGGGCTAACGAGTGTGTTCGGTCAATGTGTGGAAGAAGGCGAGCGATGATGATGATGTCTGTTGGTGCGATTTCCAAGTGGCCGGCGCAAGAAAGCTCCCCAGATGTTGTTCTGCAGGCCGAGTTGCCACAGCAACCGCACCATGAAACGCCGGCTTCTGCCGCTCTCGGATCTCGACGATGGCGCTAAACTCTATCTCGTGTATTGGTCAGTGCACGGCGGCACGCGGTAAGCGAGTCCATGAGATCAATCTTGCAAAGAAAGTGTGAAAGGTCACCTCACTTGCGCCCCACGACCGTCTGTCACCAGATCCACCGCTTCACTGTCCTGCAGGATCCTACGATGATATCTGCAGTGGGCTGGATGCTGTCACGAGGCAGCTCCATTCTTCTAGTCAACTGTTTCCGCTGAGCCATGGCGGCTCGCATACCCACTCCTTCGCTGTCTCCTCCACCTCCACCGCCCACCATGATCCCGCAGAACGCAACCTTGCCAGGGCGCATCAACACCGCGACTAGGAAGCAGCACACCGAACTGAACCGCTTGTTGATCAATCGACTGCCACTCTCCCTTCCTCCGCATCAGGAAACGCCGCTTCTGTACAGCAAGGGAATTGTTCCATTCGCTAGAATCTTCATACTCTTTGAGATTGAGTGGGAACTTCTCACGCGTCAAGTCGAGAACAAGCCTGCGTCGAGCTCCAGTCATGATCAAGAGTTGCGTGAATGGCTGGCAAACCTCCGTCCAAAAGGGCTGGCGAGGTCACATCGATTGAGGAACGATCTAAAGCATCTTAGACTCGTGGCAGGACCTACCATGTTCGACACACCTGACCTTGGCACGGAATGGACGAGGAAGATGCGGAGTCTGGTGCGCAGCAAACCTCATGTATTTGTGGCCTTTGCATGGGTATTCTACATGGCAGTGTTTAGCGGCGGGAGGTGGATAAGGCAGCAACTAGCCAACGCTGGGCCTGAATTTTGGACACAACAAGCCAGCACACTGCAGGTCGACAAGGGCGAGCAGTCTCCACTACTCGAATTGCCTGGCTTTTCATTCCTCTCCTTCGACGGCGACCAGGACGGAGAAGATCTGAAAGCGCTCTTCAAAACTCGGCTTGCAGACGCTGAACGCATTTTTACTGAGGAAGAGAAGCAAGGCGTCGTCGACATTGCGGGGGAGTTATTTGATCGCAGCATTTGTCTTGTCACGGAGCTGGACCGGCGAGTGTCGAGGCAGCGGATCTTGAGCTGGATCCCGACGATTCTGCTGGCGGTCGTGGGTGTTTTTGGGTTGGTGCTGGGCTTCTGCTGGAATGGCGGCTTGGTTCGCGGTTTATGATATCGACAGGGTCCTTGGCTGCAGTATTGGCTGCACGATTACTGATACTGCTCGTCAGCGTTGGAGTCAGGGTTGAACAGAACCTGAGATGGCTTCGGAACGGATGATACCCCATTCTGCGCTCGAGACGATTTTGCAGGCCTTTGGGGATTGGAAGCGCATCCATCAAGGCTAGAGCAGCACACTTTGCAGATGGCATTGCAGATGACAGGATGACAGAATGACAATAGATGACTCGTGACCTTTGGTGTCAGTGAGAGACGATACAGCCGTAGCGATAAATGCAGACGTGGGACGATGTTTCGCGGTCCTTAATAGAAATCTGTCTTCCTCTGTCCCGGCCGCGACCGGTTTTGTAAGATTACCTCACCCAGCTGCTAGTCACCCTGGAACCCGGGTCCGCGACGGCCTCTCTAAACATCCCACGTCGTGTCGTGAGTTTGCGATTGCATTTTGCGCATAAAGCTTCCTTGGCATCAGCTCTTTTGCAAGCTTCAAGGTCCTCCATATCCTGTCAGACCACTCTCTCGGCATCCCGAAGGCTCGATCCTGCACGAATCCGGTGATACCCGTTCACATGCGAGCCTTGGCAGTTAGCTTGGGTTCCCGAAGTATGTTGCTCGTGCTTGCTTGATGATAATTTCTTCGGGACCGCCGAATCCATGAGTCCTGATAACACGTCGACAAGATCCACTGCTTGATGATGATGACCGGCGTCCCGAGCGCCCGAGACGCCGGACCACGCAGACACTGACTACGAATGATCTCGCCGGCGCCTTCCGCTTGGCACTAGCTCCCTGGCCATTGCGGCAGTCTGCGCGAGGCAGCCGAGAAATACAACAGCACTGGAGGGCAGATCTACTCATCAGACGATACAATGGGTTCCTGGCTCACAGCGGACTGCCATGTGGCACCGAATAAGCCGATGATTTTTTTTGAACTTCGTGAGAATCTCAAGCAGTTTTTGATCCAGCTTGAAGAGCATAGAAAAGCATCTACGGCTCTTCAGGCTCGGAACTTCTCTTTGGTAAATGTGGGCGTCATCCCGGGATCGTCTTTGTTATCTCTTTCTGCGACTTCCCACACTCCAATTGGAGTTGAGCTTCGATGTCGCGCACAATAATCGCGAAGTACATCTCGAACTTCGGACCTATAGCGATGATTTTTAGAGAGAAGGCTGTTACGGCAGCTGAGCAGGAGATCCTTAAATGATCGCAAGATAGCTTGGCTCGATCGCGACTTTGAAGGCTTGAAGCGATCAAAAGAGATCCTCCAAAAGCTCTTCGAACATGCCCTCTGCTCCGCACGCGCAGCTTGTGGCTTCGGCGATGTGCGTATTGATTGAATCAAATCGTAGAGAAGGACATGTCAGAGGTTAAAGTGCAAGGTGAAAGACGTATGTCAGCAGGTCCTATATCCCATTACTCTTCCGACTTTGCCTTCATCTTTCCGCGCCGCCATGGAGCTTCTCCGCGAGCAGTCACGGGATGAGAGCCACCACGACGTCCGATACTCAACCTCCAACCGTCGGGCCTTGCAACACGGGAATGTGACTTTTCTTGAGCCGATCCAAGGATGAACGAACCTGCCGATTGATACAGGTGTTGATCATCCAGTTTACCTTGTTTCGACGACTATTCAACTTTGCTGTTGCGCCTCTCTTCGTGCGAGCGTCCTTCGGTGGGCCAGATCTTCTGTACGGCTTCGCCACGCTTTTCCGCGGCCGCCGTATGCCTTGGCATGCCACAGACGAAAGGCAGGACATTCGAGTATGTTGAGACTGGCTTTGAGAAGCGGTCGTCGTGGAGGTCGTTGATTCGCCGCAAGACGACGCAGGAGGATAATGAGAGTGCGGCCGTACATGGAGCCTCTTCGTTGTCGCTGTCTGCGGCGCGAAGTAGTGGGTACAGGTCCCATCCAGTATCCCGGCAATCTTTCGATTGGTAAATTCGTGCTCTACAGAACCAATGTAAGTAGAGGTGACAATTGTATATCCTATCTAACTTTCGGACAACTTCGACGCCGTAGAAGCTTATGCGCGTAGAAGGTACGACAAGCCTCGTCAGCAGATATACGAACCCCACGGTGTAACACTTATACTCACTTGAACTCAGTGCGAGCAGCTCCACGAGTTAGTTGGGACGAGGGGTATGATTCCTGGTGCGCCTCTCTCTTCCACTAAAAGATTGGAGCGATGTGGTTTCAAGTTACTGCAGGATCACACGATCAAGATCTACTTGAATCCAGACGTTGAAGCTTCGCACACGGCCAATGGAGCTCCTGTTGCGACTGAGTTGATGAGAGGAATGCGTCGACTGGTAAACGACATGACCGGAAAGGTGTTCATCAAAAGCGATGTCAAGCGACAACTCGCTGCTGAAGCGCTGGCCGACACAGCCCAGAATAGTAAGGCACTGTGTGCAGTAAGCAGTCTCAAATCGCAAGCCATTCCTGTGATTCCGCTTACTGATCACTCTTCCAGCGCAGCGTGAGGAGGCGCTAGAAGTGTTGATGCATCTGGAGAGAGTCCACCCTGCCAGCTCACCCGTTGTTCTCTCGAACAGTGCGTGCTGCGTCCTCGTTGACACAGGAACATGATCAAAAGGCCGTACATGGCTGAGAAGTGAGGCTGCTAGGTCAAATCTTCATTGATTGCTTGCCATACTCCATGTTATAGACATACCCAATCCCGACGAGGTCCGGCCTCAAGAATCAAACATTCTCCTCTGGTTGATCGCCGCTGCCGATCTTGATAGAAGTATTGCACTCTTCGAATCACGCCAAGACAGGTTCGAGCTGCCCTTGTCCGCTCACGGCATGCGAGCATCATGGTGCGATGCCTGCCAGGTTCGGATCCGGCAGCTCACCCGTCTGACCAACAAGGCGACACACCTCCTCCCCACACTCTACTCCTTCGCCCTCTTTGTCTGTGAGATAGGCCTTGAACCACTGGTTGCCCTTGAGCTCGCTCCCGCCCGGGCGAACCTCTCCGCTCTCGAATCGGATGCCGCATTTCCCACCTCCCCATCTCCAGAGCCTGTAGACCAAGCTGCGGTAGAACAGTCTCCAGACCACCTCATTGAAGCAGTTGTGGTTCCGGACGTGCATGCATCGAACGTTGCGAAGGCTTTTGAGAGTTTCGCAGAAGATGTAGGCGAGCGTGTGCGATTGCGACAGGTCCGCGATCTCAGCAAAGGCAGCTGAATGGACTTCTGGTCGGTGTGGGATGATGGTGATGGTATCGAGATGGAGACATGGATGTCCAAACGGGAGACCCGCCCAGGCCTCGTTCAATGCGCGCAGATGGCTGATACGGGCGGACAGAGTGAGGTGTCTGATCGCGCCCACTTTCGCAGGGGACAAAGCGCGCGAGCGGATATCAAAGACGTCCGGGTAGGTGCACTCGCCGTTGATGTGGAACGGGGTCAAGGAGAGGGCGAGGAGACTCGCCTCTTGGTGGATCTGCTTGCAAGTGCGTAGGATGCGCAGCTTGCGTGCTGCTCGGTTGGCATTGTAGTAGGCGGCTCGGTAGTCGGAAGTTCCCCGAAGTCTCAGGGCGATTGCCAGCTCGTCGGGCGAGGTGGGTAGGGTCGGATATGTCAGGTCAGCGAGCTCAAGGTCGAAGATGTACATGTAGATGGCATTGCGGAGCTCGCAGGGAATGGTGAGCAGGGAGGCTCTTTCGTTGGTCGACATTGTTGAAACGTCGACGAAAGAGAGAAAGGGAGTTGAGGATAGGATAGGGTAAGGAGGTCAAAGGAGAGGAAGGAAGGAGGAGGCCATCACGGTGATGCTGGTGTTTTAGCCACAAGCGAAAGCGATGGTGGTGGTGGTCGCGTGGCCAGCGCACAGCGTCGGAGTCGTGACGACTATTGGCAGGGCGTTAGCTGTGTCATGCAGGAGTATCTACTACGTGAGTGTTGCTCGATGAGATAACAATGAAACGAGCTCTCGGCTCGGCTCGGCTCGGCAAAATGTCGCGGTATACAAGCGTCATCGCCGATGCCGTCACCCGCAAGTACAAGCTGATGTGATGTGCTTCACGTGATGATGCAGTCCACGTGCTGATGATTTGGTGTTGGTTCTTGATGTTGATGGAATAATAATGCACGCACAGTGCACGCGTGGATGAGGTGGGAGCTTTCCGGCCCGTTGCGGTCAGAGTCGGTCAGTCGGAGCATTTATTGACTTCCTCGTCGCGCGGCGCGCAAAGCTCAAGCCGCATCTCCGACGTCATATCCGCGTCACGTGTGTACTGTTTTAGTAGCGGGATTTATGGCTGGAGACAAGAGGCGTCTGCTCAAGGTACGGACAAGGCGCTTTCCAAGTCTCCGTCAAACGTACGACTGACTGTATTCGCCAATAGAGAAGACTCTCCCAGGCGCTGGGCTACGTGGCCGACATGGCGCCCGCGCGCAAGAAGAGCAAATTGGCCAACGAGAACGGAACGGAGCTGCTTAACGAAGACCGCCAATCAGGCAAAGACAGCGATGCCACAGCCAAACAACCACCGCAGCGACCCGCCCCCATAGACACGAATCAGGCGGATGATACCCATTCCCAGCCCAGTCTTCCGCTGGGACCATCCCCACAACAACAGGCGCAGAATCGCGGCAGCTGGTATTCGGCCTCGGCGTGGAAGGGCAAGGCCTCCCCCGTCGCACAAGTTGCGCGGGAGAGCATCTCAGTCGATAAGGGTGTCAGTTCAGAATCTTCACATCAGGAAGCTGCGAAGCGCAGACCCAGTCAAAGTGTGAGCAAGAGCTTCCGGGGAAGTAGCAGGAAGAGCATACCGTTGGCCGCTGAGCCCACGAGAGTCCATGCGAACCCGAGCGAAGTGAGTCTTCCGCCAAAGCAGCAGAAACGAAACGTCTCTGGAGAGAAAGAAGCCAAAGGCGCCGACACAACTACGACGATTCCGGAAGTGGTGAAGGAGCAAGAGGCTCAGGCAGAGGAAGCGCCCCTGCCGCCAGAGCCCGAACCTATGGGAGATGTCGATGCCAAGGCGGAGACGGCGAGTCTAAGGCCTGCACCTGGACCGTGGTTTGGGTGGTGGTCGCGACCAGACGGATATGGCAGTGATGGCGAGAAGGTGAAGAACGCAGCGAAAGCGCAGTTAGATGGTGCGGCAGAAGAGGCGAGCAACACGCCATTACCGGAGAACATAGAAAATCCGATGGAGGCTGCGCCAACTCAGAACAACGCAGATGGCGAGGCTGATGACCAGTTGCGACCCGAAATGGGCAGGAACAATACGGGCAGTCGGTCGTGGTTCAGACTGTGGAGCAGAACGCAGAACGAGCAAGCACAGGAAGAAGAGCGTCAACGGCGTGAGAGCGAACAGCACGATCAGCAACAACCGCTACTCCAGATTGCAGCTGAGCCTGCACGTGCCGCAGAGGATCTCAAGCCCGCGGAAGCATTGAAGAAACCAAAAAAGGACGATGAGGAAGACCGGCCAAAGTCATCAGGATGGGCCTTTTGGTCCAAGGACAGATCAAAAGATGCAGCACCGACGCCAGAAGGCGCCGATACAGAGGTCGGCGAGCTCGCAGTTGCAGACACACCTTCTCAAAGTCATCCCGAAGCTGCACAGTTCAATCAGGAGCGAGAGCAGCGTAAGCAAGATAAGGCTGAGCTTAAGCGTAGCAGCTCCCTCTTACGGCCCAAACGAGGTAGGCCAGAGAAGGCCGACAATCTATCCGGAGACACAACAGCAGCAGTGACCCCAATCGAGTCTCAGAACCAGACACCTGCAGTTTCGCAATTCCAGACGCCAAAGGAGACTCCTGAAGCATCCCCAGCGCCCGTCGCTCGTGGCAAGAAATCAGTTCAATTGCGGCCGAATATTGTGCTACCGCTGTTCCGCGATACCTACCCTGCAGCGCCGAACCCAGGTGTGATGTCTCGGCTCGCAGAGTATGTAGCACAAACATTGCATATACCGGGATATGAGTCTCGACCACCTCCGCATCCATTCATCTCACCCTCGCCTCCGAAGGTCAAAAAAGCCATCGCCATTGGGGTCCACGGCTTCTTTCCCGCGGCGCTCCTTCAGAGAGTGTTGGGGCAGCCGACCGGTACCTCCATACGATTCGCGAACCACGCAGCCGCAGCTATCAAGCAGTGGTGCCATGACCGTCAGCCGGAGGTGAAGGATGTAGAAGTTGAGAAGGTTGCACTCGAAGGCGAGGGTCTCATCGCAGACCGCGTGAGCACGCTTTGGAAGTTATTGCTCAACTGGCTCTCGCACCTGCGCCAAGCGGACTTCATATTGGTCGCATGTCACAGTCAGGGTGTTCCGGTGTCTTTGATGCTCGTTGCTAAGCTCATCCAGCTTGGTTGTCTATCTTCTTACGTTCGCATAGGTATCTGTGCCATGGCTGGTATCAATCTTGGACCCTTCTCGGAATACAAGAGCAGACTGTTTGGCGGTACTGCATTGGAGCTCTTCGACTTCTGTGACAGCAACTCGAAGGTGTCGATGGCCTATGCAGACTCGCTGGAAATATGCCTGAGGCATGGCGTACGTGTGACATACGTAGGAAGCATCGACGATCAACTCGTGAGCTTGGAGTCCAGTTTGCACACGCCTCTCAGGCATCCGTATGTCAGCCGGAGTGTATTCGTTGATGGCCGATTGCATACCTCGAACTTTCTAACGCACCTTGTGGCATTTGCCGTCAAGCTGCGAAACCTAGGCGTCAGCGATCATGGCCTGCTTCGCGAGATCTCTGCTCCGCTGGCAGGTAGCTTGGTTGGCGGAGACGGACACAGTCGGGTCTACGACGATCCAATCGTCTACCGAAACGCCATTGACTTTGCACTGGAAACTACGGACGTCCATGCCTCCGCTTTTGAAATACCAGCGGATTCAATCTCACCTGAGGAAAAGCGCAAATCTATGGAAGCAGCTTCGTCGCGGCGTGCTTCCCTTGCAGGCTACCCATCTAACATGACGGCCGCTAACAGCATGCGTCGCGGATCACTATCTTCTCTTAGCCTCAAGCCGCCAGGAATTGCGCCCATTATCGCTGCGTACGAAGCTCCCGGGGCAAGCGCGGAGAAGAATCCGTTTGTACTTCCCTGGGCTGTGAGAGGCATGCTAGGGGAGGAACTTGTCAAGCGAGATCCGAAATTGCAAGAAGAGGTGAGAGAGCTGGTCAAAGAGTTTGAAACCTGGCGACCGACGAGGCAAGTCTTGAAAGATGTGAGATGGAGGTTAGAGGGCGTGAGGAGTATGCTGTAGAGGTACCCAGTTCTTGTTATTCCTGCTGCATTGGATTTCGGGAATATGTTGACACGATGGATATAGAATAGCGCAGGCGTTCTGGATGCATGGCGGACACAGCGCCGAGGAATGGGTATAGGCATGAGTATGAATTGCGTAAGGATGGAGAGAGAACCGAACTTTTTGATTGATTGTTCGCTCAGGCCGTGGGCATTCACAAATTCTATTTCACTTCTTCTCAGACATTTCGAGATCAGAACCAAAGACTGGGGCAACGGAGGAGCTGACCGGGAAGCCAGCGCGACATTCGATGTCGAGAACGAGGTCATCGCGTGACAGAAACAAACCACTTTCAGCCTACACGACAAGACCTACGCCAAGGCCTACGCCAAAGTGAAATGACATTCGGTCTACGATCTCTCTCTGCTCCACCATCCTCTCACCCTAAACACATTTACTCACACGCTCGATTTGACCTCTCCGGGGCCACAATGACATCTCCAACTTGTAGGGAATGCAATAGCATCTCCTCTCTCTGGAGAGATGAAGTCTCCGTTTGTTGTACGAACAAACATGTGGTAAGTCGCAACACAACAGGTGGTTGTTGGACCTCAATTTCTCCACGTCTTTCAAAAAAAATTCCCCTGCCATGGAATGGAACCTATCGCGATCAAAGCTATTACAGAGATGACTGTCTTCACATGATGGCCTTGTCTTTTGTCGATCTTATACACATTAGGCAAGCAACACGGAAGTCCTGCCGGTTCGCCTCATCTTTACCCCTTTCAGGAACCGCTATAAAACTTTCATCATCATCAAACTCTACCATTTCCACTTCGCTCTAACTAGCACATGGGCATCATGTTCGGCTACCTACGCAAGACGATCAAATGGACTTTCCTTCTCACTCTCCCGCTGACCAACTTTCCCATCTTAACGGGGACGTTCTCTGGCATTGTGTTTGGGATCTGGAATCGACGCCAAGTGGATGCGAATGTGCAGAAATTCGTATACGAGATCAAGGATGTGTTGAGTGATTGGTATAAGTCTTCCTCCTTCCTCATGCTCATGCTCTATGCCTTTGGACAAGGCTAATGCGTCTTTTTTCAAGGGGAGTCGGCGGCGACGCACCGACTTTCCGCCAATTCCAGGACAAAAAGAACGATTTCCATCTCCTGCGAGTCAACAGCAACGACTGGACGCAGAAACTGGGTCTCCTACTCCCGGAACAAGTCACCGATTTCGACGACGACGACGACACCAACGACCTCCCCATCGACAGCCTGGCAGACCTCCAGAGTCTGATGCGGGATTCGAGTTGCGGGATGACGGTGCCACGGGAACAATGGCTCTACTGGTCCGAATACCGCGGCTGGCCGCTGCTCAGTCGCTGGGACTCCGCTTTTGATGAGGTCGTGCAGCACGCGTACGCGCATCCGACTCTGAACCGGACGCGGTTGCATTTTGCCGAATGTGCGGGTACGGCGGGATTCCTCTGCGGCGTCTGGTTCACCCGGGCGCCTGCTCTGGTGCAATTCCTCGTCGACGACGAACCATTCGACCTCGCCAATATGGTCTCGGGACCGACGTACGGCGTCAAAGATCCCACAAGTCTTCGAGGCGTCTTGGTCCGGATCATCGAATTCCCCCTGAGGGATAACGACATCTACACTGGCACAGGTACAGACACATTCCCATCCGAAAGAGAACAGTTCCTCACCGCGATGACGACCTCGGAACAATTCGCTCCCTTCGAGCCCATGGACCAGCTGCTCCTCCGCTTCACGGAATACATGGACCACACCTTCTGGGACAAACCGGGCACCATCTTCCATTTCCAGAATCAAATCGACAACTGGGTCATCGAGCACATCACCACACCATTCGGATTGGAAGGCATCTTGTTGGCTCTACACAGCTATTGTTTCACCATTGCCATGATGTTCTCCGCTACGGGCGTGAGCATCTGGTATAGTATTTGGAATCTGGGGGAGGAATTCTTGGGGAGGCCGAAGATCGGGGATCGTGTTCTGGGGGAGCTGGGGGGAGAGCCAGCGTCGCCCGAGGAGAATTTTTGGGGTCCGATGATGGAGGGGTTTGGGGAGTATGTGGAGAGGAGGATGAGGGAGCAGCGGAGTGAGGGGGTGAGGGATGGGAATGCTTTGACGACGGAGGCGCCCTAGTGGGGGGTGCTCCATATCGTGAGGTTATTCCAATGGAGAATACATGTACTGACCCTCTGGTGCTCCGTGGGCTCCAGGATTGCGAAGTGACAGAAGCCAGAATGTCCTGACAGGATCTTCAGACATTAACCTCGTCTTTCACAATGCCGCTCAGTGACTACTCTGTTCAATCGCGCTGGATGACCCGCGAGTCCAACGTGGATTGCTTAAGTGCTCCGAGTCGATTGGACGAGCCGGCTGACAGTTACGTTGTTATGTCAGTGGGTTGACAAGCCGAGAAGACGATAAAAAGATGAGAGCACACTAGCTTCATCCAATCTATGCGGCAGCTTCGGGTTCAGCTGCTGCAGCACGCCGCCGCTGCTCTATGGCCTCTTTCATGATCCCTGACGCACCCCCATCAATAAGCAAATCCGTTCCGGTCATGAAACTAGCGTTTGGACCAGTCATGAAAGCGGCCGCCTCTGCCACATCATCAACCGTCCCGATTCGTCTCGCTGGGCATGTCTCAATGGTCCTGCGAATGAAAGCTCCCGTCTCTCCGGCAAGCTCCTCCCGACCCAACGCCGTAGATATGATGCCTGGACTTATGGAATTGATGCGAGCACCCTTTTCGCCATAACTTCTCGCAGATGCTCTGACGCGGAGAATGTTTGCGAGTTTGGAGATGGAATAGGCCTTACTGCTGTCGTCGGAATTCGCATCGATGCTGGGGCATTCTACCAGTCGAGAGGTGGGTGCCGTGGATAGATGCGATTGTTCTGCAGGTGGCAGATCGACCAAGTGGCCCGCCATACTGGCCACGCAGAGAAGCGAGGATCCGGGTGTCATGACCGGCTGGAAGGCGTCGATGACATTCGCTGTGCCAACGAGGTCGATAGTGTATATCTGGGCGGCGCTGGATGCGACTGGACTCACGCCCGCGGCATGGATCACAGTGTGGATATGACCTAGCGAAGAGGCGAAGTTGGCGAGCTTTTCCAGCGACGAGGCATTGCTGATATCCACGGCCTGTGTCTTGGTACGATGGCCGCGAAGCTCCAAGTGGGTGGAAGCTTCATCTAGATTAGCCTGTGAAGAGTCTGCCAGGAGAAGAAGTCTGCCGCTTCCGATGCGTTGGGCTATGGCCGAGCCTATGCCCCCGACTCCAATGATGACTATGATTAGCGGGGTTGCGGCCGACATGTCTCATGTGAAGTCTGAGTTGTGAAAAGCAGGACCGGTCAGATGGATTTGTATCACTCATACATACGAAGGACTTTGATTGTCGGAGAGGCGCGGATTCCGTTCAGCCGTTGCTCTTGATGTGTACTCGATACGAACGTTCGCGTAACCGCGCCAGATGAAGCAGTGTCACGGGCCATGTGCGGTTAGGATTCCCGGGTGCAGACAGGTACGATCTGCCAAATCAGCTCATCTCTCCCGATGCTTGTCACATCCATCCAATGCCAAGCATCCAATGCCAAGGACGAGGTTGCTGCCTCAAGGCATGCCATGGGGACTAGAATCAGCAAACCCGTAGTTCAGGAGCATCTGGATCACTTCGACGTCTCCCATGGCTGCTGCATCGTGTAGATGAGTGCCACGAATCCCGGATGACTCTCGCTGCAAGAAAGCGAAGCGACAGAAGGCCGCCGGCCCACGTATATGCTGATGATGAGCTCAGCAGTCATCTGCTAAACATAGCAAGCATCCCATGATATCATTGCGTTACAGGTCGGATTGTCCACATCGCGTGTTTCACTGCTGGCTAATACCAACTCTCAGTTCGATTGGGAAGAAATGTCATGATATCTAGACGGTTTTTGGCCTAAGCTGCTTGGCTGCTTCAACGACGGAGACGCCCGCCCGACGAGGCCTGATAGTATCGTAAGGTTCCAAGGTGAACCGAAAGGGGACAGACTAGGAAGGTCGTGCTGCAGTCGCACCATGTAGTTCGCCAGTGATCTGGTTCCTCCTGAGTTGTTGAAGAGCAGAGGGGAGTTTTCAACACGAGAAGATGAGTGGCTCACTTCTTCGCAATAGCGATCTGGACGGGATGTCGTCGAGATCTCTAAAGTTGCAGGCCCCGAGTGTTGACATACATGCTACCGGCACCAAGTCATCTGTCCAATCCATCCAATTCCACAAGCCGCCCCACAACTTCCACCACCCGCTGATTCGCCATGTCCATCTCCGGATCTTCTAGCTTTTTGGCTAAGAGCTCGTCGAGCATCATTCGCATCCTGCTGACCAGTACTCCGATCCTAGCCCAGCCTCTCAGCCTAACCCAGCCATCGATCAGCAATCCCCTGCCCTGCGGATCGATCCCGATATCTCCGCCGAACATGAGCAGGCTGTACACATTGAATGGTGTCAAATCCCTGATGAAAACCTTGGAGGTCGCCATCTTGGTGAAGTAGCTCATATACATGCTGTTGCCAGGAAATGACTGAGCGTCGAACAGGGTCGATGACGGATGTACGAACACCCTTCCATTCTCTTCATTGAAGAATTTGATAGTCCTGGCTTCGGGGTCGAGCTCTACGGCACCAGAGGACGAAGAAGCATATTTCTTGTCAGGGAATTCGATTCGTGCAACTTGGGGCTGGAAAGAGCCTGCAATCAGCGCACGGAGTAGAGTTGTGGAGCCATTATTCCGATTGTACGTCGCGGCCGCAGCAGATGAGGGTCGATAAGAGCGTGAGAGGAATCCTGTCTCTTGCAGAGATGAGACATACTGCGTGCGATTGGTGGTGATATCGAGAAGTGTTTGGTGGTGGAGGAAGTTTTCATCGCACCATCTTCGAACAGAAGAGGTCGGCTCGCCAGAAGACCTTCGACTCGACCATTCCTCATACGCACGGAGGTCGCAAATGAGATCTCCATTACCGCTGCCAAACGGAGCTCGAGCTGCTTTCGCTTCCTCTCGCTTGGCTTGTGGGCTGACAAATGGACTCTTCACCGTCAAAATGGCAGCAATGGTTAAGCAAGCTTCCAAGCACCCGAAGACTGCCCCGTAAACCAATAATTTGCCACATCTGAGATCAGCTGGGATCATTGAGAGGTGTCTTCCAAGCGCAGTGAGGTCTGTAGAGTCTAGAGCGCCCATTCTGCTCAGCAGCTTGAGTGCTCCTTCGACAGCAAGAGTCTCGGGCGGAGTCAATGCAGAGCCCAGGAATGCGGGAACATCAACCACACCCATTGCTCTGACTGAAAGGCAGAGTTGCTCTAGCGGCACCCTTCTTATTTCTGGATCTGGCCTTTCCGCCATCTTGGCTTCCGCAGAACGAGTGTATAACTTGTAACATTCGCCTGCTCTGACACGCCCTGCACGACCACGTCTCTGCTTGCAAGCGGCTCGTGAGGCCCAGACCTCAGCAAGCTTGACCATATTGTTGGCGGGATCGAAGCTAGTCTCCTTGACTCGTCCAGTGTCGATGACGGCAACAATGTCCTCAATCGTAATCGAGGTTTCGGCAACATTTGTGGCAGCGATGACTTTGCGAAGACCGGCCGGTGCGTTGGGGAAAACGCGGCGCTGCTCGGAACTCTGCAAAGATGCGTGCAAAGGAAGTGCGTGAAGATTTGGCACATTGCGAAGTGCTCGAAGAGTCTGATCAATCTCGGCCAAGCCAGGCAGGAAGATGAGAATGCCACCTTCCCCACTCCCCAGGGTCCGATCAATGTGCTCAACTGTTCGGGCGATGAGGTCGTAATTGATTCTGGTGCCAACAGCTCTCAAGGCATTTCCAATGTTTGGACGGAGCGTGGAAGTGCTAGACCTAGCATCAATTACACGGGGGTCTTGTGAAGATTCGGGGTCGTCTTCATCGTCCTCGACCGAACCGAAGCCGGTCATGCTCACTATTTCATCCAGATATATGTCCTGGACAGGATGAGTACGGCCTTCGATCTCGACCTGACCAACACTTGATGCTGCTTTGAAGTAGTCCTCAAACGTCTTCGCGTCGAGCGTAGCACTCATAAGTACCAGCTTCAGATCCTTTCGCTTCTTCAAAACATCTCTTAGTAATACGAGCAGGAAGTCTGTATCAAGACTACGCTCGTGGACCTCGTCAATCACAACGTGGCTGACATCGGCCAAGCTTCGAACGACATCGTCGGTGCTGCCACCAGAGGTCTGCAATCGACGGAGCAAAACACCTGTCGTGACAAAGGTGATCCTCGTTGTACCCGGCCTCTGCTTCGATTCGCCACGAATGGCATACCCAACCTCTTCTCCAACTTTCACACATCGCTCATCCGCGACACGATCGGCCAACCCAAGAGCGGAGATTCTGCGCGGCTGTGTACAGATGATGTTGGCCTGCTCGCCGAAACCGCGCTTGATCAGGTCATCAAGGATAAATTGCACGGATTGAGTAGATTTTCCAGACCCTGTCTCTCCCGATATAATCGTGACTTGGTTTGCTGACACGGAAGACACGATAGCGTCTTGTAACTTCCAAGCAGGGAGATTCTGGCGGGATTGTAACATGCGTCGTTGCTCAGGCGAACTCTGTTTGGCGCGCCAGGCCTCGAGAGCTTGTTGGCTGGCAGCACTATGAGGAGTCCAAGATAGAGGTTTGGGTTGCCTTCGTGGCTTGCTTGATCGCGATACGATAGTCGTAACCTCTGCGGACGTAGATGCGGCGCTTGCAACTTCACTGAGCCGACCAGGATGTTCAAGTACGCGAGGAATGTTCTGCTCCAGCCAGTCGACAATGCTGAACAGCATCTGATCCCCAAGATACTCGTTCTCCGCAATAACGAGGACCTGCTTGAGCACGCTGAGGCGTACGTATGCAGGTAAGTCAGTTCCCACCGAGAGTATTGGCACGGTGTATGGGTATCCAGCAGTAGGGGGTCTTGCACGCAGCACAATGGGCTTCTTGTCCGGCGTCTGTAGTTCCAACGTGATCGTGCACGTTCTGTCGTGGTTCGTATATCTGTCACCAAAGATGGCCTGAAGTGTCGCTTGCTCTTCATCCCAAAGCTCAAAGTCTGGTGAGTGGGATGCTTCTGCGTCTTTGCCTAGCAGTCGCGCTTGGAGAAAATCGGCCGCACGAGCCTCGTCTCCATTACACGAATCGAGCATGTCCGCGCATAACTCAGCGGAGTATCCGGCAGCAGCCAATCGCTTCAACTTTCCCTCCCGCTTCAGGTCGCCACTGGCGAGACTGACACCCGCGAGGTAGTTGTCTGGTAAGCACCACTTCGGCAAGTCATCTTCAGGCACATGGATGAGCAGCCACTCTAGACACTCTTCGCGGTCCTTGCAGAGTTCTGTGGCTTCTTCGACGTGGCTTGAGCGAAATCCAATCTTGGAAAGATCGTCCACAATCGCTTGCCTCTGTGCGGTGTTCAGCACCACTCCGTTTGGATTCCATGCTCCACCGTGCCGAATCAATCGCTCTACTTCTCGCCTCGTCTTAATACCCATCTCCACTTTCGGTACCCTCATCCAACCCTTCAAGACATGCTTGCTCTGCACTTGTCCGTCTAGGCTGACCACTTCCAGCTTCTTGTCCTCGACCTGCTGCTTTGCCTTGTCCGCTTTGGCTTTCTCCTTGGCGGCCATGGCTTCGTCTCTTTTCTTTTGGGCCAGAAATGGGTCAGCTTCGTAGAGATAAGCGTTGCCTTGTGCAATGGCCTCGCTCTTCAAGTCCTGGAAGTCTCCCTTCCACAAGTCGCGGTAGGTGGGCGGGAGCATCATGTGAATGTTCTTCATATTGCTCACTCGAAACAGTGCGTATGCCGCAGCGAAGTGCCGCGCTTCAACGGCACTATCTTGCGTCGCACGTTCTTTGAGATAGTCTCTCGGCGGCACGATTGGCGGTAGAGTAGTGACCTCTTGAGTCTTCGCATTCTTCTGCTTGATGATGACACCTCCTGTGAAACCTTTGCCATTGCGATGAATTGTATACTCTGGCTTGTCCCATTTTTGCTTCTGACAATGTTCGTTGAACAGCGTCTGGGGCAGTTTGCCTGTCCATGATGCGCCGCCTATCAAAGTCCGAGGGTCCGGCTTCTTCTCTGCCTCAGCAGGTACACTGCTGCCACTCGCAGATGCTGCCTCTTTGCCTTTGCCGCCATTTTTCTGCGCGTCATCGAGAGCAGGCTGTTTCGCTTTCTTGCTCTTCTTGTCGTCGCCAAACTGGATGAAGCTGGTGTCCTCGTCGTTCAAGGTGGATGCAGATGCACTGGGCTTCTTGCCAGTGGCCTTGCTGCCTTGCCGCGGCCCATGCGGCTTGTTGACCATCTCGGGGAAATATCAGAGGAAAGGCGTCGGATGATGTCCATATTGAAAAGTGGGAGGGCGAAGAGAAATTATTAAAGTAGGCACTGGAACATGCGGCGGAACAGAGTGAGGTCAAAAGTGTGGAGAAGGCCCGTGCTTCTCCTCGACTTCAAGGTTCTATCGTTCCAGTTCTCTTCGTCTAGAAGCAAGAGTCAATCCGATCTCACGCACATCTGAGTAAGGCATTCCAATACTTCAATACAGCAGTGGCATCGACGTCCTGAAATCACGTTCTTGCAGCGGACGTTAACGCCATGGCGCGTTGGAGCAGGCTTTGGCGGATCTCTGGACCCTTTTATGGACTTGGTATAGCCGTAGCCTCTGTCCCCATATAGGATAGCCCAATGCAAGCCCGTTTCAAGTCAGAGAGCCGCACGGCAATCTTGCTATTGTCCCCGAACGGAGTTACACTGGCCTTCTCCTTCGCAGGATTTCGCGCGTCACATAGTCGAAGTCGACCATGCAAAATACCCCACCAGGCACACTATCTGCCAACGTAGCTCTCGAACAACATATTAAGCAAGCAATCTCCTCGAACATCAAACAACGACAAGTGAGACACTGGTCCGCTACAACCTCTCCAGCACCTGCCTTACTTCCACAGCAATACATCTTGCCCTCGTCGATGTCCACCTCCTCAGTGACAGACGATGGGACCACCCAGACATCCGTGCACACCTGGCACCAGACATAACAGTTCGGACCGCCACATACATGTGCGTCGCTAACATCATAGGTCTCGAAGAATACATCAAATTCCACAACGAGAAGGTGGGAGGTGGGACGGTATCCGAACTACGCCTTCGAATGTCTGAGGATAGAAGCAAATGTGGATGGGGAGCGTGGTACCGCGACGGCGTTTCACCTAATGAGGCTCAGCGGACAGCCAAATGGTGTATACTAGGAAGCGACACACCTCAATCGTTGGGAGGAGAAGGGACTGGACGTGGGGGATGATTAGACAGGAAGGATTTCGAGGGTCGTCTGGATTGAGGCTTGTTTGAGGGCATTCAAATAGATAGAAGTTGATGTGCGCGAGGGGATAACGGCGTACAAGACCGCACATTGTGCTCGGCCACGCTAGCGTTCAATGCTGTGCAGCTTTTCGTTGAGATCATTTGTCTTCGCAGTCCCGGCTGAAATGGCACACCTCTTTCCGCCTCAAACATCGAGCAACCTCAAAGTACTCTCATTGAAGTCTCTTGGAATGTCGGTGAACGACTCAAAAGAGATTCCTCGCAGGCGATTAATCCCATCGCCTTGCCCGAGAGGGCGATAGATCTCTGGTGTAAAAGCGACGGTGCTATACCCTTGGATCAATTTCCTCAGATAGCATGAAGTCGCGGCTCGTGTGAGGTACTTGTCCCGGAATGTGGCCAAATGGTTGTCAATAATCCGTTGAGATTCGTCAGGGTGCGCGAGGTAATATTTCACCTTGTCTTCCAGATCGCTCCAGTCTCGCTTGACCGGAATGTAATTCTGCTGCGGACCTTCTTTCTTGAGGGCAGCGTACCAATACACCATCCATTCCAGCTCATGTATGATTGGCAAGGAATCGCAATTGAAGAGATACTTCAATCTACCAGAATAGCTCACACCTTCCGTGTGGACCGTCATGGCATACTTGCAGAGCTCTTCAATCGCTAGGCCATCCTCCATCTCAGGACCACCAAAGTCCAGAATCTTGATGTCGGCCCAGTCCTTGCCTTTCGCAAGGTCGGCAAGCGCACCCCTAAGCTTGAAATTCACCCAACCAGTACCTCGCCAGACCGCTTTCTGTATCTTCTCGGAGAAGGACGCCGAGTACTGCACCGCTCTTCGACGCGCATCCAGGTATGATCCCATGGGCGAGGAGTACCAGAAGTCGAAGTTGGGAATGAGCCAATGCCGGTTATGAGCCTCATTCTCGACGTTCCGCGTCCATGTCCAGATGGCATGGCTGCTGTCAGGAGGTAGATTGGTGGCAATGTCCTGTGTGATGATTGCGGCCTCAATAGTAGGCAGCTTCTCTCCGCCAGCCGTTGCGCTGTCAATAGCACGTTGAAGGATGTTCAGAAATCCAACCTCCCTCCCGCGATGTCCTATGTGGCCAATAGTAGGATCTTTGCTCTCCACAATTCGTAGCTCGTTGTTGTGAATGAGTATGCGAATGGCGCCTCCTCGATTCTCGTCATCGCCATGACGCCAAGACACGTCTACATCTTGGGGAGAGATGGTATGACCTCGTCCTTTCCAGTAAGCTACCGCCCGATCCACTTCTTGATAGAGTTCTGGAAAAAGCTTGTCGCATTGCGTCTGCGTGAGGCCATCGGCTGGCTCTCCTTCAGGGTTAAGAGGAATCTGTTGTTGTGATGTAAATGGATTAGGAGAAGTCGAGCTTCCATCGAGTCCTCGATATTGAGCGATGAATTGGATCAGGATCAGAAGTATCAGCAGGTAGCAAAGTCGTTTCCAAGACAGTAAGGACTCCATCTCATTATCAGCATCCCGGCATTAGCATTACTTTGTTGCATCTCGAGAGTCAGGAGGAAGCTCCCTGTGATCGAAAGTAGACTGGTCGGAGCCTCGGCCCGACTCGAGGGCGCCACAAGATCGGGATCGGGATCGGGATCTAGGGAAGTCAATCGCGCAGTCACGTCGGAAGTCTCTTCCTGACTGTCCCTCCTTACGGTATCTCCACTGGAGAGTGACAGTTGAAGTCGTACTGGAGCATGGAGAGTTGGCTGTACCCGTGACGCTTGCTTGACGACCGTCTGCTCTTCACACGCACACGCAGCGCTCTTCCCGGCGAATCACCACAGCGCCGCGGCGAATCTCGGCTAGTCACGTGACGGATATCGCGTTGCGTTATCAAATTGGCAACGAAGTACGTGTATTCTTCACGACATCGACTCATGGATTCATCGGATTCATGGATACAACCGTCCTGCAGGTAAGAGTCCTCATTTCTGTGTCCAGGTTTCATGCATTGGTCGGCAGCGCCTGCGTGACCATCGCTTCTCCCTCTGTTGCTTTTCCTTGCTCGTCCTTCTCGCTCTGCAACACTGTCGACTCGATACTCTTTTCTTTTCCACCCTGAGTTCCCAACGTCAAAAACGGTACAAGCAGGACGCTGAGTGCCATTGCCGCGAACGATATCCAGAAAGTCGCAGCGTATGCTTGAGTGCGTGGGTCCCAGTAGTGCGACAGTGATGGATTCTGTTGCACAGAACTGAAGACAGCAGTAGCAAGACCCAGTCCGATTGTCATGCAAAGTTTCGTCACGGTCTGGAAGATGCCTCCGGCTGTGCTCTGCTGTGCGGGTGCCATCGAGCTCATGACATACATGTTAGCGACGTTGAATTCCAGATCCGCGCCGACTACAAGGAAAATGCAGCCGGGAAACGAGAATGCCCAGTAGCTATCGTGGGCTCTTTGGAGGGCGAAAAGGAGAGCCGCCAGTGCGTATGACACCGTTCCCATGTACAGGAGTACCCTGTTCGAGATTCGATGAAGTGCCCATCCAGCGAAGATGTTGACCATAATGCCATTGATGGCCATGGGCAAAAGATACACCGCGACCATTAATGCCGACTTGTGCCACACGTTCTGGAAGTAAAGCGAGGCGAAAAACGAGACCGGGGTGAAGGACATGAATCCGAGTGCGAGGATCGCCATGACCAGCGAGAAGTTGCGGTCTTTCCATATATCCATAGGCATGAGCGGATTGCTGAACCTCATTTCCCAGAAGATGAACGCAACGATGAGCAGCAGACCGACGATCAGAAAGATCAGTACATACGGCGTTCTCCAGCCTTGCGGAGCAGTGTCACCGAGACTGAGCGCGGCAGAAAACATTCCGATTCCAGCAATCGTCAGAATGGCACCGACAAAGTCGAAAGTCTTTACAGTCTGCCAACACAAGGGCTCCCTGTCAACAAAGTCCTTTGGTACGCTGAAAACGGCGATGAATGTGAAGACCATGAAGATGATAGCAATGAGCCAGAAGGAAGCTCTCCATCCGAACAGACTTGCGGCAATGCCGCCAGATATTGTGCCAAAGACAAATCCCAATGGATTACCAGCCGAGAAACAAGCGAAGGCAGCGTTTTTGCGTTTGCCCGGCTTTTCGTAGACGTTTCCCAGGATTCCGACAGCCGGGGGCACCGCAGAGGCGCTGAAGAGACCAAGCACTCCGTTCAAGATATCCATCGTGATCGCGTCGTGAACAAATCCTGTGGCAAGACAGAAGACCGAAAAGAGGAATAGGGAGCCAACAAACATTGCTTTCCTTCCGAACATGTCTGCTAACCTACCGAAGAACAGTAGGAATGCACCACTGCTCAAAGAACAGGCTGAAGCAATCCACGTAACTTCGGCAGTCGACATTCCCAATCTGAGGTATGGTTAGAGTGCAATCATCATAGCCGAAGTGGGCATGTAAAGCAGACTCACGATCTTCCGATGAACGAGGATGTGACGGTGACTGATCCAGCCAGGAAGCTTGTCATCGCGATCGCCATAGTCGCACTCAGGACGAAGAGGATTTCCTGAAAGGTGGAAGTAAAGCAAGCCGGTCTTTGATTGCTCGTGCGAGTTGGTTCGATAGGAACCATGTGGTGTGTTGCGTCTTCGCTGGCTGCCACCGAGTGACTTGTTGGAAGGTCCTTCTCTTCATCGTTCTGGTCTCCCATGTTTGATAAAGCCTTTGTGCATGCAGCATGGCAAGAATGTTGTCAAAAAGTAGATCTCACCGAGTCAGCTGTTGGGTATCTAAAGATGCGTGAGCTAAGCAAGGTGTGCTCTTGGTCTTCCGGGAAAAGTGGAGGAGAGGCAAAGTGGCCCACGTCAACGATCTGCGACTGCAGTCGCGACTACATTTGGAAGTCCGGTCCGGTGGACAGAAATATTCTCTCAGAAGATAGAGGTATTTCTTGGTGTATGTACACCGACTCCGGTCCTCTGAGACTGTGTCATCAGGGATTGACAGATACTCGAAATTTCGCTCGTATTTGGATGAGACCAGCTAAAGTCTTACGCCAGAAAGCCGGAGATTGAAACATCCCAGCAGACCGCGGTTCTCCAGAGGTCAAGGAATCTGTGAATCTAACACAGCCGCCGACTCGTGGAGTACCAACATTCGGCACTATTGGCGACAATCCTGTGTCATCACGTTGTGTCGTTCGAGAGCCACAATATGAGCTCAGAGTTTGACCACCTCCCATCCTCCCAGATCGAGGGTCGATAAGACACCTCGCACAAGTCCTTGGGTTTCTTTGCCGTTCGCCCATTGTTTAGGTCCAGCCCAGTGACTGATGAAGCCCTCTGGACCAGAAACAATCAAGATGCGCTTGCCGAGCGAGCTGGCGCTGCCTGTCTTTGATGAAGTGCTCAACACCCTTTTGACGTCCTCGGGCTTGATCATGGCACCTTCTTCATCGACGTAGTAATCCACCAAAAGGGCTGGACGCTGACCATCTGCGACTCCTGGTTCTTGCTTGAGTTTCTCTAGCATAGACACCAGAGGACCTTTCTCGGTCCCTACGATGGGCTGATCAGACTTGACAGCCGCAGGAGATCGGGACCACCAGCTCCAGCCTTGCTTTGCCCGCGTGGTGTCATTGTATCCGCCGATGCAGTCCTCCCTCTTTCGGCTTGCCCAGAGAATGTGGATGGCTGCTTGGCCATCAAGCTTGTCCGTAGCCTGCACTGCTGGTGCAATGCCTGTACCGCCCACCAGGAAAACCACGCTGTTCACATCGTTTGGTAACACAAACTCAGCATGTAGACCACGGAGCTCAATCTCTGAGCCGATGGGCAATCTGTGGAGGAAATTCGATACCTCACCTTTCTGCTCTTTGCGTATCAAGAACCGAAGTTCGTCCATATGTTGTCCATCTTGCTGGGGTAGGCAAGTATATGACCTCGCAATTTGCAGTTGTGGCTGCTTGAATTCGACGCTTGTGATAGCTCTTTCCAACGTAGGCTCATCTTGGTCGACGACAACGTTGGACGCGGGTCTGAGACGAAATATCGCAGAGGTGGAGGAGACACTGTCTTTTCCGACCAGGGCATATTTGACAAATTCGCTCGGATCTGAGAGTCTTGTTCCTCGCTCTTGACTATATCGATTCTTCAAATACCATCCAAGAGGAAGGCCAATCGCAAATATCGCCAGCGCAGGTATGCCAATCCCATTCTTTCGCTTTCCGGCTTGATTTCTCGGCTGTTGCTCTTTTCCATCTTGGGTCGTCTCCTGCTCGGTCTTCAACGTTCTGTTCGAGTCGGCGTTGCTGGATGCGGCGTTGTCAATGTTTCGCAACAGGCGGCATTGCGAGAAGCGTGCTATCGAGATGCTCTGCAGTCGGCAGTCGTACAACGAGCGTCTCGTACCCAGGCATCTCCCAGTGCGATAGGACAAAGTCATTGTCAATAAACAAGACGACACGAAACCAAAATGCCGAGCAGATGATGGAGCTGCAGGGAACAACACCCAGAAGCCCCACGCGAGAAAGCTTGCCCGCGCCAAGTCTGAGACGGGCTCCTAGGAGCCTCACAAGCCTCAACCCTCCAACATCCTCTCTCTTTTCCAATATCAAGCACGTACCTGTAGTGACCAACAACAATCGCCAAATGTCTCGCGACCCGCGCGCGACGGTTATCTGCGCATCATCCGCACAACATCCAACAATGAGCCTATCCAAGGCCACTAACATGCACGCTTCTGCAAAACCGCTCCACTCATCATGTAGGTAGTAGCGATGTGCTGGCGAGGGGCCCAACGACGCCGACAGGAGTAGCAACTAAATTTAGCATCTGATATCCTGGTACATGCCCACGTTGTTACCAGGTTCGCTCTCTCTGATGATAAAGCGCCCCGCCGCCTTGAATCGCCTTTGTCAGTCGCAGTATCTGCCTGATTCCAAGTCAGTCAATCGCATACCGCAGAGATGGATTTTGTGCAGAAGAATCAATACAACAGTGTTGCGAATGAGTACCCATCCATCGAGGACGTGCCGCATTCCAAAGTGGAAGACGAACTGGTTAAGATTGCCCTAGCAGACTGCACCGGCTTAAAAGTGTTGGATCTCGGCGGGCGCTTTGGCCTCCACGCACGGCAGGCTCTGGACGCTGGAGCTTCTTGGGTAGACGTCGTCGACGTGAGTCAATCAATGCTGGATGTTGGCAAAGGCATCGAAGATGAAGCTGGCCGAGGCATCATCGGATGGCACCTGGCAGACATCTCAAAACCCCTGTCTGCACAGGTCCCCGATCTGCCACAGGACGGCTACGATGTAGTCATGGCAATCTGGCCTTTTGACCATGCCCGGACGGTCAAGGAGCTGGAAGGCATGTGGCGGAATGTAGCTGCGTACATGAAGCCTGGCGGCCGATTCGTTGGTGTTCGAGTTGCCAATCCATACGCTCAAAGTGCGAGGACTGGAAAGTATGGCAGTCAATTTCGCGATCTTGAAGAGATCGCGGATGGGGTCAATTATGAGTGCGCCATCCTTGCCACTCCTCGGTTTGCCTTCGAAGCAACATCAATGGAGACAAGCTACAGCGGCTCCACGGAAATACCTGAAAAGTACGGCCTTTGCGACGTCACGGTCTTACATCCCAAAGACACACAGACAGTCAAGAGAGACCCTGACTATTGGGCTATGCTGGTTGAGGATACTCACTTTGTGGCTTTCACTGCGAGAAAGAAGTGAGCGATACCACTTGAACTCTGTCACAATATCTTCATCGAAGCTATCCATCCACGCGGACCACGCGCTTATGCTTATCGTCAACGCCAAGCCACATAAGATCCGGACGACTGTCTATAGCAGCTGTCAGCACGCAAGTCGAACGCCTCGATAGCAAACTCAACTTACAGTGTCCAGTCGCATCCGCAAAAGTCTTATTCTTCGTGACTAAACTCAAGTCCAAGTCCGCGATGATAAGCTGCTCATTCGAATTCTTCGGCGCACTCAGAATCCTGCCATCGGGTCCAATAACCGCAGAACTACCCTCGATGGCATGACCCATGATAGGCCCACCGGCAGTCTTCATCTGCTCGATGCCAGCATCGGTGAGGACGGTCGTGGCATGCAAAACGAAGCTTTGCGATTCAATTGCGTAGGATTGAGACTGGTTCCGGCAGCCCTCGACGGACATGGAATAGAAGCCTGGAGAACCTTCAATGAAGGGATCGAGAGGCGGCCAGGCTGCGCAATGGATTTGTTCGCCTTGAGCAAAGGTATAGTACTTGAGCAAAGGTTGGATATGCTCCCAACAGGAAAGACTGCCCACTCTGCCCACGTCTACGACATCGACGACTTTGGCCAGGCATTGTCCACTCGCGTCGCCGAAGATGGTACGTTCCATATGCGTAGGCTTCATCTTCCGTCTGGTCATATTGATCTCCCCAGTCTCGCTAATCATTGCCTGAGCAATGTAGACGGATTCGCCATCCCGCTCCGAGAAGCCCAGCGCGACAGAGATTTGATTCTCGGCGGCGGCGGATTGAATCCGCTGCATCTGCGGACTGTCAATCTTGAGACAATTCTGGACATATTTCACGCCCAATTCGAAGTCAACGGGACGGCTCCAGATCCATGCTGGATACCCGGGGATCCAACACTCCGGGAAAGCAACGAGTTTGGCTCCTGCTTGGGCTGCTTCTTTCACGATCTTGACGGTCTTTTCGACTGTGGCATCGAGATCTAACCAGATGGGCTCGTGTTGAGTGACCTGGATGTGCCTTGGGTCAGCAAATTGCCGTCTCCTTGTGGTGAGACGTGAGTCTGTACCGCTACACGGACAGTTGCCGGACTTGTGGAGCCCATGGCGATTTGTCTTTGTTAATGAAACGGGGTGAACAAGTTGGAAGTCCTTGCAAGTGCGGAATCTACAGGTCCATATACTGATGCTGCACCTCAAGCTATTGAGCAGACGTACATCCAGCCCCAGCAACAATGGACTGAAGAACCTCCACCTTTAGCACTAATGTCGTGTGTAGGTAGCCAGCCTCCGTGAGCAATGTGGGGTAGGGGGTAAAAGTGGTAATGTTCACGGCCCGGGACACATATCAAACACTGGAGAGAAGATGTGTCCCGCGGTGTTTACTGGTGGCTTGCCCTTTAGAGTTATTGCTTCACGCAGGTCCTAGATAAGAGCTCTCGATAAGAGCTATCGATAAGAGCTCTGGCATTGGGAGAGTGTTCTCCGCACCAGATGGCAGACCGGACGTCCGCTTCATCTGCGGTGGCAAGCTACGGAGTTCGTTGCCAACAAGTTGAGATCATCTGGATGCCATCCACAGAGACGAGGAACGCACAGGCGCCACCAATAAGACGTTTTGCCTTGCGTAACTTGATGACTTGAGCTCGCTCGAAGATTGGAGCGGGAGGCACAAGACGTAAGCTTGAGATCCAGCAAGTGTGAGCCCGTGCTGACTGTTCCAGACACTTGCAATTCTTTGGGCGTCCACGAGGTCATGGTGCTAGAGCCGCAGCAGCAGTTCTTTGAGTATGTCGGATGCCATGACACTGCTGGCATGCTTGCCGCTGTTTGGACGGAACACCGCGATCTGGAGCGGGCCCATCGACGGTCGCTTCAAGTGCGCCACCGCAGTAGGATGCTGTCTGTATAGGCGAATGAATCGCGATTTCCATCGCTGTATTGAGCTGATTGCGCGTCGGGACAGTCTGTGCGCGCATGCACGTACGACCACAGCAACCTGCAGCAAGACAAGCATCATGGGCGTCATTAGCGTTGAGCTAATCTGGAAGGTGGTACCTGGGCTGGGGTTCTGGCCCTGTTGATGTCAGTCAGGGCAGGTGGAAGGCATGCTCGCGTGCCTTGCTTTGAACCACACCTCATTCTTCCCCGAGGTCAGGCCAGCATTTCGACGACATCGACTCACCCTACGTGCCAATCAATCAACCAATCAATCTATCAAAAATCAATTTAATCTGTCAAGAACCCTAGCAGGAAACCTACGACCATGACATCCACGACGCCCACAGGAAAGAAGCTCCCGTCAGAGCATCTCGATGCTGCACAGCGGGCACTCAGCACCGTGACCGAGAATGCAGCGCCCAGGGCTGGAGACGACCCGACAGCCCATCTGCATGCTCCGGCGGCGAAAGAAGAAGCGCACACTTGGATGAGGAGCATCTTCCCGTACAACACACTCCAGGAGTTTGAAACTGCCTGGCATCTGGGCAACTACGTCCTCGACCGGCAAACGGGCGAGAGGTCCTTCGAAGAGATGAGCATCTACGTTCGGGCATGTACCCGTCTCCGTGTTGATGCAGTGGTGTTACTGCCATACTGACACAATTCAGCTCGGGATGCACCTTTTGTACTACGGCTCTGAGCAAGAGAAGGCTCTGCATTGGAAGCGAACCCTAGATGTTCTCCGCGATCAGAGCTTGAAGATGGGCAAGCAGTACGATGCTCCAGAGAGCAAACAACACATTCAGCCATTCATCGAGAGTTTCCACTTGGAGAACACACTTCCGGAGCTCAAAGTAAGCACTTGGCTTGCCGCCAAGGGCATGTACTAACGAGGCACACAGGAGCCTGATCCAGCCAAGTACAAGACCTTCAATGAGTTCTTCGCCCGCGAATTGAAGCCAGATGCTCGTCCCATTGCAGAACCAGATAATGATCGTGTGGTATCCAGTCCAGCAGACTGCCGACTCACAGTCTTCCCGACCATCGAACTGGCTACCAAGTATTGGATCAAAGGCTTTGGCTTTTCTCTCAGCAAGTTGCTGGGCTCCGATGACCTTGCTAAGAAGTTCGAAGGCGGCAGTATCAATATCGCCAGACTAGCACCTCAGGACTACCATCGATGGCACTCCCCAGCGTCAGGCACGATACACAGTATTACTGACATTCCGGGAACATACTACACCGTCAACCCGCAAGCCATCAACGAAGAGGGCACTGTGGACGTCTTCTGTGAGAACAAGCGTTCAGTCATGACGATGACACGATCATCCACTGGCTCGCTTGTCGCCGTCGTTGCCGTGGGTGCCATGCTTGTGGGAAGCATTCGATACAATCCAGGCATTGGCGTTGGAGCCGGTGTGCACAGAGGGCAATGTTTGGGGGCTTTCTTATACGGTGGCAGTACTGTCATCGTATTGTAGGTGGACAGTCCGTATTCGAAGGGAACATCTGGCTGACATTCCCACAGATACCCCAAGGGCGAAATCGATCTGGACCAGGATCTTGTGAAGAATTCGACCGAAAAGGGCTGCGAAACTCTGGTGAGAGTCGGCTGGAGGGTGGGAGCAGGTCCATCATAGAGAGTCTTACTTTAATCATTCGTCCAGAGGGTTAGAATGTGGTGTACCGCAAGCTATACTGAAACCAGCTCTGCAAAAGTTTGGCCTGGTGAATACCTCCTCTCATATTGCTTTCTCAAATATTGGCGGAAATCAGCATCATCGGCTGTCACGGCGTCTCTTGTCGTGGTAAGGGGACCTCGATCGACTTCGGTGCCGTTGGCGATGATGCTCGCGGCTTCTCGAGCGCTCCTCGTAATGTCTGCGTCTTCTGTGCCGAAGTTCACGCTCCCTGCTTCGAGATCTCTCCTTTCTATCTCGTGATCTTGATGTTGAACGATGCCGATGTCTGTGTCTCCGGTCGCTGTCCGGTTGCCTTGACCTGTCACGAGAACGTCGCCGCCTTTTCTCGTCTCTATCGTCGCGGTGACTGCGTCTCCTTTCGCGACTTTGACTGCGATCTCTTCTCCGCTCATCGCGTCCACTCCTCCTTCGCTCGCGGTCTCGATCTCCTCCCCGCGACGATCCAATTCCAGCGGGCTTATCTGCATGTCCCTCCCCGTCATCAAGCGCTTCCTTCAAAGCCTTGTTCACGTCCCTCTGGTTCAACTTGCTTTCTCCCAGCGGCACGTTATTCGCATTTGCTCTATCTGGCACCGGCAGACCCAAGGCTCGCGCCATAGCATCTTCCTCCGCCTCTTTCACTTTCCTCAACTCTTCTCGCTTCCTCTCCTGTTCTTTCTCTGCTCGCTCTTCGGGTGTGAGCTCTGCATCGTCAGCCTTGGCGTACCAGCCGAGGTCTCTGTGCTTTTGCCAACGTCCGACCGGTGCCATGACCGAGTGTCCCAGGTAATTCTCGCGGTGATTTGAGGATTTGACATCGTCCCAGCTGAAGTTCACGCCGCCGCGTGAGCCCTCTTTGCGGACTGTCTGGAGTAGGTCCATCTTCGTGGTGCTCTCGGATGTGTTTGTAGGTCGTGGCGGAGTTGTTAGTAGTAGTTCCGACTTGACTGAAGCAAGAAGCTCCGGTCGGCAGTGCGGCCCGAAGATAGTGAAAGCGCGCTGACGCAGGGACGGACCCGACTAGAGGTGCTGCCCTGTGGAGCTTAAACGTGGCCTTCGCAATTGCTGACGATCAGATGCTTGCAACAAATCTCTGAAGCTTCCACAGCTTCGTCGCTTCTCATTTAAGGAAGATGGGCAAGCATTGGGGCGTCAGCACGTTGCTGGCCTCCGCATTCGCTGCGCTGGCTGCAGCACAAGACACCAATGTCTTCAGCAAAGCGTCCAACGACAGTCTGCTCTGGGGACCTTACCGATCGAATCTTTACTTTGGCGTACGACCCCGAACACCGAAATCGCTATTGACAGGACTGCTTTGGTCTCGCGTGGAAGATTTTGTTTCCGTTCAAGAGAATATCCGATACACTTGCGAACAACATGAGGGGATGGCAGGATATGGCTGGGATGCGTACGACCCGAGAACAGGGGGTATTCAAGTGATCCACGACAAGGGAAATGGAATTGATATCGAGACGAGCTTCGTCAAGTTTGACGAAGGCCGAGGAGGCTGGGCAGCGAGGATCAAGGGCACACCCAGAGAAGATGCAGAGCCAATGGAGGCAGTCCAGTACAGCAGCGGTGGGCAAGAGATGAAGACAGCAGTCTGGTTCACTGTGAGCGCTGAGGGGCTTGGTAGTGTGCAGCCACAAGAAGTGGAGAACGCCGATGAGCTGGGCTACGAAGGCGACGTTGTGCTAGAAGGACAGACCAACGATCTGGGAGACTTCAAGCTTACTATCACTGAGCCAAAGGGAACAAACCATCCTGCGCATACGCACCCTTCTTACCAAACCAAGCCCCTGTCTAATGCCTTTGTACATTCGCTTCAGGTTCCCGAAGAAGCTCTTTGGCAGGCCAAAGGTAAGTAGTTTTGCATTCCACGGCCGCTTCCTGGGGATGCTGATTCTGACCAAGATTTCTTGCAGCGCTGCTTTTCAGTTCGATGAAGACCACCATTGATCAATACATAGAAGAGTACACCAAGGAGAATATGCCGCCTCCATGGCAGACCTACACTATCCAGAATCAGCCCGGTCAAGGCAACATGCACCTGATACAGAAAGTACTCGAAGGTCCCTTCGAATTCGATGTCTTCTTCACGCCTGACTCTGCCACGCCAAAGTCATCCGAAGATCTCAGCAAGGCCATCGCAAAGGTGACGGCTCAGTTCGATAAGAAATACCAGGTCGTCCACAAGCCCCAAGCTCCCTTCAAAGATGAAAAGTATCTCGGCTTCAGCAAGTCGCTGTTCAGCAACCTGATCGGAGGCATCAGCTACTTCTATGGCGACCAAGTCATCGACCGCTCTTATGCTCCGGAATACGAGGAAGAAAATGAAGGTTTCTGGCAGGAGGCCGAGGAAGCGCGTGGCCGCAATCAGCAAAAGCTTGAAGGGCCATATGAGCTATTCACTTCCGTACCGTCTCGGCCTTTCTTCCCGCGGGGATTCCTGTGGGATGAGGGTTTCCACCTACTGCCTATCCTGGACTGGGATGCGGAGGTGGTCATGCAGATTCTAAGCTCCTGGTTCAACACCATGGACGAGGATGGCTGGATTCCCAGGGAACAAATCTTGGGCTCGGAGGCTCGAAGTAAAGTTCCCGCGGAGTTCCAAGTGCAATACCCTCACTATGCCAATCCGCCAACTCTGTTCATTGCTCTTGAGGCTCTTGTCGACAAGATTGAGGGCAAGGCTGGTTCTGGAGTTGCCTTGGACGAACAGAGTCAGCAGACCCTGGGAACAATTGGCGGAGAAGTCCTTGCAAGTCCTGAATCTATCAAAGCTTGGCTGAGGCAGCTCTACCCATTCCTTCAAAAGAACTTCGAGTGGTACCGTAAGACTCAGTGGGGGGATTTGAAGTCGTATGACCGGGAGGCTTTCAGCTCAAAGGAGGCGTACAGGTGGCGAGGAAGGACTCCACGGCATATCTTGACGTCTGGTCTTGACGATTACCCGCGCGCGCAACCACCGCATCCAGGTGAGTTGCATGTCGATCTGATCAGCTGGATGGGTCTCATGAGCAGAAACATCTACCGTGTTGCTAGCTTTCTTGGAGAGAAAGATGACGAGATCAAATACGGGAAGATCGTTGAGGCCATTCGCAGGAATGTGGACGACTTGCACTGGTCGAAGAAAGACAAGACGTATTGCGATGCGACTATTGATGACTATGAAGAGAACGTGCTGGTGTGTCACAAAGGATACATCAGTATCTTCCCATTCATGAGCGGCTTGCTGGGCCCTGATCACGAGCATCTGAAAGATGTTCTCGATTTGATTGGCGACGAAGAGGAACTATGGAGCCCCCACGGAATTCGAAGTTTGAGCAGGAGCGACGAGAACTACGGAACAGACGAGAACTACTGGCGAAGCCCGGTCTGGATGAATATGAACTACCTGATCGTGAAGGAGCTCTACGTAAGTCCTTGCATGACCCTCGGATGCCTTGAAATAGAAGCTGACAGTTTCGCAGAACATTGCCTCGCAGCCTGGTCCGCAACAGAAGCGGGCGGGCACCATGTACAACGCACTCCGCAAGAACTTGATCGACACTGTCTACAAGTCTTGGCTAGAGACCGGATTCGCGTGGGAGCAATACAATCCCGAGACCGGCGTTGGTCAGAGAACACAGCACTTCACCGGCTGGACAAGTCTCGTCGTGAAGATTATGGCCATGCCAGAGATCGGCAAGAAGGGCGGCCACGATGAGCTATGATTTGAGTTCCTTGAAGATACATCGCTGTAAACTACATAGATCAAAAGCACCTCGAACATTACACGGCAACATCATCCGTCTGACCAATGATGCCTCCGTACCACGTTACTCCCGTCAATAGTATCATCGTATCACTATACCGCAGCGAAAGAAGGCAGCACTCTTGAAGGAGCATGTGAACGGTTGCCTCAGGCCGAAACCTGGATTTCGGGACACCCTCGGCCTCGGCTTATCGAGGTACGATGCCGGGCCACATCGCGTCGCGTACCCTCTTCCTCGATCCCATCTGGCACGAAGCCATCAACCAGCAGGAACGGCATGTAGCAATGGCCACCAAGCGGCTCCTCAAAGAGCTCGACGCCTTCCAACGCGAGCCTTCGCCGGCCCTCTCCGTGCTCGAGCCGCGAAGCGACGAGGACCTCTTCCACCTGACAGCAGTCCTGAGAGGGCCCGAGGGAACGGCTTACGAAGGTAAGGAACCATGTCAAGTTTCAAACCCAATACAATACAAAGAAGCTGAAACTACAGCTTTCTTTTCTCTTGGGCAGGTGGAAGGTGGAATCTCTCCATCACCATCCCATCTGCCTACCCCAACAGTCCGCCCGAAATCCGCTTCCAGACGCCCATCTGCCATCCGAACGTCAACTTCAAAACCGGCGAGATCTGTCTGGACTTGCTCAAGACGAGTTGGACGCCGGCGTATGGGATTGTGAGCACGTTGGAAGCTGTGCAGCAGCTCTTGTCAGCCGGAGGGGAACCGGATAGTCCGTTGAATATTGATATCGCGAGGCTGTTGAGGGATGGGGATCTGGTCGGTGCGGAGGCCCTGGTGAGGTTTTACACGCAGCTGTTGGCTGTCAGAACATGAGGAGGTTGATTTGTGGAAAAAGGCCGAACACGAAAACAGAGCTTATGTTCCATCTCGACTCTCACTCTCTGCGTCGCTGGAACAGTTACATGTCTAGTTATGGCTCTTCATGTTAGCGAACGTCGGGTCCGCAGGATTTCAAGGAGTATGCTGTATGGGTAGCATCAATTACGATGTTACCCCATGCTTGAGAACGCTTGCCCCACTGCAAGACTACCCTATCATTTCAGGTGCTGCGATGGAAGCGCCTCGCTATTGTACATATGGACCACTCAGCGCCGAACCCAAGCATCGTCATTACCTGGAGCAAGAGCTCTCAGATGGTCGTTGATTGTACATCCACACCGCTCCCGTATGCATTTGCTTGAACGCAGAGTGAAGGCAGTCCGGAATTGTATCTCTTGTTCCCGGCGGCTTTGATGAGTCGAATATGCGTTGTTCTTGTTGTAGTGTTGAGAACACTTGACGAGAGTCGGAGAGCGCTCTAGAGCCGTGATGGCTTGTCCTACGAGCGCCCAGCACCAGCTTCACCGCCTCCGCGAGGTCCACGACCACGTCCGCCGCCGCCGCGACCGCCTCGGAATTCTCCGTCACCACGACCGCGACCGCCTCGGAATCCTCCACGGAATTCGCCTCGACGACCTCCACGTCCGCGAAACTCGCCATCACCACGCGGGCGACCACCTCGTCCACGGTGACGATCTTCCACTTGATGGAAACCATCATCTGCTGCGCGCGTAGATCCAGTGCCGGCAGACACATCAGCCCAGCCGTTAGCAGAAGCAGGCTCAGCGCCCCAGCCCTTGTCCTTCTCCTCGCCGGCCACCTTAATATCCCAGCCCTCACCTGCCAAGTTACCAGTACCTGCAGCTGTTTCGTAGGAAGGCGGCTCATCCGCCCAGCTTGTGCTCTGCGGCTGCTGCTGTGGCGGGGCTGCAGCGACGGGCACGTCAACCTCCTCCGAAGGACGAGGGATCACCTCGTAGCTTTCCTCGAGACCACCATTCTCGGCACCAGCAGATGCTCCACTGGCATCCGCAGTCCAGCGCTCTCCAGCAAGGTTGCCAACGTCCCCAGCCGATACTGGAGCAATGGCTGCCGGATCAGCAGTGCCTTGGGTCGATGTGCCATTCTGTGCCGGCGTTCCCATCTCGGTCAATCCGGCATGCACTAGCGTTGGATCTGAACCGACATCGCCGCTCGTAGCTTCGGCAACCTGATCAACCCAGGCCTCCTCAGTCTGGAAGGGAGCGTATTCGACGGAAGCCTTCTTCACGTGTGCATCTGTGTCACGCAATGTCAGCATCCATGTCGATTAAGCACGTGACCTCGTGAACGACATGCGTTGCGTGAGGGTAAGATTGATATGACTCACAATTGACCGGCAGAGGAATGCCGTCGATACTAGGCACCTGCTCCTGGGTGCCCTCGATGAGGTTGACTGCAGCATCGACGGCTTTCTGATCGCCACCATATACCAGCAGCAGGGTACCCTCGAATGCCCTACTCTCGTCCGTATCCGCTTCTTCTTCAATGTTGCGCTTGTGAGCAGCAGCCCGCAGAAACTGCGAGAATACTAGCAGCTTCTCCCGAAGTTCGCTCTCTGATGTATTGACGCTCTCTGACCGAATCTCCTGTCTCACCTTCTCCAACTCTTGTTGATGCTGAGACGCAAGCTCCTCTCGCAGCTTGCCGATCTTGGTCTGGTAGTCTGCATCGAACTTGCGGTAATGTTCCTGACGCTCTTCTAGCTCGGCCAGCTGAGCTTGCAGTTGAGGCTTCTTCTGAGCAGCGGCACGCTGGTCGATGTTGATCTTGCGTTGGGCGACTAGGTCGTCGAGAGATACTCCAGGATTCTCGGCAAGTATAGCATCGAGCTTCTGCATGGCCGAGAGCTTCTTGTTGACGTTGCGGATCTGCTTCTGCAGCTCCTTGAGGTATGCATGCTCGGACGAAGCATCGTTGTCAGCCATGTTCGAACTGTCTTTGGACGGCTCCTCTGGCACAGCTGTAGCACTGTGGTTGGCGCCGTTTGTGGCCTCGGCCTTTGCTTTCTTCTTGCGAGCAGACTTGGAATCTGCGTTGACGGGCACTGGGTTCTCGACAGCTGCCGCAGCCATAATGTCGTGTGGTCGTGAGAGGGTTGGGTTTGTGTCTGAATTCGAAGAATGCACGAGGCCAGACGTATTTGAGTAGTCAGTGGTGCTGAAAAGGGGCTGTTACAGGCAAGGGTGTTGGTGTGTTAGTTGGTGAGATTCTTCTTAAGGTCGTGTGCTCGTCAAACATGCAAGCATGCAAGGTAGGATGTCACTTAAGGTTTAGCGCCGCTCAGATCCGTTATGGAGCTTCATCTGATTAGATACCTCCTGCTACAGAGCGTAGCACGCGCTGCTTCTTCGATATGCCACTCTGTTCGACTTCAATCATCTCTCATACTTCTGCACATTTTTTCTGCTACAACCCACTCGAAATGCTGAGTCTTCTTTGACGAAGTGAAGAATCTCAGATTTCCGCTGCCAACGCGCTTCCTGGCCTACGCCTCTTCCATATCGCTTTCCTCTCGAGACTGTTGACGGCGCCGACGCTGCTTGCTTTACTACTTGCCACCTGGATAGAGTAGAGACCGGCCACTCTTTTCCAATGGTCTCTCATAATTCACAAGCGCTCGCGAAGCGCAACACCGACATGGCGCTCATGCCGCCGCCTCCGGCGCCCAAACGGCAGAAGCGGCCTGCGAAAGTACTGGATGAAGATGTGTATTCGGATGCGCTAGCGCATATCATCGCTCGGGACTTCTTTCCCGGTTTGCTGGAGACGGAGGCTCAGAAAGAGTACATGGAAGCGCTGGACAGCAGCAACAAAGACTGGATCCGAGAAGCAGGCAGGAAGTTGACCCAAGTCATGACGCCAGTGCCTGAAGGTCAGAGGAGAGCGGGTAGACGGACAAGTTTCACACCCCGACGACAGGCCACCGTTGGTGAGACGCCGCGCGGATATTTGGGTGAGACGCCGCGCGGATATCTGGGAGCGACGCCTGGGTCTACGCCCATCAACGACGATTTCGCGCCGGAGCAGAAGCCCGAGGTCGATGTGAACATGTCGCTCGGGGCCTTCCAGGCGAAATACACTTCCGAGGATAATGAGAGTTTCAATGCGCTTCTGGACAAGCAAAATGAGAAGCGGGCCGCGAAGTACGGCTTCTTCCACAACGGCAACAAGATACCGTCTACAAGACAAATAGCGTATCGGGAAAACCAACAAAGACTTCTAGAGACCGGTAGTGGCTCTTCTACCGCGCTTATCACGACGAATGCTAGTGGAGAAGAGCGGCGCGCGGTTGCGGCGGCAAGGCCCTCCCAAGACTTGGACGACCGGCCAGCGTCTCTTGATAGCTTCCCCAATCAACAAGGGGCGCGGAACCATTTCATGTTCGGTCCAGATAGCGTGGAAGATCGCTTGCACACAAGAGCCCGGCAATCAGAGCAGTCGTCTTTGGCAGCTCCCAAAGCTGTGGCGTATTCAGCTACTCGCTTTACCACCACAGCCGATCCACCTGAGAACCTCACAGCTCCGAGCCCATCCCTGAGCGCGATAGACGCGGCGATCGCTGGACGTCCGAAATCATCCGTCTCCGAGGCTGGCTTCAGTGGTGCGGAAACACCCCGCGTCAATGGGTATGCATTCGTAGATGCTGAGCCAACACCGAGCGAGCTGGGAGATGCAGTGACTGATGAGGACGCCGATGCTGTGGAGCGTGAAGCGGCCAATCAGTTGCTGCCGAAAGTGGACGAGAGCGGTCCAAATCCCTTCAAGATCTCTGAACGCAGCAAGCGGGAAGACCTTCACCTGAGGCTCGTGGAGAAAGCAGATGCGGGGAGAAGAAAAGGCGGTAGGCTGGAACAGCTGCGCAATCTTGGAATCACTCCAGGACGCACGCCAACACCACGATTCGCCAGTGGTGCAGGTGTCAAGAGAGGCGCAATGACGCCGGCAGCGCAGAAATTAGCCGACAGAGTCAGTACGCCGAGACGAGGAAGTAGCATGTTTGGTTCCGAGAGCTCGAAGAAATCTAGCTGGACGCCTACACCACGCACGAAGCGAGCGGGGCAATGATAATAGGACCGGGAGCAGCATTGTTTGAATGGAAACACATTGACTTGAGTTAGTAGACACCTGCCGACCTGCCCCGCGGACTCAATACTGGTGCAACAGCCGTGGTAGCAGGGGACAGGCAGCCGAGCTGATCGGACAGCAGCTTCGATGGAACAGTAATCAGGCAAGTTGCATCTCCATTTTCCGCCGTCAAGACGCGCATAAGCACACTCTCCTTTTCCATACTCTCACCCAGTCGTTACTTGCATGCAACGGCGAGGCGGATCCAGCTATGGTACCCTGCCGTGCCTCTCCAGCTTCGGTGCTCGGGCCTGAGACTTCGGAAGAGACTGTCTGAAGGCATCCAGCATGGTCGGATGTTGTTCGAAGCGGGATAGCTGCGAGCGTGTACCTGGATGGCGTTTCTCGGGGGCACGAGCTCGACTGCCACGCGGGCCAGAGCCGGTGGATCGATCAATCCGGGGTTCATGGCTGATGACGGGCGTTCGATGACTTGCATTAGCTTTCCGAGGCAGGTACCCGTTTTGCACCACACAATGCTCTGATGGCGAAACCTGAGACTCTGTTCGCAAGATGAGGAAGCTGCAGTGCTTGGGAGGATGTTTGCGCGTGGTGTAGGAGAGGGCTCCTGCTGCTGCAGAGTCGCACTGAGGGAGGGGCACGGCGAATATGCGGTGGTCGGTGAGGAAAGGTCCAGGAGCTGGCGAGCCAGTGAAGCTCATGCACCCCGGTGCGGCGGAGATCTTAGATCGATCTCGCATCGTGCACCGAGATCTATACCACTACACAGCCTTTGTCGCCGTCCATCGGTATGTCGATAGGGAGAAATACGGTGTGAATTGGCCAAGCTATTTCTACCGATTCCTCGACCAACGAACGGTAAATGAAAACCCCAAGTGCAGCAGGCACGCTGTATACTCGAATTTAGATGACTTCGAAGCGGAATGTGTAGACTGCATGCATCAAAGTAGCCTCCTCCATACGACCCCTTCGATATCTGTGTCCTCGAGATGCCGCTTTGGAACTATCGTGGCGGCGGGTGCGAGATCTGGAGACTTCTCAGGCGACCTGTCCCACCGCTTTTACACGCTGGTCCGTGCACACTCACCCTCGCACCTCCTTCCGACGTCGCTCGATCTCCCAAATGCCAGACAGACCTGCACCTTCCAGTCCTCGACACCACCTGCACACCCTCCCGCCTGATCCCGAGACTGCCCTGCCGCCCTCGCCCTGCTGCCTTCCATTGCTGCCCTGCTGCCGCGCCCCGTCTCTGCCCACCGATGGAAGTCACGCTCTTTTTCTAGGAGGCTGCGACCATCGCGAGACGAGCACCTGCATCCAACGCGTCGGGCGCGACAGGGTTACGCCTCCACTCCTCGACTTCTGGCCGCGGCCTCTCTGCGAGCCGAGCGGGCGAGGAAGCGGAACCTCCATCCACCTCCAGGTTGCGCGCACCTCGACTCCTGCTCCGCACCCATACCCCCCCCATTCGCGCCGCCATGGAAGCGACTGGCGACATCGCGGTTGTGCCTGCGGGCGCGACGGCGACAAAGCCTCCATCGCCTGAGCCGGACGTCAAAGACACCATCGAGCAAGCGCCCGTCGCCAAACCTGCGACCGCCCTGACGCCACCCACCAGCGAAGAGATGAACCACGACCTCAAGGACGAGTCCGACTCCGATCTCACCGATCTTGAAGATGAGGAGGAAATCAAACCAGACCACTACTGGGATGAGGAGAATGGCGGCAGAATTCCAGTCTTCAAGCCGACCATGGACCAGTTCCGCAGCTTCAAGAAATTCATGGAGAAGGTGGATCACTACGGAATGAAGTCGGGCATAATAAAAGTCGTGCCTCCGCAGGAATGGTGAGCATAAGTCTTGTGCTAAGATAAATGTGGATCTTGCTGACCGCACTCCAGGCGGGATTCTCTACCGGCATTGGACGAACACGTCAAGCGAATCAAGATCAAGAACCCAATCACACAGGAATTCAACGGCACCTTCGGTACATACACCCAGCAGAACGTTGAAAAACAGCGGTCATACAACCTTCCGGAGTGGAAATCCTTGACCGAACAGACCGAGCACCAGCACCCTGCAAAGCGAGGAGAGCGGCGGCGTAATCAAGCTCAAGTTGTTCGAGGTGGTGGTAATCTTCGCGGTCGTGCTGCAGCGATCAAGGCAGAGAGCGAGGAGGGCACCCCGAAGCCCAAGAGAAAGCCTGGTCGACCGAAGCGTGGTCAGGCAGTCACCGAGGAGCCCGCCTCAGATGATGAGTCTGCCAAGACCCAGGAGCCTGCCACACCCAAATCACCGCCGGCGAAGAAGGCCAAGGGCAAGAGAGGAGCCGCCACCTCCAGGGGAGCAGGCCAAGCCAAATCAGTCTCCTCTCGCAGACTAAACAATACCTCTGAGTCCGTTGACCGTATCGACGAGAAGGCATTCAAGAACTTCGACTACCGCCTTGAAGGTCTCGATGAATACACGCCAGAGCGCTGCGCTGAGCTCGAGACGATTTACTGGAAGAGTCTGGCTTTCAACCAGCCAATGTACGCCGCCGACATGCCTGGATCCTTGTTCGAAGACAAGACGACAAGCTGGAACGTGGCACACCTGGAGAACCTCCTGGACGTCCTGGGAACCAAAGTACCCGGTGTCAATACCGCCTACCTGTACATGGGTATGTGGAAGGCGACCTTCGCGTGGCACCTCGAAGACGTCGACCTCTACAGTATCAACTACATTCACTTTGGCGCTCCGAAGCAGTGGTACAGTATCTCTCAGGAAGATGCTCGGAAATTTGAGCGCGCCATGAAGCAGATTTGGCCCGTGGATGCGAAGAATTGCGACCAATTCTTGCGGCACAAGACCTACCTCATTTCACCAGACGTCCTTCAGAAGCAATACGGCGTCAAGGTGAACAAGCTGGTCCACTACGAGGGCGAATTCGTCATCACCTTCCCGTATGGCTATCACTCTGGCTACAACATCGGATACAACTGCGCAGAGTCTGTCAATTTTGCCACGGAATCCTGGCTCGAATTTGGCCGCATCGCTCGCAAGTGCAATTGCGAAGCAGACAACGTCTGGGTTGATGTTGGCGAGATTGAACGTAAGCTGAGAGGCGAGCCAACACCGGAGTACATCGAGGAAACAGACGACGAAGATGAACCCGAAGAAGAGGAGGAGGGCAACCTTCCTACTCCGCCTGCCAGCGTCAAGGGCCAGAAAGCTACGAAGAAGCGCAAGCGAGAGGTCAAGAAAGAGGAACCCAAGAAGAAGAAGAAGATTCGAATCAAGATCAGGGTACCCACCCGGGAGCCGTGTGTGATGTGTCCGAATGACAACCCTTGGGAAGACCTCCTACCTACCGACACCGGCAAGAAGGCCCATCGTTCCTGCGCTTCGTTCACCCCGGAGACTTACATTATCAACGTGGATGGTCAAGAGAAGGTTTGCGGCGTGGCGAACATCGACAAAGCTCGACTCGAGCTCAAGTGCAACTTCTGCCGCTCGAAGCGTGGCGCTTGCTTCCAGTGCTCCAGTAAGAAGTGCACTCGCGCATTCCACGCTACGTGCGCGGTTGCTGCAGGTGTACTTATTGATGGGGGCCTGGTGCCAACGTTTGGCGAAGACGGCACTGAGTACTACGAGGAGGGCTTCGATTTCCGCTGCAGATACCACAGACCCAAGATGCCAAAGGTGGTCAACGTTGACGCTTTGGAGAAGAATAGTCTCATCCTGGACTACGCCAAGGGCCTAAAGCGTAACGACACCGTTCAAGCGCAGCATGTTGGAGGAGAGGTTTACGGTGGACTTGTGGTGGAGAATCGACCAAGCGAACAGACCGTTTTGGTCGATGTTCTTCCAGACGGGTATGTTGACGCTCAACCTTTGTTGTCACGAGCTAGAGCTAACTGCACTGATAGCGATCGCGTGGAAGTCGAGTACAAGTGGCTGTGTGTTTTAGACCCGGATGATTCAGTCAGACCTAAGCCTACCGCTGCTGCTTTGCCCATGCCCCAGAACAAAGACAAGAGGAACTTCTCACTCGCCAATCGCCAAGACGGCGTTCCGAAGCAAGACGAGCCTTTCCATACCGACCCGGAGTTCAAGTGGTTCGACTTCTACAATTATCACACGCCACCACCTGGTTATCAGACCGTTCTCTTCAATGCGCCGGCGAAACTGCAGGTCAACGTGGACGAGGGGAACACGATCTTCTACTATCTGCCCGAGGTTTCCACAGAAGCCAAAGTCTACTTCACAGACAAGCCTGGCTCAAGGGACATCTGCGCAAAAGCTAACTTCATGGACCGTGTGCAGCCGCCGAAGACATCTCAACAGTACTCTGCGGCGAAGCAAGCTATTGCACCTGCGCATGTCAATACGTTTGCACGCATTCAGCCTCAGCCGCAGACTTCCGTCGGTGCTCGTAACGAGAAGCCTTATGTCTACAAGCCGAAGGAGCCAGCTAAGCCAAACGTGTATTGCGCAGTTGACCATCATGCTTTGAACAACCAACGCAGTCTTATTGCTGACGGCTATCGACGCCCCTCGGCCTCATTCGGCCAGCCACAGCAGCCACAGCAGCCGATCCTGCCGCATCACTCGCCGCAGCATGGCCATGGTGCACACTACGGGTACCAGAGCAGCGAGCACAGCCGCGCCTCGACCCCACTACGACCCTTTTCGCAAGACCACTACTATTCATCGCGGACGTTGCCGGCGGCGTTTTCAGGCGAGTATTCGAGATTCAGGCGGGAGTCGCAAGGCGCCCAGACGATGCAGCGGCCTAACATTGATTCAGCCGTTATCGTTCCGAACTACCAGTCTGTCTCCTCCCAGAAGACAGCACTCAAGCAAAGTGTCGCGCCGCCTACCCCTCACAGCAGCAGCTCGTGGCCTGGGCTACCTGGCTGTTCAGCTGGCTCCGGACTTCCACCAAACCCATATGCGCTCGGCGCAGGAAGTCCGCCGTCTTCTGTGCCACACAACCATCACTCTCCCCCCATTGGTGCCCCGATGACCCCTACTACGTCAATGTCCTCCGGCCCCAAGTCAGATGGCGCGCAGACCGATCAGGGATATCTTCACAATCTGAGGCAGTACCCATACTTGCTGAACAGTTACTGTCGGAGCGCGAAGGAGTACGAGTCTCCGTACGCAGTAGGAGGAGGCTTCACGCCCAAGTATCAACCACTTGAGCTTCAGAAGTCGGAAAAGGGCGGCGAACGCAAGCCGCTACATACACCAAACAACTCCATGTCTGCGTACGAGGCCGCCAAGCAGAATAGCCAACAGTGGACACCTCCATCACAGATGTGGGATCGGGCCGGTTTGGCACACAAGCAGCAGACACCGCCGCCCCAACAGCAGCAACCACAGCTCTATCAGCAGTTCGGGCCACGCAACTATCCGCCTGCGATTCACCAGACCCCGCAGGATTTTCAGCGGCAAATCCAAGGCCTTCCAAGCACAGCCAGTCGTGACGGCGCGCACGCTCGCATGCTTCGTGATCAAGGCTACATGCCGTACGCGCATTATCCCCCGCATCACATACCTCATCGTAATAGCTTTGGCCAGGCGTACGATGGCACAAAGATGTGGAACAGTCCACAAGCTCCAACGCCGAGCCCCTTATCAGACCCCAATACGCCTGGTTATGGTCGTGGTCATACTCCTACTAATTCAGGTCACTGGGCCATGCTTCCGCGAACAGAATCAGGACCTCATCGGGCATCAGGTGCAGGGTACGGCCCAATGCTTCCACAAATGGGGGGTAACGAGACATGGCGGTACAATTAGAAATGATGCTATTGACATGAGGCTTTGATGGGAGGAAGGTTGCTTGGCAATATGTGCGATACCACAGAGCGTGCTGCGCAGACAGAACAGCGGCGACGCACGTGTTGATGACCTGGCGTTCTTTTTGATTGGTGTAATTACTACGCGCGGTCGCCAGATCTCAGGGGGCTCGAGAAAGGGCAAGAGAAAGACACGACTAAATCGCAGAAATGAGAGAGTCCACTCCTGAAGTGATTGAATGAATGAGCATGGTTCACGCTGCCTTGGTGGCCTTCTTCTTTCCATTCTCTCCAAGACGTTCTTATGAGTCGCGTGCGATGGTGCTACACACTGGTTCCAATTGATATCCACGCACGAGCCGAGCCCTCCGAGTCGGCCCCTGCAGTTGGGAGCAGCGGCCCGCTGTTTCAAGAGGCTGAGGTTCCTTTGACCTCTCAGCTGTCGACCTCGACCTCTTCACTCCAACAAGAGCCCTTGTTGATCATTGCGGCGCTTGCAGAGACCAGCCAGCGTTAGTAATCAAGGGATACCAACGGCGTGTGGGAACGGCTTCTCTGTTCACGTTCGTCCTCCTTACAGTCTTCGGTCGGTCGGTAAAGGGCGCACGAAGGTGGATGCTCCAACGAAATGCTCTGTTGTGTGTTTCACGACGCCTATGGCTGAACAAAGAAAACTGTGGCAGGACGAACGCTCCATGGGTGCTTGAACCGCGCGCCTACGGCCGGCCTCACTGCAGGACACATCCATAAGTCTGTATAATCACGGCATGTGCTTCCTTCCTAATGATTTCCTTTCTCTTCCTTTCCATCTGCGTTGATGGTGCGCTGGTCATTTTCGTTGCCATTCTTTCTCTTCCAGTTCAGTTCTCATGGGTTAACGAGAGTGCGACTACTGTGTCCTGGTGACCGATCTTCTTGCTCTCTAAGGTAGCAAACACACACAACACACGCACATACAGTCGTTTCTAGGAATCGATTTCAATGACTTTCGTTTTGGGATAACGCGCAGGACGCTTTTCTCACGCTATTCTTGCTCTCGTTACCGAAGACTTGAGCCAGACAGATCAAGGAAACGATCGTTGGAGAATACTCGCCGTTGAAGATAAGATCGATGATCGCCTACTACAAGAAGAAGACGCTGGGCCTCGTGGCTCTCGCCTCGCTGCTGCTAGCCGGAAGCGTAGCGAAACCACTCCCGCGACAGGAGGAGGGGCAAGGAACGGGCATTTCGGATCTGGATGCGAATCGCCAGGATCATCGACGACTCAGCATTGCTGATAACACTACTACGAACTCGAGCAACACGACGCTCCCGGACGTCCTCCGAGGAGTCAATATCGGCGGCTGGTTGGTGCTGGAGAAATGGATGTATGACGATGACGACAACCCGTTCAGAGGCACGAACGCCACTGATCAGTATACTTTCGACCAGACGCCCAACGCTGCAGCCACTTTGAAGAAACACTGGGAGACATATTTCACGGAGGTGGATGTCGAGAAGATTGCTTCTTGGGGTATCAATGCGCTTCGGATTCCTATTGGCTACTGGGCTTACGACGACGACAACGACGATACGCCGTATCTGAGAGGCGCGGACGAATACATGGAGAAGGCTATTGTCTGGGCGCGCAAGTATGGTCTCAAAGTGTTGGTCGATTGCCATGGCTCGCCCGGATCGCAAAATGGTTTCGATAATAGCGGGCGTGCTGGGAACGTGGCCTGGCAGAGCGACGACAATCTGCAGCAGAGCATTACCGTGCTGGAGACCATGGCGCAGAAGTACGGCTCGAAGCAATACGCCGACGTCGTCTTTGGTCTCGAACTCGTCAACGAGCCGATATCTTGGGGCTCCAACAATTTCGATCTCACCCAGACCTGGTCGCAACAAGCCTACAACGCCGTACGCAACGCTTCGGACAACAAGGAGCTCGTGATTGTGATGCACGACAGCTTCACGACACCCTGGGCTTGGCAGAGTGTAGGATCCAAGATCCTCGCCAACACGCCCAAGCGCGACGCCGGATTCGCCATCGACACACACCTGTACCAGAACCAAGTGGCATCGGACAGCGATCCCTCCCAAGAGCAACACATCGCCAAGGCGTGCAACTGGACCAACTCCAACCTGCTGCCCGCGTCGTCGAATCTGCCCGTCTTGGTCGGCGAGTTCAGCGCGCAGACGAACGTCTGTGCGTATCCGGATGGCACGACGACGGGCGGGAGGGCGTGCGACGTCGAGGGCTGTCAGTGTTCGTCGAATGTGGAAATTCCGAACTGGCTGCAGCCGCTCCGGACGGCGAGCAGGAAATTTTTGGAGGCGGAGTTGGATGCGTTCGAGCATAGTGCCAGGGGATGGTTCTTGTGGTCGTACAAAGGGCCTGGGGCTTGGGGACTGGAGAATGTGATGCGGTATGGACTCTTGGGGGAGAGGGTGACGGATCGACAGCTTCCGAATCAGTGTGGGTTTGAGCGGTAGGGCAGGTCGGGTTGAGGGCGGGATATGGTGCTGGACGGTGGTCTAAGGAAAGATATGACGATAGACTGATAGGAGATAGACTCTGCAGGCTAATAGAAAATATATATTACTCTATATTGAACTGTCGTTGCGAGGTGGGAGGAGAGAAGTTCGGTGCTGGCAGACGTGGGGTGCGGTCGGGCATCCATCACCGAGCATAAACAGGCTGGGACTGCGACTGTGACCGCGACTGCGACTGCGGCTGCGGCCTTGATTGGACAGAGAGGTGATGGAGGCAGAGAGGGAGAGGGAAAGGGAAAGGGAAAGGGAAAGGGAAAGGGAAAGGGAAAGGGAAAGGGAAAGGGCTGGCCCGTCGTCTGGACTGGAGAGGAGAGGAGAGGTGGTGCACGTGCATACGTATCACACGTGCAGAGGTAGGGTGGGTGTTCAGGTGCTCCTCATTGGCCGAGCGCATGACCGCAGAAAGTGGTGGGACCCGTCCTTCCGTATCGAGGCAAGGCGGCTGACGCACGGACGCTGGGAAGAGAAGCTGGTCACCTGCCACTGCCCTCCACTGCCCTCCACTGCCCTCCAGGCTGAGGTGCCATTTCACATGACTGCCGCTCCCATCTAGATATCCTGATCTCTCGATTCTTCTGTAATTGTTCGCTCTCTGCTCCCAATTCGCTGCCAATCCTCGCACCGACCTGCCACTGCTTCCTGGTCTCCTCCCCTTACCCGACACCCGACCCGAGCTTCCGCTGCACCGCCGCCCGCATCTCCTTCCTCTCTTGCGATCGCGCTCTCACATGTTGACCGTCGTCACCTGACTGCATCAGTCACATGAGGACGAGACCCCGAACAGACGGAAGACGAGGTGAGTAACCCATTCTCCAGTCTCTACCATGTTGGCACCGCGACGCCCAGCACCGCACGCCCCACACGCCCAGTACCCATACCGCCCTTCTCGCCCATGCCGCCGTCTCGCTCTCGCTCCTTCTCGCATCATCGCGGACATGCAACACGCCAGCGATGACGGCCTGGGATGCGGCCGGAATGGTCGGTGATGCGGTCGATGCGTAGGCCTCGACGCACGCTCTCCTGCCAGACCACCAACCTCCTCCGTGCGAGCAGACTGCGCCGTGGAGCACGTCACGCAGGAGCCGATACTCTGCTTATCAGCGCATTGCACCTCGCGGCCTCATGACCTTGGTGCCTTGCGATGCAATACCTCCCCCACGTGTCACATGAGCACGCATCTTGATCACGAGCTAACATGTCTCCGCGAAAGCATATTGATTGCAGAAGAATACACCGCCGCGCGCCTCGCACGCGAAATTGCGACTTGACCATTCGGAAACCCGCCTCAGCCTCCTTCTAGCACTGCTGCTCTACATCCAAGCGACACGACAATGGCCGCTCTCGCCAGCAAGCGAAAGCGCGAATCGTCCGATATGCCCAGCGCTCGTCCAGCGCCTCATATGGGTGGCTCAGACTTTGAGGACCAATACCTGCATGGCGGGGACGGCATGGAGCATGGAGACCTCGATACTGGTTTTGCTGCAGCACTAGCACAACATAACGCCGGCACGGGTGAAGAGGGCGACCCACAGCAAGATCAAGGCCACTACCAAGGCCCGGAGCAATCTCACCAAGGAGGCCCAGCGAGTGTCAGCGATACCGCAGCCGCTGCCATGGCTCAATACCACACCATGACCGTACCGCAATCTACTGAACAAGCATTCATGGCCCAGCCTACAGAGCAACCTGCGGATCGCGGAGCAACTGCTACTTCCGAGTCAGCGAATCCAAACGCCCAGCCCAGGAATTCGAGCTTCAGCGACTTTGACATCAGCCAGAACAACGAGGCGAACCAGAATGGAGGCAGTGGATCCCCAACCGGCGCAAGTGCATCAGCTTTAGGCGGAGCGAAGCCGCAAGTTGGCACCGAGGAATGGCATAAGGTTCGGAGGGACAACCACAAGGAGGGTAAGTCTCACGCTTTTCGAACTACTTTCCGCGTCTGCACTTTCACTGACGTTACGTACAGTTGAACGCCGTCGTCGTGAAACCATCAATGAGGGCATCAACGAGCTCGCCAAGATTGTGCCTGGTTGCGAGAAGAACAAAGGCAGCATCCTTGCCCGAGCCGTCCAGTTCATCACGCAACTCAAGGAGAACGAGACCCAGAATATCGAAAAGTGGACTCTGGAGAAGCTACTGACTGAACAGGCCATTGCCGAGCTCAGCTCCAGCTGCGACAAGCTCAAAGCAGAGTGTCAACGAGCTTGGGCGGAGTGCGAACAGTGGAAGAAGGCTGCTCAGCGTGCCGGCATCTCCATTGACACGGATGAGAAGGCCGATGCCGATGGCGAGGATGGCGAGTAGAAATTGAAGGCCTCTGATCGCGGCGAGGCCATGCTCGATCCTGTCCTTCGCCACAATCAGGACAACACGTCCGACTCCTCGGAGATTTGCATTTGTTCTACAACACGAGAGCCGCTGCCATGCATGAATCGCGACGGGGGCCCCTCACCTCACGCGACCTGACGAATTTTGGACGGATACATGGCTTCATGGACACGAGCTTTCCGGACGGTCTGAATTGACTGGCATTCATTGTCGAGGAGAAGTTTTTTGGCGTTTTAACGAGGGTTGGGATTGATACCTGGAGGAAGCTGCCCTTCCTTTGCTGTTTTACTCCTTGCTGCAGGTGCGCTGCATGGAGCCCTCTGGGCTGGCAGTCGAAGACGACTCGTATGAAGACATAATTCATTCTTATATCTGCCACGACTTCCCAGCATCTTTGGACAATTTGTCATCTGTGCCGTGACGAATTTCGTGCCTCGTACTGGGTATCCAACCCGGAGATGGGCGCGGATGGAACTTTTATCGTTCCTGCGCACCTGGCTATACAGGGGATTCGTAACCCAACGCCACGCTCAATCAAGTCATTGCTCTCACGTAGCATGGAGCATGCTCAGTAACGAAGTTGCAAATGCCGCGCTGCTCTCCTCAACCTGGTTGTGTCTTCCATCCAAGCCATCACATCAATAGAAGGACTCGACCATGGCCTCCTTGTGGGTGGTGTTGATGGCGCTCGGCCCCATGCCCTCGCCCAACTTGAAGACCGACTCGACCACGCTCAGCTCCGTCGCAGTGGTATCCAGGCCCGTCACCGCCATCCAGTCATTCACCACCATCCCGGCACCCACGACGGGCGAACCCCGATTCACACTCCCGGCCACCAGCGGCACCTGCAGCAAGCTGGACAATTCATCCTGATCCTGTATACTCGTCTTGGGATGCACGATGCCGCCCTGGTTGCTCAGCGCCATGTAGCTCCCCGTCAAGACGTTATCCGCAATGGTCTGCCGGAAGACCTCGACGCCGAGGACGTCGGCGATGATTTCTTCCGATTCGGGCTCGAGGTCCGGGTGCACGAGGGCGACGTGGTCGTTGGCGCAGATGACGTTGCCGAGGGCGGAGAGGCGCTCTTCGATCCGTTGGATCTTGACCGTGTCGGGGATGGCATTGCGGAGGTGCTGGAGTTCTTGGTCGGTCGTGGAGGTGGGGACCAGGAGGCCCTTCTTGTTGCCTGCCGTCAGGCGGCCGACGATGCGCGTGCCCGCGATGGTGCAGTGGCAGATGGGTATTACGTCTTGCAGTTCGGCCTCGAAGACGCTGGGGAGGGGGAGGTCGGGTCAGAAGGTGTTTCCTTGGGTTTTCTTTTTGGGGATGGGATGGGGGTGGGGAGGAGGGTTGTGCTTCAAGGTCTTTCTTACCTGTAGAAGTTCTCGGATGCGCCGACTGCGACGAGGGCGTAGGAGTTGGTGAGGGTGGAGAAGACTCCGACTCTGCGGTATCCTTCGTCAGTTCAAGTTGCTTGCAAAGGGATTGGCGGGGTGGGGTGGAGGGGAGATGGCACACTCATTGGAATTCTCAAATGATGCGCGGACCGCCATGATTGAGTCTCTAGTGGTGTTGGTAGATGACGCTGTTGAATCCACCGTACAGTGGAGACTGTGTTCAGAATTGCGGTAGGAGTGGTTTGTATTTTCGCAATGTGCTGGTTGGTTGGTGTGGTCGTGGTGAGAGCAGCAAGGGCGAGAACGAGCTTTTTGTGACGCAGAGAAGCTACGGAAAGCCCCAGCCCGGTTACGTTTAGCGCGGGCAAGTGATGAGTCGAAGTGGTGAATAAGAATGAGCCATCGTCGACTTCACAATCACTCAGCATGGCCAATTCACAACCATCGCGGAATAACACGGCCGCAGAGGAAGCTCATACTAGCCGTGACAGCTCTCGCTGGCAGCGTGTCGTCGTTGAGACATACTCTTTTCGGAAAGACATACTCTCTTCGGAAGACGACTCCGAATGGCGTTGCTACGATGCCACGGCCAAGAATGTTCAGGAAGCACCCAACACTCGGTTATGCCGATTTATCGGTGATGATATTATTCTCACTGTTGTAACACTCCTCCCGGCTGAGCCGATGCAGCCGGTGAGGTAGGCCGGATACCGACAGTTGGCGAGGTAGACGGGAGGAAAGTTTAGACGCAATGCCAAGACCCACCTGCAGTGTGACTCGCCGGTGGACGCCTCTCGCCGCCGATGGAGTGGGTGGAAGAAGAAGACCTGTGGACCGACCTCCCATGTTGTTCTCGTGAGAATCATGCAGCTGTGCAGCGGATGGCATCTGCCACCGCCTGTCAGCCTTTCCTGGAATCTGGAGAGTCGCGTTCATCTCGCTAACTACTCATGTCACGCACCTATCCTGCCCTCACACCTTCTCAGAGTACAGAACTGTACTTGAGCCGTGCACCTGGCTTATCATTTCGAACGCCACACAGTGCCATGTCATCCGTAGCGAGTCCGAAACAAGTACAGGTTGGCGCAGCTGCGTGGCGTGGAGCTGCACCGATTCCCCGGAACCAGCGACAGCGGCTGCACGTCCAGCCTGTTTCATGATGCACAAAAGATCCGAAAGCAGCTAACCGAGCGACGAGCCGCACCGCCGCCTGAGTCTCACTGCCGAGCAGCAAACAAGCGGCAGGGAGAGAGAAAGAGAGGGAAACGGATGCATGTGGCCGGCGGTGATGATGAACAACGCATGTGGGGATGAGCAGTTATAATAGCGAGCGGGTCTTAGAAGGTCGGTGTTTGGGCACGTTTCAGCGGTGTCAGCGGGACTCACGAGAGTTTAGCCAGATCGTCACGCCGGGCGCTACGGGATGATTTGCAGCGGGCCTGCCGGTTGATCTCGACACGGTGATCCGGGGTCCAGGGCCGATGGATGGGTGTCACTGGGTGTGATGATGGAGGTTGCGGACTGCTGGCGGCGCGGACGAAGGAAGTGAGATTCTGCCTGCGGTGCGACGGGAAGGGGGGGGGATGAGAGGACGAGATAGTCGAGCTGCTCGCCTGGGCAGCAATCGCAGGCAAATCAGTGGGGGCTGAAACGAGTGTCTCATTCGAGTGCGATAATGTATAAGCAGCGGCGCGAGGCAGAAGAGCGGTCAATGTTGAATGATGGACATTCCCAATGCCCGGCTGGTGGTCTCGCTGCTACAGTATGTGCCAGGTATCTCTCCGCAGACGGAGCTCCAGTAGCGGCATGCGGGCGGCGGAGATGAACTCTGAAGGAGCGACGGATTCGGCAAGCGTGTGATGAGTCGTCATTATATTGGGGCCCAGCGGCAGACGGCAGACGGCAGACGGGACGGCGCACCAATCATCGGCGCCCGCAATGGCCGCAACGCTCGCAACGCTCGCTCAGGTTACAACGCCCGCACAACGAACGCTGCGGGCATCGGGGCTGACGGGCTACATGTAGTGTACTGTAGGTAGCTAGTGCCACGGCTAGTAGTGCCCTCTGTGATATGCCCAGACCTCTGCTGGTCCAGGATGCTTCTCATCATGCGTGCTTCGTTCGTTGTCCTTGCCGTTGCTTGCTGCTGCTGATTCTGTTGCTGATTCTTTCGTGCTCTCGCCGACGTGTTCTCTTCGCTTCGCTTCGCCCTTGATACCCCACCAACGCAATCGCATCCTGGCCATCCTTGCATCGCACCGCACCACCCAACTCGCACCTCGCACCTCGCACCTCGCACCTCGCGCCTCGCACCTGCTCCTCTCCTCTCCTCTCTTCTGCTTTTCCGCCCTTTCTCTCGCGCCGCCGCGTCCGGCCCACGCCAACAGATCGCGCTGCCTGCAGCATCCTGTCCTGTACCCGTACCCGTACCCATCGCCCTCCGCGCAAACCACTGCACGCTGCTGGACGACCCGGACCGACTGGACGACTGGCTGCAACACTTCTTGCTGCAACTTCTTGGCCCTCATTCCTGACGCACGCCGGCAATCCAGTCCTGCCCTCGACTCACCCATCCCATCCCTTGCGCTGGCCGCCGTCCATCACAACACACACGCCCCGCCCACATATCAGCGGTTCATGAGCGCGCACCGTGTCTCCATCGATGCAGTGCCACTCCCCTCGCCCTCCCTCCTCCAGCGCGCCGGTGCCGCGCCTGCCCAGTGCAATAGAAGCTCGCTGCTGCTGATTCACGACACTTTTGCCCGGGGAGGGATTGGCCTGCAGTCGCCCTCCTTTGCACATACCCTCACACTTGCTTCGTCCCCTGCCTCACATATCTTCCGCCTCCCTGGCAGGTGCCTGGCCTTGATTGATATCCGGCGTCGCTCTGTACATGACCACCCCAAACGACACTACCTCTACTACTCCTCCTCTCAGCTTCCGTCCGGTGTATAGCTGCCTCACCTCACCTTCCCTCCCTCAGCCTCACACCTCCACCACTGGCCGCCGCCGCCGCCGTCTCGCTCTGGCTGCTCCAACACCTGTCAGTCACACCGCTGCCTGCCTGCTTGCCCGCCCGCCCGCCCGCCCGCCCGCTGAACGTGTGTGTCATGCTGACTGGCCCACCAGCTCCTTCTCGCCCGCACCGCGCACCAAGAAGCCCCGTCCCGACGCCGCACGGCTGCTGCAGTCCTGTGCGCGGCGCATTTCTGTAGACTACACCACCTTACGAAATTCACGACGGCGATCCACATTCTAATCTCGCTTCTCATACATACCTTTGTGTAATGTCTCATGGTGCAGCCGCCACCCAGAACATGGCCTTCAACAACGTGCGTCCCCAAAGACATGCATACGTGTAGTGTGTGTGTGCGGCGGACAGCCGCGCTAGACCGAGACCTCGCTAACATGTTGCGGCAGCCACGATCCCTCAACACCTTGGGCAATGGCACAATCAGTGACCAAAAGAGCACGAATGCGAATGGTTCCTTCAATAACAATCTGCGCGCGAGACCCAATGCCTGGGGCTCTAGCAGCATTTGGAGCGGCGGCATCACCAACGGCTTGACCACCACTGCGGGGACGAGGGACACTTCGACGTCGCGTGACAGTGTACAGCAATCGAGCAGTGAGTTCGAGGGCAAGACCGGCTCCGGTTCTCTCGTCGACTCGTCCGTCTCCGAGGACTATTCCAACCACCGATCGACGTGGGGTTCCAAACGAAGTGCTCCTCCAGTACGCTCCATGTCGACCACGCAGTACGGCGACAGTCACTTACCGCAGCAGCGAAGCGTCAGTAACGCAGGACTGCCACAGAACTTCCCCGGCGCAAATCAAAATCTCGCGCCTTTCGCTTCACGCCCGCCCACAATCAGCCTCAACTCGACCTCTTCTTCTACGCAACAGCCCAGGCAGAGCTTAGCTTCGACGTATGGAAATAGCTTTGCAAGTCAGAGTAGCGAGCAACCACCTTTCAACATTTACACCAAATTCAATCGCCCTTCTGAACCTTCACGCAAGATACCCGATTCCGCCGTCGGCTCGTGGGCAGAGCCTGCCACCACGCCGTCTCCCAGCGACGAACGGCTACCGCATTTTCCCATTCAGACTAATCGCTCTGGGAGCTTTCCGACTTCACGAGAGACCAGTCTCCCGCCGTCTCGTCATGCCGATCAACAGCCTATGTTTTCCCGGCCGGATTACTCACGGCCTTCTCAGCGCGCGACACCCACCAGCTCACGTGCACCATCCATCTCATCTGCTCGCAATGGGATTTTCAACACTTACCTCAGCAACAATGCTGACCAGATGGCGGCTCAGCTCGGCCATCTAAACCTCAATGGCGATGGAAGGCCGAGCACTTCTTACAAGCCGACTGCTACCAACAACGGATATTCGGGTCTGTACACGTCGTCACTTGTCAGACCATCGCAGAACGCCTTTCCAAATGGCAGCATGGATCAAGCTGAGGATATTGAAGAGATAGATCGTGCCAACATGAGCTACCTGGGACTGGACGACTATGCTCCTGCTCAGCAGCTCACAAACGGATCCGGATACTCGGGCGGATCTTTCGCTGAGCGATATCTACAGTCGGGAAACACGTATGAATTCCGGCCGGGCCAGCCATACACTGGTAGCGGAGTTTCCCCACGCCCGTACGACTTGCCGAATGGCTCTCGAACGCCTTCGGAATGGCAAGGTCATCCGAACGGCTCGCTTTCTGTGAATCGTCGATCACCAGGTGTACCTGACCAGCAAGCTTACCTCGATCCACGTGTTCAGCAATTGATGGCCGCCCAGTTACGCAACCAGTATGCGGCAGCCATGTACAGTCCCTATGCCCTGAATCCTCTTCAGCTGAATGCAGCATCGCCGTACATGGGGCTGATACCGATGGGCTTTTCGGGGATGGAGACTGCGCCCGCTTCGCGAGACGCACCCGTCGGCGATGGTGTCCAAAGCGCACTCATGTATGAGTTCAAATCCAACACCAAGACGAAGCGCTACGAGCTGCGCGATATCTACGATCACATTGCCGAGTTCAGCGGTGACCAACACGGCTCGCGCTTTATCCAAACGAAGCTCGAGACCGCAAATTCTGACGAGAAAGACCGAGTCTTTCGGGAAATTGAGCCCAATGCAATTCCGCTCATGACAGACGTCTTCGGCAATTACGTTATTCAGAAGTTCTTTGAGCACGGCGACCAGACACACAAGAAGATCATCGCCAACAAGATGCGAGGGCAGGTACTCCAGCTCAGTCTCCAGATGTATGGCTGCAGAGTTGTCCAGAAGGCCTTGGATCATGTCCTCGTCGATCAGCAAGCGCTGCTGATTGGTGAGTTGGAAGGCCACGTCCTCAAGTGTGTCAAGGACCAGAACGGAAACCACGTCATCCAGAAGGCGATTGAGCGCTGCCCGTCCCCTACTATTGGCTTCATCATTTCGGCCTTCCAAGGTCAGGTGCAGCATCTCAGCATCCATCCGTATGGCTGTCGAGTCATTCAGCGCTGCCTGGAGAAGTGCGATTTACCGTCAAAGGCTATGATCATGTCAGAGTTGATGGAAGGTATTCAGACCATGATCTCCGACCAATTCGGCAACTACGTCGTGCAACACATCGTGTCTCATGACGATGGCGAGCCGAAGAGACGTGTTTTGGCGATTGTCATGCACAATCTTGAGGGATACAGCAAGCACAAATTCGCGAGCAACGTCGTCGAGAAGTGTCTGGAGCGGTCGGATGATCACTGGAGACGACAAGTCGTGGCCACGCTCAATCAGGCCACGAAGAGGATTGAAGGAGAAGCTGTCCTTGTCGCGATGATCAGGGACAGCTTTGGCAACTATGTCATTCGTAAGTGCTCATCCATCATACGAGATTCTCGTGCTGACTAGCGGGCAGAGAAATTGCTTGACACGCTCTCTTCCCAAGACTTCGCCTTCTTCCTAGAGATACTGCAGCCGGCAGTCGCATTGGCGAAGCGTGCAGGCTGCGGCAAACAAGTGCTCTCCATTGAGAAGAAGATGCATCGATTCGACACATACCGCAATGGCAGCATATCCGGCGGTCCAACATTCAACCGACCAGGATTTCAGCTGCCACTGCCGCCACCCTCATTCGCCAGCAATTACAACTCCGCGGCCAATACACCGCCGCCTCTGACCGCTGACACACAAAGCCTACAGAGCTCGGGCATTCCCAGTGTGAACGGTGACACGGTGGAAGGAGCCGCTGCCAGCCGCAAGTGCAGCGAGCACTCCACTGATGCAGGATTCCCTCGACAATGATCAATCTCAGCAAAACAACTATTGCAGGGGTATTACACAACAATTAATGGATGGAGTACAGGATAGGAACTGCATAGGAAAACGCATAGCAAAGGTGCGGAAACGGCGTACAGGTACAGATGGTTATTACTGGGATTACTTGAACCACCACCACCAGCATGGTAGAAAGGGACTTTTCGGAATATGTGGGAGTTTTGATATCTTATTCTGCGCTTCTATGTATGATCTTACCATGGCTTGACGTGCGGGAGGACACCCCGGAGACTTAGAAGAGGTGGAGGCGGTGAATATGGTGTTGGGCTGTTGCTCTTCTTCGGAAATGTACTGATTTGGGGGATCATGATGGGGAGAATAGTTGGGTTTGGAGGATATGGGGTCATTGATATGATGGGATCTCTTTGGGGGATGTTTGGGGCATGAGTTTATGTGATGGATGGATACCCACTATTTGTATGTGTATGGGATATGTATGGAATGTTACAACAGGTATGATCCATACCCAGACTTGAGATGCACATCCCGTTTTCCTCATGCGTAGGGTCAGCTGGAGCTGTTTCTCCAGGGCCATACCACCAGACGCCGCGTCCGTACCCCTCCTGGTGAAGACGAGCCGGGTGACAGGTCTCGGAAGAGCCATCGTAGACGACTCGCGCGGAGATGGTGGAATCAGTGCGGGTGCGTGACGACGCTGATCTGATCTCGAAGGCGGGCGATGTCATGTGGTGCAGCTGCAGGCTTGTCGACGAGGTTATTGAGGGTACCTAGGTTGCGATGTCCACAGAGGCAGTGGTGGACGTGGACTTCGCCTTGTTGTTTGTCGATGCCGCCCTGGAGAGTGCTCAAGGAGTCTTTATGTTGGCGCCCACTTGATCTCCGATACCCGAAAGGCCGATCGCGACCTGCGTCTTGCTCGGCTCGGCCATGTTGTCGATCAGGGATGTTCTGGTCTCCGTGTCAGTGCTTACTCTAAAGTCAGTGCAGGGACAAGGCTTTGAGTGTGTGTGTGTACGTGTGCAAACGAGTTCGAGAGCGGGAGGAAGAAAGGTGCACGGACCACACCTAGCGCCAACGCTAGCGCCGGATTTGTCGACGCCTCGCTGACATGTGAAATTGGAACTCTGAGAGGCAAAATTCTGATATCGCTCTAGTCTCTGTACGCTGTTCGGCAGTTGACAAGCTGCTACTACAGTCTCCTACCGCCTGTTGTATCGGTATGCATCTTTCTCGTGCTTCCTAATCCTGCCTCGCGTAGTAGGCGCCCCCACCCGGATGATGCTTCACCTGTAAGCCGCCCTGGACGAACACGCTTTTAGTATAAACGTCCTGTAGCATACTCTGCGTCATCGCCAGGAGCTTCTGCATCGCTTCTGCCGCGGAGGGAGAATCGGGTCCTCGTAGGAAGAGCCAATTGCCGACTTTGTTGGGGAATTGTCCCTCGGCGTAGACGACTTGTGCAGAAATGGCAGTACCTTCACCGACCGTGATGATTGTCATAGGTGGGACACTGACGTTCTGGGTCAGGTAGCGAGCGGCGAGGTTCTGGCCGACAACCAAGATTGGCCAGAGGACGCGGGCGTTGTCTGGAAGAGATCAATCCTTGTTCACTATCTTGCGTGTATTCAGAGGACATACCGAGAGCTTGCGCTCTGATTTCCGGCATGGTTGATGGCGATGCGCTTTCTGCGGGCTTCTCCACGCCGAGTGTCTCGCCGAGTTTTTCGAGTGCTGCGCGTACGCTACTGAGCCCCTCCGATATGGACAAATCCAACTTCTCCCCGTTGGTTGCCAGGTCTTTGCCGACTTCGGGCTCATCTTACTCGGCCATGGTGCGAGAGTGTGTGAAGTCCTGTCTCGGATGTTAGCATTCTAAGCAGAAACCTGTCATTCGCAAATGTGTAGACGCACTGGCTCACGGCGCGGTAAGAACTGGGAATGTTGACGTTCAAGTTGAATTGCAGACTGAGATTCTGGTTTTGTGTTGATCTTGCGGAAGTCGAAAGCCGCACAGACCTCACGCTAGCGCTAGCGCCGAGCTTGCAGCCGTTTGCTTTCCTTGTGAAGGCTCGGAAAGTGAACTGACAAATGTTTGTATACAATGAAGAGGCATTCACCTACAGGGACTGCGGCGCAGGAAGACAGATTGAGCTCGTCTCTACATTCTCCGTTATTCTCGGTGAGACCAGAGTCGTTAGCTCTTAGACGTGATTTCGCATCTGAAGGCTGCATACCTGTTCGATGCGTACCTCCGAGTCTTACATGATTAAACTTGAATGCAGCAATATCCCGCGTTGTCTCCACAATCCTTCCAGAGTTTGTGCTATTATGGAAATTTTCGTCGCAATTCCTGGAGATCTATTCACGGAGATGAAGTTGGCTTATAGCCCCGAGAAGAGACTCTTCACTCGTCAAGACAATGTTTATTACTTAAATCCATTCCCATCGTGAGAAGTGCGTCTATTTCCCTAGCCAGAGATCCCTTACCACTGCCATAGGCTCTTGGGTAGAGGAAAGTGACCTACATCCTTTGATGTCAATGCATGTATGTTTCATAGGATGCTTGAGCAGGCTAAGCCAAGTTTTAAGCGCTGAGACTGTTATGACACTGGCCAAGAGTTCCGCAGCCGGTGTCCGTAGATCTAGAGGTGGTGAGGAACATTTTATTTCCATTAGTCTACCACTGTCTTCTCGTGTAGAACATCATACCTGATTCTTCAACTTTGCAGGGGAACCACCCTAACGGAGGCGTGAAGGCCGCTCGCACCATGCCTTTCTTCTGCAGCACTACGCTAAGACCGTTCAGCAAGCCCTCGAGCGCCGACTTGACGGAATCTGCGGCAGGGCCTTGGACAAGCAAGTCCTTCTCTGGGCCAGAGCGCCCTTTCTCAGTTGCTTCTTTCTCGATAAGGACCAAAGCCGATGTCTCAAAGTCTTTGCGGATGGTAATGAGGTGGAACTTGGGCAGGACGACTCCTCGGACGACTTCAGACTGTGCTGTGTACATGATGGGGTAAAGCACTTCCACATTGGCTATAGCATGTCAGTCTTAGCGATTAGCTCCAGTAGGAGTATCGCCTACCGAGAATTTGCTCTCGCAAGCCTGAGATGTCCGACTCCTCCACAACATCGGCTTCCGCATGGGCGTGAGCCACCATCATTGCCTTGAACTTCTGCATTCGACGCACGTTGGCAAAATGCAACAAAATCGGATCACGCATGAGGGGGATCCTTCCGATCAAGAAGTGGGGTTCTCTATAAATGGAGTCCAACAGGCTCAGGGTGGTACTCGGTCAAGATCCCGGCAGACAATGAATGTGGAAAGCCAAAGCACCGTGCGTGGGTGGTGCAACAATATTCGAGGAAAGCATCATTCTGCATCCCGTGCCTGTCATTTTGTTCATTCGAACCCGGCGGGTAATGTCGTTCAGGAGAGAAGTACTCGAGTGGACATGCAGTCAAGAAATCTTATCTTCCCGATGGGTACTACCCTGCGGGTGCCCGGCTTCCAAGATATGCTCTCGCGCTCGCTTAGGAGGTAGGGTAGACTTCGGTGACGACAGCGACTAGTTTGAGCATGATTTTCCACAGGTCCCCGTCAGGCCTGCATTATTGATGGTATACAGGAATTGTGCGAAATGCATTGCACGGCACGATCGCGGGAGGGAATAGAAGAGGTGAAGTGAAGGTGAAAGTGGAGGGCCCGGACAAGCCGCGGAAGGCAAAACGGCCGGAGCGGAGGGCATCGGCAAAAAGAGGCGTGCAGCCGGCGGCCGAGGAGAGCGAAGCGCGAACCTGGAGCTCACATCCGTTTCGTTCATGCTTCTGTAGCTGCTGCACAAACGCCAGACTTCAGCTCTCCTCTACACACCTTTCCGCACTTTCGCGATTTTCCTTCACTCCTCCCTCCCTCAAACAACAACCCCTCCTCCTATCCGCTCGCGCTGCGCTCTGGTCCGACACCTCGCTACGCCCACCTGCTGCCAACATGTCTGACACGGTGGAGACGCTGAAGTCAACCGTCGACAAGTTGGAGAAGAGAATCCAGGACCTTGAGTCGCGGTTGACCGGCTCTTCTCCCTCCTCTGGCAGCAATGACAGCATGCGCATGATCCTGATCGGTCCCCCCGGTGCTGGTATGTCGGCGGACACAGTCGTCCCAATTCAACGCGCCGATGACGGAGTGACACAACTAACACAATTGCTACGTAACAGGCAAGGGAACTCAGGCGCCCAAGATCAAGGAGAAGTACAAGTGCTGCCACCTGGCAACCGGCGACATGCTCCGCGCCCAAGTCGCGGCGAAGACTGAGCTCGGCAAGGAAGCCAAGAAGATCATGGACGAGGGCAAGCTGGTGTCGGACGAGATCATGATCAACATGATCAAGAGCGAGCTAGACAACAACAAAGAGTGCAAGGGCGGGTAAGTATCAAGATTACAAAAGCCAAATGGCTATTCGAGAGGCGTCAATGGTCATTGGGTCATGGTGGTTTGGCATGGAATACTGACAGCTGGCACAGTTTCATCCTTGATGGCTTCCCACGAACAGTCCCGCAGGCAGAGAAGCTCGATGACATGCTGAACAACAAGCAACAGGCACTCAAGCATGCCGTTGAGCTTCAAATCGATGACAGCCTACTTGTTGCCCGTATCACTGGTCGCCTGGTCCACCCTGCCTCAGGTCGCTCATACCACAAGGTCTTCAACCCACCTAAGAAGGAGATGACAGACGATGTGACTGGCGAGCCCCTCACCCAGCGCTCGGACGACAACGAGGCGGCTCTCACGAAGCGGTTAAGCACATATCACTCTCAGACGGCACCAGTGACAGACTACTACCGCAAGACTGGGATCTGGCGGAAGGTGGACGCCGGCAAGGAGCCGGGCGAGGTGTGGAAGAGCATCCTTCAGATCTTCGACCAAGATGGCAAGAGCAGCGGTGGTCTCATGGGTAGACTGGGCCTGCGATCATAGGAGGAGCTCGCGATTGTCAGTGTTTGTAATGCCTTGGCTTGGCCTGGCTGGAGTTGAACGATGACCGACAGGTAACGCCATTGGCTCTAGCTACGTAACGGCGTAGACTTATGGCGTGGTGAGTGTGCATAAAAGCTGAAGATGTAACATATGGGCTGTCTTGTACTCCTAACGCGAAAAAGACTTGAAGGCTGCCAGACACTTACCAACCACGCAATAGCCATGTTTGCCAAGAAAGCACGATGATCGTGCCTGCTCTACGGACGACTTCCCGAACAAGCCGAAGAGGGAAGGAGCACCCACCAAGCCTTCAAACACCTTCCAGACTTCTGCTTTCTCCCTCTGAGCTGACGCATCCTCTCTCGACATCACTCTTGCCTCACTTGTGCCTGATTCTTCATGTTTGCGACGAAGTCCAAGGTCAGGGAACGCTATGGCATCGGTATAAACAGACCTCCAGATGAAGGTCGCATACAGCAAGACAATCGCATCTACCGCGCAAACACAGACACTGCTATAGGAGTCTCGCCTTCCTCGCCCTCGAAGGCCATACTCCAAGCCGCTCGGCACTATTCACAGAATCGCGCCTCTCGCAACTCCTCGGTCAGCCGCTTCTCTTCGCCTTCACAGAAGATAAAGCTAACTGTCGCCAGTCAATGATGCGCACCACCGTCGACAATCTTCGCGACATCAGCAACAAATCCTCCAACACGCTGCGCCGGTGGAACAACCAATCGACAAGCTCTAACAACATGGACACTCCACTTGTTGACCGCACTAATACCCAGAGATCCGCACGAACTACAACTACCGCCGAGTCGTCATTCCTCCCCGAGCTGTACAGCACTCCACCGATGCCATCATTCCAAAAGCCGGGCATGAACACTTCCGCCTCTGTCCGCCAGCAGCAGAACGACGAGAATGCAACTCCCACGCGGGGCGGCGGATACATACCTCCAAAGCCTCGAGGAGCGCCACACCTTACGACAGAGCCGAGCAGCCTGAATCTTCCGCGCCGCCGGAACGTGGTCAAGCCAATCTCGACAGTCTCGCTCCAAGACCTCATAGGTCCCGTTGGCCCATTGCCATCAAATTGGGAACGCAAACATGATCAAGCCATCTGCATCCTGGATGTGCGCAACTACAGTCTCCCAGCGATCGCCGCCAAGATGAAAACTACCTTTCCGGAGCTTCGGGGAGCGTTGACACCGGCGATGATTGACAAGCGCTTCCGCATCTTAGATCAAATTCCTGAGCTCAACTACTGGAAGGTAGCTCAGGAACGTACGGACGCTGAGAAGAAAGACAAGAGGGACAAGAAGAGGAACGATCGAAGTAAGGGCGTGGAGAGCCCACAAAGCAGCTCTACAAATGTGGACGGTCCGTCGAATGTGACCGATGAGGCCTCTTCCGCGCCTCCTTTATCCAATGCCCAGGAAGGGCGGTCGCCAGTAACGCCAACTTCCGGAGTACGAGGAGCCCAGACCTATGTGCCTCGGAGGGCTCATCACTGATACTCGCGCCAAACCGGCTCGGCATGAATGCGGGAGCGCTCACACTTCAGACTCGTGCACGTGAATCTCAATTCGGCCACTCCGACAGAGCATACTGGCCCACAATCAGCTCTTTCTCTAATTCGCAAGATCGCCGAGAACGATCCTTAAAGGGACCGCCACGCGACAGCCACTATGCCGCCGAGATCCCTGATGCTCTCTTCGAGGGGGACTACCGATCACACCAAGATTCCAGCAGCAGAGATACCAGCTTAATCGAGATTGCGCACGAGAATTCTTCCAATAGGGACTGATGAACCGCCCAAGGATACGTTACGATCTGCAAACCAACACGCAAAGAAAAGGTTGGACTTACTGATTTCCCCGATCTTTTGGTCCTCCGGGAGTTTCTTTTTGTTTCCGTTGTTCTTGCAAGCCAATGACTGGAGCTCTGAATACGTAGCGGTCAGGACGCGTAGTGATAATGTTGATGCAACGATCCAGGGCAAAGTTGAGCGCGAAAAGGGCTATAAAGGTGGTATGGGCTAGGGTCATGATACAAGGCCGATTTCCAATGAACTTGTGGGGTGCCTTGCATCACACAACAGAATGCATGCAGTGTAGCTCTCGGAGAAGATATATCGAATAAGGACGTGTCCGAACATGCCGCGATATTGATCTCTATCGCTCGTAGGTCTCGTCAAGTATATGCTGGACAGATGGAGCATCGCCAAATCACACCCACCAGAACCACCAAGTGGCCTACACGAATCCGGCAGCAGTAGCCTTCTGTCGATACTCTTCAAATGTTGAAGCTGCTCCTCCCGCACTGTTGTTTCTCGCGCGGGCATCGAACTCGCTCTCGCCTTGTGCTTCGTGTCGTTTCCGCTCTTCCCAGGCATCTTCTTCCGCTGCAATCATATTTCGAAATTGCCCCTGCTGCCCTCGAGCAAAGTACACTGCACCGGCTTTGCGACTCGCCACGTCCTCGTTGATCAGGATATACCTTGTTCCAGATCCGGGCGTTTCGAACATGGCGTCAGCGAGCAGTCTCTCCATGACAGTGCGGAGAGAACGTGCTCCAGTTCCCATTTTGGAGGCGTTGGTGGCGATCGCATACAGTGCGGGAGACGTGAAACGGATTTCGATGCTGGAAAGAGAGAAGAGTTGCTGATATTGCTTCAAAAGGCTGTTGCGGGGCTCTGTGAGGACTTTGACGAGGGCTTCGATGTCCAGAGACGAGAGAGCGCAGGAGAGGGGAATACGGCCGACAAGCTCAGGGATGAGACCATACTTTTGGAGGTCTTGCGGTTCGACCAGATCGAGTGTGTTGTACTTGCGTTGTTGAGTTGGGCTTGAATTGGGCTCCGACGGAGGTGGTGCGTAGTAGGGCAGATGTTTCTCGAACAATTCGTCTTCGCCCTCGAGTATTGTTTCGTGCTGGTTGGAGTCGTTGTTCGACCCTGGTGCTGCCCGGACTGTAGCGCCAAATCCAATGCTACCCTTGCTTATTCGGTCGAGAATCATTTTGTGGAGACCATTGAAAGCTCCAGCACAGATGAAAAGTATGTTGTCCGTCTTAACGTTGTATACCTCGCCTTTCTGGCCTGGTGACGCAGACTGTTGGCCCATGTTCCCTCCAGATAGAGGACTGTTAGTCGGATATCCAGCACCCTGACCGCGATTTCGATCATTTGATGATCCACTGCCCCTCTCCTGTTTAGCCTGGATTTGCAATGTCGTCCCCTCGATGATTTTCAAAAGTGCCTGCTGCACGCCCTCCCCACTCACATCCTTGCCGTGCGATACTTTGGCTGTAGCGATTTTGTCCAGCTCATCCAAGCAGATGATTCCTCTTTCTGCCCGAGTGACATCGTAGTTGGCTGTGGCAAGTAGTCTCTGCACGCACACCTCCGCATCTTCACCGATATATCCCGCCTGTGTGAACGGGGTGCAGTCCGACATGCTGAATGGCACCTCCAGTATCCGTGCCAGTGTCTTGGCCATTAGCGTCTTGCCCACTCCTGATGGCCCTAGTAACAACACATTGCTCTTTTCAATCGTAAGGGGGCTGTCATCGCTTAGCGGCGAGGGAGGCCCTAGCCCGTTGGGCTCCGCCGGCTTTTGCTGCTGCTGATTGGAACCGGGAGGGTACAGGTTGGTTGTTTGCTGCTGGCCGGGGAACTCGTCTTCGACATGCCATCCTTTGGTCAGCGAAGGCACGGCGATTCCTTGCTTAAGCTCGCCCTCCCTACCTTCGACGGGATGCCTAGGATGCTGCGACATTCTGCGCCTCTCCTCCTGCGCCATGTGCTCTTCCTCCTCCTCATCTCGCCGTTGCAGCTCTTGTATCCGCTGATAGTGGTTGTATACCGCTGTTGCAAGTGTCTTCTTCGCTCGTTCTTGGCCGACCACGAATTGATCTAGATGCTGTTTGAGGATGGTCGGTGTTATGCGAGGCGCTCCTATGATAGATGCATCTCGCAATGGGCCTTCGGTAGGCCCGCCAGGTTCGTAGATGCCAGTATATCCTTGGTTAGCAAAGTCGGAGCGTTGATAGGTGCCAGAGTCCATTCGGCGAAGCGATATGCTCAGGTGTCTCTTGGTGATGGCCCAGAAGCCGAGGTAAGTAAGCCTAGCCTGAGGCGTGAAGGGTGACGAGCTCAGAGAGGCCATGGTAGGGAGACAGCCTCCGCCTTGAGTGAGAAGAATATCCAAGATGGTCCGGGACGGAGAAGGGCATGAGCCACTGAGACAGGCTGTCACATGTGGCAAGGTAAGTGAATGGGGAGAGTGAGCTGTCGGCGCGAGTCAGGCTACCGCCCCGCCTCCAGCTTTGGAGGCTGTTGGCGGAGTAGTGCTAGCGCGGCTGCAAGGGCCAGGATCTGCGGCGTGAGGTTGTTTGGAGCGAGCGTCTGACCCTCCGTCTCGCGCCTCCAACACCAGAAGCGTTGGTCTGCAGCGGATGGCGACAGCTGCCTGACCGCATACTCCACCACCACATCTCCTCCTCGTCTTCGCCACCGTTGCAAATCGCCCGCGCCGACGCCGCCGAATGCACAAGAGCAAGCAGCGGTGCGGCGGTCGCCAAATGTTGAGGTTCGTTGGTCGGCCCGCATATGACGTTGAATTTCACCCAGGTGCAGATGAGCATTGACGGGTCTCAGCACTGAGAGGGAGCTTCACCACCACTACCTCCTCGCCAACGGCCCAAAACCCACCCACCTTGCCTGTCTTGCATGCATTCTCCTCTCAGTCCCATACTTTGCACTTGCACTTCCCTGACCACCAACCTCCCACGTCCGTCTTCCGACCGCAGCTCCATCTTCGCCCAACAAGCACTTCACTGATACCGAGGACCTCGCCCGCTATGGACAAGCTGAACGAGGCCTCTGCTGACAGCGTCATGGCCAAGCCCGCCAGCGACCAAGTTCGCAACGACGGCACCGGTACGTGTTTGCAACATCGTTCTTGCTGCGAACGAGACTGATTTCGGACAAGGTGTTATCCAACTCGATCCGTGGCTTGAGCCATATTCAGCAGCCCTTCGATCTCGCTTCAGCAAAGCCCAGAACTGGATCAAGACAATCGAGAAGAACGAAGGAGGATTAGAGACGTTCTCGCGCGGGTATGAGAAATTCGGCTTCAATGTCCTGCCAGATAACACAATCGTATATCGAGAGTGGGCTCCATTTGCTCTGCGCGCCTTCCTGATTGGTGACTTCAACGGGTGGAACAGAGATAGCCATGAGATGCAGAGGGATCCGTTTGGGGTCTGGGAGATCAGCTTGCCGCCGAACAACGGAGAGCCTGCCATTCCTCATGACAGCAAGATCAAGATCAGCATGGTCGTCCCGAATGATCACGCTCGGCAGGAGAGGTTGCCAGCGTGGATAAAGCGAGTCACCCAAGACTTGTCGGTTTCGCCAGTGTACGATGCACGATTCTGGAATCCACCGCACAAGTACCAATGGAAGAATTCACGCCCGCCAAAGCCCGCCAGTGCTAGAGTGTATGAGGCTCACGTAGGTATCTCGAGCCCAGAGCCCAAGGTAGCCACCTACAAGGAGTTCACTCAATATATGCTGCCACGCATTCGAGATCTCGGATACAACACCATCCAGCTCATGGCCATCATGGAGCACGCCTACTATGCCTCCTTCGGATATCAGATCAACTCATTCTTCGCGGCTTCTTCACGCTACGGCTTTCCGGATGACCTCAAGGAGCTCATCGACACCGCACATGGCATGGGTATCACCGTGTTGCTGGACGTTGTGCACTCTCATGCAAGCAAGAACGTGCTCGATGGACTCAACATGTTTGACAACAGCGACCATCTCTACTTCCACGAGGGAGCACGGGGAAGGCATGAGCTGTGGGACAGTCGGATCTTTAACTACGGCCACCATGAAGTCCTGCGCTTTCTGCTTTCCAACCTCAGATTCTGGATGGAGGAGTACCAATTCGACGGTTTCCGATTCGATGGTGTGACCAGCATGCTGTATCAGCACCACGGTATTGGCACTGGCTTCAGTGGCGGCTATCACGAGTACTTTGGGCCAAGTGTAGACGAGGATGGTGTTGTCTACCTCATGCTGGCAAACGAGATGCTGCACACACTTTACCCGAGTTGTATCACAATCGCGGAAGATGTGTCTGGCATGCCGGCGTTGTGCATCAAGCTGAGTCTGGGTGGGATAGGATTCGACTACAGACTTGCCATGGCCGTACCGGATCTTTACATCAAATGGCTGAAAGAGAAGCAAGACATTGACTGGGATATGGGTGCCCTATGCTTCACCTTGACCAATCGTAGACATGGCGAGAAGACTATCGCGTACGCAGAGAGTCACGACCAAGCTCTGGTTGGTGATAAGACCCTACTATTCTGGCTTTGCGACGCAGAGATGTACACCAACATGTCGACCCTCTCAACCTTCACGCCGGTCATCGAGCGTGGTATGGCGCTACACAAGATGATCCGACTCATTACACACAGCCTGGGTGGAGAGGCCTACCTGAACTTCGAAGGCAACGAGTTTGGACACCCAGAATGGCTGGATTTTCCGCGCGAGGGCAACAACAACAGCTTCCACTACGCGAGGAGACAATTCAATCTCCCAGACGACAATCTTCTGAGATACAGATTCTTGAACGAGTTCGATAAGGCTATGCAGTGGACAGAGGACAAGTACGGATGGCTGCACTCTCCGCAAGCATACATCAGCTTGAAGCATGAAGGGGACAAGGTCATTGTCTTTGAGCGCGCTGGCCTGCTCTGGATTTTCAATTTCCACCCCTCGAGTTCCTTCACGGACTACCGGGTGGGCGTCGAAGTACCGGGAACGTACCGGGTGGTGTTGAACACCGACGATGCGGCATTTGGTGGTCTTGACCGGATACGGAACGACACGCGCCACTTCACGACAGACTTTGCATGGAACAATCGGAAGAACTTCTTGCAGGTGTACATTCCGACGCGGACCGCAATGGTGAGTGACAATAAAGGTACAAACCTTGGCCGAACAGAATACTAACTTCTTAACCAGGTCCTCGCGCTTGAGGAGACGCTCGACCCGAAGTGGAAGTCCAAGGTATCGCTCGGATACTAGTGTTGGACGATGAGATCCCATGAAACCCGCGAGAGGTTGTACCATCATGTGGTGATGACGATGATGATGATGACGATGATGATGAGGATGAGGAAGAAGAAGAACTTGAGCATGAAGCGTCTTGGCGTTGCTGACGAAGAGCATTCTTGTATGAATAGATTTACGAAAGCAGCACTTTGTGCAGTAGAGCTACTGGGTAGCCGACTACTACAACAATGCATGCATTAGTGCACGGCCCAAGATCATCTGTACATAGTAAGACGTTGCGTCCACGTGATAGCTAGCTAGCTTTCTATCCTTCGGGGAAGTTAAGGCGGCCGACATGTAAATGTTAGCGGTCAGAAGGCTCGGGTGTCAGAGCATCGGATGCCGTGGTCGCGCCTAGGCTCCAGTGCTTTCTGGCGACCATCATCATGTGATATCTTGAGAAGCCGTAGAGACCCCAGATCCACGCCGGTAGAAAGAAGAAAGTCCACGCTGGCCTGACGTAACATGGCCGCCGAGTGCCGGTGAGCGCTGTTGCGACTTGCTACTGCTGCCGAATCTTGACATGGCCCCGCGGCTGTGCCTTCTCGATCCGGTATGGTGGCTGCAGACCCTGGTTGTCTTACCCTGTCAGAGCTCCACGAGCAACAAAGTCGAGCCTTTCCCCACTACAATCCCTCCATGCTCCAGTTGCTCTCTGCTACGAGGCGGCGACTCATAAAACTCATCCGCTGCCGCCCTCCCTGACGCAACACCGCCCTGCTCCTCAATCCTCACTCTCTCGACCCAATCACCCACCATGGCTTCGTTCATGAGGACCGCTGCCCGTCTGCAGCCAGCGCTGCGTTCGTCGTTCCGTCAACAGAGCCTGCTTGCCGGACGACGAGCAATGGCAACACAGACTCCTCCTCGGAGCGCCAGTGCTGCCGCCGCGGTCAAGCCAAACCTCGCCGATGCTGTCGAGCAGCCATACTTCCCTGACGAGCCAACCGGACCAATCATTCGTACGGAGATTCCTGGCCCAAAGTCGAAAGAGGCGATCAAAGAGCTGGACCGTGTCTTCGATACACGGTCGTTGAACATGATGGCAAATTACCAGAACAGCTTTGGTAACTACATTGCAGACTTGGACGGCAATGTCTTGCTCGATGTATACGCTCAGATTGCTTCGATTCCCGTTGGATACAGCAACCCTAGCTTGCTGCTTGCGGCCACCAGCCCGGACATGGCTTCTGCGTTGATCAACCGACCTGCCCTGGGCAACTTCCCACAGCATGACTGGGCTGAGATCCTCGAGACTGGTATCCTTACCGTTGCACCAAAGGGCTTGAACCAGGTCTTCACTGCGCAAGCTGGCTCCGACGCTAACGAGCTTGCGTACAAGGCCGCCTTCATGTGGAAGCGCCGTCAGGAGCGTGGAGGTGCGGATGTTGAGTTCACACCAGAGGAGATTCAATCTTCCATGAACAACCAGTCTCCCGGCTCCCCAAACATGTCCATCCTCTCTTTCAAGACTGCCTTCCACGGTCGTCTCTTTGGCTCCCTCTCCACTACCCGCTCCAAGCCGATCCACAAGCTGGACATCCCTGCATTCGACTGGCCACAGGCTTCCTTCCCTACGCTCAAGTATCCACTCGAGCAGCACGCAGAGGAGAACGCCCGCGAGGAGGCTCGCTGCCTCGCTGAGGTCGAGGAGCTCCTCACCACGTACCATAATAAACCAGCCGCTGTCATCGTCGAGCCAATTCAGTCCGAGGGCGGTGATAACCACGCAAGTCCAGCCTTCTTCCATGGCTTGAGACAAGTTACCAGGAAGCACAACGTCCTCCTGATCGTCGATGAGGTGCAGACTGGTGTTGGCGCTACTGGTAAGTTCTGGGCACACGAGCACTGGAACTTGCAGGACCCACCAGACATGGTCACCTTCTCGAAGAAGGCTCAGACTGCTGGTTACTACTTTGGCAACAACGAGCTCAGGCCCAACAAGCCTTACCGTCAATTCAACGTAAGTTGCGGCTCGAGATTTTCGGAATCGATTGCGGAATGCTAATGCCTTGAACAGACTTGGATGGGTGATCCAGCCCGCGCCATCCTTTTCCGCGCAATCATCCAAGAGATCAACCGCCTGAACCTCGTACAAAACACCGCCGAAACCGGCGACTACCTCTACGCTGGACTTGAGAACTTGGCCAAGAAGTTTCCTGGCGAGATCCAGAACCTGCGTGGCAAGGGCCAGGGTACTTTCATTGCTTGGGACTCTCCTCGCCGTGATGAGGTCTTGAAGAAGTCCAAGGGCGCTGGTGTCAATGTCGGTGGCTCTGGCGAGCGCGCTGTCCGTCTGCGCCCTATGCTCATCTTCCAGAAGAAGCACGCCGACATCTTCCTGGACGCTATGGAGAAGATTTTCAAGTCATGATGGGCAAGGGAAAAAGTATGGGTGGTTTTTTGATGACGATATGACGATCTGTTTTCAGTAATGGGAGCGTTACGTTCGACAGTTAGAAGCACGTGGAGTGCGGTCTCAGGCGCGGCGTTGGCTGTGATGATATAGGTGTAGAACAATTTCTGAATGAATGCGAAAGCTGCATCCCGCAGCTGTGCACAAATGAGCCAATCAATGCCTTTGGATCGGTCTGTGTTGCCCTAGTGCTCGATAGCCAGGCATAGGGTGGGGTCTTCACATGCCGAAGCTCGCCAGTGAACTGATCTTCCCCCCGCAGGCATAGATCTTCCTCCAAACGACATGTCGGCGAGGCGGTTGGTCTGCAACAACGACGAAGCGCACGTGATTGACACGTCTCAACGCCAAAGTCTGAACCGCCGAGAGGGCAAGAGCGCGCCGGAGAAAGGACGCGGTGCCGGATGACGTCGTCGAAGGTCTGCAAACAAGGCAGCACACGAACCTGCGTGACGAGGCACAAGGCCTGTGAGCAGCAAAGACCTGCAGGTGTTCCCACTCTCGGTGCGTCGACAGTTGTCTGACCCTGTCTACCTGTTGCCTGTTACTGCGTGGCCTTCCTTGCTACCTGAGGAATCCATATTAATTTGACGTCGGCTCGCTGTAACGATGGTCGGCAAGCGAGCTCTCCCGAGCTTAACGACACAGAGTCGCCCAGGTTCTGCCAATGGGCCATCGAGCAGTCGGCAGCGGGAAGATCTTGAGAGTGGAGGGGATTCGAATTCATACCAAAACAGCAATGGCAATGGAGCGCGGCCGCGACCCGATCTCTGGCGATTCCGGGATGCAGCGAAGACGGCATTGGAAGACAAGAGACGGGATGAGCTGAAGAAGACGATATTACAGGGCGTGAATCGGGATGGACTGGAGAAGTTTCGCAAGTCCGATGAGGAATTGAAGGAGATGAAGAACAAGAAAGTGAGGAAGTTCTATCAGGAACAGAATCAGCGTTTGAACGACTGGCTGGAGGTAGATGCCATTGTCATGGCTATCGCGGACGATGTGCTGGAGAGCATGGATCCGGATCCAGACCATGACGGCCACCGCGAGCGAACAGGAGGGATCCACGAACATCTCGGAAACATTGGAAAATTGCTCCCTGAAGACGAACAAGAAAGGAGAGGGAAAGCCGAACGCAGAGCGAAGTGGGCCATCAACATCAATGTCATCGCAAACATCATTCTTCTTGTCGGCAAGATCGTGGCAGCTTTTAGCACAGGCTCCCTCTCCCTCGTGGCCTCCCTCGTCGATTCGGCTCTCGATCTCCTCTGCACCCTCATAGTATGGACAACCAACAAACTCGTGGCCTGGCGCCTCAATGCCCTCCAACGCAAGTTTCCCGTCGGACGAAAACGCCTGGAACCCATTGGAATCTTGGTCTTTAGTATCATTATGGTCATTTCCTTCCTACAGATCTTGAGGGAGTCGGTTGAGAAGATTATGCCGCTGCAGGGAGAAGCGGAGAAATTGCCTGGAGTCGCGATCGGAGCGTTAGTAGCGACGGTCGGAGTGAAAGGAATCATTTGGTTTGGCTGTATCCCGATCAAGACGACACAGGTGCAGGCCCTCGCGCAGGACTGCAAGACGGATGTCATCTTCAATACGCTTTCCTTGTTGTTCCCGTTCATCGGGTACTACGCAAACGTCTGGTGGCTGGACCCAGTGGGTGCCGGGCTCCTATCATTGTTCATCATCTACGATTGGGGTGAGTATTTCCACACCTGCCAGGACCCATCATCTAGCTAACCACAGCTCTCTCACACATACAGGTTCGACTTGCTTCGAAAACGTGACACGGCTCTCCGGCGAAGCAGCAGAACTCGACCTCGTCAAGAAACTCATGTATCTTGCCTACCGCTTCAGTCCCGTTGTGGAAGGCTTCAAGAGCATCACGGCATACCACGCAGGCGACGGAGTTTGGGTGGAATTCGACGTCCTTCTCCCCGCAGACACCAAACTCTACCGTTCGCATGATATTGCGGAAACGCTCCAGTATTGCGCAGAAGGACTTGATGTGAGTCGAAAGCCAAGCCAAAAAAAACCGACATGTTGCAAGGATTTCTCACTGACTTTTGATTTTTTCTTTAATTTTTAGACCGTTGATCGCGCTTTTGTTACGACAGACTACAGCTCCAGCGGACCTACAGGACACGCCGCGGATGCTGAGAATATATAAAATGCAGTATCTTTTTCACAGAACAGACAGGGCAGTGGCGGCTATTACTTTTTTTTCAGGGACGAAATTGAATGGCAGTCTGGACGGTTCTGCATGCTATTATTCTTGGGAGTGTTGCATGCATAGCGTGACGGGGAAAAAGGATTGTAACCTAACTGTACCTACCCTAACTTAGTGTTCATCAAAGCACCTAACATGGCTGATGGCATTGCAAACTTCCCCGGTGACTGCAGCAGTATTGATAGCTACTAACACAGAAGTGGTAGGGGAAAGAAGCTGCTTAACACTGCAGCCGTTAGAGTAGAGCACGTAATTCATTGAGGGGTATCTCTATAAGCACGTATTATACTGCCAATCCTTTTACGCCTTCAATGTTCTTGTAGTCACTTCCCAGAACCATCCAGCGCTTGCTGAAATTGCGCAAGATCAGACTTACTAGACGTGACCTCTTCCCTTTCCTATCAACTCTCCTTCTTCTTGCTCCCCATGCTCTCCAACATCGCGTCCGGCGACGCCACTCCGATATGCTGATACTTCTTCGTCCAGCCTCTCGGATCTGCTACTGCTACTGCGTCTCGGCTCATTTGTTTCGCGTCGGCAAAGCGCTCCGTCCTGGGCACATGGCAGACCTCGAATTTCCGATATCGATGAGCGTGGTAGACGGCCCAGCCTGCGAACCAATTCACCATGAAGTCGGTCGCGGCCGTCTCATCCTTTTCCCAGAGACCTTGGAAGCCGGGGAGTTCTTCGGGCGATGCCGACACTAAGGAAGATGAAGGGAGGAGACGGGGCGGATTCCACGGATCCTCTGCTTCGACCGGACAGAGCTCGCAGATCGCGGCGTAGAGCTTCACCCAGCGCGCATCCTGCTTATCATGTCTATCCCTGACATTGGCATTTTTCAGCATTAGTTCCGCTATCCACTCCTTGAGACCAGGCCGTGTTGCAATACGAACATCGTCCTTGGCCCCAGGTGGTCTTCGCCTTTGGTCTGCGTTGAAAGTTTGGACAATCTTGCGCGCTTTCTCGGGCTCATACACAAACACATCATCTGTGATGAATGTGACTCGCCCTAGCGGAAACAGCCCGTGGCATCCGAATTCTGGCTCTCGTTCTTCATATGCTGCTATAGTGCGGTCGACACCGATAGAGAAGAGGGAAGTACCAGCCGCCGCAATGTTATGCAAATCCGGCACTTGCCAAAGGGGCACTTCAGGGTGGACGACCACAATACCAACCTTCTGAGGACCTTTGGGTAGATACTTTTTGCAAAAGTAGGCCCATGCACCTGCCGTGCTCGAGTGGTATACCTTCAGCTTGAGACCCTTGAAATATTCGCAGTACACCACGAGATCCGTGTGGTGCCCTGGCGGCATCAGCAGGAAGACGGCTCGTATCGGATCGTACGGCGGAAGTTTCTGATCGCTTCGCGGCTTCACAAAAAGTAATTGCTCCCGATCTAGTCGAGCGAGTTTCTCTCCAACAGAGGCTGCATAGTGCAGTTCCTCGCGCGCAGATACCGCATTCGAAGGGCTTGCTGTGACTGAAATGCCGGACATGTTGCGGAAAAGGCGAAAGTGCAAAAGGCATCCAGGAGGAAATGCCACATCGTCGACTTCCAAGAATCTCCACGTCTCGTTGTTGCTCGGGTAGATTAGCACTTTTGACTCCAGGCCTGCAACAGACGCGAGAAATCCACCAGCATGTACTTTGCACATCTCACTAATAGTTTCCAGCTGACTGGTAAGTGATGGCTCCACTGCAATGCCACCAGTCGCTGCTTCGACTGCTCGAAGTTCTTCATTCCACATGATTTTCTCAAAGTCGCCGCTCACGACCAAATGGTCCAGACGTAGGACAGGGTCTTCGCCAGCGAGATGCTTGAAAGTCTTCTCGTTTGGTACTTCAAATTTTGCAGATATCGTGACTGCGTCGTCGTCCTCCGCGGACGAGAGCATGATCGCCCCGCGTACGGTCGAGCAAGCAACAATGGAGGGCCTCTTCTGCACAACTCGGGTTGGCGGTGCTATTTGGGCTTGCTCTTGAACGGGCAGAACGGATGTCTGTACGGGAGACTTATGGAGCGCCAGAGGTGACTCTTGCAAACGCGGGTCGAAGGTCCTGTTTGCAGCAGGAATTCGGTCCGCGTTTGCAGCATGAATATCGGTTGCTCCTGTTGGACCCAATGCCGAAAGTCTCCTCTTAAAAGTCCCCGGCGGGCCAGCATAAACCCCGGTATCCCGATGCGCGTATTCGCACTGACTGTCCGGTTTGTTACAGCCTTGTGGCTGCCGCCAATAGTAACAAGTGGTCAGATGTTTGGGTACGAGTACGTCCCTAGATGGGAGGTTCTCAGGGCGCTTGTGAGCAGGCTCTGCAGGCAACCTGTAGCCTGGTGGAGGGTCTGCGACGAGTCCTGTATAAGAGTGCGCATATTCACATTCGCCTTCAGTTTTCCTGCATTGACCTTCGTTCCAGAAGAAGCACGTCAATGCCTTCGGGTGAAGATTGTTCTGGGGCCGTTCCACCACCCAATGAGCATACGGGCAGGTTTCTGCGGTCTTATCACATTCATCTCTCTGCCAATATTTGCAGGTCTGTCTCCGATGAAAACCATCAGTTGGATACACAGGAGCTTCCAGCACCGATGGGCGCTTCGGCGAATTTGCAGGCGAGGCAGACCTCTGCCGGCCATCTGGCGGCGGAGTCCTCCTGTAATAGGCGCTGTGAATATCTCCTGAGCTAGATGTGGTTCTTTGGGGCTCAGACGGCCGATCCAGTGTGGAGGGCGCGTCTTTCCAAGAAACGGGCGGGGGACTTCTCCTCCGATATGCTTTGTCAACATCTGCGACAATGGATGCTGTTTTGGGGGGTCCAGGACGCCGCATCTCTCGAAGTGGCTGAGCGGACTCGTTTGGTGGAGGAGATCTGCTACTGTACGCACTGGCCTCTTGTCCAGAACCTGAAGCGCTTCCACTAGGTTGCGTACCCGATGGGCCCGCGCTCTGATGCTGCTCCTCATTGCGTCGAATTATCTTGCCGGTCTTCGGGTCAAGTATGTTCAGGGCTGCCAAGTCTGGAGCCTGCTCAATCCTACTCTGCTTCTGCACGTTATTCTGGTGAGCCAGATTCTTGAAACGAGAATCAAATGATCCAGAGACAGCCCGCTTCGCTTTGACTTGCTGCCCTTCTTTAGGGGCTGCAAATACTTTAGAGCCGAGCTGTTTGGCTTTTGTGCTTTTCGTAATGCTTTGGGAAGTTTGGAGTGTCCCTGAGCTCGGGGCACTCTTTCTAGCATGTGTCGGGTTGGCTGGTTTTTCTCGCAGATCGCTAGATTCTTTAGCAGCTCCTTTGGCCCTAGGTGATTTGGGAGATGACTCATCTGGTCGGGGAGGGACATGCTCCCTAACCTCTTCGTATCGAGAGCCAGGCTCCGAACCGGCTCCGTCTTCCTCTTCAGAAGCATCTAAGCCGTCTGATTCTGTATCTGGCGCTAAGTGAGTGGATTTCTTTCGATCAATCTTTCTTGCAACACCTTTGCGAGCCGAGATCTGCTGTGTCGCCCTTCTGGAGGATGAAGGTGTCGGAACATGTTCGTCTTCGCTTTGGTGGCGTGCCTGCTTCCTACGCTTTGCCCGCTTCAGCTGCCGACGCCTCTTCCGATCCTTGCTCTGTTCAAGAGCCACGTTACATGCTTCCTCCCATTTCTCCACGTTGAATGGTTCCTCAAGGCCAGCAGCGATGCGTTGTTTAGTCTTCTTCCACGCATTAAGGATATCATTTGTGTGGAGATGCCTTGTGGGTTCGTACGTCGCGCGGTGGAGAGGATAGCCCTCCCATTTGATCAAATATTCCCGGATCTTCTTCTTCGGGTCCCATTTCTCTGCCAAGATGCGCTCGACGCTATATTGGTCCTGCGGCTCGCTGCTCCCAGTCGAGTCGGTAGCAATCGTGTCGTCTGAATCTGAGAGAATGAAGTGCTGCTTGATCGCCGCTGAAGGTCTGGATCTGGACATGTTGAAGCTTCAGTGGCGTCAAGTCCAAGAAGGCAGTCAAAGCAGAGCTTCGTGTCGACCCAACACATAATCAGCCGCGGCGGTGACGTTGGATATCCAGAGCTGGCATTGCCGTGAGCATGTGATGAGTGTAGCTTGTTTGGCCAGAGGGTCCTCGGCAAAGCACCCTCGCCCGCGCTCGTCGGCGCGCTCGTTTCTCACACTCTTGTCTTTAATACATCTCACTCTTCTGACTCATTGAAAGCTCGCATGCACAAGTCTTGTGGGTGGTAATGCTGCTCTTGCTTGTTGGGTGCTTAATGTTTATTGTTTGTTGTTCAAGTTGAAGGTTGAATTGGAAGAAGGGACCTTTTAAGCGAAGTCGAGCTTCAAGAAAAGTGGGGCCCCCGAACGCAGCTTCCTCGCATTTCTCGACATGACCAACCACTAAGGCACCTCAGGTAACACCTCAGCTTGCAAGTAGAAAGGGAAGGAGGAAGCAACATCAGATCATCATCTCCGTCAAACATTACATCAAAAACGGCAGCAGCAACACGCCGACGTGGGATGCTCTTTGGCGGGGCTGGCGAAAGAAGGCGCATGTGAAGTTAAGCTAATAATTCTTTCCAAAGCACAATCAAGTGGTATCTCGTATTCGCTATGCACACGTAACTCGTAAAAGAGCCGGCAATCGCATTCGCCAGACTTCTCGCTGTCCTGGGCCCGTTCCGTTCTTATCCCGAGGGCGATCCAGCGACTTCCCGCTCACAGCGCTCGAAGGGGGAAAACAGAGACAGGCCGCAGTCCTGTCACGATTATACGCTAACTTTAGAATTCTTCCTTCCCTCGCAAATACTAAAACACTGTTCAACATCCCAAAAATCATGTATATGTACTACCTCCCGCGGGAGGCATTGGCCAGTCGTCTTCCGTAATGCTCGACCAGAACGTCCAGATCATCACGACGGCCAGAAGTGTGAATAGTGTCTCGAATAGTCCGCCGTTGATCTTGCCATTCGTGCCGTTGCAGATGTGCACGCTGATTACGTACTGGAAGATCTGTCCGATCGCGAAGAGAAGGGCTGCACCGACAAGGTAGTCTATGATCGTGTGTTAGGCTTGGCGTTAATCATGTGGTATGCGTTCGTTGAACTTACAAATCGGCCGCACTTCTCCCAGCACCTTGAGAACGAGGACCGTCTCCAGCAAGAAGTAAACGGCTAGGAACACGAGTGGCACAAGCTGATACAGTGTATACAGTGCGTACGCTCGATTGGGATCCGTAAGTGTGTCGTCCCAGTAACCCGTCCAACCGAAGCCAGTGTCCAGTGCAATGTATCCCGTACCGATGAAGAGTATGACGGCAGAGCCGAATATTAAGAAGAGTGAAAGAGGTGTGCCGTCATCGATGAGCTGGTACCCAACCGCGCCATTCATCATCAGAATCCATACCGTGGAGACAACCGCCGCAATGTGTACGGCGGAGAAAGCTCTTCGAACCGCGCCATCCAGAGGGAATCCGCCGACCGTAAAGATCTCGCATATCTCAATCACAATGTATCCCAGAAGGAAGATTTGCATCTCCCTCCGTCCCACTGCAGCCTTCTTCCGCTCTGATCGGAACAGCAAGAACAATGATGCCAGTATCGCAATGAATGCGAGAATTATTGATCCGAGATTCGCCAGATGCCTGTCGTCGCCGCTCAAGGATATACCAGTGAGTTGGCATCCTCCATAATAGGGAGATGCTCCACCTTGTGCCCTAGACTCCGAGAACAGATTGCAGACGGGTATTGTCGCATATCCACTTCCGCTGTCTCGGCAGAAATTATGCCATTTGCCGTATTGCGACATGTTATCAATGCGCGCCTAGAGAATGGTGATGGTGGTGAGCCGTCCACGATAGTATGCGGAGGTGGTATGCGATTCGGTTCGGAGCGAGGCTTGGATAGGAGTGCGCGCGGCTCCCCGGGTTCGCGCGAGCTCGTAGATTCGGCGTGATGGATGAACTAGGTTGGGCACGATCGGTAACGAAGGGCTACGGGCGTCGAAAGACGCTTCCCGTCAAGCAGATGTGGTTGTTGGAGAGCCGCCGACTTGGTGAGCCGCCGACTCTGGCGACTGCAGAGTGAGGTGGGTGTGCGTTGCAATGAGAGCGAGCAAGCAAGCTGGAACTTCCTGGGAAGCTGGGCGGCTGAAGCAGGATTTGGGAGCCGGCGAAGCACGCTAGCCGCAATTTAATATGACAACGGTCGCTAAGGAAGCCAATCCGGGCGGGTAATCTCGTTTCAATGGATACCACAATACGGCGGTGGGGAGACGCTGTAGAGTTATCAAAATGCTGGTACTGTCGTGTGTCGGTGGAGAGAAGTAGAAGCACAGAAGGGCACCGAGGAAGAAGGGAGGGCGCTGGCTGGCAACCCAACGATGGATGTGAGATGAAACGCATGCTGCTTCCTGGCTCGATCAATGTGCCTCCTTCCTCCCCGCCCAGCCTTGCCTTATTGCCCAAAGTTGCCAAGCGGGAGGCAGGCACAGGCGGTTTGGAGGAAGCGACGATTATAGATCCCGCCCACCCGCGCGCCCGATCGCATGTGATTGGCCGGATCCCTCGAGCCGCATTTGCTCACGCTTTACCAACCATCTGCCACACTCCAGCAGCACACAAGCTCCCGTCTTCATTATTGCGTAGGTAAGCAGCGCTAACAGCAGTATCGTCATGGATGCCCTGAGTAACCCACTGTGCTCCCCTTTCGCCTGCTTGCCTCGTCGGCCTGACAGCAGTAGTACAGTATGTGCACCATATCAGGCCGGTCTCGAACAGGTCTTGCAGTAGAACGACGCCAAGCACTCCGGCGTCTGCTAAGACTGCACTGTCGCACATGTTTCGACATGCACCTGGCTCTGCTCCAGCAGTGTTTCACACGCGGAGATGAAGTTGGTCACGGGCTTATGGGACTTTCGGATTCGGCTTCTATACCGCATGTACCTTACATCAGCCTCTCATCTGATGCCACGCCAATCATACGTCTTCCTCGCTTCTTCTCTCGAAGCCCCTTCTTTGCTTGCTCTGCTCAGATGCCTGTACAGCTATAGCTCTTGGGAGCCGAGATGTTGCATGTGGACATCTACCGAAAATCCACCATCAGCTTGTCCAGAGCCTGCCGCATCGGTCCCTCGAGGTACTCTTCGGCCTTCCTGAGATGGACCTTGAGCGTGTCCTGAAGTGCCTCCTCCACTGGATCGACGGCCTCTGTTGCTGGGCACATCAGGTTGAAACCCTCGTGGATTTCGTTGAAGACATGTCCGACATTCTCGGCGAGGGTTTGGCGCTCTTGCGTCAGAAGTTGAATGAGATCCGTCTCGATGCCCTTGTAGACCGCCGCCCAGATGCCGTTGATCTGGGTCAACTCTTGCTTGAAGATCTCTTCGCGGTATTGGGGCCAACCATTGGGAGGCTTCTTCGCACCCTTCGTGGCTACGACGTGTTAGCAGAGCGCGATTGTCTTCAAGTGGAGGACATGTACCTTTGAGCGCGCGGACCTTGTCGTGTACCGGCTCCATTGCAGTGACGATGTAACCGTCCTCCTCTGCAAAGGTAGCCTTCCCCCTCACAACGCTAGAAGCGGTCAGCTTACTTGCACAGCACAGCCATAAGGTCGGGGTGTACTGACTCCAATCCGGCAAGGACTCTACCCGACATCTCGTTGATGCTTGCGTCGAGTTGTGGCCTCACCTTGTTGACGTATTTGAAGAATGGCTGCAGATCCACGAATGTGGCATTCGAATTTCCTGCTTCATAGTCAGCGACCATCGAGGATTTGGGACCGGCCGAAGTACCTTGCATGCCCTTCACCATCTCGCTGTGGAGATCGACAATGTCGACTTTCAGCCCATCCGTAAGGCTAATCTCATTGTTCACTGCTCTGCCAACCACTCTCTCGACTTTGGCGGCGTTGATCTTGGCGAGATCCCCGCTCAACTTTACCAAAGGATTCTTGCGGCTCTCGCGGCGATGGCCGTGTCGGGCCATGAGCGCCGTGAACTGCGCCGTCTTGAAGCGGCCTTCCTAGTCCGAGCACAGAGCGCGAGCCTCCTGGGCCCAAGCCAACTCATCCTTCTGCAGCTCAGCGACGATGACTTCCTTGAGTCGCTCGAAGACCTGCACGAAAGACTGCTCGATAATCGAAGCAAACTTTCCCTTTGGAATCAAGACATGCTTTTCGAGCTCCTCCTTGCGCTCCAAGGGAGTCCGCGAAGTGTAGAGCATGAGACGGGTAATGAGAGTGGGAATGACCTCGTTCAGCTGGAAAGAGGCTTCGTTGAGTCGCGCCTCATTGGGGAAGCTGAAGAGCAGGCGGCGCAGCTCCGGTATCCCGGTCTCCTCGAGCGTCAGTACTGGCGCGTTCTTAGCTTGGTATCCGACCTGATGCTGGCAGTATGCTTTGTTTGAGATCGAGGAGACCGGTATTGGGCTGCTGGTCGTCGTCAGATCTTGGAGCTTCTCCTGAAGCTTGCTCTTGTTGTGTTGGCTTCGCATGTTGATACGGTGTGCCTTTTCTGCATTCTCGGCACGCTTGACGAGGACCTCTAACTTCCGCTTCTGTTGGCTCAGCTTTGCAAACTCCTCGCCGTCACCCTCATCGTCGCAGTTTTGAATTTTCTCGTCAAGATCTCCAAGCTTTGCTTCGAGCTTTTCATGAACCTTCAAGAACTCCTTGATCATATCCTTATCTCTCTTGCTTCCCGAAGGAATGGTCCCATCGCCAAATGACATCGCTCTTGGGAGATGCGATGACGACTCGTCCATGACCGCGACTCTTCATTGCCTTGACTTCCGCTGCAACGCTGGGGTCGTCTTGAGCACGAGCGACATCAGTCACAATTATGGCGTGAGTCTTCTGGCGGGCATACTTGAGAGCGCTCCTACGGCGAGTCTTGTTGCGATCTGTGAGGCCGGGTGTGTCGTAAAAGACCATGCCAATTTCGGTGAGAGGATCCTTAAAGTGAACATTGATGCATGAGACGAAGGGCCACAAAGACGATCCAGCGCTTCCATCATCAGCGTCGACCTCAATTGCGAACTCCTCAAGCTTGCCTAGCAGCTCGCCCGCAGTTGATGCCGTGACCTCAACCTCCTCTTGCTTTCCCGAGGCGCGACGGATCAGGTTGTCTGACCATCCAATGAGCTTGTTGATGATCTCTGGATCATCTTCCGAGTTGGCGTCTCCGAGAAATCGTCGAGCTGCTTTCTTGGTGGAGCACTCTGCCTGGTCTTTGAAGAGCGTGACCAAGGAGTTCGCCACCTCATCTTTGATGGCAGGGTTCTCGTCGAAATCATTCTCCGGTTGAGCTCCATATTCGTCGTCGTCTACCTTATGCTGTGGAAAGCCCTGAAGAAGTCCCGGACGTAGCTCTCCAAGATTTCGCGACGCTCCTTCCCGTTGTAGAACTTGACTTCGGCCAAGAATGGCTCTTTCTGGCCCGATCGTGGTGGGTTCAAAGACTGGGTCGCCAGAGTACAACTCGCGCCTGCATCACCCTGCCGAACATCAGAAATGAGTTGGACACAGTCATGCAGGAGAACTTACCTCTTTGGCAATGTTCCCGGCGAGGAAGATGGAGTTGAGCGTGGCGCTCTTTTCTAGATGGTGTCAGTAGCTGGCCCATCCTCTCTGCATAATGTTCCTTGCCTACGCCTATGTTGCCGCTCGTACAAACACTAATCTTCTCACGTTTGCGATTCAAAAGCTTCTCCTCGGCATGCTTCTGAAGACCCTGAGTGACCACAGACCGATACGGAGATTTGACGATAAGCTCATTGAGAGATTTCATATGGAGGAACAGAACCTTGACCTCCTCTATTCCAAGCCTGGTTCAACAGCACCCAGCCTTCTTCGCTGTATTGCCATCCGACACACCCAACTTAACCGCCCTTCCCGCTCCACCACCACCGGATCCTGGGCCTTTGACACCACTTCTTCGATCATTCAGATCGTATTTCCCTGCCTCAATGTTCTGATATATCCTCTCTGCGACCTCCAAGAACGCCCTTTCGACATTCTCACCGCTCTTCGCAGACGTCTCCACATACTGCATCACCCTGTTCTGCTTGCACCACTCTTCTGCTTCTTCTCTCGTGACTTGTCTTCGATTTGGAGCTGTATCATCCCCAGATATTGTTGATGAAGCGGCCAGATCTGATTTGTTCCCCACGAGTACCACCACGATGTCGTCTTCTGCGATTTGCCGTAGGTCGTTGAGCCAGGCTGTCACAGAGGCGAAGGTGTTTCTTCTTGTGATATCAAATACCAGCAGTGCGCCCGATGCGCCGCGGAAGTAACTCCTTGTAATCGATTTGTACGTCTCCTGGCCGGCCGTATCCCATAATGACAACTTCATATACTTTTGCTGGGGTTCTTTGGCAGCATCTTTCGACTTCTTCCCTGTTGTGTCATTCGGCGACTTGGTAGTAGGTGTACTCGAAGTCGCGGCAGGATTATTGATATTATGTTCTAGACTCGCAGGTGGTCCTACAGGAACGATCCTCGAGCCGAATTCGACGCCGATGGTTACATCGTGGTGGGAGACGAAGCGACCTTCGCAGAGCCGGATAGTCAGCTGAGCTGCATCAGCTTTGATGCTGAGGACATCTTGGTATATCTCTTCGGGAGACAGGATAGATCATACAGACGATTTGCCGCTTCCACTATCACCTAAGCTCACGATCTTGGAGATGAAGTCGTAGGGTTGCGCTTGCGCCATGAGAGAGCAGAAGATGAAGTGTGCCAGAGAGTCGATTATTAGGAGATTGATGTTCTGGGACCAAGATGCTTCCTCACGTTTTCATTGCGGTTTCATTGATTATGGGGACAAGCTGCGGTCATTTTGAGACTCGGGGCCACGAGCTCGAGCGCGGGCCACGCGGCGCGTCATCAAAAACAGCAAACCCTCCCCAGCTAACGTAATAACGTTATCGTTATCCACGTCCACCGCATCAACGTAGCGTGTCTATGGGCATCTCACTATATAATACCATGTCCTACCGGGTACTATGCCTCCCGCCCTCTACTATATCTAGTTTAGATTCTCTCTTCCTTTAGGGAACTCTTCTATCGTAGGCCCCTTCTAGACACTTCGGCTTGTAAGAAAGAGATAGAGTAATCCCGCCTCGCCGGCGAGGTATCTTCGATTTTATATCCTACGGGTAGTAATACTACATATTTATAGGAGTTCTTTATAAGGTAGGTTTATATATATACGTAGACGCAGTCGGGGAGAGGTAGCTTTAGTTTTGTATCTTCCGGGTAGTATAAGTCTAGATTTACAGTGGTTCTTCGTAGTGGCTAGCTGTAGACGTGGATAAAGATAACGTTATTAACGTTATGCTAGGCACTACTGCTCACAGTGCTTGTGATCAAAGGCGCCGATCTGTTTATTCGAAAATTGATGGGGACGTAATTGATGATTGATGAATGGGAAAGAACAACACACGACCGACTGCGACCGCTTGAGGAAGCCGTGAAGGTTACCTCCGGCGCAGGCGGCCTATCACCACCACAACCGCAGATAGCCATGCAGTATTTACCGGGTTGAATGCTACGTTTAGCCTCCCGAGTCACTCCTCATCATGTCGAGGACCTTCCTTGGATATGCCGGTGGCCAATTGAGTTGCGTCAAGCACCACATGTCTGGTCCATGTGATTCACCCAGAGCCGATGTAATGGGTCTCTTGCCTTCAACCTTCCTCCTCTGCTCGGCTGCTACTTGACCACATCATCTCCTTCTGTTCAATCTCTCCCTTATTCGGAGTGCTTCCCGTTAGCGCCTCGCTGTCTGCAACCAGTACAATCGCTACAATGGCTTCGATCGAAACAGACCCGAAAGACCTGGAAAACATGCCTCCCGTGGCAACGTCACCGGACAAAGCCCCGACAGTCTGCGTATTGTAAGTATTCAATATGAAGAACCTGCGCATGCGAGAACTAACGCGCTCTACTCCAGCTGCGGCGCCTCACCAGGAACCTCCCCAGCCCACCTTGAAGCTGCCCGCGAACTCGCAAGAGCCTTTCACGCACACGGAATCAACCTCGTCTACGGCGGCGGAACAGTCGGCGTGATGGGTGAACTGGCCAAAACACTCGTCTCCCTCTCCGGTCCGCAAGCAGTCCACGGCGTCATCCCAGAAGCCTTACTGGTCTACGAACGCAATGGCCGCGAGAACGGCACATCTGGAGGTCCTAAAGTCTTGATTGACGAAAACATATACGGCCGCACGACAGTCGTGAAGGATATGCACTCTCGGAAGCAGCTCATGGCAAAGCAAGTTATAGAAAGCGGACACGGAGGTGGCTTCGTAGCCTTGTCAGGAGGCTATGGAACAATGGAGGAGCTGATGGAAGTTGTGACATGGAATCAGCTGGGCATTCACGCAAGAGGAGTGGTGGTGTTCAATGTTGAAGGATACTATGATGGTTTGTTGAACTGGGTGAAGACGGCGGTCAAGTCAGGATTCGTTAGCGAAGGAAACTCGAACATTATGGTGGAGGCAAAGACGGGCGAGGGAGTGGTAGAGCGGTTGAAGGGGTATACGAATGCAGAGGGAAGATTCAAGTTGGACTGGGAATCTCGGTAGGCGAGGAGGGCGTTCAGTGCTTGAACGGCTAGGAGGTAAATGGACATGCGGCAAAGTGTTTGGGCCGCCGGTCGATACTGACAAAGAGTGATATGCCGCATCTCACTGAGACTAGAGCTAAGACGCCACGCCCGGATGATACGAGACCACAGTCCGTACACGCAACGGATGGGCAAAAGAAGTAACCTTTCTTGAATCCAACTTAGTAGTTGCCATGAATCCAACTTAATAGTTGCCAGAGGCAGTGGTCTTGCTATCACCCGTGACGGCAACATTCTTGACGATCACTCGGTCGCCGTCCTCGCTCTCAACCCTGACATCAACAGTGGTGGTCCCGAAGCCCGACGAGTTCTCAAAGAAGTTGTAGGTCTTGCGAGTGAGGCCGTCCTTCCAAGTACTGCCTCCGTCCGTGGAGACGGACATGCTTGCGGTACGCTGTGCCCGTGGTCAGCTGCTGTGTATGAAGCATTTTTCATCCCTCTTACCTTGTTGCCATTGACAACTTGAGCTGAGAACCAGTAGGCGGAGACACCAGACTTCATGTGGATTTCAAGTGGGCTCGAGATGGGACACTCGACCCAGTCCCAGGTTACTTGAATATGACCTGGCATTGTCAACATGAGCAGACAGCATGCTAACTTCTGTTGCGCGTACCTGCGCTTTTCGCTGCAAGCTCAGGAAAAGCATTCTCGTACAAGTCGAGATGGTTCTGGCCGCAACCGGGGCACTGATCGGTAACCATGGCGGTGATGTTTTTGCCGGTGGGTCCGGTGACCTGCACGCACCCGCCGCAGGCCTCACTGTTGTCCCAGTTCGAATCGCTCAAGGCAGTGCCGTAAAGCCCACTTGGGAGCGTGTAGGTGCTGAACGAACACGCGCCACCTTGAGTGTTCCCTCCATAGTATGTAGCTTCACCAGAGAAGGAGGCTGCTGCGAAGGAGAAAAGGGCTGCCAGAGCCGGAAGTATGGAACGAGAAAGCATTTTGATATGAACGAGAGTGGATTCTGAGATGGAAAGGAGCGACTTCAAGTCAGCTAAGGAAGCGATAAAAGAGCGATGGGCAATGAAATCATCAGAGGTTCGAGAGGAGCTTTATACCTCTGCTAGTAATACCTGAGCATATTGTGTAGTCGCGGCTACCCAACTCGCGCTCTAGCTGCGACGGCGTGGCGCACGGTGAGCAGGCCATTGCACGAATTCACTTCATTTCGATTGATTGTGGGCGGGTCGCGCGAGCCGGTCTTCAAGATGCGGTCCTCGAGCAGCCCGGTACTCGGACGCAGTCCCAATTCTGGACTTTTGCAAAGTACATTCCGTGTTTGCGGCGCCCACCATGGTACGGATCGTTTGCATGTGACATTCTTCATATTGTCTCGGCGTTGAGGACGTACGTACGTAAGCGCTGCGAAATTGGAGCATTCCAGGAAGATTATGCCTCTTTCTGAGAACGGCTGCTGAACCACAGCTGAGGAACACTGTAGAAGGTATATGGTGTTGTCCAAACAACAGTGTGTGGTGGTGATGCAGAGGTAGGTGCCTTTGGGTTGGAGCACATGGGAGCGTTTAGAGTTTCAGCACGCGTTCCACGATCCCTGCCGAGTGAAGCCAGCGTATCACCTCACGTAAGGTACCTTAGCCGATACATAGCGAGACACACCACCTACTAATAAGCACTCCCGCCGGGACTGGCTTCTCAATCCGCTTCGAAGCAACGCCGAGAATGACGTCTGTGGTTTTCTCATGCGATGCATAGGGCTCCAAACACACCTGCAGCACTCAGCACGCGACGATGGACGAAGTCGAGAACCCAGCTCTTCCCGCAGCGGGCGAGACGAGTCCCACCATACGGCCGATCGATCCAGATGAGGTCGCTCGAATCGAGGTGCAAGAGGTCGTGGAGCCCGGGATCGACACCGCGGAAGCAGAGGCTCTCGTGAACAGCGCGCAGGATGAAGATGCGAAGCCAACTCTGCCTGCCTCGAGGGCGCCTCCAAACCGGCCACCGTTGAAGCGAGACAATTCCAATCCTTCCCCCTCGCAGCCACCGCCAGCACCCCCTGCCCAACCAGCAGAGACGAACGAGTTCCCACAAGATCCTCCAGACAGTCTTACTCTCGCCGATCTGAAAAGAATACGAAACTCGTTCCCCAATGCACAAGCGCCGGGGAAGCAACAGTTATTGGGCAATGAAAAGGTCTACGATTTCGAATATCAGGATGCTCAGTCCTTTCCAGTAGAGCTGGAAGAGTGGTTCAGCTATAGCGAAGAGGAGGAGTCCAAGCTACGACGGTGTAAGGCTGTTTTCAACGATGAGTGGAGATCGACCGAAGAGGGGAAATTCGACTGGCTGGATGTCACAGAGGACGCTCGAAGAGCGTTTGTGAAGAAGTGGATTGGTGTCCTAAAGGTTAAGCCGACGGAGCAAGAAGTCACGAAAGCGCTTACAATCCTCACGTACGTTGGGCTGGGCATTTGGGAGCAGACAGCCGGACGCCGCGAAGGTTGCGCACTGGAAGATCTGTTTCCAGACTGCAAGCTGGGCGGCTCCAGACTTGAGGAATATGGGTCCTCCAGCTTGCAAGTGCAGTGGATGGTGGCAATGGTCGATACGCTACATGCATGCGATGGACTAGGGACGATCTACGACACCCTAAGACGTGTTTTTGATAATGACTTTGCCAATTCGGCACCAGAGCTGCCTTCTCGAAATGAGTCGCAGATTCGTAGAGGAGATGAGAGCATGGAACTCTGGTGCTGTCTGACACTCATGTACCTTTTCGTTGAGGTCGCCCGCTCCACAGCCAATGGGCAGACTCTGAAAGGAGATATCCTCGCTCTGGAGCCCAAGTTTCTCAACTATCTTACGCAAATCGTTGCAAAACTCCGCTGGGACGAGTCCGCCCCGATCCCGCTGACAAAGATGTTATTGCTTGCGTGGAAGACAATCCTTGTTTCATTCGGCGGCATCAACGACATCGAAAATGTCAAGGCAGCCTTGCAAGAGAAACAGGACGTCGAAATGGATGCTCGCGGAGAGCCTATTATCACGGCGTCGCCTCTGGACTACCACCTGTTCCGACAAGAGATCAGCTCCAAGTATCCCGCGTACCAGCCGCCTCCGCCGTTGTTCCCTCTGGAGCCGGAGAACAACAGCATTCTTCCACCACTGAAGCACAGGCGCCCAAGCTATGCCGCGCCAGACCCAGTCTTTGCGGGAGCCCCTACAGTGGGAACAGGCTCGATCATGCACCAGCCGGTCCACATTGCCACACCTGCGCCCTCTCCACCACCCTCGCCTGCTGGTCCTGGTAAGGCCGGGAAGAAACAAAACTATCAAACCAATCAGATGTTTCCGTTCCTCTATCCACCACTGGACGCGAGCAGCAACGACTTGGGAGGGAAAGGGAGCACTGAGCTGCAAGACGCGCTCGTGGGTAGGAAGTGGGAAGGGTCGGACGTCCCTACCAGTATACTCGAGGCGACTGAACTTTTCGCCAAACGCATGCGCGCTACGAGGGCCATGACACAACTCTGGGAAGCACGCGTCGACTTCATGAAACAGGAGCGAGGGTGGAAGAATCCGGACGATGATGATCAGAACCCGGATGTAGCCGACTTCGAGCTTCTACCGCAGTCTGCCCCCAAGGAGAGCGCAGAGCAGGGCAAACCGATCGCTCAGACAGATGAAGAGCGGAGAGTGTCCAAGGTCAAGCAGTATTACCGAGAATCCCTGCCTCATTTGCAGAGCGTCGTCATCGTTCTCTTGAAGGCTGTGTTGCAGAATGTTACGGACCTAGTAACCAAAGGCAATGGACAAAACGGTCTTCAGGCTGGCATACAATTCAATGAAGCCAACGGGGTAAATGGAACCAAACCCATGGAGAATGGTGTGCACTCAAATGGAGATGGCATTGAAAATACTGCGGAGGAGCTTGACAGGCTACGCTCGCAGGAGATTTCCGCTAAGGCCTTGAGCGCAATGTTGATCCTCCTACTAAAGTGGTTCAAGATTTCGCACATCTTGCAATACGAGTACATGACGCAACTGTTACTGGACTCGAACTACGTTCCTCTGATTCTTAAGCTGTGGCAGACTCAAGAAATCGGACGAGGCGTTCATTACAGACTTGATCGAGAGGAGAAGAACTTTTTCTACTTTTGCCAAACCAATTCGCGGAATGGCTTGCCGAAATCAGACGATGGCGAGGCAAACGCATCCCAGTCGGAGGATGAGGCTGCACCGCCTCCAATCAGGAGGCATAGAGATGAACCCACCGAGCGTACACTTTCGCCAGGCCTGGATTCTTCGGACTTTACTCATCCGCCTGAGGTCGACGAGCTTGGATATCCTCAAACTCAACTTCCCCCAACTCCGCTGAAGAACTATTCCTATCGAAACCTCTTCAGCGCAATCAACTACCTCCGTGTCCTACAGAAAGTCACGCACCGTAAAACCCACCGAGCACTCCTCCTCGTCAGCTACAAATCCTCTAACCATCTTAAGAAGACACTCAAGATCCCAGTTCAAATGCTTCGCTACTACACACTCAAACTTTTCAAGTCCCAAGTACCCTTCTGCGGTCGCAAATGGCGACAGGGAAACATGAAAATCATCACAGCGGTGTGGCTCTCGGTGCCGGCCGAGCTGCGAGATGACTGGCTCTCGGGTGGAGGTGGAGGGATGGGAGGTGCTTGTGTGGGAGACGTAGATGGAACCGTCGAGGATGCGTTGCCTCTGGAACAGAGCTTGAGGGCTTTGACTCATTGGTGGAATGTCAGGAACTATCCGGACGTCATGGGTGTTGACAAGGCCATCATGGAGGACGAGATGGATTATTTCACCAGAGAGCTGGAGAAGATGGAATTTGTGAGGGAGGAGATGGAAATGGTAGAGGGCGAGAATTTGGGGGATGAGTGGCAGGGGCCAATTGAAGGTTATTAGAGTAATAGTTCTCTTGGAGAATTAGATCTAGATGATGCAAACCATGCTGACCGCGAAAGAAACAAAGATTCATTGGGTCCCTACAAGTGTATTTGTGCAAGTGCATGTGAAAGTAGTTGAAGGAGTGAGAGGCATGTGAGAGAGAAGGTAAAGTCATATCAGATGTTTCTCTCCCTCTTCCCTCGGGGCAGAACGGCCTTGGCAAAGCGGCAAGCTCGGACCATGCGAGCGAGGTCGAAAGCTCCTCCTGTGCTTCTCACGACGACTTCACCCATCAATCGAGCACCACTCCCCACTCAACACACCTCCCACATCACCGCGATCATGCTCAAGAAGTACGTTCCATCGCACATTGTCCCTGACGCCGCCATTGGCTTCCCATACTGACCCGCCGCAGCGGCATTGCTCGCGCTGCTCGCCCGGCTGCTTTCCGCAGCGTGAGGCCAGCATTCAAGGCCTTCCAACCGCGCTCCTTCGCGCCCGCCATCGCCCACCGCTTCGCCTCGTCCGACGCAGCCAAAGATGGCAAGGTCCACCAGGTCATCGGTGCCGTCGTCGACGTGAAGGTACGAAAGGCCGCAGGACAAGCGCCGAGAAAGGATTTGCTGAGCTGAATGACGCCTCTAGTTCCCGACCGACCAGCTCCCTCCCATTCTCAACGCCCTTGAGACGACGAACGGTGGTCAGAAGTTGGTTCTCGAGGTCGCAGTACGTGGAATCGGACACATGCAGATGCCGGTGGAGTCGAGGTGCTAACACGGCGGCAGCAACACTTGGGAGAGAACGTCGTGCGATGCATTGCTATGGACGGTACCGAGGGTCTCGTCCGTGGCCAGACTGCCACCGACTCCGGCACGCCCATTCTCATTCCTGTCGGCCATGGCACTCTTGGCCGTATCATGAACGTTACCGGTGACCCAATTGACGAGCGTGGCCCAATCAAGTCCGACAAGAAGCTTCCCATCCACCAGGAAGCTCCATCATTCGTTGACCAGTCCACTTCCGCTGAGGTGCTTGTCACGGGTATCAAGGTCGTCGATCTGCTTGCCCCATACGCCCGTGGCGGTAAGATTGGTCTGTTCGGTGGTGCCGGTGTCGGCAAGACTGTGTTCATTCAGGAGCTCATCGTACGTATTTGTTGTCGCAGCAAGGCGCAAGCGGCGACAGCTAACAGACTTGGCAGAACAACATCGCCAAGGCTCACGGTGGTTTCTCCGTCTTCACTGGTGTCGGTGAGCGTACCCGTGAGGGTAACGATCTGTACCATGAAATGCAGGAAACCGGTGTCATTAACCTCGATGGCGAGTCCAAGGTCGCTCTTGTCTTTGGTCAGATGAACGAGCCCCCAGGTGCCCGTGCCCGTGTTGCTCTTACTGGGTAAGTTTCCTTCCCCCATCACCATCCCAAAGCACAGTCTGCAGCGTCTTCGCGGATCATCTCGAGGATTCTGTTCAACAATGAGCCATCGGGGAGCCCTATCGCCCCATGTTTTTAATAGCACATGCGGAGACGATCCCCCGATGTGCGAAGACGCCGCACGCTAAGAATAACTCCCCGTCCCATTTTTTCATACCACCAACCACCATCTCACCCAACACCATCTCAACACCACGACCATCTGCTAACATATAACCACGACAAAAGCCTGACAGTTGCCGAGGAGTTCCGCGACGGCGAGGGACAGGACGTGCTTCTCTTCATCGACAACATCTTCCGCTTCACTCAGGCTGGTGCTGAAGTTTCTGCCCTGCTTGGCCGCATCCCATCCGCCGTCGGTTACCAGCCAACTCTCGCAGTCGACATGGGTGGTATGCAAGAGCGCATTACTACCACCAAGAAGGGATCCATCACCTCCGTCCAGGCCGTCTACGTGCCCGCTGACGATTTGACGGACCCCGCGCCCGCCACCACATTCGCTCACTTGGACGCCACCACTGTATTGTCTCGCGGCATTTCTGAATTGGGCATCTATCCAGCCGTCGACCCGCTGGACTCTGCATCCCGCATGCTTGACGCCCGTATCATCGGACAGGACCACTACAACACCGCCACCCGCGTTCAGCAGATGCTTCAAGAGTACAAGTCTTTGCAGGACATCATTGCTATTTTGGGCATGGACGAGTTATCTGAGCAGGACAAGCTTACTGTCGAGCGTGCCCGCAAGATCCAGCGCTTCCTGAGCCAGCCTTTCACCGTCGCTCAGGTCTTCACCGGTATCGAGGGCAAGCTGGTCGACTTGAAGGAAACCATCAGCTCATTCAAGAAGATCATGGACGGCGAGGGCGATGACCTCCCAGAAGGTGCTTTCTACATGGTTGGTGACTTTGCGGAAGCACAGGAGAAGGGCAAGAAGATTCTGGCAGATCTCGAGAAGTCATCGTAGACGGCTCCGGAATGGAAAGGACATGAGTGGTCGAGCTCTCTAGCGCTCTTGAAATGTACAGACGACAAGCGCCAGGGAGAGCAAGACTGTAGTAGAGAGTTGACTGTAACCGTAGATCTCGAAAGCGTTTCCTTTGTCTGTTGGAACTGGATTTTTTCTCCTTCTGTATCGTTTACAAAAGGGTTTGTTTCTGTGCATGAGCTCACTGACGACAGACAGCTGCGACAAAACGAGATGCGGCTACAACTGGGCCCAGGGTTTGCTTCTCTATGACCGCATTACAGACTTCTAGCTCTTATTCCACAGGAAAAACACAACCTCCTGCTGGGCACAATACATCCCAGATCCCAGAGTTTAGGCTCAACTCCACAAACCAGAACTCGACAAAGCCATTGACGGGTACTTTGAGGCTTCGCGATGCCTGTGTCAACTCGAGATCAAGGACACGAACTTCTCGCTGTTTCCGGACGTGGCTCCAATCTGGACATTTCCATGAGATACGATCCCGTCAACTTCTCCCGCGATGTGCGAACACCGACCTGCCGTTGCCCATTCCACGGACGTCAACAATTTTACCGTCTATATCGATTTTCTCTGCCTGCTCTGGTGACAGAGACGGACTATCCCGCCAAATTTCGACTCCTTCCCAAGAGCCAGTAGCAAACACCAAAGAGGCGACTCGCATGGCCTGGTCTATATCGGCTACTTCGAGAAGAAGGAATCTTGCCCGCACGTGTTCCGCAATCTGGAGCAGCCTGGGATAAAATGAATCGCCAATGGCTGTATCTCCTTGAAATGTTGATGATGGCGGCACAAGGGCAAGTTTGGGTTCGAAGTTTCGTACAGACCGGCTGGTAGTGCTGCGGAAGCTTTTTGGGGAGATATATGGCGGGTTTGAGACGAGAATGTCAAAGTCCTTTGGGCCAGTGTCACCGGCGAGACGATTTAGTGCTTGCATAAGGGAAGGTGGACCGTCGGTGGGAATGTTGTCCTCTTTACTAAGGACGTCGGCTTGAACGAAGCCAGTACGGTGCAGCGATCGAAGGCGCGTGGCCTCAGGGCCGTATGTCTTTGCTTGATCTGCTAGTTGCAGTATCAGATTCTCCCGTGCCAAGCTGAGGGCATCTCCAGATATATCGACGCCAACGAGTTCGAGTAGAGCATTCGCGTTGGGGGTTTTGGTATAGAACTCGTGATGGAAAAGGAGCGGTATGCAGCCAGTTCCACTGCATAGGTCGAGGACACGGACACGCTGCGAGGGGGCTAGAGCGCTCTGCGAGTGAAGAACGGTCACGAGATGTGATATCGAAGCTGCGGTCTCTTGTCTATGTACCGTTAGCCTCAATTAGATGCTGCGTCTTTCTAGAGCAGAAGCCTGCTGCTTTACAGGAATGCTGGCAGACATAGAGGCAACAGCGAGCTGAACAGCAGCGGGTCAGCTATGGTTCTCGTCGAGATAGCCGTCTAACGCGAGAGATAGAGAAAGAAGGCGCAGCAGACTCCCCGTTGCATGCCTCGCTATAGTCCTTTCCGCTACGACCCTGAGTGGATTTTCTTTGAGGCGAAAGCTAACCTAAAGGATGCTTGGTGCGCTTACCTTGGGATCAACACGCCTGGACGACACTTGATTTCCAAGTCTCCAAAGTACTCTGAGCCAAGTATGTATTGCAAAGGCTCACCGCTGGCACGGCGCTTAACATAGCTGGAGAGAATAAGATGGGGGCTTTTGTTGCCTCGGCGAGATGAGACACTGGTCGCGTGTTCCTTCATCCAACGGAGTTCATTGCGTGCTGAGGCCGCGTTCTGGCAGACCGGAAGCAAAGGAAGCAATGCCTTGGCTTTTGGGCTGGAGCGAACGCGCAGGACATCTTTGGGGTGGATGCGTGGCATGTGAAGGTGTCGTCAAGCACGTGAAACGGATTGTGTTCACCTGCAGTGAATAATACTAGTAGGTCAGGTCCACGGTGCTCGCTAAAGTTCCATCAAAGTGGGGCTGGAGCTGGACCCTGCCTTCCACCAGCCAGCTCAGTCTTTGCGTGGACTACTACCTCTTCACAACCTTGCCAACTGCTTCCGACGCCACGACCAACAACAACTCCATCCGTCCATTTCCAACCCACTAATTATCTTCAGCGGCTAGGAACTGACCTCCAACATCCCCCAACACTTCGGCACATCCCAAGTACCAGTCTAGCGCCTCCAAACAACATCCATCGCCCCGCGCCACGACCTCACGAAGCCGATCTGCACTTCACACATTCCTCAGTCGACTCGCACGTAGTCGCCCACCATGAAGCTCACCTTCAAGGACCTCAAACAGCAAAAGTTCACCGTCGAGGCCGAGCCAAGCGAGACCATCGGACAGGTCAAGGAAAAGATTAGCGCCGACAAGGGCTGGGAGCCATCAACTCAGAAGCTCATCTACTCGGGCAAGATCCTACAGGATGACAACACAATCGAGTCATACAAGATTGAAGAGAAGGGCTTCATTGTGTGCATGACGTCCAAGGTTTGTGTCTCGAGACATCTGAGCCAAACAAGCATGTGACTAACGAGTTCAAGCCCAAGGCTGCGCCGTCGAAAGCAGCCGAGCCCTCTACTCCAGCAAAGCCCGCATCCACGCCCGCCGCACCAGCGGCACCAGCCCAGGCGGCACCCTCTACTGCCTCGCAGCCTCCAGCGACTCCTTCCCCTGCCCCAGCTGCCGCTGCCACCAGCGATGCGAACTTCAACGACCCGAACGCCCTCGCACTTGGCGAGCAGCGCGCTGCTGCGATTGCTGGAATGGAGGCCATGGGCTTTCCCCGTGACCAGATCGATCGGGCAATGCGCGCCGCATTCTTCAACCCCGATCGTGCCGTCGAGTACCTGTTGAACGGCATCCCGGCAAACGCACAGCAAGAGGAGCGCCCAGCTGCAGAATCACAACGCCCAGCATCGGGCCAGGGTCAACAGCCAGCAGCACCTACGGGTACTGAGGCTGCTCCTCAACCCGGTGAAGAGCCCGTCAACCTGTTCGAGCAGGCAGCCGCGCAAGCTGGCGGAAACCGTGGAGGTTCAGGAGGACGCGGTGGTGCCGGCGGCCTCGGTGCGGCTCTGGGCGGTGGACAGGGCGGAAATCAGGGGGCTGGTGCAGGTGCAGGAGCAGGAGGGGCTGCTAACCTCGAATTTCTTCGGAATAACCCACAGTTCCAGCAGCTCCGTCAGGTCGTCCAGCAGCAGCCGCAAATGTTGGAGCCCATCCTTCAGCAGGTTGCTGCCGGCAACCCGCAGCTCGCGCAGATCATCACCCAGAACCCGGAACAGTTCATGTCGCTGCTTGCTGAGGACGCTGGCGATGACGAAGCGCAGCTCCCGCCTGGTGCCCAGCAAATACAGGTCACCGAGGAGGAGCGAGAGGCCATCGAGCGGGTGAGTCCTCCCCACACAATGACAATTTGTCACTATTTTACTGATCTATTCCCTCTAGCTATGCCGTCTCGGCTTCGAGCGAGACATGGTCATCCAGGCCTATTTCGCATGTGACAAGAACGAGGAACTGGCCGCAAACTTCCTGTTCGACCAACCCGACGAGCCAGACGAGCCAGGCGCGTAAGCTGATGTTGGATGGGCATGTCTCAATACCAGTCGGATCGGACGCATGGGGAGGTGGATGATGCCCACAGGCATACTCTGGGCTGTGGAATTGACACGAGTGACTGAAAGCGTTGCATAAGAATCTCGTTCCTAATGGATCTGGTACAACCAGTCTGTGCGCAAGAGATACGAAATCACGGAAGCGGATCGCCCTCTGCAGTGTAAATAGCGTTCTACGAGAGCAAAATGAGACAACGAACGATGATCGATCCTTGTGAGCCAAAACGTCAGACGCCCACCCCTTGGAAGAGAGCATACGTCTAGTAGATAGAATGGCGCATTGCATTGCGGATGGTGCGCGGCAGAAGTCGGAGCACGTTTCTCACAGCCAAATTTCTCCCGTACACTCGTCGGAGGCGTGGTCTACCTCGCGGTCAGCGGTGTCCCGTGCATGCTGGAAGCGCGGGCCGTGCCGAGTGCACAGCTGTGATTGGCCAAACCCAGACTGGGTCGCTACTCTGCTGGCTGTCTCTTTGCGATACTCCATAATACCGTCGCCCAGAATCACGTCCACCGCCGCACTTGTCCGATGGCATTTTTCCTTTCGTTTTCGGCTTCCCGGTCGTCCTAGAAGAATTCGGTAGCTTCCGGACACTTGATTGCCCTGGATTGTCACCATCCTCGCAGACTTCGCCCGCCGGAACAGGGCGTTCTTCGTAGACCAACCTACGATCCTCCGAGCGGGCCTTTTTCGAACGATTCGATACTCCCGCAAGACGACGTCGGCGACGACGAGAAAGCAGAACAAGGTATGTCGATTCCATGTCGTACCGGTCGTCCGTTTGTTATGTGCTGCCACCAATCCTCCGCTACCATCTGATGGTTCTTGCTTTGATTTGCCCCATCTCCGCTTCAACACGCAATACCTCGCACACACATTCACCGACAGCGACTCTTCGACGGCCCATCGGATTCGGGGCTTTCCTCCAATACCCACACACATATGCCATTCACTTTCACTCGAGCCTGATGACCGAACTTCGCTCTTCTTTGCGTCGCTTCGTGGTACGGGTCAGATCCTATAGAATACTGTTTTCTTCACCCGGCTTTCAACCATCTGTATCAATCAACGACCTCCACCACCTGTTCAAACCAACACACAACTACGAGTACACGCAGCTGACTTTTTTATCTACTCAGAATTATGAACGTCAGGTCTGCCGCGATGCCTGGCAGAGGCCGTCGCACTCCTGGAAAACCTGGCCGCTTTGATCCTTCTGAGCCGCTGCACATGACAACACGACATGCAAAGCGCAACGGCATTTCGAACGGCACGCCATCTGCTAATGGCTCTGTGGAGGATGATGAGAGTCGTCGTGGCTCTCTCGACGATCTTCGTCCAACAACCTCGCACAGCCTTGGCAGTCAGACCTCCGCCAAGGGTAGACGAGTTTCCGGGACTTCTACCAATGGTGCTTCCGACGTGAACATGTCGCTCGAGACTGAGTCTTCTGCGGAGAAGCTGGAGCGCATCAAGAAAAAGCCAACATCACCCGTCGATCAACAGATTTCGCCTTCCCGGAAACGGAAGAGGTCGACTCCAACGCCTCCATTTCCTTCAGATGCCAACGGAGAACTCACCCCACCCAGCAAAAGAATCGAGTATCGGGATCCTCGCGATGCCATGGAAGCCGGAACTTTCGAAGACCTTTCCGATAGAGAGTCCGATGTTGCCTTGAGAGACGCCGGCGGAGATTTCCTGGGAGTCGCGCAATCTACAGAATTGACCCCATCGGGTACACCAGCAGGCTCGGAAGCAGTGTCGCCTGTGTCGGATGATTCCACTTCAGGAATGGGCTTTCGGAGCAAGGACACAGAAGCTGCATTCGGTAAAGCTCTCAAGGCTGCCGAGGCGAACGAGTTGGAAATGGACGACGCTGAAGAAATTGCGGAAGCTGACGATATTGACGACGTTGAAGATCTGGAAGATGTCGACGATGGTGGTAGAGCGGATGATGATGATCGGCCCCGTCGAAAGTTAGCTGGGAGGCGACGAGCAGACCATCACGACCCTGATATTGAGGCTCTGATGCGGCGACAACTTCAACTGAAGTCTGCTTATCGGTCGATTGCTCGAGCTTTGAAGCCTGTACTTGCCGAGATTGCCCGAAAGACAGTCGAGGATCTAGAGAGCAACCCGGCGCTACATGAGCAGGTGGCCGAGTACCAGGGAACAGATGAGATGCCTGGAATTCAAAAGGTGCTTGACGACGCTTTGGCCAGAAGAAAAGCTCAGCTGGATGCTCAGTACAAGTGGAGCAAGCAGTTGTTGTACGAGAAGAGGCAAGGCGAGGTCGAGGTCCGCGGAGCAAGGTGTGACTTGCAAATCGAAGACTTCCGCCAGTTGCAACTCGACCGGCTCCAGCATGACATCTTGGTAATTACGAGGCAAGCCCAGATGGAAAGTGGCAATGCTGGTTACGAGACTGAAGACGAGGATGGCGATGTCATCCCAATGCCCAAGCAAACCGCCTATCGATTTGTGAGGTCCGACGCTCTGGACGCAAGATACGACTCCCGGAGTCGCCTCGCCCTCGAGTCCGAGCGCGCCATTGATAACCTCCAATTGCGAGTGGACATGAATGAGATGATACGAGAAGCTCGAAAAGAAGACGCTTTGAGAAATACCGTTGGATTCACAGTCATGGACAGCACTGCACGCGAGGCTGCACAGGCTCGAAATGAGAGCATCAATAACACGAACGTTCTCGCCGCGGCTGCTGCGGAGACTGAACGTATCTCAAGCATTCCGGTAATACCCAATGACGAGGCATATGGCTTGCAGATGCTCGGAGATCTTTGCTCGCGACCTTCAATCAGGGCCACTACATCGCAAGCCACACCCAAGCAGGGCCGTGACGCTTTCATGGACTCATACGCGCCTACTCAAATGCCTCCGCCGCCATTACCGCCTCCCTTTACGCATGAGGGCGCCTATGAAAGACCTACCAGATCACATCCAGCTCACGAGAGCTTTCGTTCTCCACCACCGGCTTCACGGCGTCTGCCAACCGGCGAATACCCGCTACATACCTTCAGCAATGAGCCTGTGACACAGTCACCCGGGTCTCACCGTGATGTAGCGCCAGTATCTCCGATTACCAACCGATCACATGACGGTGATTATCGTTTGCGGAAGGGATCCCTCTCCTTTCCTCCAACGCCAAATCAAGGCAGTGTTGAAGATGGCAGCCCGAGTCGGACACATCGGTTCGGAAAGCTCCATTCTCGGAATCATTCGACTCATTCAATGGGCTCTCCATCACACGCGCGCACGCCATCTCGAGAAGGTCTAACCTGGGAACAATATCATCGTCCACTTAGCATTGACCAGGAATCAAGACCACCGCCCACGTTTGAACGCAACATTCACGAGTTCTCGCATTCGGGCCCACTGAGCATTGAGAGAGTTGAACCGGTCGAGCAGAAAGATGACGAAGCCCGGATCCTACAGCAGCCTGAGAGAAAGGAGGCTGTATCACCGTCGGATCATCTGCTCCACGTGAGACGTGCACCACCTTTCGAGCCCCCAAGCAACCCTGGTGCTGCTGATTCGAGGGGCACCGTAGCATCTTCTCCGGTCCTGCCATCTAGGAATCCGCTTCGGATAGAAGAGCTGGCCGGAAGGACCGATGCTCCGCCCATTGAATATACCCCGGGGCAAGACGTATCCGCTCAGCCTGAGACAAGCCCTCAGCTACAAGATGCTGTGCAGGAAAGAGACGAAACGAAACAAGCTGAGTCTCTGCCTGTCGAATCACAGGATGATGGTGCACCAGAGGATGCCGCTCAACACGAATCACTCCCGCGGCCGGAACAGCCTGGGCATCCCGAGAAGCACGAGCAAAGCGTCCAGACTCTCGATGGCGCCAGAGTGACAGATGCCTCTCACGACAGTTCAGGGAAGAAGTCTCGGTCTCGAGCTTCTTCCATAATTAGCCAGTCTACAGGGACGGAGGTAACCGACGAGACTAGTGTTGGTGACTCTGCGCCCCGCAAGACGAGGCATAAAAGCACGAGAAGCGGTTCCACCTCCAAGACCAGTAGGGGAGATCGCAACGGCCTCTCACGGAAGCTATTCAAGACTGGGGGCAAGAGGCACACGATAGGGAGCCCAGGTGGCCCTCAGATGCATCGCTTCCGACTCAACACGGTGGAGAGCACACCACCAGGAGCACGTTGGCCTGGAGCGGCAGGAGCGTCAGGAGCTACACCGGCCGCTCCTCCCCCACCCCACGAGTATTATGGACAAAGCGCGTACAGCGGACACCCGCCTCCCCCTGGATATGCAATGCAGTTCGCGCCGGGAAGCTATCCGTATCAGTATCCTTGGGATTACCACGCGTATCAACATCGCAACAGCTTTCCACCGCCCCATCCCGCCACCAGCCCAAGCGGTCATTGGCCTCCGTACCCTCAGACACAGAGTCCGCTGTACGCTGTCCCTCAAGGAACGCAGCCACCACCACCGCCGGGACCAGGACCGGGAGCGGCGTCGCCAGAGCCATGGCCGCCCGGGATCCCCATCGACCCTGCCATCATGGGACCTAACCCACAAAGCCCACTGATGCAGCATCCACCACCTCCACCGACATACGTACAAGCGCGGGCAGCACCCATCGCACCAGCGACTCCTGACACACGGTACCCTCCACTCTTCCCGGGAGGTCCATCCAACCACGCACCAGCATTTGCGCAGCAGCAGAGGCAACACGAGGGAGAAAATCGGAAGAAGTCGAAGTCGGAGGTTCGTGGGAGCACATTTAAACACTGGGCGCCCAAGGCGTCACGAGAACAGCGAGATCGAGAACGGGCGGAGCGAGAGCAACGGGAGCAACGCTGAATTGCACACTGGGATGTTTCTGCCGGAGTCGTAGCGATGGACGGATGTGACGTCTTATTTTGGGGCGAGCACTGCTGGGAATTCCGAGGGCACGGTCATCAGCGCCGCGAGGAGATGCGGTCACCTGTACGATTACATTGGGGGTGGGTGGTACGCTTGCTATATGTTGATTGCGCTTTCACGGCTTCCCGTGATCGGAGTCGATGTGTATATCCCGAAGCTTTTCTCTGTTCCCGAGTCGTTTCGTGTCGAAGAAAGAAAGAGAGTTTGTTATCCTCACAGTCCCGTCACGCCTCAATCGGACACCTAATCTTCAAGGTAATTAGGTACCCGGAGGGCCGAACTTTGAGCTTAATGCGATACTGGGGCTGCAAAGGACGCGCTTGGATCTATGTGACAGAAACACGATTCGTAGGAAACTCGACACTCTGCCCTGTCTTGTCGTGATGGCTAATCAAGGTCCGTCTTGTGTTATGGACGAGTCGTGGTATGGGGAATGCGCAACGGCGTTGTGGATGATGATGAGAATCGGGAGATCGGATCGGCACGGGATCGGGTCAGCGTACCGGATTATGGACGGAGCAGGAGCCATCGGGGCCAGCCGCCCTTTCCTCTTCGATGTAGCCCAAGTTCGGTAGCGCGCGATCATTGGCTGAGCTGAGGGACGGGCGGAGCTAATGCACAATTGGGTGCTGGCGGGCCGTGGGAAATTAGAGATCAACACCTCCTTCTAGCACTTGGCACTACTGTGCTAGCGATCATGAAAGTCCTTCTGTGCTTCTCTTCTCCTTCCACCACTGCCACCGCAGACCACGACAACGACATCGACCCCGACCGCTTGACGGCACCTCCTACAGCGACACCTCCCCATTCCCTCGCGGCGACAGCTTCACTCTCTCGCTGTCTGCACGCCGTCCGTTCTTTCCCCTCCCCCCTACGCTGCTCGCGAAGCCCGGTCTTGCGGCATCATCACAGGTATGTCTGAAGCAACACACCTTCTGGCACCCCTCGGCTCTCCGAATCGTGCTACAGCTTCGGCACATGCAAATGCGAGTGCAAAGCTATGCCTCGTGTACATGTACATCCGACTGACATGTCGACTCGTACAGTCGTTTCGATTCACACCTCCGGGTCCGCTGTCACCGCATCCGCTGCGAGTTCCAACCTTGCCTCATACCATACTCCGGATCCCCTCCACTACAAACAGGAATGAACACCCGCCATTGCTAGAACTACATCGCCCAGCTTGCAATGTTCAGTCGTCTGGCTACTCTCGTTGCACGAGACGCCGACCAGGCCCCGGTCCACGGCACCATGGTCGATCTCCTCGTCGTTCTGCTGGTCTTGCTCGTTGTGGCGGTGCTCCTTGTCGCCGGGCTGCTCTATCTGCGCGCGCGACGCAGGGCACGAAAGGCACAGACACTGCCTATGTACGATGAAAAACGATTATCAACATCATCCACCGCTTCCACCCACCGCCGCGTCATGGTCCGCCCAGCGGAATCGATATATGTCATTGAAGAGAAGGGCTTGATGGACGATGCCCAAAGCCCTCCGCCAAGCCCGCTCCCCGAGATTCGCATCACCTTCCCCGAGGAAATCGACGCTGCTGGCAAAAGACAGTCAGGTCGTGTGGTGGTCGTCCGGGTTGGCGATTCAGGAGTTGGTCTGGAGCCCGTAGAGACTCTGCCAGCATATCAGCAGACCGAAGGCGAACGCTTCCAGTCGCTGGACCTGGATCGCATTGGAGGACTTGTCGAAAAGGCCAGAAATGCGCCCGGCAAAGAATTCCAATAGCCAAAAGGACCTTCTGGACCGCACATGCGAAGGAGTTTACGACGATTATGACCCGCACTTCTCCAGCTCATGTTGCACACTTCCCACGAAAGGTAGCTTCTTACGACAGCGCGAGCTACAGTTTTTTGACCGATCTTGTACTTGATTTATTCGACGGCTCACAGATCCCGGTATCTACAAATTGCCTTGGACCACTCCAGGTCATCTTTCCTCGCCCAACACGTCGAGGGTCGCACTTTCTACCCCTGGAACACCTCCATAGGACGACCATGGGCGGACGATCCAGCGCGAGCTCCAAAGGCATATACGTAATGTGTTACTGCTGGCAGAAACAGGTTGCGCGCGAGTGGTTTATTTTTATCTCCCGACGGGATCTGCAATGACGATACCCTGATATTGAGCATTTGCGCATGGCGGCGCTGTTTGGTGATTCGCTTCATTTGTTACTGTAGTAGTGTGTATGTACTGCGTGCTTTGGGCTGGCCACGAAGGCAGTCTGTATTCAGAGATGGAATGAAATGGTGTTGATATGCAGCTCGATGTAATGAATTCAATGCGTGCCAATACTTCAATCTATTGCGAGCAATCCCCGTAGCGTGTTGCAATTACCATGTGAGAGTGGGTCTGAAGGGTCTCGGAGCTGCAGCCCTGAGGTCTGTGGGTCCACGGTAAGTACCTCCATGCATGCAGCAGATCATTCGCCGCAAACTTCACGTCCCAAAGCTCAATCAATCTGCCTTAATCAGCTTTTCCTTAGCTGTCTTGTCACTTTCCCTGTACTCCATTGTAATGTCTCGATAACCCTCTTGTTCCTTTTGTACCTTTGGACTTCCACCATGCAGGCGACGGATTCGCGAGGGTCGGCGGAGAAGAAGCAGGAGAATCAGCGCAAGAAGGTCGAGTTCTCCGCGCAGCATGCTCTGGTCGTCGGCTTCTTCTTGTTGATCCTGTGAGCCGTCCATAATTTCATCCATGAGATCTGACAGCTGACGGGAAGACAGCCTTTTTCACGCCCTTGCTATCTACCTCTTCTGCAGCGGTTTCCTTCTTTCGCGACTCGTCCTCCAAGACCGCTCGCTATGCGCCGAACCTCCCATTTCCCTCGACCATACCTCGGCAACTTTCACGCCAGGATCGCAAGAGCAAGGATGTTGGCATCCGAAATCATTTGACAAGGCCGTGGTAATCATTGTGGACGCGCTGCGGTACGATTTTACCGTTCCCTTCCAACCGAAGCCCGGAGACGGAGAACCTCACTATTTTCATAATGCGCTGCCTGTTCTATACGAGACTTCTATCGCCGAGCCACAAAATGCTTTCTTGAGACCTTTCATTGCGGATCCTCCTACCACCACTCTGCAGCGATTGAAGGGGCTCACGACCGGGACACTTCCGACGTTTATTGACGCGGGATCGAATTTCGCCGGGACGGCGATTGATGAGGATAACCTGGTGGAGCAGCTGTACAAAGCCGGCAAGAAGGTGGTGCATCTGGGGGATGATACGTGGCATTCGTTGTTCCCCGGGTATTTCGAGCCGAATCTGACGAAGCCGTACGATTCGTTCAATGTCTGGGATTTGCATACGGTTGATAATGGGGTGAATGAGCACTTGTTCCCTCTGCTGGATCCTTCCCTGGAGGGAAGATGGGACGTGATATTCGGGCATTATCTAGGAGTCGATCATGCTGGACACCGATATGGACCTGATCACCCTGCTATGACGGATAAGTTGAAGCAGATGGACGATGTCTTTCGACGGATGATCGAGACGTTGGATGATAAGACGTTGCTGGTCGTCATGGGCGACCATGGCATGGACGTCAAGGGTGATCATGGTGGAGAGTCCGACGATGAGGTCCAGGCTGCACTGTGGATGTATTCAAAACGAGGCATCTTCGGGCGAAGAGACGAAGCTTCGAGACGGCCCCCGGCGACGGCAAAGGAGCGATACGTGGCACAGATCGATCTTGTTCCAACTCTCGCGCTACTTCTTGGGTTGCCGATTCCGTTCAACAACCTAGGTCAACCCATCGAGGAGGCATTTCACGGCTCCCGCTCGCTTCTCAACCCGAGCTACGAGAATCTGGCCGCAGTTAGCCGTCTTACTGCTGCGCAAATACATCGATATCAAGCAGAGTACGGGAAAGCTCGGAATCTGGTTGAATCTGCTACTTCTCCCACTGCGGCGTTGTGGACGTCCGCAAATGAGAAATTCGCCGCTTTTGCTTCCAGCACTTCCGGCGCAGGTGAAGCTGCGAAGAGCGCCTTTGCTGCATTTGCGTCGTATCAAGCCGAGAACCTTCGGATTTGCAAAGGTCTATGGGCGCGCTTTGATCTTGTCAGCATGTCTATGGGCATCATCGCTTTGGTTGGAACTCTTGCGGTCATTGTCATGTACTCGCAGAGCTTCATTGGGGACCGAGCGGCTCTGACTCCTCCTCTGCTTGGATGGGGCCTTGTTGGAACGGTCAGTGGAGCCGCAACAGGCGCCGCCTCGGCGACCCTGCTCGATGTCTCTCTGCTGCAGTACATGGCTTTTGGAAGCGCCATGGGTGGTATCCTGGCGAGCTTGTATGGCTTCTGGCCTGCGCGCGAGATTCTCAGAGTGCCTGTGCCTTGGACATTCTGGGGCTGGCTTTGCACTTTGGCCACGCTGCTGTTGTGCGGCGGCTTCGCAGCGAACTCCTTTACCATTTGGGAAGATGAACAACTTCTCTTCCTGCTCTCCACGTTTGCCCTTCTGATGCTTGCATCGTCGTTAGGACAACCTGATGCGGCGGATCGAAATCTTGGAGCGGCAAACGCCATCTCGTTTCTGGTTGCGACTCGGCTGAGTTCCTTTTCGCGCCTCTGTCGTGAGGAGCAGATGCCCTTCTGCAGATCCTCCTACTACGCTTCGGCGACTTCTTCGACTTCGTCCAAATGGCAGCTTGCGATACCGTTTGCCGTCGCTATCTTGCTACCAAGCGCGATCAAGCTCTTCTTCACTCGGACACGCAATTACCACGGCTCAGCGGTCATCTGGGTCGGTGCTGCGATGCGTGCTGGATTGGTTCTCGTGGCAAGTTTCTGGGCCCTGGACGCTGCTGACGATGGCGACTGGTGGCCCGACATCTCCAAGGACATCCTGAAGACATCTCGAGTCATTGTTGCACAGATTGTTCTTGCCATTGCCTTTGTGGCCGGCTACTCTACGTATCTCTTTGCTTCGCCTCTTCTCGCGGTCAAGGAGGAGCAGGCGGTGGAGAAGCCGACTGCCACCACCAAGCCTCTCAGCAACGGAGATGCGAATGGACCCATGCTCACCGCATTCAACGAGCCCGCAAAGCCTCGCTCAAAGCTCATCATCTACGGATACGCGAATACCCACGGCACGCGTTACTTGCTTCTGCCGTGTGCTTGGGTCCTCGGCTTGCTACTGCTACAGAAGCCGATGGGCCAGGGCGCGCTGGCACTCTGCATGATCTCCATTCTGAACCTTCTCGAAATCATCGATACGAATAACTTGCGTCGCTCGCCCTTGGGCCCGATTGTGTTGGCGCTCATGGGAAGCTTCTACTTCTTCAAGACAGGGCATCAAGCTGCGCTCGTGACGATCCAATGGGAATCCGCCTTCATCGCCCTCAAAACCGTGCAATACCCATGGAGTCCACTCCTCGTCACTCTCAACACTTTTGGTCCTCAGATCCTGTGCGCTATCGCAGTGCCGGCAATCACGCTGTGGAAAGTGCCGCCCAAACATCCGGGGTTGCTGGGACGCATTGCAGGGAGCATGGCGACGCATATATTATTTTATGCTGCGATTGCGGTTGCCACGGTGGTGGAAGCTGCTTGGTTGCGGAGACATTTGATGTTGTATAGAGTTTTCATGCCCAGGATGTTGCTGGCTATCGTGGTGTTGTTGCTGGTCGAGTTTGTTGGAGCTGTTGTTGCGATTGTGGGTGTTAGGTGGAGTATCGTGAGTGTGGGTGAAGTTTTCGGGTGGCCTGAGTGAGATATACCCCATGTGTTTGTATGTAGATAAGACATGATGCTCTGCACCTCGAATTTCTGCTCGAATATGGGGAGCTGTCTCGGGCCTTGAGGCATGTGACAAAGCTAGATAGCGGGAGTCCGCCAGGGTCTATCCGGCACCTTAGGTGGAACTTCAAACTTCCGTGCAGTTCACAACTCCAACACCTCAAACCCTTCCCTTTCCCTACCAATGTCCACCCAACCCCCCGAACCGGAAACTCTCCAATCCTGGGAAGATGCCTTCCAATACCCTCTCCCCGTCGTGCGCAAACTGGAGCAGCAGCTCCGCACCCACATCGATGAAAACCGCCAGAGACTGCGCTCCCTCGTCGGGATCAGCTATCGCGATCTCCTGGGCACGGCGGAGAAGATCATCGAAATGGACGAACAGATCATCACCGCGGAACGCTACATGGGCGAGATCGGACGGAAATGTAGCGCGCGGGTTCTGGAGAGGGTGGAAGCGGGGAATCGGAAGATGAGTCGTGGGGTGCGGAAGGAGGAGGGGCAGGAGAGGAGGATGGGGATCGTGGCGCAGACGAGGGTGTTGCAGAATGCCATTGCGGTCTGCGGGAGGATTGTGAGGGGTGGAGGGGATGCGCTGGTCGGGGCCAAGGTGCTGATCTTGGGCCGGTTGGTGCACAAGAGTTTGGTGGAGGGGGGAGGGAAGACGGAACAAGAAGAAGAAGTGCCTGCTGTGGTGGAGGAGTTGAGGAGGAAATTGGGACAGATGAGGAAGAGGTTGTTGGGGTATATCTCGAGGTCTCTGGTGAGGGCGGATGGGGATAAGATGGGTATGGTGCGGACGCTGTGTGCGTATGCGCTCATCACGAGCTCTGCGCCCAAGGATGTCTTGCGGTACTTTTTGCAAGTGCGGTTTGAACAGTTGGAGACGAAGGCGGAGATGCCTTCGGAGGGGGTTCTGCTCGAGATGCTCGATCTGTATAGTCAGACCCTATTCGACACAAGAGAAGGCTTCCCGCGCCGATTCGCGGAATCGCTGGCTCAGCTATCGAAAGTGGCACTGGTGCGGGACCAGGGCGTTCGAGCGATTTCAGAGCTCAGCCTGGATGTCTATGAACAGTGGATTGCGCAGGACGTTCGCAACTTCTATCCCTGGGTGCGACATGATCAGAATCTATCTACCACGGAAGTTGGCGACGCCCTGGCTTCTTGGGCCAAGCAAGCACAAGCATGCCTGCTCCAAGGCTTGTCCGAGACCCTCAGGCAACAAAACGACCCACATGCGGTGCTCGCGACTCGCAAGAAGATGCTCTCGAAATACCTTTCCCTCAGCACAAAGCTTCGAAGCGATTCACACGTCCAGGCCGTCAATGATATCCGGGCCGCCTTCCTCAACAGGCTCGAAGAGCTCGCCGTCCAAGCCGCGCAACTGGCGGACATTGGACTTGATGCCCAGGAGTCCACTGCAGGGTCAACAGCACCAGAGATGTGGGACTTGTCTACAGGCGACATGGACCTCAGCAATGGAGCGATCGTCTTGCGGAAGGAAGTGATTCGGCGTCGAAATGGCCGAGACAGCGCCACGCAGGGAGTGGCGGATGTCCTTGATCAATGGATTGGCAGGCAGGCTCATCTCGGCGAAGCAATAGCTTCAATGCGAGCGACGAAATGGGACGACGATCTGGATTTGGACTTGGAAGAAATGCCCGACGGAGAGTCTCTGCAAGTGATTCTGAGCAAGCAGGACCCTCGACAACTCGAGTCGGTACTTCGCCGGGAGACGACCGCCGCAATGCAGGGCGCCTACCGAAAAGTCGAGCAGTCGTCCGAGTCCATTGCAGATCCAGCGCTGCTACTTCGCATTCTTCGTGAGGTCGATCAGCGGCGTCGGAATCTGGAAGATAGGCTGCAGGAGGGGGAGTCAGTCGCAGCGGATGGAAATTTCGTTGCTGCCACTCAGCGTCGGCAAGCAATGTCCATCGCTGAAGATCTCGTCAGCCAATACTCCACTGCCCTCCGCCGGGGCTCACGGACACCAACGGCGCTCTGGGATGGCTCACCTCCGCTGCCCATCCAGCCAACGGCAAATACCTTCCGCTTCCTCCAAGCACTGCATCGGAAGATGTCCGGGGCCGGCAACGATCTCTGGAGCCCAGCGGCCGTCCACTGCTTGAAGCTTGCGCTGAGCGAAAAGTTGAAGGACCAAGTGAGCCTGGAAAGGATTGACTCTGCGAAGGCTATGACCTTGACTAATGGGCACGCGGAAGCTCCTCGAAATGACGCCGATGCAGCGGATTCGGAAAACGCGTTGGATGGGGAACACGCGAGCCCGGTGGGATCGACGACGAACGACTTCCTCGTGCAGCACATGTTCGACTTCCTCTACCTGCAGTGCGTGGTGGCCACGGGTCATAAGGGGGACGGAGAGCTCAGTAGCTCGATTGAGGCCATCAGGGGCCGAGTGGCCTTGGACGCCACTGGGTATGAGCGGATGAGGAAGGGCGCCAACGATTACTGGAAGAAGACGTATCTCCTGTTCGGCCTGCTTGCCGTTGTTGGGCATCCATTGTGAGTTGCGCGTGGTCGTGGACACGACCACGACCAATGTGTGATGAAGGCAATGCAATGTTGGCTGTGCTGTCTCTCTTCCACAAAACCTGAAAAGACACTGCACGTGGCTTCGGACCGTGACGCCAAGGTTTCGTTCATGGCTGAGAGCTAGATGTGGCGCCTGGCTATTTGTCAAATTTCCGACGCCTCTCTATCGGAAATCCATCTAGTTAGTTACGGCGAAGTATACCGTCGACTATCTATGGGCTTGAATTCGAACGGAACTACTATGCGCTCTTCGCAGCGAAGATGTTTCGAGGCAGACCTACTAGCTCTTCGAAGAACTTGTAGATGGTAGTGGGGAGAAAGCCAGTCCAACAACTCGATAGCCGGACGCGTTGATTAATAAGTCGCCAGCCGATGCATTTGCCAAAACATTTCTCGTTTCACGCCAACCCACCGGAGAGTGGGACGGGGCCCTCTTTGCCCCGGTCTGCCGGTCTACCAAAGGCGGCCTTCACTTTGATTCACCTTGATTGAAGTTTTGATGACAACTTACGCGCGCCGGCCTCGGACGCGACCCGTCGTGGCCTCCATCATCTCTGCATTCTGGCATGGGTGCATGTCCCCCTCCGCATGCGGTGAAACGCATTGCTGCATGGGAGTGCCATCACGAGAAGGTGCAGAAAATTTCTCGTGCCTTGTCGCGCGTGACGAGACGAGACGAGACGAGACGAGACGAGCACGAGCACGAGACGAGACGTGATTTTTTTCGGCAACACTCACGTCAGCGCCACCAGCACATTCTTCTCAACAACCGATGTAGCCGTACGGCGCGTGGGCGGTTATCATGATTAATGTACAGACGAAGGAGATTCCGTCGGGCTTCGAATTTCCATTCTCTTCGTTCGTCGGGATGACAGGCCGCCACGGGATCGGTAGGTTTGGCTCATTGCAGGGAGCCGGGCGCGAGCTTATCGCGTTTCCGGGCGATAGCGCGAGAGGAAAGGGAAAAGAAAGGGTCCTTTCTCATTCTTCTTTCGGCCGGCTTGCTTGGCTTGATGAGCAAGCTTGCTCGCGTTCGGACGGGTATTTACTTATTTATTGATTTATTTTTCTGGTTTTCGGGAAGGTGGTCACTCTTGGCCGCCAACAATTGTTGTTGTTTCCTCTCGGTCTGTTTGTTGTGCTGCATGATCATTCTGGACGCGGTGTTTGTGTGCGGGCGTGTCTGATGTGGGTTTATTGAAACATGTGTCGAAACTACTACTAGCAACTAAAAGCGTGCGTGCGTGCGTGTTGGTCTGGTGATGGATGATGAGCGGGGGGGTCGCTAATTCGCAACGTCGGCTGCCGAGGACGCGAGTGGTTGGAGGGAGGGAGTTTGGGAGTTTGGTAGTCTGTTTCATATGGGAACAGCGCGGGGCTTGATTGGCTGGGGAGCGATGGGCGATGGGGAGGAGCGATTCGTGGTGAGAGGCTGAGCTACTAGTAGTGAGAGGGGAGGGCTCCAGTCGGTGAGGTGGTGTGGGCTGATGAGAGACTGACTGCAGGTGGTGGACTGGAGCGAGCGCTTGCAACGGTCCGTCGCGTTGGACGGGCAGTTCAGGAGGCAGTAGTCGCGCGTTGTTGTTGTTGGTGCTGTGGCCTGCTGTGCTGGTGAAAGCTTTGGTGGGCGGCGGATGATTGGGCGGGGTGCGTTCAGGACGTGAGACATAGCTTCCCGGTCGTGAAACGGTAGAGGCATTTGGGGTAGCGAAGGGGTCTCGATTAGGCAAGCGTGTTGCTGGGATGCCTTCGGTTGGCGCGTCTGGGAGCCCGTCACGCCCATCCACGGTCCGCGCATTTTTGGATTCACAATTGTCTCACCAGCCCTTAGCTGCTGTTGTTGCTGCTGCTGCTGCTGCTGCTGCTGCTCTTGCTGCTGCGGCCGCTGCTGCTCTTGCTGTTGCCGTTGCCGTTGCCGTTGCCGTTCGAGTCTCGCGGGCCTGCTCTATTCTATACCACCTGCAATTGCAATACCACACACTGTTGTGCCCACGACCGTCATCGCGTTGGATTGCCGAGCCATCGACCTCGTCTGCTCCTGCCACGCTCAGAAACTCTGCTCCTGCCACGAACTCTGCTCCTGCCTTCCTGGCCGGCCCGACGCCGTCTCCGCTTCCTTTCCTCGGCGAACGTGAACCGCTGCTGGGAGTGGACGATCTGTGATCGCCCTGCAGCGCCGACTGCTGAACCGCTGCACCTCTTCACGACTACCGCACTCTCCTACTCCTCTCGCACTCTCGCCCGTCCTTTCCTCCAGCGACCACCACATCAGAATCGACTCTCCATCCTCCAACCATCCGGATACCTCCAGCTACCTAGGCACAGGTCCCCACCACTCGCTCCCTCCCCTCCTCTCCTCTCCTCTCCTCTCCTCTCCTCTCCCCAACCCTCAACATCCCTCTCCTCCGCCAGCATGTCCACCGCCGTCGCAGCCCCAGCAACCACGCTGCCGCCGTCCGTCGAACGCCAGATCTCGCCGCGACACTTCAACGCCATCGCTGCTTCCTCCTCCTCCTCCTCCTCCTCCTCCTCCTCCTCCTCCTCCTCCTCCAAAGCTGCGACCTCGGCACCACTGCCGCCCCCGACATACTCCCACGAGCAGCCTGCGCAGAGACGTGCGAGGAGCAATGGCTCTCCAGACGCTCGACCACAATTAGAAAGGGCCATCTCGAACTCGAATGGCAAGAGCAGTCCGACTTCGTATGTCTCGTCACCCACACAGACACGGCTAGGAACCAAACCCACAAGCTGACCAGTGCTCCACCATATAGACAACGAAATGGCATTCCGCCTCTGATCAAGGTGAAGAAAGAGCCCGGCTCGCCTGCTCTCACGTCTTCACGGCCGCGGCCAAAGCGTCTCGACCTCTCCTCGAGCATGTCCCATAGCCGCGGTCCACAAACTGCACGACCCTCAGCACCATTGACCTCGAGGGAATCCGCGGGCCTGGCCATTCAGGAAGTCGGACTTGCGTGTCTGTCCCCGGGCTTCGCGACCAACGATCCAGGCATGCGGGAGCAACTACAGCGAAGTCTCGACGTTCGAGACCAGCAAAGGCAAATCATTGAAGCCAGGCAGAAGGGCGTGAAGCCCGGCAGCGCATACGAAAACTCCGAAGGCCCACGCACACAAGACAACACCCTCTTTGGCGTGCAGACGGGAATCAGAACGCCAAGCACCTCCCGAAGAAAGGGCCCGCCTCCTGGACTCTCCATCGCAGCCCCGTCCGCGGCTCACTTCGCAAACGATAGAGTGATACAGTCTGCCCCGCTACACCAGACCTTCACCGGACTCAGACATGGGGAGTACCCGCACTCCCGCCATACACAGCATGGTCCGAGCGGGTTGAGCCAAACCAGCCACATTCACCATGTCCCCGCGACACAGACTAACAACCGACTGCCACCCATCGCAGACGTGTTCGCGAATGATAGATTAGACGCGCCGCGCCACCCAACAAACAACTCGCCCGGCCACTCTTCACATTCCACTCAACAGCCACCGATGCCGTCGCCCGGCTTCCCGCCACCACAGAGCCAGCAGCCCCCACAGAGTGCGCGGTCACGAGAGTTCCGCTCGGCGGAGGAAGCTGTACAGGGGCTTTCTGGTGGTCGAGACGAGCTAATGCCAAAGCTCGTTCATTACGGTGGCGTCCAGCCACCCACGCCTCCATCACCGATGCCCGGTGGCCAACAATCAAAGCCCGGAGCACATCAACAGCAACACACGCACGAGCAACGCCCAGACATCCTAGCACGTACAACTTCCATGGGCGGACGACGACGCACGCGGGAGGAATACGAACGCGACAACGGCAGCCCTCCGTCGAGTTTCAATCGATCGGAGCCAAAGCGACCTACACTCGCCGTGCGAGGCGACGACCGGGAGGAAGACTGGAGAGCCAATATGAGCAGTGCCGAAAAGAAAGAAGAATTCTTGCGACTTTGCGAGCGCGCCTGGGATCTTTTCCATTCGTAACGTGCATTGCAGCGGCATATCGATTGCATAATGTGCATATTCACTTTTATTTTTAGCACATGACCTTGAAATGTTTGCGATTTTCGGAAAACGTCCTTGAGACGGAAACTTTTGGGGCGTCAAGCGAGGCGTCTCGGTGGGTTTCTTCTTTTCGAACCGGAACTGGGGTTCTCTAATGTTTCTGAGAAACGAATGGAGTCACAATCAAAGAGCAGGCCGAGCCCACCGCGGTGCCTTTCCTCGATCTACTGGTGTAGATACGTTGAAGGCGGATGCGGGCTAGACCTTGGCCGCACAAATCTCCTCTGTTTGGCGGGGCGAAGGGGCTTATGCAGTTGATCATGGAAAATCAAGACGAAGCGTAGTAGGTAATGCATGCCACGTGCTGGTTGACCGAGGTTATTTGTGGAAGCGTCTCACTACTGCTCTATCCAGGATCTACGCCCCAAGCAAGCTAGCTAGCTAGCTAGGTGGTGGTTTAGTCGGTGTTCTCGGCTTGTTTCAGTTTCAGTGAATAAATAAATACTGTACAGCGTCTTCGCACGACGGATGGTCATGGTCACGGTCTTTTCCGAGGACGCTGGCCAAATGTAATAATAAGCCAACAGAGTCGGGCAAGCGCGGAAGCAGCAGCAGCCGTAGCAGTAGCAGCAATAGCAGGCGTCGAGATTGACCTTTTTTGTTTTTCCGGACATGCAAAAGACGGCTGGCTGTATGGAGGGAGATAGATGGATAGATACACGCTCGACGGATGCTACCTACGGCCGTCGATCGGTTAGCAAGCAGAGGATTCATCACATCGGTATCATCATTTTTATTCACACCTTCTTCCATGATAGGTAGGCAATCTGGGGGACTTACTCCAAGAATAATCTCGCTTGCTCCATGGCATGGCATGGCATGGCATGGCATGGCATGAAGCACAGTTTCGTGCTGTCGCGTGCTTGGCCTGCCTGCTCGGCTGCTCGGCTGCCATGGAGAGAGAGCATGCTCTATGCTGGATGGAAGGGACAATCACATCAAACGTCCTCCTCCATCTCGGCAAAAAGCTCACTTTTGCTATGTGGCCCAACGTCGTCGCGTCAACTGCTCACTACTCACTCTAGCCGTCAAGAATAAAGTCGGGTTGAACGGCACTTGGGAATCTGGAGGTGAGGTTGGGGGGGCACCTTGTCACGATGGACGATGGACCTGTCAGATGTTTCCGGTGGGGAGGGATCCGTTGGTGAAGTCGGATTTTTGGGGGGTGACTGGACTGGTTTTCTGGAAGAGGGGAGAAGGGAGAAGGAAAGGGGAAGAAGGAAGGAAGATGACAGGCCGGGCTTGGAAATAGGACAGTTTTGCCGTCTACATACGAGCATGTAGCCCCTTCCCTTCTGTTCCCGCCCTAGCCGTCTTGTTTGACCCACGTCGCCGTCTTCGGTGTTGCAGGTTTTTTTTTTTTTTTTTTTTGGATGAAGTTGTCTAGACCGTCGACGCCTGGTCAACGCCAAAGTTGGATTGGTCAATGCACCAAGGGGGAGGAATGCAGGGACGGAGCGAATTCGATCGTCTGTGCTTGGCCTTCTGGTCGTGTCTGGATCTGGGAGACTTGCTTACAGTCCGTTCCGTCGACGCAGTAGTGCCAAGTGTAGTCAATATGGTGGCCTGGCTCGACAGTCTGGCCCTGCGCGCAGTTGCAGAAGTAAGTGTTGCCTCTTTGCAGGTCTTGTTCAGGTCCAATTTTTGGCCCGAATTCCAACACTTATATTGTGACCAGCCACTGGCGTGTTCGCATCTCTCCCAGGATGACCCATTCTCAAGGCACTGGAGCGCATCCCGTGTGCATATGGATCAGCACGTTCGTCAAGACCGCTGATATGTTTTCATCTTTCTCCAGGGAATGGCCGAAGCCGAAAGGCACTGGAGCGCTTCTCGCGAGCCTATGCATGCGCTTCATTTGTGAGATCTTTTCCCCTGAGCATGGTCGAAATCTGGGGTGTCGGAGCGCTTTATGAATGTATCTGGATGAGTCTGATCTGTGAGATCGATGTTGTCTGAGCCGTAGCTCGTCATGCGCTCGTCGCCTTCATCATGGGATTCAGGGGCCTCGCTCTCCATCGCCATTGCCCGTTTCAGGCCACGAACATGGTCGATGATGTGGCCTCCTTGATCCATCCGTTGGTCACAGAGAAGCTGGCTTGCTGGACCGGCTCGTGTAGTCTGTTCGATCCAGTGCGAAGCTGCTGTGTGGATCTGCTTGGCTCATGGCCTCTATAGTCATCGTGATATGGTGTTCGTCGCTGGGTACCGCGAAGCTTGAGCGTGTTGTGAGCAAGTGAAATGTACTCAGGACCCTTGCTCCCACTGAGCGCAGAAGCCGAACGGGTTGATACCTGTGCCAATGTCGTATCCGCTTGACAGCTCGCACACGCGTTCGTTCCATGGCGCTTTTGAGGATCTTCATGTTGGTCGCTTCGCCTGCGTAGTAGCAGAATAGCTGATTGAACAAGATCAATCGAGGTGTGGATGCCCGCTAAAAGCAAAAGGGATGGCATGGTCAGCATGTTGGTGTACGTGAGACGGTATGTTGGTTCAGAAAGTCTGTGGCTAGTGTTGAATAGTTTCCAATCCCGACGCTCGAAAGCAAACGCCGCCGCCGCAGGAAAGTGCTGTGCGCTGTTTCCTTGTCCGTCCCGTCCAACGTAACATGTGCTCACATGAAGGCGGGCGGACGGGCTGCACCTTCTGCTACATGTCTATTCAGAACAATCGAGCAGCCTCACGACGTCCGGCAGGATCAATCGACAGTAAGTGATAAGGTAACAATCGCAGCTGACCACAATCAACGTCTGTCTCTCCCAGCGCACGGCTCCCCCTTCACTCGACCGACCAATAGGCGGAATCTCCCGGCGAATCAGGTGGTGACGCTCTGCGCTCGTCCAGGGTATCAAGGAGATGCTTGCTGGCGTGGTTGATCTGCTACGAGGTCAGCCCACGAATCTCGCCCACGTAGAGGAGAAAACACGCACGTATTCAGCGACGACACCGCCAAGCTTTCCGTAGGCTGCCCACTCCTCCTGGCCAAGCTTGTTGACCCCTTTGGTCTCGTCTTCGTCCGCGAGGGGGTTGTAGATTCCCAGAATCCGCGCCGCGTTGAGGACAGTACCGAGATACAGATTGGACAGGCTGTAGATATTAGCCAAGTTCTCTCTCTTTTTGCTGCCGTCTGCATCCACGTACCAAGCATTGAGCCTCGACCGCATCCGCTCGTCCTCCAAGATCATCCTCGCATCTGCGATCTGTATGGGGCGTCAGTACAGTCGTGAGGCTTTGCTGGATGATACATACCTCGGAGATACGCTGGTGGAAAGGAGACAGTGGATCCTCGTCTGCGCCGGAGGGGACGCTGCACGTGGCGGCTCCAACTGCCCGGTTGATAGCAGCATGCTGCTGCCACTCAGGCAGATTCACGACGTCCTCAAAGTCCAGGCCCAAGACGGAGTAGGGCTCCCGGCGTCTTGGACATCTCGCGCGAGCGACCCGCGCTCGTGCCACTGGTTGCTGCTGTCGCCGGCGCTTGTTGGCTCGGAGAGTTGGAGATGGCTGCTTGCGCTTGCGTGATGCGCCAGTGGAGGATTGAGATGCCATTGCGATGGAAAGTATGGAGAAGAGAAGATGTTGTTCCTAGAAGAGTTGTCTGGTATACGCTGAATGTCGAAAGTGTCGAAAGAATTGCGATTTGACTGTGTGAGGACGAGGCCTATCTATTGTTGAGCTCCATCAATAGGGAGGGCACGTGACATGGCTCCACAGCTGGCAGCTGCCGTCGAACGAGACGTCTTCCCACAGCGAGACGCTATTGTCTTCTCAACAATGGTAACGAGGTCCAGGGCAATAGCGAGTTGGATAGCGTAAGATCAGCAGTAGCAGCCGTCGAGGTAAAAATCTCATGCGCAAGGACGCTGTAGCATCGCCCCCTTTTTGCACCGTGGCTCTTGCTACAGATTCTGCAGCCTTGCCCAATAGGAGTAGGTCCGTCGAAACATTGGGAGGTCCTCCGGGTCGCGAGATGTGCTGAGTAGAGCGGGAGTTGATTGCCTTCTCGAAAAATGCTGGTAAAACCCAGGACAACGGCGCACCCGATCAGTAGTAGCGGCCACTGAGATAGGCCTCCGATGTGCGAACACGCTCTATGTCCGTCGCCGCCGAATGTCTTTGGGGGTGGGTGGCGTTGACTATGTCTTTCGAAACATTGGGGAATTCTTCGAGTCGCGAAATGTGCTTGGCGGCTTCGTCTATGTCCGCTGTCGCCAACGCCCTTCAGTGGCAGGCGACGTTAGCTACTGGCATGTCAATGGCATGGAGGTTAGCCTATAAATTAGTTCGAAGGCGTGCACGAGATACGAGAGCAACAAGAGCATTGAACAAAGTCACAGTAGCAAATACAGGCAATTGAATTCATACTTAGCCTGCCATACGTCTCGCATCGGGCATGCGCTTCTTCTCCTTCTGGCCCTCCTTTCGCCGCCGCTTCTCCAGGAGCTTCTCCCTCTCCTTACTCTTCATGCCCTTGAACTTCTCTACCAATGCCCTCTCCTTGATGTCTTTCTGCTTCAGGTAGTATGGATTCTTGCCCTGCTCGATCCTCTCCCGCTCCTCCTTCCGATGTCGGCGTATGATCTCTTGCTCTCGGTCCTTTGCAGCCTTTGCTTTCAGCTTGTTCTCCATGCTGCCTACTTTGCGTCTGAGGATTTCTTGGTCCTCCTCATTCTTGCTGCGCTTGATCGCGGTTTTCAGTTCTTCGATCTCCGATTTTTGATAATCCTGGAGGAAGCTGTATGCCTTCTCGCTGTTGCCGGGATGCGCGGAGCTTCGATGCAGGGCGTCGAATCGCGGGTCTCGAACCACGCGTTTGGGTACGTCTACTACTTGTCTCTTGCGGGTGACCTGACGCTTCGACGACATGGTGGTAGGAGCATGCTTGGAGGCTCGAGATTTCGACGGGGCGTCTTCTTCCGAGGGTCCCGAATCGGAGTCGGAGTCGTCTGAGGCCTCCTCTTCCCGTCTTGATGCCAAATCCTGTTTGGATTTTTTGCCTGATTTTGCGGATGTGGCCGCCTTCTGCTCTTTGATCTGGCGCAATCGCTCCCTCAATACCTCAAGTTTCTGATCTTGCTCTGGAGTTGTGTCGGACCCGCGCTTGCGTTTGCGAGATATTGCATCCTGAGCCTGCTTCAAGGCACCAAAGGATACATTGCTGATGTGCTGTTCGAAACCATTCTCGTCGCCAGCACCGCTTTGCTCCTCATCGTCGCTGATGGAGGCTGCGTCGTCCGGGGCGTCGCTTCCACTTTCGCCCTCGCTGTGGACCGACTCTGAGACGCTGTGCTCCACCTCGTCGAGGTCGTCTCCGTAATCTGCCGGGCGCGGCCGAACGTTCCTCATTTTTTGCGCGGTCATGCTCGTACGTAGCTTACACACGCGCAAAGCTGGACGAGGTGCGGTCGCAAAGCAGCCCTAACAAGGATCAGGCAAATCGGGACTGGCGCGGGAAAGGCCGAAGATGGAGTTTCACATCATAGCGGCAGCGGAGGGCACGCGAGGATGACGTTGGTTTGGTTGGGTGAAAGGAATTTCGGCGAGTCGCTTGAGCTGCTGTGGTGCTGCCGTCATCGTGCCGCTTGACATCCGAGCGGTTCATGAGCCTTCAAATACACCACCTCCTCCTACCCTCCCACCGCGACGTCCCCACTAATACTCTCCTGTCGCAACCACACATCTGCAGACAAGACCCACTGCAAAGATGAAGATCCTCACACCGGAGGAGCAGCAAGAGCACTACAAGTAAGTCATCCAACACATCATTCACACACCCATTGATAGCTAACATGTGACGCCAGTGCTACCGTCAAAGGCGGGACATTGGGCGGCCTTATCGGCACGGCCGCCGGCACTCTTGGCGTCTATGCGGCGACGATGAGATATCCGGCCTTCAGGTCGTTATCTCTGCCATTCCGTGCTTTCCTCGCCACTTCAAGCGGAACGTTCACAGCCATCATCGCAGCCGATCGATACTCGCGATACTACGAAGCGTCACGGCATCCGGAGAAGAACTACAAAGATGAGCAGGAGACTCTACAAGAGCAGCTCGCCTCTCAGAAGAGTACAAAGGAGAGGGTTATAGGGTGGCTGCAAGAGAACCGTTACAGCATCGTCTTTGGTTCTTGGGTAGCTTCCATGTCCGCCGCAATGGGTATTGTCGGGCGGAACCCATACTTGACGACCCAGCAAAAGCTCGTTCAGGCTCGTGTGTACGCACAGGGCTTCACACTTGCGGCGGTCATTTGCAGTTTGGCATTCGAGACTGGCGACAGTCTTTCAAACACTGGACGATGGGAGACGGTCAAGGTCATCGATCCAAGCGACCCTACACACAAGCACATTATCGAGAAGAAGATCCATCACGAGCGATACGCCGGCGAGGACCAATGGATGGACATGGTCGCAGCCGAAGAACAGCGCATGAAGGAGCGGGAAGAAGCAGTAAGACAGCGTGAAGCGGCTGAAAAGAAAAACGGAAAGCCAAAGAAGGCGAAGCACGAGTCTGAGACGAAGGGCAACCCAGAGGAAGGCGACAAGAAGGTCCTTGCGCCGTGATTTAAGAGACCGTAATGATCTGAACTTTCTCCATTTCCTGTGGCGATTTACGTGGCTTGGAATACTGTACGAATGCATAAGCCAGGCGAGAGGCGTTGGTCGGGAATGGGCGAGCGATAGATGCAGTGTACAGATATTCTAAGCAAAGCTCTCAGGTGCTCTTCATAGGCTTCTATACCATCCATGGGCCCTTTTCCGCCGATGAGCCGGGAATATAGGTCTTAGTCGTCGGTCTATCCTCACTCAGATCACCATCTCCATCCGGCATCCTCAAACTCTCCACCATGACAAACTTCGCATTCGCATGTTTCTCGAACATACCGCCGAGAGCATCGACCACATGCCCCAACGTCACCCCATCCGGACAATGAACCCGATTCTCCTGCTCACTCTTCGGCAACGTCGCATCGTAATCCACATGCGTGACAAAAGGCGCCCGCCCACTCCCCAATTCGTAAAAGCACCTCGTATACCAGAAATCATAAAACGGCGGCGAAGTCAACAACATTCCCCTCCAGGGACCCGTCGGCGCCGCCGCCGCTCCTCTGCCCCTGAGGAGGAGGCGCTCGTACTGCGCCTTGGAAATCTCAAACGAGAAGGTCCAGAATCTCGGCTGCGAGGGTTGTAGTGTTCCTTTATGATGATGGTGGTGGAGGGAGTGCGTCTCAAAGGGATACGCCGAGCCCCAACTCCTCTGATTCAGCAGGAGATTCGGAATCCACGGGTTCGGGCGAGCGGGGGGGAAGGCATGCTTGCGATCCCAGGCCTGGGGGGATTCGATGGCGTCGATGGGAGGGGTCGGGAGGTAGAGGAGCTGGCGGATCGGGGTGGAAGTGTGGATGAGGGAGTGCCAGGTGTGGGATGTCGTCTGGGCGAGGAGGATGGTGCGGATGGCATTGAGTTCCTGGTAGACGTGGGCGTTGGGGAGGGAGAGGAGGATGAGTTCGAGGAGCTCGGAGATGTTGAAGACTTGGGTGGCTGCGTTCATGGGGATGGCCGTTTTGGGGGGGTCTTTCTTTCAAGGAGATCGGTGTCATTTAGATCATATGTCCTTTTAGCTGTAGCTGTACGAGCGAATTGTATGAGAGACGGATATCCTTGACGAAGAGATGACAGGACGCGAGGTTGAGAAGCTGCTGATGAAGCTTTATCTTATATGATGTTCCAGGGTTGCAGAGCTCCCTTCCATCCGAGCTCCCATTAAAAAGTTTATTGCGTGATATCGGGGAGCAAGGTATGCCTGGGTGGTGAGACGCCCGCTAGATGACTATACGAACATTTCATCATCAATCGTTACGTATTAGAACAGCCTAGGAACTACAAGAGCATTGCATAGCTCTCTGGTATTTGGGAACGTCACCACAGAAACGTTCCTCTTCTTCCCGGTTCCATCCCCATTCCTCGTTGAAAGGCGCCAGCGCCATGTCCATTACGCGGTCGAGAATCTCTCGCTCGCCCTTCTTCTCAACACGCTCAATCAGCTCATCCAACACCCAAGACCTGGGGACGAACTTGGGGTTCGCCGCCTTCATTGCTGTGAGGCGTTCCTCATCGTTCGACTCGGACCAGTCTTCGAGTACCCTTTCACGATATTTCTCTAGCCAGCTAGCAACGCGGGCTCGAGCGTCGTCCTCGCTGCCAGCGAGACCGCTGAGGCCCTCATGATGGAAGAAGCGGCTGGCGATAGCCTTACGCTTCTCGTCAGTGTCAATCTCGTCCGTTTTGATATAGCTCAGCCTGCGGAAGGTGTGATTAAAGTCCAGTTCCAAGGCCTCAAGGGTATCAAGGAGCTCTGAATACAGCTCCTTAAAGTCGGACTCCTTAATCTGTTTCAAACCAAGCCGGGCGTTCATCAAGCGCTTGTACTCGGCCATGAAGACAGCCTTGTATTCCTCGCCGGCTTTTTCGATGATGGACTCGGCGCGCTTGATCAACTCATCCCCCTTTTCTTGCCGAACTCCCTTCTCTACGAATTCAGTTTCGTCACACCAACTGCCAGAGCCAATCAGCTCCCCAAAGGCCTCAGCAAGACGGACGAGATTCCACCAGATTATGCTTGGCTGATTCTTGTACGAATATCGGAGCATGTGATCGTCGTGGTTAGGCGTGTAATTGGGGTCGAAGTTGTCGAGAAATGCGAAGGGACCGAAGTCGATAGATAGGCCATAAATCGAAGTATTGTCGGAGTTGAGGACGCCGTTGGTGAAAGCGTAAGCCTGCCAATGGGCCACACTCCTAGCATTCCGTCGTGCAATCTCGCGGTAGAGTCGCGCATATCTGTTCTCTTCAAACTCATCCGAGCCTTCAATCTTGTCTTTTGGCACACCGCGAGGCAAGTCTACGACGTCCTTTTCCTCGGTAGAGGGAGCCTTTCCGGGCAATGATTCCCAGCCCGAATAGACTTCTTCCGCGACATAATCGGCCAACTTCCTAATCATATCTCTATCGCCTCTGGATCTTGGGAGGTCGAAAGTACCTATTCTTATCCACGACTCCGCAAACCGTGCTACCATGGCGGCCGGCTCAGTCATCTCTCTTCGAACGTGCTCCTCGGGTCCAAGGGTCAGACTCAGAGCTCTGGTCGTTGGGATGCCAAGCGCATTTAGAGCCTCACTAACAACAAATTCTCGGATACTGCTCCGCACGACTGCCTTGCCGTCTGCAAATCGAGAGTAAGGCGTCTTTCCAGCACCCTTCAACTGTATCTCATATCGCTTTCCAGTCGATGGATTGTTGGCTTCGAACAGGGATATCGCCCGTCCGTCTCCAAGCTGCCCTGCCCATGACCCGAATTGGTACCCGCCATAACATTGTGCCCAGGGGTATATGTCTTCTTCACCGGGTTCCTTGCCGTCTTCCAATGTGATAATCTTCCCCCCAGACACCGTCTGCTTAAAGTCCTCTGTATCAACCGTCGAAGGATCAAGTCCGAGGTCTTCTAACGCTCTCTTCGATACGCCAATGAGTTCTGACTTCTTGAAAGGCTGCGGTCGAACAAAGGTGTATGCTGCGTTCTTTACCAGTCGCGGGCCCAGCTTCTGTCGTTCTGCAGAGTGGGATGCTGCTGGAGTGGGAAACTCGGCATCGGGCGGGAGGCTCTGAGTATATGTGTTCGTCTTGGGAAGGTCCCGAATACTATATGTCTTCTGATCGCCATTGGTACGGCCGTTGCTGATGTGGTTCGCCATTTGTGTCCGTCGTTGCCGTGCGATTAATTGCGGTCTTGTTCGCAAAGCTGCACGATGCATCGACGAAGCCAGTAAGTGAAATCGGAAGAGGCAAGAGAACACAGAGTATGTACAAGTGGAGTGGCGATGTATATGGCCGCGAGGGGGCACAGCTCCATTGTGCCATCGAGATATCATAAGCCTATCGTCATTTTGCCTCAGGCCCGAGATCGGCAGCGAACCTTATTTGACGCTAATCTTCGGTATCGGTTTCACTAGTGACTGCTCCTGCCTGAAGGAGATTTCTCGGACCTTTGACAACATCGACCGCACTTGCCTTCGACGTTATTTGGAAGTACTGTAAGGTAGCCTTCATCCCGCCCCCACTAGATCGAATATGCTGGTATTCCTCCCGCGGCCAATCCATCATCCGGCATCGATATCGGCAGGATGAATCGCGGCAACATTCCAGGATATTACTACGATGAAGCCAAGGGAAAATACTTCAAGATCCAGGCCAACCATGCCGCTCCTCCGCAGGCCAAATATTCGAGATATCACGTCGAGAGGGAACAGCGAGAGACTAAGAAGCGCAAGCTGGAACAGGAACGCGACGCGATCGTTAAGAAACAGACGGTGCCTGCTGCAAACCTCTTGAAGCATCCCCTCCTGGGTCGTAGTGGTCTTCAGAGGGTGAGTGTGGGTCTGGAGTCAATAGAGCAAATCTCGATTTCTAACGTCTTCCAGGAACATGGAGATCGACCGCACGCCTTCGATCGCAGACACAGAGATTCGGCCTTCGTTCAGGGTCTGGAGCCCAACAACATAGACATCAGCCTGACTGGCTTTCTCGACAACACGTTCAGGATTTCCGACACTCACTACCTATCCGAGACTTCACAACAACTGTTTGCCATCTCACACGGTCCTGCGAGCCACGCTATCTACTGCCACGATCGCAAAGACTGGTCCCAAAAGCAGACCCTGCCGCAGAGGCCGGCATCCTATGCGTTCCACGAGGCCATCACCGTCCTTGTTCCAGTCTCCTTCCAAGACACAACGTATGCCGTGGCCTGTACATCGACTCCCAACGACTTCTCCGGCAACGTCTTTGTCGGAGCGTTGCCACTGCCCGGCCAAGATCCCAGGGATGCCGACTCCAGTCCCAGCGGGTGCTTCTTCAATGTGGGAAAGGCCGGAGACGAGCTCTGGGACTGCAAGCTGAACACCAATGGAAACGCAGCATTCGTGGGCTCTTTCGGTGCCGTCGTCCGCCACATTAGCGACTTGCCCAATGGCACCACTTTCGCCGGTCACAATGGCTCTATGGAAGCCTTTGCATGCGATTGGTTGGACTGCAACACGCTGGCAATAGGCACACGAGCTCAAAGTCGAAAGAGGTTCTTCCACGGTGTCCAGCTGTGGGACGTGCGGACCGAAGACTCGGCCGAGAGATTCAAGCGAGATGGCAAGGGACGAGTCGTCGCCATCAAGACCCCGAACCCCCACGGCACCAATCTGCTCGTGGCCAGCACGCAAGAGATTGATCTCTACGACACACGGATGGGACAAGGACCGCTCATGTCCATCAAACACAGCTCTGGATCCACGCGTTTGCACCTCTCGACGCATGGGAACCTGCTGGCCGCACCGGACCAATACAATCAGATCCAGGTCTACTCTCTCGCTTCTGGACAGCCTCTCCGCTCTTTCGGCTCGCAAGTGCCATATTTGTTGCAGAAGCCGCGTTGGCAAGAAGACGCTCGCGGTACATTGTACCTGCAAGCGTGTGCTAAGAACACCATTTGGCAATGGGAGTGGTGACGCCATCCGGATTTTTTATTCCTACGAGGTGCCCGTCTTCGCAATGGTTCTTTTGTCGAAATTCTGCAGTTCGCGTAGATACCCAAATCGACTTTTCGCCCATCTTACATGGAATCTGTGCTCTAAAATCTCCATGTACAAAATTGTTCTTCCATCTCATGACGGTTCAGATCAAAGGACGATTAATGATAGCTCTGCCTCTCCCTGAAATCACGCTTCACCGCACCCTTATCCCAGCCATCTGTGCCGGCGTAGCGTGGGTTCTGCTCGTCATACATGGTATACGCGAATTGGCCTCCGAAGCGCTTACTCCGGTTGTCTGGCCCGTTGATTTTCGCGTTCTTGGGCCTGCCGGCACGAGCCTTCTGGGAGAGGCCCAGGCACTCGGACATTTTGTAGAAGATGTCGATGGAGCTGTAGACGCCGCCGAAGAGGGCCTGGCAGGGGCCCATGGCGAAGACGGCGACATCGGTGAGGGAGTGGACGCCTTGGTCGGCGGTGGTGGGGAGGGTGCCGTTGACGAGGAAGCCGGAGGGGGAGTCGGAGGGGTTGGCGAAGTAGTTGTTGGAGGCGAAGCCCGTGATGTTGGTGGCGGGCTTGCGCGGGGCGGTCTTGTGGACTGTTGTGTGGCAGGGGAGTCAGTCAGTCAGTCAAGGGACTTCGGATCTTGAATGGGAAAGGGAAGGGACGTACCCTGGTAGTTTTCGCGGTGGTCTGGGTTGGCGCCGAAGCCTTGGGCGAGAGTGTAGCGTGGGTCCTGGAAGAGGATTAGCATACCCGTATTCTGCAAGAGCCCATGGCATTTGGACCACTGACCCAGTTAGATGGGAAGTTGCTGTCGGCGTAGCGAAGGTTGCCAGTGTTGATGTACTGAGACAGACCAGAGTTGTGGTACGTGCCAACAGCCTCGCGCTTCTTGCGGTCGTTGTTCTGCTGGTTGAGGTACTGGGTGTCGACGCTGCCGAAGACGTCGAACCCGTGACCATGGTCAGAGGTGACGAGGATGAGAGTGTTGTTCAAAGCCTTCAACTGCTCAAGGTGGTTGATGGAAGCCTTGACGGTGTCATCGAGTTCCAGAAGCTCGCCAAGAGCGCGGTCGTAGTCGAGGACGTGCATCATCTTGTCGACGGAAGCAGCCTCAGACATGAGGAACCAGCCGCGGTCGCCGGCGCGGGTGTTGAGGATGTCAATGGCCTTCAGGGTCATCTCCTTGAGACCGGGCTGGTTGGCCGCATCCGTCTTGTCGCAGGTCGGGGAGTTCTTGTTTCCACGAGTGTTGTCGGTGAAGACATTGCGGTCCAACCACTTGTCCATGTTGGAGACAGAGAAGACACCGAGAAGCCGGTCCTTGTCAGAGGCGGCGTCCAACTGGCTCAGGTTGAAGGCGGTCTTGTAGCCGGCATCCTGGAAGACCTTGTAGTAGTCCAGGTTTCGGTAGGTGGAAGCACTCGATGCACCGAGCTTTGGGTCGCAGAAGTTCTCTGCACCACCACCGAGGAGAACGTCAGGTCCGCTCCACTCGGTCCAGGTGTAGTTGACGATACCGTGGACGAAGCTGTCGATGACATGGCCGTACTCGCCACGATCTCTGGTGTGGGACGTAAGAGCTCCAGGTGTGGCGTCGGCAAGGTAAGCAGTGCTGACGATTCCCAGGTGGCCATTGTACATGCGGTGGAAGATCTCGGCGATGGTCTCAACCTTGGGGTCGTCGAATGGGTCTGGGGACGAGTCGGCGTACACCCCCATGGCATTCACGCTGGACTTGTGGCCCGTGTACAGAGCGCTTGCCGAGTTGGCCGAGTCGGTGATGAAGCTGTCGATGGAGTGCGTCATCTGATGGCCCACGACTGGGAACTTGTCCATGGCCATTGTGCTCTGGTACTTGCCGTTGACGGACTTGTGGGCAATCAGGCGGGCGGCCGTGATCATGTTCGTGGTCATGCCATCGCCGATGAAGAGGAGGACGTTCTTGGTCTTGCGGACCTGCTCAATATCACGGACGTGCCAGTTCGCAACGGTCGTCGTCCCGTTGTTGTAGCGTAGAGTGGCCACGTAGTCTCCCGGTTCGTAGAGGGCGACTCTGCGCCAGGCCTTGGAAGCTACGTTGACGTGCGAGGGTGTCTTTGCGTCCGAGGCAAACAAATCTCTGTGTTGCGCTTCAGCTCAGGCCGTCAGGGAGGCATTGGAGACGCAGACGTACTCATACCAGCCGAAATCCCATGTCTCGAGCTTTGGCTCTTGAACGCCAAAATACTGACTCGCCTTTTGTGCTGCCGCGCCCTTCTTGTTGATCGTAAGGCTGAAGTTGGTGTCTGGCACACCGTTGTATCGGTTCTTCTCCGAGCCTGCCGCAGGAAGCGTATATCAGCGAATGTAGCCAGATGTATGTCGCCAGATGAATGAAGCTCAGAGCGCATACCATTGACCGGGGCGTGCACTTCCACGCGGATATCGAAGTACTGGCCGGCGAGAAAGTCCTGCTGGTCCGGGGGAATCACACATCCCAGCGTGGGACAGGTTCCAAGACGTTGAAAGGTCTGAGCCGAGACGAGCGAGAGCAAGGCTGTAGCGGCAGCTGCCCGCAGAGGAGAACGAGCGAAAAGCATCTTGTCTTGACACTTGACACGTGAAAGACGCCGGGTACAGTACGTAAATTACCCACGGGGAGTGACACCGGAAGACCTTGACGGGGTATCCTGGAAGTCTTCTCATTTATACCTCTCTCCATCATCGGCGCCCTACTTGAACCAAGCCTCTTCATCTCTTTTCCCACGCGACCACCATGCTCCCTCAGGCCAGAATCCCGGCCAGAATCCTGGATGCGTAGTGGCACAATCGGTCGGCCTCATCGAACGGCCGACGCACGCGGAGAGATGATGACCAGACGGCGACATAGCAGCCGCAGGACAAGCGAGCCTCGTTCCTATCCTCAACGCTGCGATTGAACGAAATGCGAGCAATGCGTCGCAAGGCGCTGTTCCTGCAGCAGAGCCAAGGACGCCTCCAGCTCCAGCTCCTTGGAAGCTCTTGGACAGAGCAGTGCCAAGAAGCTACTACTCGTAGCAGTCCCTCTACCGCCGTAGGCGCTGCTACGAGTAGTATCCTCTCTCGATCCTCATCGCATCGCTGCACCCTCCTCTCTGCAGATCAAGGACGTGCAGTCGGCCGCTCGTTTCATTTGCTGTCCACACACATTCACCGGTATAGATCAAGAGGGAGTCATTCCGCTAAGAGACGAAACTAGATTCGTTTCTACTACCCCCTAATTAAAGACTCTATCTCTTCGTCTCTATATAATGGCTTCATTGGGAACATTGGGGAAATGTTCTGGACTGGAACGCCTGCAATCGTAGCCTTCAGTAGCGAAGCCAAGAGGAGGTAGGAAAGGTTGCAAAAGGCAATGGAAGAGAGCAGAGTAGCGCCGCCCTATCAATCATGATCTCGTGACTTCGTCCTAGCTGGCCCAGCGCCGCGCTCGCCAGGCAAGGCAGTGCGCCCTTCCAATATCGCCTTCCCAAATTCGCTGCAGGGTATAGAAAGGAGAATTATCTGCAAGCTCATAAAGAACACAATTTACAGAGGCCGGCCGGCCTCAAAAGTCGCCCATGCCGTCATGGGGCACGATTTCGCGGATCGCTCTCCGCCATCGGCCGTCGTCGGGTCGAGGTTTCCCATCCACAAACCAGGCGTCACACCGCCGTCGCCAGGCTGCCTCCTCTTCCTGCTGGATCCGGATGAAACGAGGTCCCAGATCGAACTCTTCGTGTATTTCTCCCGCACCGTTCTGAGGAGCAAGAGTACCGGGACTGCCCAGGCCAGCCACAGAGCCAGCCCCGAACGCGGGCGTGTTCTCGTCTATGAGGTCTTCAATTCCAGCAAATGCATCTTCCTCGTCAGCATCCGTGACCGAAGGCGAGAGCTGACCAGAGACGTCGCGACCGCCCTTGACCTTCAGCCACTTCATTTGCTGCGGATCGTAAACCATGCCGTTTTGCACCTGCACATTGTGGCCGGTACTCGTTGGCACATGAGCAATGAGCGCAGGACGTGACGGCGACGCCGACGACGCGTTCCGTCGATGATCCATGTACGACGTCTGTGTGTTTGCAGAAGGTGTTGGAGTCTCCAGTGGAGGTAGGTCGAATTGTGACAATGTGTTCTCGTTGCCTTCCCACCGAAGAGTCTGTGGATTGTAGATCATCCCTTTCTCACCTGTCATGCCTGGTTAGCTATACTCAAAACTCTACAGAATGGAAGGAGGCTCACTTTTTGGGACGTGCGATCCAATGCCAGAGATCAGGCCAGGCCTCCGCACGCTCTTCTGGCGATGTGTGCTCGGACTACTATAGGGACTTCGAGCGGCGATCTGTGCCTTCCAATTCGTCGTCAGTGGTTGAAGGGGTCCTTCGCTCCTGGGTCGAGGCTGGTTAGCGAGACGAGATTCTCTGGCAATCCTGCTGGCAGCAGTGTCGCGCAGGTAGCTTGGCGTGGCATTTTGGCTTTCATAGAATCCTTTGGTAGGACTAGACGGTGTTTGAGGAGGTGCTGGAGTCATCATGCGGTCAGGTATGGCAGTATAGTTCGAATTGCGTTTGCTCGGATCACGGAAGTCACTGCGGCTCTGCGTCCTACGGAGGCCTTGTTTGGGTGGGCCGCGTGCAATCGGCTGCTTGATGAACTTGCTCTCTTTCGTGTTAGATGTTGGCAAATCGTCAAAAATCTCGAGCTCCGACCCGTCGCCAAAGTTGCGCTTTTTCGCTGGCCTGGTTAGAGTGCGCTTGGATGCGGCTTCGCGTGCCAAAGAAGGGGGAGCAACATCTTGTCTTTGCCGGGAGCCACGCGAGGGTGTATCTGGCGTGATCTGGTTGGCCAACCGAGAGCCAGGACGGGGTGGCGGCGACTGAGCGCCTTGTCTGTTAGGGTCAGAGTCACGTCTCAGGTGATACGGCATTGCCCTATGTGCCGTGATATGCTGAGACTGGTGATTCGAAACGCCAGCGGGTAGAAAGGGCACGGAAGGCTTCTGAAAGGAAGGTGTACTATGCTGATTACGCAGAGCTGGCATGGAACGCTTAGAACGTAGCAGCTGCGCACTGGTCGTGGTAGGTTGCCGGCGCTCTCGACTGGCATTCGGTGCTCCTCCGCTTTCAAACACGGGCTCAAGTCTCGAGGCTTGCTTAGAACCCGACACAGGACGAGGGATGTGCGATCTGTTGAATGTAGGTTTGTCGATCGGTTTATCGTGGAAGTTGAAGGTGGTGGCTGGGCGTTGTGCAGCCGGCGGAGCCTTCGCAGAAGACTTGACTTGCACATTCTTGTTCGCTGTGCGCTTGCGAATGTCTAGAACGTCTGCTCCGCCGAGATCAAAGTCATTGAGAAAGTCGTCATTATCGTCTGAGAGTAGCTTCGACTTCTTATGCGTGTTTGTCAAGGTAGCTGGCTGGTCCAGAGCGGGCGTGGTGCTGGGCTGTGACAGATCTGACAATTCCGCCTCAGCAGCGCGTCTCTTTTTCAACATGGCATCAAAGTCCATTGGGCCTTCTGGAAGCTCGAGGCCGCCAAAGTCGTCCACCTCGCTGTCTGCGGTCGCAGAGCCCAGACTTGGGCTGATGACAGACGCAGAGGAGCTTCGATTTCGCGTGCCATCGCGTCGTGTGCCCGCGAAGCGAATGCCCAGACTGCCTTCCAAGTCGTCGAAGTCGTCGATCTCTTCGCCAGAGGCAGCGGTTGAATCCTCCTTGCGTGGCTTCAGCGCGAGTGGCTGGTCTGTCATCTCGAGGTCGTTGTCCCAATCATCCTCGATCTTCTGTTTGGACTTCTTCTTGCCCAGGCGCTTGATGCTGCCGCCGATCAGCGCGCTGGTAGGTACGTTGTTGGGGAGCGGGATGCCGGCGTGTTTCGCGGACTGGATGGCATCGCTGGTGCTCTTCTCGTCGTTGGGCTGGATGACGACGTTCCAGTCTTCATCGCCGGCGACGCTCTCCGAGCGCACGGAGAGGCGCGACGACATGCTGGTGGGAGCGGTGCCCGTGCTGCCGGCCGCGAAAGCGTGGAAGTCGCCTTGGAAGTCGCCATCGTCGTCCCAGATCTCAATACCGGCCATCCCGGCCATGTTCTGTTTCAGGTTGTCGAATCGATGTCCTGTGTGCTGTCCCGGCCGCCGCGTCTGGGTTCAGACGAGCAGCAGCAGGAGGAGTTGCAGCCTCCGCGATGAGAGCGAGCGGACGAAGCTGCCGCAGGGAGAGTGAAGCGGTTGCATGTGCAGGAGCAATAACGGATAACGGACGAGCTGCTGGTACCAGAGTGGACGGTTCCGTCGTCGTTCAATGCAGCAGGCGGGTGATGGCTGGATGAAGCGCGTTCCGAGGCGCCTCTTAAACTTCAAGCCTAGCACGCGGAGCCAGCCGCGACCTACTCAAGCTACTGTAGACCTGTGGACCCTGCTTTCTCCCATCCCTCTCATCAAAGACGCGCGATCTCGTTACTTTGCACACGCCGGCGCTCTCCACAGACCGCATGCGCGGCCGTGAGGATGCGATAGTGCCAACCTCACACCGCAGCGCACCCTGGCTCCTCCGATGGACGCTGCCGCCAGCCAGCACTGCAATCATCCTCAGCTGCGCGGCCATCAGGCTGCAACGGTCCCATCCAAGGCATCTGCCAGTCCTGGCATTCACGCCCGGAACGCCCAACGGCCCTGCAGCGGACAGAAACGTGGAAATCGACTGCTATAGACCCACGATCCCCCGCTGCTGCCAGTCCACTTGGTACCCGGATCCAGAAAACATATTGCCCCGTGCTAAATCCGCTGTCCCGTCAGTCCCGCACCATGGCAACCATGCCGACGACGCTGCGACTGCGCTGGACCGGCAAACGGTCTGAGCATATCTTGCTCAACGTAATCCATAGGGGACCGCGCGACCTGGATCTGAAGCTCATTGGGACGGACTTTGAGAAGTTATATTCCGGCAAGGTCAAAGACTCTTCGGCCAAATCTCTTCAAGCGAGCAATTTTACTGGCAATTTGGAGGAATGGAAATCCATTCTTGGCCTCGCTTTGCGACATCTTCGGCCGAGTGGGACCCTGCCTGAACATCTACAAGGCATCCAGGCCGTTGGAGCGATCGATGGCTCAACGTTGACGGTCACTATCCAGAGGAGGATTGACGATATCACCCAGAGATTGGGTACCATCAAGCTCGAGGAGACTGACGAGGAAGTCAACACGCTGGAATGGGCGGACCAAGCGACTGCAGCCTCGGACGACCTCCGGTCCCAACTGGAGACTTTGCAATCCTCAGTGGCGTCTCAACAGAAGCAGATCACCAGACTTACCAATGAGCTTGACAATCTTATCAGGGCTAAGAAGGAGCACGAGGATGAGCTGTTCAGCAAGTTTGCTGCTTTGCTCAACGCCAAAAAGCTGAAGATTAGAGACCAGCAGCGGCTGCTTGCGGGCGCTCAAGTTGACCACGATGCTGCTCAAGAAGTCAATGACGCCAGAAGCAGGACGGCTCGTCGAGAGCCTGGTGCGTCCCGGAAAGGAAAACGCAAAGCAAACGATGCCCCCAAGCCAACCCAGGATGGAGACACAGAAGATGAAGATGACGAAGAGACCGATCTAGGCACTGCCAACGGAGAGGACGACGAGGAGGAGCGCCGACGACAAGAAACACCTGAGACGGACGACGAAGATATCGCGGAAGCTGAGCTTGGCGGCAGTGTGGACGGCGCAGGGACCACAACGCAACCTGATGATTCGCAGACGACCAGAAGAGTTGTCGAACGACAGAAGGCGAGCGAGTCGCAGTCGAGTAGGAGTGCGCCAACGAGAACTGCCCAAGGCAGCTCACAGCGCATGAAATTGGATGAATCCCCACCTGGACGAAGAATGCGCGGGAGAGAGGCGGCCGCAAAACAGCGCACCCCTCCACCGACGTCGAATGCTCCGGTGGAGGATGAAGACGATGAGACGGAAGATGAATTATGAGCGACGTACTTAACGACAGCAGATACCTCCGACATCGAGAAGGATGTTTGACGAACATGTATGCTTTGAGGTGATGGTGTGTTTCTGTCCCATGGAAGTGCAACACACGTGTTCAGGGGACCAGTGGATCTGCACTGGGACAATGCCGCAGCTCGGGCTGCCGCAGACGTCCCGGGACGACTGGATAGGGTCGGAAGCAATCGTCCGCGACGAAGCCGACCTGGAGATGTGCTTGCGGGCCTATATAGATTGTGTGCTTGGACGCGGCGGCATCGGAAGACACAGGTCGTCACATGTCGGCAAGCGCAGGTAAGGCGGGCGGAGAGGTGAAGTAGTGAGGTGAGGTGATGGCGATGGCATGAATAGAGTTTTGTAGAGGGTACTGTGGGTAGACGTCAGTGTTTGGCTTTCTGCTCTCGGGACGCTGCTTGGCTGCACACTGCGCTGCGCTGCGCTGCTTTCTCAGCTGCGTCCCGTCTGCGTCCCGTCTGCATCTGCATCGCTGCGCGGCTGATGACTTGAATCGTCGCACTACTCACCATCGCACACCGGACAGTAGTAGGCCATTCCATTCCTACACTGCATGTTCCGATCGCAACTCCAATTATTGTTATTCCCCACCAACCAACATCATCAGCCGGTCAGACACGACACAACACGACACAACAAGACGGGACGGGACAGGGAAGGGCTAAGTGAACGTGGGGTTGCCGACTGAGGTGCTTCGGACCTCGACTTCTCGTGCTCCGAAGCGAGCGAGCGAGCGAGCGCTGTGTGCATTGCGTTGTGAGCTTGCCGCGTCGCATGTGACAATACACTCTGCCACCGGAGCACACATGCTAATCACCGCATTCATTGTTCAGCGCATCTTCTCCGCGCCTCTTCGAAGCTATTGTCATTCCCGCGTGAATCATCGCCGCCCACAATAGCTATTCACGACAATATCGCCAGTCTCAGACACCTACCATATCTCTCTGCCACCCGCGCGACCACTTCCAATGCGGCAACTACACCTCCTCACTCCATAGCACTCTCGCTGTGAACTGCGTCTTGCAGTCCAAACACGCGCGACATGCCTGCGACACCAGATGCGTCCAAAGATCAGCAAGCGACCGCTCCGAAATGGATTCCCAACAAGGACGAGCGGGACGACCTCAATGCGATCGATGCCGCCATCGGTCTTATGCGAAAGAGCACCCCGACGGATCCTTACGTCCTCACTATTCCTCAGAACGTCGAACCACGATATCATCACTACAACAGAGTCCATGCTGAGGCATATGCCAACAACACCCCCTTCGAAAGGACGGAGCACGAGAACCTTCAATACATGACTTTCCACTTCCACGAGCATGGCAAGGATATATACGTCTTGAAGAACAGTCGGCCAGCTGGAGACGCCGCAGTCAACGGAAATCCGAAGAGCAGGCCGGGCACTGGTACGAACACGCCTAGCGGTGGACCGAAGAAGACAATCAGTTTCAGCGCATATAAGAACAAGCAGAATGGCGTCGCGGCCACGGCAGGAAAGGGTGAGACGAGAGCGAGCGATGCGCCATCGAAGCAGGGCGCAGTGAAGGGACCAATCGAGAGAGTGAAAGCAGAGTCGGAGGAGATGCTGGCTGCTGTCGCTGAATCTGAAGGTGCACCAGCCGCCAAAAGACAAGGCGAAGAAGCCGCCGGACAGCAGAAAGATCTGAAGCGGAAGCGGGACGAGCAGCAGCAGGACAAAAGCCAGAAGAAAGGGTCTGATAAGAGCTCTGAAAAGGACTCCAGACCTGCACAGTCGCAACCAAACGAATCGGCTACGAATGGCACAGAGCCGCCTGCGAAGAAGGCGAAAGTCGCCGCTGACAAGCCAACGAAGCAAGAATGTGTCGCGAACGAGAAAGCTTCTCAGAGCAGCGAGAAGACTTTGGAAAAGGAGCATTCACCAGAGAGCGGCATGCCACCGCGTCTCTCCCCCGGAATGCCTCCAAGACTTTCGCCGGGTATGCCTGACAAATTATCGCCACTTCACAAGTCACATCAATCGATGTCTGCGGACCATGAAGAAATGGAGACGCCATCTCTACCTGTGCGGCTGTCGCCAACTCTGCCAGACAACATCGCGAAGACTTTGGAAGCGCGATCCCAGTTTAAGACGAGCCCACGGCTGTCGGCTTCGTCTGCACCTACAACCGTCTCCAAAGACAAGGATGGCAAGCTCACACCAATGAAGAAGCTCGATGGTATCACCAAACACAAGTCTCCCGTACCACGCAATGGCTTTCGTGCGACTTCAAGTTCTCCGGCGGTGCGGTCTGATGCAGAAGCCGGCCGAGCTGCAACGGCGGCGTCTCGCGCAAAGAGCCCAGAACAAGCGTTCGCAGGCGAGTCCATCACTACAAAGGCGCCATCTGGCCCCAAGCCTCATTCGCAGGCCAAAGAGGCTTTGATGGTGAAGCTCAAATTCAAGAAGTCGAAGAAGCTCGATCTGAGACGTATGCTGGCCACCCGTCCCGTGCCTGACCGGACCTGGTCAGATCAGGCTAACACGGAGCGATCAGTAGAGGAGCCACGAGTGCCGGCGAAGACCGCGGAGAAGCGCAACGGCGAGCGCCAGGACGCAGCTCCTATCAAGGGCGTTGCGCAGAAAGTCGGCGCTGGCAGAGCAAAGAAGCAGCAACCAAAGCAAGACGATGCGCCACTAGCGGCACAAAAGCGAGCTGCGCCGCAGGAAGAGGATGCCGAATCTCCACCTGCAAAACGCAAGAAGACGGAGACTTCAGAGGCACGTCAAGCACCATCGACTCCTGCGCCGCGCGAGCTTGACTCGCCGCTTGCGCAGAAGTCCACTCTGCAGGCTACCCCGGTTGCACGCAAGGATGTTCTTTCGGCAGCCATGAAGCGCGAGCAATCTCAGGACAGCAATGCGACCCATGGTACACCCCCAGCAGTGTCGAGCACTCCAACTGTGAATGGCAGCTCCGCGCCCCCAAATGGAATACCTAGAGGGCCTTCCAGCCAGCCAAGCAACAAGACGCCCAGACAGCAGGCCTGGGAGGCGGAGCAGAAGCGTCTGGAAGGCTTGGGCCGAGAACTAAAGCACGCAGCGACTGCTCACTTGAACGCCGGCAATGAGCAGAAGCTTGCAGCGATCAAATGTCTGGAATCGTTCCTGTGCTACCTTCTGGCTTTCACCTGCGCCGATGAAGCCGCGATAGCGGCTGATCCTAAGCAGACTCCCGCCAACAAGACTTGGCGTAGCTTGCAAGGCTTCTACGGTTTTGTTAAGCGCAACACCGAAGCCTACGCGCCACTTTGTGGACTGGCATGCTCGCTCGGTATGGTCTTCAACGCTCACGTGCTCGCTCTTCTGACGCAGTTCCCTGGTGAGGGAGCCAGCAACCAGAGCCTCTTGGAGACGCAAGCACACATGCAACGTGCTGCTGGCGAGGCCGATACGAAGCTCGACATTGATATCCTGCAGGAGACTTTCCCAAAGGCCTGGAGCGGCCGCACGAAAGCCCTTCAACCGAAAGAGAAAGTGCTAGAGCCGGGCAAATTTTCCGGCCCGTACAAATTTCCGCTCCAGGTCACGACTTCACCTATCCGTGCCGCGAGGGCAGGCTATGCGATTCTTCAGGAATGGATTGCAAAGGAGAAGATTGACTATACTCCGAAGCTCAAGCTTTGAATTGACGATTTTGAGTGAGATTTGGTTTTGGGTGGAAAACCGGCACATTACCCACCGCTTTCAAAACCTTTTCCTTGTATGATATGAATCTCGACGACCAACGAACGACGGACGGCGATCAGGTGATTTACTTCTTTTTTTGTGCTACTACTTTTGGCCGCGGTGTGTTGGAACACCAGCAGCAGGCTTAGCGGTGGAATGGGCTGGGAATACGGAGGAAGGAGACTTTCCTTGTCAGGCGATGTGGGTGAAGGCGAGGGAGGGCAGGCATACGAAGTGCTTTTTTGGGTGTGTGTGTGAGTTTGAGTGTGAGAGTGAGTGTGCGTGTGTGTGTGTGTGTGATTTGAAGCAAGACGATACCCAATCAAGCGACATCCGACAGTACCAGCCAGCATGATACGAAACGACAAACACATGAGAATGTGCGGCAAGGCTTATTTTTCCAAGACAAGACCGGAAGCAGATACGTTGCCCGTATATAGATTTTGATATGAATGAGAAAGGCGCGGCCGTCCACAATTTTTTACCATGTCGTCTCTCTACTTTATTCACACGAGTTCTACGTGAGCTCACAACAATCAAATCATCCCTTTCTCTTCTTGGCGCCGCTCTTCTCTTTGGCGGTGCTCACGGCCTCATCCAGCTTTCCACCAAGATCGGCCTTTAAGCTTTCGTCGCCATCAGTCTTCTTTCCATCAGCAGGACCAGCGAGTGGTTTGGCAGCCTGCTTGCTCTCGACTTCCTCGTCATCGCCACCCTGACCAAATTCATTGACCCGGGTGTAGTCCGTCTTGTACGCGAATGCTTGGTAGAGGTACACGAAGAAGATGACGTCGTCGCGCAGAGTGGCGAGACGGTGAAGAACGGGCATCTTGATTGTGAAAGCGAACAGGTCGTCGATGAAGGTGTTGAGGAACTTGTACGTCATGGCCCTTGCCGGCATGTGGGCCACCGACTTGAGGCGATAGTTGATGTAGAGCGACGGAACCTGCGATGCCATATTAGCTGGGTTGAGGTACAGGGGAGAGGAAAGGAGCGTACCATCATGAGAAAGCCGTAAGCATAAACGCTCCCGACAAGCGTCGTGATGGTGAAACTGTACCAGCTCTTGTGGCTCTCGTAGACCAAGGAGTAAGCCGCGTAGGCCAGGAGCAGCGGGACAGCAATAATCCCCATGTACTGGAAGGCAATCTTGTCATATTCCTCGGTCTTCTCTTCGGTTTCACTGAGCTTGTGCTTGTCCTCAAATACAACCATGTATGGAAGGCCAAGCTTATGGGCCCAAGAGCCAGGGGCGGGCTCGCGAACTCGAACATTGACGGCCTTTGTGATCTTCCACGCTTCAATGGCAATACCCATGCCTTGCCCGAACAAAATCATCCAGCTAGTATTTTCATTGTTGTCCATGAGGTAGAGGAAGATAATGGCCTGCATGACAACGTTGGAGAGGATAGTGCGGACGGAAATACCCACATTGTCCTTCTTCTTGCGCCAATGGCTGACATCAGACTTGAAAGCAAGCATCTCGAAGATCATATGCAACGCACTGACGATGGCAGTCGTACCAAGGAGCCAAGGGTTGGTGTCGAGCAGGGTCTCCTTGATCATTTCAAGTTCCGAGCCATCGCCACCGCCCGGAGTAGACTCGCCAGCGGCTGCTTTGCGCGCGGTCTCCTTCATGCCCTCGTCCATGCTCGCCATGATTCCAAATTGCCAGTTAGGCAATGTCGAGAGATCGACATTGATCGGCAACTGCTTCATAGGTATCGTCGAGTTCAGCTCGGTCATTTGAGATCTCAGCTGCCAGAAAGTATTTAAGTACAAGACCGGGTAGTACCACCCATTCTTTCCTGTGGAATCGCGGGCCCCAGTGGGGTCAAGAGTGTAATACTGCTTCATGGCAGGATGTACAGATGGGTACTGAACGTGGCCGGTCTCGATGAAGGACAGCGTGAAGTTGGGGTGGTAGTAAGAGGCAACGCTCGTCCCAGAAGTGTCCTCGAGCTTGGGCTCCTCCGGCTCAGCAGTCTCGTTCTGGCCTCCCAACAAGTTCCTCGTCTTGCGAGCTCTCTTCTTGGTCAAATACTGAGTCAGGGGTCGGAGCATCCGGTATGCCTTCGCAGTATCGTACGACGGGGAGGCCGGATCCAATTCTGCACCAGCCTGTCCTACAAAAATGTGTGCCCACAGAGTGCCGTTGTCCTGCACGCTCTTTGGGACGTCGAAGCTCTTGTGTACCTCACGATAATCCTTCTTCGATCGATCTAGGGAAAAGCTCTTCTCTTCAAGTATGAGACTGTCGGCGGACATGCTGCTGAGTCGCGGCATGACGACGCTGGGCGAGATGTACATGCTGATGTCGACGCTGGAGTTCGGTGCCCAGAGAGGATAGATGAGCTGAGGGATCGCACTGTACTCTCCAGGCTCTGACTCTGCGCTGGGGGTCATATCTGGAGCGGCAGCCTTCTGACCTCCACCCATGAATTGTCGCATCGCGAATTGAATGGCCAGGAAGATGGCAATGTTCTTGCCGACTGACCAGAGCTTGTCGGTCCAGTCTTGCTGTTGCTCGCCTTGCGCCGCGGCGGCGGGTTGTTGTTCGGGCATGGCGAGCGGGTAGCTGCGTGGACTCACGCGATACTAGAGAGAATTGATGAGCGCTTCGCTGCTACCGATCCATGGATGGTATGGGAGAAATACGAGACGCTGACGTTTTGCGGATGGATGTCTAAGGCCAACGATTAAAGTTGACGGGTCGGCCCGGAGAAGCTCGCTAAGTGAAGTCATGTGAAGGCCCGCGATAACAACGGCACTTCACGGTCTTGATGACCGACATACATCACCTACGCCCACCCTAACCTCCACCTCTCTTTGCCTCTGCCTCCGACTTTCCGCTCTTCTTCTCTGGCTATATCTTCTCTGGGTTACGCAGCTTGTAGATACCCAGGCCTCCCATTGCTGGACGACATAGACAAGGCATCCACTCGGCGGCCCTCCCGCATCCGGCTTCAGGGCTACTCGGAGCTCTACCATCTGCTGTACCGGTGCCCGGTGACGCCTGCGTGCTGCTGCTCTGCTAGGCCGCATCTCACCACGCAAACACATATACTCGACCGAGTCTATTGCCAACTCGCCCCGCCAACCGCTATCATGTTCTCCGAGTGTACGTCTTCTTCTACCAAGCCGTTGCTGCTGCCGCTGCCGCTGCCACGCTCCGTCACCAGATCCATATCATCATCAGCTCGCGTGACTAACTCCGTCTGACCGCCAGATGCATCCCGTTTCCTCCAGCAATCCAACGCTCGCCTTTCTTTCACCCAGCAGGATGACCAGCGAAATCGCTCCAGGCATCCACTAGATCGGCGGCGTGCTCCCGCAAGCAATTCGCGTTACGTCCAGCGACCCGGCATGCCCTCACACCCATATCATAACCCGGCTTCGTCTCAGTCCCGCTTTCCTTTCGCGACGAGACTCTCGCGACAAGATCCACACGCGCCGCTTTTCTACAGTGCAACCGACGATTTCCAGGACAATGATGAGGGAAATGAACACGAGAGGGAAGTAGCTGACTACTACGCGCTTCAACGAAGTAGGCAGCAGTTCGGTCCCAGTAACCTGACCGAGAGCTCAGAGATTGAAGACGACGGAGTGGAGAAGTTAGAGGAGACACAGAAGGGTCAGAATCACGACAGAGACGAGAGTCGGCAGAGAGGACGCATAGGTGCACCTTACCCACCCTCATCTCGGGCTGACAGCATGCCCGCGTCAGAAGCAAGCCGGCCGAGTTCTAAGGGCAAAGGTCGACTTGTGGATGTCAACCTGAACAGTACTATCCATGAAGAGCCACCAGCATCACTAGCCAACATCTCGCCATCGATAGATCCCGACGAACCGCCTGTACCGTACCGACCATTCAAGTCTGGAACGAAGAACAGCAGACTCAGCAGTTTCATGCCCATGGAGACCGACGATGAAGCTCAAATGATGAATCCAAGGCCTCCCTCGCCAGACCGGGAAAGCGTGCCGCCCACAGTCATTCTCCCCGCCCAAGAACCGCCAAAACACGACACCTTCTGGGGGAACATCTTCATCATTTCATTGTGCACTATGTTCGCGACGTTCGTGGTCATCTGGTTTCAGACTTCTTCGCCTTCCAAAAAGACTCCACTCGGCGACACAGTCTACAGCGCGCTTCGGGGCAGCACCAACATGCTCGTGTGGGATACGTTAATCGCGGTAGTCGTGGCATTGATCTGGTTGTCGCTGCTGCGACACTACGTGCGTGTTCTGGTATTTGGCATGCTCGTCGCAGTACCAGTCATCCTCACGATTTTCTCCTTGTACCCGCTCATCAGCAGTTTTCACGGCTCTTGGAACGGCAATTCTATTCAGGACAAGGCTATGCGTTGGCTTTCCTTGGTGCCAGCAGTGGCGGCAGTCGTCTGGACTTGGAACGTCATTCAAAGCCGACACAGCCTGCATAAATCCATCAGGGTTTTGGAGTTTAGCACGCGGATTCTCACAGCCAGTCCGTATTTAGTCTTTCTGGGCTTCGCAACATTGGGCGTCGTCGTTGCGTTCTCTTGGATCTGGATGCTCATGTTCGAGCGTGTATTCCTCTCCGGCCATTGGGTTGGCGCGAAGAAGTTCATCCTGTATGCCAACAGTTGGTGGCTCGGAGCCTTCTTCATCCTGCAATTCTTGTGGACTCTCACCGTCATTGCCGGTATCCAACGAGCGACAACAGCGGCAACGGTAAGCCAGTGGTACTTCCATCGCTTGGCAGTACCGCAGCCCACTAGCCGCGAGGTGGTGAGGGCTAGTTATCTTCACGCCACTGGAGCGCTATTCGGCACTGTTAGCCTGAGCACCTTCTTGAGCTTGCTCGTGAGGTTGCCTCTCATCATCCTACCAGGCAGGCTTTCTGGGTTACTCAACATGTGTGCCTACTGGATCATTCCGACAAGTCTGGCCTCCTTAACCAACCCGCTGACTCTTACGTACGCAGCAATTCATAGCCAACCGCTTGGGATTGCTGCTCGCGGCCTCGGGCAGCTCAACTTCGTCAGCCGCAGCAATCCAAGCAACACTCTAGGCCCACGCAATTTCAACCCAGCTGGCGGGACTGGGAGCGCGCTCATCCCCTACAGACTTTCCAAGCTCCTTCTCCAAGCGACGCGCTGGGTAATGTCTGCCGCGCTGGGATTCGGGGGCTGGGTCCGTGCTGCGCACCAAATTCAATTCGAAGGTGCCGGTGCAGGCATCAAGGGCAGCCTGTATGCTTATGTCGTGGGGATGATCGCCGGTACCATCGGTTTTGCCGTATTGGGAGCTGTCGAAAACGTCGTCGGAGCGGTGGTAGATGCTGCGGTCATTTGCTGGGCAAGTGAATCTGCTGGTGGACGCGGTGAGGCAAAGTTCTGTCGTGAAGCGGGAGAACTCTTTGGGAACGATGGAGGTTTTGAGAGGGTTGGTATGGCTTGATGAAGAATGCCAGAGATGTGGAATAGAGGCGTTCGTTCGATTCTGGAATTCGGCGAAGCATGCACGCGATTTGATATTTTCAATACCCCAACCGCTCGGAAGACGAGGAGTGAAATGCTGTTTTTGGATCGGTATAGAAGGAACTGGTCTAGATGAGGAGGGAGCGATGTTATACAGATTATGCCGTTATGAATACGAAGAAGAAGCATTCAGAATCACTTTGGATCCGTATGCAACTCCATTCCAGAGACAGTGCAAGAGCCATGCTGTATATGCCATGTATGCATTCCATTGTGTGAGGCTATACAATCGATCCAGAATCGCTATGCAAGAGAAACTATAAGCATCGCTTGCCACACCAGCAGAACATGCTCAAATCTCATCGACTTCGTCATCTTCCTTTTTGGCTGTGGTCTTGGTCGTGCCGTTGCTATTCAGTGTATCCAGGCTGCACGTCACAAGTCAGCCAAATGAAATGAACCTCATCAAGGGTAACAACAAACTTACTTGATCGGGCTCCCAGCCTTCTGGCTCATCCCAATAGCCTGTCTCCCAGTCTCAGAAGACTCCAAGAATTCTCTCAATTTCTCCTTGAAGATCTCCAATCCTTGTTGGCTGGCGGCGTTCGTCATTCGGAGCATGGGTCCCCAGAGGTTGAGGGTGTAGGTGACATATGCAGCTGCGCCCAAAAGGATGAGGAGGATGAAGTAGACTGGATTCCGCAAGACTGAGAGATACGATTAGTATGGCGATTCCCTCTCGTTTCCGGGCGGTGTACTTACCAGCGACAATCTCATTCCAACCCAGGGCCAGAAGCAAGCCGTAGAAATACAGCGGCACCTGCGTGACGCCACCAATTGCGCTGCGCTTGGCTTCGACATAGACACCGTCTGCCGTCTTCTTGAATCGCGTCATCAAGTCTTGCTGTCTCGCGTCGCTGATGACAGTCATCTCATCGTCAAGAGTCTTGCCGTCTTCCTCGTCAACGCCTCCGATAGGCTGTAGATCCTCTTCATCCGCAGGGGTGACCGTACTCGGCGGCTCGCCGATCCAAGCATCGAGTGGTGGTGAGGCTGAGGTACTAGACAACCGGAATTTGGAGAGGAACGGAATCAGAGTTAGCGTGCTTTCTCTTGCACGAGTGTATAAGCCCTCGATGTCGTCGGTAGGTCGCCATATCCGTGGGACGCCCTCTTCGTCGTAGCGGAATTTATCTTCGAAGTTCTCGCGAAGCTTGAGAAGCAGATTGCCCTCCATGAGCTCCTCGTCGAGTTTGTCACGTAGAGCTCCCCAAGACTTTCGCCTCAGACGCCACAGTCCAACTTCGACTTCATCTGGGCTGGCGTCAAAGCTGCGCGCTCGCTCAGTAAAACGAGTCTCGGCGTGTGAGACAGTCTCGGTGAAGACATTCCAGATTCGGTCCCACAAGTCCTTCTCCGTCGCGGGTTTCTTGCCTTCTGCGGGCGCGCCAGAGCCACCACGACCAGACCCAAGCTTGTTGAACTCCACACCAACACTCTCGCCAAGCTTGCTGCGAACCCATCTTTCACTGCGGCTTGCCAAACGTCTCATCTCATCCTGTCTCAAGCGAGCACTAACGTCGTCCAGCTCCTTTCGGTATAGGTTCAGCGGCTGCTTGTAGTCGCTCCAGGAGGTGCCAACAATTAATGAAGCCTTCGCTTCTGCTTCATACTTCTCCAACGCCTTCTGCTTCTCACTTTGCACAATTTGGTGGAAATCGTAGCTTGCTCCCGTCTTCTGTCCAGCCTTCACCGCCGAGCTGACAGCCTCCGAGAAGTCATGAACGCCGCTCTTGTGCGCTGCGCTCAGCTGACCTTGAAATAGTGTCTTCAATCGTCCATCGATCTTAGATTCAAGTTCAGACTGCTTACGCTTGTAGACTCCCTTGTGGTACCTGCTGGCTTCCTCCTCGAAGCTACCAAGAGCTGTCTTCCTTGCGAGGAGCATCTTCTGTCCAAGCTCTGCAACCACGGAAGGCTTGCCAGCTGCAACAGCAGTCGCTTGTAGCTCCTCGAGGGGCGTGATCACCTCATCAAATGGAATGAGCACTTCCTTGGATATCTCGTCGCATCTAAATTGGGCCAGAAGCTCCTGTTGGGTGGGTAGATCCAGATCCTTGTTGCTGTCGATTTGCTGCCAGATGCCCTCGGCATACATTGGGAAACCATCTGCCGGAATTCTTCGATGGTACTGTGGCAGAAAAATGGGCTCTGACTTCTCGTCCACCAAGCCTTCCTTCCGAGGGTCCCTGAAGCCTTCTCTGAATCTGCTTCCCAGCCTTTCTACCTCCTGCTCGAACTTCTCCGGCTGCAGAATCTTGTGGGGCAGGGCGCAGAAGGCAAAGTCGAAGTAGTCATCGATCTTGCTCTTCTCCATGCCATGAGGCTTCGACAGCGAGGCCCATATCCTAGACAGGTCTGCCAAGAGCGTCTGCTTCAGATTCCCAAGAGGCGTAGTACCCAGATGATCTCGGATCACGAAGAATAGAAGACTTCGGGGTACGCTCTTCGAGTCCTTCAAGAAGAGCTGGAGATTGACCTCGAAAACGGTCTTGAGGAGGCCCATGTTTGCGCCTTGGTATAGACCTACTTGATGCTCCCAGATGTTGACGATCAGCACCTCGCTCGTCGCCAGGGCGAAGAGCGCACTCTTCCGCTCAAAGTCCTGATCCTCCCCTCTTTCGCGACCGTCTGTACCTTCCACGTCCATGACGAGGATGTTCTCCGCCATACCCGTCGCTTTCTCTTTCTTGTTCTTCGACATCCAGATTCCCTTGGTCGTCTGCCTTCTTTCCTGCTCGCTCATCACACCAAATCGTGTCCCAAATAAATAGTTCAGCAGCGTGCTCTTTCCCGTGCTCTGGCTTCCAAAGACGGAGATGAGATGGTAATTGAAGCCCGCTCGTACGACGTTCTCCAGCTGTAGGTATTGCGGCAGGTTTGCATTGAAGATCTTGTCCTGATCGATGATCTGGATGCCATGCTCGAAGTCCTTCGCGGGGAGATTCTCGCCTGAACCTCCAAAGTGACCGTTCATGATGACCGAGGGGGCGGTGGCCTGTCGTGCTGTGGCCGGTCGAGTATCGCCGTTGGTTTGCGAAGCGGCGGCCATAGTGGAAGGGCGACGGCGACGGCGCAGGTTTTATGTGCTTGTGACCCCGAGCTGCACGTTGCTCTCACAAGCGATGCATCCCCGGGACGGTATTGGTTACACTTGCCCTGCGGCGCGTCAGATTGCGGAGTGACGTCCAGACGACCGAAGGAGTTGACTGACGAGGCCACTGGGACACGGGAGCTCCACACCTCACTCTGTGCTCGGCCGCCCGGGACTCGGCAGGATGAACCCTGTCTGAACTTCTCTATTCAGTTCCATTCGTCTTCTGATGAACTAGTTATTGCTTTAGCAATTCTCAGGACAGCATATCATACAACACAAGGCACAACCAGAGTAACACCTGGCCTCAAGCTCAATGGCATTGCGCTGATCTAAAAACTCCAGAGGCCGAAGCAAGGACGTTTCCCTAATCACATACGGCACGCGAGTATCTACAGCGTCTTTCCGCAGCGGCATATTGTTTCCCTCCCGAAAATGTCGACAACACTAGGATCACAACGGGTCAGAAAATGCAAAACGAACGCAGCAGCCTTGGAGATGATCTTTTGATGTGGCAGAACGCTGCAACTACCACATTCCGTGTCGCTTTCGGAGCCAGACCAAAAGCTCGAGGACTCTGCATTGAGTGGACTGACATATAGTAGAAGCCATTTCGCTAAACCCTGTAGATGCGCTTTAACTTCGACAGACCTCTGTGAAGCTACCAATGATGTTGGTCAACCTTCTACTAGTGAATGTGTTGTCTACCATGATCGTATGTCCATAAGTCTGTCTGCAAGCCTCGATTCTTATGTCGACACATTGCTCCTGAGGCGTGCAAGAATTACCGAGCTTGTTCGTCCGGCTAGGCGCGGAGGGCGGGCGAGAGGATTTCTAGTTCTACTCCCATCGAGATATGGCTCCCGGGTGCTCTGCCCAAGCCTTTACTTTACGAGGCGGCTCTTCGAAGTTTCTATCCCACTGGTCTGGGTGTAGGCGGGTGCAAGCTTTATCTGTGCGCGGTCAGTTCGGCCAACCAGTGCCGAGCCAAATTTCTGATTGACCGCTCACCGTTGCAGCGAAGACCATCCCAGCACTCTCTGTACCTGTGAGCCTTGCATTAGTTCGGCAGTCCAACATGTGTGTCATTGCAAGACTCACTCGCAGCCATATTTCCTAGCCTTACAAATGCTGCAGACGGAGCGGCCGTCACAGACTCCCTTGATCCTGCGGTGGAGTTTAGCATGGTTGTAACCGGTTTGTGAGGATGTACTTGACACTGACATGTAGCAGCCAACACACTCCGGACGCCTGCCTCTAGTGGACGGTGGCGGTGGAGGTGGAGACAACTCGCTACGGAGTCGCTTGGCTGGGCGTTGAGCAGAGCCCTCTGGGAATAATTCGCGTGGATGGGGAGGCGTGAGACGAAAGTCGCGGTTGGAGAGAGAACTAGCGGCGCTACTGGTCTGTCCGTGCTTGAACTGTTCCTGCTTGATCTGTTCTTGTTCCTGCTTGACGGACGAAGGAGGCATATCGAAACGGGAGGCTGGGTTCGATAGCTATCAGCATACTGGACAGACGCGACGAGACCGCTAAGACATACTGCGCGGATGGTCGAGTGCGCCGTTCGTTCTCCCTTGTGGCGCCGAGTGTGCTAGCGCGGACGATACGCTCCTCTGGCGGTTGACGAGGACTTCCTGGGCGAGGCGCTGTTTGAGGCCCTCGTTCTCCTGCTTCAGACGCTGAATCTCGCCCTCAGCCGCACTACGCTCGTGATATGCGGCGGCGGGAAGTTGCGCGATTATCGTCTGGATCTCGGAAGCCTTGGGTCCTTCACAATAGCTGGAGAAGGCCAGCAGGCGCATGGTGAGCGCGTTCGTGTCGATTTGTTCCTTCATGTCTGCTGCACACAGAGCGTGCGGCGGGACTTTTTTGGCAGTGTCTGGTTTTGACATTGTTTTGGGCGTGCGAATGGAGATGATTGAAGCAGGCAACCGCGCAGCAAAACGCGCTTCTCGTGGCAGGAACAAACAGCACCCGGCCGAAAAGTCCAGGAGGGCTACGTGAAATCGGAGTAAATGCGAAATGAACCATCACCACGTTTTGAGCGCGAGCAACAGAATTAATACTCACTAATGTAACAACAGCCAGGCGGGCGACATGACCCAAATACAATCCACAGCAAAACTGCACAAGCGCTCTTTCCCGCCGCAGAAGTATCTCTTTGGAGGCACATTGCAGATGGCTTATCGCGACCTTCAGTTGCCATACCGTCAGCTCAGATCGACTCCAATCGCCATCCCGAGGAAGAACAGCCTGGTGCTTCCAACGTCTTTGCATACCTTCCCCAAGTTCCTCCTCCCTAGAAGCTGCGCACGTCGAAGAGCCACTCCATCATCGTAATACCTAAAATAACCTCCCAAAGCCATTGCGCGCCGCCAGCAGCCTCCACCAACTCCAGAGCGCTCACAGAGCAGCTTCGCATTACCCACCCGGAGAAGCCGTCCTAGGTCGTCATAGTCTGCTGATGGAAAGCCATCATCCATTTCCCCCCGTCCATCCTCCAGACACTAGAGCAGAGAGCGTCGAATTCCACATCCCTAGGATCATCCGAGGAAGAAGGTGCCCTCGTGGCAATGGCCCGGTAACTGATAATGACCCCATCGCTTCCTATCGGAGTGACATCCACGTTCCTCAGATCGAACGTCTTCCAGGGGACAAACGCCGGAGAGTGCAGGATGTCCTGCACGTTGGGTTCTGTCTTGGCGGTCACTTTCATCCCCATGGGAAACATCATGATGCAGTCGCGGGTTAGGAAAGGCACGAGGTCCCGCCCCGTCTTTTGCAGTGCACGCCAGGTGCGCTCTTCCAGGTCGAGGATGTCGTCGAACAGGGCGTCTTTGGAAGACATTGTCGAATGCTTTGTGGGAATTCGAGCAGTGATTCGTGTTTGTTGGTAGAGGAAACGACGGCAGAGAAGTGGAAGTTGGAAGTTGGATGTTGTCGGGGTTGGCCTCACGTGCTTTCGTGTGCTGGTCTGTTACACAGCAATTTGCATGCGATAATGATATCGACAGTAACCAAGCATCACTATTTTTCTTTTCTACCTCACGGCTTCGCGGCCCTCGTTATAACACCAACACTTTCGTGACCAGGCCCAGGCATACAAGCCATACCATAAATCAGAATCACATCAAATCCTTCGACCTGATCAAACTCCTATAGCATTCGTACAATAACATGGCCAGCCTCTGTCAACGCATACTAGTGCTGTGCCTCCGCCGGTAGAAAGCTCGGAGCCGTGCTTCGCTGCCCGGCTGTTCAGTAGGCACGATAGAGTGGAAGCGCAATGTCTCGCTCATGACGAATTGCTATCGAGGCCAGAAATTGCATCCCGAGGGAGTTGGCTGTCGAATGATCAGTGTTCGATCGACATCCCGATGAGGCAGCTGGCTGGCTGACGATGTGACGACTAAGAGCAAGGTTGTTGTTACTTTGACAAGCCTGATGACATGGATGTGATGCCGAAAGACCAGCGACGGCCAATTTGATCTGGGTGTCCGTAAATGTACCTGTATGGCTTATTGGTGCCCCTTAATGATGGATATCTACTAAATTCGTCAAAAAAAACGTGACCAATGCTCGCAATTCCAACGGCCGGCTCTCAAGCTGCACTGGGCCGCAGAGAATACCTTCCATCATCATTCCTGCCAACAACATAGCTAGGCCCGGGACTCCTCGGCGCAGATTCCACCTGCCCTCCACACCAAATCGGGGCGTTCGGTCGCTTCTTATGCTTCGACGCTGACCCCGATGGAGACTTCGAAGACTTGTTCACAGCGACAACCCTCCCCGTGGAGTCCACCGTGCAAATCTCCGAGTCTGCATCGCCTCCGAGATCTCTCTCCCAGATTTCATTCCACTCATTCAGACGACCATATTGCTTTGACGCGGCTGATCGACGCTGGGCGCCGTCGAGAATGGAGAGTTCAGCGACGCTGTGAATCGGCCTCTTGCCTCGAGAGCTGGGTTTTGAGGCGGTCGTCTCGGGGTATTCGCCGATGAGTCGTGGCGCTACGTGTCGGAAGAAGAGACGCAGGATGGGGAGACAGCCGCAGATTATGACGAGGTTGGCTTCCACGCAGCTGGATGGTCTATTAGCTGCGTTTGAGGGACGAGGAGAGGAATAGAGTACTAACATCCAGATCGCTGGCGTGCTGATAGCCCATGTCGTGTCTAGAGCGCTAACCATGGGCGGAAGAAGTGAGAGTCGTACCAAGCTGGTGATGAGCGTTCTACAAGATGGCCTTATCAGTCACTATTCATGATGTAGCATAGGGAACGATACTCACAACGATCCAATGCCAAAGATACACGCAAGGCCGATCTTTTGCACAAGAGGCACACTCAATTGCCAAATCATCGGTGTCGGTAGTATCAGCAAGATAACGTCTGTCGCGGCATTCAGGCCGGCCGTTGCCAGATATATCCTTCCCTTGTTGACACAGCTCCCAGCCGTGATGGTGATGTCCCAATTCCTTTCCAATGGCGTACAGGCGAAGATCAAGCTAAAAGCCAACGCGATACTATAGCTGATGACAAAAGCCATGACCCCGTAGACCGAGTACTTGAACCATCGATCCATAGAAAGCTTTCGGTAGAACAGGAGCAAGGAGAACTTTGCCAGAGCCATAAGGGGGATGTAGAGGATGGAGCAGACCGAGATGAGCTTTGCAGTGTCAGAAGCTAGGCCTCGCAAGGAGGGAGAACGTTAGCATACCAAGATAGAGGAGTTGGCTTGTTGGATACAGAGATCCCACATATGTACGCCAATGGTTTTTTCTGCCCAGAGATCTAGCCTCGATCAGCTTTGGACGACGTGAGAAGTACTCGAGGTAGGTACGTACAGACCACCATGATTTGAAGGGCAATTGACATCATCTACACGGCGTCAGATCTGTAAAGATGAAGAGGGTCGTTGGTGGAGCCATACCCAGGCGATTGTAAGGGCAACTGCAATCCGTCAATCGCGCTGCTCGTTATACATGCCACCAATGCTACTTACCATCGTCGATGCCAAAGATGTGTGCCAGAAAAGCCTTTGTGTAGAGTCGCAAGAGCATGAAGAGAGTAGTAATGACCATTCCAACAACGGATATCACGATGCCAGCGGTGTTGTGCTTGCTCATGGGGTCGGCAAAGTTTTGTGTGTAGCCCGACAGTACCGTAGAGGCAGGTACACAGGATGTGGCCATGTCTAAATCGCTACGTCTCCCTCCCTGGGATTCTCGTCTCGTAGAGAGTAGACCGGCTGCTCTCTACTGGACATTCAGTCGCGTACCCGAGAATAAGAGAATGGCATGCCGGGAAAAGAGCATGCAGGAACCACCACGCGCACGGGAGGAAGCACTTCCATCTAAAAGGCGTAAGGGCTACCTCACGAGTCCAGGACCGAGGTACCATACTTAGCTCACCCGTTCTCTTGGAAACAGTGAGCCATACGCGGCAAACAGTTCCCGGCGTAACTCTTTTGGCACATTCGTGGAGTTTGGTAGCGCCTCGACATTGTGCAGAGCAGCATGATGCTTGTACATGCATAAAACACATGCGTAACCGACCCACTGGTGCGTCAAGAGATAGGCACCGTCGTCAGGAACGGGGTCACCGTGCTTGGGGACCATCGAGTCCCGCGATCTGGACTATGCGGACGCGGCAGCATGGCACCGGGGAAGAGTTCCATCCGTCGTGGTTGGAGCAAGGGATGGTAAGGAGTGAGGTCGTAGCGTATGTGGATCGGTATCCATCTGCGCGTGCCTTCTCCACAATCGAAAGATCCACTCCCATTTGATGCTCGTGCTCGATGAGTCGACATCTGTGCCATGTATGAGCAGACCACTAATAATAGCAGTTCTGATGGCAGTCGACTTTGATGTCCTTGGTAGGTTTGGGCTCCAGTCTCGATTTCGATATTGCACTCCATTTGCTCGAGGAGAGTTGTCAAAGTGTGTCCGCGAGGCCAGAGCGAGGGCTCAAGAATCGACCAGATCCGCGCGCCAGGCTCGTGCCACCGTTCCGACGCCGGCTTAATAGGTAGTCGTCCTGGCAGCGCTAGAGGCGATACTTCGGCTTCGCCAGTCGCAGCTTCTCTGTTCGGCATTGGCAACGACCCAAACTCAACAGCGAGCCAAGAGCAGAATGAACCTCTAAGCCTCCCAGTCCAATGCAATTAAAGCATATGACCCATCATTGTCGCTTCCCTTTTTCCCGGCCAACGGGAAGCATGGCGTCGAGACAAAGTAAAGTTTCTCGAACCGAAAGGATAGCCCCGGCTCACACCAAAGCATGAGCCGGCGGTAGATATTCTTAGCGATTCTTGTACCTGGCATGTTCGCTAACTCCCTACAGGGCAACGCCCCGTGTTCGCCTGATGTCTCTCGTGTGATGGTGAATGTTCTGTGGCAACAAGGCGCCCGTCCATGAAGGCCTAGCGGATCAGAAGCATTGGCGAAAGAAGCAGCAAACGGAACGAGGCAATCCAAAAGGGAGAAGATCCATCTCAGCCCTGCACCGCGGGAACGTACCTTACGAACGGTGAGCTCAGAGCAAGATGAAACTCGTCCTTGCCTTCCTTGCCGTGCTGGCGGCCTCGGCTTCAGCCAGCGATTCCCACTGCGTACGTATCTGCCTCAGCAATCAATCCCAAGCAGCCATCGCACCTTCCCGTTCCCTGACATTCGACTCTCCAGTGCAATGCCCTGAGCGCAGCCGGTCTCGGTGAGCGCTTGATCGCGCCTTCTTCGTCCGAGACTTACGAGGCCCACCTGGGCAAGTACTTCTCCACCGCCGCTCAGCTATTGCCGCACTGTTTCTTCAAACCGCGTAGCACAGAAGAAGTCTCCAAAGCAATCACGGCTCTCGTCGCCGCGAATAAGACCCAGCCATGCCAGTTCGCCGTCCGGAGTGGCGGTCACATGCACTTCAAGGGAGCCTCGGGCATCGCAGATGGCGTCACGATCGATCTGGCAGACATTAACCAAGTCGTCTACCGTGCTGAAGACGAGACGGTGGCTGTTGGTCCCGGCGCAGTCTGGGGAGATGTCTACAGCTATCTCGACAAGATCGGCAAGATGGTCGTTGGAGGCCGCTCTTACTCCGTTGGCGTGGGCGGCTTGGTTCTGGGCGGTGGCAACTCCTACCATGCAGCTCGACGAGGATTGGTATGCGATAACGTTGCCGCCTTTGAAGTCGTGCTGGGAGATGGCAGTGTCGTGACGGCCACTCGCGAGGAGAACAGTGACCTCTTTCAAGCGCTAAAGGGAGGTTCCACCAACTTCGGTATCGTCACTCGAGTCGACCTGGAGGCATTCGAAGGAGGCAACATCTTTGGCGGCCTGATCTTACGTACCGCCGGAACCGCCGAGGAGCACTTCCAGGCTCTCGTCAACTTCGGCGACAAGATACACGAGGACCCATACGGTTCGGCCATCGTCATCGACGTCTATATCGCCTCTATGCACCTGCATGTCTTCATGAATGCCTTTGACTATACCGCTCCCGTGAAGCGACCAGCTGTGTTTCGGGAATTCTTCGAGATCGAGAGTCCTCCCATCTCCGACACAACGGGAATCCGCAACATGACCGACCTCGCCAAGGAGCTGGAAATGCCCAAGACACATCGCGTCCAATTCTCCACCCTGACATTCAAGAATGACATTCGTGTCCTCCGCAAAGCTCATGCACTGTTTAAACAGGTGATCGCCAAATTGGAAGAGGAGGCCTCTGGTGATTGGAGGGCCATGGCCCTCTACCAACCCATTCCCACCCTGTTCGCCGAACACAGCAAGGGAAGAGGCGGAAATCTGCTCGGCCTTGAGCGATTCGACGAGAATCTCATCATGTATGAGCCGTACATGATGTGGAAGGGAGCCGAGCAAGACGAACTTTTCGAATCGCAAGCCGCCTGGCTCCGAGCCGAAGTCTCCAAGTACGCCGAGAGTATCGGTGCAGACAATGAGTTTCTGTACCTCAACTACGCAGATATCGCGCAGAAGCCACTCGAGAGCTATGGAGCGGAGAACGTGGCCAAGATCCGCAAGGTGGCGGCCAAGTACGACCCCGAAGAAGTCTTCCAGAGGATGATGCCCGGTGGGTTCAAGATTTCCAAGGTCGATCCGGAGTTTGGGAAACTCCTCGACGACACCAAGGCGCAGAGTCGTGAGCATTCTGAGCTTTGAAGGGGAGATTGAGCTGATGAGGCCCCTGGGGAAGCGGCAAGGTCGAATGGATACAATAATGATGTCTCTATGTACAAGACGAATCGCAGCGCTAAGGCCACGGTAAACAGCGATTGCCTCCTTTTTGTCCTCTCTGCTCTTGGGCGTCATCTTCGTTAGTATGTCCATGCTGTCGATTTTCGTACAGACATGCACAGAGCTGTGCAATGTTTCCGCTGTGAAACCCCATTCTATTCCCAATCCGCCCGTTGCGCCCCAACGCCTTGCAGTGAATGCTTCAGAATACCACGCTCTTGAAAATGAAAGGTCGCCCCGGCGCCTGGTCCTTAACTCCGGTTTTGAACGCACATCATGTTGGTCGCGATTACACTCCAAAACAGCCTCCAAAACAGCCTCCCATCCCGATGCCCAAGAGCTCCTATGCCAATGGTTGGAGATCATGTGCTGTTGCGCCGCTCATGTCCTATCCTTGTGCGGGCACAGCCAGATGCGACCGCTTCAGCGCAAGTGCGAGATCCTGTTCCGTGAACAGCTGGTGATCATGCGCGGTACTCATCGTCTGCGAGAGCGCTTGCATCTGTGTATTGAATTCCAGCTTCGGAGGCGGCGGAGACTGGCCGTTCGTGGGCTCCTCAGCCGTGCGTGCTCGGGAGAGCGGGCCGTGGTCTTTGGATTGCACTCGTGAGACGCCGACTGTGGTCGTTAGCAATCGCTTGCTACGATGCCAGGGAGCTGCTGGGAATGGAGGAATCCTCACCATTGCCCACGTCATCATCGCCTTCGTGTTCCGGCTGCCCGGAGAGTGCCGTCGGGCGTGCTGCGCCCATGTGTTCTCGATACCGCACGTTGCTCTTGTCCGTCTCTCCGCTCGTGACGCTGTTCGATCGACTCTCGCTCTTTCCGCTGATGCTCTTGCGCGCAGTCATGCTGAGCCAACTGCTCCGTCGGCTCGCATGCTCCCGGCTATTCCTCCTACTCGGCGCCCGTGTGCCCATGGGTGAATGCTGGCTCTGGAAGCTCCGCCTTCTCCACGCTTCCGCGAAAGAGAAGGCTTCCAACTTCTCCTTGTGTTCCTTCTTGGGCGTGGCACGGTATTTGGGACGCGGCATGGGTTCGCCTGGCTTGTAGACATTGCTCGGCCAACGTTCGCGATCTGAGTTTTGGGTGGAAGATTTGGACAGGGTGGAATCCCGATCCGTATGCTTGGAGCGGGCCTTGAACAGGGCCTTGGCCCTCTCGCGGATCGCCATGGTCTGCGGATGCGATGTCTGCTGGGGTGCAGGTGGGCGTGCGGAAAGCTTGGTGAGCCAAGAAGGTCCCTTGGAGGGAAAGATATCACTCTGCTCTGAAGTGCTCCTCCTGACGTCCTATGACCTGGAAAGGAGACGGAGTAGCATCTCAGGGAGGGAGATGGTTCCGCCAGCACCAAGACCCGACGAATGGGTACGTCAGGCGGAGGGGAGCGGAGTTGAAGCCGAGGGGGGGGCACCGAAGCTTTGGCGGGCAAGCTGAGTAAGGTGATCCCTCTTGGTGGCCGTGCTCGGTCAGCAATGAGTGGTGGTGTGATGGAGGGCGTATGGGAAGACGAAGAAGAAGAACAACAGAGAAGGGCGAGACGCGGTGGGCGGAAGGAGAACGGTGGGTGGAGAAAGAGGTGGAGAGATAGTGCAGGAGGAGAGGGTCTCAGGTCGTGTGGCAGCCATGCACGCTAGAAGAGTGCAGTGTACTATGCGAACGACAGCGCTGTGAGGCCTAAGAGCATTATTACGTAATGCTGGCCTATGCGTGCGTCTTGGCACTTACTCCTCTTTGTTCCTTTACACCCTAGTCTTAGATAGATTATTATACGATATACGAGTACTTTTACTATATTCTAGAGGCTTTAATACTAACGATTTTTAAGTAGGACTTCTTATACCCCTTATATACTAATAACCCTCGATACCCCGACCTTACTAGAGTGATTTACGCCCGTAGAGCGCCTACCGACGCTATTAGCCCTAGTAGTTATCCTATTCTACTAGATCTAATAATTATAATATATAGCGTAGAATAAAGGCTCCTAGCCTTATAAGAATTTTACTTTCTTCTTATAATCTAAGAACTTCTAGACTACTATAACCTAGCGGTTCTATAGCTACTTAGCGCTTTTCGACTAGAACTCTATTATTTATTTACGTAATTAGAGCGCTTTCCCTAAGTATACTTAGAAAGCTATAATTTCCGAAATTTTAAGAAGTTATAGGTACTTACCTCTAGTTACTTCCTACTAGGGGTAATATATTTACGTTATACCTACTACTATTACTACCCTACTAAGCCTAACGAAAGGTAATTATAATAGATTCTACTCTAATAATCCGATAAATAGTCTAATAGCTAGATTATTAGTAGTAGCTAGTAAGTAGCCTAAGGACCCTACTACCGCTCTATTAAGATAGCTTCTACTATTATCTAATAAGGAAGCTCCTAAATTCCCTAAGGTATAAATCTTTAAATCTAAGAACGCTCTTCGCTATACGCCTAACTAGAAGACTAATAGATAAGACTCTCTAGAGCTAGAGTACGACTCTAGTCTATTTAAATATTCCGCGTCGTCGAAGAAGGACGTAGAGAAGGACCCCGAGATAATAGCTACTATAAGACCTTAGAGTAGTATAGAATTTATAAAGTTATAATAATAATTATAGATAGGTTTCGGTAAAAAGACTACTCTATAGAATAAGCCGTAGCTATAAGCTATCTCTTCTCGATAGGACTCTATTTATAAAGAACGTTAAGTATTTAATCTAAATACTACGACGATTACGTTAGTAGACCTATTCTAGCTTCTACCTTATCTAACGATACTCTAGCTACTAGCTCTATAGAGAGTAGCTACTTATACGGCCGAACCTTAGGTACGTCGGACTATATTCTAGTATATCTAGTTCTATAGTCGTAAGAATAAGAATATTAATAGATTCTTACGAACTACTACTATAAATTAGTCGATTAAGAAGTATATTCTACTAGGTTAGATAGAGAACTCTACTTTCGTAGAATATATTTCGGAGTTATACTATAGCGAAGTAGAGCGCTATATTAATACCTTAGACGCTACTATCGCCTAGGATTTTAGAGCTCTTACCGAAGTCTTATAGTAGAGATTCCTAAAGCTAGACTACTAGAGCTAAGCTAAGTAAGCCTTCGTAGATTTAAATTAACTCTCTTAAGATTCTAAGTCGTTCTACGAATATATAGAAGAAGCCCGAGCTATATTCTAGGTACTTCTCTAATATAAGTAGTACGTTATAGACCTCTTTATTATAGGTCTAGACTCTAAGAGTATAAGGACTACTACTATAGCTATAGTAAATAGTACCGAAGCTACGAGCTTCTTATTACTCTTCGAGTTAGTTATCGACGTTACGTAGAATTTAATCTATATAGTTAGAAGGTCGTAGAAGAAGAATACCCGCTCTAATTTTAAGTAATAACTTAATTAGATCGATAATCTAGCCTAAAGAGCTATATTTAAGCTTATATTCTAGTAATAATAGTTAAACTATATACCCTAGACTTCGTAGTAACCTTAGCGTAGCGGAAATCGCGTAGGTAAGATAGATAGAGCTACTACTAATAAAGCTACTATAAAGACTAGAAGCCGTCTACCTCTATAACAGCCTACTAGAGGTAGCTAGTAGACAGTATCTAGTACTAGTTAGACGAAGTATTTCCGCTATAGTAAAGAAGGATATACGATACGGACTTACTATAGTCTAACCTTACTTCTAGCTAATAAATAGGTAAAACTATAAGAGGAGTTCGTAGATAGGATAGGCTAAGGTAATAGACCTTTATACTAGAATCGGTAGGTCGTATAGAATACTATTAACGCCGACTACGAGACTAAATTTTACCTAAATAATTAGAAGAGATATTTCAATATAGACGCTCTTTTTTAAGCCCCTATTTTTATAGAGGTAAGTAGGAGCGAGAGAGGTATACTATTCGTACCTCTAGTAAGTATAGACGTATAAGTCTTTATAAATAAGAAGTAGGAAACTTCTATAGGTAGAGAAGTACTATTAGTAATAGACTCCGGTACGAGACTAGATAGAGTTCTAGTAGACGCTAAATTTAAGGCTACTACTAGTTAGTTAATTAGAGTAATAGTAGGAAGACTATAATTTAATTTAGTAGAATCCTTACGTATAGTCGAGCTTAAGGTCCTATTCTAGAATTTTTATAGTAGAAATCCGGATACTAGACGCTTAATAGCTTCTACTCTTACTTATAATATATCGACTATAGGAAAGAAGCGTACTCCGGACTTACTCTATCCGGAATATACGGACCCTTCGTAAGAAGCGAGTCTCTAATAATACTATATTTATATCGACTCTCGATATATTACTATTATAGTAGTAGAGATAGTTATACCCCTAGTACTACTACTCCCGGAGTATATTCTTATATTTTATACGACGGGATATATTTCTAAAGGTAATACTCGTTTCTAGATTAATAAGTCGCTTATTAATAGTAGCGTAAGTATTAATATACTAGCGTAGGATATTATAGCGAAACTTAGCCTAAAAATATAGACCGTACTAGCTTTAATAGCTACGATAGCGAACGGGACGAAAGAAGTTATAACCTAATACGTCTTATTCCCCTTTATAGTAGAGAGCGTACGCCGAAACGCTACGGCCTACCTAATAACTACGCCTACTTTTTATACTCTTTTACTTTCCTACGCCTAGATAAAGGTAAATCGGATTACGGGAGACTACGAGAATAATCGCTATACTATCGCTAATAAGAGAGATAGCTAGATTCCTATTCGGAATACGAATCTAGCGAAATCCTAAGTATCTTATATCGAATTTAATAACTCTAGACCTAAGCTAAGTAATAAAGTTTCCGCTATATTCTCTTCGGATTCTATATTAGGAATAGCTACCTTATTTATACGAGACGAACTATCTAACTTAGACTCTACTCTACGTTAGATAGCTATAGGCCTCGATATAGACGAAACGGGGTTCGCGTTCCGGGAGTTAGCTACGATAATATCTATAAAGGGAAAAGCTTCCTACCGCTAAGTACTCTCTTCTAGTATACGACGAAATATTTTAGAAGTAGGAGTAATTAAGCTCTCTACTTCGTAGCGCTAGACTATAACCCTTTCCTAGGAATAAAGAAGGCTTATAGACTAATATATACTCCGATATCTCGGACTCTACGATCGTTTATAAGAAATTACTTAAGTAATACTACTCTACTTAGGCCGATACTACTCTAGGTATAGATTTACTAGAGGTAGATAGTAGTCTTTAGTAAGAGGAAGACTTAGACGTAATCTCTTTACTAGAATAAGTATACTTAGAACTTATATAGTTAAGAAATAAAATTAGACGATATAATAATAATGTATCCGAAGTATTTAGGGATATAGAATACTCTACTTCCTTATCTTTTAACTTAGCGTTACTACGAAATTTAGCCTCTTAGAGTAGGGCTACTTTTCCTCTCGATTATAGAGCTTAGTAACGCCTAAGAAGAGCCCTGTCCGAAAGGTTATAATAGTAGCTACTACCTATATCTATAGTCTCTAGAGTGTCTAGAGATATCTAACCCCTAGTACTTAGCCCTATTAAGTCTAAAGTCGCCTAGAAGCTATAGGAGCGAAAGTTTAATAAGCGGGCTTAATACTTTTACTCGGCGCTATTTAGAGATAATACGTAAGTCCTACCGGATAGAAGTCTACTCTCTATTATAGTAGTAAGGGCGATTCTTCTATTATTAGTCGGAATACCCGACGTCCTATATAGTTAGTACTATTTTATAGCTATAGTAAAGGCGATAGAGGAGCTTATACGCGCCTAGAATACGTAAATACTAAGAGTATTATAGTCTAAAGATCTATAAGTAGATATTATATAGATAAGTATAGAAGAGTAAGAGTTCGTAAATTAGTCCGGATTTCTAGTATAACGACGCCTAGCTAGCTACCGTAGAGAATCTCTTACTAGAGGTAGATACGAGAGGAATACTAAAGTTACGGAACGATATACGAAAACGTTCGGTACTTATCTAGAACTAATTAGAAATATAACTAAATCGGAGAGTAAGATCCTTTAGGCG